GCTAATCTTTATAGCGCTCGTATCATTCTAGTGCTTCAAGATCTAAGAGTCGAAGACAAAATTTATTTGTGTATAACTTTTTACTTAACCAACAAGGCCTTTATTGTTTAAATGGTAGCTGAAGTAATTCTGCTCAGTTATAAAAATGAATTTAAATGATCAAAAGATATATTCTCTTCAACTATAATAACAAGACTTCACGTCATAGCTTTCATTACAATATGACACTTTTTACACTGAGTATATTTTCTAGTTAGCAGACAAATGTTGTCTTGAACTCTTTCTACTTCTTTTTCAATTCATCAATGCCACGCACACCTATTTACCCTGAAGTGGAGCATTTAATTTTCCTCAAGAAACGTGCAATGCTAGAAAAGGTCAATTCTGAAAGTAAGAAGGACAATTCAACCACTCAAAACCCTAAGAGAATATGTAATTAAAAAAAAAAACACTTTATGCATTTACAAGGTCTCACAAGCTAATGTACATAAAGCTACTAAGAGGAAAGACTCTCCTGCTGTAATAACAGTAAAAAGGAGTGCAAAGAGAAGCCGCCAAACTAATACTTCAGCAGCGTCATCCTCTAAAAGTAAAAACAAATGTAGTTCTTGCCAAGAGGAGGGCCATAACTCTGCAAGAAGTCCCCACTGCAAAAAAACTATAATCTAAAGCTAGCAGAACTTTTACAAATTAAACTTGGATCAACTTATCAAAGATATACTCTCTCTCTCTCTCTCTGTTCCATTTGCAACTTTCTGCAAGAATACTCCCAAACAAAGCCAGTTCTTTGGAAAAGGTCAAGGCTGTATCAAGCTTTATCCGTGAAGTCATGTTCAAAGCATAGCTATTTATAAACTTTTTTATTCTGCAATATCCAAGTTAGTTGACAAATTACTTTTTTTTTTATCAAAATTTTTGGGTACACTATTTCAAGAGTTGTTAGGGGCAGCTCAGATGATGTAGGACCAGTTCTACAGGCTTACAAAGACACGAAAAAGGAAAGACCTGCAGAAACAGAATCTAGATGTGGTACAACTTACAAGCTCTTTTGTTGAACTATCTGCCACTATAAATGGTAGCTTGTTTGTTCCAGAAAATAGATTAAAGAATTATGGACAATCTCTGTCAACCGCATGTGAAACTGTCGCAACAACATACAATAACTACTATGTTGAAAACTTTGAAAATATTATATCTAACTACTTTATCTATACATTAAGGACAAAGTATCCGGTAATCAACGAAAGATAAAAACAAACTCTTTAATATACATGTTCAGTTTCTCAAATTTTTTTATACTAAAACTGTATAAACTAGAATGAGAAAGTTGGCTGTATCAAGAACTTGGATATATAATCATATATATGATCAAGTGCTTACACATTCCCAGTCATCCTCTATACCTAATGATATTCTTGCCCTTTTTGATCCGGATGTGGTTAATAATCTTCCAAGTTTCTTAAATCCTTTGATTTCAGAAGTGAAGAATCGCATGTCCAAGCTTCCAGTGTCTAAAGAAAGCTTAAACAATGAACCCTTCAAAATTCTATCTGCATTAAGGGCATATCCTTAAAAAAAAATACGATGATATATACAAGGCCCAAACTCCTCAAAATGACAAAAGCGATTTGATTAAGTCCCTAACTTCCAAGACGTTTTAGTCTATTCCCAAATCCTGGATTACACTGGCGATTCATAAAGATGGATGCTCAAAACCTAACCGGAATTTTCCCAGATGCTAAACAAAAAAAAGCAAGCTAATGAATCATCTCCTTTCGATCATAAACAAAGATGCTTCTATCAAATGTTTGACTTTAAGAAGCTGGGCATTCAAAGGTATACATTACTATTACATATATCTATAAATCAAATTACTGACGAAAAAAAAAAATATAGTTGTGAAAAGCTTTAAGCACTGCCTGAACAAAAAGGAAAGATGTTTCTCAATGGATTGTATACTGATGGCTACACGTACAGAGTTCTATTTGCTAGAAAAGTGCTTCCGCCATCACCAGAAGACAATATCTGTCTAGAGTTGAACGATTTTACAAGCGAAGAGGTGGACAAGTATTTCCGTCCATGTACTGTAGACCCATGAAGATGGGATCCTTTTGTCTCTTATTATGGTGACCACTGACATATGTCGCTTATCCTCAATCGAATATTACAATATGGGTGGAAGTGTAAGACGAATGAAAGAGCAACAGAAGCGCAAACAGAGACTAGGTATTGAAAAGATTGAAACAGACATTCCTTCGCCTAAAACTGCGTCTGTTTAACAATTTGTTTTGTACATAACTTACATGCTGCAGCACATGAATACTTTGCTTAATTTTTACGGCTTTGAAACTTCAAAGATTAAATGGTTGAACTACCTTAGTTCCCAAAAAGCCATCCAAGAAAGTGTCAACATCTTAATAAATGGTGGAAAGAAGTATAATAAAAGCAGGAGAAAGAAGACAAAGGAAAACAGAAAAAGAAGGAAGAAAACTCGCAAGCCTCGTACTGCTTAAGAAGAAAGAGCACTCACCACCATCCCAAAATCAAAAAGGTATACACTTTTATTATTATTATTATTTCAGTAAACTCGAACTATTATATCTGTAACTTATAGCAGAAACAACAAAGTCTGTTTTGGAAAGGGAAACAGCAGCAAGATGCCTCTGGTGGTCTTTGGTGACGGACTAGGATCATAACAAGTTCAAAGGTCTCCGTCATGGCGTATCTAACAAAATATATCAACAATTAAAAAACAAGACAAAGGCTTGGAGAACTCTTGCTACTAGACATCAACGAATTTAATATATCAAAGGTTATTAAGGAAAAAAATAACACATAGTTTACATATTGCACTTTCAGCTAAAACCAATTCTTCATAGATCTGTCATTCTTGCTTTAAAAATGATACAGAAAATCTGAAGTGTAGGAAAGATGACCATGATCCATCAAGTATTGAAGTGTAAAACTTGCAATATATCTTTTGGAATTGAGATGTAATGGCCAGTAAAAAATATGTTTTACATAGCTCAGTCTATATGGAATGACAATGATCGCCCCACCGTCTTCAAACGACAAACCGTCACCTCCAATGTGGTTGTCCCGGCTCACTCCGGTGAACCGACGACTTAATGATGGTACAGGTAAGGAGTTGTAACAATTTTGATTTGACCAAACAAACGAAAGTACCTTAATTTCCCATATTCCCTTCTGCGTACTATGTTCGTACCAATGTCCCATTTTTCTATTGGTGTCCCTTATTTATTTTGGAAATGGTCAAAAAATTTTTTTTATTGACCCAACCTAGTTTCTTCGACTGTATTCTATCTACCAATATAATTCGAATAGCATACAATCGTTTTCTTTCTATATCATTGAAAGTAAGGAACTTCCGTTGTGATCGTTTATTATAGCTAAGAAATACATAAAATAGTTGTAAAAGAAAAGAAAAGAAAAGAAAAAAAAAACAAGACACTTTATAGATGATCATTATTTCAAGTAGGATCTTGTTTAATAAATTCTACTAATGTATTTTTAATATACATCCATTATCTTATATAAAAATGAGCTTTGTTCCATAAAAAAAATGATATTTATAAAGTATGGCTTATATTTTATTTTATGACAGAGAATAATACATATTAAGATTGTTTACATTCAGGAGCATTTTGACCCTGAGCAGGTTGCTAGTATTAGAGTAAAATAAATTAGTAAATAAAAAAAAAATAAAATAAAAGTAAATAACTTACAGCTGCATCATCATCGTCTTCATCATCATCTTCATCATCGTCTTCATCGTCATCATCCTCTTCGTCAGTAAGGAAATCATCCTATAAAAAAAACATTATATTTATATAATCTATCATGATTCTACTTTATTATTATTTATTTACCTCAAAGTCATCTTCCTCATCATAGTCTTCATATTCAAGAGCCTTGCCAGTAAAGAAATCAACAGCATGAGGAATAATCTTTTCCTTGAATTCTTCACCTATATACAAATAATATATTAATAAATATGTAAACATTTTTCTTTAAATATGACATACCCATTTCATAATCAGCTTCTAATTTAGCATCTAAACCTTCAGCTTCATCTTCATCAAGTTCAGCTTCGTCTTCAGGAATAACAGGGGGATTGAAAAAGTTAAAGAAAGATTCGGCAGGTACAGTTCGCTTAACGACACGAGTCTTGTTGGTACCCTTATGGCGTTGCTTCTTAGTTTCGATAGTGACAGTCAAGTCCTTGCCTTCTTTCCAGTTAATATCACAGCCTTCGGCATGATCATAGACATAATCACCACCAGATACATTTTCTTGATAATAATAAGTCTTTGTGAGCACTTTATTAGTAAAGAAATCATTCTCGGCAAATTCAAATTCGAGACAGAAACCTGGCTTTTCGAGATAAGACATACGAATATCTACCAAATATTTCAACGCTTCGAGATCAGCATCAGAGATAGTTTCACTGACTTGAGGGTGAGTCTTTAAGGCTGTCAACCAGAATTCAGGAATACCGGTTACATTCTTACTTTCATCGTCTTCATCATCTTCCATGTTATCATCATTACTCTTGGATTCACCTTTAGAGTTGATTTCTTTTTCATCTTCTTCTTCTTCATCATCTTCTTCGTCTACTTTAGCACCAATAGCTACTTCTTCATCAGTAGGTTCACATTTACCATTAATAATTTCAGCACGCTTTTCATATAAAGGACGATATAATTCCAAATATTTCTTTTCCAAGGCTAATACTTCTTCTTGGAATTGTCCCTCCAATTCAGTATGTTTTGATTGAAGGTATTTAAGACCATTGATACGACGTTGAACAGAAGCAGGAAGGGATTGTCCAAGAAGGTTACCCAATTTACCTTGAAGCATACTCATAAGAGCAGGGTTATCAGAAGCAGCGCCTATAAAATTGAATACACACACACATATATATAAATACATAAGCATTTTATTTTCGGTTCAAAAAAATTTTTTTTTCTTTTCTTTTTTTTTTTTTTGTTATTTACCGGGAGTAATGATGGTTTCCATTTCTTCAGTAATAGCAGGTATAGAGGGATTAAAATGAGAATTAATAGGTGCTGTGTTAATGGGTGTGTTTTGAGGTGTAGGTGCAGTAGTTTTCTTATTTTTAATATCAACTATATAAACTGTTTAAAAGGAAAGGACTTTTTTTTTTTAAAAAAAACATCAAATTACCTGCTTGCTGATCCATTAAAAAGAAGAGAAACGGTTTTAAAAAAAAAAAAAAATAAAATAAAATAAAAAATAAATAAATAAATACAAACTATTTTTTTTTTTCCTCTATTTTTTTTGAAGGATTTAAGGGCTTATTATTAGCTCAAATTTTACAAATAAAAAAAAAAAAAAAAAAAAAAAAAAAAAAAAAAAAGTTTTTTTTTTATTTGTGACTTGAAATCAGCTTCTTACTACCTGAACACCCCCAACAAAAAAAAAAAGTTTCCTCTACTCCATTTTTTTCCCCATTAGGAGATAGGATTACTTGGTAAAAAGAAAAAGCGGGGACATGCTGATGATAAGCTTATCAAATAATAACGACTTTATGGATTAAATTCTTAACTTTGTATAATCTTCTTTTGTTTTATAAGAAGAATGACATAGCAAGAAATAAAAAATATTTTATATAAAAAGCAACAAATATTATTATTATTATAGATCAATTATTGGGGGAAAAAGAACGTTTTATGTATATCTCATTTTCCTTCTTCCCCCCAAAAAAAAAAAAGATTATTCAAAGTCTTCAGATCCATGTTCAAATAAGTAATTTGCTGCTAATTCTATATTCATATAAGAGGTATAAATACTTGTGCATTTTATATACATATTTTTTTTTATTTTTACCTTCATTTTTCTCACAAGCGAAATAAGCTTCAATAACAAGATGTCTATCAAAGCCTAATGCTGCTAACTAAAAAAAAAAAAAAAAAAAAAAAAAAAAAAAAAAAAAAAAAAAAAAAAAAATATATGAATAAATAACAATCATTATGAAAAAAAATGATTTAAGCATTGTTTTACTCTGTCAATAGCATCTTTTTCTTCTTGAGTCACTTGAATCATAGAAGTTCCAGGAGGCATAGTATCTTCATCATCGCCTGCCTCCATTAAGGCTTGTAAGAAACCATTTGGATCAGCACTTATTGATCTAAGAATTTCAGGATGTGATTGTCCTAATTGTTGAAGTAAAGGTTGAAGTAAAGCAGGGTTAGTTTGAACTAATTGACGAATTTGTTGGAAATAAGGTGTGCTTCTTAAAGCCTCAATATCATGGTTATAATTAACAGTTTGTTGCTGTGCCTGTTCCTGTGCTTGCTGTTGTGCTTGTTGTTGAGCAGCAGCAAAAAGATTTAATGGTGTACCTAATAAAGGAAATGATTCATTTTACTCGAAAAAAAAATAGATAAAATAATAAGCTTTACCTGAAGTAGGATTAGTAGTATTAGTGGTAGCTGCAGCAGGAGTAGGGGCAGCAGCAGGAGTAGAAGCTTGTTCACTTTGTTGTTGATTAAAATTCATTTCATCCAAAATGTGTTGAGGAATGCCCTAAATTCAGAAGAAATGATTATGACTTTTTTTAAAAAAAACATTCTTTGTAAAGAGAAACTATTAATTACATACATTAAAAAGATATTCTACTGCTCTATCAGGATTGTTAAAACTAGCACGAAGAGCACGTACACATTGATCACGTTCAAAGCCCATTTCCATCATGTTTTGAATAACGCCTTCAAGCTGATTTCCCGTTACTAATAATAACAATGTCATAGTTTAATGACATCTTTTCCTCTTTTTCTTTCTTTTCTTTAAAATAAACTTACCTAACTGAGAATTGCTATCTATTTGCCCAGTTTGACTAGAGGGTCTTTCAATTTCAACAGGTGTAGAGGCTGCTGTTGTAGCAGGAGAAACAGGAGTAGGTGCTGAAGCTTCAGTAGTAGTATTGGGTGTTGTTGCTGCTGGTGCTGCTGCTGGTGCTTCTTCTTGTTTAACAGGCTCTTTTGGTATAGCTTTTGAAGTACTGGCAGTTGTAGTTGTTGTCTTTTTAGGCTACATAGGCAATTAAGCATAAATTCATTTGTTACGCTTTTATATACAAATATAATCTACCTTTGAAACCATAAGAACCAAAAAATCTTTTTCAGTAATATTATACTCTTCGATCTTTTGTTCATCAGCAAGAATTTTACCTATTTTTAAAGATAATTAGTGATATGAACAATCCATCAATCATTCTATTTACCAGAGAAAATTAACTTGAGCTGATTAACAGGATGGCCTTCAGATTTTTCAATTTTTTCTTTTACAGCAAGAACCTAGATCAAAATTAATCAGTAAATTGAATTCTTTTTTTTTTCAAAAAATGAATAAATAAATCGGATGTAAACATTACAGTATCAGAACTGTCTACTTCGAGTTTAAACTGCTTATGTTGAAGTGTTTTAATAGTAAGTTGCTATTAAGATGACCAAGAAAAAGAAAAGAAGAGAAGAGATTATGAATATATAGACTTGTTGTCAAGTATATAAAATATATTTATACCAAAGCACCCATAGTGAATTATTTGTTGAAAGGAAATCAAAAAGGTGTAAATGCTGAATTCTTCTCTATTCAACAAGAATAGAAGGATACGTGTCGTATGCTGTAAAAAAAGTCACATTTTCCTTTCTTTTTTTTTTATATAATACAATTTAAGTTCCGCCATTGAATTCTTTTTTCTTCCATTGAAAAAAAAAGGGACATTTTATCAGTTAATGTGTGATTGGTTATTACAAAGACCAACGATAAAATACTAAAAAAAAAAAAAAAAAAAAAAAAAAAAAAAAAAAAAAAAAATTATGCACTGATATTATAACACTTCATAAAAAGAACGGAAACAAATAAACTTTAAACTAACACACAATATCATAGTCATTAATTTACCCGAAATAGAGCATTTTATGAATAATTAAATGGATTCATCTGATCCAAATAATAATCCTATAAGCCCGAGTGATGCTGCTTCAGCTACAACAAAAGCCATTATTATGAAAACGATGAAACTCCGAATATTCATCATCAATACGGGAATACTCGTTTGAGCTTAATTACACAACCATTACACAATCGTCATTCTTTTCTCCCAAAAAAAAAAAAAAAAAAAAAAAAAAAAAGTATAAAAAAGCAAACAAAAATATTTAATCATAAAGCAATTCTTTTATTATTATTATTAGTATGACTTTTATTATTATTTTTTAACATGTTAACATCTTTACCTTTAAATCAACAGACGTCTTCAAAACAAAGATATTGGCCATTAAATGAAATAGAAGAAAACGTGATGACGTTAGCTACTTGTTCACAAATCAAACTACAGCAAGGAGCATCACCACATCATCCATTGTCTTATTCTGACTGGTATTGTCCTTCAGTGAGGTCTTCCCCTGTTCGATGTGTGACGTGTCATAGAAAATTCCATTCCATTGGAAATCTCACAAATCATCAACAACTATATCAACATTAAATACCCTTATATGTATATATAATTATATGTAATATGTATACACTGTAAATATCTATTCATTATATTTAAACTTTAGCAAATTTATTTACTATATATAATAAAAATTATTTTTTTTTTGAGCTATTTTTTTTTTTTGGTTCCTTAAATGGATAAAACTATCATGGTTTCAAAATGTAATAAGATGTCATACATTAAAAGAGCGGGTAAAAATATTTCAAGTTGACTCGTTAGGTACATTAAACAATGTTCTAAGTTCTTCAGATGTAAATCCACCATTATTAGGATTTGTATCAGGAAACAAGAGAGTTAAAAGCGTAGGAAAGATTCGATTATTTGATTCAGGATCTCCCTGAATGTATTCATATCCCCAATTAGTTAAATTAGCTGGAATTAATTCTTTTGATAAAATTCGATCTAAAGTTTAAATAAATAAATAAATAAATAAAAAGGGAAGAGTGTGTATAATGATTTCATTCATACCATTTCGTAAAAGATTAATTGCATCACTCAAAATAGCTCTGCCCATTGTGTAAGGCAAACGAAGTCCAGTTGGCTTATTGCGTTCTACCATTAATCCTGCATACAACTCTACTTGATCAGGCGTACCATACAATTCTTTTAATGCTTCTTGTACTTCAACATTCTCTGAAAAATCTTCAAATGTTTCTAATGCTGTTAAATTTAAAAATCTTCTGAAATCATTAAAGGAACATGTATTCAAAACACGTGCTTGATTAATGCCTGCAATCTCTATATGTTCCAAAGCAGCAGGTGTATTTCGACCATTTCTATTTTATTTTATTAGCTTTAAATTTCATTTTCATTCTCTCTCTCTCTTTCTTTCTTTTCTTTTCTTTTTTTTACCCTATTTCTGAGGCTGATTGTTCATAACCTGTTCTTAAAGCATGAATAATATCAGCATCTGGAAAGCTACCATCTTCTTTACGATGAGTACCAGCAATAGGGATACCTCTCGTCAATTCTTCTTGTGAAGCATGAATGAAATGTTTATTAAAATCATTCATAAGTTGATTAAAAATGGAATCTTCTTGTACACCTTTATTTATCAAGTAACGAGCTAAACCAGGATGCTGACTCTCTTGTGTTTTATTTTTCGTCATTTCACCTGTCAAGATGGTCATGACTTGAGATAACCATTCTGCATCCTTCTCACCAATTGCAGCGTGCCATCGATAGATTGTATTAAATTCAATTGAAACAGCGTTACCATAGATAGGATCACTAGGCGTAATAAATGGATCAAAAAGAAAATCAGAATCCGGAGTTGTACCAATGATGGTACGAATGTAATCATGAATAATAATATTCAAGTAGCACCCATTATTAATTAAACGAGCTGTCTGAAAAAGGACTTCATCTTGTTCTTCCTTTGTTTTCAACAATTGACCAGGTCCATAAGAAAACCTTTTATTCTCATTTATTTCTAATAATTTCTTGGCAATGTAATTATGATTGCGAGAGAATACAACCATTAAAGCAGCGACCCCTTTTTTTTTGTAATTGTTAAGTGTGTTCGTGTTATTTAATTTATCATGCTATTCGTGTTTATTTATCATATATGTTATGTTATTTACCTGCAGGTTGAATGACGAGACGTTTATCAAACCATTGGTCAGGTTTTAATAAGCCTTGGTTCATTTGACGAATAGATTCTTGATCCGCTCTACTATAGCCATACAGAGACGAGCTGAGAATAAAATAAGAGTTAAGCCCAATGATGGATTATTATTATGATTATTATTCTTAAATTCTTACAGATCCAAATAACTGGTTGTTAAATTAAGCATTGGATTATTAGAATCAGTATAAAATAAATCATGTGTAATAATAATGGCCAAATATAACAACATCATATTGATTCCACCTTTATGCTTCATAAATTGGCCATCAGGTCTTTTAAGTAATTTATCAAATACTTCCTTTGGAGAAGGTAAATTGACATTGTTTTTCAAAGTATTGGTTACTGTTCGAGTATAATATGTTCGCGCTTTTCCCTTTTAGTAGAATATATAAATGTATACAGGAATAGTGTTAGTCTATCAACCTATGTATGAAAAAAAAAAAAAAAAACTCTCTCCTTTTATATACGACTTACAATATCAGGAAACATGATTGCATTATGACTACCATCAGCGGTACGAAATTGGTTCCCAACATAGTTTGTAAATGGTTTTTTCAAATCATCCTATTCATCTTTGTGAGTCATATAGTATATATATACATATATACATATATATATATATTACATAGAATGTAGTAACTAAAGGCTTTGTCACGACATAAATAAGTTCACTATATTCTGGTCCCAAATTACCCAAAATATTCATAACAGATTCAAAAGTATTATTACGATCATTTACAGGCGCGTTTTTACTAAGCAATCTATAATATATTACATATTTAGTTTCTGGAAAGGAAAGTAGTGGGAGGGAGAGGAGAAGAGAAAAAGAGGCAGGTCATATTTATATACCTTTCAGTAATAGCAGTTAATAAAGTCAATTGATCCTTGAATGGTAAAGATAAAACATCTTTAATAGCACCCGTATTAATGGAATTAATATGTAAAGCAGCTTTAATGTTTTCAGCAAGGGCATCCAAAGTCCATTTGGCACCAGTAGGAGAACTTGAAAAAGTAGGATCTAAACGTTTTGTATCGTTCCTTGGTGACTTGTTTTTCCTTCTTATATTTTCCACAATGACCTTGAAATGCTTTATAAGCTCATCATCGTCCATATCATGTTTGATAGATTGAATAAGTTTATTGACCTTATTCTCGGGCTGTTTCTGTTGTTCAGGTGTCTATTAACAAAAAGAAAGAAAGAAAAAACGAGTTAAATAGAGAGTGGTGGGGGAGTACCCCTTATATATATATATGCATATACACTTTATTCAATGGTTACCTTCCGTACAGGTGATGGTCCTAACATATTAATGTAATTAGAATAAAGAAAAAAAAAGAAAGAAAAAAGAAATAATTTTTTTTTTGGCGCATTTATATATCTGTTGTGTAATGTTTAATTTCCTTTTTCACTGATAAATCCACCCTTCTTTTAAGTACCCTACTATAGAACATATGCTTTATTTTATTTTTTATTTTGAAAGAGAAACAGAACAAAAAAAAAAGGGTGTATAAAGGATGTCTATAGTCATTCCTGATGTTATACTGCATAACGCCCTGGTTGAATTAGAAATAAAAAGAGCACAAAAGGAAAATATATTACAGGTATAGTTGATCTTTTGTTAAACTACTACAACAAGTATTTAATACTCCAAATATATAACATTTGATAAATATACACATTGTGTGCATGTATCTATTATTATGCAACTAGTCTATATGCATAATCACGTATAATAGTAAAAAGTTAAGCATGCTTACTATTCTAAACGTGTGCATTATTCTTATGTATAGCATACATCATGCGAATTCTCTAAATTAGAAGACATATTAGCATTTTATCAAACACATATACATGTTTAATTTAGAATATCTTTATTACTTGAATTCGTATTTGGATATAGCCACCTATTATGCTTATCAACATGCGATTATTTTAGAGTGATAGTTAAATGTTGATCATTTATCACACTTTGTATAAATTAAGCATAGAGTAGAATTAATCATTTATAATTAACATGTATTATGCATTCATAAAAAGCATGCTTGCATATAATTTTCTTATTCATGTTACTCCCTTTTTGAAGTAATTCAGAACAAAAAAAAAAAAAAAAAAAAAAAAAAAAAAGTCGGAAAATCTTTTGAAGGTTCGGGATAGTTAATAAATAAAGAAAAAAAAAAAAGGGTTTCTTTTATATGTAAAAGTACAAAGCTAATTTCTTTATATGAGTCTAAAAGAGAGAAAAAGACCTGCTGAATGAATTAAATGGTTTTGATGGATGCAAAGATAAACCCGCGACGAGTCGTATCAGCTATTTGTTCTAACATGTGTTCATCTTCAAGACTCCATCGTTCTTCTAACGGAATCTCGGCTAACCCAACTTTTTTTAACTTTTTCTTGTATTCTACACGTTTCTCTCTAAGCCTATAAAATCATAATTAACAATCTATTCGAGATCCTCATACTGAAAAAAAAAAAAAAAAAAAAAAAAAGATATATTTACTCTTCACGCTGCTTATTAAATCTATAACCAGTTGTAATACAATAGGCAGTGTTCTTTTCCATTTTTTCATATATCGTCTCGAATAAGGATAAAAACTTCTTTCTTCTTTCTTCTTCAGTAGCTTCAGGCAAATCGAATCGAGCAATAATTAAATCTTTATCATGATGTTCTTCAATTATTCTATGAACCATATCTTCATCACATTTTTCAACATAATAATCTCTTTGATCACTCTCTGCTAATTTTTGCTTCATTAAGGTACTTAATGATGCGTTGCATTCAATAATGGCTCCCTTTTGACCACTACGTTTTAAATAATCAAGAATGGTTTCTGTCTGAGATAATCCTGTTAAGCCATAGTTAAGACCATATCGAAGTTTTCGTTCCAATAGCTCTAAACTTGCAATAGCATCTTCACACGGATCATGTCCTCTCTCTTGGCCAGGCTTTTTGTCTTCATCTTTTATCTGAATGGTACGTTTTAAATAACGTGTAGTCAAATCACGAAGTGAGGGCTTATAAGGTGGTCCGTTTTTATGGTGATAAATAATAGAAGTATCAATGATATAAGGATGTCTCATCTTTAGACATTTCATATCATTCACTAATCCATGTCCAACTAAAATAGTATCTCCATCTACATAGGATTGAATCTTTCTCTGAATATCCGCTAAAGTAGTCTTTACATCCCTTAAGGATTGTTCATCTACACCACTAATATGTGTAACATAGTCTGTAATCTCCTCAGTTGGTTTAACTAATTCGTTAATAAGTGGATTGTTCTCTACACATAAAATACGATGATTTAATTCAACATAATGACATCTCTATTTTTATTTTTATTTTTTTTTTTACCCCTATCGATGAGTGCCACTCTAGTGATTGCATAACCATTTACTGTTTTACACTATTAAGATAAAAGCGTGAATATAATTCTCTTTATATATATATAAATATCTCTTTGTATAGTCACCATCTCACAATCAAGCGCAACCAACTTTTTAGGTTCTATTCCTTTTCCTGGTGGTGTATCCACCCAACCTTCTTCTAATTTACTATCAGGATCTAAAATTGAATGAATAGGAAAATCCTCCATTTTCAACAGTTCTTTTGACATGATCAACATGTCGGGCGTAATGGATTTTCTTTGATCAGGATCTACATGTATAAAAAAGATTAGATTCTTTGTCTATACATATATATGTGAACAAACCTTTATCTTCTTCTTCACGCTTTTTTTTAAGTTCCCCTTTTGATAATGGTACTTCTAAAAGATCTAAAAATCGATCATGGACACGTTTATATTGATCAAATCCTGCCGCACTAATGAGAGCCAAAATTTCATCATCTTCATCATCTGATTGTTTAATGTATTTATAGAAAAGATGCTCTTTCAATTCTCTATAAACATTGGGTGATGTATTTTTTGAAACATTAAAAGCTTCCATTGGCATATTCATTTCATGAGGATCAAAAATAGGTACATCCATTATAATTGCCTTTTTGACTTTGTCTACACCTGGAAAGTCAGGAACCTCTGCAAGACGTCCTTGTTTACCTTGAGGAGTCAATGCCATCAACATTAAATTTCGTACGTCTTTCATGGATGCAAAATCATTAAAATGTTTAAATATAATTTTAGGGTGAATAATCTAATTCATGAATTATTAACTTTTTGAAGAAATGGATGGAAACTGGTTTCTTTTTCATAGTTCTTATTTTGTTTTGTTTTTTTTTACCAATTCATCATCTTTAATTTCAAAAGTCATTCCAAGTTTACGTGCCTTGGAGGCCTTCTTTTTTTGTTTAGAAGTAAGTTTCATTTCCTCATTCGTCTTTTGTTTTTTATTGTCTAGATCTATATTGTTAATCGTTAGAGATAAAATCCATTCAAAGCTTATTTATACATTACGTTCTTCACACATGATATTTGTATCAGAAGTATAAGATCGTTTTGTCGATGAAGTTGTTTTCTCTTTGATTATTGAATAATTGTTATTCATTAAAATTGAAAAAAAAAAGAAAAAAAAAAAAAAAAAAAAAAAAAAAAAAAAAAGAGAGGAGAGAAGAAATAAAACTTTCAAAGTTTTTTTTTTTTTTTGTTTTTTTATAACTTTCTTTCTACTCCTTTCTTACATAATAAAATAACTAAAATAAGAAAAAATAGTAATTATATCTGTTTATTCTATAGTTTAGAAGAATTAGAATTTAAATTAGCTGCTTTTTCTAAAGCCTCCTTTCGTCTTCTAGCCACCATTAAAGCAGCACCAGCCCTAGAATGAGTAGATTTACCGATTTGTTCAGAAATCCATTCTCCTGTCTCGATAAGTGAATCTAAATTGACACCTGTTTTTAAACCTAAACCATTCAACATATATACAACATCCTCGGTGGCCACATTGCCTTTTGCTCCTGGAGCATAAGGGCAACCACCTAAACCAGCTACAGAGCTATCTACAACTCGAACACCGTACTATATATATAAGAATATATTTAAAAAAAAAAAGGATGAAAATGTTAATACTATATCTTACTTCTAAAGCCTTTAAAATATTAGCTAATGCTTGTCCATAAGTATCATGACAATGAACAGCAATGGCTTCGACAGGAACTACTTTAAGAACATGTTCTAATAAAGTAGCCATAGAACCAGCAGTACCAACACCAATCGTATCACCTAAACTAATTTCATAACATCCAGCATCGTATAATTCTTTTGCCATTTCCGCTACTTTTTCAGGATTCACTTGACCTTCATAAGGACAACCCAAAACACAAGAAAGATATCTTTATACACATATATAAAAAAAAAAAAAAAAATGAATTCTGTGTTTTATTTTAAAAATTAGCATGCATCATTACCCTCTCACTCTTATATTTTGATCCAAGGCCTTCTTCAAGATTTCTTCAGCTCTAATAATAGATTCTTTAGTCGAACAATTTGTATTTTTACGATTAAATGATTCTGTAGCGCCAATAAATACAGCCACTTCTTGAGCACCTGCCGCTATAGCTGCCTCTAATCCTTTAAGGTTAGGTGTTAATACAGGGTAAAATACACTGGGCTTCATTGAAATTGATGTAAAAACTTCCTTGTTATCAGCCATCTATAAGTGTATATACATATATGTATATTCTTAAGTAAACTATATACATATATGTATAACATGTATCGTTATCTTACTTGAGGCACCCATTTTGGACTAACAAAACTAGTTGCTTCAACAACAGGTAAACCATTCTTTGCTAAACGTTCAATTAATTCAATTTTTACTTTAGCAGGAACAAGTGTCTTTTCATTTTGAAGACCATCTCTTGGACCCACTTCTACTATTTTAACAAAATCTGAAGAATAGCTGGAAACAGATCTAATGAAATTTTGTTTTGATTTCATTACTGCCTTTTTTTATTGTTATTATTTAATCAAGCATTAAAATAGTAAAGATATATCCATTTTAACCAACCTGATTCACAAATAAGGCTTTTGTATAAACTCTAGGTAAAATAGAAGAATAAAGGAAAGGCATTGTTTATTATTCTTATATGTTTATGAATATATATATAAAAAAAGAAAAGGAAAAGAGAGAGAGAAAGGAAGGAAGGAAGGAAGGAAAAAAAAAAAAAAAAAAAAAAAAAAAAAAAAAAAAAAAAAGTGACATTTGGACACGTATAAAAATTGTCCCACGATCATGTGAAGAGACATTTTTTTTTCTTTCTTTCTATGCCCAAGCAGTAACAAGACCTATGATTAAACCAGTGATGATTAGACTCACCATTGTCATATAACAGTTCAACATACAAAATAAATGATCTTGTTTTGTTATATTCATTGTCTTTTTCCTTAAATATCGCCATGCACCTATCCACCAAAGAGGGAAAAATAAGAATCCAAATAGAAATAAAGCTATATCCATGTGTGGATGTAAATCGTTATCTTTCTCTTGTCTATCATCTATCGTTCCAGCTTCAAGATGATCAGAAAGCATATGAGTGGATGATGAGATAAGGTCTTCTATGATAGGTGAATTGATTGTATGTCTATGACTGTTATTATCATCATCTGTATTATTAACCACTCTAAGTTGTTGTTGCTGCTGTTGTGAATGGATTTCTTTAGTTTTTATAAGTTTATTACTAATATGAGTAGGCTCATATGAATGGATTTCATCTTTTGAATCTTGTTGCTTTTCACATAATCCTCCTCCTCCTTCTTCTTCTTGTACTTTTTCATTATCTAATTGAGGCAAATAGTATGGAATTATATCCCATCTTTCATCATCATGACCATTATTATCTCCCATTAAAATGTTGTCAGTTCTATTTGCTGAAATTACGTTTAGATTGTGATCATTCTTTTGAGAGGATAGATCTGATAATGTTAGACGTCTCTTTATCCCCTTTTGTCTACTACTTGTTGGAAAAGTAGCTGTTCTTTGGAGACTTCTTTGAAGATCAACTATGGCCAAAGGGTATGAACGTCTTCGTTTTTGTGATAATGATCTAGAGGATAAAGGCTCTTGTTGTAATTCACTTTTTACTGAATACTTTAATGAAACATGATCACTACTTTCATTATTATGTGTATAGTAATAATACTGACAGATAGACCAGCTACTGCTACTATTATCATCCATTGAATTTCTACGTTTCATTTTCTTGACTATATATAAAGAAGACAACAAAGAAGAAGAAGATAATAATAGTAATAAAAAGATACAAGTATCTATTTATTTATATACATGTATTTATATAGTTACTATTTATTGTTAATGTTTAATTTTATAACAATGAACACTATTGATTCAATAAATCATCTTCAATAGGCGTCCTTAATCTTATTTCTTTTTCCATCATTAAACTAACTAATTCATTCAACTCCTTTTCGTTCATAACTTTACTAAAGGATTGTAAGCCTAAAAGGTATAATTCTGATTGTATGATTTTGTAAATAAATGATGACTTTCTTATTGTTACTTTTTTTTTTTTTTTTTTGTAAATACCTTTAGACCATGGACATTCTCTAACTGATCTATAAAATAAACGAAGTGCTTTTTCTATATTATTTTGTGATATTTCAAACTGAATATAACATTTCCATAAAATAATTGAAGATCTTGTTCTATATATCATATCATATTATATAATTCATTCTTTATAATACTTTGATATCATAAATGCTTACCTTGTATCTTGAATAGATCTTTCAAAATAATCTCTAACAGAATCAACGTGATATGGCTTATATTTATGTAATTCATTATATATAGCTGATAACCATAATATAACATTTGAATTTCTATAAAGGAAAAAATAATATCATTTAATACTCTGTAACAGGTAGAAGCAAAATTTATCCTAACTTACTTATTCAATGCATCATTTAATAAGTGTTGAACTCGATTATATATCTTTGTCTTTGATTCATTCCATATATAAAAAGCAAGAAAAATAGTATTATTGGGAAATAAAGATAATGCTCGTTCCATAGCATATCGTAATACTCTCGGCTTATACATCTTTTCTGTCGTGAAATGATAATAAAGTAACCCGGCATATTCTATCCATATCGCCTCTGATGCATATCCTCTTTCTGCCTGTCGTTCTTTGATATACTCTAGTGCATGTTCATAAATAGAACATGCACTATCTAAACCACTAGACAAGTACTCAAAGAGCGCAGCACAACTTATCATATTTAATGCGTTTTGTCTCTCTCTATAAGATTCGGACAACGTTGAAAGTTGAGCTAATTTTTGTGAAAAGTACTAAATAGATAGATATACATATGTGTATATAATGTTAGTAATTACACTTTAATAATACTTTTTTTTTTAAAAAAAAAAAAAAAAAAAAGAGAGAGAGAGAGAGAAAGGGAAGACATACTTCTCTTGCTCTTAAAATCAAAGGTGTACTTGGTAAGGGCATTGCAGCATCTATAAAATAAAAATATTTTTTAAGAAAATAAATACTTGAATATATATTCACTATTTTACTTACTATAAGGTACACTATCAGACATTGAAACTAAGATTTTTAAAGCCTCGTTTGGCTTATTATTCTCTAATTCAAGTTTTGCAAACATATAGTATAAAAGAGGTAAAGACTCTTGTTCATCTTTAGGAAAAGTGTGATACATAGATAATGCAGTTAGATAAACTTTACGTGACTATTACAGAAAAGATATCATTAATGAAACTGAAATCCCTTTTTTTTTTAAGCTTACTAACCTCATTAATATGATCATGACTCTTTTCCATTTGCGCATAAGCGTTCCATAATGTTAGACTTGTCCTTTGATCTTTTAATAAATTCTTTGCCAATTGACGGCCACTAAATTTTACAAGCACCTCAATGTTAATACTATTTCAAATCAAAAGAGAAAAAAAAAAGACTTACAATTTATATCCACAACTAGATTCAAAGGCAAGATAATATATCATTAATTGTTCTGATTTCTCGACTGCCAATAACTGTTTAAATATGGTTCTATAATATAAAAGAAAAGTTAGTACATACATATTGTATATCGTTATAATGATATTTTTTTTTTCTTTTCTTTTTTTTTTTTTTTTTTTTTTTTTTTTTTTTTTTACCTTGTAAACTTTTCATCTATTTGGCAATGTATAAATTCCTTTCCGGAACATTTAAACCAAGTACCATATTTAGCAAATAGTTCAGGCACTCTAACAGGATATGAGTTTGGGATGTAATATGGATTGGATTCCATTGTAATTTCTTCTGGTGTCATAGGAACGCCTGCTACATACCACACAAGATGTTTTCGTGTATTCTCCTTGGCAGGCCAAAAATGAGCCAGATTAAGCTCATTGTGAGTAAAGATATCAGTATAAAAATGGGTATTTGTACCAATATCAGGTGGTGTAAAAGGTAAACCTAGAAAGACAAATAGACTATAGATTAAACTTTGACGTGCTTCCATATGGGTGATGTTAAATAAGAACGGTTTAACATCATCAGATAGAATGATTCGATAAGGGTCTTCATCTACACTTTCATCCTCTACTTGGTTCATACGTAATGGTAAACGCTCCTTTTCCTCTTTACATAGTTCAGAAGAAATCCATTCATTTAAATCCATCACCTCATCTTCCTCTTGTTCTTTTTGATTTTGATCTATAGGTTTATTGAACACAGGTTCAGGAACTTCTTCTCCATTTTGAGTTGCACGATAATAGTCATGCCATCCACGAGCACCTTCTTCTCCGAATCTTAAAACTTCACTATCCCAAAAATCAGTAAATGCATTCAGCTTAGTCTTATTGTTATCATCTGTCATATTCAATATGTGTGGCTGAAATAAATTAAATTCAACTATGGCCTGAATGATAGCAAATGCTCTTTCTTGATAACCAGCTTGTTTCATAAATAAGCAAGCTCTTAATAAGATATAAACCATTAAAGATTCAATATCCTCACGACGCTCATCCTCGTCTCTATACTGCTGTTGTTGTAATTGTCTGCTCAAGACGGATATAGCATCCGCAAATACTTGTACACATTGCGTGTAAGAAAAACTAGCAAAATTCGTTTGACGCAAATTGATGTATTCAGACCACAGTCGAATAGAACTAGGATGTTCTTTAAGTACTCTATCCCATTCACGGAGTAATTTCAAATTTTCCCAACTCTCCGCTCCACATGTTAAATAAGCAAGAAGTAATTCTTCATCCATCGGATTAGACTCTAGCGCTTTCTCAAAGATGTTTAACTTAATTTCACTTAAACTTGATTTATTTGATTTAGGCGCGTTTGGATCCAAACTAGTAGCTGCTTCATCCTGAAAGTGAATGAAATCTAACCAAAGCTGTACATTTTCAGGCTCTTTATCTAATTGTCGATTAAAATCAATTGTTCGTTGGCGAATGTAATCGTTAAAACTCTCGCCTTCTTCTCTTAATTGTTCAATATCCTCCTGCTGATCCGCATGTCTTACTTTATTTCCCTCTAGTGAACGATAATCTACGCCACTTATATTATAATCATCATCGTTTGATTGTAATCTTGACTGTCTATCTTCTAATGTGATTATATTTGTGTGTAAAGCAAAAGGATCAGACGTATTTTTCTCTGGTTGAATATGAATTCTTTTTTTTTTTTTTTTTTTTGTTAGCTTTCTTATAAATAAATATTGACATGTGTAATTGTATTTACCGTTTCAAATCCTTATCAAATTCTTTCCAAGAATAATCAGGGTCTATATATCGCGATGTTTTCTAAAGAAAAATAGACTATATTTAGGAACTCTTTTCTCTTTTTTTCCTTTGTGATAAAGTTTAACAAATAAACCTTTTTATCCCAAATATCAATTATACTGATCTGTCCTGATTTCACAACTGAATTGTCAATACGAATATTGGGTGATAATCCAATTACTCTTCCTCCTCCACATCTTTTAAAGATGGGTACAGAATAAGCATGGTTTCCGCCGTAAGTGATAATATCTGGATCACCTCTTCTATCCATAGTAAATGTGATGCCTGTATTCAATGTTCCACTTTTTAATATCAAACAAGAAAAATAAATAACTTAGTTTTTTCGTATACTACAAATTAAAAGATAATTACGTGTGTATTATTTCTGGTGAAGGTGTTCGTTTACTTCTTTTTGAAGATTTCCTCTAAAAAAAAAAAGGAGACAGAGAGAGAGAGAGAGGGGAGAGAGAAGGAAAAAGAAAGAGAAAGGAATAATGTACTTAGAATTTGTAATCTCTGCGAAAAAAAAAGTAATTATGCGAGTATTACCTCATGTCGAGATTGTGGCGAACGTGATCGATGACGAGCACTATGATGTTTAGGGGAACGGGATCGATGTCGTCGACGTTGAGAAGGAGACGAGGAGCGAGGTCTATCTCGTCGTGAAGATGATCTATGTCGATGATGTCGTCGTATATTATTATTATTATTAGTGGTGTCGTTGTGAGATTTATATTTGTCGTCTAAATGAAATGTATTTATAAGTCATTTAAAGGTTGCCAATGAAGCAAATGTATCATATCTACCTTTAAATGAAAAATCGGGTGCACTTGAAAAAGAAGGCACGGGTATCTTAGCATTAATATCAGGTGCAGAACTAAAAGAAGGTGATGGTGGTATATTTTTCTACATTTTTGAAAATAAAAAAGAATACATGAATAGTCCATATACTAAGCAATTAACAGAATAATAATATACTTTATTAGTACTATTGAAAGATTGCATAGTAAATACCAAAATTAGTGATAAAAAAAAAAGAAAAAAAAAAAGAGAAGCATAATAAAAAAAAAAGACATAATTATAAAAGGCATGTGACTGCTATATATGATCACTTTTATTCAATTGTCTAATACGAATAATCTTCGTCATCACTTGAAAGGTTATAGCCATATTCTATAAAATAGCAATAAATAAATATACGTTATACACAAGTTATTAAAATTGAGCTTACGATCTTCAAATTCATCACTTTCTTCTTCCTCAGGATAATCATTTTGGTAATAATCTTCAGCTATAGAAACATATAAATAGATTGCTATTTTTTGACCTCTTTTTATAGCTTACCGTTCGAGTCTTCGTCTAATTCGTCACCTAATTCACTATCTGACTCATCGTCTATATATTCTGACTGATCATCAAACCAGACAAGGGAGCCAATATTCATAGATTCCATGCCTTGATCTGTATGTGTATCATCTCTATAATAAACATCATAAACATAATCTTCTTCTTTTTCTTCATCTTTATCTTGCACTATAGTAGTGATTGTGTAAATGAATATGTATATAATGTATTTTTTTCTTTTTTCTTTTTTACATGTTAAGTATTCTTTCACCATGGGGATAAAATTACACATAATATCATCTGCATCATCAATATCATCGTCCACAAATAAGCTAAAATAGATACACATATCTATATTTAATCAAATAGGTATACAAGTATATGTTGTTGTTGTTTTTACTCACTTTGCTTTGCTTTGTTTCTCATTGTCTTCTTTAACTGCTTCATACATTTGAAACAAATCCTTTGTAGCTAGTTCTGAAGAACTTTGAACACTATATATGATTGTTACTTAATTCCTTCAAGCTACCAATATTATACATCATATTTACACTGGTGGCGCATTTTCAGATGCCTGAGTTCTATTTTGTTGAATAACTCTATATCTTGCTTTATGTGATGCTTCCTAAATGTTTATATTTATATTCATATTTATTTACTTGTGTCTACATATATTATATATCTATTTACCCTTTGTTCTTTTACTAAACGATCTTTTCTATCCTCTAAAGTAGGGGTTTGAGGTCGACTTGAACCAGGTTGAATACGTCTAGAGATACGATCCTGTTTGTATATATAAGTACTTGACATTCTGGATTCAATGAATGTATGTATACTTTTAATTTCTTTGCTTCATCAAAATTCGAAAAACTCTTTTGTTCAACAGTTTCGGCTAAACGAAATAAAGTAGGAAGAGCAGTGGCTGATACTATTAAAAGACGTATTAATAATAATGATCCAACTTAAAAATATTTCGATTACCTTTCAATACATTATTTTGATGGTCATTATTTTTTTTTAAACGCTTTTCGTTCTCTTGATGAACAACTAATAATTACAATGATGCATAAATATGGATCTTGCATGTAAAAAAAAAAAAAAAAAAAAAAAAAAAAAAAAAAAAAAAATACATGTATGCATATATATTTTCTTTTGTTTGTTTATTTTACATACGTAAAGCGTCTAGAGGTTCTTCGGTTCTTTTACGTTTGATACGTAAAATGGTGATTTGACTTGATTTATCATTATCTACTGTTGTATTAGACATTCTTCAAAGTTAAAAAAAAAAAAAAAAAAAAAAAAAAGAAAAGAAAAAGAAAAAGAAAAAAAATTAAATGATGTCGTCATCGCGTGATTTTATTTTTTTATGGAGTATTGAAAACTGATTAATTTTTTTTTTCTTTATTTGTTTCAAATGTCAGATAGACAGAAAGCTTCTTATCCAACAGCACCTATTGCTTGGATGAGTCAAGCATATGATTCTTCATCTATTACATCCATCCCTATGAATAGTGATCAGCAACAGCAACAACAGCAACAACAGCAACAGCAACAGCAACAGCAACAACAACAACAGCTTAACCTCAAATCATCAACAGCTACTTCTTCATCTTTTTCTACCCTGAATCCAAGCAGTACGATGTCTTCTTTAGAAAGGTAATATTATAGATAATCATGTAAATTGACATAAAGTTTAATTTATAATTAAAGCTATGAAAGGCCTGAATCACCAACTCTTCCTCCTGAACAAGATCTTCCTTTAACTGACACTAATGTAGAAACATCACCATCAAATGTACCTAATTCAACCACTAATACTAATAATACACGTTATAACTATATTGATACATCTATGCCTCCCCCTCCTCCTCCTTTTGGTAAGTGTAATTGTCAATTGTTGTAATCCATGTTTTTTTTATAAAAAAAAAAAAAAACTAAAAACTAAAAACAAATACATCTATCTAGTACCTTATTATAATTCTGTGGATAAGTTACGTCAAGATACTTCAAATAAACAAAAATACGAATCATCAAATACCAATCAGCCAGTTAGTGGTAGCAACAATACCAATAATCACCATCATCACCACCATCATCATCACCATCACAATAAAATAACAAAAAGGCCTATACACATGTCAGATCATACGGCAGCTGCTATTGAGTTAAGTGTTAGTCCAAACGTACCACCTGCGCCAGCAGCTGGTATGTATTGGTCTCGCGCTTTAACTTATGGTAGATGCCCTTCAAGACCTCTTCGTGCTCATTCTGCTAATCTTATTGGAGAATATTTATATGTTTTCGGTGGATGTGATATGAAGACATGTTTTAATACTCTATACATTCTAGATATGGGTAAAAAAATAAATAAATAAATATTTATAGTATGAGATAGGTTTTAGCTAATTTCTTTTTTTTTTTTTTTAGATACTTTAACTTGGTCAAAACCTCGTACATCAGGGCAAATACCACCCCCATGTAGAGCACATTCATGTACAACAGTAGAGAGAGATATAGGAAGGGGTAAAAAATCATATAGTTTATATGTTTTCGGAGGAGGAGATGGTCCGAATTACTTTAATGATCTTTATGTATTAAATGTGGATACACTCACTTGGACGAAACCTAAAACTCAAGGGGAAGAGGAGGCACCTTCACCTAGACGTGCACATACAACTTGTATTTGGAATCAAAAAATCATTGTTGTTGGTGGAGGTGATGGTGCACGTGCGCTGGCGGATGTGCATATGCTAGATATTTCCGATCCTCAATCACCTCGTTGGTCAAAACTAAACCCGATAGGTACTCCCCCTATTGCTAGAGGGTATCATACTTGTAATTTAGTAAAGGATAAACTCATTATCTATGGTGGTAGTGATGGACATGAATGTTTTAGTGATGTACATATTTTAGACTTAGGTAAATTATGAGTGCATATACATACATAGTAGACTCTATTATGGTTAACATGTATTGTTAGTTTCCAATCGTTGGAGTCAAATAGATTTAGATCGTGCTGTGCCTAGACTAGCTCATTCAGCTACACAAGTAGGATCATACGTATTTATAATTGGTGGGCATGATGGTAGTAGATATTCCAATGAAGTATTACTTTTGAATTTAGGTAAGAATCACAATATAGAGAGAGAGAGAAAGAGAAAGCGAGAGAGGGATGGAAGAGACTGCATACAAACTGAATTATATCTCTAGTAACTATGAGTTGGGAAACTAGAAAAATTTATGGAGGTGCACCTAGCCCTAGAGGATATCATACAGCAGTATTACATGACTCAAGGCTCTATATTTTAGGAGGTTATGATGGTAGAAATGTATTTGATGATGTCTATATGTTAGAATTAAGTGCTTGCGCTTATTTGCCCCAAATTACCAATTTTGAGATTGATGTTTAAAGGCAAAAAGAAAAAAAAAAAAAAACTGTGACTGTATTATTTTTTATACATGTATACATATTTATTTATTTATTAAGCTTGTTTTTTTTTTTGACAATTAATATATATTTTTTTTATAATAAATTATAATGTCTGATAATATTAAGCTTGACTCTGTTGACTATAAACAAGTTGAATACGTATGAATATTATAAAAGTATATGTATTAAATATACTAATTATTCTTTTTATATGTTTTTATATTTTTTTACAGGACGGTAATTCATCAATCGACTCAGTCAAGAAAGAACACGTAAGAAAGATATTAAATTTATGTATTTGATTACTTGATTTATTTTTATTTTATTTCTTTTTTTTTAGGATTTGTTGAATGAAAGTTTAAAAAATATACAAGCCAATGCTATTTCATCAGAAAAAGATGTAAGAAAAAAAAAAGGGGGGATAATCTAAAAAAGCTTAGGCATTATTTAACTTTTTTGTTTTTTTTATTATACTAGTTTTATAAATCATCTTTTGATATATTCTTGGAAATTCACAACTATTTATATTTTCATCCTCATAAAGCTTTCGACAACATTGAGTAAGATTTTTTTTTTTCACTTTTGTAGATTCATATATATTTACACTACTACTTTTTTATTTTAAAGAAACTCAGATCTTGTAGATATTGTAGCAAAATATATTGATTTAACACACGATTATGCAAATGCACAGGAGATACAATCTATTTGGGATTTATGTGGCAAACTTTATTTTTCAGTTGATTCAACTGACTTGACAACAGATTTAAGTGAATGGGTCAATCTATATTATCCACTACCCAATCTTGAAGAACGTAGAAATCAAGAAGAGGACGAAGATTTGGAAGAACATAATGCGATTGGTCCTACTTGGGTATGGGAACATGCACGTCGACATTTACTACGTGGTAATTTCGAAGACAGTATTATGACTTTAGACTTTCTGAAGCGATTTGTAACTGGACATGAAAAAGAAGCAGCTAATGAATTAATTGAGCTAATTCAGGAATTATTAGAGATGAGAACATGTATAGATGAACAAAAATTATATACAGAAAAATGGACAGCTTGGAGTGAAAAATGCAAAGATAAATTTGTTCAATATAAGTTTACTGTTTCTTCCTTAGAGGATGCACAAGATGAAAAAGATGATGAAATTGTATTATTATATGCTATCTTGGCTGGTGATGAATGCCTACTTTCAATTTGTGGGACTTTTTTCGAACAACTCGTCGGCACCCTTTTATTTGTTCGTCCGTTTAGAAATGTATTAGACTTGAACCAACTAGCTCAAGAATTAGAAGATGATATAGACGCAGATAGTTTGTTAAGCACTTGTACAGCACTTGTAAGGGGTTGTTTTGATGATGCATTTGAATATCAACAAAATAATTTTTGGCTTCAGACACATCTTGGTCATGCACTTATTGCCTTTAATGTTTATAAAAAGAATATGAAAGGTTTAACGGTTTCAAAGAATGGAGAAATTGTACTCGACCCTGTTTATTATGGTATTCAACACTATGCTTCAATCATTGCAGAGAAATATGACATGTGGAATGAAGCAGTAACTTATCTCACTTGTTGCTTAGAAAATAAAGAAATCTGGATTAAACAAGTAAGATAAAAAAAATAAAAAATAAAAGCTGCTTTATATATGTATACATTTATTTTATTATATCTAGCTTCTTGGTAATCCACCTTTGCCATCAAAAGATATAAATCAATTACTGTCCATTTTGAATATTGCGAATGAATATAAAATGCCTGGTGTTCGAAGGTTCATTCAAAGAGCTTTAGGAGAAAGATATGAACAAGAACAAAATATTCGACAAGCAGCAATTGAATATGGAAAAGCAGAAGATATACAATCGTTGGATAGACTTGCAACTACACTATTTAATAGTTATTTAAATAATGGAAAGTTAACTAATATTGTGACAGATATGGAAGAACTGAAACAGTGTCCACGTTATGCTGCTTTAATTCGTTATCATCAATTCCGTAGTTATCTTCAACAAGAAGAATGGGAAGAAGCTTCACACATTTTAAAAGAATTATTAAAAAACAAATATTTACCAACAGAATTTGGATCCGTCTTAATGATCGATAATCTTGACATTTTACAAGGTACTAAAAAAAAAAAAAAAAAAAAAAAAAAAAATGGCTTAATTAATACCACTTGCATTATTAACCTAACCTATTTTATTTTATTTCTTTTTTCGTTAAGATTCTAAACATTATTATGATACGTCTCTATTATTAAACATGATTGAATTATTCAAGCAAATAATTCAAGATCCCTCAAATCAAGCGTTTATTGCTAATTATTATAAATCTATTAAAAACGCTGACTTATCCCCTACTATCATTGCTGCTAAAATAAGAGAAAGACTAGCGTATAAAGCAGCTACTACTATCTAAAAAATAAGATAAAATAAAATAAAACAATTTATTATTTATAAAATTACACAGAAAAAGAGGCCATAAATGTAGCTGATGAAGTTTCAATAGTTTGATATCCCTTTGGTGCTTTAATACCCAAAATTTCATTTAAACGTTCTTTATCTCCTGCAGTTGATGCCATTTTCTTTGCACGTAAAAATTTGGCACGAGCACTAAAGAAATAATAATAAAAAATAAAAAAATAAAAAAATAAAAAATAAAAAAATCAATAAGGGAAATAAGCAAGAATTTATAAACTAAAAAATTAACTTACGCATTACGTAAAACAACAGGAGCTGAAGTCTCTTCCTTGTCTTTTTTATTTTTTTTACTCTTTTCTTTATTTTTTTTCTTTTCTTTCTTGTCTTTCTTGCTCTTTTTAGTCTTTCTATCATCCTCCTCTTCGTCTCTATCTCTCTTTTTACTTTTTTTATCCTTCTTATCGCTTTTATCCTTCTTGTCCTTTTTATCCTTTTTATCTTTGCTTTTGCTCTTCTTTTTCTTCTTTTTGTCTTCATCATCTAGATCAGCTGTTTGATCTGTCACTGACTTATCATCGTCCTCATTAACGCTGCTTGCTTCAGAAGGTGTTTGAGAATTGAGATCAGCTAGTAATCTAGAAAATGCATCTGTATTTCCAAGCCAGTTGTCGATGTTCTTCTTTGTTGCACCCACACCTAGATTATTATCCTTAAGTCTGATCTTGATGTGTTCCGTTTTACCATCTTCATTGACACCTAAGCCTTTTCCTGGTGCCCAGCCCATTTTTTGAAGCATTCTAAAGCCGAATTTCGATTCGTCCTTACTCCAAAATAAGTTATTTGGATCTTGACTAATACGTTGTTTTTCTCTCTGGCCTGCTAATCCCATTTTCAATGTCTATGTCGTTAAGGAAAAAAAAAATATAAGTTTTTTAAAAAAAGAAAAAAAAAATGATTTTGTCTACAAAAAAATAGTCACAACGCTTTTTTTTTATTCGTACAAGAGAAATTGAAATCTCCTGAGACTCAAACGACTTTAAAAAATAGATAAAGAAAAATTACCTATATTTATAAACAGGCTCTAAGGTAAGAACAGCTAAAAAGAATTCTCGATTTCGTTAATACTAAGAAAAGAAAAAGAAAGAAAGAAAGAAAGAAAGAAAAAAGTTGAATAGCTTATAATTCCCTACCAATCTGGAAGGCAGTCAATTGTAGCTAGCATTTTTATTTGATTTACTATCGCAGATTGAAGTTGAACACTTTTATATAAATAGCATAGTTTATAAAAGATAATAATTCCAAGTCATATTATGGATATCATTGATAATGTATTTTTAGACCTGTATAATGATATCTTGAATAATATCATTGGCTTATTATTTGTAAGCTATTTTTTGTTTGTTTGTTTGTTTCATATTCACAGAGTACATTCATTCACTCTATTGTTTTTTTTTTATTAGATAGGCCGTGGAAATATATGAGTTGTCTTTCTCATTACAACTATTTCTTTAAAATCTGATAATAATAATCGCTTTCTTCGGTCTCAGCATCTTTTTAACATAGTCTACTAAAAGTGTGTTCCTCAAAATTATCGCATTGTACAGATAATGTGTTCGTTTTTATTTCTTTATTTCTTTATTTCTTTATTTCTTTATTTTTACTACATTAAATCAGATAAAACCTTTAAATGAGTTCACTACGACTCATGTATTCTTATTACTTGGGAAATTATTAGGATCGAAACATGAATAGTAAGAAATGATTCTATTCATTTATTAGGGCAGTACAGTGGTATGTGTTTTCATATTTAAAACTAAGCTTTTAAATTCATTTTCGCAATTCCTTATTCTTGATTCTAATTGAAGTTGATCTTCTTCTTTGTTCTTTAGCTGATTTAATAAGTCCGTTAATTCTTGTTTAACTTGAGTAATAAATGCTTGGTTGTTTTCTTCTAACTCTCTTTGCGCCTTTTGAAAATCTTTGTATAAACTCTTTCTTTCCTTCACCTTTTGTTCAATTAACTCTTTTACTTCCTTTTCGATATCTCTTGACTTTACACTCTTAATCTGTTCCTGAATAGCGTCTAATTCGTTTTGAAGCGTTTCTATCTCTTTATCAAACTCAGCTTTAGATTGTGCAACAGATTCTTCAAGTGTTTTCCTCTGCTGTAATTGCCTTTCCTTTTGAGATTCAATCGTACGACGTTCGTTTTCAATCGTGCTTACTCTCCGTTTCAGGTCATCCAGCTCCTTTCTAGCCATCATGGCTTCATCCTTTAACTGTTTAACTTTATTTTCTGTTGAAATATAAGATTTCCTTGTTTCATCTAATAGTTTCTGTTTCGATTCTAATATCTGCATAATTTCCTGAATATCTGCTCGAAGTTGCTTATTAGATTCAATGTATCTTTCGTTTTCTTTTTCATTTTGTTCTTTATTTTCTTTTACTATTTGAAGCTATATATGAATATGAATATATGAGTTAAATTCGCAAATAGTAAACTAATTTGTTATAATCTTTACTTGGACTTTTGTATTTTCTAATTCTTTTTGAATGGCTTCTAAATTCTCTTGTAATTCTTCAATGACTCTTGTTGTTCTCGAACTAGAAGGTGCTAAACGAGGTTGTGGTAACATATGTAAATCGTCTCTTAAGTTTGCTGTTTGAAGCATATATATATTATATAAATCTATATATTCTTATTACTTGGCAAAAAATAATAAAAAATAAAAATAAATAAATAAATAAAAAGGGAAAAGAAAACCCTTTTTTTTTTGGGCTAATATAAAGAGAAAGGCGGGACAAGAAATTTCGTTTATTATAATAATCTTCATAGATTGAATTAAATGATTTTTTTTAGCAGCGATTTTTTTTTAACCCAAAGCAATATAGGCGGCTACTATCTTGGCCCGGGCCAGTTTAGCATAGCACCCACATTAAGAAATTAAAAAGCCTTTTTTAAAAAAGGGGGAAAGGAAAAATATTATTCATTATAGAGAAAGAAGAACATGGTGAAATAGAAAGTCGAGTCCAAACAGTACAATATGATAAATAGTCGGTCATTCTATATTCCAAAAGAAAGTATATGAAGCTGTTGAATATCGAATCCCTTTGAGTAGAAATGAAAATAGATTTTTAATGGTAGTGTAGGCATTTATAGTTGTCAGTACATATGTAGATTTTGACAACTGCAGCCAGTTTTTTTTTGCCATTTTTATTACATTATTATCAGTTTCTTTCTTTTCTTTTTTTTTTTTTTACCTTATATCTCTTGCAAGTAGGTTTTTTATTTTTCTTTCATTCTTATTTTTGTTGAGCTGATTCGGGCAGAAGCCACTATTATTTACATACAAACATTTAAATATGTAGGCTTATTTTTTTTTATCTTTTTTTTTTTTTTTTCTTTACAAAACTAGGCTCAAACATGCAAGTTGCTGTCTTTGAAATTGAATTTATTATGTTTATTTAAAAAAATAAAATCCAGTCATTTTTTTTTTTTTTTTCATTATTATATTACATACATATCTTCAATACAATTATTTATATATTTTTGATTTTTTTTTTTTTCCTCTGATAAATATACATAATAAGAGGGTTGAGATACGCTGACACCTTTTGAGAAGAAAGAAAGAAAAAAGAAGAAGAAAAAAAAAAAAAGAAGAAAAAGAAAAAGAAAAAGCTCTTCATTATAATGTCACATTCACCAACAACAAAAGATTCATTAGTTCCAGTTGATACTGGAATAATTCGATGTGTATGTCCATCTACAGAAGATGATGGGTTTACTATTCAATGTGAACGCTGTCTTGTATGGCAGCATGCTTATTGTGTTCATATTACGCATACAACTATTCCAGATCATTATCTTTGTGATCAATGTTCTAAAAGAAAAAGACCAAAGATGTCTAAAAGGATACCCATCTCAAAAAGGAAACTTCGACGACTCGATGCAGAAGAAACAGTTCCAAATGATAATAAAAATAAAAGAAGAAAGCCAGTTAAAATTAAAGTGATTTCTCGTTATGTTCATTCTATATTCCATGAAGCAAGAGAACGTTGGACATCAAGCAGTCGTTGGAAACAACACGCTCATCAAGAAGAAGTAGAAGAAGAAGAAGAAGAAGTCGTTGAGATTGTAGAAAATAACTTTTATCCGCATCGCCCTTTATTATGTGATCATGGATCATTTGTGGCTATGGATGCTACTACTTTACTAACAAAGGGAGTCTTGATGGACACACCTGTGTCAAATCAAGGATTATTTGCAACTCAATCTATTCCAGCTTTACGTTATTTAATGGAGATCACAGGCGATGTCTTTTTAAAATCAGAATTTAAATTTGATCCTGCCAATCATTTCATCATCCTCGGTACTCCTCTCAGTCATATTGTATTTTATCCTAGCTTAGACTTATGTATCGATACTCGTCAATTTGGAAATAAGGCAAGATATATTCGACGATCATGTCATCCCAATGCAGAACTTCGTAATGTCATCGTGCCTCGATCACGTGATGACAAGGTCATCCATTTGGGACTCTTTGCTCGTCGTTTGATTGAAAAGGGACAAGAGGTAACGATCGGTTGGAATTGGCAACGAGGTCACATTTCTTGGAAGGAAAATATGAACTGGCATCATCAGCATAAACAAAAGAAGGGTAATCATCATCATCATCATCAAGTGATAGATGAAGAAGAAGAAAGGAAAAGAAAGGCGACAATCAAGGTGATGTTGGATCGTTTTGAAAAAGAGTTTGGTGCATGTGCTTGTGTTAATAAACGTCGATGCTTGATTGAGCATTTAAAACGTCAATGTGCGTCTAATGAAGAGAAATCAGCGTATAACAAAAGAGTATCGGCTGTTCATATTCTTCCTAACAAAGGAGGAGGAGGAGGTCGTAGAAAGTCTTCTATCATTCTACTTAAACCAAAACCAGTCCTTGAAAGATTAAAGGCAGAAGAAAATTTAAAATTAAATTCAAGTTTATTTAATACAATTACAAGTAAGTAGAGAGACAATCGTTGTATATCTAAATAGACTTTACTAACATAGTATGCAATGAACATGTTTTTTTTTCTTTTCTTTTAAAAAAGATACAACAAAAGATACGTCAGATGATGAAGTGTTGGATGTTGAAGGAGATACTGATACAGACAATCATTTTTCAGAGTCTGTCGATAATAATACAACACCTTTACTAAACGATAATATGAGTGAGGATGAAAACGTGGATATATCTTCACTGTCATCACTCTCTAGCTTGTCTGTATTTGAAGAATCAGAAAATGAAGGAAATCAACAGACAAATTCAGAAAAATCAAACCCTACAACAACGCCTTCCCTTATACCCGAGAAAACATCTGTACCATTACCAAGAAAAAAACTATGGATGCGTAACTATCTTGAAAAATATAACGTCGAGAAATCAACAGAACCATCAGGTATTGATACAATATGTATTAATAAAAAAAAAATGCATGCATGTATTTATTTATTTATTTATTTTAGATGTTGCGCCAATAAACATGAAAGAGGAAAATGAACAGCAGATAAATACTTTACAAAATAATAAAGACTTTTCAACAGAACCTAATATCGAGATAGAAATCACTAGTTCAGATCAAAACTCTCAAATTGATATCGTAGATGAGGATAATAAAAGAGACTCGACTCTAATGGAAGATGTAAGAGTGACAGATAATGATGTTTCTTCACAATTAATAGGAGAAGAAAAAGAGAAAAATGAAATAAAGATAACACATAATGAACGGAATAATTCTACTGAAAATAGCAATCTGTTATTTGATACTGACGATGATGATGTTGATGAGCTAAGCGATGCATCTACCATTTTACTAGATGAAGAAGAATTACGAACGGTCTATCATAACAGAAGAAATATAATGGACAATGATAGTAAAGCAACATCTTTTAATGATAACAAAAATAATAATGACTCGTTACTTTTATACGAAGAAGCAAAGACAGTAGTAAAAAAGAAAATCTCACTTCAAGAATACTTATCTTCCAGGCAACAACAATGAAATTACTAAAAATGTAGTATTTTTTTTTTTTTTTTTTGCTCTACTTTTTTATTTATTTATTTATTTTTTTCCATTTTTTAATTTTTTTTTTTTATTTTTTTTTTTTATTTTTTTTTTTTATTTTTTTTTTTTTATTTTTTTTTTTTTTATTATTTATTTATTTTAGAATCATACCCTCTTCTCTCCATTCACTATCAGTAAATAAATGAATAAAGCAGTATTACACGTTTATTATTGTTATAAAGAGTGCTTATTTAATTAGCAAAGGCAGGAATACCTGTAATAGCTTTACCAAGGATTAAAGCATGTACATCATGAGTTCCTTCATAAGTATTTACAGCCTCTAAATTAGCAGCATGACGGATTATATGATACTCATCCGAGATACCATTACCACCCAACATGTCACGACATTCTCGAGCAATAGCTAGAGCCTTACCACATGAATTGCGTTTAATCATCGAAATCATTTCAGGAGCAAGCTCACCAGAGTCCTTAAGACGACCTACTTGAACACAAGCCTGTAAGCCTAAGGCGATCTCTGTATTTGCATCTGCCAACTTTTTCTGGATTAATTGATTTGCAGCCAACGGACGGTGAAATTGTTTACGATCCAAGGTATAAGAACGAGCCTGTGCTAAACAAGCCTCTGCTGCACCCAGGGCACCCCATGCAATACCATAACGAGCATTATTCAGACAACCAAAGGGTCCACTTAATCCTTTTGCCTTAGGGAGCATGTTCTCAATAGGTACCTCTACATGGTCCATCATAATCATGCCCGTAACGGAGGCCCGAAGAGAAAATTTCCCGTTAATGACAGGTGCCTCTAATCCTTTCATACCCTTTTCTAAAATAAACCCACGAATCGGCTTTCCTTCCTCATCTAAATTCTTTGCCCAAACAACAAATACATCTGCAATAGGTGAATTTGTAATCCATGTTTTAGATCCATTCAATACATAATGACCATTGACTTTCTTTGCTGTAGTCTCCATACTTCCAGGATCAGAGCCATGATTAGGTTCAGTCAAACCAAAACAGCCCACCATTTCACCCTTTGCTATAATATGATATATATTTATATAATAAGATACAAATATATATATATATATATATATATATATATATATATATAACTTACCTAAACGAGGAAGATATTTCTCCTTTTGTGTATCAGTACCATAAGCATTAATAGGATGCATAACTAATGAAGATTGAACAGACATAGCAGATCTATAACCAGAGTCAACACTAATTCAGGCCGATTTTAAGTGAGTATATTAATTTTTTTTTTTTAAGCAAAATCTATATAAAAAAAAATCTACCGTTCAACTTCACGGGCTGTTAAACCATAAGCAACTGATGAAACACCTGCACAACCATAGCCTTCAATTGTTGAGCCTAAAAATCCAAGTTCACCCATTTCAGACAAAATTTCCCTGTCAAATTCTAATAAATTTCAGTATTAAATACAAAAAAAAAAAAAGAGAGAGAGAGAGAGACTCACTTTCGTTACGATAAGCATTAATCACTCTAGGTAAAAGACGTTCTTGACAATAACTATGAGCAGCGTCACGAACAAAAATTTCATCTTCAGTCAATAGCTTCTCGAAGTTTAAAGGGTCTTCCCAGTTGTATTTAACAAATGCCTTGGAAGCCATTGTTCTCGATATGATGTGTGAATTCACAATAGCTCTAGTACGAAAAATAGGACGTGCTAGCATTATGTATAAAAGATAAAGAAAAGGAAAAGAAAAGGAAAAGAATGAAATAAAATAGAAGAATGAAAAATTGAAATGAAATAAAGAATTGTTGCGGGGTAAATGTTAATATTTATTTATTAAAAAATTATAATAATTTCCCACAACCTATGTAGTCTCTTACTAAAGAAGGTTATTTGCCTAAGAGAAATAAAAGATGCACGACAATTCGGGTTTAACAAGAAAAAAAAAAAAAAAAAAAAAAAAAAAAGATTTTCCGTAAACTAGTTTAAAAATAGTATTTATTATTATTATTATTATTATGCCGCCGAACATGCTGTTTTTTTTTATAATAATTAGACGATGAAGAAGAATGATGATTTTTTATTATAGGCTGAAAATAATATTTTGGCTCCTCTTGCTGCTGCTGCTGTTGCTGTTGTTGTGATGAAGGAAGGTCTTGAAATAAATCATTGATCATAAGGATATTTTGAAAAGATGCATTATCTAGTTTATTTCTTGAGAAAGTACTATGAGAAGAATAAGATGTTGTAACTGATTTAGAAAAAGGTCCAGGTTGAGTACATGCACGTAATAATTCTTGCAAATGTATATAATCTGGTTGTTCACTGAATTGAAGACGTCTTGTATAATCTATAAAGTTCATTATACCATGGGGTAATCCGTGACATAAATCTTCCAATGAAATGTCTTCCTTTATTGACATTAAACGATCCCAACCTGCTTTAGATGTACGAGCAGTTACACCAGACCAAGGTAAATTACCTCCTAATAAGAGGTCTAATAAAACATAGCCAAGACTCTCCATGTCGTCTCGTCTAGTATGTGTGTGGCCATGATGGACATTCAGGGAAGCATAACGTGCTGTACCTGTTTTAAACTTTATTGGCTTTTTGGAATCAGGGAATGGTTTTTTAGTCTTTGGATTTTGCCACCAAGTAGTTAAACCAAAGTCAACTGCATAAAGTGCTATTTCTTTTTTCTCCCAACTACTAATCATAGCAGAACGAGAATTAGTAGCATGAGTCTCAAGAACACATGATTTAGAAAATAAAAAGTTCTCAGGCTTAATGTCTCTATAAACTAGACCTTTACTATGAATATACTCTAAGCAAGATATCTAATAAATAATATATTATTATTCATATAATAATAAATAGACTATTTTTTTTTCTTCTTCTACTTCTTCTTCTTTACTAATTGACAGCCTAATTCAATAACTATATCAAGTGGTATATCTTTTACTATTTGTTGAAATTTTTTTAAACTTGAACCAAGTAATTCAAGCACGATGCATTCATAGCCATCATATTGACCATACCAATGATACTTTGGTATACAAGCTAATTAGTGTAGTAGAATCATCTTTAATAAAAATAGAAACTATTGTTGTTGCTATGTGATATTTGATATAATAACTTACGTCCATTTTTTAATATATTATATATGGTACTTTCATGATATAATTGAGGATAATGTGTCTCTGATGACTCTCTTTTAATAGCATAAAAACGGTTGGTATGGATATCTTGAACTAATAATAATAGATAAGAGACTATACAGCAACTACATATATATCTTATTATTATTCATATTATATTGCACCTTTAAAGACTTCGCCAAATGAACCTTGTCCTATCTTTGATAAAACCAGCCATTTTCCTTCAATTATAACATCTTTTGGTTGATAATTATACATAGTGGGGTATAGGTTAAATTAAAAAGAAATGAAAAGAAATAAGAAGGGAATTATTTAAAAGAAAGGAAGCAATAATGCATAGTAAAACCCGAAAAATAAATAAAAATAAATAGCATCATTATTTAAAAAAAAAAAAAAAAAAAAAAAAAAAAAAAAAAAAAAAGGCTGCTTATAACAAATAACTACTTTTGCACAAATTTTTTTTTTAACATTTAAGAAAATGTTATATCCAAATATTTCTTCTATTGAAGGATATGTAAAAGAAGCGAAAAATTATATATTGCGTTATATTATATTTCTAGCTGCATATATGTATTTGTATGTCTACAATAAAACCAGCGAATCAAAGTTTTATTATAACATAGCTCAGCTATCATCATTCTTTGTAGTATATAAGCATGAGGTTGATTCATAAGTATATATACATGGAGATATTCACTAATAAAAGAATTAGCGATACAGCAAGAGTGTTATTTAAATAAACATTCCAAAACTTCTTGGTATCTTGAAATAAGCTTAGTTTACTCTATTTAATAAATTTATTAGAATGTATTGTATTATTAAACACTATTGATATGAACATTGCTTTTATTCCTACTATAGTTTTCCATGTGTTAAAATATGAAATAATAAATTCCTTTTAAAGACTAAAAAAAAAAAGGAATTGAAGATTTACTTTATTTCAAATGTTAATAAAATATGTATACAAGTCTCGATATAATATAGCAGTTTATGTGGCCATAATAGATGTATGTTTTAGGCTTTTGATTTTGTAACTTTAATAATAGGTTAAGATTTTGAGTGTAGCAGCAGTTGTTTGCGAATATTATAAGCTGTTTTTTTTTTCTTTTCTTTTTAGTATAAATATACTGAAATTAGTAATGTTCATAATGATGTTAAAGTTACTAATAATAGCACGAGAAAAAGTATGATAAAGATATTTATGAAGAAGGAACATAATATCTAAAAGAAAAAGTAAGGAAGAGATGGTTCGTCTATCTTCATGAAGAAAGACTCTATTCCACATAACTTGATTATATAATATATTTAAATGATTATCTGGTTGGATGGTATATCTATCCTTATAGATTCTTTAAAATTACAGTTAAGTAGGACTACATCGTTTTAGGTGTTAGAGTAGCTTCTACAGCATCAATAGATATTTATTTTCATATCTTGCTTAGCTTTTGGCTAGAATAAGTTAATCAGATTGAAGAAGGGAAGTTATGGAAGAAGGATTACTTTCTTATAGCCTCTTCTATGCATCATTTCATTTAAGAGTGCATTTGATTCTTAGTTAAATACTAGCTATAGTGTCTATATAGTTTTCTTAACTGACGTTCTCACTTTTACAATTAAATTACAGTCTTCGTTTTTATAAAGAAGTTTCTATAATGCCCTGAACTTGAATAACTCTTGGAAGAATAATAATTAATATAGGAGCTAATTCTCTTTTCTTTTTTTTTTTTATATATATATACATATACCATATGAGGGTTAAAATACAACCCATCTAATATTTATATAACTATTTTCAAAAGCTACGATCTTCGTTGATATTCATTCTTTAGCGGCAGCAGCCTTTGTCTTTACACTATTATATTTAAAGATTATTGCGGTAATTAATTTAATACTTGTTTCCATCATGTTTGCAAACTGAAGAAGCATTTCGAATATAAAGTGTAGGGAAAGTTTTTATACAGTATTCCTCACTAGAAATAGTGTGTTTTCTTTTAACAAAAAAAAAGGAAAGAAAAAAAACTGCTCTGGCAATAGGTTCTCTCTTTTCAGGCACATAAACGAAACTTAAAATAATGCTACTGCTTATTTTATCAAAAAAGAAAAAAAAAAAGTATTGATCTAAAATTACCTTTATTCTTTCTAGAACTCTTTGGTTCTCTGTTTCACATTCATTTGTCTTTTTATATAGCTGTTGTAAAAGAAATAAATGACGGTTTTATTTTGCTTTATTTTATTTTATTTTATTTTATTTTATTTTAATTATTTTAAATTATGATTCAGAATAATATGAAAATTTCAGTAAATTAATATAGTTTATGCAATTCCTTGTTTTGTTCTTGATTCCTTCTTGTAAGTTGGCAATAAGGAGAAGAAGGAATGCGTGTGACTTTTTACATATTGTACTAAATTTTTTTAAACTAACGCATTTACTACCTGCTTTCTTTTTTTTTTTAGGATATATTTATATTTTTATGTGTAACTGTTCGAATTTATATGGTCTATGTCAAAATTAATAATTTTCTTTTCTTTTTTCTTTTTATTTTTTAATATATACAAATTTTTATAAATAATATTCAATATGCCGGTTACAATTTCACCTTCATTACCTAGCAAATACTCTGAAAGAGCAAAATGTATCGTATATAAATAGAAGAATAAAAAAAAAATGAATAGAAATAATTGATATAAAATAAAATAAAAAAAGATGTTGTAGGTGTATGTGCTATGGATAGAAAAGCACGATCAAAGCCTATGCGATATATTTTAAATAGATTACTATCGCATGGAGACTTTGAAATAGTTATCTTTGGAGATAAAACTATTATAGATGAAGGTATAAAAGAATAACTTTCAATTTTATTTTTCTTTTATATAAAATATCGCTTATTTTATTTTTATTTTTTTTAGATGTCGAAAATTGGCCTGGTTGTGATTTTTAATATGCTTTTTTTCTAGTGGATTTCCTATGAAAAAGGCAATAGCTTATACAAAACTTAGGAAACCATTTGTAGTTAATAACGTATATATGCAAACGTTATTATGGGATCGCCGAATTGTCTTGTCAATTTTAGATGCGATTGGTGTACCTACACCACCTCGTTTAGTTGTCTCAAGAGATAATGGTGCTAAAGTCGACTCTGATGCAGCTTTTGCATTTAAGGAATGTACTGGTATGGATATAGGTCGTATATTAGCTAGATATACTTCCAATACAAAGTCAGTAGTTATTCATGATGAAGCTATTGAAGTGGATGGAGTACAACTTTCAAAGACATTTATCGAAAAACCTGTGAATGGAGAAGATCATAATATTAATATTTATTATTCAGATGAAAGAGGTGGAGGTGGAAGAAGACTATTTAGAAAGGTATACGTGAGATTATATTACAGTTAAAACCTTATATTTTATTCTATTCTTTTTTTTTTCTCTCTCTCTCTTTTCATATATATATACATATATTTATATGCGTGTGTGTATGTATCAAAGATTGGTAACAAGTCAAGTGAATTTGATCCTAATTTAAAATTTCCTAATGCCAAGGGCTCGTGGATATATGAAAAATTAATGGAAACTGAAAATAGTGAAGATATTAAAATATACACAGTGGGTCCTCAATTCGTACATGCTGAAACTAGAAAGTAACCAACACGCCTATATACACAAACGATCATGATAATATGATATGAAATAAATGAAATATTAATTGTATTCTATACTATACTAGATCTCCAACAGTAGATGGTCATGTAAAACGTAATACAGAAGGAAAAGAAATTCGATATTGTGTCAAACTCACATTAGAAGAAGAAGAGATAGCTAGAAAAGTATCAAAGGCCTTTGGTCAATCTGTATGTGGTTTGGATATTTTAAGAGTTCAGGGGAAATCTTACGTTATTGATGTTAATGGTTGGAGCTTTGTTAAAGGAAATGATTTTTATTATGATCAATGTGCAAAGATATTAAAAGAAACATTTTATCGGTCAGTACAAGAAAGACCTCTATCATTAGCCGATCAAATTCCTCCAGAAATTTCTCCTGCTAATTCTTGGCGATTGAAAGGTTTTGTCGCCGTCTTTCGTCATGGCGATCGTACTCCGAAAGAAAAGATTAAGATTACTATCATGAAAAAGCCCTTTATTGACCTATTGAGTGAATCTAAACGGGAAGTTGTGTTTAGACAAAACCATCAACTAAAGTCTGTTATAAAGGCTTTAGATGAATGTCTTATTGAGACATCTTTAGAAGAGGATGAGATAAATAAGCTAAGATCATTAAAGGAGGTTTTAGAGAAAAAACATGACCTACCTGGTACTAAAGTACAACTGAAACCAAAATATAATAAGAATACAAAAGAACTTGTTAAACTACAAGTGATTGTTAAATGGGGAGGAGAGGTACAAAAATAATACATGTATATATTTATTTGTGTATATGTATACATATTTATATATTTATATTTATATTCATTTATTTTTTCATTTTGAATACTAAAGCCTGCTTATTTAGTTTACACATGCTGGTCGTCATCAATCAAAGGATTTAGCAGAGAATTTAAGAAAAGATATGAATATCTTAAATAGAGAAATATTGGAAGATGTTAAAATTTTTAGTAGTTCAGAAAGACGTGTTAGAAACACTGGTAAAAAAAAAGAAAAAAAAAAAAAAAAAAAGGAGAATTATGATGGTTAAATACTTTACCCTTTTCTTCTTCTTCTTTTTTTTTTTAGCTGAAGTTTTTGCTCGCTGGTTCCTTGGAAACCCTGAATCGTTAGATGGAGTTATTTCTGAAAGTAAATATTTATTAGATGATAGTAATGCAGCTAAAGATCAAACAGATGCTGTTAAACGTCAATTAAAAGGTATGTTAAAACCTGGGAATGATATCCCTGAATGGATGTTAGCTCAAATGGGATGGTCAGCAAAACTTCCTCAACCCTATGTTATCTTTCAAGAAATTTGTATTATCATGAGTCGTATGCAACGAATTATGCATGAAAATTGGGCTACAAAAGATGTGGATAATCTTCAAAGACGTTGGTGCTGTTTAGACTCTCCTATTTTATTTAGAGAAAGATGGGAGAAAATGTTTCGTAACTTTAGTTCTGCTCATACAGGTGAGGAAAGTGATGAATCTGAAATACAACAGAAACAACGAGTCGTTAATAATGTAGAGGCATATCCTGATCCATCTTGGATTCCTGCCTTATACGATTCACTCAAATATGATGCCCTTCATAATAGACCTTTCCTTCAAGCTATCTTTACAGACGAGGAGCTTCAAAATAATAATTGTAGCTCTCCTGAATCTGGTTCAATACTTTCATCTGATAAATGTGAATCAGATCTTCGACGTTTATATAAAAATGTGAAAGTGATGTTTGATTTTATTGCTCCACAGGAATTTGGTATCTCAGACACTGAAAAGAAGAATATCGGTATGCTGATTAGTTTCCCACTTTTAAAAAAGATTTTAAGCGATTTAGATGAAATGAAATCAGCAGAAAGACCTAGAGCACGTTTATATTTTACAAAGGAATCTCATGTTCATACCCTTTTAAACTTGATTTATCTTTCTGGTGTTCCTACAAAAGTTCCTAGAAATACATTACCAGAATTAGACTGTAAGTTTATAAATATATTCTAAAATAGTATCCTATGTGCGTATATGAATATGTATTTTATTTAGTCTTGACACAAATCACATTCGAATTATATGAACGTAATAGACAAAGTGTTCCTGAAAAAGAATATTCTCTTCGTATCGGTTTTAGTTCTGGAGCACACTATGATAGCGTCTTGGATCTACGTATGGATGCTGAGCATTGTTTAAAGGTGGCACCACGAAGGTAAATAATATACTTTGTTAATTATTTTATTCTAATCATTGCTTGTTTAGAAATTTGATTCCTCATTTGTTATTGGAAGAAGTATTAACATATCATAAAGGCTATTTAAATATTCCTAATATTAAAAGTATTGAAGAGCAAATAGAAGAAAGAAGATTATACTATGCTCAAGAAGATGAATAACAATTAGTACATTTTATTTGTAGATTACACTTTATATGAATAAAGACAAATATGTTGATGTATATATATATATTTCTAACTTTAACGGTTGGACTTGGCAACACGTTCAAGTTCATCCTTTTTCTTAATGGCATAAGAGTTAGCAGAACCCTTGGCAGCATTGATCAATTCATCAGCAAGACATTCAGCAACAGTCTTAACGTTACGGAAAGCAGATTCTCTAGTACCAATAGTCAACAAAGAGATGGCTTGATTAACACGACGAAGAGGAGAAACATCGACGGCTTGACGACGAACAGTACCTTGAGAACCAATACGAGTAGAGTCTTCACGAGGACCACAATTGATGATAGCATCAACGAGAATTTGAAGAGGATTGGCATCGGTTAAAAGGTGAATAATTTCAAAAGCATGCTGAACAATACGAGCAGCCATAAGCTTCTTACCGTTATTACGACCGTTCATCATCAAAGCATTAGTCAAACGTTCAACAATAGGACACTATAAATGAATCAATTGAATTCAAAGTTTAGATTGATTACTATTTTTAGGTCAGATCATCTTTTAAAAAAAAAAAAAGTCAAATATCTTCTTTACCTGAGCCTTACGGAAACGCTTGACAGCGAAACGACCTGCAGTATGAGGCAAATAGACTTGTTGACGAATTTGGATATAATCTTGAAGAGAAATATCCTTGACTTCAACATCATCGTAAGTCCATTTGTTGAATAATCTACGGGTGCCGTCGGCGGTAGCTAAAACATCAGCTGGTAAATTCAAAGCAACCATGTTGTACTAAAACATGAATTAACAAATTGAAGTGAAATTGGGTAATTAATTCGCATGTAGTTGAATTTAATCAATGAAATGGAAATTATAAAAAGAAATATAATCAAAATAAAAGATCAGTATATTTATTACAGGCAAATGAACAATTGATATCATCTTTAAATGGATGAATATTGATTTTTTACCTGCAGTGTAAAAGAGAAAGCGAATCATAATGGAACTTTTTTTTTCGCTTTTGTTGTTGTTGTACCTTTAAAGTGTTGTAGTGTTGTTGACAAAAAAAACCCTCCCCCCCCCCAAAAAAAAAAAACTCCGAACCAATCAAAACTGAACGAGTGTTAATAATTATGCTTGTAAGCTATTTTTTTATTTTATTTTATTTATTTATTTATTTTTTTTTCTTTTGAAAGAAAAATGTCAGGAAAACAACATTACAATTGGGATTATAACAATAATTCAAATAGTTTAAGTCGACCAGTTAGACGTCATTTAATTAATGTATATCTTACACTTGCTGCTATGTGCGCTATAGCAACAATGAGTACTCAAGTGGGGAATTACTTAGGTTTATTAAGTTCGCCCATTAGTTCAATAGGTGCTGTGGCAAGTGCATCTATGTTTCGATTTACAATGCCTAATAGTAGAAATCGTTGGATTTTATTAATAGTAAGCTTTTTGTTTTTTTTTTTTTTTTTTTTTTTTTTTTTGTGAAAAAGAAAAAATATTATATATGCATATAACATTAACAATTATAATAATAAAGCTTTATTCTATATTCAGTGGTATTGCATTGACAACTTTTGTATCCTTTTTCCTTAACTGGGATCCTTCAGGAAATATTGTTTTTATGGCCTTATCGTCTGCAGTGTTGATCTTTTTAGGATTTTCATTAAGTGCTGTTATGGCAAATCGTCGTAGCATGTTATATATTGGTGCATTTTCAAGCAGTATTTTGAGTGTTTTATTATGGCTTTCCTTAGCAAATTCTTTTTTTATTAGATCAACATCAGTTTTTTCTCTTGAACTATACGCTGGATTATTAGCTTTTGCAGGATTTGGTAAGTAAAGAGATAATAAGTATGCATGGATTTAATGGATTTATATCTGATGTACATAGTCATGTATGATACGCAAATGATTGTTGAGCATGCAAGTGCTGGTTTAATGGATATACCTGGCCATTCAATGGAATTGTTTATGGATTTGTATTCATTATTTATTCGATTAGCACAAATTCTATTAAAAAAAGAAATGGATCGTGAGAATGAAAAGAGAAAAAAGAAGAGTCCAAATAGGTTAAGGAGAAATTATTAGTAGTAATAAGTTCTTTATATATATAATAAACGTACAACAAGAAAAAGATAGTAGTTTCATTAATAAAAAAAAAATTATGCATACAGTACTGGATTTTTCCAACCTATTCGCGAAACTTTAAAAATTATCAGAAATATGAAAACAATAATTTTAATATTAATCTTGTAATTAGAATTCTATAATTGACAATAGAAATAAATTTACTGTCCAAAATATCACAGTTACTCAGAATATTCAAAAGTAGTTAAATTTAAATAAGCGATGATGATGTCATTAGTCACGTGACCTTTATTTTTATAGGACTATATATATTACATTAAAGTATCGGAAAATGTCGTTTCTTGACTTCTTGAGATACAAAAGAGTAAAACTTTAGACGGTATTAAACAAAAAATAACAAAGAATATAATTAAGTTTTTATAATATTTATTGATTGTCTTTCTTTAAAATCAATTATTTTTCGATATTTATATTAATTTTGTTATAAAATAAGGTTTATATGACAACAGGGAAAATCGTGATTGTAGTAAAGATGCATAAGTGTTGTCTTCCTGATTTTCTCATGTTGTCAACTAATTATGCCGACGTTTCTATCTTCACAAATTATGCATAACTTCGATTTCTTCTTTCTCACGTCGGAATCCTTTATTGATGGTTTAAACCTTCTTTTATTCTGTCTGTTTATTCTGAACGGCAGGTTATATTCCACCACTACAAGTAAAGAGTTGTGATATATTGCGGAGAACTATACGTAAAACGATCGTTTTCGGTCTCGTATTACGCAACACGTAATACGAAAGTATTCGGTACTTGCGGAAAACGACAAGTAAAACGATCGTTTTACGTCCACTGAAAACTACCGAAAACGTGTATTCCGCAATTCTGATAATACGTAAAACGTATCTTTTGGTGATTATTATAGGTTATTATTTTTGGGGGGACAACGATATTACGCTAGCAACTGCCTTTATCATTGGTCTCTAACGTCGTAATTCATATCTTTACTCTTACTTATAATTGGATCTTATTAAAGATGTTTATACTCAATTGAGGCTTTTATTATACAAATCTGTTTGCATTATTGGCTCATTATTTGCACTTCCTTAACGTTTAATAGGCTTATAATGCCCTTGTTTATACAGCTTTTCTTTTTTAAAAAAATGTGGCTTTTTATTTATTTATTTATTTATTTATTTATTTGAAATTGGGTTATAGAATATTATATAATAATGATAATGGCAAAAAAAATATATAATAATATATACTATAATACAACGACATACTTACCTTGAGTTAATATAACTTTAGTAGTAGTAGCCAAGATTACCATTGATTTAGCCATTTGATCTGTAGTTAGTTATTCAGTATTACCAGGATATAAATGTCTACCTAAATGATAAAAATAAAGACAAGTTACTAATTATGACATGTTATATATATGATTTTAGCCCTTGTAATATGATATTTACCTTTAATATAAAGAGAAAATAAAAGTTTTTATTAGTATATCTATCTATTGAATAGAACAAGAGCCATCTAAGCATGATTAAATAATAATGAGTAAATATATATATACTTTATAATACTTGTTGAATTATTGTTGTAAAAGAAACTTACCATATTATTCAATTGATTGTAAAAGAGAACACTTGATCATTTGTATTCAATGGATAGACAATACAATAAAAAGCTTTATCTAAATATAAATATACAAAATTAGTTTCAATAACTTGAAAAAGAAGAAAAGCCTTGATGATATACCTTTTCTCTCTCTTTTTTTTTATCTGTTACCAAGAGGCAGTATTCTTTAATAGAATCTCAATATCTCTGTAAAATAAAATGAAAAAGTGAATACATTATGTTTGTTTAGTTTATATTATTTATTTACAATTATATATTAACAATTACCTAGTAAAAATAAATTCTAAAAAATAGAAATAATAGAAAAAAGCATGTTATTACAATATAATGAAAAGAAAGAAAAGATAAAAAAATAAAAAAAGGGACTAAAAAAATTTTTTAGCACTAATTAAAATTGTCTAATTAAAGTTTACAATAAGTTTATTCTCCCCCACAATTTTCTTTATTAGTTATTGTTCATGTACTTTTTTTTGTTTACAAGTTATCGTTCGTATTCCATAAAATAGAAACATTAGTAAAAGAATAATATATTATTAAATAATTGTAAATTAGAACTCATTAACGATTACATTGAAATTTGGACATTTCATGTAGATCATTTGACATGCATTTACGAAATTACTTTTTTTTTACATTAGTTCATTAGTAATGCATTCGCATAATATTTTTTTTGTCATTCTAAACTGAGCAAATAACAGCTATAATAAGAGAATAATATATATATACAGTTAAATATAGTTGAACACAGTTAATTCGACATGCAATTATGAAATTACTTTTTTTTTTACATTAGTTCAATAGTAATGCATTGACATAATGTTTTTTGTCATTTTAAACTGAACAAATAACAGTCGTAGTAACGTAATAATATGTATGTGTACATTTAAATATGGTTGAAAGTGTTTTGTATTTTTTTAGGGACAATTAACATGCATCTATGAGATTACTTTTTTTTTTACATTTCCATTAATGTTTACAATTACATTGACATTTACATTTACATTTACATTTACATTCGAAATGACTAAATTAAATAAAGATGCAAAATTATTTTTTTTGTTTATTATATGTATTGTATACTTTTATAATAGTTATCTTTTCTTGTCATGTATGAAATATTATATAAGAATTTATGTCTAACTGTTTGTAGAAGAAAAAAAAAGTTAATTTTTTAGCATGCTGAAATTACAAGTGAAAATTGTGGGGGTGAAAGAACCAAAAAAAATAAAAACGTCATTTTAACTCCAGCTGAATGTTTATTTTTTTATTTTTAGGACTTTTATTGGTCAATTAATTTTTTTTCTCCCAATTTCTCTATGAAAATTAAATACTGCCAAAAGGCTGTAAAATTAAAATTGCTATAAAATAATCAATTTTTGCTATAAAGTTGTAGTTTTTTTTAGATATATAAAAGCTTGTATATGATAAAAAAATTAATATTAATTTTATTTTCATGTTTACTAGTAATAAGTTGACGAAATAATCATTTTTTGAAAAAATCACTTAAAACTCAGCAAAAAGACTTGTTTTACGTATGTTTTCAGTTGCGGAATATTTTCATTACTTGTAGTGGTCTTCTCAGTGGTACTGTAGGTTTAAACCTTTTCTTGACTACGACACATAAGGAAATCCTTGATGGTCTAGTGGCTAGGATTCGTCGCTCTCACCGACGCGGCCGGGGTTCAATTCCCCGTCAGGGAATTATTTTTATAAATTAATCTTTTTACCATTTTGGAGTTATTTATGTTTTTTTCTTTCATTCTGTATTGTGTGGTCAATGATAACAATAATATCATGTAATTATCTGTGCTTGCTATATAGTTGAATATGAATAATAGTCAAGTAATTTACGATAGCGCTTAATAACTGCTACTACTATGTCAAAGTATGATAACAATCGCTCCCAATCAATAGATTTCTGCATTAGCATTTGTTAATCAAAATGTTGAATTTTGAGTCATCAATTATATTTTCAGAAGCGTACTAAACAGCGACTTACGAAAAGATGCTTTTCTTTTTTGCCCCTCCCCTCTATTATGTGATAAATATTATGTATATTCTGCTATTCGTCAAAATGCTGCTATTATTATTATTATTATTATTATATTGTTGTTATTTCATATGTGTATGTATATATGTATATGAATATAAGAAAAAAAAAAGGAAGGACAGAACTAAATAGGTATCGAAACAATAATAATTCAATATAAATTACTCTGTAATAAAAGAAGAATCCAACGGTTGTTGATCAATTGCCCTAAGTCGAGTTATAATATGATTCATTTCTTTCTTTATGGCCTTCATGCTTTCTTCATCTGATAAAGTATGTGCTTCAGACTGTTCCACTTTTTTTAAAAGCTGTTCAACTTCATTATAGACTTGTTTAACAGCCTCCATTTGTTTTTGTTCAAAAATACGATGCTCCTTTTCTAAGGTATGAATGTTAAAAGATTCATGTAATTCTGCTTCCATTTTTTGTTGAATTTCTTGCTGTAATTGTACTGCTTCATCGGAAGTTTTCTCGAGTTCAGTGAAGGCTTGTTCAATAAGTAAATTTAGATTTTCTTTCTTTTCTTCATGCTCCTCTTGTATAGCTTTCAATATCGCTTTGGTTTGAACAGCATCTTCTTTAGCCAACTTTTCAAGCTCTGTTTGTTCTATCCTTGCTTTATTCAATTCATCATCTAATTCCCTTAGATGGCTCATGCCTTGTCTTGCTGTTTCTATCTCATCCATATATTTCTTCACTTGCCCCTCAAAGAAAAAGGCCGTTGCTTTTGAATTTTCAGCTTGTCTATCTTTACGGTTACTCATATCTGTTAGTGTTTGAATTTCTGTTTTTAATTTACGATTGGTTCTTCCACTTTCTTGAGCATAGACTTCAGCTTGTTTTGCTTGTTGTTTTGTTTGTTCTAATTCTAATTTGAGTTTATTTAATTCCCTTTCTGCTTGACTGATTTTTTGTTGCAATTCATGAATATCGGCGCCAGTTGTAGGGCGGCCCAATCTTATTGAGCTACCATCTATAAGTAAATTAAAAGAATTAATAATATTAAAAAATAATAATAATAGAATGCATAATAAAATAAAAGTTATTTTTTTCTCAATTATTTACTTTCAATATTCGTAATTTCTTCACTTGTCATTAGAATTAGAATGTAACTTGTTATAAAAGAGTATTTTTATGTGTATTAAAAAAAAAAAAAAAAATAGCTGGATTTTAATCTCTTTATGATAATAATAACAATTATAATAATTATAATAATTATAATAATAATAATACAAAGTCCTAAAAATAAACATGATGATGATAAAATCCTATAACCAACGGAATGTATATTGTCTAGAATAATAAATATCCCTAATTAATCCAGAGAATAGTGAGAAAAATGAAATAACATACTTTTTTTTTAGTATAAAAAAAAAACGACGACCAACTGAGCAACTGATATCATAGTTGTGTTATATTATGATAAAACAAGCAATTAATTACATATGAAGCTGTACAAATGACGAGTTAGTAAATGAATCAACTTAACATACGAGTAGCAGTTCAAAATTTATCTTTTTGTGAAAAATAAGTTCTGCATGGAAGATAATAAATCACCTACAGATCTAATTAGTCGTAAAGGATAATACATTTAGTAACAGTGTAGGAGACAGGGTCTTATAACCCCCCCCTGTGCTTTACTCTAGGTAACATATTGATTCAATAGAAATGAGCGCGACTTTGTTCAAAGAAGGACATTGGAAATCAAAATAGAGGATTAATAGTTCAAATCTGTAACTAAAAGTTTAGAATTACAGGCTTTAACAGTACTGTTCCAAGGTAGTGCCATGAAGTATATAATTCAGGCACTGAGATTATGATTTAACTAAAATATTAATAACGTAGTTACATAATTTCTATAATTCAGTTGCCGTAAAAAAAAAAAAAAAAAAAAAAATGAAAACTGTTATAAAAGTACTGGGTACAAGAGAACAATTTGATAAGTATTGTATCCTTTAGTAGTTTAATAAAGCTGTGCTTATAGGATAGGAACCTGATCTTATATGAAAAGCTGCTTAATCAAATAGAACAGAGAGTTTCTAGAAGATTTGGTGGTAGTTATTTTGACATGAGTCTACTTGCTTTGTTAAAATAGGGAGATAAGGCACTAATGGCAAAGTCATACTCTAATTGAGTACAAACAAATTTAATATAGAAGCAGGCATTTACTTGTTAATCTAAACTTCTTGGAATCAATACTGACAGATACTATTTAATACATCATTTTCAATTACCTATCGATACTAGATTGCACATGTGTCGAAGGGCTAAGGCAGCTTCTTTATCTGAATGGAATTCCAAAATAAGAAAAGGTGACTTGATGGGTTGTGACGTTGTCCTTATAAAGAATATAAATAAAGGATATTATTATCTAATAGGATGCATTTCGATAAACTTCAACTTCATCCTAAATTAAAATTATACATTTTGCATAGAGAAAGTAATGCACCTATGCATTCTTCATAATTTATTAAAATTTAATGCTAATCAGTATATTAAAAAGCAATTTAAGTATAAAGCCAATTGTATCGATTGTTTAAAAGTCTTAGACACTATTATGTATCTGGCAACACGTTTAAGTATGTTGGCTATTAGGGAGATGAAAGATGCAGCCTTTAAAGGGCATTAATTTAAGAAAGAAAAAGATAAAACATAATATTTGGAACAAATTTTAGTATAGCTCTTACATACTTTATATATTAGTGGCTCAAAAATATTTCATATTAAGGCAGTTCATGCATCTATTATCAATATTTAAAAGCATATTTTTAAGAATACTATGATGCATGAGATCAAAACTCCCCGAGTCAGTTTGAAATACAGAATAGGAAGCTTAAAAAGGATATTCAGGGGGAAAAAAAAATACTGATTACACTCCTGATAAAAAAAAAAAAAGAAAAAAGGACAGAAAAAGAGAGGATACACGGGCATCTTTATCCAATTATAAAGACAGGTTGTTATAGTGGAATAAATAATCGAATCTATGAAGAATAATACATTAAGAGTAAGGTTAATATGTAGAGAGCTTATATAAGAGAAAAGATAATGGATGTTTAATGATTTATGATATTTTGGAGCTGACAAATGCATTTAGAGATAATAGATAGATATGAAATATTCACTTGAAAGTAGTTTTGAGGCAAATTTTAATATGATATAAAAATGGTTCAGAGACAATACAAATATAGTTTTGAGATAGAAGATAAAGAAATAATTTAGCATTATGAAAGATAGAAAAGTTAGTAAAGAAAGATAATAATGCTTTTAGGGAAGTTAATATTTGTCTATAGAATCTTTAGGAGACCGTTTTATTGGTCTGCATGATTTATTATTGTTGTTGTCTCTAGAAACATATTGGTTATCCATATTATTTCTATTATTCTTTATTAAAAGAAAGCATTGACAGTCTAAATTATAAATAACATTATATAAATACATAGTTCACGTCTTATGGAAAAATCGAAGGGTCATATTTCTCTTGACTAGATATTAATCTTTAATCATTGTACTATCTTATGAAACAGGGTTGCTATGGCTACAAAGAATATATTTCCAATATGTCAAAAAAAAATAGCTTACTTATTTCATGAAGACTTTGATACTTTTACAGAATAAGTGTGAATTTGTCTTTATATTACACTCCAAAATAATTCTATATTTCTAAATATTCTGTAAATATTACATAACATACAGTATAGTATACACTCTCATCATTTGAATCTCTCTATTATTATTTCTTCCAGTATGCCACAATGCATCATTTTAGCAGTACTTTATTAGATAGAAATGGTAGAATCATATCGTGGCGTTAAAGTAATTAAGCTTATATCATTAGTTTAACTATAACACTGAGTTCTTTTTTTTTTCTGCTTTTCAGTAATGTTAAATAACATGAGTCTACAAATGCACTGTAAATATTGTGGCTTAGAAAAATCATTTTTTCTTTTTTTTTTTCTTTTTTTTTTATATATTCATATATTCATCACTCTTTTTCATATCTACATACAGAGCTTATAAATATATCAAATGAGCAAGAAAATTGAACTTGTGCCTCTCAATTTAAAGATTCAATCGAGTAAAGAAGCTTCAATTTCACATGCTACTTCATTCCTTGACAAATTTTTACATGAAGATGTTGCCATCCATGCTGCCAACAATACAGTTGCTGCACAACTTCATCAATTACATCAAGGTTTAAAAGAAGAAAAGAAAAGATTACGTGGACAAACATCAGCAGCAATTGAAACAACAGAATTTTAAATGCATATTATTAAAAAAAAAGCATCTTAATTATCATACACAAATTGTAAATTTCAAATTAACTTTATTAAACAATTTATCTGTAATGTACACTCTTACATGTATATCATATTTACTCTTTCCCTTTTATCCCCCACACCTTCCTCTTTCTTCTTCATTTATATAGAAAATATAAGTAGTTATTTGTATAAATAAATAAATATATGTGTATTTAACAGCTATATTTTATTTTTTGATTTATGATAATAGAGTTTTGCCATTTTAAATATAAAATAGAAATAAGGTAATGATTTATGATGCATGAAAAAGTTTAAGGAAATAATACGAGTAAGAAAGGTCTTTTTAAAGTTATTCTTTAACTTTTTCTTTGAGCTCTACGTTTAGCCCTAAGACGTCTTGTACGCTATTGTTAATTTATATTTAGAAGAATTCATGCATCTACTTGTCCTTTCTTTTTTTTAATTACCTTTTTCTTCCACTTGAGTCTCACTACATGAAAAAAAGTTTTATTAATTATCGTTATTATAAAGTAGACGTATTTAACTTACTTTTATGATTTAATTTGTTTATTAAACAAGAAGCAAAGAAAGAAGATAAATAAATGAATTTAGCGTATTTATAACATAAAGATTTGATAAATCATGTTATATTCTATTTTCCATAAAATTAATAATAATAGCATCAAAAATAAAGCTATTATATTAAAAGCTGATTACTATTTTGAAGCATTTTTTTTTATTTCTGTATAGATACGCATAAACATTTTGCCAAGGACAAATATCCTATTAAGCAGACACAGGCCTCTAAGATAATTGATATAGAAAGTTTACCTTTTTTTTTTTTATTTATTTAATACTAAACATCTATAACAACACTTGAACAAGTTTAAAGGGAAGAACAAGTAGATATAATTAACTGTTATTGTTTAAGATAATAGCAAAATAGTGTCTACTTTTATTTTTTGAACTTTATAATTAATATGCAAAAATAACTTTGCTAATATAATAAACCTGTAAAGTAAAATAAAGGCATACTATATATAAAGCTTATTATTGCTGCCATCATTTATTTACATTTGGCTTGAAGGATTTGATTGGTGGATAATGATTGCATAAAGTAACAAACAGGGTCATTAGCTAATTCGGACTTTTTATTTAATGCAAAAAAAAAAAAAAAAAAAAAAAGGTAAATGATAGTTTCAATTTGATTTATAATCAAGGTATACGATTAATAATATAATCTACAACTGATAACATCATGCTTTTTTTTCTTTTTTTTTTCCTCTTTTTTTTGTATATAAATCTATAGAATACTACTTTGTATAATACATAGTAATCTATTCTTTTTATTTTTTATTTTTTTTATTTTTTTATTTCATTTTTTTTTATTTTATTTTTATTTTATTTTATTTTATTTTATTTTTTTTTTAGAAATCTCTTGCCTTTAGTTTAAGCTTCGTGACTGTTATCTGTTGTTTTTATTTTGTTTCTGACAAATTCAAATTTAAATACACAGAAATAAAATCAACAATCTTCTTTTTTTTTTCTTCTTCTTATCTATATCTATATCCATATATATATATATACTTACATACTTACATACGCACACACATACACACACACACATACACATTCATATTATACATTTTATATACACACATACTATTCAATATGCCTACACAACACTTCCCTAATCAAATAGCTATTCCTGCCTTTAAACAATTAGTGCTATATACCGGCAATGTAATGCTTACTACAACCACTGCTAATAAATATTGGAACTGTAAATCAAATACTGAGGTATGATATAGAATAGCCTACTTTATTACATAAGGATAATATTAAAATTTATTTAGTTGGTACAAGCTATTTACGATACATTAAAAGTATCTTTACATGGCTTAGAGGCTCCATCTTATCGTTATTTTAAAGAAACTGAATTATTAGAAGTGCCTGATATTAGATTAAGTAGTCGTATTCATCCTGATGATCGTAATGATGTTGAAGTAACAGGTTAGAGATATATTTATTTTATTTTAAGTTTAATAAACATCATTAAATTTATACCCTGTATTATATACATATATGAATAGCTAAACTATTTTACTTGGGACAAGATAATCAAACGGCCTATATTGACCGAGCTATTTATCATATTCAAAAGCTTTTGGACGTCGAATCAATCGATACCTTTATTATTTCCTTTGATAAAAATGACATTAATTCAGAAATTGTAAAAAAGACATGGAAAGATTTGGAAAATTATCATGAGAAAGGGATTATTTCAAGGCTAGGTGTATCTGATTTTGATTTTCAAACTTTATCTGATTTTATTCAAAAAGAAGATATTCGGGTCAAACCATCTATTGATCAAGTTCATGTAAACCAATGCTCTTCTTTACCTCAAAATTTAATTCATTTTGCAAAACAACATCATATTGATATCACTTTTAATGGCGATACTACAGGTAATTTTTTTTTTTTTTTAACGGAGATCTAACATAACTATCGCTTTAACATGGAAAATATCGATATATAGAAATCTTAACGTCAGAAGTCTTATCCACAGTATTAAACCAATATGGTGTGATCAATGAAAATACTCAAGTTAAACCACGTTGGGTATTAAAATATAACGTCTTTTTCAAAAGTAGAAGTGTAGTTGCTGACAAAGGGTAATAAATAAATAAATAATTAAAAAAAAAAAAAATTATTTTCAACGCCTCAATTTTATAAAGATCAATGTTTCTAATTATTTTGTTTATTTATAGATACATTATTGTCGGTGATACCCTTTAAGAAAATTCTACAAACAAGATATTCCCTTTATACAATAGAAGAATAAGTTTATATAGTATATACTATTACCAAAATATTCTATAGTTATTAATAATAAATATTTATAATGTATACTTATCATATGTTCAGAATTAATTGCTTTTTTTTTTTTGGAATATCTTTATTAAAAACATTGTTACTCTTTTGCTTGGACCTATATGAAACTTAAAGACAAACAAGGAGAATGGAGAGGAAGAGGGGGATAGTGGAAAGGCCTCTGATACCATGATAAAAAAGAAGATCAATAATGTCAAATAGATCCAATTTACTAGATAATGATGGCGATAAAAAAAAAAAAGAGGGGGGGGGAGGGATCAAGTAAATATAAGATCCAGATCTATTGTCAGGTAATAAATCAAGTTTCCAGGGGACACAAATGATTGTGTTCAATTTCAAAATATAGGAGACCAAAGAAAAGAGTGAATAAAGATGGTGTAAGAAAAGAAAAAGTTGAGAAAGAGAGAGAAGGAGAGAGGACTTTATTATAAAGTAAATGTATACATTATTAGAAAATAATTCTAAAAGAATAAATAGGTATTTAATCTTGGAAAAGATCGTTTTTTATAAGCTGTATACTATTTAAACTTTAATACAAATAAAATAAATAGGAGAGAATTGTATTTTTTTAGATAAACTGTACCACCATGAATTATGACTATACTCTCCGAGCTGCACTATGTATAACCCTATATCTTGAAACAGCGACATTTTGAACAATATACAGTTATTTCGTTCTTAATGTAATAAGTTACTTTTGAATACTTTATTAACTCAAGTTCTAAAGCTAAATCAATATGTATATATGTATATAGCTCGAACTAAATTCAATAAAATCACAAAAATAAATTGATTGTATACTTCACCAATTGGGATTACTCTAATACTACCAAGAATAATTTGGTAGCATTTCCAAGACTATATTTATTTTTAATACTCTACTAAATAGATATTTGTCGTTCTGTTCATCACTCTCAAGTAGCTCCAGCTAATATTATTTCTTTGTTAGTATTCGCTTAAATTTAAAGGTTTGAGAAATAATAAATTCTGAATGGTATGATATAGTGTACATTGTCATCTTAATTTTTTTTTTTTGTAAGGTGCATCTGGTTACATTTGCTGCGCAACGAAATCAAGCAAAAACGCAGTATTACGCTTTATATATACTGATCTCTGTAAGAATATACGAGAAAAGCTTCAGGAAGGTAAAAAATAAAAAAATATAATTCATAATACTTTTAGTTTCATAGATACCGAATCTCTAATTAACCTATATCCTAAATTTAATAATCTTTTCATCATTGTTAAGCCAAGTTATAAAAAAAAAAGCGTACTGTACCGTGAAATCTATTTATTAAAGTCATGCGTCATACAAAGTCTTAAAAATTACAAAAGGTGAATCCTAGCAAGGTTTATAGTAGAGGACTGAAAACGTACATTTAGACAACTACTAGACAGTTAGAACTATGCTGCAAAAGAAGAAGAAGAAATTAATATTTACAAGGAATGTTTTAAGATTTAATGTTTGAAACTTTCAAAAAGAGTCTAGCAACGTGCAGTACATAATTAATAAGCTATCATTATATCTTAATAGGAAAAAAATAAATAAATTAATAAATAGAGGTTAAGGAAACATAAAAGTAATTGATTTATATAAATACCCTATTTTTCTGTATCAACGGACGACTTTTATCTACTGATGTCTGAAAACAAGACACAGAGAAACTGTATCAGGCAACTTTTTTTTTGTCTACATATTGAACAGCAAGTAATTTGGATTTCAAAACTGATTTATAGGTATCTTCATATAAAATACTATTCTAGTCCTGTCTATTCAATAGCCCAAAGTATTAGGGATAGTATACGCAGAGGATATATAGTTAAGAAAAAAACTGTTGAGCTCAAAGAATCATTAGACAAATTTGTTTAATACATTATCTTCATTAAACTTAAAACTAGCGCTTCAGAAATTCAAAAAAGAAGGTAAGCCTAATTTGCTGATGATATCTATTATTGTAGTTATTTATTTTGTCATCAAACTAAGTTTAGAGATATTTATAACGAGTTTTAATTGCATCCAATTCACGATAAAGGTAAGTATTGACTTAAATAAAGTGTCTTAAATTATATCATGTTATTTATTGATGACAAAAAAAAAAAAAACAAATATTCCTTAAAACGAATCAGAATTTCCCTAAACGAAGTTGATATATATGTGTATATCAACTAGTTGAAGAATAAGCAGTGTGATAACCGAACAGCAATATATATTATTAACAGCAAAATTAATTTATTTGGATAAACTATCTTTAAAATAGGGGTACTGAAAGTAGTACCTCCACTAAAAATGTTGATCGATATGGGATATATTAGGTTCTAGAATAAAAATTAAGTTGTAAACAAATGAATGAACATGTATACCTTATCTTCAAATATTTATTACACAAACTGAGCATAGTAGAAAAAGATCTTATTGAGGATGGTCTAGACAGGAAAAAAGAACTTACCAAAGGTGGTATTAAAGCACCTATCATGCTAAAAAAAAAAAATCAAATTTAATTTGGCATACTGACTTAGCTTTAGAACTCGAGTTAATAAAATATTCAAAGGGTGTCTATTATATTGGGAATAAAATACTTGTATATGCATGTATAAATTAATTCTAATTTTATACTAATATTCTATATACGCTATTCTCTTAAAACATTGGGAAATATTCATGAGTAAATAATCAGATAAAACTATTTATAAGCTTGAAGCATATTCAACGTATGAAATATCAGAAAATTATTTTAAGTAATACTGCTGCATCTATTTTATTAGTTAGTCTTTCTTGTACTAATTTTTTTTTAAATATGCATATTATCTCCTTTGCCTGTTTGCAAATTATATCAACTTTTGACCGAATAAAGTGTAACAGAAAAAAAAAAAGGTAAAATTAAGTTGATTCCTTTAATTGGCTATTTTGTTAATGACTCTTTTTGTGACTAGAAAGCTTCTCATAAACATATGATGCACATGTTCATAAATAAAAGAAGAATATTTATTCATATTGATTGGATAAAAATATTTACTCTTTGAATGATTTTACTCCTTAAAAAAGGAAAAAAAAAAGATATAAAAAGGGGATCAAAAAAGTGTAAAATTCCGTTTTTTTTTTCTTTTTTTCTTTATGATCATCAACCGGCTATTCCACGGCCGTGAAATGGCTGGGCCTGATCAGCCTGGAGTGTCTCTTCAGTTGCTGTACGCCCTCGGGAGGTGTGAGGGGGTATACTTCTGTCGTTCAGATGCGTCCATTTCAGAAATAACAAACACAAATGAAAAAAAAAAAAAAATATAGCAGCATATTTTATGCATAGATATGCTGAAATTTAATAGAACCAGTCACGTAAAAGTCAGTCATTCACTCAACAGCAACAACTGTAAACTGTTAGTTTAAAAAGATACGTTTTGACCACGTAAAAAAAAAATCCACAACATATACACATTTTATTGTGAATGATTATATTTATTGACAAGGATATGCATCAATTAAATCATTCTGTTATAGGCTTATTTGTAACATCCTTACATCCTATATAGTCTAATATAAACTAATAAGCTTATTAGTTGAAATATATCTTAAATACACAGATTCATTTTATGCTTTGGCAATTGAGCCTATTGGGATAGTTACTTTATTTTTATTTTTTCTAAAAAAGACATCTATCTTTATCTTTATACAACTAAGCTTAGTTAGTACACCACTCAATTTTACAAGCTTACAGCTTCATTGTACAATATAAGAGGATGATAAAGCTATTACAATGTTGTTATATAGATCAAGATATGGTGTGTCTTATATTGTAAAGTACAACATGATAGCTTTACTCAGTGTTTAAAGTGGTCTTATTTGACTGCTTTTTGTTTGTATATGTTTTATAGAATTCTTTTTTAGAATGCTTGTGGGGTTTTTATAATAAAATTTAAATTTTTGCCCAAGCAAAATATTGGATTAGTAAATTATGCTTCCAAAATTGATTATGAAAGCTGCTAATGATATATTGTACAAAGTCTTCAATGATTGCATAAACCGATTATTATATCTAATTACTGGAAAAAATATATTATAGATTATGACTAGAAATAATGGTACTATTATAAATATGATATACTGATTAGTAGTATTTAACTGCAAACTGACCTTGTCTAAATTCAAAATGTAAAAAATTATAGCTGTCTGCTACTGAGTTCAAATCAAACATAGTTTACCTTATTTAACATGATGTATTTACAGTCGTTCCAATGCCAAAGGAAGGTTTGTTAAAAAAAAGTGCAGCTAATAAATTTTCCCAAAGGGCGGTTTTTTTTTTATTCCAAAAGGCAGTTTGTAGAATTTGGTCAATACAGGATTTTACTCTTAATTGGTACCATTGGAATTTTTTTGATACGGCTAGTAAATAAAGTTGAGACGCTTTATTTTTTTTTTTTTTTTTGGCATAACTTGAAAATACAGCGGCTCCACTCCCAAAGCTCGTTTACCAAATTTGCTTTGGTCTCCACCTGAAATTCGCTTTTTTATTGACCAAAGTTCGCTTTTGCAAGTAGCTCAAATTTGCTTTTACTATCAACAATTTATTTTTTATTTTTTATTTTTATTTTTTATTTTTTATTTTTTATTTTTATTTTTTATTTTTTATTTTTTATTTTTTATTTTTTATTTTTTATTTTTATTTTTTATTTTTTATTTTTTATTTTTTATTTTTTATTTTTTATTTTTTATTTCTTATTTCTTATTTCTTATTTCTTTTTATTTTATTTTATTTTTTTATAAATTAAACTTTATAAAGTGACCTATGAGCACATGATATGTTTGTTATATTGGATTGCCCAGGTCAGTCCAAATTATGTGAAAAAAAAAGTATCTAAAAGCCCTCTTACGGGACAAGAGGTAAAAAGGTAAAGAAAAGGAAGAAGAAGAAAAGGTGATAAAGAAAGGGGGGAATGTTGCTAACAAGTTTAAAGAGACAACCAGTTGAGTCATTTCCTGCCTGGGTCAAGAAGTGGAGGGAGTAGTTTATCGTGTAGTAAGTAATTCATATCCTGTAAAATGGTGCACATAACTGGTCAACGATAGAGCCAGACTGAAATATCCTGAGAATTTTGGTACTTATGCTGAGGGAAATGATTTAAAAGAAAGGAAAGGGGATCTGCAATTGATCGTGGCAAGAATAAACGAGTGTGCATGTGCAAGCATTCAGTGGCATGTGACCGACTAAAGTGTACATAAAGATGATATGGGCAGACTTTAGGTATTCCTCTGGGTAGCCAACCAAGACGCCATCGAATAGTTCGACTACGCTCACTGTGTGTCCACCCAAAATACAGTGTTTTGCGTTTGATTTTTTTTTCTCTAACATTTCTTTTTTCTCTATGAATTCAGATGTCAATGCTTTTCGTTTCAAAGATTGTAATGTTGACTTTGAAACTTTTTCAGAACTAAATAATCATAATTACGGCACCCATGTGAATGAAATAAAAGTCTTTATTGGTAAAGGTAAGAACTGGACATTTAAAAATAAAAGATGATACTTTTTTTAAAGAATAAATAGACACTATTACAGAAATTAGCAAGATTAATGGTAAATTTAATTGTCCTGAATGCCCAAGCAAGCTCAGTACTCCTACCACATTTAACACTCACCTTAAAAACAAGCATGACGGCCACTGTGAAGTCATTTCAAACAAAAAAAAAAAAAAAAAAACGACAAAACCTCGAAGATGATAATAACGATGATTCTACAACCATTTTATTAAAACATCAAAAGTTACAAAGCCTAAATCTAAATTTAGACGACATTAATTCAAATCAATCTCAAAAAGCTTTTAAATATGATAAAAACACTGTCATAGTCTTGGCGTCTAGTACATCTTTAGGGTCAACTCGTGAAAAAGAGAATTCTATAATGTTGGCAAAAATTGGAAATTTGGAACCAATAACCTTAACAGGTAGAAGTGGTAAAAGTTATCATTTTTTAGCATCGTCAGACAACATAGGTGAAGTGTTAACCGATCAGCCTTCTGGTTCTTGGACACTTCCAGCAGCCAATGAAACAGTCATACAAAGCTCTTTATCCTCAAGCATTGACAAACTTCTGGATCATACAATAAATACAAGTCCAATTTACAACCACTTATTTGACCAAAAATACGTGGAGCTTACAATGCAAGTTACACAGTTAATTAATCATGATTGGACTTTCTTCCCTCAGCTTAGGTATGCCATCTTGCAATTTTTTTGCAGGGGCAATCCTAGTGAATAAATCAGCGGCATTAATCGTAAATTGTACGGAATCATATGGAAGATCGAAGACAGTTGATGCGCACCGTGAACGTAGAGTTGGTACTGCAATGCACAAATCCTCATTTCCCAAAAAGGCAACATGTGATGGATGGATTAATACAATTACCACTCATGAAGACAACGTAGCCAAACTAAAAAATTGGCACAACGGTCAGCAATCTATTGGTAACCTCAAGTGTACGCATAGATAAACATTCAATAACAAAAAATAGTGTGGAACTAGGATCAAACGCCAGTAATTTTACTGCAACAGACGATACAAAAATTTATCTTCATATGGAATCATTAAGGTTAGGAAAAATGTTGATTGAGGATGACTCAATAACCAGTATTGATACGGGATACAGGAAATGGATTACTTAATACACGACAAATTACCTCCTCCACTTCTTGACCCAGGCAGGAAATGACTCAACTGGTTGTCTCTTTAAACTTGTTAGCAACATTCCCCCCTTTCTTTATCACCTTTTCTTCTTCTTCCTTTTCTTTACCTTTTTACCTCTTGTCCCGTAAGAGGGCTTTTAGATACTTTTTTTTTTCACATAATTTGGACTGACCTGGGCAATCCAATATAACAAACATATCATGTGCTCATAGGTCACTTTATAAAGTTTAATTTATAAAAATAAAATGTTTAATCGTATTGACCAAAGTCTACAAACTGCCCTTTGGAATAATAATAAAAAAAAAACTACCCTTTGGGAAAAATCAAACCGCCCATTGGATGAATCAAAACCGCCCTTTTGGAAAATTTATTAGCCGCACTTTTTTTTTAACAAACCGCCCTTTGGCGTTGGAACGACTGTATTCATTTATTTTTGTTCAATAACTTTTTTTATTTTTATTTTTGCTTTATTTTACATAATATATGTCAACACAACTAAAACTTTCTAGTCGCTTCTTCCAAAGAGGTGTAAGATATTATGCTTCAAAAGGTGAATATAAAACTCTATATTATTAAATAGCTTTTTTTTTTTTTATTTTTTTTTAAAAAAAAAGAAAACCTAATATATGCAAAGCTATCTTAACCCCTGGTCAAAAGTTGCAAGGCTATGAAGTTCAACAAGTATGCTCAAGTTAAAACAGATAATTTTTATTTTATTTATTTTGCCCTTTAGGTTAGAAAAGTACCAGAACTCGAATTAACAGCCATTACATTACAACATGAAATAACTGGAGCACGTCATTTACATATTGATCGAGAAGATAGTAATAACGTATTTGCTGTCGGTTTTCATACACCTGTTCAAAATGATACTGGTGTTCCGCATATACTGGTAACTATGAATAGGCTAATAAGAAAGCAAATAGAGTTGATAAAATATATATATATATATTACATAATATTAGGAACATACAACTTTATGTGGAAGTCAGAAATACCCTGTAAGGGATCCTTTCTTTAAAATGTTAAATCGTAGTTTAGCTACATTTATGAACGCTTTTACTGGTAATAATCTACATATGTATATAAAGTTAAAAAAAAACAAGAAACAGGGATATGTACTTACGTATACATACATGTATAGCCAGTGATTATACTATTTATCCTTTTGCTACAACAAACCCTGCTGATTATAATAATTTAAGGGATGTTTATATGGATGCTGTCTTTCATCCAAAGTTAAATAGACTTGATTTTAAACAAGAAGGCTGGAGATTAGAGCATGAAATACCTACTGGTAAGTTAATATATATATAAGAAATATTAAAAAAAATAAAAAGGAGGTTTTTTTATTCATCTTAGCGAGTATTAGATACTAGTACACCAATTCAATTTAAGGGTGTTGTTTATAATGAAATGAAAGGACAAAGTGTAAGTTATTTCATTTAAGGAAATTATAGATGTATACACACAAACATATTCATTAAATCTTACTCTTCTCTGTTACAAAGTCAGATATAAACTATTTGTATTATATTCGTATGCAACAAGCCATGTTCGCTGGTACAACTTATGAATATTGCAGCGGAGGAGATCCTAAATTCATTACTGATTTGACACATGAACAACTACTTGATTTTCACAAAAGACATTATCATCCAAGCAATGCCCGATTTTACACGTATGGTAATTTTCCTTTAGAGGAACATTTAGAAGCGATTAGTAAGCAACTTGAAGGGTTTACAAAGTCTCAAGTTACTATTCCTAATGTTAATAAAATAACTACATCATGGAATGAACCAAAGAGTATAGAAACAACATGCCCATTAGACCCTAGTAAAGTATCCTAACTATTTTTCCCTTAAATACATACACACAGATATATTAAAAGTAATGCTCTTTTTACAGTGAGTCCACCTGATAGGCAAACAAAACTTTCTATCTCTTATCTTACAAATGATGTTACGGTAAGTAATAAAAAAAAAATGTATTAATTTAACTGATATACTTTACATTAGGATACCTTTGAAACATTTTCAATGCGTTTATTATCCTACTTACTTCTAGACGGACATGCATCTCCTTTTTATAAAGCTTTGATTGAGACAAATCTTGGTTCTGAATTTTCTTCAAATACAGGCTATGATAACAGTACTCGGTAAAATGAAAAAATTATATTCTTTATAGAGTGATAAATATTTACCTTTCTTTTATTTTATTTTTTTTAAAAAAAAAAGTACAAGTTCTTTATCTATTGGATTACAGGGCGTAAAAGATGATGACGTGGAGAAGGTTAAAATAACAATTAAAAATGTTCTTGAGAAAGTTCGACAAGAAGGATTTGATTCTAAGCGTATTGAAGCAGCCATTCATCAAATGGAACTTGCTCAAAAGCATGTAAGTTTTATTGAAAAATTAAAAAAAAAAAAAAAAAAACTTACATAAATAATAATCATTAGAAAACAGCTGATTTTGGCCTTACCATTATGCATGGTATTTCCTCTGGTTGGTTTAATGAAGTGGATCCTGTTGATCTCTTAGAGATTAATAAGGTAATTAAAGGATTATATACATACATACATATATATATATATATACCGATTTGCTCATATTTTGTTATATGATTATTGCTAGCATATTGAACGTCTTAAATCAGAATTATCAAAGGGCAATTATTTTGAACATTTAATTGATAAATATTTATTAAATAACAAGCATACATTATCATTTGTCATGCGACCTGATGAGAAGTATTCAGCTACAGTTCTTTCTGAAGAAAAATCTCGATTGGCAAAGAAAGTAGAGTCACTTACTGATAAAGAAAAGGCAGAAATCGCTCAAGATGGTAAAGATTTATTAGCTTCTCAGGATCGTAAAGAAGATTTAAGCTGTCTTCCAACGCTTCAATTGAGTGATATTGCACATAAAGCAAAACATACTATTTTAGAACATACTGGACTTTGTAATACACCTGTTCAATGGAGAACAACTTCAACAAATGGCATCACTTACTTCCGTGCTATTAGTACATTACCCTCTTTATCTGATGATTTAAAGCTTTATTTGCCATTGTTTTGTGATGCTTTATTGTCTTTAGGTACACGTCAGCAATCAATGGCGGATATTGATGAAGAGATTCGTCTTTATACTGGTGGCCTTCGCGCCTCTACTACTTTAACAACTAATCATTCTGATATTGATCATATTGAGGAAGGAATTGCTCTTGTTGGCAACTGTTTAGATCGCAATATTGATAAAATGTATAGCATATTAGCCAAGTTAATTCATGAAACTAATTTTGATGATGTTGAAAAACTAAAGACGCTTATTAATGGTGTAAGTTGTTTATAATAAGAAAAAAAAAAGAGTGGAAAAATGTTAATTTTATTTTATAAAAGAATGCATCCTCTATGGTTAATTCTATTGCAGATTCTGGTCATGTCTTTGCTCGAACCTTTGCTGGGTCAAGTTTGACACCTGGTATGCATAATGCAGAAATTATGAGTGGTATGACGCAGGTTAAGTTTATGAGTCGTTTGGCTGCACAAGAAGACATTTCTGATGTTGTAACTAAGTTGAAACAGATCGCATCTGCAGTTTTGACACAATCTTCTTTACGTGTTGCAATTACTTCGGGTGAGGATGCTATTGAAAGCAATACAAAATCGTTAATTAGCTTCCTTCAAAGTTTACCTGTTGAAAATAATAAGATTAATAATAAATCTACTATGTCTCTTAACACTGTAAGTATACAATAAATTACAAAAAAAAAAAAAAAAGGAGGGGGAAAGAGAGCAAAATAGACTTATTTTAATTGTATATATAAATAGGGTGTATTCACTCCACAATATAAGAGAACTTTCTTCCCTTTACCATTCCAAGTCAATTTTTCAGCTCAAGTATTTCGTGGAGTTCCTTATACACATCCTGATGGAGCCAGTCTTCAGATGTTATCTTCACTTATGACAAATCATTACCTTCATCGTGAAATTAGAGAAAAGAATGGTGCTTATGGTGGAGGAGCAAGTTATGCTGGCTTAAATGGTCTCTTTTCATTTTATTCTTATCGGGATCCTCGAACACTTGAAACTTTAGATACATTTAAGAAGTCAATTGATTGGGTTCAGCAACGTTCATTTACAGATCAGGAAATGACGGAGTCCAAATTGTCAATTTTCCAAGGTATTGATGCCCCACAAAGTGTATCTGAAGAAGGTATGCTTCAATTTGTACACGGTATTTCTGATGAAATGAGACAATGGTAAAGTATTAAGAGGGAGAAGAAAAAAGAGAAGAATACTTATTGGGTATAATAAATATGAGAGAAACTAACATACAATGAAAAAAAAAAAAATAGGCGACGTGAAGCACTTTTAAAAGTGACTCAGGATGACATAAAACGAGTAGCTTTTGAATATCTTGATAAACATGTGAAACAAAATGGATATTCTACTGCATTATTGGGTGAATCAAACAATCGTATTACTGAAGAACAAGGTTGGCACATTAATCAATGGGATAAGGACTCTCAAGAACAATAACAATAAACAAAAAAAAATATTTTGTATATGTAAATACAGTTAATAATAAAATGTAATAGAACTGATGACAAATGTTAAATCTTTTATATATCTACGGAGACCCCGGAATTAGTGAATTTGGCCAATAATTATGAGTGTATTTCACGTGGGGAAAAATAATGTAAATTGTCTTCTTTAATAACAATCACATGAAATTTTTGTTTTAATGTTGAATTCTGGCTCCGAGTTTCTCCCTTTTTTAGTTTGGGAAAGTCTATGATAATGAGAGAAAACGTATAAAAGGAGTAATTTATTATCTCTCTCTTTTTTTTCATTTTATTTTTCCTTCTTCTTTTACTTTACATACATATACGTATACATACATACATACATATATATATATAAATATATTATAAAATGACTATTGATTTAGAGCAACAAGCATTTCTCGAAGAAGTTGAACAAGTAAAGAAATGGTGGTCCAGTCCTCGTTTTGCACACGTTAAGCGTCCCTATACAGCTGAAGCCATTGTTTCTAAACGTGGTTATTTCCCTATTCAATATCGTTCTGATATTCAAGCAAAAAAAGTTTGGAAACTTCTCAAAAATCATAAAGCAAATGGTACAACATCGCATACTTTTGGTGCCCTTGATCCTGTTCAAGTCACTCAGATGGCACCCTTTCTTGAGACAGTTTATGTTTCCGGCTGGCAATGCTCTTCTACTGCTTCAACCTCAAATGAACCTGGTCCTGATCTTGCCGATTATCCTATGGATACCGTTCCTAATAAAGTAGAACATCTCTTCTTTGCTCAACTCTTCCATGATCGTAAACAGCGTGAGGCTCGTCTTGCGATGACACCTAAAGAACGTGCTGCTAACCCTCCTATTGATTATTTAAGACCTATCATCGCTGATGGTGATACCGGTCATGGTGGTATTACAGCTGTTATGAAACTTGCTAAAATGTTTGTTGAGCGTGGTGCTGCTGGTATGCACAGTAAGTATTATTCCTATATTACAAAATTTACTCTTTTTCTTTTTTTTTTTTTAAAAAAAAAAAAAATAGAAAAAATACTTATCAAAATTATTTATAGTTGAAGACCAATCTCCTTCTACAAAGAAATGTGGCCATATGGCTGGTAAAGTTTTGGTTCCTATTGGAGAACATATTAATCGTTTAATTGCTATTCGTGTTCAATATGATATTATGGGGGTTGAGAACTTGATTGTTGCTCGTTCTGATGCAGAAGCTGCTACGTTAATTACCTCTAACATTGACCCCCGTGATCATGAATTTATTGTCGGTACTACCAATCCTAATGCGAAGCCTTTAGCTAGTTTAATGAATGAAGCTGAAGCCTCTGGTAAACATGGTGCTGCACTTCAAGCAGTAGAAGATGAATGGATTTCTAAAGCAGGTCTTAAGCGATTTGGTACAGCAGTAGCTGATGAAATTATTAAATCTGGTAAATCAGAAGCTGTTGCTCAAGAATTTCTTTCCAAGATTCATTACAAATCTAATGCAGAAGCCCGAGCCATTGCCAAGAATGAATATGGTATTGAAATCTTTTGGGACTGGGATCTTCCCCGTGTGCGTGAGGGTCTTTATCGTTATGAAGGTGGTACTGAGGCTGCTACTTCGCGTGCAGTTGCGTTCGCACCTTATGCAGATATGTTATGGATGGAAACTAAGAAGCCTATTCTTGCTCAAGCGAAACAATTCTCACAAGGCGTTTTATCTGTTTATCCACATGCTTTACTATGTTATAATCTTTCTCCTTCCTTCAACTGGTAAAGTAAAAAAAAAAAAAAAAATATCATGATCATCCAATCCTATTTGTATTAATTAATCATATTTAGGGATGCTGCTGGTTTAAATGATAACAATATGAAATCATACATTGCAGATTTGGGTAAGCTCGGTTTTGTCTGGCAATTCATTACGTTGGGAGGACTTCATGCAAATGCATTAGCAACTGCTACTTTTGCAAAGAGCTTTAAGGAGCAAGGTATGCTTGGCTATGTTAGTCAAGTTCAACGTAAAGAGCGTGAACAAGGAGTTGATGTCCTACAACATCAAAAGTGGTCTGGTGCTAATTATGTTGATGAACTCATTAAAGTTGTTACAGGTGGTGTTGCTGCTACTGCTGCAATGGGTAAAGGTGTCACTGAGGATCAGTTCAAATCTTAGATATAATGAAATTACTCCCTTTTTTTTTTTTCTTATGTACACCATATAATTTCTTACTCTTCTTCTTCTTTACTCTATTCCCTTTCTCTTTTTACACACACCAAATGTATAATTTTGTATAATATTTAAATTATAATATACATATGTGTATATTTGTTTCCTTTGTCTTACAAAAATAAATATAAAATGATGTATAGGCTACTACTGCTAGAGAAAGAAAAGAATTCTATTTCGCTTATTCATTTTGGAGAAGTTACTTCTACATAACTTTTATCCGACCATTTTGCGTAACTTATTACCCCACAATTTAATTTAATACCAATGAGATTTTTTATTCTAGTTTTTCAATTATGTTGACTCATAATCGCTATTGTTTCATCCCACGAAGAAAAAAAAAAGATACATAAAATTATCACGATAAATTAAGTTAAACGTTATATTTATTTCAAGCGATAAAAACGATTCATTTTTTTTTAAAAAAAAGAAAAAAAGAAATGTATCAGTTTAAATTCACTATTTTTTAATTCTATGCTATCAAGTCAAAACTAAAAAAAATAAATATTCATATTTGTTTAAATAATGAACTAGTTTTTAACCCGATACGACTCTTTCAACAGCAATATAAACCATTTATTTATTTACTGTATATACGTCATTCCAAGTTATCAATTGCTGATATTAACAATACAAATCTTCCTACAGCATTTATCATCAACATTTAAGCAACTTCTTTCTTCAATTTTGTTCCTTTTATATTTTTAAAATAGTTTTTTTTTTTTTTTTTTTTTTTTTTTTTTTTGTGGAGTATATTTTTCAACGCTTAAATGCTTTTATTTGAAAATGAATTACGATTTTAGTACAAATGAGCGCTTGTAAAAATAGTCGTTTATTTTGGACTTTGTGAGCGTCTAAGGCTTTTCTTATTAATATGTCCGTCCATTTGATCTTATACATTAACACATCTACATTTATACTCATTATATTGAAATGAGAAAGAAACGTCATAGGAAATGTGTTGCCTATAATTAGCTGGAAACAATAAACAGAAAGAAAAATAAAAAATAAAAGTTTTTGTGTAAAACTCAAGATAATCTTTATTGAAAATATTTGCAGTATTTATATGTTTTTGTAAAGTATGAAATTATTGTACTGGAAAGTTCTAATGACTAGATTTCAAATATTTCTCAGATAATTATGAAGATTTTAGTAACAAAAGTTATTAGAATGAAAGAAAAAAAAAACCAAACAAAAAATAGTTTTAGGATTTAATGAGAAAGCCGTCTTTATTTGATTTTATATTTAAGTTAGAGTCTATCTTGGTTTCAAAGCAATAAGCTTTTACTCACAGGAACAACCACGTGAAGGTGTAGACTATCTGTTCCCAACCCTCAGATCCCCACACGCTAATGACTTTCACCATTCACCTCTAGCATGAACTTCAAAGAGCGTCTACTACTAGACATAAATGACTGAAGCACTAGAGACGTCGACATTAGTATTTTTTCTTACTTGGTCCACTAGCATGAACTTCAAAGAGCGTCTACTACTAATCGCCGAATAAGAAAAAAACCCCCATGTTCCAAAATGTCAACAATTCCCTCCTCAAGAGTACTGGCATGAGAAACCCAGTAGAGGCAACATCTACTACCAACACCGAGAGGCAAAGCACCAAAGTATTAGCGTACTTTAATTACATGGACCACTAGCATGAACTTCAAAGAGCGTCTACTACTAATCGCCACATAACCAAAGTCCCCCAGAACGTAAAAAGAAAATAAAAGAAAAATAATAAAAGAGAAAAAAAATTACGTAGACTTTATATAGAAAGTCGGAGTGTAAAAATTAACCAATAAACTTTTACCACATTGCTGAGACAGAATTCTTCAGGAGTCTCCTTTAAACTTTTATTACTATGGATGAGGAGATTCATAATTCAAAATGAATTATCTATAATATATATAAAAGTGAGTTTAATTTAATTAGACAAAACTAGAATAGTATAGTTGAATAGGACATTTATCAGCTAATTTTATTTGATTTTTGTATAATTTCGTATAATTTAAGCACTAGACTTTGTTGCCAGAGAAGCGAACAAAGGAATGTGGTAACACAGTCGTCTTGTTTGCAATACTGGTCATAAGTTCAGAAGCTTTTCTTTTACGATCTTTAAGTAATTGAACATTCTTGAGCATGGCCTGTTTTGCCTTCCAAATAATCTCAAAAATAGGAATAAGGTCAATATTGATGTCGTTGGATGATGAAGGGAATTCAAACACTGATGATCTTAAAACTCTTGTTATTGCACTTTTGTAAGGAACATCCATTCTTAATAATTCCATTTTTAGTCCCATAATAAGAAGTCCAATAGTTGTTAAGTTATTGATTTGGTGTGGGGTTTGATTCACAAGCATGCAAAGCATGTCTCTTAATGTCTTAGGCAGCTTGACCAACCCATCATCCATATACTTGTCATCTGCAACGGTAATCATATCTTTTCCGATTTCACACGATCCGAATTCATTATTTTTGATCGTGAATAAGATATCCACTTTTGCTCCCACTGCTTTTCTTTGCCTTTTTTTATCAGTTTCAAGAGACCGATTAGCATTTCTTGCCAGTGCTACTGCAACACTGCTGCGTTCGCCAAGCTTTCCTCGGATACTGCGATCTCTGAAGATTTTATATACGAATGGCCAGAGCTCATGCAGCAGATCAGACTCTGAATAATCTTCAAGGTGCAATTGATTATCGTCACAGAAAAGCTCAGAAATTCCAATCATTCTTTGGAGGAGCCATCTCTTGTCAAATTTGACGAAGGAAAAATGTTTTTGGTTTTCTGCATATTCACGTGATTCATTTCCTGTTATCCACTCCTTATCGTATAAATCAAGATACTCTTGTAATTCCTGTGGGAGCTTCTCCAGAGGTTTTACATTATACGACTTTATCTCATTTATTTCTTCACGAGTAAAGTATTTCTCCCAGACTAAGTCGTCCGGATCCATTATCATGGAATGAACTGGGTGCTCAAAAGAAGGAATTTTCACCAATACTTTCTTCTCAGCTTCGACTACGAGACCGGTTTTCAGTCGCCACTTGTTGTTTTCTTCAATAGTATTGTATCGAGCTAAAACGCGTCTTTTCTCCTCTTCTGACAAATTGTAATTTGACTTTGTAGTTTTAGAGGACGATCAGTCTTCCTTGACTGACTTTTCGATACCGAGCCATGCGTTTTCATTAAATTTTGAAATACTGTATCCAGCGGCATTAGCGATTAACTTCAACTTTCTTTTCCAATCACCTTTGAATCTAGCAATATTTTTTCCATTATACTGTGAAACAATCAAATCCTTTAAATCTGCGGTAAGTTCAGACCAAACTACCACTTTCTGATCATTAGCTAACTTAACCATTGATGAAATAATTTCTATACATATTAAAAACCAAAAGTATAAATAATCAATAGTAATTGTTGCTAGGTGATCGTTTTCTTATTAGTTCCTAGGTTACTTTCTTTATACTGTATATTCCCAAACATTTTACACAATAAATAACAATTAAATTAAAAAGGAACAAACGTTGCTAAAGGAGCGAAGGCTGAAGTTGTGTTACATAAGTATTTAAATCCAAGTTCATAATTAATACCTAATTTCATACGTGTAAGTGCAAAGTTTAGAAAAAAAATTATTTTGTCTACAAAAAAAAGCTCATGGATCACCCATTTGGGGCACTTGGGCCATTCTAATTTTGAACTAATATTTTTATTCTTCTTTTGCCTTATATTTTAACTGCTCAGTATCTTTTTTTTGTTAGGTGTCAAGGAATAATGTACTTTGCTTCACCTTATTTTCATTTGCATTATAAGCATCACCATGTTTTTTTTTAGCCAATTAAATAGTCTGTATTAGTTCCTGTCTACGTCATCATTTTGCTGCTACAGGAAAAGTCGAATTTTAACTAAAAATCAAATAGACAGTATCATCACACTAATATCCTTAATGGTCTAGTGACTAATATTTGTTGCTCCCATTAATGCGGCCGGGATTAGATTCCTCATCGAGAAAAACGTTTTGCCAAAATTCCGATTTATCTAAATTCTTGTTAATTTTACTTTTATGATCCCATGGTCTTCTCTTGCCCATTCTTCGTTATTAATTTTGGAATGATAAACCAATTATCGTTGGTTTTACTAATAACAATTATTATCCTCTTCTTTTTCTTATGAATATATTCTTCTACTATACACATGCAACGGTTATAATTTTTTTTTGTCGTATAGTTACATGTGGAACAGCAAATAATGATTATTACATAATTATCATTGGATTTTATGCAACACAAAACAATAATTATACTTACACAACAACGCGATATTTTTTTTTATAAACTATGTCAGCGGTGTACCAATGTTAAGAATATAGTCTAAATAATATACTAAATCAAATGAAAATGCAACAAACTGTTCACTAAGTTGGTGTTTGATATTGCTCTGCCATTACAATTTGACAGATCGAATATCAACAATTTTCATTTCTCCCTTTTTATTGCGTCTCAGGCGCAAGTTGCATGTGCTATTCAACATTATGTCATTATATACTTCTTTTATTGTTCACTCTTTTTAATCTTTACTGTAATTTATTACTCTAAAATCCAAGCCTTTCTCTTTAGATAACTTATCGATTTTTTTTTATCTTCTTTGTGGTTGCACTGAAAATTGTATTAGTGCAATAACATTTATACAATCGTGGTTCGTAAAATGAGCAAAATAATTTGTTTTAATCTGCAAGCCTGTTTCAGAGAATGAATAATATAAGCATATTTATAAGAAAAATACAAAACGTTCGCTTCTAATTGGGATGACATACGTGAATCGGAGTATATTACATTAAAATTAAATGTGGGGATATTCAGTCAAACATGTTCCTAAAAAAAGCTCCCACACCGTTTCTATCTGAATCCAGCCAATCATTACATGAGCTATTATAATAAAAAAGGACTATAAATATGTATACACATATACAAAAGTGGGTTTAATTCCTTGTTTTCACTTATTGTTTTTCTTTTTCCTTTTTCTTTTTTTTTTTTTAAAAAAAAAATGCCAAATACTATTCCTGAAAATTATAATAATAATATTATTATTAACGGTAAGCCCACGCACCCTAATGATTTTAAAATTGTTCGCCAGGGCCCACCTGAATCATTTTCAAGTAAACTTGTTGCGGTTAGACCATTTGCAAAAGGGTCTATTATTGCCACTTTGGAGGGGCTTACACCTGGTGCTAAACGTTATTCGACAGTGCAGGTTTCTAAAGATAAGCATATTGAATTAAATAGTGATCTCGTTTTCATGAATCATTCATGTGATCCTTCAACTTTTATGGATGTTGATCATTCAGTTGTGGTTGCCACTAGAGACATAGCTCCTGATGATGAATTGACCTTTTTCTATCCTTCCACTGAATGGGATATGGGTAGCTTTTTTTTTTAAGAAAAAAAATAGTCACGACTTGACAGCTAATTATTTTTACTTTTAATAGCACAACCATTTTCATGCTGGTGTGGTTCATCAAAGGTAAACTTATTTTGTATGCAAGAAAAAAAAAAAAGGTTAACAAAATAAAATTATTCTAGTGTATTGAAACAGTTCAAGGAGCCCGATATCTGTCAACAAATACCTTAAAGCAGTTTGTTTTGAGCAAACATATCGAGGAACTCATTCAGGAGAGAGATTTGTAGAGTTTTTTTTTTTTTTTTTTTTTTTTTTTTTTTTTTTTTTTTTTTTTTTTATTTACTAATGCATGTTTTATATATTTGTATATGTTTACAAACAGGAGAGTGTTGTAATTTATACGTGATAATTTAATAAAGTTTTTGGTTAAGAGAATATTTTTTATTATGTTAATTCAAGAAAAAAAAAACAAAGAATGAAGAAGTAGGGGAAATATAACAAAAAAGAAATAATATCTGTATATGAGCATATATATGTGTATAGATATATATTATACAAAAGCAAAGCCAGTAGAGCATTCGCTAATCGCTTTAAAGAGGTTTGTACGTAAGCTTTCATAAGAATCATATTGAGGTAAATCTATTTGATTAAAACTTTTTTTTTTTAAAAAAAAGGGTTAATATTGAGTAATCTTTAACTTTAAATATTATAAACTTACCATGTATGTGCAGATGGAAGACGGTTTTCTCCGCCAAAATCTTTATGAATTTGGAATTTTTGTACACCATTTGAGCCTTGAAGTTGACTAAATCCCTCCAAAGGTACCTTGGAGGTGCCAGTAGCAAATTGAAGTAATTTAGCACGTTCTTCTTGATCAAAGCTTCTAACAGCACGCCAGAACCATTGAACAGGAGGTGATGAACTAGTATAACCTTGGTACTCAGTATTATTTTTCCAATCATCAATATCAATATCCGGTAAACCAGAAATTAAGAGTTCTAATTCTTGTTCGTTGAAAATTTGAATTAAATGAGCGGGAATAATATCATGGAAACCCTGAACAAAAGCATTGATTTGATCTTTAATAGCTGTAGTTAACTTCTGCTCTGTTACTAATGCCACATATTCATGCTTGTTTTCTTCTGTTACAGGGATATTTCTACCATTGGGTTTCAAATCAACGGTCTCTTTAGTGCCGAAATAATCTGTTTCGATACTAAATGTTAAATCAATAATATCGGTGATATCATTTTCTAACATCCAAACTAAACTCTTATAATATTCTGGATCTAATGCTTCAACATCACGATAATCAACACTACGTCCTAAAATATGCTTATAGAACGAGCGAGTAAAGTAGGCATCTAAGAGACGACCATCATATATAGCCTTGCCAATTATACGACCTACAAATTTGAAGAAGCTTAAGTGATCAGGATTAACAGCTGAGTCACGATTAGGCTGGTAAGTCAACTTATCAGCAGCAGATTTAACAAAAAGTGCATAATTTGGATCAAACATTTGTCTAGCTAAAACAGAGAACCATTCACGAGAAACACCCCCTGCATCAACACCTTCTTCATTATAAAAACGAACAGCAAGTTTACCATGCTTAAACTCGTCACCAGTACGACCTTGAAGTTGATGATAGGAGTCCTCAAAAACATTATGTCGACGAACATTAAGTTGTAATTGTGGGTAGTTTTCACGGGGTCCAGAACGCTTATGGAGTTGTTGTACGAAATAATTGCGCTTGTTATCAAACTCAAGCATCTTGGGATTACGAACTAATAAAGAAAATGATCCACTCATAAGTGAAGGATTCTTACGAACCATGATATTCAGAACCTTTTTATGCTTCTCCGTAAAAGTATAAAAGAATGGTCGAGGGTAAATATGAGATAATTTACTAGTTGGATCAGAAGGAAAAGCTTGCAGTTTTCCATTAACAATATTATGTTTTCTTTCTGCAGTGCATTTTGAAACGACCATGAATGATTCAATCAAAGGCAATAACACAGTAGCAACATTAATCAAGTCTTCTTTTTCATGAATAATAGACAGACATTTACCAAGTGTATCCCATAATGGTAAGAAATTGAGGTTTTCACAAATTTCAGTAACACGCGATTCATTTTCGATTTGGACTTTTATTAAATCATCCTTATTTGTTTCACTTTCAGAAACTGTGGGGAGCTTGCGATTGAATATGTAATCCAATGTTTTTAGAACACGTAGCAGTTTAGCTTGATGAGATGTAGCAGCTGAGAAAGGAGCAATTGCAAAACTGCTGACTTCAGTACCATCCATCGTTGTAGTCAATAATTTGAATAAAGTCTCAAGGTCTTTCAAAATATGATCACCAGATTTTTTGGCATCCTCTACAAGTTCAGAAACAATTGTTGACTGAGCACCTTCTAGGGCAGATAAATGAGAAATAGCATTTAAAGTATATTGGAAAGTTTTACTTGAGCATTCACCATTGGTGAGTACATGGACAACAAGCTTAAGATAATAGTCAGGGATTGTAGGTGGTTTAGGCATAGGTCTTTCTGACAAACTAGGATCTTTCTGCTTATTCTCTAACTTTTCTTTATATTTCTTAACTAAAACTGGGAAGGGGCGACACATTGTAGACAATAAATCCATAAGTTGTTCCATCAAGGATGAATTATGAATAAAAACTGAACGGTCCAAAAGACTCATCAATAACAAAATAGGGTATCTGTTCCAGTTAGCAGGCACCTTTTCTTTGCTTTTGCCTTTTCTGTTGGATGAAACCCGCTTTAGATTAGCCAATGCTTCACTTTCAGTTAAGAAGTAAGTCATAGATTGATCATTACATGATATAATGTATGTTAATGCCTCTAAACATCGTTGAGCAATAAAGTTGGGTGCGTTATCTGCAAATGTTGTTGACATAAGTGTATGCTTGCTAAATTTAGACTGAGTAGATTTGGTATTTTTACCAAAAGAATTGAGAAGAGCAAAGCTGTTTTCAACAGAATTCAAATCATTATCACCATCATAGAGTATGCATACGAGGTATGATAAAAGCTCGCTACGTGTTTTACTATTTTCACACAAGTTCAACAATAATCGATTAAGCATAGACTTAGAAATAGTTTGTGGAATAAAAAGTAATCGTACTAAAGTACTAAGTTGTGACTTTTCAAGAAGCTGTGCGGTACTATCAACACGACGAGACTTGGCTTTCTTTTTAACAGGTCCGGAGGATTTAGTATCATCTTCAGCAGAAGCAGGTCTTCTATGAGACGAGATAACTTCAACTATTTATTATAATAAAAAAAAAGATAGATTAGTTGTATTACCCATATTTAATATATATATATATATTTTTTTAAAAAAAAAACACGTACACGACGAGGCACCACCACCGCTATTGCTTACATTAGTAGATACAGGTGTATTTGCAGGTGCTTGGCGATTTTGTCGCTCACGCCTTTCACGTTCAAGAGCTTCTTGGTGCAAAACTTCTTCACGAATATCGGGAGGCAAAGCATCTAAGAATTCAGGACTAATAGAGTCATCTTCGATGGGCTGTGTAGGAGCTGGTCTTTCACGTATATGTTGATTAATGACTTCTTCTCTTAAATCATCTGGCAAAGCTTCCAAAAATTCTACGTCAATACCTGTACCAGAAATATCAACAGCTTCACCATGAATAGTAATAGTAGTACGTTCAGTGTTTAAACTATCTCCAGCCGCTGCATCAGTACTTTCAACATTAGTTTGAGAAGTAGTTTCTGTTTGAGACTGAGGCTCACTAGTTGACATGTCATTCTCTGCAATTGTAGGCTCAATATTTGATAAGGATCCAGTCTCAGCACTAGGAGTCTCGGATGCTTCAGCTTCAGCTTTTGATTTAGCAATTTCATGTGCTTCACGAGCTTCTTTCTCAAGCTGCCACTTTTGTTCTTCGGCTTTACGTCGCTCTTCTTCTTGCTGTCTTTGTTCTTGACGTCTTTGTTCTTCTTCTTCACGAGCTTTTCTATCATCCTCAATAGCAATAGGGATCAAAATATTTAGAAGCTCATTTACGAGCTTCAATGCCTTTTCGCTAATATTAGTTCCATACATCATACGTGCTTCTTGATTCCAACGTTCTCCTGATGTCATAGGCTGGAAATCTTGTAAAATAGTTAAAATCTCTTGTACCTGATCATTTGTTTCACCAGTACCCCTTGTGTTGGATGATCTATGGTTATTATTTGTAGCATTCAAAGTAGGAATATGATCAAATTCAAAAGTGCGTAAAGCGCCACCAGATGTAGATTGAACATCAATGCGTAATGAACTAGCTTGACTAATAGGAGTTGCACGCGTCAAAATATCTTCAAGCATACGAACAGCACTACCACCAATAATATCTTCGAAATCTTGCCAATTAGACAAGCCTGTACTATGCGCCGCTCTCCGGCTGAACGCTTCTTCAATTGTATTACGTCCATTAGTACCAACAGGGAAGCCTGAACCATTATTATTATTATTGGATAATAAAGGATGTGAAATGATATCTTCTTGACCTTGAACTTGTGCTGGTGTTCTAAATGGTCTACCTACTATTTATATTCGATAGATAAATTAACAAATCTTTAAAATATTATTAATTATTATCACTTTACCCCCTTCAAGCAAAGATCGTCTACCATCAGCGAATCGTCTTCTAAAAGCAGAATGAAGAACAGTACGAGGTCTAGAAAGATCATCATTTTCAATATCCAAATCATCTTGCAAATCAGTAGGTAAGAAGGGCGTGTCAAGATCTTCAGCATCAAGTAAAATACCATCATTAATATCATTGGTAGATATGTTTTCTGCATTTGAAAATGCATCATCAAAGTCAGACAAAGCATCCATTTCTTCTTCTTCATCATCTTCATCCTAAAAAAAAAAGTAATTATATAGTTAAATAACAAGAACAATGCTTCTTTTCATAATTTTTTAATAAAAAGAGTTACTTCATCATAAGGATCAGTCAAATTTCGAATATTAACTTGATCATCATTCTCATCGCCAGCCTCAATGATAGCAGCAGCACGAACAATTCCAGGTTCTTCTTCGATATCTTCCAAATGCCAAGTCATTTCACGTCCATCCTCCTCATCATCATCCTCTTCATCATCCTCATCTTCAATTAGCTCATCTTCGGCATCAATATCATCAGATTCTTCATCATCTTCATCCATTTCATCACTATCATAATCACCACTATGCATCATAGTTTCCATTTCTTCAGTTTCCTCGTCTTCCACTTCATCAGATAAATCACTTTCACCATCTTCTGGATAACTAAAAAAAAAAAAAAAAAAAAAAAAAAAAAAAGTCAGTACGCAATATGATTTTTTCTAATAGACATATACACTTACTTTTCCTCTTCATCTGCAGATGAACCAAACATATCACTGTATTCATCACTATTATATTCTTCCTCATCAATAACACTACCATCAAACATACCAAGAGCGGAATTACGATAAAGATCAGGCGCTTCATCTTGTTCTTCAGCAGAGGTGTTAGGTACATGTATTTCTTCTTCTGTAATATCCATCTTATCCTGTTCTTCTTCATCAGTATCAGTAGCTTCCTCAGCTTTAATAGCAAGCTTTGTTAATTGTTCTAAAGGACGTATCAAAGCATTTAAGATAGCTCTTGAATGAGGATAGTTAATATCAATATCGCTAACAGCTGAAGTCAAAACGGCAACAAAATTCTTATCCAACATAATTTTTGCATTATTCAAAGTTGACTCTTCTTTGTCATTATTATTGGATGTGTTATGACTGCTACCAAGCGAACGAGGTGCAAAAGGACCAAAATTAGGTCTAGCATTCAATATACGATGACAAAGGTCTGCAAAGGCAAGATACCTGGAATACTTAATAGATGGAGCCTCTGTAGAAGCGATTGCTTCTTTCAAAGCTCGAATAATAGTTTCTAAAACATATTTTCTAACTTGAATTAATTCCGATTTTTGTTGAGAAGTCAGATCACTAGTGGAAGAGTTATCATAAGACATTGCTACTAATGTTGAAGCAGTCCAAGTTGATAAACCTTGCTGTTTACGTGATTCATCAGATGTAGGATTTGTATGATTGTATGGTAACAAGTCATTAATTAACATAGATACAAAGGAACGATGCTTTCCATCTGAGGTAGTTGCGCGTGGACCATTTTGCTTTTTACAAAAGTTGAAAATATCATATTTACAAGAAGGATACGAAGAAATAAGTTCAACAAGACATTGTAGCAAGAACCCTGTATAAACAAACTTGATATTTTCTTCCTTCTTTTGCTCCTCTGTCAACTCTTCTTTGTTAATAGTTGTAGTAGTAGCTTCAGAATGAATATTCATAATTTCATTCAACAAATAGTATATAACAACTTCAGAAGGAGACTTTTCCTTGGTATGAGAAGTAGTAGCAACACCGGAAATATCAATTTCAACATTCTTTTCATCTCCATCTTGTTTTTTCAATTTGATATGACGATTAGCTTCAAATTCATCATAGCGAGCTAAACGACAGATATTTGTAGTAACGTCAACAAAAGTGGAAGGATTACGAAGAGCAATATGAGCATTACTACGTATAAATGAACTAATATCCATATTACGAGGACGAGGATTTGTAAACCAGTTTGTAATGATGGCTTTCATGGTACTCTTTAAAACCGTTTTACTTTCAACAATGTGGCGCAAAATTAAAATGATATATGCCTGTTGACCTTGTAAGCCATCAAGACTGGAACGAGGCTTCACAAAAAGTAAAGGAATACCACCAATGCTAACAAAATGAAGTGCAGAATCGTGATCTTTTGTCAGACGTACAATCATGCGTAGAATAGCATAAATATCATCGCGAGATAATTCTGATTTACGTAAAAGTGAAACACTGCATTCTAATAATCTGGTACGTTGTTCGGAGGTAATATCAATCACTTTTGTATTAGAAGCTGGTTTTACATCTTGCATAACAACATCCTCACCATCAGTATTATTATCATTATTTTTTTCGTTTTCCTCTTTATCTTCTGTGTCAGATGAAGACGAATAAAGTAAGGGATGTCGACAAGGAACAGCTAATTTTTCCCTTTTAGGTTCATCTGCTTGTGCAATTAGTACTTCTAAAACCAAAAAGAGAACTGCAGACCAGGAAGGCAAAGGCACATCTTGATCAAGCTTTATAAGGTTGAGCATATCAAATAAGAATGAAAATTGATTTGATAATTTGTTTATAGTTTTCTGCATTGATGGTTCTCGAAGTAATAAAGCAAGTAAACGAAGACGACTACCAAGAAGTAAAGATTTACTTTCATCCTTATGAATTTCTGAAATTTGATTCAATAATGTGTTTATTATCATGACTGATGTCTTTGTAGCAGATATAGCTGCTTGAGCTGAAGTTGAGTCATCAGCTGTAGATTTTATATCTTGAAATTTGCCTAAAAGCGCCAACAAATCCCGTATATCAAACATTAAATCTTCACGTTTATCAGACAAAACCAAGAGTGGTGTAGGTAGTAACTGGCATAATTCTTGACGGAATGATTTAATTTTTTCTAGATTTTCAGAAGCAGCGGCATCTTCAACATCACTCTCATCATTTTCTTCTTCATTGTTATTATCATTAGTGCTACCTTCATCATTATCAAGGAAGTTAAGAGAAAAATGTCTTAAATTAGCTCCATTTGATAAAGGAAGTTCATTATTTAATGATTCTACATAATCATTAGTAATGTCTTCCATATCATTATCAGAATCATTATCTTCATCTTCATCTTCATTATCACTATGATGATGATTTTCATCGTCTGTATTACCACTATCGCCAAGATGCTCATCTCCTTCAGTATTTCTTTCATTATCAGGGTTATTGTCATCATCAGTATGATGGGATGATGTTTCTACAGTCGACTGTAACGCGTTTGTAGTTGTTGATGCACTAAATACAGGTATTGGATGGCTGAATAGATAGTCCACAGCACGAGAAACTTGGTTGTTACAACGTACAAGAGCCTGTTCAGCAGCAGCTCTTTCAAAACCCATATCAAGTAATGTTTGAATATTATGTTCAGAAGCAACAACTGGGGCGCGAAGTAAAGTAAAAGGAGCAGTCATAAGCGGCGTATTCAAATTACCAAATATATCACCACCACCACCACCACTACTGCCTCCACCATGACGAGTATTAGCTGTTGTTGAATGCGAAGAATTAGTAAATCCTCCTTCCCCTTTCATGAGTTGTTGAAAGATCTTGATAAGCGTTTGACCCACTTTCTTGGAAAATAAATGTAACTTGGAACATGTTAAATAGTCCTTAAGAGGAGTCAGTTTGAGTTCTAATGATATAATCCATTGATAAGGATCGAAATAATCTTTTGCCTTTTTATTTCTTTGAATTAAACTCGATGTATAAGCTGAATCACGCAATAGCTTGGGTGAACTGATATTAAGTATTAAGATTAAAAGGTTCTCGATGCTACTATTAATGCGACTTATAAGACCTCTATTTTCTTCTTTATCCTCTTCATACAAAGTTAATGCTTTATTCCATAATTGCTTGAGATTTTCCAACAATAAGTCCACGCCACCTTGTTGTTCAAAAGCAATAGCAAGTGGTGTTTGGAATGGAGACTGCGGGCGCTCATCTCTTAACAGATAGGAGATCATATTGTAGATAGATGCTAAATAATCGTACTTACAAGCAGGTGCATTAGGATTGTTGATAGGTTGCCAAGTAATATTATCCTTTAACAAATTTGCCATGAATTCAGCCAATTCCATTGTCTGAGATTTAGTAACCGTTGTACCCGCACGACGACTCACTGAAACTTTGATAAGACCTTGGAAAATGGACATAAGCAGCTGAGGTATATCTTTCAATAAAATTTTAAAATGCTTGATATTGATAATTCTAGGATCTTTAGGTGAAATGATCTTTTCGAATGTTGTACCAAATGCATTCTTAGAAGTGCCATTAAGATTGTTCATAGATGAGTTATCTTCTACTAGTAATGATATATATTAGTATTATGATCATTCATAAATCTATTCTAGTTTTGTGTTATATATATATATACCTAAGCCATGGTCTGTTGTTTTAGTTGTATCATTTCTTGTAGTAGCACTAGGTGCTTTGAAGTTATACCAGTCATCAGGTAATTCTTCTTTTAATAGATAGGTTTCCCAAACGATGACACGATAGAGTTGTCCGAGGGCTTGAATGATATTTCCTTCATCTGACGCAGCCAAAAATTCGGTCAAAAGTGATGGCCCATTCTTACCCTGAGTCAATATAATTGAAGCGAGATTGGATAATAGACTAACGATAGCTAACATTTCAATCAATTGATGAAGAAGTTTATTTCCACGTTCAATTTTATCGGTTTCTTGAGAATCTACATCTACAAATTCTACTAAACAACTCTTTTGATACCCATCTTTTCTTTCAGTAATAAAGCGAATGGATTCCTTAGCTTTGCTTGCAATTGCAAGAACAGTAGGTAAAGGACTAACGTCACATATCAGACGGAAAACATAAGCATATGTATTATTAGCCACTGTTGTACAAAATGTAGCTGGTAAAAGAGGAGAGCTATAGATGGATAACAATTTCTCAGAACCAACTTGACGGACAAACTCGTTGATGTTATTTTGGTTCTGAAATATTCCTTCTAAATATCGGCCAACAAGATCAACAAACAATACATACAGATAATCCACTTTGATCAGTTTTCTTTCACCTTCCTCACTTACTAAAATATCAGTCATTGCATTTTCTATTGGTGTAGATGACATATTCTCATCACTTTGTTCACCATTTTTTGCGCGTGTCTGTATAACATGACTGTTATCTTTCGGTTTACCGTTACCGTTCACATCATTACCCATTTTGATCATTTTTTGAACTAAATCATCGATACATTGAAATAATGTAGGTTTTAAAGTCGGCTGATGTCGAACTAATTCATCCATTGTAGCACCTAATGCAGTTGTACCATCTAAATCTGAAGTATTTCTAACATATTCTTCACTAGTCATCAATTCGAAAAAATGTGGTATAGGATTAGCGTTGTTAAACATTTCAAGACCTTGTGTATTAAGACAAACAGCACCAAACGCATTGATAGATGCTAGCATCACTTCATTGCTAGGTATATCATAAGTAGAAATTGTGTTTAAAAAGCTTTGAGGTAACTGAGCTTCTTGTAAAATACTTAATGAGGTGGGTTCATTGTGAATAAATGTAGCTATAATATTAATAGCCAGCGCAAGTATGGTGCTTCCAAATAATTTAGGATACTCCATAATAAGTTTGAGAGAATGAGGCAAATTGGAATCAATCAAATTGCGAAGTCCATCTGTGGTGCCTGAGGTATCCATCATACGCAATAAAAACTTGAGCATCGCTTTAACAGCTGATAATCTATTATAAGGTGCAGAAATTTCATCGTCTTTCATAATATATTCTGAACAAGCTTCCACCTCCAGCTATTAGGAAAGAAAAGAAAAAAAAAACTATGTTAGATCAAGCCATTTTTATAAAGAGTAATCATTATTAATATTTTACTTTAACACGATTTAGCAATGTATCCAAACCGTTCACATTACAGAAGGCGGTAAATGAAGAAGAAAATGAATTAACAACAGAGTCCATAAGGCCGACAAGCTTTGCTATATTCTTGTACAGAGTATATTCATGATTACCCAAAATTTGAACTAAAGTAGGAATAATGCCAGCAGAAATTAACATTTGTTCACCTGTTTGCGTTTGTAATAAATAAGATACAAACACAAACAAAGCATCTATGAAAGGTTGAGGGTATGCTTCATTTGAATTGATTTTACGTAAAATTCGCATTAATGTGCCATGATTTGTTGATGCATTTACGGCGGTTAAAACTTCTGGGAGTTTAATTCTATATTTTATTAAAGCATCCATAGCATATAGAGTATAAGTTTGAATAGTCTATAATAAAGAAAAACTCAATATAATTATTCAACATAAATAAATCTATGTGACTTACAATATCCGTTTGCTTTTCAGGAGAAATTAATTCAGCTAATTGTGAGACTAAATGTGGTTCAAATATAAAGACTTTGTTTTGTGCAGTGGTTTCAGAAACAGCATTAGCTAAAGAAGAAGAAAAAGAAAAAAAAAGGGTGAGTGGGTATGCCTATAAGTTGACTATTATTCTGTAAACTATATAGAGAACTTCCTTACCCATAATAGATAAAGCCAAAAGACGAATACCAAATAACTGCTTTCTTTTTTTTGGTTCCTTCAAGTGTTTTGTAATACGAATTCTATTTGCTAATTCGAACTGGTTTTCTTGTGGCACATTATGTTCTTCAACTAATTTTAAAAATACTTCTATGTCATCTTTTTTCAAGTCTTCATCGGTTATAGTTGCACCTATGATTTCGTTTCCTTCAGTAACTGATTCATTATTATTGGTGTTATTTGTTGTCAAAGATGATGTCGCACGGTAAAATTGAAGTACAAAGGTCATCATTTTAGGTGAAACTTCCAAATCTTGAACAATATTTATCAAATCAACAGGAACATTAGCCCAACCTCGAGCCAATTCTATAATTTTATCTTGAGGTACAGAAAACGACGAACGAATGGCTCTTGGGTTATTGATTCTTTGAGCAGGTCGAACCATAAAGTAAAGCACTTGTTGTAACACATCAATATCAAACGTATTTAACAACATACACAAATACTAATGATGATAAAAAAAAAAAGAGAAATATATAAATTTATACATGTTATATCTTATTTAATCAATATTATATACCTCATAAGAATTATAAATATTTCTATTTGTGCAGTTTTCAAATAATGTACAGGAAAGATCGATGATGGATAATATAAGTGTTTTTGTTTGATCTGTAAAATGCTTTGTTTGAATTTGTTTTAGATTATATTCATCACAAACTTCTTGTAAAATCAGATCACATCGGTCAAGAACTTTAACCCAATGAAATAAATCGCCTCTAGGATATGGCCAAGATGATAATTCTTGAACTAATGAAGGGATTTTTTCCTTTGGCTCTGTCTCCAATCGCCTGATCAGGTCTTCCAATTGACGTGGCTATTAAAGAAAAAAATAATAATAAGAATAAGATTTTAAATATTTCTTGGATGCATTGTTTATTACTAAAGGTGCAAGTTTTTTAGAAGGGGCTTTTCTGATCTTCATAATCTGCAATTATTAAAGAGAAAAAGGAAATTACTATAAACAAAAAAAATAAAAAAGAGAAAAAAGAACAAAAAACCATTAAAAATTTGCTATTACAGATATGTATTTTTTTATTCTTTTTTTTTTTTTTAATAATAAAAAGTTACCTTTAAGTGATTAGTAATTGCTTATTTTTATAAAAAAATGTTATTTGTTATAAATATATACACGCTTCTTTCTTTGTTTTTTAATTTAATGTCTCTTCAATTTTCTTTAATGAATTATAAGAAGAGAAAAGATTAACGTACTCAAAAAAAAACTACGCTTTTTTCTAGTGTGATGAATTTGTATTTAGTATGCGCTGAGTTTAAAATAACAGTTTAGAAGAAGAGTGTTAGTGGTCTACTCGTCAATTCTTTCTTGTACCACTACAAGGTTTTATTTATCAAAAAAAAAAAAAATGATTGATAAGCACACAGCAACTTTTCGTTATATTAAAGTGCCCAGACCAATCCTAGAATGAAAAAAAGAAAAAAGAAAGAAAAAAGAAAGAAAAAAAATCTAAAGACTGTACAATTGTTAGCGTCCATAAATCACCTTCTTTATGCTGATGATATGGCAGTGGTAGCCTCATTTAATGAGATGCTATCTTTACTATTACACTACCTTATATTAAATAACTACTAGAGCCCCTCCAGAAGTGGTATCATCACTCCTGTGGCTGATGCCTGAATTTACTCTTTCTATGGTACTTTATTGCCCTGTGAATTTTCCTTTTCGTATCTTGGTACAATTATTGAATCCTATGGCTTTCTAAAGTTGAACACTATGGTACAACATAATATTGATAAGGCTAAAAAGACTATGCTCCAAAATGACTAGCATTGGTGTCAAGTCTATTAGTTATAATCAGTTTTCTATGTTTAAGGGGTACAGGCTTGTTCAGAATATGCGCTAGTAATCAGCATTCTTGATTCAAGTTACCTCATAAAAACTTGAAACTTGTTAAATCGAATCCATTTGGTCTATCTTTGATGGTCTTCGATCAAAGGAATATTTCACCCTGTTCATCAAACATGGGCGATTGATCGTGTCATTATCCTACAAACAAAATTTCTAATGGGGTTCTCTAGAATTATTTTAAGATACTTATGTATCTTACATTGTTGCCCTATCTACGAACATTTGCTAGTCATTCTTACGGTAGTAAGCCAAGAGTTTGAATGTACCATACTCATTCTAATCTTACTCGTGTTCATTCTATCGATTATTTTCATATGTATGATTGATTTCAACTTCCGTGTTCTGTCAAAGATCATTTACTCTTTATGTTGAATTAGTTAATATCTTCAGAAGGCTCTGTTTTTTTTTTAATAATTGTGTATAGTGGATAATCCTTTTTAAGGCAAGATCTAAAAACAGATTCTTTTTAATATAGTGAAAAGCGTACACACACACACACAACAATATGAAATAACTTGGGTTAAGCACACTGTCTAATAATACTATCAATTGTTGTAAGTAATACTTAGTACAAGTCTTTAATATTGATTTATTTTGTATCCTTCGTTAATAAAGGAATTCCTGGACTATGTTTCTATATAATATACTTGAAATATTTCATTATTTCAATAAAAGCAGTTTCAATTAAAAGATATGGATAGCTTGGAAAAAAAAAAATTCTTTCGGACTTCTATTGCATATTACAACATGCATTGACGATTATATTATTCCTTGCTTTTTTTTTCTCATACTTGATACAGTTATTATTATTATTATCATGGAAACACTTTTAGCATCATGTCATGATATGCAAAAGAAGCAAGCTTTAATGCAGGATACAATACTTGTTAAGCTTAATTCTTTCAAACAATTATTAGAAGAAAAAAAAAATTCACTTACAACTAATGGTAAATTCATTAATATACTATACCATTTAATGTCCTGCATTAACCTTTTATTATTATTTAGAAAAAAGTTGTAATCCACAAAAAGAAATGTTACAAATTCAAGAATCTGTTAAGAGATTCGGTTTTCAGAAACCTCAAAAGGACTATCAAGGTTCTTTGCAGAAACTAAACAAAGATGTTGATAGAGTAAGAACATATACAACTTTATTTTTAAAAAAAAAAAAAAAAAAAAAAAAAAAAAAAAAAAAATGAAAAAAATGGAAAAAAAGAAAGAAACTTACACACATATTAGAAATTTAAACAAGATATTTCAGTCATATATCATCCTGAAGCATTTGCAGACAAAGAAAATTTGATTTACCGTGCATTAGCTTTACATTTCATAAGACAGGGTCAATTTAAATTATGCAATGAATTTATGGATGAAGCTGGCATATCCGTTGATGATGACTTACGCGAAACTGTAGAAAAGCTTAAAAATGAATTTGAACAATTGTATACCATTTTAAATCAAATTGAAAAAGAACAAGATTTAACAGCTGCCATAAGGTAACATACAAACCTGGGTACATGTATACATATATAGTTAATTAACATCAAGCTAGTTGGGCTGAATCACATGATGAAGGATTAAAAAGTTTAGGCAGTACTCTACAGTTTAATTTACATCGCCTAAAATTCATTCAACTATTAACAACAACTGATGCAATGACAGCAATAAATTACGGTAAAAAGCATTTCTACAAGTTCGGAGAAAAGCATTACCCAGGTAATAATGATGATAATAAAGAGAAATGAGGGAAAAAAAAAAAAAAAAAAAAAAAAAAAAACAGAACTGATAGAATGAATAGAAATCAAAAGGTTGATGACTGCACCTTTATACATCAATAATTTATCAAATTCTCGTTACTCTGATATGTCTTTACCTTCAAACTGGGTAGATATCAAACAACAATTCCAAAGAGACTTTTGTTCTCTTTTAAAAATGAGTGCTGAAAGCCCTCTTTATACAAGGTGTGTGTGTGTGTATATATATACATGTGTTCATATTCATTATCTCTATTAATATTCTTTGTTAGTGTCTTTGTAGGTACAACTGCTTTACCAGTCATTATGAAAGTATATACTATTATGCATAATAAGAAAACAGAATGGAGTGCACAAGATGAATTACCAGTTGAAATTCCATTAATAGAAGAGTTAAGATATCATTCTGTTTTTGCTTGTCCAGTATCTAAAGAGCAAGCAACTGACACTAATCCTCCCATGATGATGCCCTGTGGACATGTTATTTGTAAAGAAAGTTTAACTCGACTTTCTAGAAGCAGTCGAGCTACTTCAAAGTTTAAATGTCCTTATTGTCCTTCTGAATCATCTGCAGATCAAGCAGTCCAAGTTTATTTTTAAAAAAAAAAAAAATACACAATAAAACAAAGATATACATGTAGATTATCTGAATATGATTAAGGGAGACTATCTTTTACTAACTATGATAAAAGTGAATATGCGTAATATAACAGAAATTACATCAACTTGATTAGGCCTTTTGAAATAAAATTCTTGGCTTATGTCTCTTAAGCTTTGTAGTTATTGACATTGTTTGGAAAGTATTGTTGCTGCTATAATAATCAGTCTTAGGTTAATCACTTTATATTCACTTGAGACAAGTACATGACTGTATATATTTTTTTTTATTAAATTTAGCCTTTTATAAGATCACATAGTGTATCCCTTTTTCTTCCTTTTAGTTTAAACTACTGTAAATTCTGTTTTTTTTTCTTCTTCTTCTTCTTTGCTTCCTTAAGTTGACTTTACATTCAAGATTAAGGAGGTTCTATATTTCAAGAACTTTCTCACTAAAGAGAAATGATTTTTCTTTTAAATGGGCAAGAATTAAAATAATTAAATTGCCGCATACAACGGACGCGCTTACTTTAGATTTTGTTTTATTCTGTATTTTTATTTTATTTTTTTTTCCTTATTGCGTATCCCCTCTCTCTTTGTCTATCTTTTTATTAATATAATGTCTTCATCTACAACAACTGTTGATCGTGAAAAGGTAGTAATAATAATTCATAACCAAATTTATATACTGATATGATATATATTAACTAGGAATGTCCTTTTCTGTTAAGAATTTTTTTCCGTAATGGAGGACATAATCCGTAAGTAATTGAAAGCATGTATATATATATATAAACGCAACTTGAACTCACTTTAAATAAAGACTTAGTCAATATACTATTGAATCAGTACCTTCTGATGAATTAAGCCTTTATACTTGGTAAAGAGCAAATCAATTAAAACAAAAAAAAATAAAAATAAAAAAAAAAGAGAGAGAGAGAACCAACAAGTAGTTTAATTATTTATTTACTCATACATGTAGGAAAAATGCTACATTAGAAGAAATTGCACAATTAATTGAACAAGTAGTTCCTGAAGCAAGAGATCCTGATGCACGTATCGCTTTTCGATTAATTTATTTAGATAGTGAACGTGCACGATATAACAGTAGAGAACTTGGACGTGTTGTACCTGCCAATCCTACTGAAGATCAAAAAAAGACTTTGGAAGCTTGTAATTTTTTCATTGGCGATTATTTGGATGTTGCGATATTTATTGGTCCTCCAGCTAATATTAGAAATAAACTTGTTGGAAGAGATGCAGGAAGAGCCCGTACAGGAGATAGATTTGGTGGACGTTTAGGAAATGATAGATTTAGCAGTGGAAGAAACTTTGGTGGTTCAGCTTACAACAGAGATAATAATAGTCGATATGGCGGAAGATTAGGAGGAAGAAGAGATCGATATTAAATAAAAAAAAAAAAATAAAAAAAACATATGTGATTAGAAAGGAATCATATACATAAGCTAAGCATCATATGTAAAAATGTAAATAAAAATGGAGAGAAGGATTCATTTGCGTACATATTTAGTTTATAAATGAACAGTATTTAAACACTCTTCTTATTTATCTATTGACCATTTCAAACTGTATGAATATGCTACTATAAAAGATACCTCCCAAGGCCTGTATATATACAGATGGGTTTTCAAATATGTTTATTGATATACATGGTGACTCTAGTTTACCTCTTCTTAATAACGAACGAAGAAAAAGACTAGTGAACAGAAAGAGCTTTAAATATATGTATATATATATTATTACCTCAATAATTTAGTTATCATGTACAAAAGAAACAATGAAGCTTTTGATACATATATGAAAATCATTTCAGAATATTATCCTTTTTTTTTTCTTGACAAGTAATCTATACTACTTTACTAGATACTATCATAGTAATTTACTTTATGTAATCAGATACAAATTATAGAACAAGTGTTCTCTCTTATTCTTTATATAAAGGTTATCCTATAGCCTCCTTTTTTAGTAACATTAGGATTGAAAGACGTCTCAAATTGGCCCTTCCCTTCTTTACTAACAAAAGATGAATAGGAAGCATTATTAAATATTTACTCTTTACATAAATGCATATGTGGCTTATGGTAGTTATCATTATTGCATATAAAGTGTCACAATAAAAATAAAAATAAAATAAAAAAAATAAAATAAAAATCAAACTATGTCTTCTTCATTATATAATCCCTTGGCATCACTTGAGCAGTTGGAAACAACTGTATCAAGACGCGATGGTGTGAGTGAAGATTTGGAAGAAGATTTACGTAATTTAGGAGCTGAATTAATTCAAAGTGCAGGCATCTTGTTAAAATTGTAAAACTTGTAAATGCTTTAATTGAGACATCTTGCTCATTTATATATATATATATGTATATTATATGAACATGTAGACCTCAGGTTGCTATGGCTACAGCTCAAGTTTTGTTTCAACGATTCTTTTATATGGCAAGTTTGAAAGAATTTGGCATCGTGGTAAGTGCTTTTTTTTTGGGAACGAAACATGATGTAATACTTGTAAAACTTTTAGGAAATTGGTATGGGTGCATTATTTCTTGCTGCAAAATTAGAAGAATGCTCTGTTCGAATGACACATTTAATTACTGTTTATGACTTATTAATACGTAAAATGAAAGGACAGCCCATTAATATCCCTTTGGATGCTTTTTCGCAAGTAAATAGAGAGTATATATTTATAAAAGAGGAGAAACTTATAGGATCAAAAGCATTTATATGTTTATTAAATTTATATACATGTATATAGAAAGCATATAATATGAAGAACATGGCTAGTACAGCAGAAATGCAAATATTAAGAAAGTTAGGATTTATTGTCCATGTTCAATTACCGTATAACTTGATGATCAATTACTTGAGAATTTTAGGGTTAGAAGATGATGAAGTTATATCTAGGAAAGCATGGAATTATTTAAATGATGGGTAAAGAAGAAGAAAAGAAAGGAGATTAAAAGAAGGAATGTAACGCGTTATCTTAGGTTAAGAACAAATATTTATGTAACTTATGAGCCTCCTACAATTGCCTGCGCAGCTATTTGGTTAGCATGTAGAGAAGAAGGTGTTAAATTACCATGTCAAATTGGAAAAGAATGGTGGCTATTATTTGATGTGGACTTTGTTAATGTTAAAAACGCTGCAGCACATATTCGACGTTTATATTATAAAAAATTAGATAGAGCTAATCTACCACTCTATAAAGTTACATAAAAGAAAGAAAAAAAAAAGTTGATTTTATTATATGTTAAAGGATAAAAAAAAAAGGGAATTTCTTTTTAATGTGTTATTCTATTCATGTCGTCAAAATCGTCTATAATTTGAACTAATTGAGCTTTATAAGCTTCAAAAATATGACTTGTGTTATTCATGTTTGTTTGATGATGATAATGCTTGCTATTATGTTTAAAATGATCAATATAGTTAGGTCCTTCGTGTTGTAATTGTTGATGCTCCATAATGGTCTCTTCGATGTTATTGACAATAGAAGGGACAGGGCTTGAAAGTGCATCCATATAAATGCTGGAAGTTAAAGAAGACAGAGAATGACGCCATGCAGTAGAAGATGTTGAGAGAGTGTGAGGAGTAAGATAAGATGGATTGGGTATAGTTAAAAGTGTTGTATCCAAGTCAAATTTTGTTACACTACCAGAGCTATTACGTGAAATAGAAGCTTGTGTTTCAACTAGAGTGTTTAAACTATTGTGTTCTGAAGGATGAGATGAAATAAATATTTCGTCCTTTAAGTGATGGAATTGATGATTAGACGCAGTTAAAACAATAGCAGTATCCTTTTCTTCTTCTCCCTCTAACATTGGCGGATCGATAGTAGAAGAACAATGCTGGGGCAGTATGTTGCTAGTGTTTGTGTCTTTAACGAACGATGTAGTTAAAATGGTATCTTTAGTATGATCAAATACTGAAGTCTTATCATCTAATAAAGAATTGCAATACAATTTATTATCGTGATTATTTATTATTCTTTTATTAGCCAGTATATCATTCATTTTTTTATTAACTCTATTCCTCTTCTTTATTATAGAAAGCATAGTGACTATAATAATAAACACAATGCCGCCCATAACACCAGCTATAACTGCAGTACTTTGTGTCTTTTTGTTATTAGTTGAAGAGATATAATCTTCAATATTACTGTTCTGCAAATCAGACGAAAATATAGCAGTATCTTTGTTATTCAATACTGTTTCTTGAGTAAAATCAGTTTTTCCATTATAAATTTCTTGAACTGAATAAGTCTGAAGTTGATCTATGGCTGTTATTGAGGAAGATGTTGGTTTATTTACAATAGTAAAATGTTTGTTTTTTTTATTTTGATGTTTTAATTTCTTATTATGATGTGGCTTTTTTCTTTTCTTTTTAATATCATTGCGATTTCTAATAGTTTTATGATGTCCCATTTTTATATAAGATCAAGAAGAAAAGGATGTGACTGTATAGAATACAATACAATACAATGAAATAATATACGTCGTATATAATGAATAATAATAATAAAAAAGCCCTTAACAAAGTTATGTACTCTACATACATTAAATATTTACATTTTTTAGTTTCAAGTAAATTATTGGTGTATTGTTATTAATAATAATAAGGGGCTGGGGGTACATATACATTCAGTCCTCCCTTCCAAAATGCTTGTTTAATTGACTAAAGATAAAATAATGTATGGTTACGTCTAGTAAAATGTTTAAGGCATTACTAGGATTAGGCAAACAATTTATTATATCGTTATTATAGTCATCATTTTTCTTTTCATATTTTATATAGAAGTTTAATCTTAAAAAAAAAGGAAAAAAAAACTATTATTACTATTACTACTATAACTATAAAGAGAGTAATGATAACAATAACTTTGAAGACATGATGAATTATAAAGCACTCTAGTTTTCGATACTATAGAATTTGAATAACTGTCACTAATATAATCCTTAATCTAGCCAAATCATGAAGAAATAGGCTATTACGAACACGTTATAAAGAAAGTTTTTCTTATTACTAGTATCACTCTAAATTGCAAAATAAAATAAAATAAAAGCTCTGGAAGCGTCTAAGCTTCAATTAATAATAATGTAACAAAAGAAAAGTAGAGATGCTATCATTTGGCCACCTATATTGTCTGTCAAACGAAGACATGTTCTCAGTTAGCATCTTAGATGGCTACCAGGCCGTGAGCCTCGAACATGCAATTGTCATCCTACTGGTTTGTTTACCGAATTTTATTTAATTCGTCTCTCACTATTTTTCACAAATTATATTATATTATATATTTCATAATAAGCTATCCTCTTTGTATCCCATACAAAGATTTTTCTTCAAATTTCCTTTTCATTCTTATTATGTTGAGTTGATCTAGACAATCCAGTAATACTATGTGCTCATCACAAAGACTAAATAGATAATAAAATTTCTATTTAATCATAACAATAGAAATATGTATATGTGTATACATATATTTATATACGTATATATATACATATAACATCAATTTCTAAGTGTAATTATGCACATTATGTTACTACGCTACATAATGCATATGGATTCATAGTTTTACGCGCATAGAAAAATTGTGTTTACGCGCCTTTAATTGTAATCTTCACAAGTAATTGGCTGCAACTTTAAATAGAAATATCAGCCAATCATCATAAATTAAATAATTTTCACTCTACTTACACCCCCCCCCTGGTTCTAACTGTTTCCCACACCTTCACACTAATAAAAAAAATGACATTAAAAAAAATTTCTAGTCGTCGTCATCTTTTTTTTTTCTCCCCTTTTTCTCTTACGTCGTCAACTTCTTTTCGTCATCAAAAAAAAAAAAAAAAAAAGCTACTCCCGACTTCATCCAATAAAATAAAACGCATATAAAGGATATTTTTTTTTAAAATACTTGGTAAGCAATAGAAAAAAAAAAAAATGTTGTGTGTTATATGTACATGTATATGTTGGTGGGATGGAATGAACAAGGGTGGAAAGATAATATAAAGTATATTAACTTGAAAATATATTCAAGATAAAAAGAGTTAATTAATGTCTGAATCAACAACTGTACGAACTGAAATTAATCAAAAAACTATAAATACAGAAGAGGCTGAAATGAATAATTCTAAACGTGCAGCTAGTTCAGAAATTGAAGATGGTAGAGAGACTAAGACGATTAAACTAGAAAAAATTGAATCAACTACTTCTACAGATGAAACTATCAATTCTGATGCTCAATCTGAAACTACAGTAATAACTAGTAATACTGATACTGACTCTGTTACTATCACGCATCCTATTTTGAATACAGCTACTTCTAATACTACTACTACTACTTTGGAAGCTCCTGATACCATTATGAACGATATCAAGCCTAAAAATAGAACTATGGCTACTGCGGATGATAATATGAATTCACCTGCCAACTTACCCGGATCTCCTGATTCTGATAAACAAAGCAATGATAATGTAACTCCATCTGAACCCAACTACTCAGAGAACAAGAATGATGGGAATAAAGAAAAGGGGCAAGAAAAAGAAGAAGAAGAAAGATCACAGCAGTCCCAAAACTCTCAGCAAATGAAATCTAACGAGAATGAGGGTACACAAACTAACACTGAGAATGATAGAAACCCTATTCCCACTAATAATAATAATAATAATCAATCACAAGTGAATACCACACATATCTTAAGTATCGCACAGGGTGCACATCCTCCTCCACCTGGTTTGCATTTATTAACTGACCCTCAACAACAACAATTACTTCAATCTTATGTGCAAGCACAAGGACAGGACCTTAGTAATTTAACGGCCTCTTCTTTAGCACAAGCTATGGTCTCTCCTATCCCAGTACCTAGTCTTGCTTCTAACTTTTTTCAACAATTTCAACAATCAGGTAATGTCATCACTGCTTTACCAGGCCCGCCTCCACAAATGTCCCATCCAGCTCCTACTGCTTTACAGCCTAATAATGGAGCTCCAGCAGCAGTTGCAGTTGCAGCTGCACCTAACGGGCCTCTTACAGAGGAGGGAGCAAAGAGGCCTAATACACGTAGTTTATCAAATGATGAACGACGTCAACGTCGTCTATTGAGGAATCGTGTAGCAGCCAAAGAATGCCGTAAAAAGAAGAAACAGCATATTCAAGATATGGAAGAAAAGATTGTACGACTTGAAGAAGAAAACGCCAAATTAGTAAAAGAAGTAGAAGAATTAAAAGAAAAATTATCTTCATTAAATTCAATGCAGGGATCTGAAAGTTATCGATTAATGAAGGAAGTAGAGGAATTAAATGCAAAGTTAGGTATGGGAGGTCCTTTACCTTCGAGCCATGTATTGCCTGTCTTGACAGGTCAATCAACAGATGATAATAAACAAATTCAGCAGCATTCAGTAGATACACCCTCTACTAACAATCATAGTCTTTCTTCTTCTTCTCCTCATGAAAATAATAAAGAAATGGCTGAAGCTATTAAAGAAAGAGAACGTATGAAAGTAAATGAAACAACAGCAACAATAGAAACTATTAATAATAGTAATGACACTGACACTACCATGAACAAAGCCCCTATAGTGAATGATGATAATTATAGTAACAAAGATGAAAACATTGTTTCATTAAAAAGCACGTCAACAACGCTTTTACCTAATCCCCCAGAAATTGAAGCAAGACAGCAGCAATCAAACTCTATTATAAATAATAATTTGGAGACAAATACTACTACTCCAACAACAGTAGCAGCAGCAACAATAGCATCATCAACTACAACAAATTTCTAATATATTTTAATTATTTTTTTTTCTATAATAAAAAAAAAAAATATCAATAATTTACTTTCGGAGTCCGTGATATGATTTATTTTTACCATTGACATATAAAAAAAAAAGATCCTATATTGAAACAAAGAATTTTTTTTTTTTTTTTTTATAAATCATCTAGAAAATACGTAGTAGGACATGATAATAAAGAACACGATTATTATCATTGTTTTAATTATACTGGCTTCTTTAACATGGTCTTTGATAAATAAGCCATTCAAGATAAGGTTATCTATCAAAAAAATAAATAATTATAAAGAAGCAAACATTGTGACACCAGAAGACGATTATTATCATCATCCATATTCTGAAATTGGTGAAAGATATCTAACGTACTTACCACATTCAGGTCTTCATAATCAACGTATTGCCTTAATCAATGCCCTTCTTTTGGCGAAAGCTCTTAATCGTACCCTTCTGATGCCTGAACTTAATATTGGTAAGGGAGCCTTTTGGAGCCCGTTTCATGTACTATCGAGACAAATCGATTTATGTCCCTCTATTGTTAAACAAGGTAGACAAGATCTTATCGTGTCTACAAAATGTTATGGCTATAGAAAATATAAGCCTGTTCCGATGGAATCCATCTTTGATTTAACAACAGCGTATCAACTGGGTATTCGTGTTGAATCTCGAGAGGACATGAGTCGTGATTTTATTAAACACCATGCACGCTTGCATCATATATCGCCCATAAAGTATAGTTTGAACGATTCAGTACGTTACTCTTATCAAATTCATGATCATCATCTTGATCAGTGGCAGCCACAACCTGGGGATGGCGATACCTATAAATATGATTCTCATATTGATTTGGCTTCTTTACGTAACCGACCGGAGCCTTATCTCGAATTCGGCTCACTCTTTGGTACGACAAGACTGATTTTAAGAGAGCCGGAATTAATGTGGATCAGAGAATATCTGCACAGAACAACAGCTATCAATCATCCCGTTGTGAATGAACAAAGTCAAAGGATTCAAGAAGAATTAAATTATGATTATGTAAGTGTTCATTTACGTCAGGGAGATGGTGTCTTTCTAGAGATGACAGAAGAAACGATTGGTGAAATAGAAATAGCTTTAAGTGAGCAACTAGCAACTGTATCTCATTCTTCAACAAGGAAAGAAGAAGACTCACAGAGAAAGATGACAGAAGAAGATAGACTATCTCGAGCTCAATTAGTGACTCAATCATTATTAACTCAATCCAATATGACAACTCGAGAAAGACTTGGAGAATGTCTCTCTGTCAGGGATCTACAAATTCCTCGGTTACAAATTATTTATTTAGCTACAGATGCTTTAGAACCGAAAAGGCAATTTTCGGAATTATTTGAACATTATCCATGTATTTTCACACTCAATGATTTTTATAATGCCAAGACAAAAAATAAGGAATCCATTGAAAGTTTTTTACTACCTATGATTGATGCAGAAGTAGCATCACGTGCAAAATTATTTATTGGTACACCAAAGAGTACATACTCTGCTTATGTACGTTATCGTAATCAACATCATCGTCATCTAGAGTTCTTTACTCCTCAATAAGCCAAATCATCTTCAGAGGACTATATTATAAATCACTGTAAATAATATTACTCGTGTATAATTAAATAATAAATAGTTTAAACATACATCTTCATCAAAATTACTACTAATATTTTAAAATGTTCTATTAATTTTTTTTTTTTTTTTGTTTAATAAAATATATAATAATAATAATACTAATTAGAAATAAAATTAGAATTAGAATTACTTACGATTCACCTAACATAGTTTGAAGATTTCTTATTTGAGTTTTTAAATCATTTTTAGCATCAATCAATTGCTTAATATGATCCACAGCTAAATTAGTATAAAGTGTTAATTGCTGTAACAAACTACAAGGATCTTATTTACATTTTTGTAAAATAAAGGCTTCAGATCTATTTCCCTGAGTCAAAGAAGGTACAATCTCTATTAATTGATCAAAACCAAGCCTAATATTTTGTCTCCGTTTCTTTTCGGAAGCAATATGGTTTGCTTTCTTTTCTGCTTCTGTTAATAACTCATGTGGTGCTTTACGTCCTTTACGTTCTTTTTTTGTTGTGGTGGTGGTGGTGTTGGTGGTGGTGCTACTACTACTATTGTTTTCTTCTGATATTGAAGAGAATTCTCCGAATGTTCTTTTTTTATTATCTTTTATAGTAATTTTATTTTATTTTAAATAAATATATTCAAAATGAATTATTTGATATACCTGAATTATTAGTGATAGAAGGAGCTTGTTGTGACATTATGAAAGAAAGAAATAAAGAAAAAAGAAATGATAAAAAAAGAAATGTGGGGGAGGTGAGGTGAGGGGAAGGATAGTAGTAACAAGTTCGTTACACGGCATTTTCTCTTTTCTTTCCTTTTTTCACATGACAATATCGGGGAAGGTTAAAAATTGAACCAATATTATACAGTCTGGCTGGTGGATATTGTCAGTCACAAAAGAATGAAATTGTCGATTACACAAAGATATAATTGTAAAAAGACAAGATTTTAAAAGTTTGAGGGAAAAAAAAAACGACAAAAGGAATAGCATTAACGGGCAAAATTAAATCTCTACAATGACAAATACTTTTTATTTCAAAGATAGAATGGACAACTTAATATGAGCGATAGACAGACAAATGATAAAGATTTATTATTAAATAATGGATCAATATTATTTAAGGTATTTCACGTTATTGTTATTGAAAAGAATGACTTGAAAATTATTTAAATTGAACTGTATGATCAACGACTGCTTGTTTCTAAGCCAGGATCTTTGGAACTTCTTTAATGTATTCAACAAGTTTCCTTGGGGTCGTGGGAGTTTCAATTGATGCATGAATAGATCGGAACAGCGAATTCTTATAACAGGCTAGCTTTTCAAAGTAAATACACTTATTTGTTGCGAAAAAAAAAAAAAAAAAAAAAAAAAAAAAAAAAAAGGAACGATAATTAAGCATAAAATACTTGAAGGACAAATCGTAATCTTACCATAATAACGTAAACAAAATACTTGCTCTGTTGTGTTTGAGGGGTGCTTCTTGAGAATTTTAACCATTTTTGAATAAAGTTTTGTGATATCGTGTTGGTTCTTGCTACTTGGGGTTTTATCATTGCAACCACCAGAAAACTCTATCAAACTTGGTGAACAGGACCTGTTGCCGACCTTGATAAGCACGCCGTCCCACTTTGTTTTATCAATAGCAAAGAATTCGCGTTCTAACCAATCAAGTTGAACTATATCGTTATCAGACATAAATAACTGGTTTACAATATAAATAATAAAATATGTCGCCGCTGATCTTTCGAGGATTGTTTGATTCAGAGGGTTATTAGGCGAACACAGTAAATCCAGGCTAGAGATGAATAGGTTAGAAATATTTGAGTATAGATAGGATGATAATTGAAAATACATTACAAGTAGCGGGTGGTAACTTCAATAAAAGAAACATCAAAATGAAGAATGAAATTAAAACCTCGCTTAAAGCCATTTGTATATAAGGCTTCTCTTAAAAGTGATGGAGACAGAGAGGAACTTTTAAGAGCATTCAACATATGTGTAGCATAATTAGATAAAGTGATGGACTCAATATTCGTTGCAGCAGTAATCCGATTGAACTTCTTAGCTGGAATTTCAGATTTTAATATCTCCATTGCTATTGGAGACGACAAGTCGATTATTTTCAAGTGTCCAACTCTACATAACAATAAGACAATTTTAAATAAGTACTGCCATTTCTTAACATACAGCACTTACTTATTAGAAGCTAGATCAGATAACTGTTGTAAAGCAATAGAGGTTCCTTCATCGTCCCCACGTTCCTCTTCTTCACGTTCCTCTTCTTCATTTGAATTAAAAACCTATGTATTTTAAAAAGTACGTGTTATTTCCATTATTATATCACTTGATAAGCTTCCTAATAATACTAACCTTAACGGCAAGAGTTCAGATACTCTTGTTAGTTAATCTATTTAATTTCCTGATTGTTTGTCGGTTTTCATTTTGAATTGATCTTATTAAAGTAGTATCCGCTCTTTTGTCCCAATATTCATTACAAATCCGTTCAAATTCACTATTTCTATTTCGCGACTACAAAAATGAATATTATTAGAGTTCCTATTAAGTGTTAACAAATATTAGAACTAACATTAAACAATTTTTTTGCGTTTGTGGCTATCTTCATTAATTTATTGCTTTGATTTTTTGAAAGCTTGTCAAGTAGATCCAAGTAATAATTGTTGGTAGCTCTTTCTGTTCCATAAAACTTATTAGCAAAGTTGAAATAATCTAGTTTTGGATTTGGTGGCTTGAGAGATGAATTTAAGTAATCTAAGAACTTGTAGTCCTTCGAAAAACCACTTATTCTCATTTTTGTATGCTTTTCAGGGGCCATTTTGATACAGTAGTTTTATGTAAAAATTGGAAAGAAACGCGGTTTCTTTTTTTTTCTTTTTCTTTGCATTATAATTATTAAAGTCAGTATCTTAAAACCACTATATTATCATTTGGTTAATCGATGTATGACCAATATTGACCGCAGCCCTGCCACAGTTAGTGTTACCCTTGGTTACGACGGTTAACATAACATCAGAATTAGTATAAACAGTCTTCATATAATTATCAAAAAACATTATCTAAAAGAAGTCAGTAAAAAAGTTTATATTCTATATTTGTCCATCTTCATACTCTCAGTTGCCTGTCTCTCCTCCTGGTATCAACCGGATTGATCATGCTCTTAACTGTCTCCCTCTTGTTGCTTCCTCTGGCCCCCCCTCCTTTCTGGTCGGTTCTACTTTCTTGGCTGTACGTGGTTGATACCCTAAGTCACCCGTCAGCCCATATGGCTCCTAATCCCGATCCTGGTGATTTATGGTTGTCTGTTTCTTGTTTTCGTCGCTGATGAAATGTTTCTTTTTGTTTTCTAATTGCATCTCCACGGAGGTAAGTGCGTATCAAAGTTCCCATCCGTTAGTTGTACCTTTAGATCATCAAGTATACAAATTAGTCTATTGTTTCTTTTTTCCCTTTTCCCTTCCCTTGTTCGTTTTCTCAGGGGGGTTTTTATACTTTTCTTTTGTATATATTGTTTTTTTATATATAATTTGTTCATGTAATTTGGCTAATGCTCTATAGAGTGCCCATAAAGGAACTGCATTAATGGACAAAATTAAATCATGTCTTTTGACAATTATATCTTTATTATATCTTTGTGTAATCGGCAATTTCTTTTTTTTTTGTGGCCGACAATGTCCACTAGCCGGACTGTATACAAAGTAAACATAGTTAGCATAGTGCAATTTGATATAACGTTTACTGTGCCTATGTATAAAGACACAATATTATCATATTACATAAAGTTACTCCAACGAGTCGAATTGACTATTTATTTATTTATTTTTAGCTTCTGGAATAATAGACGTTGTTCATTTCAAGTAAGCTTTAGTAAAGACGAAGATGTCGAAAAATGTTCTTGGTAGACATAGTGTATTATAAATTTTGCTATCTAGTTTTCGCTTTGATTAATTCGCTATGATGTTTTCGATGCCCCCTATTCTTACATCCTTCGTAGACTTGATCAGTAAATTAGTCGTCTATTCAAAAAAGAAAGGAAGAAAGGAGTGATTCATTTTAATCGTATCAAACATAGTAGAACTGTGCCGTATCGATGGCTCCTTTAATTATGTCTTTATCATATGCAAATGATGTCGCGTTAATAGCTACATTGGATAAGACGCTCTCTTTTCTACAGACGTGTAAAAAAAAAAAAAAAAAAAAAAAAAAAAAAAAAAAAAAAATTTATAGTCAACGTTTAGGATATCAATGAAATCCTACCACTAAATATATTGCTGTTACTCTTTCAATTTATGATCAAACTCGCATACTCTATGGCATACCCTTAACCCTGTGCAAATTCTTTTTTTTTTTTTTTTTTTTTTTTGTTTCTTGTGACTTTATAAAGACGACTGTCGGACTTACGTGTCCCTAGAGTAGAAAAAAAAAACTTTTTTCTTGTGATAAGCTTCTTTTTTCTTTTTCACTTAAAGACATATTAGAATTAATTAATATGGGTGTTACGTAAATAATGAAAGCTGTTAAATAATCTTTAATGATACACATCATTGATATTTATATATAAAACTCTTTTTTTTTCATATAAATATAAATATTTTAGTGTTGAAACTATTGCTCCCGGTGATGGAAAGAACTTCCCTAAGAAAGGTGACAGAGTCACCATTCACTATGTTGGTACCCTTGAAGACGGTACTAAGTTTGATTCTTCTCGCGACCGTAACTCCCCTTTCCAATGCACTATTGGTGTTGGTCAAGTTATTAAGGGTTGGGATGAAGGTAAAAAAAAGGAAACAAAACAAAAAAAAATATGCATTTATGAAGTGTATTTATATAATTTTTTTTTAAAAAAAAAAAAAAAAAAAAAGGTGTCCCTCAATTGTCTATCGGTCAAAAGGCTAGATTGACTTGTACTTATGATTATGCTTATGGTGAACGTGGTTACCCTGGTCTTATTCCTCCTAGAGCTACTTTGATTTTTGACGTTGAACTTTTGAAGATCAACTAAAAATTATCCATTTAAAATAAAATAAAACATGAAAATAAAAAAAAAATAAAAAAATGTGTTGGTTGGTTGGGTGGGTGGGTGATATATAGGTTATTATAACATGATAATACGTAAGCCACCGAAATCACCAAATGAATGTTTAAAGTCTTTACCAGGACAAGCCATAAACATTTGTGATTTAGATATATTTAACTGTCTAGATATAGAATCTACAGTTTCAGGACTAAATTCACCTTGAATAAATATCTAGAAAGAATGATTAATTGAAGACTATAAATATAAATAGATTGCATTATCTTTACTAGATCAATTTGAATCTTGGGATAAATTTGATCCAACATATGATGATGTGCCTCTAAATGGTCAGGTATATCATTTAAATGTTGATATAGATGAATAAACTTGATTTGACCCGCATCTTCATTCTTTTTTATGTATTGTATGGCTTTGTTCATTACATGAGGCTCGTCTGTCTTCAAAAAGAATACTATTGGATTCTTTCTTATTTTCTTTATATGAACCTGTATAAAGTACTCTATCTTTTCTGATAAATGAGGGTAATATTTATGTAATAAATCCATTTGACTGAATAACCAATAGCAAAGTTTCCATAGCCAACAACGTTTCAACATCGATAATACCACCACTAAAACTACGATAAAGTATATAACAAAATATTCTGCAATCATAGGATTGATTATAATATTGCCAATTAAACTTGCTAGTAAAATAAGACAGGTCAAGAGTACAGTTGGAAGGGATACTTTAGAAAGCCGTGGCAAACGATTCCTTTTGTATTTAATCATAATATTTGCAAAAGTAAAGGTAGATAAGCTGCCTAAGAAAGCCACTGCAAATACGCCAGATAAGGAACTTGTATCCCCTCCTACAATTGAATAAAGTGTGATACTTAGAATTAAGAAAATAAGAATAATGTATTGATAAGAGCCTGTGAATCGATTTCGGTTCAAGAAGAACTGGGGTAAAATACCATCACTTGCCATTCGTTGTACTAAACCAATAGCTCCAATAAGTCCAGTCAAGACACCAGCACATAATACAATCACTGCGTCTATCATAATCCAAAGACGTAACCAGCGATGTCCACCAGCTGCATACTCTCCTAATATAGATACTGCATGAGCTGCATTCTCTTGAATAATTGGAATGGGGACTAAGACGGTAACAAAGAGTGTCATGGGTGCATTCAAAGCTAATAAAAATCGAAACATATTATCCATGACTTTAGGAAATGTTCCATGACTTAAATCTTCAATATAATTTTCAGCAGACTAGAATATACATACATGCATACATACATACACATACATTAAATTAATATGTATACAGATATAACGTACATAAACTCAAATTTTCATCTTACTTCAAATCCAGTGACGCCTAATAACCCAATACAAACACCTTTTACAATCATCAAAATAGGACTTGTACCTGGAGGATTAGCTATCTTTGTCCAATTATCAATTAAAGTTTCATTCCCATTTTTCCCCCACATAATGATACTTGTCATCATCACAACAGCCATAGTGATTAGATGTAAAGAAAAGATAGAAAGTGTTAGTGTAGATGACTCCCTTAAGCCTAATAAACAGATTAACGAAAAAAGTATCAAGATGACAATGGTCAATACAAATGGTGTTAGTTTTTCAGGTAGAGTAACTTCTGCTGCTAGATAAGCACTTGCGGTTGATGCTGATACAACGCAAGTTGCTAGATAATCCAGAATCGAAAGACATGCAGCAACTGCAGCTGTGGACTTTGATGTAGAATTCAACATAGCATTGTAAGTTCCTCCATTTAGAGGCATAGCTGTAGCTACCTCAGTGATAATACGTTTCATTGGATACATCAGTAGTGCAACAAGTAGCATTGAAATTGGAGCATATTTTCCTGATTGTAGCACACAAGGACCAATAGAATATAAAACAGAGGCAATCAAGTCATTACCAGCAATAGATGTCGCTCGCCATTGTCCAATAGTTACTTTTTGTGTTAATTCCTTTTTAGAAGTTTCAATATCTGATGGATCAATTTCAAGATAGTATGTACTTCCCCATCTTATGCATAATACGTTAAAATTTTTAACAACTTTTTTTTTTAAATTTATACATCATTGTTATTACCCCGCAAACTCCCAAGCATTACTCAAATTTGGATATCTAGAGGGCACATTTGACCACTTTAATAATGCTCCTCTTGAATTCTGATTTCGTTGAATCTGATGAAATTCTGATTCTGCAAAAGAAGGAGGAAGTTGTACTAATTACATTAAAAGTACATGCTCAAAATCAATGTCAAAATGAGGCAAGATCATAAACATAATTCTTACAAGTAGAATATTTTTCTTTTCCATTTTCTTTAATCGAAACAGTTTCATTATTTACATTTGCGCAATGACCACTTGTACTAGGTAATGCGCTTTTTTTTTCTTCCATTATAAGATAATTTTTATTTTTTTAAAAAAAAACAAGAAGCAAGAAGAAAACAGTCAGTATGAAAAATTGATCTTAAAATTTTTTAATAATAATTAATGTTTCATGTATAGAAAAGTGAAGTTTAATTTAAAATAGTATTTGTAGATCAAAAAAAAAATTATTCTGTTTTTAATTAACAGTAGTTTTTTGTACCTTTTTTTTTTCCTACTAGTAGCAATGTTTGTTTTTAAAATGTTCAAATAACTATAAAATAATATAGATTATAATAATGTATTGACTATTGTTATATTATATCGACAATTATATAATAATATAAAGTTTCTGTAAATGCGACTTACATCAAGTCAATAAGTTAAGAGAAAATATGACTAGAATAAAAAGATTAAAACTGTTAAATATAAGAAACTGATATACATTTCTTTAAATAATATGTCAGGTCCGTTATATGAAAATTAAATAGGTATAATGATCAACTAGCTATACGTTGCTTTTATTATATAATAACTAGAATAAACAACCTTTTCTTTTGTAAATAATTATTAATTTCACATCTAAAGAATACCCTCTTTAACAGTATTTCAATTTGATCGTCAGAATTTTGTTGTTATATTAGTCATTCTGGTTAATTACAAACACTTTGTCTTATGCTATAATTATTATAAATACGACAGATTACAAAATAAAAGAATAATTTAGCATAACTGAATTATACTGATGCCTACCAAAAAAAAAATACTTTCTCAAACGAGAAAGAAAGTTACGCCTCATAGGGGGCTCGAACCCCTGACATTGAGATTAAAAGTCTCACGCTCTACCAACTGAGCTAACAAGGCTTGGTTGTTAGCAACTTTTTAAAGTATATCATAAGATATTACCTTCCAAATTTGGAAAGAAATCACGTGACTGTCCGGTCATGTCCGGTAATATTAGTTTTAATTTATTTTCTGGTTTATTAAAATAAAAATAACAGTGTTGTCAAAATTCCTAAAAGTGCTAGAAACATAGCTATAGCTTGTGTTTGTTTACGCGAAACTTTTGGTATTGTGTTTATAAATGTTCAAATTACTGATTATGCGATTCCATTCAGATAAAAATAATACAACCTAAACCTCGGCCGACTTTATTGAGATTTGCATTAATTGAAATCCATAATGTATTTCTGCATATCAAATTTATGAAATGTTATAAATATGTATATGAGACTACATTGCGTCGACAAATACTATTCTTTCAAATTTCAAATGGCATTTATTATGTTCTTGAAATGTCTATTTATTATTCTGATATGCTACTTTTAAGGAGTTATGAACGTAAAAGTATAAGCAACACACAATTTATTTACTGTTTATTTGTTTTAATTTACATTAAAGCCTTTCATCATGCACGTTAAATCCTAGAAGAATAAATATTATTAAAAATGCATAAAGGAATAAAGAAACTCAAATTTCTAGCAATATTAAATAATAGACATCATTGTTGTATAAGGTATTTATTAAGCTCACTCTTTTTTTTTTTCTAAACAAATAATAAAAAAGTCTATAGTGTATTTACAAGGTACAAACATGTCAATTAATCAGTTTTTCTTTCTATCTAATTCCTGATAACGAGGAGGCTCCTGACCTAATATTTAATTAATTAACAAATTCACATTTGCTTGTCTATTTTATTAATTTACCAGGTTGAGATCTTAAACAGGCCAAAAATAAACTAAATGGCTCTGAGACATTTAATGGCCATTGAGACAATCCTTCTAGTACATCTTCAAGATGGCTGTTACATCTATGCTGCTTTGGTGTTTTGTTTGATGCATCACTGTGTTTATTAAATATAAATTTATCCTTTTCATCATTTGACATATTGGTATTGTTTAAATTATAGGAGAATAACTTCTTATAGCTGTTACCCCGGCTCTGGTTCAGTTTTATCCAACTTTTTATATAATTCAGTCAAATCTAAGCTCCTCTTATAGTAATTTTTCTCTCTCTCTTTTTTTTTTTTTTTTTCTTTAAATCGAAAATATTAGTAAATGAGTGTAAGATGTATAAGTAAAAACTTAATAGTTTATCAAAGCAGAATTAATAAAAAGTAAACGTGTATATATCTAAATATATATAGTCCTTTAATCCTACAACCTTTAATGTCAATGAGTTTGATAATATAGTAAAAACTTTTTATGAAGGAATGAATAATTCTGTGGTATATTCAAAATGAGAAAGACATTTTTTTTTATATACACTAATCAAGTAAAATTACATAATTAGAGACAAGAAGCACAGACTATTTTGACAGAATTTCAAAACAATCCAGATTCATGGCTAGTAGCCGATCAAATTCTTGAGCAATCAAACAATATACAAGCAAAAGTAATATGCATATATGTATTAAAACATGCCTTATTAACTAGTATAAAACAAGCAGTTTTTAGCGCTTGGAATATTGGAAGAGTTTATTAAAGTAAAATGGAACTTACTTCCTATAGAACAACGATTAAGTAAAGTATTTTTTCTCTCTAAAAAAAAAAAAAAAAAAAAAAAAAAAAAAAAAAAAAAAAAAAAAAAAAAAAAAAATGCATAATATACATATTAATTAACATAAACAGCAATGCGAAATTATGTTGTCAAATATATGATTGATTTTATTACTTCTACTACATCTAAGCCACATCAAGCAGCTTTTTTAAATAAACTTGATCTTGTACTTGTTCAAATATTAAAAAAAGATTGGCCTCAATATTGGCCGACATTTATTCAGGAAATAGTTAACTCAAGCTCAATAAATACGAACCTTTGCGAAAATAACATGAAAATATTAAGATTTTTAAGGTAATACAATATGCGTGCAAGTATCTATGCTTGTTATTAATAATAAGTATTGTTACAGTGAAGAAGTATTTGATTATTCTATTGATTTTATGACGATAGCCAAAAAGACTAAACTAAAAAATCAAATGGCAAATGAATTTGATTCTGTATTTGATCTATGCAAACGTATACTATCATCACCAAATCAAAGGATATCATTAATACTTGCAACTTTGGAAACTTTACTTAAACTATTAAGTTGGATTCCTATACAATTTTTATACCAACAGCAACAAGATTTACTCGAAATATTAAATTCAAATGTAAGATATATACAGTTACGTACCAATATACACGCACGTACATATACATGTTTTGCTCATATTCCTCTTTAACAAAGATTAGAGGCAACTCATCTATACAAAGAAATCTATCTTTTCAATGTTTAATAGAAATAATTAATAATTTGAATTCAATCACCAATACTTCACCCTATAATGACATGATTCTTTCTATCTACAACATGTTTTATAGAGAAATGATTAACATTATGCCAGTGAATTCAGTAGATACTATAATTCAGACCTTTGAGGAATCAAATCAAGAAACTCAAGACTTTATAAAAACTGTAGTTACCTTTTTTACGACTATTTTTTCTAAACATAGAAAATTGATTGAAGCCAATGATAATAGCAATAATAGTATCCAAGTCGTTTTATTCAATTATCTATTAAAAATATCACGTATTCCTGATAGAGAAATTTGGAGAATTTGCTTAGAATATTGGAGCGAATTAGCAAATGATATCCTCCAGGAACAGCAAACATCAAGTTATTATTATGATATTTTAAAGCAGCTTGGATTAGTTATGATTGATAATATGGTAAAGCCGGATAAGGTACTTGTGATTGAAAATATTGATGGGGAAATCACTAGAGAGTTTATTAAACAAAGTGATACAACATCATTATCAAAAACAACACACCATGTATTTAAACTTCTGACTAGAATTGATCCAATTTTTATTCATTCTCTCTTACATGAACAACTCAATCAATTGCTAGTTACAAATATATCTTGGTCTTGGGATTCACTCTTTCGTATATGCTGGGCTATAGGTGCATCATTAGGTGCTACTGATAAGTGCTCAGAAAATAGGTTTCTTGAAGCTATTTTAATTAATAATTTATTACCATTATTACAACAACAACAACAGGAAGGAAACCATAACAATAATGATTTAGATCAGGAATGGGTAGTTGCCTCTTGTGTCTTGTATATTGTTGGTCAATGTCCATATTTTATGAAATCACACTGGGATTTTACGTTCTTTATAATACAAAAAATTTTCATTTACCTGCGACAACCAACTCAATCAGGTATAAAAGAAATGGCATGCGATGCATTTTTAAAGATAGCCGAAGGTTGTGGAGAGGAATTATCAATACCGCATCAGTTAACTACAACTACAATGATGCCTTCTGTTTTGGAAATGGTATTATCTGATTTAAAAGTACTAACAATTCAACTAGAGTCACAGCAGGTAATAAACCGCCCCCCTCCCGATTTATAAATATTGTATCGACTTATTACTGTATATAGTTATGTATATTATATGAAGCCATTAGCACTCTAATTTCTACAAGTACTTTAAGTTTTCAAATGAAGCAACATTCTTTTAACTTATTGATGGAGATGCCAAACGAGACGGTAAATAAGAATAACAATGATAAAAAAAAAGAAAAGAAAACTAATAACGTAAGTAATCCATATTTTTATAGTTAAAAAAGACCTCTATTTCCTCAATCAGGATTATTATAAATATGCTTCGTGTTAATATAGCTACATGCAAACGAATCGGTTCTGTTCTTTTTCAAAATCAAATTCAAACCATAGCTCCTACATTATTTCATTATTATGAGCTGTCGAGTCAAGCAATTAATCTCGTAAATAACAATAGTGATACAAATAGCCAGCACATAATGATTAGACAACTAGTTTTAAACCTGTTTGAAACTTATTTTCTTTCTACTGATAATAAGCTTAAATGCCTTGAAGAAGAAGATAAAAAACTTATATCTAATTTGATACAAGTTGTCTTTGCTGATTATATAAATGCAACTACAGTTCCAGAAAAAAGAGAAGCACAATTGTTAAGTTTATTGACAAGTTTAGTTGAAAAATTAGAAAATGTATGTAAATAAGAGATAAACCTTTAGAACTTACAGAAGTTTTGCTAATATATGCATACTATATTAATAGCTTCCAATTGTATGGCCAGATTTCCTTAAAGAAATGATCGATATCGAATATATTACAACATTACCAATGATTACTTCAAATTTTGTCGATTTTCCTGAAATCAGACATGAGTTCTATCGATTATTATATGCTTTGAACACGAAATACTTTATAGGTATGTTAGGAAACATAAAAATAATGAACTGTAGAGTAAACAATAGTATTAGAATTATTTCAAATGTCTCCTGAGTTGTTTCAACTCAATATTGACAGTATTTTATGGGGAACAAAGCATACAACAAAAGAAATTTCAGAAATAGCTTTACAAACATGTTTACACATCATTAATTACGCCTCGCAGATGGAAGATGAAGATATTTCGAGTCAATTTTTTGAACTATATTATGTAAAAATATTAACGAGCATTTTAGAAATATTGGTTGATCCTGACTGTAGAAATGGTACTATAAATAATGTACTATTTACTGTTTATAAAATGAAGTTTCTTACATTTTATTCAATAGCATTCAATTTTCAAAGTGAAATTCTTTCTAGAATGCTAGAATTAGTACAAGAAGGTGAAATCTATACTCGTGTCTTTGATCCTAATCAGGTTTCAGATCCACTTATGTCAAACGTTGAATTTCTTCAACAATATGTGCTAAACTTATTATGTTCAGCATTTCCTTTACTTCAAAAGTAAGTTTTATTATTATTATTTTAGCTTAATCTATTATTACAATTATTCATAACATTCAAATAGAAATCAAATTGAAGTATTAGTAAAGGGAATGTTTGAGTATAGTGGTGATTTACAAAGATTTCAAGATGATATACGTGATTTTTTGATTGATATAAAAGAGGTGGGTGAAGCACGTGAAGGTGAGCAACGTGCAGAAGACGAGTTAAATGCTGAGTTGGACCTATTAAGGAACCTATAATAATTATACACATATATATATTTTATTATAAAATAAACAAAAATGATTACAACAGTTTTTATTAATCTCTTAACGACGAGATCGTTTGCTATAATGATCATCTTGATGTGAAGAAGAGTCTCTATCAGTTTGATGTCTCTTCCGTCTATTATATGAAAGATATGTTAGTTTTTCTTCTTCTTTACATTTATTCAAACTTACGAATCAGAACGACGATCATCAGAATCATCTCTATCTCTATCTCGTCCTTTATCCCGTCCACTATCACGATCGCGATCGCGACCTCTTTCTCTATCTCTTTCTCTATCACGATCACGGTCGCGTCCACTGTCTCTGTCTCTGTCTCTTTCTCTATCACGATCACGTTCGCGTCCACTATCTCTATCTCGGTCACGATCTCTATCTCGGTCACGGTCTCGACCACTTTCTCGACTATTGTTATTATCACGACTTCCATCTCGGCCATTACTACTACCATCTCTTCCACTTCCTCCAGAAGTTCCACGCCAATTAGGAGTAGATTGTCCACCTCCACTACTATTATTTCCTGTGTTTCGTTGTATTTGCGATCGTCCTCCATTACCATTATTTACAGCACCTCCACTCCTCACTGGGGATCTTCCAGAGTTATTTCCGCCTCTAAAATCACTATTATCAAAGCCCATTGGGGGAACACCATGTAAATTTGGATTAAAGAATGGCATACCCATAGGGCCTCCAGGCATATCAGGAGGGAACATGTTCATTGGCATACCCCCTGGTCCTCCTGGAAACTCCATAGGGAATATACCTCCTTCATCCATGGATGCAATATTACCATCTGTTGAGTTTATCCTATATTAAATCCATTATTAACCTTATTCTTTCTATTTAAACAAACAAAAAAAGAAAAAAAAAAGAAACTTTACATTTCATTTCCACCATCACGCTCTTTACCATCTCCATTTTTTTGTCTATTGTTCATCGACATATTCCTAACGGCGCCTCTTACATTGAAATTACCTGTATTTCTATTATTTCTCATAGCAGGATTACCGCCTGCTTGAGGTGGAGGCATGCCCATTGGTAAACCCATCATAGGGTTAGGCATACCAGGCATAGGCATAGGCATAGCGCCTTCCATCATATTGGGGGGCATCATCATACCCATTGACATAAATTCACTCATATCTATATCACCCATCAACTAATTAAAAATAAAATGAGTAAATAGATACCCTCTGCAATATAATACATAAAAACTGTTTACTTTTTTGTTTTCTCTTAGCATCTTTTGTTTAGCACAATAGGCTCTCCATGTTATTTCGTTAAAACCATAGTTAAAATAGTCTGTAATATCTGCACCAGGCTTTCTCCATGGTTTATCCTCTACATTATCCAAATCAACTTCAGTAATAGGTTGACCATTGTATTCACCTACAGCTTCAATATTAATGCCTCTTTGTGCGGATTTTGTTCCTGCATTATTAGCATTAGTTGTGGTATTGGATATTTGTGTTGTCGAAGATTTTATTTGTTGACCAGGCTTAATATTTACAGGTGTATCATTATTCTCTGCAGAGTCCTTCTTTTCTCTAATATGTTATATAAGCGTATGAAAAAAAAAAGTGAAAAATAATGGTATTGTTTTACCCTTGTATTTTATCCACTTCATTTTCTTGTTGAGGCTCCTCTTCTGGTTCTAAGATAATCTCAAGATCCTAAATAATAAATGCACATAAGTATTGAGTAATTATATCATGTAATATTTTGTACATCATCACTATCTTCTTCTTCTTCGTCATTTTCTTCATCTTCTTGATCATCCTTTTGTATATCTTGTAGGTTTTCATCTAAATCTTGCTCACTTATATTATTCATCTCTTCTACTTCTGATATTATTGGACTTTTCAATGTATTTGCTGTATTTTGTACTTTACTTGATTCATCTTCTTTTCTAAAAATGAAGTGAATGTCAATAAATTATTAAAATATTAACATTAAATAAATCAACTTTACTGCTCAGTACTATATATATAGTTAAATAAAGTTTAGTAATGCATACTAAGAAATAAGAATTTAATTGTACATACTCTTTAGCATCGTTATCCTCATATAAATCATAAAGATCATCGACGTCTAATAAAGTTTAGTAATGGGGGGAAAAAAAAAGCATAATTAATTACGCGACTAATTAAATAACTTCATTAAAGTTATAGGTATATTCACCATCTTTTATATCCAAATTAATAGGTGCCTTATTCTCTACTTCAGAAGTACCATATAGGAACTCGTCATCTTCATCTGTTAAATGACTCATCGTTATAAGTGACAGGTAGATAAAAAAAAAGTAAAGCAAAAAAAAAAACAAATAAATAAAAAAAGTATACACTATTTCCGGAAATTATTCGTTCATAAAAAAATAAAAATTTCGTTCACAAAAAAATTAAAAAATAGTTCACAAAAAGATTTTAAAATTCATTCGTTTTTAATGAACGAAATAAGCGAAATATTAAACTGGCTTTCGATTCAAGCAATCATTAAACTTATCAACAGAGTAGCGGCAGAAACCTTGAAGGTCACTGAGCAAAATATTGTTGCATGAATCTCGGATTCTTGATGTCATTGTCTCTTCCTCCAATAACCTTTCTCGCTTAAGTTTACTTTTGACTACTGACCAAAATTGTTCAATAGGGTTCAATTCAGGTGAGTAAGAAGGAAGATATATGCAACGATATCCACGACCTTCAATATACTTCTGTATATCTTCGTGTTTATGAATGGGGGCGTTATCCATTACCAGATAATAGTCCTTAAATTTTGGATGTAAATCCATGACATCCAAACAGCTAGCAATGAAGTTAAAATAATGACCAGTAACTGTGCCCCCTTTCGTTGCTTGTTTAGGAACAGGTTTACTTCCCTCTGCTTTTCTTTTTTTATTTGGAGCCTGAATTTTTGGTCGTCTTACTCTAATATTAATTACGCCATGTGCACATATGGCTCCTAGTATAGTTGTTGTTTTTGCCCTAGTTTTAGGTACAACAACTACAGCCCTTTTTCCTTTTCTAGACCAAGCTACTGATCTCTTCATGTTAATATGAAACGCAGCTTCATCTATGAAAACGCAATTGCTGAAATAATCCATATCAGTTTCAAGTATCTTTTTCACCCAGTGGCACCGCTCCTCAATTTTTTCAGGACTATTTCTTTCTATTGAGTGGAAATGAGCTCGTTTAAGGGTGATATTGCATTTCTTGGTTACAAAGTTATGAACTGCTGATTTTTTTATTTCAATACCGGGGAATTGACTAGTGAGACCTTCTATCATTTCTTCCAATGTAGAAGATGACTTTTCGTCAATGAAATTGATCAGAAACTGTTTATGTTTCTCTGTAAGAATAGGAGGTCTACCAGCTTTTCTACCACTTCCAGTTTGTCTCAGACTCATTTCTTCATCCCCAGCAAGCTCTGCTTTCTTTTTCCAAGTTTGTGCCGTACTTTGAGGCACTTTTATTTCCTCAGCAGCGGCACGTACACTCATCCCTTTCTCATAAATAAGGTAAAAAAAGTAGTTTTTGACTTCAGGCTTATAAGTTCGATATGTTCTTTTATTTTCATTGTTATCTTTTTTTTCTTCGTCCTTCGTAACCACTTGTTCAATCTTGGCAGGTTTTTCAGGTGGCTTCAAGTCCAAGTACGTGTCGTAATTAGTAACATCCTCAAGAGGATATTCTAATTCATCAACTTCCATCTCAAGAACTGCAACTGGTTCGCCTTCTTCATTGCGAAGGTTTCCTTTACCATCTTCATGTATAAATTGGTCCATTGTTAAAAAAAAATTATTTTCGAAAAATGAACGAGATTATTTCCTGCGAGTAATCAACTTTAAAATCTTTTTGTGAACTATTTTTTAATTTTTTTGTGAACGATTTTTTATTTTTTTTTTAATGCATTTTTTTTTCTTTTGTGAACGAAATTTTTATTTTTTTATGAACGAATAATTTCCGGAAATAGTGTACTGTACACTACTTTTTTCTATAATAACAGTCACAAACAATGGTTATTCATAATTAGATGGAACAGTTTCCTTATTATTTTTTGCATAAACCAAACAATCAAACACTATCTTTCATTATACATTTAAAATATACATCTTTATTATTAACCAAATTTAAATCCAATGATCATACTGAAAAACTACATACCAAAATTGCTCGGCGTGAAGGCTCTTTAAAAAGTTAAAAAAAGTTAAAAAACCTTTAATGGGCTCAAAAAAAAAAGGAAAGAGCTTTTCATTATATAGTACTTTTGTTAACTCTTTCATTTCAACTTTTAGGTTTTCTCGATTTTATTTGTTGTATTCCTTCATTTTAGCCTGTTGTATTTGAATATTTCAACTTTTTGAGCTTTTTTTTTTTTTTTTTTTTTTTTTTTTTTTTTTTTTTTTTTTTTTTTTTTTTTTTTTTTTTTTTGTTCCTAAAACCTAGAAGTAATTATATATATCATTTTGATAAACACGAGGAGAGTTTGACTTCTTTCCTTAATAAGAATCCTTTAACCAGCAATGAGCAACTTATGAATCAATTAGCTGCTAGTTTTAATGGCTTAAACATAAAAAAAAAAAAAAAAAATAACAGCACTTTACAATTCCATATGGAGTAATATGAGGCTTATATTTAAAAGGTCTGCATTTCATAGTATCAAAAGAGGCTATTCAAGTTGAATAGCAACTAAGTAGTAAATGTAGACAACTCATGTATGAACTTTCTCAGAAACTATATCTTTATTGATGAATCTGGCTTACATACTAACATGATTTCAAATAGTGCTTAGACTCATAAATGTGAAGCACGAGTAGCTAAAGTTAAGAATAACAGGACCATTTTAGGTACAGTCCCAGTTTTTGCAATTGTAGTAAACACTATTTTAAGATCTTTGAGTGTAACTAGCACTCTAATTGTTCCTGTAGTTACTAACAAAAAAAAACAGAGTGAAAGTTTGACAATAGAAAGGTTATTCAGGTGAAGTCAAAAGGGACTACGACTGACTACTATCCATCTTTTTTTTTTTTTTATAGGGGGATTATGAATATTAGTTAAAGTTTTAAATACACACAGATTTCATGTTTTTATCATGAATAACATTCCTTTACACAAACAAGTTGATACAAAAGAATTTCTAGTAAAAAAAAAAAAAAAAAAAAAAAAAAAAAAAAAAAAAAAAAAAAAAAAAAATTGCAGTTGCACATTTGCAGATTTCCTATCTAAACCATACAAAACAAAGAAGAAGCATTTGTAGAAATGTACGCTAATATGTATTTAATGTGTTGAACTGCAATATAGTATATAGTTGTACTGATCATTATTGATGAACTTTTCTTTATAAGCACATGTCTTTCTACAAAGAAAAAAAAAAGATTGAATTAAATTATTTCTATGGGCTAATAGATTTTGAAGCATGAATAATAAAAAGGAAAAAAAATAATGTTAACTTGATGTCCCTAAAGCTTAAAGAGAAGAGAAGCGTAAGTTTATTAACCTGAATACAATAATTTATAATCAGTCGGCCAAGATTTGGTAAGTCTGAAGTGAATACTATTTCTAATTGTATTGCTGACTCACTTCTATATCCGTCGTTTAATTAGTTATGTATCAGATTTTCTATTTTAGAAAAAAAAAATATTATTTTTGTACTTATCAAATCAAAATACGAGTGCATAATAACCTGGGGTAAATTCAATATCGATTTGACCCCGCGTTTGGAGAAGACACCATAGCCAGGGGTATTTTATATCATATGCAAATTGTTAAAATTGCATTACAAAAAAAGATAAAATAAAGAGACTCCAAAGGTCACTATTTTTAAGGTTTTTAACTTGGAAATAAATTTTTTATTCGAATACAAAGGCTCTTTAGGATATTTTTTTTTAAAAAAAGGCCCTTTTTAAAGTATATAAATTTTGATTTTAAATATAAAAAAGATATAATATTACAAAAAAATCATAAACATGTTGGTGTAAAAAAAAATAAAAAAATAAAAAGCGGCAGTTACATTAAATAAACTGATTTGAAGAAAAGAACTACTTGGCTTTTTAGTACTTCTTACCGAACATCCAGACTTGAAGGTAATCATAACCAGACAAGACACCAGCACCAGCAATAGCACGAAGAATGTTAGCACCAGCACCCTTGAAGAGAGACTTAGTACCTTCCTTGGCAACAATTTCACGGAAAGCGTGAAGAGAAGAATCGTACTTAACGGCAGAACCGGAAGTCATCATCATACGACGACGAACGGTATCAATAGGATAAGAAGCTATATTACATAAGAATGATAAGTACACAAATGTAAACCATGAAAAATAAAACCCAAAAAAAAGAAAATAAATTTAACTTCCACCCCTGAATTTAAAAAAAAAAAAAAAAAAAAGGTAAACCACTTACCAAGACCAGAACCAGTGGTAACAGCCCAACCAAGAGCGAAGGAAGCCCAGAAGGAATCCTTAAGATTACCAGGAAGCATAGGCTTAATAGAATCGTAAAGACCGAAGTAAAGACCACGGTAAACGATAATACCAACACAAGAAATGTTGAAACCACGGTAAAGACCAGAAATACCATCGGACTTCAAGGTCTTTCTGTAAACATCAATCAAACCATTGAATTGACGTTCACCACCCTTCTTGGCAGATTTAGCATCGTTGGCAAGACGAGTACGAGCATAATCCAAAGAGTAGACGCTATCAAAAGAAAAAAAAAAGAAAAATATGAATGAATGTACGAGGTTGGATCCATATTAGACACTTACAAGAAAAGGGATGCGGCACCAGCAGCACCACCAGAAGCCAAGTTACCAGCGAACCAAGCCCAGTAACCATCTCTGACCTTATCTCTGTTGAACATACGCTTGAACTTATCCTTGAAGGCAAAGTTCAAAGCTTGAGTAGGGAAGTAACGAATAACGTTAGCAGTGTTACCTCTCCACAAAGAGATAGCACCCTCATCCTTCAAGGTACGAGCGAAACAATCACCAATACCCTTATAAGGAGAAGAAAGACGACCTTGCTTGATCATTTCATCTTGATTTTGAATCAAAAGCTTGATACGCTCAATGGGAGCAGCAGCAGTCTTAGAGACAGCGGCAGAGACACCACCCATAAGGAAATCCTACATATTTATATATAAAAGATAGTTTAAGTATTAAGGTTATTTAATATTTTAAGAATCACACTTACGATCATAAACTTGTTGTTGTTCTTCTCAGCAGCCATTTTTATTTTATTTTTTTATTTACTTTTTAGATAAAAAGGAAAAAAAAAGGAGAGGGGAGTATATAATCTGAAAAAAGAAATTTTAAAAATGAAATAAAATTCTAAAACCTTTTTATATCCAAAAAAATAAAAAAAAATAAAATAAAAATCAAAGCCAGGGGGGGTGTAATATTTTTACACAGTCCCATTTAAACAACTTTATCACTATCACTATTTAACTGATTATTCCTATTGGGCCAAAAAAAGTGTTAATGCACAACCTGTACAAAAGCCTTTTCTAACTTTAGTAAAGTACTCAAATTATTACCTTTTTGATTTAACTTTTAAATGGAAGAAATAAATTTAACAGTATTTTTTCAACAGTGCATAAAAGATTTATTTATTTTAGGATCAATTAACAAAAGTAATCTGATCGAGTAAATAATTTTAAGTGTAAAAGAAAGTGATGGCAAGTATAGATCAGATTAAAATCACTATGTAATTTAAGTATAACTTTACTAATATAGGAATAAAAAAAACAACTAATTTATGCGTAGAGTATTTTCGATGAAGAAATGAACATAAAATGGAAATCTACTTTTTATTTTGAAGGTTGTTTTACATAAAAAAAAAAGTACATTAATGAGTTGAACAATAGATCAAGATCTGCTTACAGTTAGCTTACTATAAAAAAAAAAATGTTATGGATTACTAAGGTTTTATTGTTCCTTTAGTCAAATTTATGAAGTTCTATCCTGTAGCGGGTATAATCATTATATGTTATAATTAATAAGCATTTTGTAACTTTGTTAAATTGTTCATTTCTTTTTATAAAATTTTGTTTTTATTATATATAAATGCATGCATGTATGTATGTATAATATAGTGATGTATCTATGCCTGTATATGATAACATTATGTATTGTGTATTATAGTTGACGGAAAAGAGAGAAAAAAAAGAGAGAGAAAGAGAGAGATCATTATAACAATAATAATAAGGTAATATATTACGTATATTTCTTCTTTTTAGATAACTTATACTTGCTTCTGTCTTTTTCGAACGTTATCTTCATCATTAGAAGAAATCGAATTATTCGTGGTATTTGTGGCTGTAGTATATTCATCTTCATCATTTAACAAATTTTGAAGCATTAAACGTCTACGTCGTTTAGCAGCTTGGTTTGTATCCACCATATTTCTTAATAAATTTCCCTGTAAACCAAGATTATGGGGCCCAATAATTGATTGATGTACATGCTCAATTGATTTAAAATAACGTACAGTCTTTTTTTTTTTTAGAAAAGAGGTAATAGTTGATTAAATAAAGGAATAACTTACTTTAACGTGGAGTTCTAAGGTTGCATCTTCATCACATATAATTAGTCCTTTTGGATGCATTTGTATTGCTGAAACTGTCCACATATGATTTACACCCTCCTCTATACATTTTGCTAATGCTAAACTCTTATGTGCACCCGTAATAACTACACAGACTTCTCTAGCATCCATTACCGTCCTATATATAAAATAAATGGCTGTACCTAACATAATATGTTCAAATATTATATAACTCACGCTACTCCTACTGTTAAAGCAAGTTTGGGAACTTTAGAAACATCTCCACCAAAGAATCGTGCGTTGGCAATAATTGTTTCATATGCCAATGTTTTGACTCTAGTCCTTGATGTTAATGAAGATCCAGGCTCATTAAATGCAATATGTCCATCAGGTCCAATTCCTTTATATTTAGTTATATATTAATAAATTCCTACATTTCTTTCCCTTTTTTTTTTATTACAGTTACCGCCTAAAAATAATTCAATTCCACCTAATTTAACAATGTCTGCTTCAAACTTTGAGCATTCATTATCAAGATCTTCTGAATTGCCATCAAGTATATGTACGTTTTCTTTCTTAATGTTGACATGCTTAAATAAATGATTCCACATAAATGTATGATATGATTGAGGATGATCTCTAAAAAAGATATTAGTTAACACACACATACATATACTATTGAATCGTTTACCTTGGTAAACCAACATATTCATCCATATTAAAAGTGACGACATGTTCAAAACTTAGCTCACCTGCTTTATAAAATTCTACAAGTTTATGATAGACACCAATAGGTGAAGATCCAGTTGGTAATCCCAAAACAAATGGTCTTTCTTTAGTTGGTTTAAATTGATTAATTCTTTCTTTCACATAATACGCTATAATTAAGTAAGGTTTTGTTAAATAAATAGACATGTTGCATTTGAATAATGCTAAGAGATCTTTAAACATGAGAAATCGAATGCTATTGTACCTGAATAGGCGGAAACTTCTTCATAATCTTGCCGAATAATAAGTCGCATCGTTTTTTTTTTTTTTTTTTTTTTTTGGAGGAGGGGGATTTACGGGAATTCAAGTTAGACGTACTTGATAATTCTATAAAAAATAAAAATGTTGGTGGGTTGGACCCTGCACATATGCAAGTCACACAGCTGGTGTTATTTGTGATAAAAAATTTCAGGGCACACAGCGGTATATTATATAATTGATTATTTGTATGTATTTCTATTATGTTTGTTAAATTCAAAATTGAAACATTAAAAAAAAAATAAATAAATATACATGTATCATTATTTAAACAGTAATTATAACTTATTAACAAACACTGTAAAAATGTATTAAATAGAATCCTAGTCTAGTCGTTATACTTTTGAAGCACGGCTTAATTTCTTATCTTTTATAAAGCACTATAAGTTCAAATAATCAATTAAAAAAAAGTATACATATTATCACATCAAAGTTAATTCGAACGAAGCTTATCATAAATTGAACTCCAAGGGAGAACAACGGAAGCATCCGCTATTTTATTTTATTTCAATTTTTTTTTTGGACTTTTATCAGCATAAACAAAACCCTCTTCAAAAATATGCATATATTATCTAGGAAGATATTATCTTGATTATTTATATTTGATGGAAAAAATTTATTTAGTATGCTAAATTAAAGAAGATTAGTTACTATTTTTTAAAATAATGACCCACATTCTTATAGTAATATTATATACATACTTATCTATGATGTTTATATAATGAATAACCTATGGAAAAGGTAGCAAAAAGGCTTTGTCAATAGTATTTACACTATTGTTTTCTTTGACAAATGCTACAAAGGCTGACATGAGAAGGTTAAGAAATCTTCCATGTAAAGAAAATTAAAAATGGAAAGGTTATATTAAGAAAGAATAATGAAAAAAAAATGAAAGCATACATATATTAGAGAATTTGAATGCATAACTTATTGAAAATATACATAATTTGTCTAGTAAAAGGAGTCTATACATGTTATTCATAATTTTCTGTAAAATATCACTAACAACTTTTGCTATCATGCATCTCTTCTCATACAAATTTAAAAATCCAAATTTCAACAAGCTTTTGTCTACTTTCTTTTTAACCGGCTAAAGATGAATGCAATATTATTTTTGCATTTTAAAGTACATTTATGAAAGTTAAGAAGATCCTTAACTTCTTAAAAACTAAACAAATGAAATAGATCCACGCATTTTTTCTTTTCAATTAATAATTTACACCTTATTCATATCATATACCTTAAGAATTTTATTTTTGTTGTTGGCCTTACTCTACATAACTATCTTCTTTTTTTTATTAGTTTATTTTGTGTATTAATAATATTGCGTTTACAGCATACAATATTAGTAGATACTAATTTAGCCAAATTTTACATCTTGCTAAATAAGTATAACATGAGGAGAAAGATGACGTCTTTTCTTGATTTGCATTTTTATATTGACATACTACTTTATTAATAAGCGCTATCTAGAAGTAATTTTACATCTTTCTTTAGATTATTATTGACATTCTTCATCCTTTTTCTTCTATTGTTTAGTAAAAAATTTATTTTAATATTATAACGACATATCCGACATCTAAAAAAAAAAATACACTCAAAAATTACAAAAGATAATTCCCTGACGGGGAATCGAACCCCGGCCGCGTCGGTGAGAGCGACGAATCCTAGCCACTAGACCATCAAGGATTTTCATGTCCGACAAGTGGTATAAAAATATAAAATTTGCACACTAAAAATTTAATCAACAGTCACGTGATATACCGGACTTGTCCGGTAATTCAATTTATTTTATTTTAATTTACCCTTCTTTAATAATTCCTTTTATATAATATCATTTTTTATTTAAGTATCATTTTTTAATATAATGGAATAAAATCAAGCTTTTACTTTGCTTTAAATTTTTATTAAGTTGTTTAATTGTAATTTGATTAATTGAACTGAAACGACAATACAGAAGATTGTCAATTAAATATAGAAACAGTAACAGAAAGAAATATCAATACATTAACGACGACATAAAGAACAAAAGCAATATTCAACTTACATTTATACCTTTGTCTCAGTATAAAAGTAACTAGAAGAAACATTAGCTTCACAAATAGAAAAAAAAATAAAAGAAAAGGATTCTACTGTTAAGCACCACGAACATATCATGTCTAGAAATTTTACAATATATACTTGATATATTTAAATAATGTGATCACGTGACTGTCCGGCATTTAATGCATTGTTCGGCAGCTTTTTTTTTTTCATAAAAAATAAACCATTGACTTTAATGTTAAATTAGGGGACGAGAAACAGATATTAACATATTATAAAGTAACAAAATCATTACTGTATTAGTTATCTGTCATAACATATTATGTATATTTAGGGTATTAATTTGTATTTGAAGCACTTAGGACGTTAGCAACTTAAAGCACGTATATACTGTTATTTTGAATTATATAATATTGTTCAGTGGTACTAAATATCTTTTTTTTTTAAAGTCTGATAACGTAATTGCTTCGTTTTAAAAAGAATTACCTATTCTACATTTAATAAATATTTAGAAAAACTATTCTCTTTCATAAAAAATATTAGCTTTATTACAGGCTTCTTTTTTTTTTTTTTTATCAAGTGTTGTGAATATGTAATCATTTGACGATATAAGTATCCATAATTTAATTTTAATATTTCCTTCATATAAATATATCTAACGACTAAGTATACATCTTATATTATTATTGGACCTATAGTGATTTAAAATAGCTATATTACTATTTTCAAAAAAAAAAAAGTATATGTATATAATCATAATGAAGTGAAATGTTATTAAAATAAAAGCAAAATTTAAATAAATAAGATAATTTATTCAATTAATTGTGGTAAAGATTCGTCTATAGTTTATAAATAAAATCCTTCATTTTTTTTATTGTTTTTTTTTATACTAAAAGGGGGAAAAAAAATGGTAAAAGGTATATTAGACAGTAAGATGGCAATGCTAATCTAAAAGAGGAAAATAAAAGCTAATTCATTTCTTCATACTCATGTATAGTTCTAATTCTTGGCGCTGGTTATGGTACTCGCCTTCAACGTGACCTGAAAAGTTCAGAAGAATATAAACATTTGCTTGGCGTACCTAAAGCTTTGCTACCTTTAGGCGGCCGAGATGCTCTTATTACACATTGGATCGAGCTTTTTAAAGCTCATGGCTTCAACATTCAAAATGACATATACATTGTCACTAATGGCCAATGTTATGAATCCTTCAAGACATGGGCTGTCAATCACAACATTCCATTAGATCACATTGCTAATGATGGCACACTTGCAAACGAAGATCGATTAGGTGCTGTACCTGATATTATGTTTGGTATCAATATGTTTGGCATTAATCAAGAAGATGTCCTCGTTGTTGGTGGTGATACCTTATTCTTGCATGATTTTAATCTTCGTCAATTTTTATCAACATTTGAAACTCATAACGAACATTGCTTAGTTACTATTTATCAGGTGAATGATGAACAAGTACATAAATTTGGTATTGTGGAAACAAATAGCGAGGGTATGATAACAAGTTTCTTGGAGAAACCAGAACCTACAGCAACAAAAGCACGCTCTGCCTGTCCTTGCTTTTATTTGTTTCATAAAAAGGCGATACCATTAATCCAAGAGTTCATTACTATCTGTAAAGAATCTAATGCTCCTAAGGAAGCATATGATGCAACTGGTAAATGTTTAGCTTATCTTTATCCTCGTTTCCCAATCTCCACGTTTCCAATTTCAGGTCGAATTGATGTGGGAGGATTAGATTCATATATAGAAGCCGATAAATATTTCAATAGAAAGCAATAATAAACTCTCTCTCTCTCTCTTTCTCTCTTTTTTTCTCTATCTTTTTATTTTTTTTTTTATTTTTATTTTCTATTATATTAAATTAAATTATCTGTCAAAATCATTATCATTATTGTGTTCCATATTTGGGTATTCTAAAGCACCCCAAACTTGGTATAGTTTATCACTCGCTTCCTTTCCCCATCGACGTCTACTAATTTGTCCTTGTGTTGCAACCTTGGCTAAGTTCTTTGCTTCATCTAGCGTCTTCCCTTTAAAAGCTAATAGTAATGAACGCGGCGTAGGATAGACCTTCATCAAGGATAAAGCTCTCTCAGCATTTATACCACGAATTGTCATCAGCATTCGTAAATAAACCTCATGTAAGCTTATTGGTCCATTCTTTGCGTTCAGTTGACTAAAAAGTGAATAGTTGACGAGATACGCTACCTTACCCTCTTCATTTGCTTGTTTATTTCTATATGCATCTTTTAAATTAAGGTAATTTTGGCGAGTAACGATATGATCCTGAATAGAATAAAGCGTAGTTTCATTGTATATCTGTTTTATTAATTGTGTTGTTGATACAAGATAATCAATCGTTTCATCAATATTCTGTGTTCGTTTCAGAAAGATACCATCTACTATTTGCATTGAGGACAGAGCAGTTTGAATAGCCTGCATTCCAAACCTCTCTGCTTCATCACGATTGTATTCTTCGATGACATAAATGATTTTTTCTAATCCTGAACGTTTTAGGCGTGTCTTTTGTTCTGTGAATCGACCATCCTTAATGCTGCTGACTAAATCATCCAATCTTTTACGTTCAACAATATAGTCTAATACTAACTCATCAGACTGGTTGCTGCTTCCTTTTTTTTTAGCAACCCATATAACATCACCAATATTCATTGATCGTGTAATACACTGAACCCCCTTTGCTAATAAATGCTCTTGAAAATAATCTCGATTACCCCTCATTTGAATTTCACGACTGTCTAATACTAAGAAAATATCATACTCATTAGGCTGCATCACCGCACAGGTTTCACGAGCAATTAATTCAGCATAATTTATCGCACTAGATTGAGTACTGTCCTGTGCTCCTATCTGTGATAATGGAAACATCGCTTGTGATGTCAAGTCACGTTCAAGCTGTTGTTGTTGTGATGAGAAAAATAATTGACTCTGATTACTTCTTATAGATGACTGACTATCTGAAAATAAATGGTCTTCATTAGCAGTAGCAACAGGCTCAGGCCAAAATCTATCCTCTTCCTCACGATGTAATGGTAAAATAGGCGATGCAGGAAGCCCTGGACAAACAGAATCTATAGCTCCTTCCCGTAAATACCCTGTCGTAAATTCCCCATCAATACGCTGTTGAATAACATGTTGAGCCTTAGGATGATGAGCTTGATTTGTATAGAATTTGATAAGATAGGCAAGTGAATGATTAGCTTCGTCAACACAAACAGCAGCTTTTGCTACATGTCTAACAGGCTCATTTGTTGCATCTAAATATGTGAAATGAAATGTTTCATTCACAATTTGCTTTACTCGAGACTGTGAAAGTGGAAAGAAGTCCTTATCAGAGTCAAAATCATCTTCAAAGATGAAGACGTTATCTCTTTCTGTCGCCGTTTGTGTTGAAGCTGAGGTTTGAGTAGGCTGTAAAAGTGGAGACAATTCAGGTGAAGATAAAAGATCAACTATATTATCCTCTTTGTTTGAACTATGATTTGATTTGTAAATTGGAAAAGAAGAAGGAGTTAAGTTTATTTCGTATTCATCTATATTATATCTTCGTTTATCTGGTTTATTACTATTGGTCACAGATGGTATAGAAGATGAAGTCATAGTAGTTTTTTCATTTTCATCTTCCATCGATGCAGATATTTTACTTCCAGTTAAGCGGCTTGAGAAAGAAGAAGAAGAAGAAAAATTTATGTTCAAGTCATCAGGGTCGTTATTATCAAAAGTATCTGTCACACGTTTTGCAGAAGAAAGTGCATTTGAGTTGGTGATAGAAAAGGATGCGCCTACTTTATTAGAGGCACACTTTTTGGGTATCGTAAACGTGTTATTTAATGATAAGGCCGTCGATTTACCATCATTATTATAGTTTGATGTTGTTTGTCCATTAATAGAAAATGGTTGATGTTCATTTGGATTAAGTACATATAAATTCAAGTCAGATGTATTCAAATCATTTCCTCCATTCCTTTCTTTTTCTTTTAATAAACTGTCTAAAAGGTCGCTTGTAGTTGTCTTTGTTGTTGACTTATTCTTTTGTCTCTTTCTTTCATATTGATTGGCACTACTTGTCGAATCATATAAATTTGGTATGGAAATACCTATATTAGCTATCACTGACTCATTATCAGACGTTTCCTCTTGAGTATCGTTAGATCTTGTTGTAGATGTGGTTATAAAAGTCTGATCCGGAGTTAAAGTCGTTTGATGTTTAGAAGGATCCAGTACATATAAACTCATATCAACATTACTATTGGTACTACTGTTTTCATATTCCATAGCAGCGGCAGCAAATGCTGCTCCTGAAGATGTAGGCAATAATGATAGTGAAGGTGCTTCAGTCTGACCATCGTTGACTTGTTTCAATTTTTTTGCCAATTCAATACCTGTATCTGTCAATTGATATTTTGCAGGTTTTCCATTTTTCCAGACATAGCCTTTGTCACATAGGGTTTTCATGCTATTCCACGCTGTATATGATTTTCCTGCATCTGCTAAAGTAAATGATGAATCACAATAAGGTTGAGCTAAATTACAAATTTGATCACGAGTCCCATTCAATTGATTATTTTCATACATGTTCAATAAAGCTAATAAAATGGCATAACCACCTGTTCTAAAAGCAGGAACATAAGGTTTTGTTCTTCTAGATTTGACTTGAGTCGCTGATGGTGATCTCCCATTCGCACTTTCTGTATTATTTACTTCATCTAATGCATCTCGTTTTCTTTTCGCTAAATTATTATAGATGGACTTAATTTATCTTGTATACTTTTTTTTTTTAATATTGTAAATCAATGTTTACCTTTTGAATTGACAGTTCGAGAAGGCATAGGCAAGTTGTTCTCTTTACAGTATTTTTTCATATTTTCTTCTAATCTTTTCACCATACCTTCACCAATCCCAGCTAAACAAATAGCTTCAGAAGGATGACTGAATGTAACAGGACATTTACATAGTGAATCATATGCCTTCATAAGATTAAAAATAAACATCAATATAGATCTTCAACATAACAAAAGAAAAAAAAAATTCTGGTATACTTTTTTATAAGTAAAATAAGCTTTGCTCTGTAAACTTTGCGATTTGTCCATCCATTCTTTTACCCAATCACGTAAAAGAGGATTTCCACAATGCTCAGGCATCTACAGTAAGCCAATTTATTTGTTTCAACTGATCAAAAGAAAAAAAAAAAAAAAAAGATTTATGTAGAAGGGAACTACATATTTTATTTTATTTTATTTTATTTTATTTTATTTTATTTTATTTTATTTTATTTTATTTTTTTTTTTAAAAAAAAGCTGCAATCACAAGTAAAAATGATTCAAATGTTGCTTATTTCACGCAAAAGCAACCAACATAAAAATTTTATTTCATGATACAATGTTTTAATATTCTTTACGTGGTTCTCTTTCTTTTTTTTATTGTCTTTTTCAGCAAATGCTAATAAATCTTATATCTTCAGCATTTTGGATATTTTTGAATTTATAGTTATTATAGATCAATAGTATAGACTATATAGAAGCAAAAGGAAGGAGCTGTACAAAGTATATTCTCCTTTTTCCCTTTTATCTCTCTTTCCCCTCCCCCCTCTTTTTTTTTATTTTTCTTAAAAAGTAAAATAACTTTATTATATAAATAGATTATATTAACAAAAACGTAAAGAAAAGAACGAGCGTCTTTTAGAAGTTTTTTTTTGATTCTTGGCAGGAATGACAGTGTTATTTTTATCAATTACTGATTGATTACTATTTCTTTTGGTAGTATAATTCATCATTGATAAGAGTGGAGAGGAGATCTTTGTGTAAGTTGTAGGCGTATTCATGATAGATAATTCTACAGTAGATTCTTCATGATTTATAGTAGGAGTTACTGCTGCTGCTGCTGCTGTTGTTGTTGTTGCTGTTGCTATTATCTCATCATTTGACAGTTTATCTTTAGGATTACTGGTATTTACGCTTGTCTCATCATTAGAAAAAGCAGAAAGAATATCAGATGAATCTTCTAAAGGATCAGGTTGCACTAAGGGAATACTGGTGTCATCTATTGTAACGATTTCTTCAGTAGCAGTAATAAACGTTATGTTATTATCAGTATTTATTACAGAAGTACTAGTAGTAGTAGTAGTAGTAGTAGTAGTAATGTCTTCTTCTACCTCATCTCTATTATTATGATCTTCTGTAGAGAAAAAATTATCTGAAAAAGTAGAAACTATTGAAGAGAATTGCTCAGTATCATTTACGCTTAAAGCAGTAGACGTTACTACTACTTCTTGCTGAGTAGTTTCGATGGTTGGTTTAATTAATTCACCACCATTACTAAATTTTGTTGCCTTTTTGTCAAACTCTTGAATAAGATCATTCGAAAATGAATCAAGTGAAAGACGAAAGACAGGTGGTGACCATAATTGAAACATATTACTAGTATTTTCCATCTTGTAAATGATAAAAAAAAAGAAGCAAAAGAAAAGAAAACAGTTTTAAGAAGGATTTAAGAAGAATAAAGGGGGGGAATGATTTGTTCAGTCTGAGGAGTATGTTTTATTGCTATAATATAAATACATATTGAGATGATGTATAATAATGTATTTTATCACGAACTTTTCTTTTTTTCAGTTATTCTAATATTAAATGTCTTTAAGAACAATTCAACAACTATATAACGAGTTAAAAACATTAATATAAATGCTGCTCCATACATAGCAAATCGATACCAATGTCCAATAACAATTAAAAATCCAACTATTTTTTTTTTCAATAGTTGTTATATTATTAGAATCAAAAAACTACTATTACTATTGTTACTTACTTGCAGGAGTTACAAGTGTATAATTGATATTAAATCCAGACCATAGTGATATAGCATGAAGAAAAGGTGAATGATATGATGCATATAAAAAGAAACTAAATAATGCCATGTTTATATTTAAAGATAAAATTACATAACGCTTAGTAGTTAGCATGTAAAATGGTAACACCAATATCAGAACATGTTCTAATATAAAATACAGAAAGCAATTCATTATTTATGTTATACATATATACCATGTACATTTTTACCTAAAAAAAAATTAAACACTTCTCCTAACAGATCGTGATCTCTTAAATCAGGAAATACCAGTGCCAATACAGATCCCCATAAAGTATGTAAATAAACATTAAATAAAAGCTGTGGTATATATTGATAATCATTATCTGGCCAAGACATAATTATAATCAAAATAACAGCACTAACATGACAAGGCTACGAAAAAAAAAATAAGTGAATTGACTAAAGTATAATTGCATATCCATTACCTGTAGTAGGAAATAGTTTGTATGTGATATTAGCTTATGAATAACTGTTACTGTATACGATAGAATCATTATAATTAAACACATAGTTTCAAACCATGATCGTTTTGGTCTAACAGTTTTCTTGATATTTATTAACGTATTATAATTCTTTTTACTATAATAATAAATACAATTATAATTTATTCTTATCCTTATTATTTGACTACTTACTTTAAAATAATAGCTTTATATCCAAAATAGACAGTCATAATTAAATAAAAGGGTACAATTATTAAGAATTCTATACCATGAGCAGCAGGTGAAACATACCTATTATTTTATATAATTAGCACGTTTAATTATATGTATGTGTCTATAACACTACAAAATTACCAAGAGCCACCTAAAGAATCTGAAAAATCAGTTTCATTTCCCGGTTTAAAATTATATGAGCATGCTTCAACTATTGCTCCAATTTTCCCTATTAAACTCATTTTATATACACGTAGAAAAGAAAGAAAGAAAGAAAACAAATAATCACAATAATAATAATAATAAAAAGAAAAGAAAAATAGCAATAGGGGTTTTAAAATAAATACTGCTTAAAAAAGCTTGATGTACATAATAATGCCATTTTTTTTTTTTTTTTTTTTTTTGTGTTAGAATTGTATGCTATGTAAACATGTAATCTAACATAATAACCCACTTAAAGGAAAGTTCAAATAGACATTGTATTACAATGATATTATTATATATCTTATTGTTTAAAATGATAGGCGATACTATTTCTCTTATTTGAAATACTATATATAAAGAATTTCTTGTAATAGACATGCTTTTTTTTTTTCACGTTATTATTTGAGCATATATGCGTGCTTTATTTTATTATGTTTCTGTTTACAAATGATATTATGCACAGCATACTGGCATCTATTTTTTTTTCTTTCCTTGTCTAATTAGAAAATCGTACAATTCCAATCTTTCAATCCAGGATCATTATAACGAATGTTTCTCGAGCCCAAAGAAGCAATAGAGTCGAAATCTTCTTTAGAAAGTTCAAAGTCTTGGAAATTTTCGACAATACGACTAGGTGTAACACTTTTAGGAATCACAATAAGACCTCTTTGTGCAGCAAATGCAATACATATTTGTGCTGGAGATTTATTTAATTTTTTGGCAATATCAAGAATGATAGGATCATCTACAATACGTTTTTCACCATAAACATTATTTCCGAGAGGAGAATAAGCTGTTACTTGAATATTATTCTTGTGCAAGAATGAAACAAGTTCAGGCTGTTGTAAAGCGGGATGTAATTCAATTTGGTTCTATTTTTTTTTTTATAAGTATTTGATTTTTTTTTCTCTATCTTATTGTATTTACCATAGCAGGTTTAATTTTGCAATGATCTAAAATATATTGAGTCTTTTCAATATTAAAATTGGATAAACCTATCAAAAAATTAGTTAATATCAAGTTATTTAATCTATATACAAAATAATATTTACCAATGGCTTTAACATAGCCTTCTTCAACAAGTTCTTCCATAGCATTCCAAGTCTCTAAAGGATCAACTTCTTCAAGTTGAACAATGTCATTCCTATATACAATATATTTAACATCCTCTCCCTCTAATATAAAAATTGAAAATAAATAAACATTACTTTTTAGGAATAAGATATTCCATGTTAGGAACAACAGGTGTCTCTTCAGGCTTTCCAGAATTCTAATTATTCATTAGAATATAAAGATGAATAAATAACAATAATAATAATAACAATAATAAAAAAGGGGTAAAACATGGTTATTTATATTACTTACTATAAAGGAAACAGGCCAGTGAATTAAATAGAGATCCAAATAATCAAGACCTAAAGCTTTAAGAGAAGCTTTTACAGCGGCTTTAACATACTCTTTACGATGATGAGTATTCCAAAGCTATATATTTGATTATGAAATTAAATTCATCTATAAAGCAGTTTTATACACACTTTTTTCTTTTTACCTTGGAAGTAATAAAGATTTCTTTACGAGGTACACCAGACTCACGAATACCTTGACCTACCTCATCTTCATTACAATACACGTAAGCACAATCTAAATGTCGATAGCCAGTTTCGAGAGCGCATTTAACTGCTTTTCTAACTTCATCAGGTTTTGATAACCAGGTACCGAGACCAATAACAGGAACTTCATTACCCGTGTTTAGAGCTATAATTTAATTTTTTTGCTTTTAGTTCAGATATTTCAATATTGAAAAAAAAAAAGAAGGGATTACTCTACTTATTTTTCTATTAAGAGCCATTGTTATTTATTATTGTCTTTTTGTTTTTCTTTTTGTAAAAAATAAAATAAAATAAAAAATGTCATGATAATTCATGTTTAGTTTTTATATTCGTCGGATTAAAACATTGAGTTATTAGTTCAAACTAATAAATTTTTCCTTTTGTCCGAATTTTATCATTCAAAATAACCGACAAGGAAAATATATATTTTTTTTTTAAACAAAAATGACCAATGAGTACATAGCAATTTAATTATGCTGTATTGCTCTAATCAGTTTAAAAAAGAGAAGGTAATAAAAGCCTCTTAGGTATCAAAATAGAAAAAAAAATACGAAGAAAAGAAGAGTTCAGAAACAGTACTAGCATACCAAACAAAGAAAATACATTCAAACAATAATTTTTATTTAATATTAAAAAACCCAAATGGGGCACAAGATACAAATTACATCAAAATAATTGCCCAGGTGAGGTAATCAGTAAAGGAGTTAGAAAGGAAAAAAAAAGTATAATTATGACACAATTAGTGAATAGAAGAAGATTTTTCCTTTTACAGTATTGTTACTAGAGATTGAAACAAGCCCAAAAAAGTGTAATTTCTTTTCGTATTTTTTTTTTTTTTTTTTTTTTTTTTTTTTTTTTTTTTTTTTTTCATTTACATTCTATAAACGAATAAGACATTATCCACTATAATTCTGCTGAAAGATCCCTTTTAACGTACAATACCAACACAAACGGAAATAAAATTCGAGGGTCTCGTAATTCAATACTGTGATATCCAAATGCCTGTTGATATTGATTCTGTTCCTGAGTCTGAGCCACAACAGATTGCGGTAAAAAAACGTAATAAACAGTTTTGTTGAAAACTTTAAGGAGGTTGTCATCACAACTCCCAAAACTACAAGAAGTACAGTTTAGACTAAACTACTTGCTTCATTAGCATTATGCAAGAGCAGGAAGGCTTAAAAGTAACTACTATAACAGGATAATGCGGTATATATCGCGATTCTGCTTACTAGCTTTTAAAGCGCTTAATGCCAGCCTCTTTTCAGTTATTCCTAAAACATTAAAAATATGCTTAAGAGTGATTATAAAAAAACAAGTTGTTAAGTCTAACGTAGCAGCTTCCAAATCAACCTATGTTATAGAGCATCAAATGCAATGACTGTACTGCACTGTATAGCCAGATAAACAAGCACAAGAATATAACCAAGAGACGAACATTAATCTCCGAGCCATGTCCAATGGTTCGATTATGTAAAGGAGAGAGCTAAAGAAAGGCTACTGTCAATGGTATGGGAAACCATCCAAGCTTACAAGATTAATCTAACTGGGAGCATATATCACAGCAAAGTTCCGAAGATATATGCTAGCCTATTGTCAACCTGTATTCAAACCTGGATCCAAGCCAGATCAGATCAGGATAATGTAAATAGCGAAGGAAGGGAGAATGGCAATTTGTATGTTGACAAGGAATTAAATTCGAAAACCATAATGAATCATCTAGAATTTACGTGTTTAACAATAACAGTACTATTATTAATGTATAAAGATATTATAACAGCTGGTTTCCTAATTACTGTGTTTCACACCTATTTTGTAGGACAATCATACTACATCACAATCACAAAAAGAAAAAGAACAATCATCAGCCACGATTCAACAATAATTATCATTATCATCAACACCAACATCATCATCACTGTCACAACAACAAGAGGAGGATGACGATGAAGAGATACTTTCAGACCTTTCGATTTATTATCATCCGGGCAGAATGAGTGAGTACTATTTTCAATACTAACATTAATCAGAATAAGTCCAAGGACAACAGTTACAACATGAAAATCAGCACGACAAATGGATGCTTGGTGACGATTATTGTGTATCAGATAAGTACAAACTGTTGAAACAGAATACTCAACGATTTGAAAAAGATTCTGCAATTTTGTCTGGTTTACGTGTCTTGTAAGTTGAAAAAAAAAGAAGAAAGTTTCGAACATGACTAAAATTACTCATATCATAATTCAAAGGGCTTGGAATGATATATATCTCTTTGGCAATAATATTTTTCGCTCAGTTACGAGATATTTTGGGGCTCAAGTGCATCAATCTATCACGTCTGGCCTGGGGTTCGAATTATATCGTCCAGAAAGATGCAATAAAGAACTTCACTAATGCATGGATGTCTCTGAGGTGAGATATCATTATTATAAAAAAAGATTTTTTTTTGAAAGTGACGTTGTAACAATTTATGTATTTTTTTTTCTGAAAACTCCTCCTGTTAATTGGTTTTTTTTGTCACTGTCATTGACCAGTCCCTCATACGACTGATGTGAAGGTTAAAGCCGGCTTCATCAATAAAAACACAGTTCTTCTCGAAGCCCATGTAACTGTCTACTAGCCAAGATTCAACTGCAATTTTTTTTTAAGAGAGTTTCGTGTGAATTACGATACTTAGTAAGCTTTTATAGTTTCTTAAAACTTAAAGCGCACTATTCTTTGACATGACGATAAAACTGGGTTTTGCTAATAGAAATGTCTACATACTTTTCCAGCAACTTTTCTCTCATTTGCTGTAAAGTCATTGGTGCAAAACCGTCAACGAGTTTTATAATAAATAATGTATGTTCCTCTTTCAACATGTTCACTTTAACTCGATCACATGCCTTCTTTTCAGGAATTCCTTGAGTTTCGTTCCACATTTTTTTCGAAAGCGATACGCAGTAGAAGTTGTAATACCCGTTTTTTTTTTTTTTTTTTTTTTTTTTTTTTTTTTTGCTGCTGCTTCTTTCACAGGAAACATTTCAATTAACAAACTGATAAATTCAATAATTTGTTTATCAGTGTATGATCGGTAAGTGTTTTTTATTATTATTTTTTTTTGCAGCATTACTCGAAAAATCCTTAAGCAAAACTTTCTGATTTAAGCCTTTCGTTCTCTTCAGGTATGCTTACACAAACGTAATCTTTAACTCCGCTTTGCTCAGTTTAGATCTCATCCAGTTTAGTTGTTCCACGCAACATGGACATCAAGCTGGTGTAAATTTCAGTCATCTGCTCTTCTAAGCTGTTAAAATCTTCCAGAGAAAGGTCTTTCATATGAACATCTACTATCATTTTCAATTAGTTATAAATACGTTAAAAAAGGCACCTCTTAACTACTGCTTTAATTTTCTCAAAATAATTATCACGTTTTCTCAATTGGCTAATAGCATTTTTTCTCATTTTAGAAGTTCTAAATTCCCATTTAATAGAAATTTCTTCTCATTTATTTGGAAAACACAGTATACTCAATTAGTGATAAACGTAAAGACAAATAAACAGTCTTCGTATATGTATTATGTAAAGATTTAAAATACATGATTATCCTTTTAGTGCCTACATAATTATTTAAAATAAATAACCATATTCCCACTCAAATGTTTTCATTTAATTTACCTGTAAACGCTTTTGCATCATATCTAATTCTGGTCCTTCTTCTTCCTCCTCCTCCTCCTCTTCTTCTACTGCAACAGGCTTAGTCTCTAGTGAAGGACCAACGGATCCAGCTTCGCCTAACAAACCATCTGTAATTTGAAATAATACATTATTTACTTCTTCGTCTGCTGCCTCTTCGATATCATCATCATCCATCATCTCTATTGTATCACTTATCATTTCTTCCATAAGTCCTGCCTATATATGTAATTCATAAAAGGAGAAATTATATACAAATATATAAAAAACCCCCTCTTTTTATTATATACCTTTGTCATTTCCATAGACATCTGCTGCATAGTTTGTGAAACTTCTGGTAAACGAGATAACTGATTAACAAGTTTCATAACTTCGCCACTTTTTTGAAGAGACCCTGCTACTTTTAGAGTAGCTATTATAAATATATATTTATATATTTTATAAGGTTATTACTATACGAAAACAAATGTAGTTAAGTATATATATATATATATATATATATGTACCTAATTGATGTTCTAATTGCATAATAATTGAGTTCATTTGTGCTTTACTAGTGTAGAGTCTGTTCTTATGCCTTTGTGAACGTATCAATTCCTTTGCTAACATTTTACAACTCTTGACATCTCCTTTTTTAGCAACTTGTTTGATGGATCGTTTTACTTTGATTTCTTCAGTATCTATAGCTCTTATTTGTCTATCGATGCCTCTTTGTTGTGCTCGAATCTCTTGTCTCCATTTCTTAACCTAAAACATACATTAGCCAACAAAAAAAAAAGAAAAAGAAAAACTTTAAAACCAATCTAACTTTTCTTCTTTCTCATACAAGTTCATCTGGAGTCTTTTTGCCGAAAAATCGTTGAATTGCACTCGCCATTAATTTTAATTAACTATTAATAGTGCACGTGTACCGTAAAAAAAAAGTAAAATAATAAGATACAGATATTACTTTACAAAAAAAAAAAAAAAAAAAAGTTAAAGTATCGCGGTTTTAAAAAAAGGGTGTTGTATAAACATATACAAAAATATATTTTTTTTTTTTTTTTTTTTTTTTTAAAAAAATTATGTCGCAATCAGGGATTTGCCCCACATAATTTAAGAAGAAAGGTGTTGTATATATTTTTTTTTCCTTTATTCAATGAACTGGTACTTTGATTCAAGCTCCCTGTACATTCTTAAGCACAACATTCTTCTCTTTCCTTCAAGCTTAGATACTTTTCATCGGGGTTTTTGACGTTCTCTTCACTCTTTATGCACGCAGCCTCCAACTTCACATAGTAATAACTCAGTTCAGCAAATGTCGTGAATTGAAATTACTCACAGTAACAACTTGGATCGCTTTCAGTAACAGCCCGGATCAACGAAGCCAATCTTGGGTAATCAAGCATTCGAAGACCATGAAGAGTAAAGTCAAGAGAAAAAAAAAGAAGGTTGGCCGCCTCGAGATTCTGAATAATGAGCAAAATGTTTCTCTTAAAATATATATATTTACAGTGATGATTCTCAATGTTACAAAGACATAATATTCAATTACACAATATATATGACATGGTCCTTAAAGAAGCTGTATTTATAAAATAAATAAGATACACGCTTGTAGTACAGAATCAAATATGTTATTGCACTAATCACGCTGCAGCTAATAATTTATCAAAACGTCAAGTACATTAAAGAGCGAATCCAGAAGTTAATCTTCAGATCTATTCAAATAAAGGTTAGCTTAAAGAAAGTAATATTAACGAGTTTTTTTTTTTTTTTTTTTTTCCTTTAACATTTTTCCCTTGTGTGTGTTTTTTTTATACAGGTTCTGACAAATTTAATGTATAAAACACTCATGCTAAATTGACTATATATTTGAATAGATAATTACTTTTTTTCTTCTGTGACAAAAAGACGTATAAGAGAAATGAAATCAAGCAAAAATGACGTTGCGAAGAGAGAAAAAAAATCTTACATAATATAGATGCTTATTAAACAAAAATTAAGAGATTTTCAACTTTTAAACTTGTAAAGACTAAATAATATTAAATTAGTACAGAATATTTATTAAACAGGTATATATGCGCATATTAGTGTATATATTGAATATAATAGCTGAAGAGTGAGCTAAAAATTGTAAAGAGTATTAAAATATAATATTTCCCATATCACTGTTAGCTTAGTATAATAACATATGATAATCAGAAAAGAAATACAGTATGCTACACAACACAGTCACCATTTTTATATTTATATGAATACATTCAGCATTTTTAACTTGTTACTTTTTCCTCCCATCTTCTTCCTCTTCTTTTATTTTCCTCCCTTTTTTCTTTTACAAGATATCCTTCTCCCCCCCTTTTTTTTTCTTTTAAAAAAGAATAATAATAATGTCATTATCTGCAGCAAAATTAACCACCACAACTAATGACAATGTAATAAAAGTCATTCCTGAAAAAAAGCCAATTTCATACCAAACATTATTACTTGGTGCAGGTAATGTATAGATATAAGAATAAAGGCTTTAATATATATATGTATAAACTAATCAGCTTTTTTTAAGGCTTGAATCTATTTGAAACTTCCTCTTTGGGGCAACCATTTGAAGTTATGAAAACACAAATGGCAGCAAATAGAGGACAACCAATGTGGCAAGGATTAAAGGCAATCTACGCTAGAGGTGGTGTTCTTGGTTTCTATCAAGGCCTAATCCCATGGGCTTGGATAGAGGCAAGTACAAAGGGTGCAGTTTTACTATTTACAGCGGCAGAATTAGAACATCGCTCTACTGTTGCTGGTGCCTCTCCGTTTGTAGTAAAGTTATATACATAAAAAAAAAAAAAATTGTGGGGAAAATTTTTGTTTCACACTTAAAATTATAGGCTGGCATTATTGGTGGTATGGGCGGAGGTATTGCTCAAGCATATAGTACAATGGGCTTTTGTACATTTATGAAAACTGTTGAGGTCACTAGACAAAAATCAGGTAAAAAAAAAAAAAAAAAAAAAAGAGTAATTTGTAGTATTTTTATTTATTTATTTATTTATTCCTTCCCTCTAAAAAAAATAAATAAATAAAAAAAAAAAGCTGGCACTGAATCTACATTTAAAATTGCTGCAACCATTTTTAAAAAAGAAGGTATTCGAGGTATTAATAAAGGCGTAAATGCAGTTGCGCTTCGTCAATGTACCAATTGGGCTTCGAGATTTGGATTTGCGCGATATGCTGAAGATGCCATTGTTAAATATAGACATGGTGAAAAAGGATTAGCTGATAATATGGACAAGATATTGGCTTCTGCTTTTGCAGGTGCTTTGTCATGTTGGAATCAACCTCTTGAAGTTATTCGTGTTGAGATGCAGAGCCAAGTGAAAGCAGAAGGTCGTCCCGATAAAATGACAATTAGTAATGCTACAAAGTATATCTACAGTAAAAATGGTTTGAAGGGATTTTACCGAGGTGTGGTTCCTCGTATTGGTCTAGGTATTTGGCAAACCTTAGTCATGGTCGCATTAGGTAATATAAAAAATAAAATAAAATAAAAACGCTTATATTAATCTGTTTTTGTATGCAGGTGATTACTTCCGTGCTCGTTTGTAAAGTAATGCTATGGTTGTTAGATAAAACATGTAAAGATCTGTTTTACTATTCAACATGATAATAAAACACTCTTTTTTTTATGCTATCCTTCTTATATAATAAAAAAGAAAAAGTGGAGCATTTATCTCATTATAAACACTAAAGCAAAACTTTTATTATACTATTAAAGTACTTTATAATTTTAATCAAGCTTTTTGGCTTTATATAAAACAATATAAGCTGTATGCCAATCACCACCGCCATCAAGACGTTCAATGTCAGCATCACGAACAACAGAAACCTTATCATCATCAAATTTATGCCATTCATCTTCTGCCTTTTTAACCCAAGCAATATAATGACCTGAATCAGCAGATCGACCTACATGAGTCAAAACAGCAACAAGCTCGTATTGACCTGTAGGATTACAACCAATATCCTTAATTAACTCTGGATCTAAATAATCTTCCCAATTCACCTTTTCATCCTCTGTATCCATATTTGTATTGCTGCTACTGCTGCTGTTATCATCATTATTCATCTTTCTACGCTTTTCTTCTCTTTCTCTAGCAATCTTTTTATCTTCAATTTCTTTCAACTTTGCTTTAGCATCAGTAAACTTTTTCTGAAGTTCAAGTGTGCAAAGTTCAGTAGCATCAAATTCAAGTGGGAACTTCACTTTACGTAAAATTTTGGCTTTTACTTGCTCTTGAGCTTTCCAAAAGAAGCGTACAAATTGAACAGGTAAATATTGAGGAAGTCTACTGATACGTGATTTACGTTGATATGTAGCTGTACGATTCAATGTAGGCGATGTTTTCTCAATTTGTTCATTTAAAGAATCCAATATACCATGAATCATATAATTTGTCTCTATAAATAAGAATTTTCCAAATTACTATTTATCAACTCTATTTTATTTTATAATTACTTTACCTATAGAAATATGGCAGCTTAATTTGTTGAATGTATCCGTAGTAACTACTTTTTCTTCCTCAGGAGCTTCTATACATGTAGTCCTTTTGAGTAAATAGAATAGTTAGATAACTGAGGTTATGAATTATGAGTCATTTAACAATACATACTCTGTTTGTAATTGGCCTGTCATATAGCGTTCAATAAAGTTCTTTTCATCTTCCTCTTTAGGCAGCTTTGTTTTCAAAACTGATACAAGCTCACTCCAACATTCTTCTGCATCTTGTTGCATAGGAATACCTCCTTGACCAGTTTGAGAAAATTGTGGGAAAGATTGACGAAGCATCTAAACGATAATAAAATTTTAAGCACTTTTTTCTACAAAAAAAAAAAAAAAAGGTGTATATATATCTTGTTACCTGCCAGAAGATCAAAGGAGGAAATCCACTAGGAGACTTGGTAAGATTATTGAAAAGATCACGAAGACTAGCTATAAGATTACCACGATTATCCATACCATTTATTCCACCTTTATAATTCTCCAGGGATGATTGAAGTTCAGGCATAGCTTTCATGCATTGCAAAGTAGCATTCTAATATCATATATGTATAAGGATATGTTGTATTATAAATATATATGTAATTTACCATATAACATGTATTACCAAGATTTTCCAATCCAGCAGGAATGTCCAACTATTTTATTATATTAATAAAACAAGGTATTATTTCGATTATATATATTCACTTACAGCCTCAGCTACTTCAGCTTCTGTCATGTCTTCTAAAAATTGAACAGGTTTTGGAGGAGGTTTAGGAAGCTCACCTGCTGTGCCCATCATCATAAAGCTATGACCCTAATTTATATAAAGGTCGAGTTAATTTTTTTTTTCATTTTTTTTTTTTTTTAATTTTTAAATGAGTTGCTTACTTCTTTTAACCCCAACTTATTTAAATCAGTATCATCCTAGTTAAATTAACAAAGCGTTGAATTAAACATTTATTTTTATTTTATTTTTTTTTTAAAAAAAAGAAAAAAAACACTCTATTTTTCTTATACTCTACCTTTAAAATACCACCTTTAACTAAAACCTTTTGACGTTCAGGAGGTACACCAGTTTGTGAATAGATTTGTGTTTTGAAAAGTTCGGGTGATTCGTCAGTATCTAGAGCATTGTTGTTGTTTATAAGAATATAAATAAATTATAATTTTTCTTTTTTTTTTGTTGTACCTAGTTCCATTTCGAACTTTTTTCCACTCCATTTAACTACGACATTAAGTTTAGGCATTTTGATTTCTTGATGTTAAATTAAGCAAAAAAAGGAAAGAAGTATAGATTATATAATACGTATAAGCTCTATAAATGTAAAATTAATATTTAAAACACAATGACGCGCGTACTAAACAAATTTATTTTACGAGGTGAAAAAAAAAAAAAAACTCAGATGGATTCAGACTACATGAAAAACAAAAAGAAATTCTCAAACACAATAAAATAACATTTACGCAATAAAAACAAACTGATTCACCACGCACACATCATTTAACACAATGATATGTATATTATTTTATAGACAAAATAGATATTCCTTTTTGAATGTGATAAGTATTTTTTTTTATAGATAAAATGAACTCATTTATTTAGAAATCTTCTTCTTTCTGCCGACGTCTATCCCAGCAAGATTCTGTAAATTCGGTCCAGTCAACACAACAGTTGTCGACTGTTGCCACCATCAACCATGCTTCAATGATATAAGAATTCGTTGATTCATATTCAGTCTCCAAAGGGCTTTTTCTTACCTTACTTTTGGTTTTTAACCAACGTTCTTTAATTAGATTTAGAAATAGTAAGTAGTTGGGAGGGAGGAGGAGAAAAAGAGACTTGTATCTATAAGCATTAACGGTGTCAGTAACGGATTTCAAGTGATGTACTCGACAATTCTCCATGTCTATAAAATGACCATTTTTACCTCGCTTATCTAAAATATCTATCACAGTTTCTACACATTTAACAATATGAAATGCTATAATTCTTCTCATAAATTTCTGCTTTGATTGTAAGCTTTTCTTTATTCTCCTTTTAATGAGACCTTCTTTCATTTTTTTCCCCTCAGTGTTGCTCTTCTTGAGTAGCTCGACTTTCAAAAAAAAAAAAAAAAAAAAAAGCCAAAAGACAAAATAGAGTCGATAATGCTAATATCTATACTATATTTTTGGGTAAGTACTTTGACAGTTATGAGTACCCTAACCCTCGATCAAACTTTACTTTTCATTACTTGAGAATGAGAACCAGTCTCATCAACAAAGATGTAATTCTTTTTTTGAAATTAATACTGACATGCTTCCAATTCACTAATAATATTATAACGTAAATCATTGATATAAGGAGTATCTCTTTCAAGAGTAATAATTTGCAAAAACTTCAAAGGATTAACAGTTTACATATGTAGTCTACACAAGATCTTCTTACATTTGTTAAAGAATACTTTGTCTTTCCCATCTGAACAATAAACTCCTCTCTATTTTTATCCCTGTTATTTTGTGGGCCTAAATCCACTGCCACAATACGTAGAATACTTATATTTGTATATGTACATTGCTATTCGTATTATAAGAATCTCTTACTGCCGACTTGTGTTATTCTATTTTGAAGTTATATACATACATACATATATATATATATATATATATATATATATATATGTAGTAAATTACTTATTTATAACAAATTCGAGTATTATTTGATAACGTTAAGCATAATGACTATTCTATCTCACAAAGATATAGTTTATACATAATTGGCATGCACAAAAAAAAAAAAAAGGTCATTATCAAAATTTGCTTGCTATGCTATTTATAAAAATTTATATGAAGATAACAAAATATAATTCAATAAATGCAGGTTTACAATATTTATATATATAAATATACAAATATATGACCAAGGAGAAAGACTGACTAATGATTCTTAGAAATAGTTAAAAGGCCTTGTTATATATCATTACTAGATTTCATGATTTACACAGATTTGTGAAAATGGAACAAGCTAGGATATTAACTTAATAAAGTAAACTGTTGACATTAATACGAATAAAACTCTTAAAGGGAACCTGAAATAGAGCGAATAAATAAATAAAAGAATAAAATAAAATAAATATTGATAAAAAAAAGAAGTACAGGATTAGTCCAAGAACATTTAAATATGTTCATTTGTTACCCTATAATAAGAATTCATTGTTTTCTGATCTATCTCTATTTTATACATTAAAATAATTGGATAGTATTTTAAATACAAACTCCATTTATATCTCGAGCTATCCAACTAAATTCCGTATATAGCCATATTTAAGGGTGTCTATTAAACATATATAAGAAGAAGAAGAAGAGAGATATCCCTTTTCTACTTCTTTTATTAATTTATTCATTCTATTCAAGAACACTACTAAGCCTTAGAGTAAAAAAAAAAAAAAAAAAAAAAGGCTTCTCCAGCAAGAAATTCAATGAGAAGTCAGATTATAATTATTAAAGCATATTCAATATTATTTTCAACAGTTTCTTCATTATTTCATCCTCCCATTATCCCTAATATTTAAATGGCATTTTTCCCAATTCGTATCAATAACAATAACACTATGGTAACAGATAAATCATTATCACCAAGACAAATTGCTAATAAAATGTACACACTTGCCATCAAGAAGTTAGATAAAGATAATAGAAGGAGCAAACCTCAATATTCAGTCCGAGAAAGGCTTTTACTAACAAATACAATAATAGTAGCCGAAGAGTTTTTAAGAAAACCAGTCAATCGTTTAAATCGTAGAGTGTTAGCCTTTGAAGATGACCAAAATGATAGTCAGCCAATTTCTAATCACAAGCCATTATTAATACATCAGTCTAATACTATGAATGAAAGGAAGAATGAAAAACTAACAGTAGAAGAGTATCGACTATTATCAAAAAATGAACAACCACAGCAGCAACAATGGGTAGCTGTTCATTGTTATAGAGCAGTAGTTGCTTTTAATAATAATACTTGTGACTCGTTATCTACCACTGAAGAAGTTTGTAAACCAATGACTAACATGTCCATTTTAATACCCCCTCACTCATTGACTATTATGTAATAAACGATAATAACAATATATTGTTATTTCATGAGGTATTTATTTGCTCTCCTTGCATCATTTATGCATGTATATTGAATATAATAATATATTTCTTGGTATCCGCGGAAGAGAGGGAATTTAAGCCAATAATAGTCATGTATAACAAGTTTTATAAATATAAAACGTTATGATAAATCGCGTAAAGATTGTCATTAATGTGAGTAAAAGTAATATACTGTGTTGTTTTAATAAATGATACATGTGTATATTATTCTTCTTCATTATAATTTCCTGATTTTGTATAAGAAAAAGTCATCTAAATAATAATAGAAGGCTAATCTAATGTGGCAGAATGTTCATGTCTATTATTAGTCGCTGTACATTAGACAAGCAATTCATAAAAGACATACAGCTACTATTTAGAAATAATGACTATTTTCTCTTTTGGTCATGAAGCCTAGTAAAGAAAACCTTCCTATCTAGAGTTTATATATATTTGCTTCTATTTATTTCTTATCATGCAGTTTACTACTACGACGATACTATAAAATGTGTCTATTTTCTATCATTTTAAATATATTTCTTTTTTAATGATGTAGTAGTATTCACTTCACCACAACGATTGCATGAATGCCATGTCCGGTTTATATGCCTTCCTTTCTCCCCGGTGCGGAAATAAACTCCGACAATGTCAGAAGGCTCAGTTGTTTTTTTTTCCTTGCGCCAATCCCCACTACTGACATACAAAATCATCTAAAGCCATCTGCAGTAAGAGGGACCTCCTTCTTTACTTTTGACAAAAAGGTAAATAATAAGATTCATCAATCTAGAATGAACATTAGTAGGAAAGGAAGGAAAAAAGAAAAAGGAGAGATGGCCGATTGATATTTAGAGGATAGATGGATTCGAATAAATTCACAAATATATTTTTATATATAAATGGAAATTTGTCAATTCGCGAATCAGTAACTTGAATCATTTTAGCACGCCCATTTTCTCTACTATTTGTTCATTCTTATTGGAGAGAGAGAGAGAGAGGAAAAGAGCTTGGAGATGACGAAGATGCTAAAGCTTATATTTTAGTATTTTATAGATCACAATGGCCAAGTCCAAGAACCACACTAACCACAACCAAAGTAAGTTACAAGAAATATAGATAAATCTGGGCATATTCTTAATTTAAATTATAATAAAAAAAATAGACAAGAAGGCTCACCGTAACGGTATTAAGAAGCCCGCTGCCCACAAGTATCGTTCTCAAAAGGGTGTAAGTCATCTTTTTTTTTAAAAAAAAGAAAAACAAGCAAAAAACAAAATAATTTTAGCGCCAGAATAGAAAAAATAATGTGTTTTTATATATTTAGTTGGATGCCAAGTTCCTTCGTAACCAACGTTTCGCTAAGAAGGGTACTCAAAGAGCTCTTGCTGCTGCTGCCAAGAACTAAATAAAAGTGCACCATTTTTCTTTTTATTTTCTTTTTTTTTGGAATCGTTAAGAAAAGAATACAAGAAAGTCAAATTTCTAAAGTAAATCATTAGTTTGAATGAAATCATCAATTTTAACGATCAACAAAACAAAAAAAAAAATAAAAGGATTGGACTTTGTACATTTTTTGATCTTTATGAAACCTGTCATTCTTTTTTTTTTTTATTGTATATAATTTTTGTTCTTTATAAGAGATAGTAGTCATTAGTACTCGATACTCTAACAAATGAATATTAGTTTCATCATTTGTTGATTGATATCTTAGTTAATTACATTAGTTTGGCAGTGTTCTTTTACGCCTTCAAATACTTTTAATAATTTTCGTCTTGCGCCTAAAGCATTTACGCCTTTTGCTTTTAATCCTTCCTCATCTAATTTAACTATGTCTTGCCATTTCATTTTTCCGAAAATATCATTGTATTTATGTAATCTTAAGCTTTTCATCCACATTGTAGTATCTATTTTAATATACAATATTAAGTATATTATCTATCCAGTATACATAATTCGTATTGTTTACTACCTTCTAATAATCCCATATTAACATATTTATACTTGTTATTAAAACTATAACTATAATGTCTCTTATTTTTAAAATTATTGATATCTGTAGTTTCTTCTTTTCTTTTATGTTGCTTAAAATAATTATTAACAGCATCCTTATTATCGATCGTATCTCTCTTCATATGAGTGTCGGTAGTAGTAGAATGAATACGATTATCAAAAGTAATGTTGCTACTATTATCAGAAATGACTATTGATTCAGGAGGATATTGAATGCTTGAATAGTATTTATAATCGGTAGTGCTGCTTTGAGTCTTTCTTGGTTGACTCACTTGATGATGATGATTATCATTTTTCCTTGTAGACAGAACAGAACAGATTGATAAAGGCCGTTTCCAATCTTGTTTCTTACTCTGATCTGAGACTGGTAATAATAATAATGATGATGATTGATTATTATCTGTCGCTGCAGCAGGGAATGATGTCCACGAAGTATTAGAAAGTGCATCTATTGAAGAAGATCTTCTTTTAGAGGAAGTATCTACAGTTTTGTCAAATACTGAGCTATCTTGTCTTTGTAATAAGTTTAACCAAGAATTTTTTGAGAAAGTAGGTTGTTCGTCATTATTATACCATGAACTACTGTCATCAAATATTCGACTTAGCTTGTCTATATTATTTGAAGAGAATGAATGTGTGCTATCCTTTTTTGACGTATAGGCGGTAATAGATGAAAATGATAGATTAGCTTGTTGATTTACTATATTATCAAAATCCATAAAAGAGTGTCTAATTAGTACCAATATGTAATAAACGTCTTATGATTATAATCAACTATATAAGTGTATTACTTTTGTTTATCATGAGGGGATTTGATGGACCTGATTCTTTTAGCAAATTTTGTATTAAATCATAAAAAAATTTCAATTGTACTGGATTTGCTTGTTGAAGTAAGGTGTAGATTGTAGCTGTTCTTTGTGATTCTTTCAAGTAATCATACCAATGACTAATATGATTTAATTGTTCTTGAAATAACTATATATGTGTATACATATCTGTAAATCTACTTTTCTCGTAATACACTTTTTTTTCCCTCCCCCTTTAAAAACTTATATTTATAATTATACCTGATCTAATGCTGTATGTTCTATTTCTTCAAAGATATTTCTATATTGTTGAAGGTCATTAAACCAATAAGATGGGTTATCAACTACATACATACATACATATATATATATAGTATTAGTATACTATCTATTCTATACAATTGCATATATAAACACATATATTACTATCATATAATTTTTGTTCATCTATAGTTACTAGTGAAGACTGAAGAGGTAGTGAAGCTGTTGATTTATAAGAAGGATTAAAATCTGAAGAACGCATAGTATATGTTTATTAAAAGTATGATATATGGAATGAATGTGATAATTATATTTTATGTATCTTGTTTATTCATATATTTGATAAAAAAAAATGAAAGAAAGAAAAAATATATGCATTTACGTGAATGATCTGTTGAAATAAAAGTATTAACTTTTTTTTTTTTTTTTTTTTTTTTTTTTTTTTTTTTTTTTTTTTAGGAAATTAAGGGCAGCAAAAATAACGTTAAAATTAAAAGTTATACATGCATGCATATTTGTTTTAAGCAGCAACTATGATTACAATTTAGACTTATTATTCTCTTCTACAAAAGAAGACCAATCAGCTGGCCGCTTAGATACAAATGCCATAATACCATAAGCAGCTTCTTCTGATTGCATCATGTTTAAATAGGATTTTTGAACCACTTCACGAATACGAATAGCAGAATTCGTATCTCCACCAGATTGAATTATGCTAATCAATCTTTTTATATCTGTCATAGCGCCAGGTGCTGATTCTAACAGCATATTTGCATAGGACACGACTTGATCATCTAATTCATCTATCGAATTTGCTACATAACTTAAACAATTAGATATTTCTCTAACATTAGCTCGTCTTCCTGTTAACATATATTCACGAGCCTTTTGAGGCCCTAATTCAGGTACAACATATTGTGAAATAATGGCAGGTATAATACCACGTTTGACTTCTGTTAAGGCAAAATAAGCATCTTGGTACGCTATTCGAATATCAGTTGTAAACACTAGACCGACCCCACCACCTAGACATGGTCCGTTAATTCTTGCAATGATAGGCTTGGGAAATCGATAAAGTGTTTCAAAGACTTGAAGTCCATTCATAAAAGATTCTTTTACAGCCTTTTCTGAGGAGGATCTATTATCTGCCGCCATAGATAAGTCCATACCAGTACAAAAAAATTTACCTGATCCCGTCAAAACGAGTACTCGAACTTCAGGATCATTCTCTAACTGTTTCAAGTATTCAATTAAAAGTTTATTCATTGTAGCTGTTAATGCATTTCCTTTCTTTGGACGATTTAACGTCAGTGTGGCAATATGATTTTTTACTGATAATAACACTTCTTGTTCTGGCATTAGAAAAATAAATGATAGAAAAAAAAAAATATAATATTACGAGGAAAAGAAAGAAAGGGAAAAAAAAAGTTGCATATGCTCATGTGATTTGAACTTATTACTACATATAAATTCGTATACATTTGGACAACTTTAGTTACACTATAATGTTAATAACCGGCTATTCGTGATATCTTTTCTATATGGTATTACGTTTATGTTGTTATCCTTCTTCTTCTTCCCTACAATTTTTACCTCGGCCTTTTTTATATTGTTTATTATTTTACTATCGCCAAAGCATGCTTCAGGAACAATTATAAAAAGTTGAAACCAATAAAGTAATTAAAAGGTATTTTGCTTCTTTTAATACAAAACGTTTAAAGATTTAATATATTCATTTGATATATTATAATATACTAATTTACATTCATATAATATATGAAAGTCAAATATACAATATATAATGACAATACTTAAATTATCGAAGGAAATAAATAATATAAAAAGGAAGAGGAAAGGATATCAAAGGGTATAATATATATATATATATATATATATATATATATATATATTAATCTAATCTCCCATAATCATTTGAATTATCATGCTTTTAGCAGTTATGAAGTCACCTTTTGCAGATGTTAGAAATTCATTAATGTAATCGCGATCCATTCTAGGAAATAAAATACATAATTCATCTAATACTATCTCCCATTCTTCAAGTGGTGATTTTATTTGAACATCATAGTGTTGCGAGCGTCTTGCTGTTGCCTTATAGCCATAATGTTGAGTTTTTATAGGAGGGGGTAGAGGTGTTCTCCAATTAGACTTTCTAATATTTTCAGTATAATGATAGCTCTTATGATCCATATCTTCAATATACTCATCATTATCATCATATTGTCTTCGAGTATCATTTTGATCATAGTATGAATAATGATTATTTCTCAGAGTTCTTCTTTTATCAAAAGAATTGCTTTTTTGAGGAGAGATGGAAAAGCCATCATTATTATAATAATCAAAATAGTCATCGTCATCATAACAATAGGATCGTCGAGAAGAAACTGGAGTAACGCTTCGTCTTTTTGAAGTATAATGCATCATGGGCTCTGGTGGTAAGCTTTCATTTATACTACGGCGATATCCAGACTTGCGTTGATTGCTATACTTTTCTTTGTTTTCCTTTTTCCTCATCATAATTGGAATATGAGGACTTTGGTAATAAGAGTCATCTACTACAGTCATATTCATGGGTCGACGTGGATGATAATCTGCTTCTTCTTCTTCTTCTACTCCAATATGATGCATATTATCATACCTTTCTTCATCTTCATTGGAATAATATTCATCATCATAGGGAATAGGTTCTTCAAAATAGGATGGATGATTAAAATATTTAGGCTCTTGAGAAATGCTCGATTTTTTCAAGATAGAAACAGGTTGTGAATTAGACTTTGTTGGAGTCAAAGGACAATTGCTGCTACTATAGCTTTCACGAGGAGAAACCCCATGAGAAGAGTATTGTAATTCAGTTTGAAGAAGATGATGATCACTATTAGAGTATTCATCTTTTGGTTGTTGATGGCTATTAAAATAATCATCACAGTCTTCTATATCCTGACTATTGATGGCAGAAGGTGACCCTACAAGCAGTTTTTGTTGTTGCTCATAGCTAGTATCTGTTGGTGAATGCAGAAATGAAGTAGTAGAATTAGCAGGTGAGATAGATAAGTTACTACTATATCTATGATGTAAATAAGGAGTAGATTTACGTAATAAATCATCTCCGAGTTGCAATTGTTGAGCTCTTGTGTTCTCTGACATTGATGTTGATTTTGTTGTTTTACGTTTAAAGATACCTAAAAATTTTTTCGGTTGTCTTGGTGGTGGAGTATAACCTATTCAATGACATAGTAAATAATGATGTTATATGATAGATGGTTATATAATTACCAAACCAAGCATCAGGAGGTCCCTTTTGTGTTTGCTTAATGATCCAAGGAATCAAATTCGTTTCTATTTGCATGCAATCAAAGTATGCATTATCTATGTATATTCATAAAGAAGAATATTATAAGCTTTCTTTTCTTTTTTTTTTTTTTTTTTTTTTTTTTTTTTTTTTTTTAATAATTCTTACTATAAAGATCAATTCTTTTTTGACGTGATCCGATTTGTTGAACTTGTTTTCTACGTAAAGGTACATGAACATGATTTTCCATAGGTACATATTGATCATCTTCCAGATGATTATCTTGATGAGTTCTTTGATGTATATCAAGAAACTTATCATCATCTTGATCCCAACTAGATTCGTCTTCTTGCTGGCTAGGTTTAGTAGTATCGTTCATAATCTGTCGTTCATAAGAAGGGCTTCGTTGTTTAGGTTTGCATAGATGAAAGGCTTCTAATAATGAGCTACAACTTGTTTTTCGTTTATGACCCTCAGAAGGTGCTTTTAGAGCATCACTATCATCTATTTGATATTCTTGATACATCGAGTTTCTACTAGATTTCCTAGATAAAGGAGATAAAAGTTGCTTAAAGTCTTCAAAAAAGGAAGATGCTCTACTGCTAGGTCTTGAAGGGGTAGGACTAGGAGGTTCTAATGATGCAAAATTTACGTTCATAGATGGCATACTTTTTCTACGATGCATGTTTGGATTACTATTAGGTGATAAAAGGTTATTGTTGCTAAATGAATGCTTTAGTTTATCTGCTACAAAATTAAAAACATTGTTTCCTTCAAAGGTAAATGATCGTGACCTAGTTCTCTTCTTTGATGCACATTGAGTACAAATATTCATGGTACTATCATAAGAAACAGATAATGAATTGTGCACTGTTGGATCATAAGGAATAATTTTGTTACATTTATAGCATGTTAAGATAGTATATTGATATGGATTTTTCTCGACAAGTCTATTGAAAATTTAACTATATGTTATACATGTAATCAAATTTAGACTTACTCTTCTTCTATTTCATCACTGTCACTTTCTATTAAAATAGGTCTTTCAAATGAGCAGTCATTCATATTGGCTAGTTCTTGTCGATCTGTCATTTCCTTATTTGTTTGCTTTTCTTTTTCAGGAACAACTTGACAATATTCAACATCTTTTTCAAACTGTTCAAAAGGAACGTCTATTCTTAAAATGAAAAATGTTAATGCGAGTTCATTTCTTTAACTTTTCGTTGTTTTTCTTTCTTTCTTTCTTTTCTTTTCTTTTCTTTTTTTTTTACAATTTGAATATTATCACCTATTAAATGCTCTATTTGATTATACAAGTCTTCTACTGTATCTTTTTTTTTTTATTTTAAATAAAAAATGATAATTTCAATATGTGTATTTTTTTCTTTAAAAAAAAAAGGTTTTATCCTGTTTACCTAATTTATCTATCATTATATCTAAGATTTTATACACATGTATATATATTATTAAAGAGAAAGAGAGAAACAAAAAATAAAGTAGATGAATGTTTAAATAAAATAGGTTAAAAAAACATACTTCCAAATATGGATATTTTTAATCTACGATCACTTGTTGCAGGCATTAATACGATTAAACATTTTTTTATTTTTATTATTTTTACAATAAAAGTTTTATACAAATTTATTCTGTCTTCTTTTTTATATCTACCTTATCAACAACAGTTTCAAACTCTAATTAAGAGATTTTAACTATGAGGAAATCAAAAAATACGTCCAAACCAATGTTCCTTAACCATGGTAGAAAGAGTATTTTTACTACAACAGTTGGATTAGATGCCAAAAATCATACTTTGATACGCTGCACAACGAAAGAATATTATCAACTTACAAGATCAATTAAATATCTGGCTAGTTAACGTGAGCGAAAGAAGCAAGCAGAAATAGACAAACTGAAAACCAAGATACTACCACTCAAGGCAGCTAATAATGATTCTTACGCCGCATGCGTTACTTCTATGCTAGTTCACTTGAATGTATTATTTAACTTTTACGGCTATACAACTGTTAAAGACTATTTTTTTTGAAGGTTTAACAAATAGAAGCACCTCCTATATCAGGAAGGAAAAGGAAAGGTTTCTTTAGTTGCTTTTGAAGCCGAGATGTTCGGAAAAGACCTAGTCCAGTTGAAAAGAACTGCTGTGGAGTGACAGGCATTTTGTGGAGAGCATTAAAGAAGCGGGAGATACAAGGAGGTCTTATTATAATAACAATTAATAAATATAACACCTCCAAGATTTGTAACCATTGTCAAGAAAAGTGCCTGAAATTTGCAAAACATGTTCGCGGTGATAGTGTACAGGTATGTAAAACCTGCAACACACTTTGGTAGCGAGATATAAACACTTTAAAAAACATGATGGTGATCTCCCTGTCATTATGGAAAGGAAGCGGTAGACTTACTGTTTTCTTTAAATATATATAAGCTAATAAACAACCATCAATCGCTGTAAAGTAAACAGCGTATTGAGGATATTTAGATTATTACAGGTAAAGCTTTTAAAAATATATGAATTAAGTTTTTTGTCTGAAAAACTAAATTTTCTCCATTATACGTTCATCCAAAAAAATAATCAACAATGTCCAAATTCAAACAAAAAATACTGCAAGTTTCCATCACCTTAGATCATTGTGCTTTTAAGCAGCTTCACCAGCAATTTTTACAAGATGGTTTTGATCACCTTTGCAATAATATCAATTCTAAATTAATCTCAGCGTGTCGTCCTTCTTTGGAACAGGATCCAACATTATAGTTACCAATGACTTACAATGAGTGCAGTCAAGTCCTTTGTTAGCCTCCATGTGATGTCCTTCGGCCGTGTCCTTATTGTCCATATGAGGACTTCACTCCTGAACACTTAATTCAATGTCTCCATATGTACCGTCGGTTTAATATGCCGCTAACCATTGATAATCTGATTTCCTTTTTCCTTGACCAGTTGCCTTTAGAAATACCAAAGTCTCCACAACTAACTTCACCTTGACTAGTTTATTGACAAACTATTTGTATCATTTTATATAAAGTGGATTATCTGTTTCATCAAACACCTCTTCCCCTCTTCCCATTAATCCTGGTATCAAACTGATATGTTGGCTATTCCCATAATAGACTAGTATATTCATACTGTTTTTTATTTCTTCTTTTCTTCTGACTTTTTTCACTTTTATTCTTACGAGGTTTTTGTTGCCTCTTATTTTTGGAACTGATTAGGGCAACACAGCATAATAATAATTGTTACGTGCTCATTGGCCATTTTATTTTATTTTATTTTATTGAATAAATAAATTCTTTTAATCGCATCATAGAAAATAAACTCCACCATACCAACTCTTCCAACAAATATTTTTTATTTTATTTTAATTTTTATTTTTATCTTATTTTTTTTTTTCTTTTTATCTCTCCTAATCTTGGTTAATTACAAAACAAAATGAATTTTGACGAAATCGAGGAACAAGTAAGACAATGATGTTTATTGCTATTTTTCATATTTCTAAGTGTTCGTATTTGTTTTTATTTTTTACTTTTTTTCATTAGGATGGAATTCGTTTCTCCTGGAACGCTTGGCCATCCTCACGTACCGAAGCTACCAAAGCAGTTGTGCCTATTGCATGTTTGTACACTCCTTTAAAAGAACGAGAAGACTTTATCGAAAGTCCAATTTGGTACGAGCCTGTTACTTGTAAAGCACCTTGCCGAGCCATCTTGAATCCTTATTGGTAAATATTTATGTACATAATAATAAAAGTAATGTAATTAATTTTTATAATTAGTCAAATTGATGTTCGCGGTAAACTTTGGATTTGTCCTTTCTGTCTTCAGAGAAACGCGCTCCCACCTCATTATAAGGACATTTCTAATACTAATCTTCCTGCAGAGCTTTTACCAAAATATACAACTATTGAATATAACTTGAACCGTGTTGCTCAAATTCCACCCATCTTTTTATTTGTTGTCGACACTTGTCTTGAAGATGAAGATCTTAAGGCTCTTAAAGAATCTTTAATTGTCAGTCTAAGTTTATTGCCTGAATATGCGTGGGTTGGTTTGATTACATTCGGTACAATGGTATGGTTTTTTATTTATTTAATATTTCACTTTTGTTTGTATGAAATGCCGTCTTTTTAATATATATTATTAATATTGCTAGACTCAAGTTCACGAATTAGGTTTCTCTGATTGTCCTAAATCCTTTGTTTTCCGTGGAACAAAAGAATATGCTGCAAAGCAAATTCAAGAAATGTTGGGTTTAACTAATAATTCTGCACGTCCCCTTCCAGGTCAACAACCTAATCGTCCCGGTCAACCTCCTCAAATGACTATGGCTGCTAATAGGTAAAATAAATAATAATAATAAAAAAGGACTAAGAGTATTCCCCTCTCTCTCTCTTTTTTTTTTATCTGTACAGATATACTAAATAGCATTTTTCCAAAATTAGATTTTTATTACCTGTAAAGGATTGTGAATTTGTTTTAACATCTATTTTGGAAAATCTCCAACGTGATCCTTGGCCTGTCGCTGATGATAAGCGTCCTCAAAGATGTACTGGTGTTGCCATGAGTGTTGCTGTTGGCCTTTTGGAAACTACTTTCCCTAATACAGGTGCTCGTATTATGCTGTTTAGTGGTGGTGCTGCTACTGAAGGTCCTGGTATGGTAGTTAGCAATGAATTAAGAGAGCCTATTCGTTCTCATCATGATATTGAAAAAGAGTCTGCTAAACACTATAAGAAAGCTACGAAGGTAAATGTTTAAACAAAAAGTGGAAGAGAGATTTTTTTTAACTCTTTATTTTTTTTTCCTTCTTCCTTTAGTTCTATGAATCACTCTCAAAGAGAGCAACTCAGAATGGACATACGATTGATATTTTTGCTGGTTGCCTTGATCAAATTGGTTTATTAGAAATGAGATCTATGGTTAATAGTACAGGCGGCTTTATGATTTTGGCCGATTCATTTAATACAGCTATTTTCAAACAAAGTTTCCAACGTATATTCATAAAGGATAGTCAAGGACATTTACAAATGGGTTTTAATGCTACAATGGATGTTCAAACTACTCGTGAGCTTAAAGTGTGTGGTTTGATTGGTCATGCAGTCTCTGCGAATAAGAAATCCACCTATGTAGGTGAAACTGAGATTGGTATTGGTAACACTTCTGCTTGGAAGATGTGCTCCCTTAACCATGAAACAACTCATGCAGTTTACTTTGAAGTTGTTAACCAACCTTCTGTTCCTTTCCAACCAGGATCTCGTGGTTTGATTCAATTCGTTACTCATTATCAACATTCAAGTGGTCAATTCCGTCTTCGTGTCACTACTGTCGCTCGTAATTTTGCCGAAGGACAAAGTCCTGAAATTGCTAATTCATTTGATCAGGAGACATCTGCTGTCTTAATGTCACGTATTGCAGTCTTTAAGGGTGAAATTGATGATGGACCCGATGTTTTACGTTGGTTAGATCGTATGCTCATTCGTCTCTGTCAACGCTTTGCTGATTATCGTAAAGATGATCCTCACTCTTTCAGATTATCTGAAAACTTCTCTATTTATCCTCAATTTATGTTCCATTTAAGACGTTCTCAATTTTTACAAGTATTTAACAATTCACCTGATGAAACTGCGTTCTATCGGTAAAAGCATATATAATATATTTACATAGGATTAAAGAAAAAATAGTAACTCTTTTTTTTTTTTTACTTTAGTCATACCTTGAATCGTGAAAATGTTGATTCATCGCTTATTATGATTCAACCTACACTCACATCTTATAGTTTTGATTCAGATCCTCAACCTGTATTATTAGATTCTATTTCTATTCGACCTGATGCTATTTTATTGTTGGATACCTTTTTCCATATCTTAATCTTCCATGGTGAGACAATTGCACAATGGCGTAATGCAGGATATCAAGATCAGGAAGGATATGAGAACTTTAAGCAACTATTGGAAGCTCCTGTTTTAGATGCTCAAGATTTATTAACAGAACGATTCCCTGTTCCTCGTTATATTGTTTGTGATCAAGGTGGATCCCAAGCTCGTTTCTTGCTTTCCAAATTGAATCCTTCTACTACTCATACTTCAGGTAGTCCTTATAGTGCCCCTGGTGGTGCTGTAGTTCTTACAGATGATGTTAGCTTACAAGTCTTTATGGAGCATTTGAAGAAGTAAGTTAAAATTATAATTTTACACATCTTTTTTATAATTATTAAACTTGTATTATAGGTTGGCTGTTGCTGGTGCTTCTTAACTTTTTTTTTTCTTTCCTTCATTATATTACCAACAAAATAAAATAAAATAAAAAATAAAATAATAAAATAAAATAAAATAAAATAAATATATTTCATAAGTACGGTATCATGCATAATAATTCATTTGCGTATAAAGTTTAATTTTAATATAATTAAGCAATGATATAGGAAATACAAGCAGCAATGAAGACCATCAAACTGCATGTGATAGTAAGAGAGGTAGCGCTGCTAGTTGTAGAGGGAGGAGAAGAGGAGGATGTGGTAGAAGAATTACTAGTATTTATACAAGCACTACTATTCCAACCAGAAGGAGAATCAGAAAAGATAATATCAGTGCACTAAAAAAAAAAAAAAAAAGAATAACGTAATTAAGTTTATGGAATAATTATATTGTGTCAAGACATAAAGGTTACCTGGTATAAGTCACCATCACCACCACTATAAATAATTTGAATAGTAGCATTAGCACCCGCTTTAATAGCAGAATCCTTTGTAAGATCAAGAGGTAAACAAGCAGCTTGAGGACTGTTACGGTTACCAGAGGCTACTTGAATAATTGAATTTGAAGAGAAATCAGAAGTGGTAGGATTGTTATTAACAAGAACATTTACGGTATAAGAGTATGAAACATGACCAGAATGAATTGCTACAAAGCCATCCTTAAGAGGGAACTCGGTACGTTTACCAATTGCATTGAAACCACCACAAGGAGCAACTGGTTCCTGATCTTCATTGAAACCTCGCGAGACTGGATAATACAAATGGAAGTGAGCAAAAGCAGCTTGCATGAAAAGTAAAGTGATAACTAAAGTAATCAAATTATTAAAGGGTGCCATGGTGGTAATATTTTATATAATTAAAGAAAAAAAAAAGAAAGAAAGAAGGAGAAGAAGAATAGAGTAGGGGAATGTGTTTTTTTTTTCTCGTTTATTTATTTGTTTTGCTTTTTTTTTTTTCTTTTTTTTTTCTTTTTTTTTTTTTTTTTTTTTTTTTTTTTGAGATGTTTTAGCTTTACTAGGCTCAATGATTGGCTCTCTATGGATGCAACCCGGATTTATATTTTTGATTTAATTTTTAGTTATAATTAACGTTTTGTCTTTTTCTTCTTTATATACATATATAGTAAAATGGATATGAGTAACATAAACTCGCAAGGGACACCCTACAATATGAATGAACCATACTCAAATAAGCTTATTATAATTATCATATCAGTTATAGCATTCCTCTCAATACGAAATTTATTTATTTACCTTTATAATAAAACAAAGACACTACTTTGTTTGAGATCTCTTTTTAATATATTATCACCATACACTTCTTTCTTTGGGAAAATAGAAAATTATGTTATCAATAAGTTCTCGTATAGAGTTATTCATAGTACAATCTGTCCACCTTTAGGAGGCATTCTTGTTATACTTGTCCTTATATCAGCATGTTTACCCTTACTCTTACTCAATGTAAATCTCACATTAAATTCGAATCGAGCTGGATTTTTAGCCTTAGCAATTGTCCCTTTCTTGCTTTCATCCACCGGTAAAAACTCTGCAATCTTTCTTCTGACAGGTATCTCAAATTCTAAACTTAATTTTTTACATCGAATACTTGGAATGGCCCTCTTTTTATGTGCAACTATTCATATGTCTTGTATGCTTTCTTCTTGGTCAAGGTTTCCAGATTTCATGAACGATCAATTGAAAATTCCAAAAGTACGATACGGACTTGCAGGGTATGTATGTCTCTGCATAGTCATGTTAGGAAGTTGGTTTCCAATTCGAAAATATTGCTATGAGCTATTTATGGTCAGTCATTTATTGGGAATTGCTTTTATTGGAATTATTGCAGTTCATACACCTTATGCAATGCGATATTTCATTTCTGGCTTAATATGTTATGGTTTAAATTTAGTGGCTGTTTGGTTTGTAAAGACCTATGTGGCTGTTGCTCGATTTAAGATCTTACCAGAGGGATGCACAAAGGTCTCTATTCGACTTGTAAGTCCTATATCTAAACATAGTATTGGTCAATACGTTTATCTCTCTATCCCTGCTATTTCACTCTTTCAATGGCATCCATTTACTATTACTAGTATACATGGAAACGAAGTGAATACTACAATTGAAGTCTGTATTTGTGCTCGTGGTAACTTTACACGCCGTCTCTATAAAACAATTGACCCCTCACAAGAATTACGTGTCTTTGTAAGTGGTCCATTTGGTAGTCAACAGATTGAAACCACCCAAATTCTTAACTCATATCCCTCTCTTGTTATCGCGTGTGGTGGTGCTGGTATAACGTTTGGTATACGCCTATTACGTGAATTAACAGAGACTCTTTTATCGTCTGATATTGAAGAAAATGATAGCTCGACTGGCATCTTATTTAATCACTGGAAAACACAGAATATATATTTTTATTGGTCTGTACGTAGACCATTAGAATTTGAATGGTTCAAAGAAGAACTTGAACAACTCTATTACCTGTATGAGACTCGTCATGATCTTCCTTCTCTATGTATCAAATTTTATTGTACTTTACGTGACACTGCTACTGTTCATTCAACAACAGGTAGATTTACTAATAATAATACAGTGAATATCTCACATATTTATATGAATGAAACTATGATGAATGATAATTTAATAACTGTGAAAGAAAATAAAGAAGAAGAAGAAAACCATAATCACACGACTACAAAAGATTATCTTGGAAAGGAAATTGAAATAATTCAAGGGAAAAGATTACAAGCTGAAACTATTCTATCCGTAGATAATAATATTGGTGCCTTTGGTAAAAAAAAAAATCAATTTATATGTAATTTAGCTTGAGGCTTACCTTACTTTTATATATGTATATATATGGGTATAGTATGTGGTCCTACTAATTTTAACGCAACATTTAGAAATACAGTAGCTATGAAAAAACCATCTACAGTTTATTTACATTGTGAAGATTTTGCATATTAAGAAAAGGAATGAAAGAAGCCTTCCCCCCTTTTTTTGTTTTGTTTTGTTTAATAGTTCCTATATGGATTACCTTTTTTTTTTCTTTTTAACAGACTGCTGTTTATAGTTCAAGTCATTTGAATAATAACAGTAGGAGTTTCTTTATTACTCGATTTAGGCACAACTAATAAAAATGTATAATACAAAAAAAAAAAAATACAATGTGATACAAATAAGAGGTTGATTACTGTTCTAGAAAGCACAGACTGTAATAACTGTTACCAGCAGAGATTATGCCCTAATTTATAAAATAGATACTATTATTGCGTAAGATTTATGATAATATACAATCTTCTTGCCCACACTGCTACGGAAATATTATTTTAACATGAAACACATTTAGAGCAAGGGCCCAAATTGAATTAAAAGCTTTATTCTCTTTCTCGATGCTTCTATTCCAGGGCAAATTCCTATATGAAAAGTTTACTTTTAAATCAAGCTTTTATTTTTGAACTTAAACTTTTTCTTTTTTTTTTTTAAAAAAAAAAAAATCATTAATAATGATAAAGACACAAAAATTAAATAGAAATCGAAGAAAATTTTATCTAAATTTGTAATAATAACAGTTACGGATTTTCCTTGGCGGCGCCGTTGTTACCGACATTGCTGTAGAAATTATCAATAGTCAAAAAAAAAAAAAAAAAAAAAATTTTTTGTCTCTTTTAACACCGCGCTTCTTTTTGAACCCAGCCATTTCTAAATTAGGAAAAATGGATATTCATGTGGGGGATGATTACTGAACTTAAATAAGCATTTATATATTAACCACTTGGAAAAGCAAAGTGCTTCATTAAAAATAGAACTAATTCAATGCCGAGAAAAAGTAAAAAAAAAAAAAAAAAAAAAAAAAAAGGAAAAAATGAAGAAAAATAAAGGAACTGTAATAAAAAATGAAAGCTAGTAGTAGTAATATAAAGTATATGCTAATATTAATGGTTACTGCTACTTTCATTTTATACTAATAAAGGACAAGTACACTATAAACTTATTTTATGTATTATACAACACACTTTTTTTTTCAAAGATCGTAGTAGTAAAAAAAAAAAAGAATAGGATTGAGCACTTCTATAATAGAAGAGATCATCCTTATTTCTTTTTAATAATTACTTAATATGGAAATAAAAAAGTTTTTTACATTATCTGGCTTAAAAAATTATGTTCAATTTACTAAAAAAAAGAAAATACTCTTTAGAAACGTTGTCATAGTATATTATTTCAAAATAATATAACCGGATACCTATGTAAAGTTAATATATATATATATATATTTTAGGATGGCAAGATAATAGATATAGACCAAACGTATCATAAAATATCATTGTTGTATTATTAACATCAGTACTTGATATCCTTTTACCGCCGAACAAATAGTCGTGTAACTTTTTGTTTGAAAGAAGACAGATACATACATGAATACTATTATTTAAAGAATACATGAATGACACAACATCAATAACAAGTTTTATATAGTAAAGGCTTTTCTAAATCTGGTTATAAAATATGAAATCATTTTACTCATTTATTGAAAAAAGTTAAAAGAAAAAAAAATTATTAAAAAAACAGTATAGTTTTTGATTCCTGGAAAGGGTTCTATATTGTTTAAACTTTTATAAATTATGAAGAAATTTTATTACGTCAAACAAGAATCTTATTTTTTACTTTAAAAGAATGAACTCTTTTATAGAATATAATTCTTATTATTAAATCCTTTCCTTTTCTTTTTTTTTTAAAAAAAAAGAAATTAGTGGCTCATAATAAATGAATGAATTTTTATCAGATTTATTATTTAGAAGCAATGTATAAAAATACGGGAATAAAATCCTATTTTCGAGATTACTACAAAAGAAAATGCGGACTTGATTAAGCTTAGTCCAGAATCTACCGGGTTCTAAAATATTAAAAGACGTAAACGTGGTTTAAAATAGATCGGAACAATAGTGGAAGCTTTCCTTTTTAATACAAAAAAAAATAAATAGGTTTTTTTTTTTTTTTTTTGTCAATAGCTTTTTTTTTTCTTTTTAATATCAAATCAGTTAACACTCTTCTTTATATATTTTTGTATATAAATTAATGTTTTATTATAATAATAATCCATCGGTTCCACCTCTGCAAACTAGTGAAATGAATCCTTTAGATAGTTCCTTTGAATCAGATCAATTTCAATCTACTATAGATAATCGTTATAACCAATTTGATTTCAACACTGCTACGCAACCAATGGACGTTCCTATGCAACAATCAAATGAGACGATGATTTCTAACTCATTCTATGATACTACTTGTTTATCACCAATTGCTATTAATACTGCTAATCCTATAACATCAAAAGCATCATTATACAGTGTATCTCCTCCTCAGTTTGATATGGTAAATAACATAAAGATTATTTTCTCTATTTTTTTTTTGATAATTCTTTACTTATTTTTTTTTTATTTTTATTGATAGACAAATAATTGTAATAGTAATGATTTTATTACTCGTTCTCCAGAATCTTCTTCATCCGCAGAATCCAATTTGGTTTCACCTCCACAACAGTATTATACTTCAGTCCACTGCTCCGATCATGTTTGGCCTGAATCAATTCCTTCTACAACAACTGCTACTCCACAGCAGAACAACTATTATTATTTTACCAACTCGAATGAAAACCACTCACTAGTAGGAATAAAGAGATCTGCTTCTGTTCCACACAATTTTCATAAATTAAAATCCCCAGAGGATAATAATAGCCAATTTCAAACTACACCATCTTCAACATTTACGCCTATCATTAATAACAACTATAATAAGGCACTCCCTATTCAAATTCAAAGAATTAATCATGGTCATCATAATCATTCGAATCGTCGACCCGTAGATGCAGAAACCTATCGTCGTCAACTAGATGAAAAGCTAGAAAAAGTGAATTTTGATGATATTACAGTGGCTGAATTAAAAGAAATGTTACGTGAACGAGGCTTATCTGCATCAGGTCGCAAAGCTGAATTGATGCATCGTTTAAAAGAAGAATATGATATGCTAATGAGAAGAAGAAATGATAATACAAGTTATTGTTCCTTAAATTATCCTAATATTCCACAGCAGCAACCATTCGCATTTTCTCCATCCGTTGGATTATTGCATCATCGAATGGCTGCTAATTTAAATGTAAATTCACCTAAAAGACAATATCATAATAATAATAATAGTAGTAAAAGTACCCTTTATCATCCTTATTCACCACCAACTCGCCATTCTTCTGTTGCAGTTGGGCAAATGGGATATCGTATGGCTTCCTCGGTGCCTAATTTGTATACCCCATCTTATCTCAATGACCATCAAATCATGATAAGACAACCTTCCTGTCTTCGTAAACCAATTGGAAGCGATGAAGATCCAGAACAGCAAAGCCAAGAAAGTAATATTATATATGATTTATATTAAAATATGTATATTAATATTTATTCTTTGCTATAGCTTGGATGCCAACATTTAATAACGATGACAATGAACCTTCTCCATTGAATCTTAATTATTATTCTACAGTACCAGAAACAAACGAAGATGCTCCTACTGCTGTTGCTGTTACTTCTACCGCTGACTTGTGGGATGATCAAACACTTCAAAACTTTCTAAATCAAATTTAACCAAAAAAAGATTGTATAACATTATGCATATGTAAATAACCTCACATTGTTTTTGTTTTGTTGTTGTTTTTTTTTAACTTCAAAAGAAATACATATATGTATATACTGTTAAATACCACCCTCACTTTTGTATACACATCTTTAATAATATCATATTTAGAAATACTCATATATCTATTTGTTTAATAAATAAAAAGCTTCCTTTTCTTTTCTTTTATTTTTTTTTTATTTTGAAATGATGGATATCTTACTTAATTCAAATGATATTAAAATTTAAGTTTTTTTTTTTTTTTTTTTTTTTTTTTTTTTTTTTTTTTTTTTTTTTTTTCTGTACGATGATGAAATATGAATAGTTAAAATCTATATTATGTAATGTAAATGTACATCACAATATGTACCTGCATATTATAAGCATTTTATTGTTTAACGAAAACAAAAAAGAAAAAAAAAATATGTTTCTAAATCATTTAAAAATGAATAGCCTAATTGTGTTAAGAATTCTATTTTTTTTTTTTTTTTTTTTTTTAGGTCATCAAATAATCCTTTTTTTTTAAAAAAAAAAAAAAAAAAAAAAAAAAAAAAAAGAAAGTTCTTTCCTGAATAAAATGATTTCATAAATTCCTTATTATGAATACTTGATATAATAATATTATTATTATTGAAAAGTCTAGTAGTATAAGCATATGACGAAATACTACTAATGTATCATATAACAATATGACATAGATTGTCTCTATTATTGCCGTTGAAATTATAACTTGAAAACATTTATAGCGTGTACCTTTTTTTTAAAATTATGTCATATAATATGCCAAAAAAATTTTTAAAGAATTAAAATATACATAGAATAATGTTATGGAAGTTCCAATTCTTAGGAAGAAGTCAGTAGTTAAATATTTATCCCATAGTTGATGTAAAGTGTTTAAGAATGCTAGCGTATCTTGAGCAGATGGATTAATTAGAAAAAAAAAATTTCGTTGTTGATGTCTGGAAGGAGATAGTCATTGTCTCTCCTTATGTGTAAAATAATCTTATTTGCTAAAGGTATATCTGAAAAAAAAAAAGATCTAAAACTTCAATTTCAGTATTAAACATATTTGTATATTATTTATTCTATAAATGATGTATAGACGCTATGGTTTTCATTATGAATCGTTTTCTCCACAATTTTAATTTTGAATATGTGCTCGAATAATAATAGTTATTGATTTAAAGCATTAATGCTTAAAAAGTCCATGTATACTGACTTTTTTTTCTTTCTTTCTTTTTTTTAGGGTTATTAATTTAACTACTAACATAAGAACTTCTACTTATTTTAATACACTATAACTGATATTCTAATAATCAGGGAAATCTTTATTTCTTCTATTGAATTTATCTATCAAAATAACCAGAGGGAAAAAAAAACCCTGCCTAAATTCTAAACCTTGGATTAGAACATAATATTAAGCGTATAGAGTCAGTCCAATTTTCCATCATTACAAAACTGGTTTATTTTTTTTTGTTCCTTAATGAATACGAATAGTTTCGTGTATATTTTTTCTTCTTTTCTGTACCTTGTAAGTATATATATATCATTTCGTGCTAGATTCATAGGTATAACCTAGTTTGTTCTGTCTGTACTAAATACTTTGAAATATACCATCTTTGCATATGATGGAGTTATTAAATAAACATAAATATATAAGATGCACTCTAAAAGCTAATACATACATATATGTATATGGTGTGTTGATCCCGTATTATAAGCATTTTTGAAAAGGAAAAGACGAGATGGTCGATATTTTCGAAAATTAGATTCGATTTATTCTCTCTTGAATATTCATTACGGTATTGAAAACTGTTTCGAAATAGTTAGATCATTTCAAACCAAGTGTCTGTTTTATCCCTTCATTATGTCTCAAAAAAAAATATATATTTATATACATGGCAGATTATGCGAGTGCACTGACTTTTTTTTTTTTTTTCCTGTATCACGATTTTTTTTTCTTTTTTTTTTTTAAGAAAAAAGGAGATGTTAGCAGCTACTAAACCATCTGATGATTTAATTTATAAAAAGCATAAATAACGCGTGTTTCTTCTTATATTTTGTATTTACTTGAATGCTCTGACTGTTGAAGCTATTTATTTATTAATTTCACTGTATAAAATCTATTAACTCATAATGCTTATTTAACCCTCCTTCTCTCTCTCTTTTTTTTTTTTTTTTTTAATTTACTAAAAGACAGAGAAATACATTAGTTTGATTAACTCTACATACAAAGAATAATAATAAGAAGACCAAGTGTTAGATATTCTAAAAAAAAAAAAAAAAATTCATCAGGTTTCGCCTTTAAAGAAAGCTAGTAATAATTAAATGATGCTCCAGGAGCATAAAATCTTATTCTCCCCTCCCCCCCAATTAATTATAAATAGCATGGAATTGTAATTATGATGAGGATCGACTTTGTGGCAGTTAAATTTGGACGGGGATTATCTGATGCGGTCTTTTAAAAATAATAATAAAAAGACAGCAGAGCTTTTATGCTTACAAATAATTAACACATATTATAGTATGAATGTATGTAAATAGGAATGAGAACAAGTTCCTCTTTCACTCTCTCTCTCTCTTTCTCTTTCTCTCACACTTTCTCTCTCTTTTTTCTATTTTATTTTATTTTTTATTTTATTTATTTATTTATTTTTTTTTGTACAAAAATAAATTTTTATTTATTTTATTTTGGATATTTTGTAACTTAAATAAAAAGTCTTTGCTGTTGTTGTTGAGCTTTTAACTTTTCATTTTCTTGAACTAATCGTTCAATTTCAGCCATGATAGAAGCCTGATTCTTTTTCATGTGTTGAATATGTTGAACGGTACGGTGTAACAAAGCAGCTTTACTCATCTTTTTATTAGCACAACCAGGTAAATGTTGACGAAGGACTTCAAAACCATCTTTAATTTGAGCTCGACGCTTTTGTTCAGATTGAATATGAACTTGACGACGTATCTCAGCTGCAGACAACCCATTCTCATAGTCATTATCGTTATTATTACTACTATTATTATTATTATTATTATCCGAGTCATAGTCGTGATGAGGATGACGACGACGCTTTCTCTTCATACAGGTACCTCCATTTTCATATGTTTCCTTGGAGTATTGATGAAATTCAGGTAAAAAGGAATCCGGTAATGTATTCACTTGAGCGATTCTTTTATTGATTTTCTCAGTCAGGGACATATAACTGGGTAATAATGATGGGCTAGAGACCTCTGGTGATGATGGGGATGATAAGGGTGATGATGATGATAATGAAGTAGGTGTACCAGGAGATCCAGGACTTGGTGGCATAGCATTGTACATGTCAATCTGTGATGGTACAACAGGCTGTGGAACACAATTGGGTACTACTGTAGGCACAAGAGTTTCGTAGCTAGGAAATCCTAATGATAACCCAATGTCAATCCAATATACATACATACATGTATATGCTATCTTTTTATTATTTATTATTACCTGGTGTTGTTGGAGTAGAAGGGGAATATATTTGTACATCGTAAAAGTCCATTTTCGCAGGTTGATAAGGGTGAGAGATAAAATTATATTGCTCAAAACCAAGAGTTACGTTATTCATTGTGATGTGTATTTTTCTATCTTTTTTTGTGTGTGTGTGTGTATATAAATATTGAATGAAAGGAGAGGAGTGTATATGTTATAAAAAGGAAAGAATAAAAATAAAAGCTTAAAGTAAAATGTTTAAGGAAAGTAGAAATTAGCTTTTTTTTTTTTTTCTTAATTAAAAAAAACAAATTATTTTGTTCTTCTTTATATAATTATTTTGTCAATAATAAAGAGGGGAAAAAAAGAAGAAAAAAAAAAAAAGAAAAAAAAAGAAAAAGAAGGAGATAAAAATAATTTATTTATTCACTTAAGTGATAATTAACGACAGCTCTTTTTTTTTTTATTATTATTACGATTATTATCATTATTTTTATTTTTATTATAATTTCGCTGCTTCTATTATTCAATATTAAGTTAGATAGATTAGGAGAGAAAGGGAATCTTTCCCGAATTATCACATCATTTATTTATAAATGTCCGATATCAGGTACTTCTTTCTCTTAGACGTTGAAGTTCATTTTTCGCCGATTAAATAGTATTTACTACTACCACCACCATTTCTTGATATGCGAGAAAGAGAGAGGGAGTGTGTGTATGTGTGTGTGTGTGAGAGAGAGGGAGGGAGAAAGAGAAAGAGAGGGAAAAGTGTAGATAGTATTTTTAGACGGGTCATGTCTATTAAACTATAATAAGTACATAACATGAAACCCTTTGCATTTTTGTTCAATTTGTAGTAATCATACACGCCTTCGTTTTTCCCTTTTTTTTTTATTGTGTGAATTAAAATATGAACAAATCAATTCGTAATGTAATAAAATAAAAAACTTGTAATAATAATATAGCGTACGTGTTTCAGTATGTATATATTTATATATATACACATATTTATATATATATATACATATATATATATATAATATATAATATATTACATATATAGTATAAAAAGATATAAAATAAATACATCTGGAAGGAAAAGGTATTATGAATATATGAATACTTTATTTTGCAAAAGAACGCTAACTGACATCCACAAATGGGATTGATACTTTTATATATTAATTATATTTATGCGCAACACGCATAAAGACAAATGTATTCATAAATAAGCGTTTTTTCAGGTACTGGCTTTTAAAATAATAATAATAATAAATTATTAAATATTACTCCTGATATGATTTTATTGACCGACAATTAAAAAACTTTTTCTTGTTGGGGGGAGGGAAGGGTAAAAGACATTATATACATTTTTGTTAACTTGGCCTAATAATGGATCACTATATCTGGATCAAATGATTTATTAAGGCCCATAAATAATTGCTGATATCAACTACTTCAATAATAATGCTAAGAGGAGGAGGAGGAGGAAGGGGGGTTTTTATAACAAACTCTATAATAAAAATATCTTTAATAATTATAAATAAAAGAAGTATTCATATTTATTTATAAACTTATTGCAACAATAATAATAGTAACAATAGCAGCAACAGCAACAGCAACAGCAGCAATGGTGAACAGCAACCATATACAATTTATTTTAATTAATATTTAAAAACACCGCATTCTATATCCTCCACTTAAAAAAAAAAAGTAGCACAGTTAATAATAAAAAAGAAAAGGATGGATATTTACTCCAATTTTCTTTCATTTTCTTTTCAGGTAAAAAGGAAATAAAATCAAAGAAACTATGAAGAGGATAAAAACAAACTTCGCCTTTTTTTTTCTTTTTCTTTTCTCTTTTGCCCTTTTTTTTTTCCTTGTTCAAAAAAAAAATATTTATATAAATTAATTTTCATCTAAAAATAGCAAAATATAGATTACCTGGTATTGCTATTGTGATAAGTAGTAAATCTGAGCCTGTTGGTGTTGTATCCAGAGGATAGCATTAGTTTATAAAGACACTAAGTATATAAATTATATGAAAGAATGAATTAAAGATAACTAGCAAGTGATTATAATGATAATAATGGATGTGGCTTAAGGCTTAATTTCCAAGTCAAAAAGGATTCCCCCCCATTGTTTGAAATAAGTTATTTGTCAGCATACGAAATGAGTGAACAAAGTGCTCACCTTATCTCAACCAATTGACAGGGGATAAAACTCGACAATTTAGATCAACTATAGCAGTAATTTATAAAATGGAAAAATTCGATATATTTTTCATTGACGAATTTGGTTTTCATATTAATATGAAAAGGTAGTTTTGTCACGGATCTTATTTTTTATGATAAATAAGAAAATACTACAAATAAGATCAAATACATATAATACATTATTAGTCACTGTAATTGGTAATTTGATCAATCTTGTCACTCTTAAAAAAAATCGTCTTCCCTCAAGAAAATATCAACTGGAGGAGAGAGAGAAAGAAAGAAAGAGAGAGGAAAAAAAAAACTATTAATATCTAATAAAGACGACAACTAATAAGAATGTTCTCTAGAAAAAAGAGTCAAATAATGGCAAGTTTCTACCCTAAAAGTAATCATGATCAAAGTTATTAACAAAGCTACTAATGAAGGAATATTGCTTTTTATAAAGCTAATAAATTTAAACCCCCATCGATAAAAGATCTTGACAAGATATAATTATGCTACATAAATTATCCTGATATAAAGAGGATTCAACAAGTCCGAATAAAACTTCTAAAATAGAGAGTGATTGTTTTATGTTAAACTTCTCGAGCAATAGGTAATTCATATGTTATAAATGACCTAACTTTTAGTAGAAAAAGCATTTAATAATTACAATCAAGTAAAATTTGCAAATATGACTAATAAAATACATAGTAGCATCATTGGAAGATTTATAAGAATATCACAAAGAAGTGTCTAAATTACTTGGAAAATTCCAACTTCTTTGATACTTTCATTCATCTGAGGTTAAATAAGGGGCAATTAACTCTAGGTTACCTTATTCTGAAGAATATTGGATGTCAGATCGTAATAACCTTGGAACATACATCATGAAAATATGTATATGTGTATATTTATTTTTTTTTTCGACATAATAATCTGAATTAACAAAACCCCATAAAAAATAAGTGAGCTTTTTTTTTTTTTTTTTTTTTTTTTTTTTTTTTTTTTTTTTTAAGAAAAAAGAGGGAATAACTTCCATCATCTTTTTGATCTTATAGTCTCCTCAGCAGCTAAATAAATACAGTAGTGAATAAAGTGTTTATCTCTTGGAAAGAATTACACTACTAAACTATATATATATATAAAAGCTGATGTTGGCGTACTCGTAAAAAATAAATAAATAAAATAAAATAAAATTCCAACATTAATAAAAGCCCAATTATGACTCTATCGTTCTTGAAATTTATTTTCATCACGTTGCTTTTCTGATATTATAGATTTTAAATTTCAAAAAAAAAGGTAGACTAGCTCATTGTAATTGAGCTATTTGTAGACTGCGTTCGTTAAATAATTAAATGCGTCATTTTATTGATATTTTCTATTGCCATAATCTTCTGTATTGATATATTAATACATATGTGCATCATACATCCTGTCTTATTATATATGCATTACATATGAACAATAGAGCTTTTTCATGTGATACACAAAAACCTGCAAATGTCTCTTTTTATTAATTTTTTTTTTGTTACTAATATAGGCCTCGGCCTTTCATAAAATGGTCTCAAATCAAAGTGAAACTGTTTTGCTAACATAACACTTGACTTAATAATTATTACAGTAGATTATTTTGATTCTCACAGATTCTATCTAGTTCAATAAATAGGATAATTGTAACCAAATAAAAAGAAATGAATACTTGTCTGTCCTTATAGTATATTCCAAATCTATCTATGTACTACATGCAATGTAAAATGACATCTAATGACTTATTAATAGCTTTTTGCGTTATGGAGTCTATCATTTGTTCTCCTTTAATAGCAGCAATTATCATTATACTTGTGATAATGAATGCATATGCATGTGCAGTTAATACAAGATAGGCATTACATCTATATACATTCCTATGATAGACTGATTAGGGAAATATAACCACTTTATAATTAAAAAGTCTCTTATTTATAACCTTTCTCTATCAGTTGAATAGTATAAGATACTTTTCCTTTTAGTATTTCATATATAATGCTAATATTAAATGTTTATTTAATTATATTGAATAATACATAAAGTCTATAGGGATGCTTATTGAATAATAATAATGAAATGGGGTACATGATCAATAAGGTACATGCGCTTGTAAGAAGCATAATGTTGCAATTGTTTCCCCAAAATAAGTACCGTCTTTATCATTATCAATATATTTCATAATCTGATCCAAAGGTGCTTGGTCATTAAGTACCCAGAAGAGAAAGCTGACAGGTGCATTAAAAGCCATATCGCTATAGTCAACAAAGGCTTTACCGTTCAAATAATAGCCTGCACGAATAGGAGATTCATTTGAGTTTCCACCTTTCTTTAATACACCTTCAAAAAATTTAGATAAAGTCTCCAAGAGAGGTTTTAATCGTTCATCCTTTGTGAGCATATAATAATGTGCAAGACGCCAAGGAACACGACATGAATTCCAATTGTAATCTCCATCATGCTTATCTTCCAATACTTGTCCAGTAACAGGTTTATATTGTTTTGATCTACGGTCCAGTTGTAAAAAGTCAGCTATTAATCCTGTCTGAGGATGAAGAGTGAGCTGATATTGACATGTAGTTATAACTGCATTTACAACTCTACCCCAATATTGTTGGCGCTCTTTATCTTCCTATTGAATTAAAAAAATAATAAAATAAATAAAATAAAAGATAAGCCCTTTCTCTTTTTTCATAAAGTCACCATTAAGCTCATTCTTACATAATAGAACAATAAATAGGCACTTAAAATGAAATCACTAGGTCGAGTTAAATTATATTCCTTATCTCCTGGATCAGCCCAGTCACCCAATAAAGGTAAGTAAGTACTATGATTGAAGCAATGTTTCCAAATGGCACCAGCAAGATCACATGCAGCCTTGAAATAATCATTTTTGCCCCATACCTTAGCCGCCAGAAACAGGGCTGTGGCAATATCGATATCACCATCAGTTGCGCAGTTCTCGCCCCCTTCATCACCTGGTACTAATTCCCCGTTTTTTCCTTTCTTTTGCTGCCATTGCATTAAGCCATTCTTATTCTTCCAATTTTTAAAGTAATTAAAGAATCCATCAAAATCTTGTCGATTTTTTCTGAGAACAGAAATCAACATACCATAGCCTTATTATAAATTGGTATAAATATATATATATAAAGAGCTAACATTAGTTTTGTAATATCAATAGACTTACCATGGGCTTCCGAAACTGTTACTTCTGAACCCCCATCATTTGATTCCTTGTAATAAACATATAATCCATCCTTGTATGATTTAACATACCTTTTTTTTTAAAAAAAAATAAAAATAAAATAAAATAAATCACTAAGAAACAGATAGTTGACAAGTTTAGGCTATTTATTTATCATTTGTTTTATATACTTTTTTCTCCATTCTGTGTACGTGCTTTCGATACTTCTTCCCATTGATTTATTTTGTATATAAATATATGTATATAAGAGAAAGGAAAGAACTTTATGACTTTTTATATAAAATTATCCTTTTTTTTTTTCGTATACGATATATATAAATGGATACAACGAATGCATACTGTCAAATTTATTTACCAATAGAAATATCTATGTATAATTGGATAAGTAGAATGATATCAACAAATCTGTATTTACTACGTAATAATCATGTATGAATCATGTTGGCCAAAGTAAAAAGCATTGAAGACGGACATGTTACCCTTTTTTTTTGTTCAGATACATGTGTATATGATGTATCATTTACTAAGAAGAGGGATTACTTGTAAGGTATTTTATTTGTTCTTGTCATCATTATACATTCAACAGAATGAATATATGCTTATTCTTTTCTTACTTGTAGAACATGATTATGCGTATGACAGTAAGTGACAAAGACTGTGCGAATAGTCTTTTTCTCATTAATTCAATATATATATTTTTTTTGTTTGTTTCCCCCAAATTTTTAAATTCACTTTTACTATAATGTTGCACATATATTTGATACAAAGATTGCTTCATATCTCTATTAAAGCTCACATTACTCTTATTTTTATTTACACGGTTGGTTCTAACTAATGTTGATATCTTCAATACTGTGTCAGATCTGACCTTTGTTGTTTTGTGACGGTTAATTAATAATAATTAGGTGAAAGAAGAAATTACATTTTTATAAACAATAGATTGAATCCTATAGACCCTAAACATCAATGCTGTATCTTGGTAACCAGTGTATCCTAGTTTATAAGTTATGGCTCTCGCTTCTTCAACTAACTTTTTTGGGACAAAACTTCTTACGTTTATTTATTTTTTTGTTCCAATTAAATGACTACTTTTGTTAACAATAACATAGCTATATTTACGACTCCCTTGGCTTTCCAATTAGAATCGTAGTCTCTTTAGTCTCGTCCCATATTGTTATATTACTTTTGGTAAAGTAAAATATATTAGTCCTCAAACCTCTTTTAACACTACTCTCAAAAGAAACCCTCCACAATATTCAAGTCTTCAGGGTCTTTGATTATCGACTTTAAAATAAGGGTGTCAATTTTTGTTATTGAATCATAAGGTTTACCAACAAATATTATCAGGTTAATATCACTAAGCTGAATGTGAGTTATACGAAGACATAATGCCCAAGTACACTATTTTTTTTTTATAGATTATTCTCTTCACATAGAAATTGCATTTTAAATCTTTCTCTTTCCCTCCTCCATGTTACTTCTTTATGCTCAGTTAATAAGACGGCTGCTAAAGAAAAAAAAAATTCATTGGGCGCAAAATGATAGGAAAAATATAACAAATGTGTATTCATATATATTTTTTTTTAAGCTCTCCTAAATTTATTTTTAATAATGACTTTTACACCAGGAAATACATTTAATAAAGGATATCAACCAAGAAGGGGAGGATTTATTCCTAGAGGAAACACACGAGGACGCGGACGCGGACGCGGTAGAGGAGGTCGATTTTCTCATAATTTTCAATTTAATAATAATGATGTTGATTACTCACCAGAAGCAATCGAACAACGCTTTTCACAATTTTATTCTCCAAACATGACAAAGGATCCATGGAAAATTTTAGAAGAAAAATTACAATACAAACAATAATATACCATTTTACGTCCTTTTTAATAATAATAATAATAAACAAATATTGATTCCACTATTTATTTATTTACACAATTGAATAATTCATGTCTATATTTTAGTAAATAAAATTAAAGGTATCTAAATAAACACATGTTCAAGTGTACATGGATGGCACATCAGGAACCTCTAAATCTTCAGTTTCCACTTTTACGAGATGGTTTCCAGGAATCATTACCAAGCCAACAAGTCTTTTTTCATCTATCAAAAAAAAAAAAAAAGTATTGTTATTATTTAACAAAGGATACAATAAATCAAAAGCTTCATTACTTTCTCTAAATTCTTCAGTGTGAGCTAAAATGATGTTTTTCTGTTTATCGATGCAAACGAATGTACCAATAAATGTTCGACCATCCGTTATTTTAATGCGACATTTAAAATTCAAATATGATTTTAGTTTTCTAATATTCTCTGTATCTGCCACCATAATAATAAATGAAGAGCATTCATATAAATAAATATTGTATGTATTTGAAAAAAAAAAAAAAAAAAAAAAAAAAAATTAATTAAAAAACAGCCTTTATTCCATAAAAATAAGAATAATTGACAGCTTTAAATAAAAATTGATATTTTATTTTTTTTGCCCCTTGAGGTTAAGACCTTTCATGTCAAAATCTATATTTGGTCATATTTAGAAGCAGTAAAGACACTACTTCAATAATAATTAAGGCAGTCTGCCAAAAGTTATATACATTGTATAATATCAATATTGTTCATAATTACAAGAAATTAAACGTTAAAGAAAACATTTTTTTAAAAAAAATGACAAAAACGATGGATTATAAAAAGCCTAATTCAGTATTAGAGATGAAAAAAAAAAAAAGAAGCTAAAGACTAATTTTCCATTTTTCACCTCCATGTATAAAAGCTAATTCACAAAAAAAAAAAAAAGAGAAAATCTTACTAAGAAAGGTGTCTGCTGCATAGTGCAGTCTGGGAAACTAGGTTGGATCAATAAAAAAATAATTGGATCATTCAAAAATTAAATTGGGACAGAAATACGAAAATGGGGCAGAGGAGAATAAGTTAAATTAAGACGAAATGTTAGATTTTTCTGGACGAAAAAAAAAAAAAAAAAAAAATAGATACAGCATACCTGTAAATATCTAAATCTCTTTAACAAGAGAAACCGTGTACGAGACGGCGATATTAAAAAAAACAAGACCTATTGTTCTCTCGTGAACTCCCGTGGACGCCCATGACCACCAATCACTTATCTTGAGAACTTGAATATATTTTTCGACGCGTTAACGTCGCGTTGCCACATTATTCCGCAACTTTGGCAAGCTTGAACACTGTGCAACCCAATGTAAGCATCAGTCAAGCATGTTTGAAGACATGCATGACAGGTCTATATTTACAGTATTAATAAATTATTCTTTGACCAGTTTTGGTAAATCTTGTTGTACCTTTGAAGTCTTGAACTTATCTACAGAAGCAAGTAAAAGTTCTCCTGATTTCTGTCTTATTTTGAGTTGTTTGTAAAGAACTCCTGTCGCTCCCACCCTGAGACCCTTCAAATGTACACCATCTTTTCCGAACATGCCATTTCCGAAAGCTATAACAGGCAATTTACTCTTGTCGTATTTGAAAGGTTGAGGCTTCCAAAGCTTCTTGGTATTCCTGAAATAATAGTTAATGAATATAGTGTTTATCTCTCAGCTTTGATGCTAGTATACTCACTTTGTCTGCTGGGGAACTTCTTTGTCTCTCCTCTTCTTTCTTTTCTTTCTTTTCTTTCTCTTCTTCCTATTCTTCTTTGTGTTCTTTCTTTTGGCCTTATTGTATTTTTTTCCACCATTAATGAGGACATTGGCCATTTCTTGTCTGGCCCTTTGAACTCCCTGGTATAGGTGAAAGCGACTTTCAGCAGTTGAGAAGTTGTTAAATGCTAGTATTCTGTTTAAATGTAAGAGGGTATAAGTTATGTATTGCAAATAGTTTGAAAGAACAACTATCTTGATTGTAGGAATGTTGAGAAGTATATCCTCCATATTTTCTTGAGACATTCTTTTTGTTTCTCTCTTTGCGTGTCTTATAGACCCTGTTAAGGTATAGTACTCTTTAGTAGAGCATCGCCTGATTTGATGGGATTTATCACCCTCCCCATAAGCAGCAGCAAAAACCTGATGTCGGTTGGGATCCAGCCCGCAAAGAGAAACATCAACCAAGTTTTCATTCTTCATAGCATTTCCCAATTGGAAAATTTCTACGTCTTCGCTAGATATGCATCTGTATTCATCTGTACTATTTGTAATTTTTTGCAATAGAACCACATCAGCTGAAAATCTATCGGTTTTAATGACATTTGAGAATGCGACCTTTTTTTGTCTATCCGGATTTCGGAGGTCTTGGAAGCTGTGTATTTTAAATTGTAAGTCATCATCATTAGAAGCAATATATAGTAATTACCATTTTTGCCACAATCGCTGCACTTTTGTTTATCTAAATAAGATTTCATAAAGCGAGTTAAGTCAGGAGAGCATATAAATATTTTCATTTTATAAGTCTCACTTTGTTCTTCTAATCCCTTCTTGCGATTCCAAACTCTTTGAAGTATCGTGTGTATTTTTTGCTTAAACATCAATCAATGAGGATAAAAACCGAAAAAAAAAAATGATGCTGAACCATTCAATTTTGAACAAAATGTTGTTAACTGGAACTCACGATCACTAAGAATACAGTCACTTATTACAGGAACTATACTTATATCTCGTTGTAGTGTAGTAGTAGTTCTACTACGTAAACAATCCTTATTACAATAAAACACTTTAAGACACCACCACGGATTTGAGGGAGATAAAAAGGCCTACTCTACTTTACAGTCGACTGGTAAAATGCGCTGGAGCATATTGTTGCAAATATTTCTGACAGATCATATGTTCGATTTGAATATACACATACTAATAAAGTATCAAATTTCAGCAAATTCTACCATTTATGGAAAATGCTCTAAAGTGATAAAGCTGTCGATCTGTCTGAATTATACTTTTAGGGCATTTTTCTCGGTTAAAGTCAGACTCAGTCTTTATTTTGAATATTAGCATGATGCATGACTTACAATTATTTCTGATTCAAAATAATAATATGTCGACGGTGACTTGGTTGGCTCCCCGGTGGCTAGCCGCAACATAGTATCTTCCACTCAGACTCAAGGCTTACTTGGGACCATGCTATTATCCGCTTCGACATGCATAGCTACTTTCAAATGCCACACACCATCCCTGACCCTCTTTCCTTCGTCCTGAACAGGTTCCCTTCCAACCCCCCCCGCCGCCGTCCCAAAGTTTCCTGCATTTGGTCCGTTCATTAGCCGGTAGTATGCCCGAATATTCCACGAACTGGACTATATCCTCCACAACAAACCACCTACTGAACTCACCATTTCTGGCGTTAAACTGGTGAATTGGTTAAATCAATCATAGTAGTAGTAGTAGTAGTAACTCAAATATTTTTTTTACTGATTCTGTTTCTCTTTACTTTTATACATTTTCCTCTTTTCTTGTAAGAGGGAGGTTTTTTTTTTTCATGCAAAATAACACTCAGAACTGGCCAGGCCAAAACAATGTATTCATAGTCACTACGTGTGCAAAATGGTCTTTACTTTAATTAAATTACTCTTTAATCACATCTCTGTCCCATTTTCGCATCTGTGTCTTATTTTCATTTGTGTGTCCCATTTTCGTATTTCTATCCCTATTTTCCTGCTATTGTCCCAATTCTACATCCGTGTCCCAATTTAATTTTTGAATGACCCAATTATTTTTTTATTGACCCCACCTAGTTTCCCAGACTGTAATATTCTTTTCGTATATGAACTATAACTCAGCTCATATAAAGAATGAGTATGCTGCAAAATACGTAAATTGAAGAGAAAACTCCAATAATACTGGAGAATATCCATCAATATGTTGTCAAAAAAAAAAGTAGAATAAATATTTACAAGTATATAAAACATTGTCAATTAATAAGGTATAAAAATTATTAGTGTCTTTCTTCTTTCTCTCTCCTCACTCATCGTGTCTTCTCCTATTTTCTTCCCCTATAAGTAATTATATAATTTCTCCTTATCAATCTCACTTTTAAGATATATTTGCTCTCTCTTTCCTTCTCTCACTCTTTCTTTCTTCTTTTCTTTTATAATAATATTATTATTAAAGCATGTCATCATCATCATTATTGTCTGCAGAACCAAGTGTGGTAATAGAGATGGATGAATCATCGACTGTTTATTAAATTGTTTATATAGACTACACTTCAAACATCATTGGAAGGATATGTCGGTTTTGATACTATTACTCAACAGATTGAAAAGAAACTATTAAAAAGAGGCTTCCATTTTAATGTAATGGTTGTTGGTAAGTAACATATTACCTATAATAACGATGGCTGACTATATAAATAAATGACTCAATAAATAAACGAATAAATAAAGGTCAATCTGGTTTGGGTAAATCTACTTTAGTCAATACTATCTTTGCCTCTCATCTTATCGAAAGTAAAGCTCGACTTTCTGCTGATGAACCACCAAGACAAACAACAGAGATTCAAACTGTTTCTCATTGTAAAAAAATATATACAAATACAAATACAAATACATATACACATACACATTTATCCTTTTGATTTTAAACTAACCTAAATTCTATTCTATTTTAATCTTATAGCTATCGAGGAGAACGGAGTACATCTTCGACTCAATATTGTAGATACCCCTGGATATGGAGATCAAGTTAATAATGAGAATTGGTATATTTATAATTATATTTATATTTATATATAAAAAAAAAGACTCTGTTATCCCTATGAATATAGTTCTTATAGTTGATTTTAGTTGGGAACCTATTATTAAATATATTAAAGACCAACATTCTACTTTCTTACGTAAAGAATTAACTGCTACTAGAGATCGTTATATTCAAGATACTAGAATTCATTGTTGTTTATTCTTTATTAGTCCAACTGGTCATGCGTAAGTGAATTCATCATGAGTTAAATATAAAAATATAGAAATTCAATAGAAAGAAATAATAATAATAATAATAATAATAAAAAATAGATTAAAACCAATTGATATCGTTGTACTCAAGAAGCTTTCTGAAGTGGTAAATGTAGTACCTGTTATTGCTAAATCAGATTCACTTACAATTGAAGAACGTGCTACCTTTAAGCAAAGAGTAAGATTTAGAATATATTGAATCATTTCTTTTAACTAATGTATATATATATATCTATATAAATAGATTAAGGCAGAATTAGTATTTCACAATATCAAGTTATATCCTTATGAAAGTGATGAAGATGATGAACAAGAACAAGCTTTAAATGAAAGTATCAGAGTATGTTTAGTTTATAATAATAAAAGGGGTGTATGTATGGAAAAAGGAGGAATTATTAATCATGTATACTTTAGGAATTACTTCCTTTTGCTATTGTTGGTTCTGAACGTAATGTTGTCATTGAAGGTAAACCTGTAAGAGGTAGAAGAAATAGATATGGTGTCATCAATGGTATAGACTTGATTTTTTTTTCATAAATATATATATATATATATTCATATATGCTTCATATTTATTTATCTTTAGTTGAGAATGAAGAACATTGTGAATTCATTTATCTTCGTAATTTTATGACTCGTACTCACCTTCAAGATTTAATTGAAACAACCGCTCAGATACATTATGAAGCATTCAGAGCCAAACAATTATTAGCTATTAAAGAATCAAATCAAACTAACAATCAATCTTCTGCTCCTATCAATACTAATGTTAATTTAGGAAGTCCTTCTCAATCTAACAAGTAAGTACACAGCTTTTTTTTTTCTTTGGGAGGCATACAATGATAATAATAATCATTCCCTTCTTTTTCTACGTTTTAGATCTGTACCTGCATTTAATTAGTTATTTTCTATATATACTATATACATACTCTTTCAAATAAATAATAACAGTAGTTTTGTTGCTAAGCAATTCAATACTTGTTCTAATTCTCGAGAATTTACTAATTTGGTAACAGCTATAAAATCCGCGTTATTCCTTTTCTTTCCCTTTCATTTATTATATTATATTATATTATATTATATTTTGTTTTTGTTTTATTTTTATTTTTTATTTATTTTTTTCTTTTTTGACATTAAATATGACTGACATGAGGAATGTGAATAACTGGTAATGTTCATTTGTTAACTATTATTTTCATTTTAACATGTTATAAATTAGGCACTGGTAAGTAGTAATAATCTATATTCATAAAGTATATAATAGATTATTAGAGGGAAAAAGAATAAATAAATAAATAAATAAAGGGTCAACAAAGATTGTCGAACTTGGGCAAAAAATTATTTGCAGCAACAACTTGTTGGATTAAAAGCTGAAAAGGATGAGATCAAGGTATCGATCATTAGTTTAGATGATTGTACAGGTGATGTTGACCTGAATCAAAGAAAAGGAAGATTAATTGCCATTTATGATGTTGCTTTAAAATTAAGTTGGCAAGGTAAATAATATATATATATATATAAAGAAAGGAATGAACAACATTGTATATCATCATTTATTCACAACCATTATAGGTTTACTCAAGGATAAAACAAAAGTATATGGACAAATTCATGTACCTGAAGTTGCATATGATACAGAGTTTGATGATTATGTGGTACATTTATTATTTAAAATGACAGCATTTTTCTTTTCTTTTAACCTCTTTTTTTTTTTGAAGTTTAATATAAGCTTTAATGATCTGAATCAAAGTGAAAAAGATAAAGATGAATTGAAGAAACTAATAAAAACCGATTTAATACCACAGCTTAGAAACAAATTTGTTCATTTTACACAGGATTTAATCAACAGTAAGGGAAAAAAAAATAATAATAATTATTATTTTAAAATGAATTTTAATTCTATTTTATTTATTTTAGCTCATAGTTCAGATTTGTATGCAGATAAAAATTCAGCTCCATCTACACCTACGTTAGTTCAGCGAAAGAAGACAAGTTCGCTTACAGCAACAACAACAACAAATAAAGAAGATAAAGTAATAAAGACAGCCATTATTAATCATTCTTATGAATTTAAAGGAGTTTCTGCAAGAGATATTTATGAAACATTATTAGATTCTAAACGTGCTGATATTTGGTCTCATAATAAATCAAAGATATCAAAGAAGATGGGAAGTGAATTTCAATTATTTGATGGAAATGTACATGGTTTATTATTACAAGCAGTAAAGTATAGAATTATTATTTTTAGTGAATTATGGATAGGACTCAACAGATTTAATAAAATAATAGACTCCTGCAAAGTCTATCTTACAAACTTGGAGATTAAAAGGCTGGCCAAAAGGTATACAAATCGGAATTGACTACACATTACACTAAACTAATAATTGTATTATTATAGATCACTATTCTACAGTAACAATTTCATTTACTGAAAGACCTGATGGTGTTCTAGTCAATGTCAATCAAGTAGGCGTACCTGCAGGTCAAGAAGAAATTATTAAAAGAAATTGGATGGGCTATTATTGGACTCCAATTAAGGACTGCTATAATCGTGATCAATTCAGGGATATACCATATCAAAAGGATCCTCTCTTTGGCTTTATTAACAGAAATTATATTATTTTAATGATAGCTATTCTATTCATTATTGCATTTACTGCATATCAAGTTGCTCCTCATTTTAGAGTTTAGAATAAAAAAAAAAAATCTACTGTTGTAGTAAGCAGTAGAAAAAAATAAAACAAAATAATCATCCTATTCTTTTTGAAGGCAAATATTCCAACGAGGCTGCTATAAATCTATTTTCATTATATTATGATTGGCTAAAGTACAGTTATTATTATTCAAGTAACTAGTAATGTTCTTTTCCTTCTTGTAATTATAGTTGCAGTTTCTTTAAGAAATGTATAATAATATTTATTTATTTTTTATAAATGTAGACTTCTGTTTTATTCGATAACTAAACGTATTTTTATAATTACAGTTTAACTCTATTATATGTGTGTATGTAATCTGGTAAAAATCGGAAAACTATATATCTCAGTAAATTTGTATACATTTTTTTTTTTTTTTGTTTAACCTCACAAAAAAAGCTGAAGTACTTTTTATGACCAGGATGTATTACCTTAACATAGTTTTCACAATACATATAGAGAAAGAGGCTTATTTTATATTAAAGGTACAGCAAACATGCTTTTATAGATAATGTGTTATGTTCTTTTTATTATTAAAATAGAGGGGAGTGGGGGGGGAATAATACATGTATAAATCTAAATAAAACTCCATAAAGTACCATTAATTGCCATAGAAGAAGCAACCAAAATGAGAACATAATTTAAAATCTTGGTTTTAACAGACATTGTGTCACCAAACAAACGAACATGACAGACAAGTGGGAAAATACCTGAAATCATAAAAGAAAAGAAGGCACCCAATAATGACATTACTTTATCAAATTCTGGAATGATATAGGCAAGTGAAACAATAAATGCACTAACACAAATTTTACCAATAGCTGTTAAAACAGGCTCACGCCATCGACCTTTCTCACACCAATCTTCTAAGGAAGTAGATCCTTTAAAGAGCCAAATTTGCCAACTTAAGTTTACAGGATTGACGGTTAAACCGTATTTGGCAATTGGATTCATCGCAATTAACCAGACTGCAAATCGGTTAAGTGCCTGATTATATTCTGGAACTGAGACAATATTTTGGGTAATCTAAATTATAATATATGTATTTATATGCATATAGAAAAGGATATCAGTAGGCTTTTATAAATTGTAAAGATGTGTTTGTTAAGTTACCTCTTGCATTGTGTTTGATCCAAACATTAAATAACCACAAGCAGCTACACCAAAATAAACAATAGTAGTAGCCACATAAGTCCAATCAACCATCTTTCTATAATATTTAGGTTGTTCCATGTCACGATAAACAGTAGGGAAGACAGCATGTCCTGCAAACCCAGCCATGATTAATCCGAAACTAAGGGGTACAGTCATCCAATTTGAAGGCCAAATTTCTGTATCCTAAGCATGATGTTATTTTACTTTTTTTTTTTTACTTTTTTTTTTGTTATAATACTAATAATAATAACTTACAGCAGGTTCAATTAAACTACCAGGTGCATCCTTTTTGGTAAATCCATCAATTATAATAACAATAATGATACTAAAGGCGCTAATGATACCTAATAGACTTGTATAGGAAAGATGACGGATAGGTAAAAATAACATAGGTGTCAAAATAAGAAAAGATAATATACGAGTTTCTTTTAAAGTGAAACCAGGGAATAATGAATCAATACCATCACCAAGTAAGACAACTAAGGCAACACTGATAGATAACATTTAAATTACATGTATAGATACCAGTAGCTGTTTAAAATTATTTTACCTGCTTGTAATTAATTCTGTAATAAATAATGCTGTAACCCAGATTCTGCCTTTTAATCCAAAAGCTAAGGCACCCATATCACCATATGTTCTTGATTCAGGATCTATATCTAAACATTTTTGTAATAATTTAGCCGTATAATTTGTTAATCCACAACAAAATACAAAGACAGATAAGCCTATTGCCCAACCAGCACACTATATATGTATAAAATACACAAAAACAATAAGCATACTTTTGTTTCATTTCATTTCATTTTGTTTGTTTGTTTGTTTGCTTTATATGTATATTGTATACCTTGAAACCAAGTGGTAAAGCCAATATACCAATACCAATTAGAATATTAATTGAATTAAAAATAGATTGTGTAAAAGAAGACTTTTTAGCAATGGGAGGATGAGGTTCGTAACGGTAATCATCAGCTACTGTACCCACACTTCTTGTAGATAAAACTTTATCAAGATGTGAAAACAATAGAGAAGAATGTTCATTACTAGTTCCAGCCCCTAATGATTCAATTCGAGACAATCGTGATACAGACGTCTTGGAAGGAATTCTTGAAACATATCCTGATGAAATAGCTGAATACTTGTCTCCTTCTTCATCCAACTACTTGCATCCGTTATTAATCATGTATTAAACTCTCTCTCTCTCTCTCTCTATTTTTTTTTTTTTTTTTTTTTTTACCAAGGAACCATTCGGAACAGCCAAATTTTCTGCCATAAACATCATCGAAGTACGAGAATATGAACCCACAAAATCATTTATTCTTTCCGAAAAAGTGCTTACAGTGCGTTCAATGGGTATTGTAGATTCATCTTGATGACCCTGAATAGTACCATAAAGATGATCAGGTGAAAGTTGAGATGGGTGAAGATTACGAATTCGTGGTATATTATTATTATTATCTGGTATATCCATAATATATATTATAAAAGGGAAAGAAAGAATAAATAGATAACACTTGGAAGAAAACTCTTCTCTTTTCTCGGAATTAAAAAAAAAAAAAAAAAAAATTGAATTTTGAGTTTAAACGTAAAACATAATAAAAGAGGTTTATTTACCAAAAATAACTTGATACCATGACAACTGCTACTAATAATGCAACAATAAAAAAAAGATTAAATTATTAATTTGCTCACCCCCTTCCTTAAATTTTATTATATTTATTTTTACAATACTTTTTCTTTTGATTCAAAAAAAAAAAAAAAAAAAAAAAAAAAAAAAAAAAAAAAAACGGCACTTGAGAACATAGCATGTTTCTCTCCTACAATAATAATAATAAAAAAAAAACCTGTCTTTGAATAGAAGATAAATCTCTTTAAATTTGCAAAAGTAATCGTTTCGGCAATTTGGTTCACAAGAATCAAGGTAACGTATGTATGTTGCATTGACGAAAAAGGGTGTACAAATGTCATGCAATTAAATAATTGATCTTAATGATGAAAATAATAAGACTCAACATTTTGAAATCAAAGCCCTTCTTCATCATCGCAATAAAGACCTTATACGTTGGGGAAAAAAAATACGGTTTATGACTCGTGCATCTACTAAAGGCACGTGTTTAAATTGTATACCTAATCGATTAGAATTAAAAGTTTCTCATATTTTCATTTTAGTTCTTGTTTATTGAACTACTATTGGATTTTTTCTTTAAGATTGCGGTAATAAGATTATCTTTAGTACCCTATCTAAAAGGAGTTTGCCCTAAAAGAAGAATCCTTTTGACGTATTTAAGAGATATATGTATATGCCTATATATAAAAAAAAAGAACTTGAAAGATTCTAATACAACACAAGAAATATAAAATACATGTGCTTGCTGAAAATTAGTTATATGATTTTTTTTTTTAGCTAGCAGTATAGCCTTCGTTAAGGATAATTTTGATTATGTATCTGTTGAAATCAGAAACTATTGTATTAAGCAGTTTAGTGTTTATATGCCAGTTAAAGTTTTATGTTGAACATTAATAAATTTAAAGCTTTAAGATCGTGATCTACAGACTACTAACTGTAATGTTTGTAATATACATATGCCGTTTGTGGTAATGATGTTAGAAGTTAAAGATGAAAGTGATCAAAGAGTGCATCATGCTCTCATTTGTAATAATGTAAAATAAAGATGTAGTGATTATTAAAAGCAGTATGATAACTATTTCAAGAAAAAAAAACACATACTATTATCTTTTCTATTTGAGAAAGAAAAAAACTCCCTCATCAAACTACTTCTTCTTCGTTACTTTCTATCTCAAAATTATGTTTGTGGCATTCCATATCTTTTCACAATCTTGCTTAACTATTATTTTTTAATTAAAAAGACTGACGTATCACGTTAATATCAATTACTTACCTAATACACAAATATGTATTTTTTTTTACCCCCGAATATTGTTTTTTAATACTAACGCGTTTAATTTTTTTTCCACCTTATTTTATTTCGCTTTTATTTTTTTTTATCACATTTTATTGTTCTTTATATAAGATAATGGCAGATACGACACTAGAAGCAGATGTTGATTCCATCATTTCACGCCTTTTGGAAGGTATTAATCTAAGGAGGAAAAAGAAATGTAAACTATAAGCTCATTCATCTATTTTTTTTTTGTTAGTAAGAGGCAGTCGTCCCGGAAAACAAGTTCAACTTGCAGAAAATGAAATTAAATTCTTATGCCAAAAAGCACGCGAGATATTTATGAATCAACCCATTTTGTTGGATTTGGAAGCACCTATTAAAGTTTGTGGTGACATTCATGGTCAATATTATGATCTTTTGAGATTATTTGAATATGGTGGTTTCCCTCCTGAAGCCAATTATCTTTTTATGGGTGACTATGTAGATAGAGGAAAGCAATCTCTCGAAACAATTTGCCTACTATTGGCTTATAAAATTAAATACCCTGAAAACTTTTTTATTCTTCGTGGTAATCATGAATGTGCAAGTATTAATCGTATATATGGTTTTTATGACGAATGTAAATTGATACAAAAATTAGACTTTATTTGCTTGTATTCATTTATTTATTTTTTCTTTTATAAATATATTTTGTATAGGTAAAAGACGATATAATATAAAACTTTGGAAGATTTTTACAGATTGCTTTAATTGTTTACCCATTGCTGCTATTATCGATGAGAAGATCATGTGTATGCATGGCGGTCTTTCACCTGATTTACAAAACATGGAGCAAATTCGTAGAGTTATGCGTCCAACTGATGTGCCTGACACAGGTAAAAAAAAAAAAAAAAGAAAAGAAAAAGAAAGAAAAAGAAAAATGAAACAGATGATGAACAAAATAGAAATAAAAGGAGAAAAAGAGATTGACAAATTACTAATTAGGTTTATTATGTGATTTGTTATGGTCTGATCCTGATAAGGACATTACTGGTTGGAGTGAAAATGATCGTGGTGTTTCATTCACATTTGGAGCAGATGTTGTATCTCGATTTTTACAAAAACATGATTTGGATCTTATCTGTCGTGCTCATCAAGTGGTTGAAGATGGGTATGAATTTTTCGCAAAAAGACAATTGGTTACATTGTTTTCTGCGCCTAATTATTGTGGAGAATTTGATAATGCAGGCGCAATGATGAGTGTTGATGAATCTTTAATGTGTTCATTCCAGGTATGAAAAATAAGTATATAAGTTTATTTCCATTATATGCTTATTTATCTCTTTGCTAGATTCTAAAACCTGCCGAGAAGAGGGCAAAGTATGGTTACAGCCCCGGTAAAGTAAAACCCAAAAACAAAGCATGAATATAAAGAGAAAAATAAAATTAGTGTGTGTAATAGCTTCGTTTCTTTTTTTTTTTTCCTTTTTATTTTTTTTTTTTATTGATATCATACAAAGTATAACATTTCAATTTTATATATTTTCCTCCATTATGTTAATACTATTAATAAATAAAATATAAGCTAAAATGGTCAAATAAACCATGAAAATAATTGGTGGTTATATTTTTATTAAAAGGCAGCAATAATAATAATATACAAGAGTTCTATGGATGTTTAGTTGGCAAGTGTTTCTAAGAGAGCTTGTTCGCATTGATGAACACGGTCAGGTGTAGTGATTTGAGATGTCATCAAATAAATAATATTACCAAGGGGTCTAGCAAATAAATTAATACCTGTTTCTGAAGAACCATCAAATCCATTCTTGAATTGTCCAAAACGCAAATTTTCAATGATTGATTTGGATACGTTAGATCCATAACCTATATGTATTATATTATTGAATTAAACATAATTACTACTATAGTCTATAATGTATATTACCTTTTCTTTCATCATCTTTTAATTCTACAGCTAAAACTGAGCCTAGTGTCATCACGCTTTCTACACGATTAAGCTTAGACAGCTGATCGACTGTTTGAGGACTCCACATGGACCAAATCGAATGATGTTGGCTCTTTTCCCAATTTTGACAAAATGGTGCCCAAGCACCTGTTTTAGCAGCAGCCATTGTATTAAGAGATTCAATTGATGTCTTGGCTACTGAACATCCCATAGGATGAGCAGTATAAGAATGTCCATGCAATAAACAATCTGGCTTATTATGTGATAAAAAGACATCATAAATGGATTCCTTAGTGACTGTTAATGCCAAAGGTAAAAGTCCTCCTGTCAATGTTTTTGCATAAGCAGTAATATCGGGTGTCTAAATAAAAAAATAAAAATTAGTTGGGATGGTTATTATCAGATGGATAGGACTTTACTACTCCTAAGAATTCAGAAGCCGATCGTCGGCCTAATCTATACCAACCGGCAAAAACTTCATCAAAGACGATCGGTAGACCTTGCCATGAGTCATTATTACTCTTATTATTATTATTACGCTCAGTGACACCATATAATAATTGTGAGCCTTCTTGGCGTACGATATCAATTAATACACGTTGAAATAAAGGATCGACAAAAATCATTCCACCTGCCCCCATGAGGACGGGTTCCATTAATAACGAGCCAATACGACGTCCTTGGTCCCTTAAAGACTTTAGTTGAGTACGAATATAGCGACCATAAATCTCCGCTAGAGATTTATCATCACGAAGTCGACCCTTTCCATCTACAGAATAGATATCATCAATGGAATCGTAATATACCTTACAGCTTTCCCCTTTTATTTCAGAAGGTAAACGGACATAGGCATGTCCCTGAGAGATATGTACAGAGGGGGGCTTTAACCAATGACCCTTGGGGTGATACCATTGAACTTGTTCATTGTAAACATTTGGGGCACAGGCGTCCATGGCACCTATAGTATCACCATGATAACTACCATCGATGCCAAGAATCTCTACGGGCTCCTTTGTACTAAATCCATAACGTTTTGCAGTAGCAGACATAGCCATCTTTAGGGCTACTTCCATGGCTGTCGAACCATTATCAGAGAAAAAGACACGAGAGGCCCAGTTATCGTTCTGAAGGACTGTCTCAGCAAGAGATAGCGCAGGTTCATTTGTAGCTTCAGGAAAAATAACATGTCCATAACGACCAGCAGCATAGGCTGCAGAAAGGGTTAGATCAGGATTAGCATGACCTAGACCCTGCGTCCACCAACTAGCACAAGAATCAAACATTTCTTTAGCAGTACCATCTGTTGGATAAGTTGTAAAGTAGTCATTGTATGCAGAGTCGATAACTGTCACATCCTTGACAAGCTTGTGTTGTGTAAATGGCCACCAAAGAATATCTCTTGATTTTTGAGCCATTGTTTCTAATCGATCGAATCTTGCTTGATGAGCCGTATCCAGCTGTTCAATGACAGGTACCAAACATTCATCTACTTGTGTATAATAACGTTTCATAGATTCTTCCTCAGATATAGGATCCTCAATAGGTTGAGGTGGTGGAGGTATTGTAGCTACTTGTAAAACCCCATTCTTTTTCACTCTCTCCCCAATTAAGACGTGATTTTTATAGTTAGGTCGGTTAAATAATAAAATGATGGGGATATCGTATCCACGCAAACGTAGGGATTCAAAAGAAGTTAATGTAGTTGAAATTCCTCCTAAATTACTATCACCGATAAGGAGTGTAGGTAATCTTAGAGGTCGATAAAAATCAGCTTGGGGCGTTCCTAATTTATTTGAAAAAAAAGGGGGTCATTTATTCCCTATTTCCTTTCTTTATCTCTCTCCCCCCCCAAAAAAAAAAAAAAAATTAAATTATGTACCTGACATGACAGGACTATGGATACCACCTGCTGTTTCCAAAAAAAGATAACTGCCATTTTTCCTTTGTTGTCTTGAATAATCTAATAATTGTTGCTTTACTTTAGCCATTACCAAATCATCATGTGGAGGCTTATATTTATTTATTTATTTAATCAATAAATGCTTTTTTGATTGCAACATGTCCATTTTTATCTTACTTTATCTGTTGCTATATGTGGACTGACAGGATTTGGATAGGTAAATAAAGTGTTTGTCTTCAATAAAGAAGATGAATTATAAGTTTTAACATGTCTAAAGAAGATTCAAATAAGTTAAATAAAAGTGTTTCTTCTTTCATAAAGAAACTACAAAAACCTTTCATCGCTATCGATTGGATAACCTGTTTGTACAGGCTTCAAATAAAACACGTCACGATCCTTTTGTTCTGCTACAATGGCTGCTGCTCTGCATAAACCTGTGGCAAAAATTGTTTTCCCAACATTTGTATTTGCTGCAAATATTTGATATGCTTGAAATGACCTTGTAGGTAAAAACGGTGAAGGCATAACAATAGTAGTTTTTTTAGGGGAAAAAAAAAGAAAAAAAAGAAAAGCTGAGACTTTTTTTTTTTTTTTAAAAAAAAATATCTTTTGGAAACAGGTTTAAATTACCGAAAAGAAGTTTGCACTGTAAGTGTTCAATCTCGGATGCCAAAAAAATAAAAGATCATAAAAGACAAAGACGTCTTCCCTATAATTTCAATAAAAAAAAATATCAATTTTTGAAACTAATAATAATGAATAACGCTCATTATTGTTGAAATATCGTAAATTTCTAGAGTTAAAAAAAAACTTTTTTTATCTCAATTTTGTGATGATGTGACTCCAATAATTTTTTTTTAGTTTTAATTCCTTTTCCCCATTCCTTTTTTTTTTTCTTTTCTTTTTCTTTTTTATACACAAATATATAAATATATAAAACGTGTTTAACTTTTTATATATAATTTATTCTTATTCTTCCTTCTCCCCCCCCTCTCTCTGTCTTTCTCTGTCCCATCTTTCTTTTAGCAAATGTCAGCTTTTCGGTTATTATCTAAACCTCTCCAATCGAGTCGTCGTCACTTGAGTATTTCAGTACCTTCACGACTTGCAGCTATTACTCAAAAGACAACATCTGAAGGACTATCAGCAGCAGCTATTCATGCATCAGGTCCTATGAGAAATGATTGGTCTCGAGAAGAAATTCAAAGTATTTATGATTCACCCCTTATGGAACTATTGTATTATGGTGTAAAAAAAAAAAAGAATAGAAAAGAAAAAAAAATGTACTCATTTGTGTATATTCATTTTAATTCAATAGGCTAAGGTACATCGTGAAAATTTCAATCCCAGAGAAGTTCAGCAATGCACTTTATTATCTATTAAAACGGGTGGTTGTACTGAAGATTGTAAATATTGTCCTCAATCTTCTCGTTATAAAACTTCTGTTAAAGCCGAAAAGATGCTTGAATCAGATGCTATTCTTTACGCTGCTCAAAAAGCTAAAGATGCCGGTAGTACAAGGTAGTACAGTGATTTGAAAGGAAACATGAGAAACTAATAAAAAGAAAAAATAGATTTTGTATGGGAGCTGCTTGGAGAGATTTGAAAGGCCGTAAAACTTACTTTAATAAGATTTTAGAACATGTCAAGATTATTCGGTAAAAAAAAAAATGTAATTATGAATGTAGTTTCATGTTAATCATTAATATAATGAGAATAGATCCATGGGTATGGAGGTGTGTTGTACCTTAGGTATGTTGGATGAAGAACAAGCTAAAGCACTAAAAAATGCTGGATTGACTGCTTACAATCATAACTTGGATACCTCGCGTGAACATTACCCAAACGTAATATATTATATAGCATTTGTAAAGAGCAAAATGATTGACTTTCTTTTTATCTTATTTTTATTTTTATTAGATTATTACTACACGTACTTATGATGAGCGTTTAAAGACAATTGAAAATGCTCAAAAAGCTGGTATATCTGTCTGTTCAGGAGGTATTATTGGTCTTGGCGAACGACAAGAAGATCGTGTTGGCCTCTTACATACTTTGTCTACTCTTAAGCAGCACCCAGAAAGTGTTCCTGTGAATGCCTTATTAGCTGTTGAGGGTACTCCTCTTGAAAAACAAAAACCTGTCTCGGTCTTTGAAATGATTCGTATGATTGCTACAGCTCGTATTATCATGCCTAAATCCATGGTCCGTCTCTCTGCAGGTCGCGTTAGATTTAGTGTACCAGAGCAAGCCCTTTGTTTTATGGCTGGTGCAAACTCTATCTTTACAGGTGATAAACTATTAACAACTCCAAACAATGAATTTAATGATGATAAACAAATGTTTGAATTATTGGGCCTTGTACCAAAACCACCTAATTTTGCTCAAGGTGCTGATCGAAAGGAGGTTCCTGTTTATCAAATGCCAAAATGCTATAAACCAAGAATCGAAGAAGAGAAAGAACACGCTTAAATTAATAAATAGAGAATGATTATATATTGTGTTTTAGAATAATGGAGTTGCATATTTTAATTTATATATCTCATATTTACTTGGCTATTTTAACTATTTGAACATCTGTAAAATTATTTATTTTATTCCCTTAAGAAAATAAGTATCTTATTCAACCTTTATACTCCAATTGAGTAACTGCTTTCGTAAACTTCAGTAAATTTAGTTTTCAAACTATCTTCAACAGATAAGTAATATTTTCTTATAATAGCCTTAAGCTTAGTCCAAAACTCTTCAATTGAATTTTTAAATAATGAAGGAAAATAATAGATTAAGCAAATAAGCTTATGTTCTTACACTATAATACAATTTTAGTTCTTTTTTTTTAACCTATAGAGATACCACAGACATGTAGTAATTAGTTGCAAATTTAATCTTGAGTGAAGAATCCTGAATATTATGCTTCTTTTAATTAATCCCTTTATTTATTTTTTAACGGTAAAATTATTCAGTATGCCTTTTAAAGGCTTTGTTGGTAATATGATATAACCTTCAGTCATTGAGTTCGATTCTTTTGTTTTAATAACAACTTCATAGTGCAAAATGCCTATTATCACGATATTCTATATCACTATTTTTAATTAAAATATTACAGCCAAAACCTGGTTTTTCTTGTATTTTCATTAATACTACTAATTTAACAATCCTGTTTGTTAATCCTTACACCAACTTATAAAAATGATAATCAATACAGTACATAAACAACTACAAAGCTCATTTAGTTAATATTGAATCATCTTCTACAAGTCGTTATTACATAAAAGTTTTTTTTTTTCATTTATAATTAATAATAAAAAAGGGGTAATGATCCAATTAGCCAGTAGCTTCTCTATATAATAAAAAAGACCACTGTTTCCAGAAGCAACCAATCGTGGAGGTTGATCATTATGTGCTTCCTTTCACAGTTTTATTTAACGAGAGACGTGAAAACACCAGATGAAAGATACTCTCGGGATTGAATATTTTAAGTGACCAATACATCCAAATAACTTCACTGGGGGGATTTATTATTTAGAGTGACCATTATCCGGAGAATATCACTGACGATTTATTGTTTATAGTGACCAATATCCTCAGAATATCACTTTCACAAAGGAAAAGAAAAACAAAAAGAAAAACAAAAAAAATCTATTTTTCTTCCCCTATTTATATTTTTTTTTCACATAAACAAAAGGTTTCTAATAGGCACAGTGCTTTATTGTGGCTTATTGTTTTCTATTAGAAAGATTTAACGATATGACTCTGTTTACCTTTGTTACACTTTAAATATAGATCGTCATACATATTGAATGCCAAGCTCCTTTCTCACCCTTTTTTTATTTATTTAAACGAAGCTTTTTTCCCCTTCTTTGTTGCTGCTTATATAAATTTTGTCTATTTATAGACTTTAGTATAATTGACTTTATCCTTTGACTATAAAAGGGCATTAACAAGTAATACTATATAGAAATATCTGAGAGTAGCTTATATATATATATATATATATATATATATATATATATACATATATGTACATGTATACCTTTTTTTTTATCTACAGTAGTGTCTGAAATAAAAAAAGTATTCATTTATCTCTTGAGTTATTATAGTTATTTGCTGTAAGCTGTGATATCAGATTATCTTTTCTCAGTAAACAATTTATTCTTTGAATAAATAAAGGGGAATGAAACAATAGAATAAATGCTAATTGTAGCCAATGGAGATATATACCATTGAGTATATAGATGTACATATTCTTTGTACTATTTCGTATCGTACAGAAAAATCTAGAGCTTTCTTTATTCGGAGGTGTAGAAAATGCATATCTAATAGAAAAGTATATAAGAAAATGCGCATCACAAGCTTATGTTTCTTAGTTAAACAAGTAGATCATCATAAAATTATTACTCGAGAGATTCAAACTAGATTCTCTTAAAACTTTTCTAATCTACTTACTTCGCGAATAATATCAAAACATATAAGACTTCGTTATTTATAACATATTTTATTCGGTCGTTCACTAACACTTTTACTTTTCTGTTTCACATCCTATCGCAGGCTATTTCTTTAATAATTCTTATAAATACTCGTCAATTTAATAAAAGTCATTAATAAAAATAATTTGACTTCTAAAACTGATATATCCTCAGTAATAAATGTTAAAGGTACAATAGAAAAGTTAGAAAAAAAAAAGAATAAAAGTAATTTGTCAAATACTAACTATTTAAAGATAGTTAAATAAAACCAATTCTTACAATCTTTTCATTTTATTATTAAAGAGCATTTATATATAAATTCAAATATCATTATTTAAGGTGTGCTTTGATGAGTTACAACCCTATGAAAATAATTAAGAGTATCTTAGCTCCTGACATATACAACATGTATACAGTGTTACAGTATATGTTTATATATCCTTGTTACTTTATAGATATTCAAATCTATAGCTTTTTGATATCAGTTAACTATACAACTTTAGTCAAATTAAATCGTCTTGATGCGCTTAATGAAACCTATGTCTTATTAGAATAGAAATATCTCTTGCTTACCTTCTTTCGAAAACATGAACTATTACCCTCCCCCCCTTTTTTTTTTAAATTACAGTGTATTCAATCGTAATGACAGAACAAATTTTTGCGTCTATATGTGATATAAAAAGTTAGGTTTTAAATAACTTTCAAAAGTCAAAAGGTACATAATTTTTTTTTTAAGATATTCAACATTTGAACTCCTATACTTGAAGACCCAACCCCTTTCTTTTAATCAAAGTATTTCCATCATTAAGCTTTATAATAAGACAGTAAATTCTTGTAAAACTAAGATTATAAATTTCTTTCCTAAACTTGTAAAATATAGGGTTGCTTTGACTTAAAACCCTCAAACTCTTCATATATAAACTATATATATTAAATCAGAGTTTGTAGCTAAGAGTTGTTTCTAGAAAAAGCCCTTGATTATGAACTTAACATGCTCTTTTCCCATCTTTCTTTTTATTTTTCACTTGTGAAAGGCATTGTTTTTTTTTCTCTATATCTATCTCATATGCAGCAACTTATTTATGCTCTATCTTTAAGTGAATCTCCATAATTTTGAGCAAGTTCAACAGTGTTTTTAACAGTGTATGTCTGCCTCATTGGGAAAAAAAACATATCACACTAATTGACAGTATACCTTTTACAGATTTGCTTATTATTTTTTAATCACTAAACAGTTATTAGTTGTATAATTAATTGAATTTTCAGGGAATACATCAAACGGAAAAATTATTCAAAAAAAAAAAAAAAAAAAAAAAAAAAAAAAAAAAAAAAAGCGTACATAATTGAAAAAGATTAGTGTATTTTTTCTTTAACTCTCTTTCTTTGCAACATTTAAGAAGATGAACATTATTTTTGAAGACGGTTTAGGAAATCAACATGACATTGAAGGATACAAAGTGATAGAGTTTTAAATGGAGGTTGATAACGAGATGTATCCAGTCGAAAGCGTAACTGATTACGATCGTTATACAGCGTTGAAGCCTCCCGAGAAAGAAATAAGAACGAAAACTGAAACACCACCAAACGACAAAAAGCAAACGAATAAGGGAACAAAAGCATATAAACACTATAAGGATACCGAGAAAGAGAAACTCTTTTATCTTGTCGAGGAGAAAAGGAATGAGCGTTCGTGCTGCTGCGATGTCTCTTAATATTAATGTTCGCACAGCACAGCACAGCACAGGGCTGGGTGGCCAAGAACAACAAAGCTCCTCAGGAGTACATTCAAAGAGCTACAGGCAGCGGAAGACCAGTGGGTAGACCACCAATCTTAACCGAGAAGCATAAGGACTTCATAATTGAATGGGAGGACAAAAACACCCGACTCCGTTACATTAGACTATATGCTTAATGCATTGACTGATAGGTTTGGTAAACTTGATATCAGTAAAAGCGGCTTTAACAGATTTGTAAAGGAGAAATGTAAAATTAAATTCAAGTAAGCACGTTTACAATCCGTAGAGAGAAACAGCACTGAAGAAAAATTGAAGAGCGTTATCAGTGGGTAAAAAAAAATGGGTGGAAGTAGATATGGACTTCACCAGCAACTGCGTGTTTATTGGTGAAGTTGCTTTTCATATCAATCTTAGAAGAAATTTTTCTTGGTCCAAAGAAGGCGATCGTGCGATTGTGAAAGTACCCAAAACAAGAGCAAAGACCACGAGCGTTGCCTCCATCAAAAAAAGAGAAAAGCAGTAAGAGAATCCACTTCAAAAGTGAATAGTAACAGTGGTACAACTACTGGGTATTACTTCAACTTTATCAATAGTGTTTTGGATGTAATGGACCATCCTGAGGAATTTAAAGGTCGTTATCTGATAATGGACAATGCTTCTATTCATAAGCATCAAGACATTCAAAACCTTATTGAGAGCCGGAAATTTAAGTACGTATATCTGCCCCCTTATTCGCCTGAGCTTATCCCCATTGAGCAATTTTGGTCGGTTTGTAAAAGCAAACTTAAAAGAGAGCAGCTTTTGAAAGAAATATTGACTTCAAGAATTGCAGACGCTTGCAATAGAAGATTGTACAGTGATCTTCGAAGATTTTGTAATTATTCTGCATCCAAGTTTGAAGATTGTCTTAATCGTAAACCTATCTAATAAATTTGCGCATTTTACGTATGCTGAAGTAGTGCTAATTTTTTTTTTTTTTTTTTTTTTTTTTTGAAAAAATGCGCGAATAATTTTTCCATTTGGTGTACATTGCTCTTTAACTTAGAGACGATAGTACATAAATGATCCTTTGCTTCATTAGCATTATTATCATAATAGTTTATCAACATTTCTAAATGCTCAGCATATTGTTTGCTGCCTAAGTGTCTATCCCTATAGCCTGATAAAAAAAAATCTCCTCCCTGACATCATCCTGCACCTTATTTTAATAACTATAGCTTGTCCCTGTAATCATTACAATCTTAACATAAATACTAACTCTTCTGGTGAAACAAAAACTCTTATTCCATCTACTGTATATGCAGCTATTACTTGAAAAAGCTTGAGCTTTTCTCTACTTGAAGAATTATTAAGCATTTAACAACTAGTTCAAAGTTAACTATTCATTTGTTTGTTTACTCTTCCTTTATGAGGAGTATGTGCTTCCTATTTCATAGGCTACATCATCCGAGAGATTGATTAATGTTGGATTTTCCAGATTTAACTAAACTATTCTTATATTTATTAACATAGAAGCAGTACAAATATGAACGTTTTGAATCATATGGTTTAAGGGATCTTATTTGGAAGACGTGATAATAAAGCACTATATGTAATCTTACTAAATCAAGACTCACACAAGATAATTTTTATTCAATAGAGCTCTATTTAGTATTGATTGAAACTCAAAACCACCATTTTAGTTATTGTTTAGTCAGATTGAATAAGACACACGATTTAATTCTATCCTTTACTCACCAATGACAAGACTTGAGCATAAGCGATGTTTATATTGGAAGCTTGATTGGCTATTTCTTGGCCACCTTTAATCCAGAAATTCGTTTCACTAAGGAGCATGTGATATCCTGCATAATCATCAATTATGAATATCTCAAACTGTTGAAAAAGATCCCTTATCATTTCTTCTGAACAAATTATCTTTTTCTACTACTTCTACCACCACTACTACAACAGTTTTACAGCGATTCTTAAATTAGCTAATCATTTGTATCTTATTGGATGATATAAACTACATAGCACACAATGAAATCCCTCTTTTTTTTTTTCAGTTCAATCCAAATCACCAGTTGTTTAATAGACTTCTCTATCATTAACTTTCAACTTGATTTACTTGCAATTACACTTTGTTTTTTTTTCGTTTTTTTCATCTTGAAAGTACATTTGTTCTCTATAAACTAACCTGGGAAAACTACTAGTCTATTTAAGATATTACGTGCTCATTAATAAAAATAAAAGTTTGTTTAACCTTACTATAACTTCATGATTTATTACTATACTAAATTTGGTAGCATGTGATTGGGTCAAATAAGATTACTGTACAGCAATTGTTACTTATATATACTTTACTACTACGAAAAAGAATGTTTTTTTTTATTTCTTTTCTTTTATGTATATATAATAACAAAACAATATATATTATATTGATATAAACCGTTCATTTATATTATTCTATCTTTTTTTTTCAATTGCTGATTTTAAGCTTCAACACTACCCAAATCATTCACTTTTTAATTATAACATGTAAACGATGGATAAGAAAATAAAAAAAAATGCATATCTCTTCTTATTATCATAAGCAACATATTGATCGTCTTGTTTTATAATAGCTAATATTCTCATCAATGGGCCAATTTATCTCTAGCTTAACCCTCCGTCATGGAGATTCCACTATTGTACCTGAGCTGGGTTTCGATCTCGAAAGTAATAAAATAACATTGCATATTAAACAAAACAAAAAAAAAAAAAAAAAAAAAAAAAAAAAAAAAAAAAAACTTATAATATTCTATTTAGATGCTACGCCTTCAAATGAAGAGCTGCAATTATATAATAAACTTTTTTCAATATTAATAAAACCGGTACCAACTCTCTTACATCTTTTAAAGAATTATGTTCCTGCCTCTGAGCAAATCTCTAATGCAATTGCTAAACCAACTCCTGAAAATGATTCAAAAGCTTGGGATGCCGTCTCTTCCACAGTAAATATTTTACGTGATATTTATGAATATTCTAATGACCTTAGTAAGTTATCTATAAAGACAATAGTAGAGAAGAACGAGAATTTATTTATATACATAAATATTCACTCTTTTTATTTATTTATTTATTTATTAGAGGAAAATCTACCTACATTATTAACTGTTCTTTGCCAAGGTGATGTTAATAAGAATTTAGAAAAAAATCGGGGATTAGCGAAATTATTTGCTGAATTATTAGATTTTGTTTTTGAATTTGATCAAATTAAAGTATGAAAAAAAAAAAAAAAAGTAAATAGTAAATAATCCTTCCTCCTATTTACTCGTCTATTTATAGATGCATAACCCAACACTTCAAAATGATTTTTCTTATTATCGTCGCATGTTACAGAGAGGACGATATAGTGTCAGCATAGATGAAAACGTATCAGATTTAAGGAGTGCAATGATGGAAAATGAACAAGCCAATCATATATCATTTTTTATTGCCTATCCTACACCTATGCTTAAATGTATTATTGATACCACAACTCATTTTGTAAATAAAAATAAATTACAGAAAAGTGTAGGAGACTGTCTTGCTGTTTTATGGTCAACTTGCTTTAATACTGTCAATAAAAAGAGGTATGTTTGTAGGGTTCAATGATGTTAAATGACATATAAGCTAACGAATTATATACATGATGGCATTATACAGAAACACGATAAATCATAATACATCAACATTCTGTATGAAAGTGATGGTTGCATGTATTATTCTATATGATCATATTAATCCTAATGGTGTATTTTATAAGAATTCTCCTATTAATGTAAGTTATAGAATACAATAAATACATGATGCATCCTTCCTTAACATGTTTATTAGATCAAGAATTCAGTCAAGGCTATTCAAACAACTCCAATAGTCAATCTATCGAATACTAATGACTATACAGCAGCTAACCTTTTATCAGCTTTAAAATATAATTCGAAACATCTTAATGATGATACAACGCCAAAAAATATCAAAAACTTGGTTTTAGCTACATAAAGTTTTTTTTTATCTTTTTTTTGATTTTCTTCCTAATATTATTTACTACTAATACTACTCTTTACCGCTCTGCTAATCTTATACTACTGCAATTATAACAACCTATTTTTTATTATTAATAAATGTGATAGATTTAGTTCTATTTGCTACATACACTATCTACTGACTTTGAATTATAATGAACGCATTTGTAAGCAATGATATTTTTTTTTTTTTTTTCAATACAATAATCAATATACAAATGTCAAGTAAAACATTTAAAGTAAACAAAAAAAAAAAAATAAATAAATGCAAGATTCAATGTGTTTCAAATTAAAAAGAAGAAAACTAACATTAGATGCTTTATTAGACTGAATTTGCTGTTGAAATGACATGCCAGGTATAAAATTAAAGGGGACACAAATATATTCGTGTATAATATCAACTTTGTTTAACATATATCAAGTCTTGTGTAGACGATGTTACAAGGGTTATGAAAACAATTTCAGGTAAAATATTGAATTAATGTATTAATTAACAAAAATAAGAATAATAACAATGTTGGTGTATAGGCGTTACTTTGTTTAACATTAATCTCGAAAAAAAAAGAGTCATTGTCGAAGGCACAGGTATTAATTAATATTAAAGGAAAAAAAATGCAATTCTCTTTTTATATAATAATAAATAAATATCGTATCATTAGCTCCACCTTCTAAGATTTCAAAGGCTTTAAAAGATACAGGACGTACTGTGATTGTACGAGGACAAGGGGTTTCTGATGGTCAAGAACATGCTGGTGCTGCTGTATGCATTTTTGATTTTTATGGCACAGATCCTACAGCAACTATTCCAAAAGGTAAATCAGGTTTAGCAAGATTTATTCAAGTTGATCATGAGATATGTCTAATTGATTTGACTGTTGAGGGACTTAAACCTGGTAAACATGGTGTTCATATTCATGAATCTGGAGATGTCTCTCAAGGTTGGGCATCTACTGGAGATCATTTTAATCCTACAAATGTTGACCATGGCAATGTTGATATTGGACATGTTGGTGACCTTGGAAATGTGGTTGTTGATGAAAATGGTTGGGGAGATCTTGTGATAGAAAGTAGACGTATTAAAGTATGGGATATCATTGGTAGAAGCATGGTTATTACTGAAGATGAAGATGATCTCAAGCCTACTACAAAGGATGGTAATAGTGGATCTGGTGTTCTATGTGGTATTATTGCGCGTAGTGCAGGTGCCTTTGAAAACACAAAAACAGTTTGTGCATGTTCAGGTAATACATTATGGGAAGAGGCTCGTTTAATGGAAAATGCTTAATAAAAAACTATGCTAAATGTTACCAAGCAATCATTTTTATTGGACAGATAGCATGTGATTTATCTGTTTTTGAAAATAAAATAAGTTACTTGCTTTAAAGAGAAAATTAACTATAAAATTTGAAAAACCACCTTTTTTTTTTTTCTTTTTGTTTCTTCATTAATAAAAATGTCTTGTAAGTAATAAATGTCTTGCAAGAAAAAAAAGAAAAGAAAAGATAATGATGATTTATTTACGTTTCTTTTTTAAAAGCTTCTAATTATATTGTTGCCTTCAAAAGAGATACTCCTGATGAAGTTATTGACAAACATATCAAGGACTGCGAATCTTCTGGTGCCAAAATTAAGCATAGATATAATGCTGCTATTAAAGGTTTTTCTGTAGAAGTACCTGACGAGACTGTTAGTGCCTTATCTTTCAATCATCCTCAAATTCTTCATGTTGAATCTGATGGAGAAGTCACTACTCAAGGAAAATCTCTCCTTACTTCTTCTTAATTAAAAAAAAATATTCCCTTTAGTTTTTTTGTGATATACATAGTAGTAATAACGTGCACATGACGAAATAAATATTATTTTGTATAAAATTATCGGTCTTTTTTTTTTTTTTTTTTTTTTTTTTTTTTTTTTGGAGCATGTTCCTTATATAATAAAAGTCACAACAAGGGTCCATATTTTCAATTCATGCTCTTTTATTTTTAAATATCTTTTTTTTTTCTCTTTACTTACACTATGTTTAGAATCATAGGGAAGCAAAGTATACGCAGCTTTGCATTATGTAGACAATTTCCTCGACTTTTTAAGCATCATGTTCATGTCAATACACCTATTAAAACTATTTCACCTATTATGATTGATAAAAGTCAGGGTGAATTAGATTTAGATGGATCACTTGTAGATATTTTACCTGCAACTAAATCAAGTAATGAGCGACTTGTACAATTACCCTTAATTGACATTGGAGATTATGTTGAAGCATTTAGGTAAATAAACGTACCTGTATATAACTATCTACGTATTTTATATTAAACATATTATTTCAGAAATGGACAATATAGCGGTATGGTAGTTGGACAAAAGAAATCAAGTGGTGGACTTCAACAGTTGACACTTCTATTACGAAATGGGAAAACATTTAATCTTAGAAGTGATAGTGTAGCCTTCTGTATAAAGGATTTTATCAAATCAGAACAGATATCAAATATAGTAAATGAATCTATCGATTTAGCAAACGTAGATGCAAATGGACTCTTACAGCATATTCCCGCTAGTTTTACTCGAGCTATACAACATTATCAACGTACTTTATCCCTGAATAAAGGCTTAGCTCATCAAGATCTTAAACAACTTTATAAGCATTTTATAGACAAAAAGACTCAAATTACATTAAATGAATTAACTTCGTATGCTTTCAAAACTAAAACACCGACACCCTTACAACGTCATATCACTTTCTTACATCTGGTAGCTGATAATACACAATTTATTCCAAGTCCTAATGTTCGTGGTTCAGATATTTGGACCTTACGTCCTCAAGCAGAATGTGAAAGAATCAATCAAGTAATTGAATCTATTCGTACAAAGGATCCAGCTTATACAGACTTTTTATCGCACATGCGTTCCTTAATATCATTCTATAATGCTCATGCAGACCCTATCCTAGGCACATTCTCACAGACAGCATTAGAGATGGTTCCAACAATGACTTCAAAAATTACATCAACAGATAAAATCTATATAAACTTCATTGTTAACTGGATTCGATCACCCAAGGTCGTTGTAGATTCACCTTACGAAGTATTTGTGCCTACTATTTTGAAGGCTTTAAAATGTTATGATGACCTCTTTTTTGATCGTTCATTAGCTATTCGATTTTTAAAGGAAATAGGTATGTTTAAACCATGGGACAATGTGAGTCTACTCGAAAATGCATCTGTTGCTCGTGAATTCTTCTGGTCAAAGGAGGCTCTAGAAAGTGATAAAAAGATGGAAGAATTCAAGACAGCATTTTTGTCGAGTCATACAGATCATGATAAATATGCTTCTATTCGTCATGATTTTGGAGATTTACCTGTTTATACAATTGATGACCCCTCTGCAAAAGAAATTGATGATGGCGTATCTATTGAACATATACCTGGAGATGATCATTCAGTTTGGATGCATGTCCATATTGCCGATCCTACTACATATATTTCCCCTACTCATGGACTCTCTCAATTAATGAAACAGAAGGTGCAGACACTTTATTTACCCGAATGTCATTTTCCTATGCTCTCTGAAGAATTATCATCAAAGAAATTCAGTTTAGGCTCTACAGCATTTAAAAATCAAGACGGCTCACAGTATGCAATGTCATTTAGTACTCGTATAGATAAAAATGGTAACCTGTTAGACTACAAAGTACAACCTAGTCTTGTAAAGAATGTGATAAAGGTCTATTACGATGATCTAGATCAGTTATTAGAACCTATTGCTCATATCCCTAAGGATCCGCTAGTCAAATTTGGTAAAGTATTTTCTTATCCATCAAGTGATATCTTTGACGAAAGGGATGCCGAAAATCTTGAGAATAAAATAACGATACCGGAAAATGCAAAAAAGGACTTGATTGATATCTATCATTGGGCTAATAAGCACACGCAGTTACGTATCAAACAAGGTGCAATTTTATTTAGTAAGCCAAATCCAGTGATAGAGACATTGCCTGAATTGCTTGAATTACCTTCAACACAGTTCTCTTCACCGCACTACGTCTCTCATCTACCTGCAGTTCGTATAAAACTTGACAAATTTAGTTATTCACCAGCACGACAAATGGTAGCAGAAACGATGATTATGGGTGGCCGTATCGCAAGTCGATTCGCTGCAGAATCAAAAGTTCCTATTCCCTTTCGTACACAAAATTGGAATCCAAGAGCATCAGCTACAGATTTGCGTCTGCGATCAGAGTTATTAGCTTGTCGTGAACCCACGATGGGTATGGTTCAGATGAAAGATATGGTACATTATATGTCTATCTTACCTCCCACAACTGTGACTACTCAAGCTGGTTTGCCTCATGTAGTCATGGGAATTCAAGACGGTTATACACGAGCTACTTCACCATTACGTCGATATCTTGATATGGTAGTCCATTGGCAACTAAAATCACGTCTTTTAGGTCATTCAAGACTACCGTTTAGTGAAAAACAAATACAATTGCTTGGAACTCAGATTATGGCACGCGAGAAACAACTATCATTGTTGCAAAATAAAAGTATCCAGTTCTGGGTAGTTAGCTTATTAGATCGCTTAAGGTCAAATGGATTAACAAATACTATGGAATGGAACTGTCTTATTAATTTACCGAATTATGTTGCAAAGACTGAATTGGGGGGTGCAATGGAAGTGACGACTGGAACTATACTCGAATTAGGTATTCCAGGACGTATTGAAAAATTGCATAGAAATGTTGAAGTGGGTGAAGTTGTTAAAGTTAGAATATCCAGTTTAGAACCTTTATTAGGAAGAATTAACTTGGAGCTAATTTCTTAAAAATATATGTATATGTATACAAATGCAAATGAGTAAATTGTAAATGTAAAGTCAATATATGATTGTTATTTCTTTCTTTTTTTTTTTTTTTTTTTTTTTTTTTTTTTTTTTTTTTTTTTTTTTTTTTTTTACAGCAAATGCTATTCTATTTTATTTTATTTTATTTTTTAAAAAACAAGACTAAATGTACATAAAGTAAATTTACAAAAATTATACAAAGAAAAAAAAACATGCATGTATGTATGTATGTATGTATGAAGGGAGAGAAATAAAGTGGTGACTAAATAAAAATAACAAGAGGATTTTAGTTAAGAGGAATCCAGTCTCTGGGATGCTTCAAGACTTCTTCGAGTTCAGCTTCTCTGGTTCCAGGTTCAGGAGAGTACATGTATTCCCAACGAGCAGTAAGGGGAAGAGTCATCATGATGGATTCAACACGAGCACAGGGAGTAGCAAGACCGAACTTGGTACCACGATCCCAGAGTAAGTTAAATTCCACATAACGACCACGACGAATTTGTTGCCAGTGAACCATTTCCTCAGTGAAGGGCATATCCTTACGCTTCTTCAAGATAGGAACATAAGAGGGCAAGAAACGATCACCGAGTTCCCTGATGAGAGGGAAAATTTCTTCAGCAGGTTTAGTGTTGAAATCATCAAAGATGACACCACCAATACCACGACCTTCACCACGATGAGCATTAAAGAAATACTTATCACAGGCCTTCTTCATTTCAGGGTAATAGGCCTTATCAAATTTATCACATCCTTCCTTATAGATTTGATGGAAGAAAACAGCATCCTCTTCATAAAGATAAATAGGAGTCAAATCAGCTCCACCACCGAACCACCAAATCTTAGGAGTGCCATCAGGGTTCATGACTTCAAAGTAACGATAGTTCAAGTGAACAGTAGGGGCATTAGGGTTCTTGGCGTGCATGACAAGAGAGATACCGGTAACAAAGAAGGGAACGACACCTTCAACATCAATACACTTACCACGATCTTCACGCATGTGACGGATAGCTTCAGGTGAGAGTTCAGAATAGACAACAGAGACAGCAACACCTGCCTTTTCCATAACATCACCACCGGGCATAACACAAGTAATGCCTTCACCACCATGTTCAGGTCTTTCCCAAACAGAACGAATAAATTTACCTTTATCATCGACTTCTTCAATGCCTTCAACAATACGTCTTTGGAGATCTTTAACATAAGCTTCCATTCTCAAACGCATAGGAGCATCATCACCAATGGGACCCTTAGCACGCTATATACCATGCATGAAAAAAAAAAAATACAAGTCAGTAAGTAAAGCTTTCTTACAATCTACAGTTACACAAATACATACGATCTCATTATCCTTCTTGTAAATTTCGTATTTAGAAGACAAAGGGGAGCTCATTTCTATCTATTAACTTTATTGCAAGTTTACTGTTTTTTCAGAAAAGAAAAAAAAAACAAAAAAAACAAAATGCAAAAAAGATTACTAAAAAAATAAATAAATAAATAAATAGAATGCTATCTAGGCGTCATCTTAAATATTAATTTAAGAAAAGAAGAGGCGCTTGTGGCGTGATAAAGAAATTCGCTATCCGCGAGACAGGAAAAAAAAAAAAAAAAAAAAAAAAAAAAAAAAAAAAAAAAAAAAGATAGCACCCTTGTGTTTTCCAAGGAACAAGAACTATGATCTTGCTGTCAATATATCGCGTTTATTATCAATTAAATAAAATCTTCTATCGATAGAAACTGTAATCAGTTTATTTTACTTCTTTTATTTACTGTAGAAAATAAAAATATAAAAAATAAAAATTGGGAATATTAATAATACGTTCCACCAATTTTATTCCTCCGCTATTTAACCGTCTAGAACCCAAAAAAAAAAAAAAAAAAAAAAAAATATACAAGCATATTCTTTTTAACAAACAAATCATTTGATCGACATGATTTTATCTTTTATCAATTTAAAAAATAAATAAATAAAAAACAAACAAACAAACAAAAAAGACATAAAATAAACTAAAAACTATTATTTGTTAAAATTGTTAATACAATACTCGTTGATATTTCTTTCTTTTTCTTTCTTTTTTTTTTTAGAGAAACTATAAAAAAAATAGAGAAAGTCAGTTTGTTAGTAAATCAGTCAAGGGTAGCATAAAACTTCAGAAGTCTTCTCTCTTTTATTTTTTGATCTTCCGCTGTATCATTATTAACATATCAGTAATGTAACTAGATACATGTTGATGGTATGGTACGATATACTTAAAGTTCTTCTGTTACTTTGACCGAGTAGCCGTCACAATCTGCCAAATATACCCCGCATAAAAAAAAACTTCAATCCTTATATATATCAATATAGACTATATAAATATAATATAAAGAACTACTGCTATTATATACATATATTTATTTATTAAATGTTTTTTTTTGCTATAATTCTTATTCAATATACATCTGCAGAAATTCATTATACATAAAGGAAAAATCAAAAAAAACCATCATGATATGAAAATGCTGATAACTAATAAAAAAAAAAGTAACGTATCTTTGTGGTGTATTACAGGAAAACAGGAGAAGAGAAAAGAAGATATTATTGAGCTTCTTTTTCACGTGATACTACATTATGTAAACATGAAACATATATGATGCAAACCAGGAAATAAAAAATAGTTTATCACTGCGCTTTTAAGCTGCAATATTATATTAACTGAAAATGAAAGGAAACCTTATCAATGATTTAAAGACAGTTTTAAATATTTGGAATATTTTGGTAAGGTTGGAGTATGAATGTGTACTACATATAACAGTCATAGTAGTATCATTTATAGATTTACTTTTATTTTTCTTTTTTTTTTTCGTCCTTTATCTACTTCAATACATAAAAGATAAATCATAAAGTATAAACACAGTTAATTGGAAGAAGAAAAACTTGCTGCTTATATACATGAATAATTTAAAGACTTTATCTTTTAAAGGATCGTGTATATATAATATGGGCTAGTGTAAACCCTCTAATAGGCTTGTTAATTATTGGATGTTTTTATTCGCGTTGCCACTCTCTTAATGCAGCTCCTTTAAAGATAGTCGGGATCTATATGTATTTACCAACTACCCTCTCCCCCCCCCACTCTACAATATACCAATCGTTATATTAATATTTGAGTTAATATCGATTCTCCCTCCTCTCCTCCATGATTATCTAGAAAGAAGTATAGTGTGATTCGTGCTATAGTAGCAAACTCATAGTTGGGCTTGAAACTCCAAATTGCTTGTAGTTAGGGAAAACCCCCCAATGTAATACTACATATTATAAAATAAGCGTCAGGATTACTTGCTTTTTTTTCCACAGCTATATCTATGTGTAAATAATGTAATCACAATATAATGATAATAATAATAGCGAATAGGTTAAATAGTAAATAAATATCAATCACTACTAACTACACTTGACCAGAATAAAAAATATATAAGGGATAGAGAGTTTAGAAGGATAGCAATATGATTAGTGATAACAATAGTAGATGATGATAATGTAGACTATTTTTAGGAAGACTAATATAAGGTTACCTTGCTATAGTATAATTTTTGGCATTAGCATAAAAGAAGCCAGAAGATCAAGATGTGGTTATAATTGTATATAATATGTCAGAAAGCGTTTATTATGACAGATGTTTTATGTATATATGATATTACTCAGATATATCCTATATCGATGTCTACATTTGAGATATACAAACATATCTTTTCTTTTCTCCTTTATATATATATATATATAAGCAAAATCTCTAGCGTTCTACATGTAGGCTTATTTTATGATAAAAACACAATAAAAGTACACAGATGACATATTCATTTATTGTCAACCTAAATAGGGCCTACAACTGCTTTCAGACCTCATGTAGAAACATTTTTTGATGCAAGCTGAGTAATACTATCTGTTATGGAAGGAAAAAAAATTCAAAAAGGAAGGAAACAGATAGTAAATAGAAGAAATCCAAGTATTGTTGATTAACCAGTTGAATTGAGGCGTAGCATACATAACGCATAATATATAATTTTAATATTTATCAATATATTATTTTATTTCTTTCTTTCTTTTGTATGTTTATAAAGATGTTCATATACTTTTTTCAAAGATGATGGTTCTAAAATATCATTGACCCTAATTGGAGACAGACACAAAGATAAATTATATATTAGGTTTTATAGCCATAAATACAGTATCTTTGATAAGTTTTATAAGCGTTTTGAATTAAGAAAAGTATAAATTAGAAGATTCAAATATGAATAGACTTGTTTACATGATATGACTGTATAATATTTAAACCTCTTTATTCATTGAATCGTGATCCTTGATGGTTATGGTACCTTTTTTATATATACACATATAGAAATATCATGGCTACCAAAAAAAAAAAAAAAAAAAAAAAAAAGACATCATTCTTCAGTTCAAATAAAATAGGCTCTGGTCGCATCCAAACCAGGCACTTTGTAACAACAACAATTATAGTAATTATCCTTTAACCTGGATGAAAGAGCTTGAATATTTGTATATAATAAACTCACTAAATACATCCTCGAAGAAAAGGCTAGTTAGAATTATTTTATGAACTCAGATTTATTTTAAACTACTGTATAGTAGTCCCCCAGTAGCCAATTTTATGTAAAAAAAAAAAAAAAAAAAAAAAAAAAATAATTGTAGGGGTGTGCTTTAAACGATTCTTCTTCTTTTTTTTTACCATCTTTTTTTTTCCCTTCCTTATTATTTCAGTATGAGTGATTATTCCAACTATAACCTCGGTGGTAGCAACGATTTTGTAAGCTTTATTTGCGAACAACAGGAATACATATATTGATGTGTATACTTATTTTATAGAGTAATAAAAAGCAAGAAGTTATGGACCAAGTTCGTTCTGAACTTGCATTGGCCAATGCTCAAGAACTTATTAATGTAAGAAAGGAATTTATAAAAGCAAGAGACACTAAAAGGAAAGAGAATAAGGACACCAACTGATTTTACTTTATTTTATTTTATATTCATATATAGAAAATTAATGAAAAGTGTTATTTAAAGTGTGTTCCTAAACCTGGATCTCGTCTTGAATCTGGCGAACAAGCTTGTCTTTCAAAATGTATGGATCGTTATATGGAAGCTTGGAATGTCGTTTCTCGTGCTTATGTCTCTAGACTTCAACGTGAATCACAAGGTGGTAACCTTTAAGAAAAAAAAAAGTATACAAAAACAAAAACAAACAAGAACTAGAATAAGTGCTATTTAACATACTATCACAAAGACATACACGTTTGTTTGTTTGTTTTTTTCTCTCGTTTTTTCCTTTTTTTTTTTAAAAAAAAAATGCAGACACGTAGAAACCATATACATATTTGCAGTTTTATATATTGTATTTTATTTCACTTTACCAAAAAAAAAAAATTTTTTTTTCCTTAATAAATGTATAGTTCATCTTAATTTGTATAAAAGAACTTTTTTATTTCTTATTGTTGCATTATTATAAAATGGAATAGAACACTACTAAATGGACAAGGGATAGGGGACGTGGTTCATTATAACAATATATTTCTGAATTCAAAAAAAGTAAAAGAAAAAAAAAAAGCTTGTCACACATATAACTTTCAGACAGACACATTATTACACAATAAAATAAAGAGTTTAAATGGATAAAAATAAGTTTTTATTATATATTCAAAGATAAAAAAAAAAGGTATAAAATTATATTTCTAAAGAGTATTCAATTTTACCTATAAAATGAATATATAAATTAGTAAAAAAGAAAAGGAGTAAAAGATAAAAGAAAATGAATGATTCAATAAACATTGATTTCAGAGATTGTTCACCATTGGTTAACCCACATCTCATAAAAAAGATTGTGAACATGGAAAATTGCTTTCGATTCGGGACCAAAAAAAGTTTTCCATCATTTGGAATGTTTATAGATTCATTACATATTTCTTTAACAAATAAAAATGAAAAATACTTTACCTTATTGAATTAAAGAGAAAAGAAAAAAACTTTTTTCAAGGAATTCTTTTTTTCGTTGTTGAACTTGCTCCTTTATATTTTTTTTTTGTATGTGTGACTTAAAATATTTCTGTCTCAAAAAAAAAAAAAATTTCTTTGGCTGTGATTAAATGATTAAGCATTTAAACTTCAGCATTGTTGTATGCAAAAAGGGAACATGAACAATTTTTATATACAAAGTTATAACTTAAAATCTTGCAATCGAACAAGTGTAGAATCTTCAGGATGATATTTTAGAATATCTGCTTTTAGTAGTGTTTGAATATAAGGTGACCAGTATTCACCAGGTTGTAATTTAATATAAGGATTATCTGATGTAATAATGGCTTGATTCATCAATTGCTATAAATGCAATATATTAATCCCTTATTTTCATATTTTACAAATAAAATTTTTTACCTCCAACATGGTTTTTAAATCACATTCATCACCTAATTCTCCAGCATTCTACATATATATATATATGTGTGTGTGTGTATATAAAGAAAGTTATTAAATGTTAGTGTGGTCATATATATATATGTATATATTTTACATACATCAACAGGATGTGGAGGATAATGTTCATCAATAAAATCAATTAAATCATTAGTATCTTGTTTATAAAGTGCTTCTAACATCAGTTGTTCTTGCCGTAACTGATCAGGATAGGCTTGTACATGTTGTTCTTCCGATAATTCTCTTTTTTTAGCTTTTAAAGCATCATAGATTTCAAAACATTCGTTAAGCACTCTTTTTTCACTAAATCCAATGTATTAGAGATTAACTATCTATAGTATAGGCTACTACTACCTTTTTAATAATTCGGTGACTTCATCAAGTTGTGTTTGTATAAATCGATTTGCTATTTCATATTGTTGAATTTCTATATTTAATTGTTCTCTAAATTCAATTTCTAAAATAGAATTATCAGTTTGCTCTACATCTTCAATCTTATTAGCTTCTTCAGCAACAGCATCAAACAAATCCTGATGTTCATACATCAATGTTTTTAATTGTCTATGTTCCATTGTAGGCTCTGCTGTGTCTCCAAATAGCTTATTTTTTTGTTGATTTTGTTTACTTTCAAGCTAACATATTAAGTAAGCATTATGACTTTTAAAGTAAAAGAGGAAAAAAAAAATAAAGAAAAGGACAAATTTTTCTCATTTGTTACCTTATACAATTTATCCCATAATAACTTTCGTTCTTTTTGCTGTGCTTTTAAAATAAGATCAAGGAATTCTCCTCTAGAGGTTCCATCTTCTGTACTTTCAACTTTTGGATCATTTTTTGCAATAACTTGGTATTCATTTGTTGCTTGTGCAATAACATTAGCTAGTGCTTTTTCAAATAAAGACATTTTGATTAGAATTAGCAAGTTAAAAAAAAAAAAAAGTTAAAGAATGCTGTTTATTTCAAAAAAGCGGAAGTATAAAGCACGTCACTTTTTTTGTAAATTTAGTTTTTTTTTTTTTTTTTTATTTCGAGCATAATAAAACCTTCATTTTTTTTTTCATTTATATTAAATTCAAATGGAATCAACAGCTAAAGAAACAAAAACTGTTAAAATTAGAAGGCCAAGGCAACCAAAAACAGAAGGAAACACTGCCCCTCTGAAAAAAGACAAAACAATCAAAATTAAATTAACTGCAAGGAAAAATAATAAAGATGAGGATAGAAATATAGCTGAAGAAGACGATGAAGAACCTGAGGCAGTTATTGAAGAACAATTAATCTTTAGAGTACCAGAAGGGGAGTTGTGTGATCGATTACATGAACTTGTAAAAAAAAGAGAAATCCCAGAAGATGTTAAATTAAATTTTAAAGGTAATTTGTAGAAACTTGATTGTTCTTTAATATAAAGCCAACTAGTAGAAAAAAAACAAAACAAAAATAGATAATAGAAAAGGTTCATTTACATTTGAAGGACGCAAATACGATGCATTAGTGGTTGATCTACCAACTATTATTGAAGCACAAAAGTCACTAGATAAAAAACAATTTTATAAAGTAGCAGATATTTCACAGGTCAGAAAAAAAAAAGGGAGAGAGAGAGAAAACATTGACTTTGTTATGTTGACTTTTTTTTTGTGTTTGTAAGTAGATGATTTTGGTGGATCCTACAAGCGGACCTGAACCTTTTATCCCTCAAATTAATAATAAAGTTGATACTGATCCTTATAGTTTTCCTCATGGTTTAACTCCCCCTTTAAAACATGTGAGGAAGAGAAGATTTAGAAAGAAGTTATCAAAGAGAGTAAGTATTATTCAATATTGGGCTCAAGGATTCTTTTGTTAATGAAACTTAGGCTATTGAAGAAGTAGAAAGAGAAGTAGAAAGATTGTTAGAAATTGACGCTACAGCAGAGGATGTACAATATGGTAAATATAGCTCTATAGGTTTCAATGCTCTTTCTAATAATCATTTTTAGAGGTGGTAGACAATAGAGAAATGGAAATGGAGGTAGAATCAGATGCTGGTACACAGGATATTGATATTGATGATGATGTCGATGAAAGTGAAAGTGATGAAGATTTAGCTGCTGCTATTGATCGTGATCTTGAAATGATGGATGAAGAGGATGAAGATAATGAGGATGAAGACGATGAAGACGATGACGATGATGAGTCAGAAGAAGATGAAGATGAAGAAGATGCTGCACAAACAGGCGAAATTGGTAATTAACTAGAAATATATATATATAAAAATATATACTATTTATCATTCTTATTTTTTTTTTTTAAAAAAAAAAGAACAAAAACGACAAGAAATTGCCGAACTTAAACAAGCCATTCAGCGAAAAACGCGTGATTTATCAACTGCTCCAAATGCAATGTTAAAGGTAAACGACCATCTTTTGTATTTTTACAACTATATTGCTAATGCTATTATAATAGACCCGTTTTGAAACTGATATAAATAACTTAAAGAAAGCGTTAACATTAAAAGAAGCTCATCTTGCAGAAATGAACGAAAAAGAAAAAGATAAATAATAATTATAAAAAATAAAATAGCACATTCTTTTTTTTTTTATCTCAGCATGCTACACAAAACTGAAATCCATAATAATAATAATCATCATCGTAGTCGGGAAAAAGAATACCAAGCAGTCACAGACTGTATCACATGTGACTGTTGAAAGAATTTTTAAAAAAAAACTATAAAAAGGCCATTTACCCATGGCCCTCTTTTATTCCTTATTCTTGTGCTAGGGCAAAACCACGAAAGTGAGGTCTCGACTGATTCTGGTTTATTGCTGGTTGAAAACTATAACCAATACCCGTCTACAGTGCTCTCCGGGGCGCGGTAGCAATTTTTTGAAGGCTCGCAAGGGCCTTAATTATAAATTTGTAATAATTATACAAAAAAAATGAAAAATGAAAAATATAATCTTTTCCTTTACAAAAGGATAAAGTATTTTTAAAACTATGTCGTTTCTTTACCTTTTTTTTTTAATCATAAAAGGGATTTGTTTTTGTTCCTTTGTTTAAAAGAAGGAGGTCATGTTATACATTTATTCGTAATAAAATACTCCTTAGTACATGTGTAAATAGGAGGAAGACATCATGTGAATGTAGTACAGTCATAGTCATAGTTCCAATAAAAGACATTCACACCTGGTAAGAAAAAAAGAAGACCCTTCCAATTTAGATACAAGATATTAAGAAAAAAAATCCTTTTGGTTTAAGGGTAAAAAAATGAAAAAAAGAAAGTTAAGAAGAGTAGTTATGACGTTATTTTTGAGAAAAAGAGTGGAGGGCCAATTAAGGAATTATGATGATAGTGAAAATGGATAAATCATCAACTGCAGTTTTTTTTTATACTATTTCCAAAATAAATTAGAAATCATCTATTTTTATTTGGACGAACCAGATTGTAATTTTAGAACATTCACAAATTATTTATTAGATGTTGAACAAATAAGTTCAGTTTGTGAGAAATTATTATAAATTTATTTGTTCATTGTGTACATTAGAAATGATTCTGCAACTAAGAATTGGTTATATATCAGGAACACTGTATAATTTTATTCAAATATCCAAGTTAAGCTTTATTCTCGTAAATTCAATTACACTAAACCATTATTTAGCTGAAGAGAAGCAGAAGGGCTTTTATGAGTAGGAATTGTAAAACATAAAAGCATTATTATTATAAGTCTATTAGCAGTTCCTTTTGAAATTATGTGGCCATCATCTTCAAATTCTCCCTGTCGTAATTGTCTTTCTTTCTGAGCGATGGTAATAATCCAGCAAAGTTTCTAGTACTCTATATGCTAGTTGATTTCAGTTCAACATGTAACAAACAAATAATATGTCTCAAATAGTATTGTACTTGCTTTTGCTGAACTTGAAGGAAGTATACCCCAAGTATTCTTTACCTGTTTAAAGATCATCCTATTATTGGGTAGAGTGATACCTTCTATCAACTGCATGTACGAGCATTACTGCAACCACATAACTTAACAATATCATTGAGCATTTAAATCAAACAATCTTTTATTATTTAAACATCAAGTTTAAATCCATCTATGAAGTAAGTATAAGAGAAATTGACAGAAAAAAAAAAAGAGTGCAATCCTGCCAAGTATGAGCACACAAGTCAAAATAGAAAAGGGCATGCAGTAGTTCAAAGAAGCTATAAATGTAAGAGGAGACAGTGATGGCCAGCTATATCCTTTAAAAGATCAGAGTTAGTACTCTTGGTTATGGTATAAAAAGCAAGAATACAGTACCGATAAGAGATAATGATTTTTGGAACTGCTGGTAAGATCAAAATCACTCAAGTCTTTGGTGGTTAATATTAATAAATTCAGAACATCTAAAGTATTATATATGGCGTTGTATTATTTTTACCTCTTGTCTCTTAAGAGGGATTTTTAAACCTTTTTTTTTTTTTTTTTTCATTTATCTTGAACTGGCCTCGGTAAAATTCAATATACCAATAGATATTATCTACTCACTGGCCATCTTAATTCTTATCAATAAATAAAAATATTTAATCATACTAAAGCTTTGCAGTGTAAAGGAGATTTTATTTATTCCTGAAGGAAGAGGAGAAGAAAAAAAAAAACAAAAAAAAAAAAAATAAAAAAAAAAAGTCTTTTAACATGTAGGTTTTCTATTTTTTTAGTTCTCCATTCATTGCCGCCGTGATATCTGGCATAAGTCGAACCTTTTCTTTTTCATTTACAATATTTGATTTTAGTAATCTCTTGAGCCATTTTCTATCTATATTCAAGCATTTGTACATAGGAACTGTGATTGTTTCCGCTACACCATTTTCTTTTAGTCGTTTTGCTATCGCATCCGCTTTGATACGTCTTAGAAAGTCAAAGGCAACAATATAGCAATACTTGCTATATTTATTTGCATTTACACTAATTTGATAAGCATAGCTCGCCTTGATATTCTGTAACATGCGTCCACCATTGGCTTGGATATCAAAAATCATTATATTTGATTTTAAACTTTGCGTGGAAGGTGTATTGAGAAATTCTTTAGCAAAATACTCTTCAAGCTCAAAATGTGAAGTGAATTGGTTTTGAAAGTCATGAACGAATTTGCTATCAATATAATGTTTAGGATTGCCGATGTTATCCATGTAATGTTGTTTTTGCATATCAAATTCGCAACATTGCTTGTTGTAATCATGACGATTCTTTTCAATAGCTTGAGCAATTAATTGAAGATCATCTTTTAGAGCAATATCATTTAATTGATTTGCTAGTTCTTGTGCTTTGAGCCAAGGAGCAATAAGATCTGGATCCTTAAAAGGAACATCTTCATCAAGAAACATGCTACGTGAGTATTTCGTAAAAGCTGCTGTTTCTTTCATAAGTGTGTCATAAAGATAATCCATAGTAGTAGATAAAGGTGCGTTCTGTAAAGCATATACATTATTCACCTCTCGGTAATTTCGAATTCTTTGATTACGTTGTTTATTCTTTTTATCCATAAACCAAGCAGGATGTGGAATGTCTCCAAAGGAGGCGCGATCTCTGTTTTTTACGATTGATTTGAGACGAAGACCTTGTTTAGGAGCATCTACAAGCTTAGAACACATATGACCAAGATAGATAACATCTGGATTGTCAAGATTGGTTGTTTCTGCTAAAACAGTTCTCCAGTTTTCATATATACCTAGAGTACCATCGGGTATCGTCACTGAAATAAAATTTTTCTGAATAGCTGTTTCAGTGTTTTCATGTGATCCTACTTCTCTTCCTACAGTTGACATGTCTTTATCAAATGCTTCCTTGACTTTATTAGATTCTGGAATTACAGGCGATGATTTAAAGGGCTTTACTATACGTTCATCCCAACAGCAAAATATCTTTAAGAAAATAAAATAGAATAGAATAGAATAAAATAAAATATTAATATTAATAATAATATTATTAATAATAATATATATGTATATGTATATACATATACATATACGTATATTCTGTCCTTATCATTACTATTATTAACATACAATATCACCATCATAATCACCACCACTAAGTTGACTAGCTAATGAGGTTTCACCTTTCACAGAAAAGACAGCAACATCTCTATACATTCTTAAAGCACTACAATCAACAGCTTTTACTTTTTGTATATCACTTTTAAGAGCACATGGATTACGCGTAACAATCACTTCACCTAATATTTGTCCAACAGGTATACTCGTCTTTTCATCCATACGTCGATTTGATAATTGCAAAAACATTTCACCAGACTCAAGTGTTCCTGTAGGGTCAGGTATACAGGTGACTGTACACGATTGAGGTACCTCAATTTTATATTTTGTTGTAATAGATTGCATAACCTGCCGAAAGACCATCGTGATTCGTGAAGCAAGATAAGCATTTGAGAGATCAAACCCGGAATCCAGCATACGAATAGCAGCTTCATGAAGACTAGCAGGAGACCCAGAGTAGCGATTAAGACGAAAATAGTGGTTATCATTGTTAGCAAATCGAGTACGCCAGTCATATTCGGGTCTATCCTCATTGGATTCAGCTATATTATGATCGTCAAAATAAGTATCATCGTCAGGTGAACTAATTGTAAAAAAGCCACTATCATTTTCATCATCAAGTCCAGCAGAGCTTGAATTAAGGTCTCGCCAAAGCCCCTTTTCTGTATTAGATTCACCTTCCCATCTCCCCATCATGACATGACCCATACGTGTAATCCAGTCTCTTAAGACTTCAACACTTTGATTTTCAGTCACAATAGTTGCTAATCGGTGAATATACTCCTTCAAGATCTCTACAAAGACAGCTGTCGGAACACCACCCGCAGCTAAACACTGAATAAATTGTGTGTTCAAGTTGGAAGGATAAACACAAATAGAGTTTTTGACAAGATCAAATGTATAATGATGAGGATCTAGGCTGAAATCCTTCTGGGGTAAACCTGTCTTGAATTTATTTTGACTAGCACGAATTTTGATCCAATTACCAGAAGTGAAGTCAAGGTCAGGTGAGATAATCCATATACCTTTCGCACCCGCAATACGACCCTGAATAGCACAAGGTAATTCATCTGTTGCTTGACAGCCCATAATTTGTCGCATCGCTGAACAAGAAATAATACCACAGCCATCTGTCATACAAGCAGTTTCATCAGTAGCAGATCCTGTTGATGAATAAATATCATCAACGTAAATAATTTCTTCTGGTTTAAACTCTAATGTTGGAATACTGCTACTATAACCGAGAGCCATACGACTTGCATATTTACTCATTGACATATTCCAATTTTCAGTAATCGGCATATGCCAATCAATGACTTGCTGAATACTGATAGGTTCCAAACCCGGGCCTCTTGTGGCAAACAAGACAAGCGTGTCATCTTTGACAAATAAAAACTGATAGATTCGTTGCATAAACAAAAAGGGTTTTAGGAAATAGTTCATGTGAGCTTTTATTAAAGAAGGATGTATGCCTTTGCTAAGAGATAATTCTAAGAATCGATCTGGACCAAATTTACGAAAGAAACGATTAGATGCTTCTACCTTTGGGGCTCTTAGTCTGATGCTTGGAAGATTAGCCGAGTTTTTAAATTTCAGAATACCACTATAATGTATCATTCTGTTCTTCACTCTAGCATTCTGTTTCTTGGTTGCAGTAAGATTATAAGGGGATGAGAGATTAGGGGAGAGAGGAGAAGGAGTTGATGAAGCGGAGGTGGAAGCGGAAGTAGAAGCAGGAGTTGAAGTACAAGGAGTTAAATTAGATTCAGATAAAGAGGAGGCCTTTTGAAGTTGCTGTATGTGAGCCCAAACATTATCAGGACATCTTTCCATCGAAGTATAGGCAAGAGCATTTATTTTTAAACCCAACCTAACTTCCTGATTCCACTTTACCATAGTTTCATAAAGTTGAGAAGGTTCAGTGTTGCCAATATTTAAAAACATTTGAAAAGCATCAAATGGAATATCCTCCCAACTGATCTCATAAGCGTGTATAAAGCGTGCAATTTCGTATAAAATGATCCACGGTACATTATGTAATAATTTAGAAGAGCCAGCAGGATTGCAAATGATATTATATGTTTCCGAATTAAGGGTATCAGTAGAAAAAAAGTTTATAATTGCAGTAGTAGTATGGGCCGTATTATAATGTTCAGGTGTAGGTTTAAACTTTTTTATTGAATTAAATGGGTCTTCACTGTGTGATCGGGTTCGTTTCTTTACGCTTTGTTCTGTTAGTTCGACTAAAATATTCTCATCAATGTCGTCTGTAAACTCCTCGTCTTCTGCTGCTATAAATGAATATAAATAAAAGTGTACAAAAAAAAATGTATATGCGAACTTACAAAAGACTTTAAGTTCTGAATCTAACATAAACATGAAATCATCAAGTGATTTATTTGGATTTATAGTTTGCAAAAACTTTTTAACTAAAGATTCTAATTTTGCTTGGTCTAATAGTAAGAGTACTTGTTGCATTTTAATAACTTCTGCTGGTAAGACTTCATTTGACAATAAACCAATACGATCTGTTAATTTCAAGTTATGGTAAATTTGTTTTGCGCATCGTGAAATGAAAGGATTTAAAGAAACTGTCATTATAGTGAAGCCTTTTTTTTTTTATGAATAATAAGTTAAAAGAAGAAGAAAAATAAATAAATAAATAAATAAATAAAAGTAAATATTTCAATGTAAACGAAAAAAAAAAAAAAAAAATGGCTTTAAAAATATATTTTGACACTATTTCAAATATTTAACTTGTCTTACTTAACAATATTACGCATTTGTCTAATTATTTCAATAATATATGGACGCGTATATTTAATAAGTATACCTTTTTTCTTTAAATTATGTCCTTATTCAATATAGAAAAGATTTTTCTTTTTTTTTTTTTTTATTCGTCATTAATATGAATCTCCTGTTATTCTGGTTAACGAGTTCAAATTTGCAAAATATGTAGCAAAAGTTATATTCCGTCATTTTTATTGGCTAGATTTTATCTTACATGTCTCGCTTCACTAAATCCAAACATAACTACCCCTTTTTGAAACTAAATAATGCCTTAGATTCATAAAACATACACTCACTTCATATTAAAAGTAGCAATGCATAACATGTATAAATTATTCAAATACCTGTAACACAAAGTTTATATTCGTTATTCTTTGTTAGTAAAAAGCGCCTAATTCTGTTCTTTGCTTTTATTTATTTATTTATTATGGATTTGCTTTAGTTATTTACTTTTGTCTATTGAGCTATAAGCTTTTCTTTGATTCATGCTTATTAGACTATATTGTAGCACAAAAGAACATTCATTATTATTACGAAAAAATAATAGCAATTAACCTGTCTCTTACAGATATGTAAGGTAGTAGTAATAATAAAAAAAACGAGTAAACAAATACACACTTTACAACATTTAATATCGGACAATAAAGGGGTTCTCAAGTGTATATTTGTTAGCTAATATTTTAATTTAAATTTTCGAGTCTAGTTTGATTCAAACAATAGTTTTCGCACCAGAAATATTTGTGAAAATCAGAATAAAACATTTAGGGAGTAAAAGTTTTTTTTTTTTTTTTGAATGAATGAATGAATGAATGAATATAATAATAAAAGGAATAATAGACGTTTCTGGACACATCTATCTCAATAGAAGCTGATATTGTTCACTGACGTTTAGTAAGATTTGTAACAAAAAAAATGAAATGGAAAGTAGCTTATCAAATATAAGAGTTTGTAGCTAGCATTATACTGAGAATCAAACTATTTAAGTACTGCAGATATCAATTGGAGAGAATAATAAGACATTTCTTTTTTTTTAAAAAAAAAAAATGAAGCTTGTATGCTATTTTTTAAACTAAAGTCTAAAACTTTGTTAAATTCTTTATCAATAATTTTGCTAGTAACCCAGCCTTTGTTCATTAAGAGGTCATAAGTGCATGATTTTGCCTTTAAGAAAGTATAGTTGCGTGTTAATGATAGTATTTGTTGGTATACGAAGATTATCTATTCTAGTGTATTGTTATAAGTGTCTTATTAATGCATTAACAATCTGATAAGCAATAACAAATTAAAAATTAAACTTTTTTACTACGCATTTTATTACAACGCGTTTTATATATGTATATATTAACGCGTATAATGTACACATTTTTCGGTGTATAATTATTTTACATGTATGAAAACTTTTTAATTTAAAATTATGTAACTTTAAATGGCGTCATACACTTTAGTTACCGTAATGAAACATAAAATACTTTAGCCATATTTGCTTACTACTCTTTAGTTATAAAAGACAAGATAAATTGTGTTATCTGAGGATACATATAAAAAAGATGTACATATAAAAAGATGTCATTAACTAAATTACATAATAATTAGAAGAATTAGATTATGAAAACAAAAAAAAGCATCTTGTAGTTAAGCAATATTTATTTATCAAGAATGCCCTGGTTTTTTTTTAAAAAAATAAATAAATAAAAGAATGAATAATGATGACATTTACTGTTGTACGCCTTACATAATTTCTAAAAAAAAAAAGTCTGAATTAAGTAAAGTGATAACATATATACTTTAAATGAAATTCCAATTATAGTAATAAATCAATAAACAAAAACAAAAAAAAAGAAAAGCACATACACATAAAATAATAAAGAAAAGGGAATCTACTTTTCTTTTCTTTTTTTTTTTTACTAGCTTCTTTTACTTATTTAATTAATATGGGATTCTGTATTTATTGTAATCAAAAAGTATATAGTAGCACGACTTGTCCAAAATGTTATCGAACTATTTCAATGGACAAGTCGTCTACAAATAATTCAACTACGTCAAAAATTAATTCGGTATTTCTTAATCAAAAAAGATTAAATCAAATGACTGATAAATGGCAAGATACGTAAAGTATTTAAAAGAGCAAAAAGGAAAAGGAAACTTAATAATTCTTTTTTTTCTTTTAGTTATGGTAAAAAAGCCATTTTTAATACAGAGTTAGACTCTTCTGTTAGTCCTCTTAAAACTAGGCAGCATCGTACTATTCCACAATTTAACACTGTGGAATCATCGAAAACAAAGAGCAAAGATGATAATATGAAAAGCTGTGCTATCTGTCAAAGAAAACAAAACTCTTGGACAGATTTGAACAATTTCTCTATTCATAATTCAGTTTTTTATTGTAAACCATGTTTAGCAAAGAAGTTAGCATGGTAAGTTGTTCATAGTATAAATAACAAATCATAGTATCCTAATTTACCTTTTCTCCCTCTTCTGTGTGTACATATCTATATTTATAAATATTTATATATGTATACATATAAATATATATATATATACATCTATACCTAAGTCCTGGATGTGAAAAGGCTGTAAACCGTACTGATATTCAAACATTCTTTAATCAACAAATGTGGCATACTTCTTGCTTTAAATGTCATCATTGTAATACTCCCTTAAAAACTATGTTAGCCTCTGTAGATGCAGATGGAAAGCCTTGTTGTCGTACATGTCACTTGAAGAATAACTCAACAACTCCTGTGCCCGGTACGCCTAGTTTATCGACACCTACTTTAAAATCATCTCATTCAACCATGACATCAAAAGATGATAATCCTTATTTTAAATATCAAAGAACAAGAACATCTTCTATGCTTAGTCCTTCAACTACTTTATCTCAGAAAGACTTGGAATCTTTCAAGGATGTTAATGATAAAGCCTCGAGTCCTAAATTAGAAACTTCTGCTAATAAAATAATAGCAGTAGAAGATAAAAAGGAGGAGTCTAGTTCTAAAAAACCAAAGGAAGTTAAACGTCGTAAAAAAGTTCCAAAGAGAATTTGTAAAGAATGTGGCCAGCATGTGTCTAAAAGAGATTACCGTGGTCTTAGGGTCCAAACTGGTGAAGTCTTTTGCTTCCATTCTTATTGTCTCCATTGTGCCAAATGTAATGAACAGTTTAATACCTTAGAGTTTTGTACAGATGGTGAAAAATTTTATCATGTTGAGGTAAGAAAAAAAAAAACTCCCCCTATATAAAAAGTATTTGCAATTAAAATAGTATCTACATACATAAATAGTGCCCGGATAAGAGTGATAGTAAATCATTATCATCTACACCCATCTCAAGAAGACAAAGTAACACCTTAAGTGAAGAAGACGAAGCTTTCCCACCTACACCACCACCACATACAACTTACTTTGATATACCATCTATAAATCCAATTTCTTTATCTTTCCCTGATTCTGAAGACTTGATAAATAAGAAAAAATATAGTGAAATGGATCAACCTTCAACTACAATACTATGTAGTACATGCTCAAAGCCTGTTACTGATACTTGTTTAGAACTTGCAAATCAATTCTACCATAAAGAGGTAAAAGAGAAAAAAAATTTTTTTTTATTAATAATAAGATATATTTATAACTACAACTATTTTCTTTTCGTTCTGGTAGTGTCTTTTATGTGCTGGTTGTAACCAAACAGTACCAACAGATCGTAAACTTGTCAAATATCAAGATAAGCTTTATTGTGATTCATGTACACAAAAAACGAAAAAGAAAGCAGCTACTAGTGATCTTTTATTAACAAAAAGAACATCTACTATCACATCACCATCAGATATCTTTAAATCAAGAAAGAAAGTCTTGCCTCGGTTGGGTGGTGTTCGTACTTGTGCTCGATGTAATGAAAGTATGCCATTTTCAGATACTCAGCCAGGCCCTAATGCAAGTCGTTGGCACAAAAAATGCTTACGTTGTGCAACTTGTAATAAGCAGATGGATTCAGATGCTCATATGACCGTAAATGAAGAAACTGGCTTGTGTTTAGTCCATTGTCGGGACTGTCTTGATGACACTCCAAAGCCTCGATTTGTTCGTTAATAACCATTTACCACAACACACATACACACATACATATATATATATACATATACATATACATATACACATTTATCTTTATATTTATCTTTATATTTATATACAATTATATACCATTTTTATAAATAAATAAACTTAATAAAATAATAATAATAAAAAGTGTATAGCGGAAATTTAATTTTTTGTAAGCAGTGGTGGCTTATTTCTTGAGCGGCGTATAGAGAAAAATAATGCGGAGGAGGCAGTAAAAGAAAGAAAGGCAAAAGTCTATTATATCCTCCTCTTTTCCCCTTCACCAAAAGCGTCTGGTATGTTTTTGCATATAAAAAAGGAAACAAAAAAAAACACATTGAGATTTAACTATGGATGAATGGATAAATGAATGAATGGATGGATGTATAGAATTAATAATTAAAAGGATGGATTTTTTTTTAAAAGAAAAAAAAAATGCAATTACAATTTTAAATTGGATTAATTTTGAGACATCATGATCATTTCATTTAGATTCAGCACTAGATCTCAATGTGTTTTATAATGAATAACAAGAAAGTTTGAACTAATGGATCAAACATTAGGGCATAATTAATATTTAAAAATGAAGGATATCTACAAGCAAGACGAACTCGTCATCCCTGAGGGTGTCAAGGTTTCCATCAAGTCCCGTCAAGTTACCGTTGAAGGTCCTCGTGGTGTTCTCACCAAGAACCTTCGTCACTTGAACATTGAAATCACCGTTGTTGGTCAAAAGGTTCGTTTCGTTGTTCACCACGGTCTCCGTAAGCACGTTGCCTGTATTCGTACTGTTCGCTCCTTGGTCAACAACATGATCATTGGTGTTACTAAGGGTTACCAATACAAGATGCGTTATGTTTATGCTCACTTTCCCATCAACGTTATCATTAGTGATGCCGGTGATGCTGTCGAGATCCGTAACTTCTTGGGTCAAAAGGTTGTCTTCAACGTCAAGATGCGTGAAGGTGTCAAGGTTGAATCCTCTAAGAGCCAAAAGGATGAACTTATCTTGACCGGTAACTCTCTTGAAAATGTTTCCCAATCCGCTGCTGATATTCAACAATCTTGTCTTGTCAAGAACAAGGATATTCGTAAGTTCTTGGATGGTATCTACGTTTCTGAACGTGGTGTCCTTGAAGAATCTGCTTAAATAATAAAAACAGTATAATATAATCTTGATTAGATTATAAAAATTTAAATAATTCACATGTGCTTTCTAGCTCAATTTGTCATGAGCTGTTAAATAGTGTATTATTTTACAATAGAGTTTTGATTGGAAATTTGTGTTAATAATCTTAATCAGGTCATTCCAAATTAAATCTTCGTTTCATTCAAACTATGTAATAATAAGCAAAAAAAAAAAAAAAAAAAAAGAATTACATAAGATGCCAAAAAATTAAAACATATGACCTCTCTGTTATTGCTGAATAATGTAAATACTGTCTTCAATGCCATCATTATAATTACTATCATGGATATTCATACAGAATAACTTTTATTATTGTTTGATGAAATCATATATGTACGCGTATTATTTGCATTTGGCTTAATATTAGCATATTATATCTTATTACAGCATCTCTTTTGTACTCAATATTGACAAAAGAAAAGAATCCTTGATCTCAAAATAAAACAAAGACAAAAAAAACCATAGAGAATGACAATTTACAGTAGTTAGAAAGACAGTATTTTAATTCTATTATATGGAGAATTATTTAAATTGAAAATTGTTATAATTCTTAACTGATAATCACTGCTTGTGGAACACTTACACATATAAAAAAAAGATGTCCCATTTCCTTTCATTAGAATAATGCTAGATAAAGTCTATAACAGTTTCTTATCTGATGAATAACTTGAAAACAAGGTTATAATTTGATCTACATCAAACTGAAAAAATAAATAAATAAATAAATAATCGAAATATGATTTGATGAGAAGAAAAAAAAAAGCTATCAGATCTTTTGATGTATCATCATGTTTATGATTGTTCTGACGAGTAAAAATCATGTATTATGAATTGCTCTGTAACAGCGAATACACTCCCCAAAATCTTCTCAAATATTATTTTAAAAAAACTTTGCTTTATCGCAATCATTGAACATTTTGAAACTCTTTTTTTTTTTCATATAAAATACCTACATTTTTCTTTAGCTTTGGAGAGAGTATACTACGTAGTAATTATAGATTCAGATTTGCACACGTAATAGATATTACATAAATATTCTGGATAAGAATAAATGATTTAGAAGGTGAGCACTTTCTTACAGGTGCAAAATATATAGAAATAAATAAATGAATAAAAAGTCAATGTACTTATTTTGTAGAGATAAATCTGCTATAGGTTGTTTTGTTATATAACATTTGATTTATCATCACACACAAGTATGTTAAATTTTTTATTTTATTTTATGATTCTACATCTCTAGAATGGATAAGGTATGACTTCAACATTGGAAATTTAAAAAGTTCGGTATTTTCAAGGTCAGAATTCATTTATTTTATCATAAAACTACTACACTGTGTCACTCTACAATATAAAAGAATTAAGGGGTACGCAAAGCTAAAATTATTATTAAAGACAAAAAAAAAAAAAATTAATTGCGCAAATTTAAAATAATAAAAACGCTGTAATAATCATAAAAGCGGAAGATTTTTTTATTTTATTTTTTACGGCTTGTTTCATGCTGTAATAATGTCTAACCCGAACCATATTTAAGCCTTTGTTCACCATGAAACCAAAGTGATTGGATAATATTGGCTTGACATGCTTTTTTTTCCATTTTCAAGGGATAAATACTTAAAAAAAATTTTTCATTATTTTTTTTTTCTAATAATATAAATGACAATTTAAAGTGCTTCCCTTTATTATTATGTTTTTTTTTCTCTTAATCAAATCACTCTTACTTTGGTCTCCTTTTTTTACAACATATTTATTGCATTATAAACATAGAAAAAATTTCTACAATTCTATTTAAATCTAAATTCAACACCCTTTTTTTTTATTAAAAAAATTTTTTTAAAGGAGTTTTTCTTTATTCTTTTTTTTTTTTTTCTGCTGTCATACATATCCTTTTATTTAATTTTACTCTTTTCTTCTTACATATTATACACACACTCATTTGTTTATTTTTTTTTTTTTTTTTTTTTTTTTTTGAAGAAAAAAAAAGTTTGCTTCTGGCTGAAACTATGGTCCATTTATCAAATATTTTTCATTTACCGCAACAACGTCCACAAGCTAGCACAAATGAGAAAACATGCTCAACTAAAGAAAGTTATTCTAAACACTCAAGAAATTCATCAGTTACAAGTATTGAAGAAGGTCGAAACTGGTTTTTAAAACAATTACATCTGCATCATCCTTCCTCTTCTACTATACAACATAAATCTTCTCCACAACATCAAGAGAATACTCTCTTGTCTCCATCTGCTTCCCGCCAAACTTTAGTAACAACGAAAAGTAATGATTCACTTAGTGGTACAACGTCAACAAGTGGAACAGGCAAATTACATCGCATGAATACTACAAATCTCCGAGAATATGGTGTCTGCTATAAACGTCTTGGTGAAGGCTCAACTGCTATTATTTCTATTTGCAAAAGTAAAAAAATATCAAACAATAATAATAATGCATCACAACCTAAACTGTTGGCTATCAAACAATTTCGTAAACGTAAGCGAAGCGAGACTGAAAAAGAATACATGAAGAAATTGACAAGTGAATTTTGTATTTCATCTACTTTCCACCATGTAAATATTGTAGAGACGATTGATTTAGTCTTGGATGATCAAAATCGATACTGTACTGTAATGGAATATTGTCCTGGAGGTGACTTATTTTCAAGTATTATGTCTGAACAAATGACAGAGATCGAAATGTCTTGCTGTTTTAAGCAATTAATTCGAGGTCTAGCTTATTTACATTCAATGGGTGTGGCCCATCGTGATATCAAGCCCGAGAATTTATTATTAACATTAGATGGTACATTAAAGATTACTGATTTTGGTGTTTCGGACGTATTTCGTTGCGCTTGGGAAACACAAAGTCATAAAAGTAAGGGACTCGTTGGTTCAGAGCCGTATATTGCACCTGAAGCCTTTGAACATCAAGATTATTGGGGTGCTAACGTAGATATTTGGTCAGCAGGTATTGTTGTTTATTCAATGTGGCGTAATGGTCATACTTGGGTGCGAGCTGACAAACACAAGGATCGCGAATATCGTAATTACCTTCGTCATTATTCTACACGTAGTTTTCCTAATTTTAAAAAGTTTCATGATGCCTTACGGGAATTACTCTATGATATGTTGAATCCTAATCCTACTTTACGTATTACTGCTGAATACATATTACAGAATAATTGGGTTGAATCTATTTTAGTTTGTGAAAAAGGTATTGATTCTATGAATAGAGAACATCATCATACAGCTCTTACTAGTAATTGGAAGAAGTAAGCTTTACTGCCTTTATGTATTTTATTACTTTTTTTCCCCCTTTTTATAGATACCCTTATTCATCTTTGTACAATATGATGCATATATCTGTATATATTTATATGTATATATTTATATAATAAATATATTTATTTTATTTTTATTAATCCATATATTAAATATGTATATAAATATATACATATTGTTTTGTTTAAATTCCATTCTTTTTATCAAATATTTACTGCTTTTTAATTGCTATTCTAATAAACACACACACACTAACATATATGTATATATATGAAGGACTCCTTAATAACTTCCCCTGTTGTTCTCTTAATCATAATATCAGTAAATAATACGTGTATTTCAGGTTGATTTCTTCGTATGCTTATTATATAGTATTTTTAAACTGTATTGGTTCTTTTCTCATAGAAACAGATTCATATTTAATATCGTTTCAATGCTACAAACTATATTATTTAAAGTGTAGTGTAAACTCAACTATTTTTAATAACTATCTTTTTTTTTTCTTTTTTTTTTTCTTTTTTTTTTTTTTTTTTTTTTTTTTTTTTTTTTTTTTTTTTTTTTTTTACTATACAACACGATGTCTTGTACATATCCTTTAAGTTTTAGATGTAAAACCCTTATGACGCATCCCGCGTTTCTGATATTAGCAAATTCTACATTGAAAAGTATTATTATTGAAGTTCAAGTGCTAATTACGAATAAAAGTATTTTCGAAACTGCTATATATATAACTCAACAACTAATTATAGTAAAATTATCTGACATTACTCAGTTTCCTTATTTTTTTTTTTTTTTCTTTTGGCTTATTCTAATATCAACAAGAATTAGATTATACAATATATACTTGTTGCCTTTAAAAAAAAAAGAGTCTGATAGTAGTTTAACTTGAATTATTATCTAATATGGGAAGCATAATGTATTATTACATAAAATAATAATAATAATATAAGGTAGGGTCAGGGTACACTTGTTTCTTTAGAATTAGAAACCATTGTTATATAAATGATAGCACGTGCATTGGCAGTACAGAATATAAACTTTTAATACACCTATAGTATAAATATGCCTTTGTGCAAATTAACCAATCAACTTTCTATTTTATAATATAAATACTGATTGGATATGTTCACTATAAGTCCTACGCATGGGACGCCAAGAAGTAAGTTTTTTTTTTTTTTTTTTTTTGAAGTGCGTAATACCCTTTTTTTTTAATTTAAATAAAGTTTATCAGAACATTTTTAAGGGAAAAAATAGAATAGTATACTTATATTCGTTGGTGTTTAGTATACGTGAATTCTATGAATATTGTTCTTACCTTCCAAAAAAAGCAATATAAGCTTAATGATTTGTGGCCTTATCCTCGCTTCCTACCTCCGAGGGAAGTAATAGTGCTGTTTACTTGTTATCAGCAGTGTTAAAACAACTGATTTTTATTTTTTATTTTTTTGAAACTAAAACTGAAAGTATGGATCTCGGTACTCTAGTAATACAAATTACTGTGGGCGATTGTTGATCTCGAGAGTTAGTATATCAATGTGCTTTAAAAGATATTATACATTTTGAATTGAAAGCATATTGAATTATCATGACTGTTTTCCACAACAAGTCTTATTTATTCGCCCACACAAATCATCATCTTTTTATAAAAATGAAGATAAATTTAGGATATATTATGTTTGTTTGTTATGCAAACAGGAAGTATATTATACCTAGTAGCGTCGGTTCTCCCTTATTCAACTAGCCATTATCTCCAATAAATAAATAAAAAACTACTCTTTAGTTTTTAGAATATTTGTCATCTTCTACATTATAAATCTTTTTTTTTTTCACTCTAATTGAAGCACACTTATTATCCTTATCAATTGTATTAGTATTTGCAGAAAGCAACTTGGAAATCTCTTCTTCACAAGTACAATATTTTAATTCATTTTTCATCATCTTTTTTTTTTTCTATTCTAACTTTGATATCTTTAAAACATGTTTTTAATGAGTTGAGTAGACTTTGCAAAGAAGATTCCATTTAAGCTGTATTCGGATCATTAGAATTATGACGCTAATAGAGCGTCAAGCGATAACTAAAACAACCAAATAAGATGGATATAGTCTTTGTCGTTATTTCAATGCCATTAATCAATACCAAGTGAATATAAAGATTTCCGAAACCTTGTCAAATAAATTCAGCAAATTATCTGTTATCTGTTCCTTTTTTTTATATATATTTATGTATGTCTTCGGTCGAATAATGAACGTATTAATTTTAGTTTATTATTTATACTGAAGTATCATATAAAAGAGTAAAACATTCATAATTATTCAGAGAGAAAAATGTTGAGCTTTTTTGAATAACTTTCGAAAAGTCAAAAAACTTGCTTCAATTTATAATAAGTATGATTAGCAATAGTGGTTCGACAAGTTCAGTATTAATGTCTTTCTGTCTTTTGAGCCTCAAGGTTCACATACTGTTTTCTAATATAGTAGTTTTTTTTTTCTTTTTAATTTTAATGTATTCTTTGAGGGAAAAAAAACCCCCCATTATTTATTAATGTATAATAAAAAGAAAATTATACTGCGCATTTTTATTTGTTTGATTTGCTTTGTTAATAAATATCAGTTGGATCCCAGCAAAAACGTCGAGGCATAATATGGTGAATATTATCTAATATATTCATATCCTATATTTAAAAAAGTATCTTAGCTCCCTTATATTACACACACACATATATATATATACATATACACATGCTAGCTCATTACATTTTCAGATAATTTGAATGAAAATACTTTAGCATTTTCTTGAACTCTGATTCTTGTTTTTGATTTCGGTATAATAATCCACTCATGTTCAACAGCCCAACGTAAAAGCACTAAAGCCATAGAAACATGATGATTTTCGGCAATAGTTTTCAGGCAATCCATTTTAATTGTGCCATTAATTAAGGCACCTTCACCTAAGCTGGAATAGGCTTGAATCTGTATATTATTTTCTTTACAAATATCAAGAATTTCAGGTTGATATAGACAAGGATGAAGTTCAAATTGATGTACATGAGGCACAATAGTACAAACGCTTAGTAAGTGTTTTAGGTGCTGTGCTGTATAGTTGGAGACACCAATATGCTTTAATTTCCCCTCTTTATAGAGTTGTTCTAATGCTTTATAACTGCCGGTACGATTTTCCTTATTGATTGGATCAGATAATTGCCTTTTTGAAGTACTAATATTGATTCATTAGTACAAACAGACTCTACTCTAACAGTTATACATCTTGCTCTCTCTCTCTCTCTCTTCCTCTCTCTTCCTCTCTTTTTACCCTGGCCAATGAATCAAATATAAATCCAAATAATCCAAATCAAATTTCCTAAGGGACTCATTTACAGCTTTTTTTTTTGTAAGGTTTTTAGGTTGCTATACATAATATATAGCACATTAAAGAAAAAATACCTGCATAACAAGCATCATATCCTTGATCACGAGGAGCTATGATTTTTTTTTTCCTTAGAGATTTCAATTTATGAATAAAAAATCATACTTACATAGTTTTGAAGTGATAAATAAATCACTTCTTTTGACGTTTAAATCAGGGTCTGCAAACACTTCTTTTAATATTTTCCCTAATATCTCCTCATTTTTATACACTGTAGCTGAATCTATTTAATTATTTTCTATTCATTTTTAGGATGAATCTTCAATTAAAATAACATTTCTAATTAACCTATTAATCGATATCCAGAACGAATAGCTTCAAAAACAACAGGTCGAAGTTCTTCATAAGTTCTCATTCGATATGTTCCTACTTGTTTTTATTAAATTAATATTTGTACATGTATTTATATATATATATTGCTTTCTTCCGAAAAAACGTAAAATAAAATAGATTGCTTTACAGCCTAAGATGGGAATGTTGTCGCCATTGTACAATTGTCTAGATGTCATGTTAACGTATAAAATAGAAAGAAAGAAAGAAAAAAAAAATGAATAGAGGGAAAAAAAAATGAATAGAGGGAAAAAAAATCTGTGACCTTTTTTGATTCTATTAGTCTAAATATCTCCATTTTTGAAAATTTGTTTGAAGACTACTCTGTTAGAAAGTAAATTCTTATTACATAGTCGCGTACAAAGAAATGTCGCCTTTTTTTTTTGCAGCATATTTATGGTCCACTATTACACATAATATTAATAAAATCAACTACACACTCAGGTCTCTAATATGATATTCACGTCATGTGTCATTCATTTTTATTATGCTAAAAATGTTCAAAAAAAAAAAAAACATAAATAATTAGGCATAAAAGAGTATTTACAACTGGCAGAAATAATGTCCCGTTGTTTGTTGAAACACTCAGTAGGTCTTCTTTTTTTGATATTATATAATACATATTAGTTAGAGTTATTAAAACAAATATGGCTCTATTTTGCTGTCAATACTTGAAAAACTAAATATATATCCCCGAGTCAGGGCAAGATATTTCTAGAGAACACCCTTTGACAGACTTGATGCAAATTATATTTTATCAGAGTCAAAGTAACATTTTTTTTTAATAAGTCAAGTAATAAAATTAGTAGCTTTAGCTAAAATTGAAGTCAGTAATACTTGATCAGAAAGGTTTGTGTACATGTTTATATTGCATGCTGTATAATAGCTTATTTAAATTGAATTCGTTAAAACTTGATGAACTATAGTAAAGAATCTCCTTTTCTTTTTTTTGTATTTTCTATGAGAATCGACTAAATTCAGTACTACAAAATCATTTCTCTTCCTCATTCACACACTTGGACCACTAGAGAGCCCTTAATAAACTATTGATTACTGCACTTTCTCCAGCCATTTCCTATTTCCTACCACCGTTGCCATATAAAATGAGTTTATTTCATTTTCCCTACTTTCCAAAGTACATAATGAACTCAAAGGAACCTAGATGTGATAACTGCCTCATATACTTGAAGAAGATGATATAGTACTAGTACTAAAAAAAAAAAAAAAAAAAAAATACATAGCCTAGAATAGGTTTTTCATTTCATCCTAAGATATAGCATCTGAATTTCAATTTTTGGTTTATTCCCAATAAAAGATTATATAATAAAAATTTAAATATCCGATTTACTTTTATATACATGTATATAAAAACCGTCTGAATTTATAAAATGAGGAAACATAATAATAATAATAATTATAATAATTATAATAATTATAATATTAATTTTTTTTTTTTTTTTTTTTTTTTTCGTTTTATAAATTAATAATGAAATTTTGGAAAAAGAAAGATAAAAGTAAATTAACGTCTAATAATCCTTTCGAACAAGATTACACTAGTAACAATAGCAACGACACTTATTCACAAAATGTGACTGCTGTAGACAATTCAAGTTATCATGGACGTTATGGTAACACAACAAACTCGATCAAGACAAGAGATCCTAATCAAGATAGACAAAACTTATTTGCTGGCTATACTGAATCCAAAGTCGCTCATGATACTAACGGCCAAGCAGATAGATATCAAAAGAATCAGTTTGCAGAAGACGATGAAGATGAAGAAGTGGTTCAAATTAAACAACAAATTCGTAATGTTAAACAAGACTCATTAGCTAGTACTCGAAATGCATTACAAAGGATTAATGAAGCAGAAGCTACTGCTGCTAATACTTTAAACATGTTAGGAACACAATCATGTAAAAATTTTTAGAAAAGCAAAGCAAAAAAAAAAAATTATTATTAATACTTAATCTATACTTTTATGCATTTTTTTTTGTGTGTAGCCCAAATTGCTAATGTGGAACGTCACCTTGATTTATCTAAAGCTTATTCAGATAGAGCCTCTGCTCAAGCAGGAGAACTAAAGCAATTGAATCGCTCTATTTTTATTCCAGTTGTTAAAAATCCTTTTAATAAAGAATCTCGACATAGGAAAGCAATGGATAAAATCAACAAAGAACATGCAGAACATATGGCTGAGAGAGAGAATATTCGTCAATTTGAATATGATTCGAGTGCAAGGATTGAAGACGCTCAAAGAATGGTTGCAAGAGAGAGGGCTAGAGAGGGCCATTATCAAGGCCGTTCTCAAGCTGATCGTAATAAATATCAATTTGAGGCAGATGAAGAAGATGATGCCATAGAAGATGAAATTGATCATAACTTGGATTTGCTTGGTGATGCAACTGCAAGATTAAAGGCTATGGCTGTTACTATGAATGATGAACTTTCTAGTCAAAATAAGCAACTAGATAAAATTAATAGAAAAGTGGATCCTATTAATTCAAAACTGATATCTACTACATATACTTTAAACTCAACAAGATAATTTTTTTTTGGCATATAAATAGTGTATACACACACATTTCTGTATATTTATATAAATACAAAATAAAATATATACGGCTTTTAACTTTATACTTCCAAAAAAAATCAGTTTTACATTTAAACTTTCTCTTTTTTTTCGTTCTCTTTTCTTTTCTTTTTTTTTTTTTATTTCAATATAACTCTACTCTTTATCTTCCTCCATGTATTCAGGGTTCTTTCGTAACAGGACAATGCCTTCTAAAACAGGTGCTAAAGGTATGTCTATATTTATACAATAAAAATTAGAAAATAAGCTAATATTTGCTTCATAAATCATTCTATATACTTACACTCTTCAGATGCAAGTTCAGCACGTTCTGAGTGAGCAAGAAGAACAGGTGTAGAATGTGTTTGGAAGCCAGTAATAGTCTTTGGTCGACCTGCTTGACCAACAACATCAACAGCTTGACCAACACGGACTGTGACAGGTAAACTTTCTATAGATTCGTCAAATGTAATCAAGAATCGAGGATACATAGCAGTGACAAGAGAATATAACAAATAGTGGTACTTGCCAAAGATGACTAATATATATATATATATATATATGTATATATGTTAGTATTAGCATATATTATTTCAATACAAAAAGAAAGAAAAAAAAAACTTACATGATTTATAATCAGTAAAAGCAATAATACTGGCCATTAAACCAGCAACAGCGACAGGAGACATAATTTGACGATCAGTGTGGAAAGGATTTAAAGTCATAGTACCTTTAGCCATATGCAAAAGACCTTGAGCAATACGAACCATGAATAAACTTGAAGCATCTTTATGATAGAAACTAGCGAGTTGTCTTAACATTTGAGCAAGACGAGCATTATTAGTACCAGCACCAACAAGACCCATAGCAAAGATAGCGCTGATAGCTACTTCACTATCATTATCGTGAGAATATTTACTAAGAGTGTCAAGAATAGTAACTTGAGGATTAGAAGCACACAAAAGACCATAGGCTAAAGGAACAGCTTTCCTAATAACAGGCTCACCATAATGCATCTAATCATATTATATTAAGTTTAAACAAAACATATACTTTTTTTTTTTTAAGATGCACTTACTAAATGATTAAATGTACGTAAAGACATTTCAGAACCAATATCCTCACCCATAGCAATTAATGCTACACCAAGAGTAGCAAAGCCCTGGAATGTATCATCATCCTTATCTTTATCCAAATGATCGTTGCACATATGAAGCATCTTTTGGACTTTTAATACATTGCCAGTACCAGCAAATGATAAGGCTTCAACCAAAACTTCTGCTTGCTTACCAAGAGGGTGCTCAATAGCTTTTAATGTTTCTAAAGTAGCTTCAGAAGCATCTTGTTTACCAAGATACAAAAGACCAAGACCTAATGCCATAAAGCGTGACCACGAGTCTTTAAGGTAAACATCTTCACGTTCCATCATAGTTTGTAAAATAGTACTAGTAATGTCACCATCACAAGAACCAACAAATACTAAACCAAGGGCCAAAGCAGCTAAAGAAGAAAGTTCCATAGCTAAGGTAGTATCACTAACGATAGGTAACAATAATTCTGACACCTCTTCACGTGCAGATCCAGCATAAGCAAGACCAAGACTAGATAGATATGTATGTATAAATATCTAATTTTTTTTCTTTCTCTCTCTCTCTCTCTCTTTATCATAAATAAATAAAAAAAAAAAGAAAATAAACAAGACTTACCCAAAAATAGCAGCTTGTTTAGTAACAAGAGATTTTGATTCCAAATGTTCAGTTAATAAAGCTAAAGCAGGATCAGATTCTTCACGAACACTGGAATTTAAAATACCAATACCAAGTAAGGCGCCGGCCTTGATATGGTCATCAGAAGAATACATGTATTTATCAATCAAACCCAAGCCGGTTTCAATATCCCAAAGGGAAATAAGACCCAAAGAAGCGGTTGAACTTGTCATACCATGCTCTTTTGTCTTATAAATCCAAGAGGAATCATTCTCATCATCCGTTATCATCAACTTATCCTTACAGAAACCAGCATTAACAAAACCATTTACAAATGAAGAAGCCAAGTTATTACGAGCAGAATCTAAATTACTATTGAAAGCAGTTCTGTGGTTCTCTAAATGGCTTTTATAAATATCCTCGGGAACCTTAGGTTCCATGACATCCAATTCACGAGCAAGTGAAAGGAAATAGCGAGAAAGGTTGGTATTGTTGATACAGGCATTGAGATCAGCATCCTCTGTTTCAATATGAATTTGTTGACGGGCAAGTTGAAATGCCATTTGCTTTTTAAGTAAACTAGATGTAAAAAATAAACACTATTTAGATAATGTATAATCATGCTATTAATGAACTTACGGATCTGGACAATTCTCAAAATCTTCTTTAATTAAATCCATATCTCCAACACGGATAGATAAATTAAGTGCTTGAGCATATTTTTCTTGTTGACGATAAATAGTACGAGCTGTTTTAAGGAATTCAAGGTCATCAGGAGGAGCTAACAAATTGACGCAACTAATAAAAAAAAAAAAAAAAAAAAGATAAATAATTGACACATTTAAGCTCTAAATAAATAAATAAATATAAATATGTATATATATATATGTATATGTACCTGACCATATAAAGGCAGACACGTTCATAAGTATTTTTGTCAATAAAACGAGGAAGTTGATCAATAGATTCAATCTCAAGCAAAAGATCGACAGCATCAGCTTCAGCATTGTGCTTAAGGAAAAAGGGAACAATTTCTAAAGCCAATTTGATTAACTCTTCTGTAGATTGTTCATTTTCTAAACGTGCTTGATATTCTTGCATAATTTCGCCTGATAAATGTCGAACATATTCATGACCCCATGAACCAATATCCTCTTCAGTAGAACCGATAAATCTATATTTCAATGTTTCACGTTGACCTTCTTCACCATAACTCATTGAGAGAACTGATAAGATGTCTGCAAAAAGTTTTTTGTCAGGAGAATCTGCCCATGATTCATGAAGTTTCTTTAATAATGGATAGAATGGACTTAAAAATTTCAAAGGTTTAGGCACAGAGGTCATTGAACTTGTAGAAGTACGAATGGCTGTACGTAAATGTTCAAGTGCAGGACGATGAAGTTCTGTATTATTTTCCTAAATAAAATGAACAAGGTATACGTAATCAATACTCGTTTTCTTAATAAAAAAAAACTTCGGGTCATATCATTGCATCTTTATTTACCTTTAAACGTTCAACCATTAATTCTAATTCATTCTTTAATTGTTGATCTTCTTCAGACTATTCAGCAAGATTAAGCGAAAAAAAAAAAATAATAATAAAAAGAAAGTCATCAGTATAATCGCTCACTACATTCTGCTTTATTCCTTGTATTACCAATTCTTCTTCTTGTTCTTTTTTATCTTTTTTATCCTTTTTTCCATTCTTGGGAGCCAATTCTTCGGTAGGCTTTATAATAGTCTCTTCTTTTTTTTCGCTAACCATTATTTTTCAGTAGATGAACTTTATCTTTTCTTTGTTTTTTTTCAAGAAAAAAAATAAAATAAAATAAAATAAAATAAAAAGCTTGCTTCGCGTTTTTAGAATATTTCAAACATATTTTGTCTGCGTTTAAAAAAGGAAAAAAAAAATAGGACGCGCAACACGTTCTTGTTTACGTCATCTAAAGGTGATTAGCTATATACACCATTTATGATGAATATTACTTTTGATGAAACTCTTTTATATCCAAAATCTTTCAAAACAAAGCCATAAGAGAGAGAAAGAGAGAGAGAGAATTGATAGAAGATAGGTATGTGTGCGTACGTGTATGTGTGTCTATGCTTAATAAGCTATGTACAAAATTCATATTGCGTGTTTTATTTATCTATTTACAAGTGGGGAAAAAAAAAAAAAGGAGGAAAGGGAGGGCAGGATAGTAAGAAATTATAATTTAAGTTACAGTACGTTTTCTCCAGTTTTTCAATATTGACGAAAAACGTAAATGATGATTATTTTGAATGCTGTTGGCTTTATTATGGGGAGGGTAATGAAAATCTTTTATAATAGACTCGCGCCATTCTTTGTCTGGAGATTTGTCATCTATGGGACAATAGGCAGGCTTTTGTTCGTGATTTGAAGGAGGGGCAAAATAACTGCTAGAGTCTTTCGCCACTTCATAGTTAAGACAAGACCAAGATCTACCAAATGATTTTGGTGTAGTTGAATATTTTGTTGTAGGGGTACTGGTTTTATTATTTTGAATGTAAGGTGGAAAATTCATCAAGATGGTGGGGTTTGTTTGATGGGGCGGCGGAATAGGAGGAAGAGGATTTTTAGGAGGAGGACTTGGAGGAATTGTAGTTGCGGATGAAGAAGCGTTTATAATTTTAATAACAGATGATTTAGAGTGATGATTATTAGGTTGTTGAGAGGTTACATCAAATTTTGCTATCTTTGCGAGAAGGTCAATAGAAGAACGACCACGATTCTTTTTCTTGTATTGATAGGTAGTAGGCTCACTAGCATGACTATGATGACACTTGACACTATTATTATTATTATTATTATTATTATTATTTTGATTCCCCACTAATTGAGAGTTCTCCTTTGATAATTGTTCAATTTTCTTCAAGAGTACATCTCGTTCATCAATTAAAATCGAAAGCAATTTTTTTTATCTTCTAATTCAATACCTTGAATTTCAATTTGCGCCTCTAATAATTTTTCACTCTTTCTAGCAGTCATCACTGCAGATGATTGGCTTAAATGATAGTGATTACCACTACTTTTCCCTTCTTCTTCTTCCTCATCACCACGTCCTTTTAGAGAGGAAGATAATTTTGATTCTAGCGTTTCAATCAGAAGATCCTGTTTATCAATCACTTGTTTTAATTTTTTAGTCTTTGCGCGTTCCTGTTCAAGTTCGCGTATATAATGAGCCATCACTTGTTGTACCGATTGCTCGGACAGCCTTATTTGTTCCTTTAATATGTCTATTTCTTCTTTTAATGCAGTATCCCTGCTTGGTTCATTCAATTTTTTAATTTCATGATTCAGTTGAATAGGATCATGATTCAGTGAAGAAGAGAGGCTTAAGCTATTATCAGTGAGTGAAGAAGAGAGACTTAAGGTATTATCAGTGAATGAAGAAGAGAGTCTTGAGCTATTCTCTGTCAATGAATGAGAGTTTCTGTAAACATGATTGGCTCTTTCTAACTGCTTAATCTTTTCTTTCAATTCCTGAATACAGGTTTCATATGTTTGGGTATGCAAACTTAAAGTCGATTTCATGGTCAAGTCAAGTCTTTTATAGCGATTTTCAGCTGCATTGCATTGATGAAGAGCTTTCTCGTACATATCAATGAGATCATCTGCCAAGATGTCAATATTCGAACGACTTTCTCTATTGATTAATGTCTTTTGAGAATATCTTAATTTACTTTTAGGTGAAGGAGATGGAGGAGGCGTGATAGAGGTTAGATTATGGCTAGGTGACGTTGGAGACATTCTACTACTGTGAACTATTTCTTGTTGATAATGATGATTATTTACAAGCTCTATCTTCTTTTTTTCTTGACTGTTACGTAAAAATGAGTGTGATTGTAAATTGTTGGTAACACTATTTGTTGTTATTGTTCTATCAAACTTGGCGACAGTCGTTTCAACTTTAATATCTAATTTCATTTATTTAATAAAGTTACAATAACAAAGCAAATAAACAAAAGAAGATATTAAAGGAAGAAGAATTAAGCAAGATATGTGAGTGAGTGAGTGTATATGTGAGTGTGTGTGAGCGTGTGTGTATATACAAGTAGTAGGTAAAAGGAAAGAACAAAAAATTGAGTATTAAATGGAATAAGAAAAGAGACTATAAGAAAGTAAAATATATTAAAACCTTTTTTTTTTTTTTTTTTTTTTTTAATAATCGTAATTTACTTAATATGTCTAACTTTCATTCAATTCTTATTAAGTTACTCCGCAGGTTTTACTGCAGTTGATTTTCCACGTTCCTTTCTTCTTCAGCCATACATTAATTAATTAAAAAAAGGGGAGAATAATATCAAATATGTATATATATTTAAGATGAATATAAAAAAAGTAAAATTAAATATTCTATATTACGCTCCAAATATTAAAAAAAGAAAAAGTGTATATAATACATGAATGGTTATTTAACAGTATCGTCTGCCTGAATGCAACATGTATATTATAATTAACTTTTATAGAAATTGACACACTAATTGAACATGTGCTATATTACATAATAATAAAAAAATGGTCTCAATGAAGATCATTTTTAATTGGGAATATGTTTACATAGACAACAATAACAAACATATAATAAATACTGTTGCATATTATAATATTCTATATTCTACCTTATTAATGCATCTTTCCTTTGTATTACTCCAGAATTATATAGTAGTGTCCAATTTGACGTATAAGTTTTAATTTTTGTTGTTGTTGCTGTTGTTAGAGAGTGACATATTTTTAAATTTTATACTTTTTTCTTTCTTTTTTTTTTTTTTTTTTTTTTTTTTTTTGAGAATTAGCACTTTCTTCTATATTAAAGAACCATTTTACAGACTTCAGTAGTATCTGTTATCATACATTTCAGAGTATTACATATTTTCTTTTGTTTTTTATATTAGCATCAGTTAAAAATTACAGTAGATTCCCTCTTTCTCTCTCTCTCTCTCTCTCTCTCTCTCTCTCTCTCTCTTTCTTTTTCTTTTTCTTTTTTCTGCCTTCCTTCACTTAAATATTTGGTATGAGTCTAGACTTGACTTGAAAAGTTGTTTGCGATAAATATGCCTATTACTAAAAATACTAAGGAAGTGTAATGCTGACTTGCTCGTTCAATTCAGTCATAAAACTAACAGCTATTCCTTGCCTTCAAAGAAAGCCTCCTCAATTCCATAAGATAGTACTGTTATTATTGCTTATGACTGACTAGCCTTCTAGTTCGAAACACTTTTACTTACATCTGATTAGATTTATTCAAGTGAATATGATGTATCTCCTCCCAAAAGAATTTCATTTGGTGGAATTTTTTTTTCTTAATTTGAAATCTCACCCTTGCCATTATTATTTAAATAAAAATAGATTACAGTTCTATTCTACTAAGAAATGATAAAGTAATAAGTAGAATATATATATATATACAGACTAAACCAACAATAAAGAGAAGCTTATTAGAATCTTTTCAGGAATAGTGTGTGTATATATTTATTATATGCTTATATATAAGAAAAAAATAGGTTAAATTCATAAATATTCAATTTGTCTTAAATATAGGATCTGATACATTTAACTATTTATACTATCTCTAATAATAGACTATTTTATTACTTTCACTAAATTATAAAAAAGAGCATAAATAGTCTCCTTCAGGCATCCAAGAGTAATAAATCAAGAGTGTCTTTACCGTAACATAAACTTTGAAAAAAGTGTTTATTACAGTAAAGCCTTCAGCCTATAAACATATATCTATGTATATATATATATATATATACGTACATAGGTATATAGAATGGAAATAGTAGGAAGAGAGCTTGTTCAATAAACGATTAATTCGAGTGTAATTTACATTTATATCAGCTAAAAATAAGCTCTATCTTTTAATAAGACAACCAAAGATAGCGATATTATGAGAGACTATGGCTATTTATTATAGAGTTCATCCTATTATATTAATTTATAATAATTAAAATGCTTTGTCATAATGTCTAGAAAAAATAAAAATAAAAATAAAACATACCTCATACTTTACTCTATACAATATATCTTGTCCACATATCCAGCCTCCTTTCTTCTAAAACGCTTTAAATCTTCTCTACACAACTACAAATTCGTAGTTATTGTCATCTTTTACAATATAAATCCAATAGATACATACAAAGGGAATCAAATGTTTTTTTTTGATAAGGATACCTTTCTTATGACGGACGATGCTAACGATCGACGAACTATCCTTCCTTCCTTTCTTCCTTTCCATTCTCTTCTCACCCCCCCTCCCCTCCTCCTCCAAGTGGTCATAGCGAGCTGTTCTTTAATTTGTGTTTATTTAAATGATCTAAAAATAATCTTTTACCAATGTCCTGCTGGCCTTATTTATTCTGGGTGGTAGTAATGGCAGCTGTCGTCCTATAATTAGCTCCTTACAAAAAAAATAATACTTTAAAACTCATCTAACTTTTTATTTAGCTTATATGAATCTTAAGAAAAAAAAAATACTTGAAAGAGATATAATGACTAAATAGAGTTAGCTTTTATTTTAATGACCCCTTGCATGACAATAACAAAAAAAAAGTGTTGTTCAAAGAAGTATTTTATTTTATTTTATTTTATTTTATTTTACAGTATTGTATGCTAAAAAAAGTTTTTCCTAAGATTTAAAGTTGTTGATACACGTGTAGTATTTACTAACATGATGTAAAACCTTACTTGGTTTATAAAAGAAATCCTTTTTTCTAGAATAATAAAAGAAGTTCCTTTTAATTTTAGTATAAATATACTATATTGAACGCGTTATTGATCACTATATTGGTTACGTGTAGTCATCGTGTTATGGAATAATGGACTGGTTGAAAGTAGATTAGAGTAATAATAGGATGATAGAAATAGGCTTATTGATATGTTCTATGACAAAATAGTGGGTTATTGTATTGTCATATATTAATGTGTTCAGATTTAAATTACTTGTTATATATTTATTACTAATAAAAGTAATAAACTATTACTACTAGCATCCATGAGATTAGCTATAGTTACCATCTGTAAATAAAAAGTCAGGTGTTTTTTTTCTTCTTCACCATCATTTTGTAGAACAATCGTTTTAACATACGAGATTTTTTTCTCTCTCGCTCTCTCTCTTTCTCTCTCTTTCTATCCTTCTTGTGGTAGTTTACTATTCTATATAAAAATAAAATAAAATAAAATATTTAATACAAGCACGGAGAATGATAGATATGCTTTATCTATTAATAACTTCTAGATAAGTAATAAAACATGGCTTCTGTTATATATGCTGGGTAATAATAATAATAAAGGTCAGTATGATGATTATGTCATCGAGAAAGGTACAGCTTTAATCCTTCGTGTTTCACTAAACAATGATCAGTTGTCGTCGAATACATAGCAAAGTTTGGCAAAAGCTTTTATACATTATAGTCAATAGTTGCACTTGAATAAAAAAATAAAAAAAGCATATTCACCTGTCATTTACAGTCAAACTTTATTTTAATAAGCTACTATTGGACAACAGCAACAACAACAACAACAACAAGGATGTTGTCAGTTTAACTCTATTGCTACTACCTAATCCAAAGAAAAAAAAAAGGTTGAGAAAATGATAAATCAGAAACTTTCATATAACAGGAATGATAGTTAAACAAAGCATATATTAATAATAGTATATTGTTGTTGTTGTAGTAAACAGTGGTTTTACCAAAGAAATGCAATTCTCAGTGAGTCATAATGATTTGTATATATTTTTATATATATCCTTGTATTATTATTTTTCCTTTATTTGACATTATGCTTTCATATACATATACATATAAATATATAAATATAAATATATATATAAATATATATAAATATATAAAGAATCAAGTCTTATTAAAAGCAAGCTATTCAAATCATAATCTACCTATTATAGATGAAATATAAGATATATCAGATGAAGCTGACAACAACTAGAGTAATAATACTAATTCAAGATATCATGTTATTTAAAGTAAAGAAAGACATTGTATGAGATTGGTATCTTCAACACAATCCCTAGCTGTTCTTTCTTCTTTCTTTTCTATTGACACGCCTACTTGGGATTCAAACAAGTCTGATACTGACTCCTACTACTTAAAATAGTCATCAGTATGAACTCGATTTACGCAATAACCGTTATCGATGATTCGATAATATCCATTCTCCGAGCGAGTAAGCAATTCTTCAAGCAGTTAATGGTGAGCTGCATAATAAAATAATACATAAATGTATATTTGTTTATCATCCAAGTCTGATTGATGCTTAACTATTTTGAATATCAGCTTCTGATAATAGTAGTAAGTTTAGTTTATTATTTGTTTGTTTGTTCCATCTTTATTCTACTATCATAAAAGGGGTGTGTATATGTATATATCTAGGGTTTGTGTTAAAAGAATAATATCTATTTCATTTTTGCAAAAAAAGAAGGCGTCATCCAATAATTTCTGAGTGTAAAATATCCAGCCCTCTCCCCCCAAAAAAAAAATTAATTCTACACGTAAACTTAAAACATACATATACACACACACACATACACACACATACACACGCACACACAGATAATTTCGTATTATTTTTTTATTTTATTTCAAAGACAATCAAAGATCTTGCATTTCAACACGACAAATGGAGGTACAATTTGAACACATCTGTAGTCGACTATTTTATAGCGGTTTACTAGTCGCTATGGTGACTGATCGAGATGGAGTCATTATATTAAAATGTAAAAAAAAAAAAAAAAAAAAAAAAAAGCAATTTCTCATTTTACAGAAAAAAATAAATAAATAAATAAAAATAAAAAAATATATAAAGAAATAAAAATAAAAATCGTTTAATTATTTAACATGTAGGTGTTTCAGAGAAAGCAAAAGAAAATATGACTGGACCTATTATTCCTAGTACTTTTGCTATTGCAAATAATCAGGTAAAGGGTTGTAGTGCAAAAAAAAAAAAAAAAAAAAAAAAAAATGGGAAATGAAAAAAAAAAAAAAAAATTATGAGGTCATCTTTTTAACCAATAATTTTAGGCTTCAAAACTTGGTCTTCAGCATAATAAAAGTATAATTAGTGTCTTTGATGAATACCAAATTATTCAATTAGATCAATCCCCTTTTACTATCACACTTATTGCTGAATCAGATGCGAACACTGGTAAATTTTAAAATATTCCTTTTTTTTTTTTCTTCCCTTTTTTTTTTCTTACAAAAATAATTAATTATATAAACATGTAGGCCTATTTATAAATCTTGGTGATGATTTATTGAATATAACAAAACCTTTAGTGGAAGCGATAAATAATGAGTTATAAATATTTATATATTCATATATGTATACCGATTATTTTTCATGCAAAAGATAAAAATAAATCAAGCCAATCATTGACATTAACCAATGAAGGCAACAGTAGTATAAAAAAATACATGTGTAACTTTGTTAAGCGGAATAAAGCTTTTTCATAAAATTTCTATTTATGGATTTTCTCAGAAAAAAAAATATGTATATATAAGCTAACTCATCATTCTTTTATTTTTATTTTTATTTTTATTTTTATTTTTATTTTTTTTAATAATAATATTACCCTTCCTCTTCCTCCTCCCCCCCTTTTTTTTTAAGGAAAAAAAAATGACAATGACAACAAACAATGATTGGTTTTATATTCGATCTGTAAATACAGGAAATGTGATATCAGCATCTGATAGTTTACTTCGCTCACAAGTGATAGTAAGACCTCCTACTTTATCTGATTATGAACTTTGGTGTTGGAAAGGACAATTTTTATGTAATAAAGCAAATGGTTATGTATTAGATATTCGTAAAGGTAAATATATCATTTTATATACAAGTATTGTATTGTATTTTTTTTTAAAAAAAAAAAAAAAACTTCCCTTATTTAGGTCGATTACGATTAATTGAAGATACAGAAATTTGCTTATATCATGCAAAACCTTTAGAGGAAGCACATAATCAATTATGGTCAGTCAGAGAAGATCCAGTAGATGTTTATGGAAGACCTCTTCCAGGAGTTTATATTTATTCACTTTATAGTAATGAATGGGTACTGGAAATACAACAATCTTCATCAGAGAAATATCAAAAATTAGTTTTATTTCCTTTACAACCTATTGATAATGAAAATCAACGTTGGTTATTTGTACCTGAAGGCCAATTAGACTTAAATATACCCATTCAAGATATCTTATCCTTGACTACTCGAAAAAATTCTTCTTCCTCTATTCATGAATGCATCCTCACTCCTCCTGCTTCTCTTTCTCCTTCATCTAGTTATCCTACACCTACTAGTGAATATGAATATCCTCAAGGTCTTTCACCTGCAAAACGTGGCTCTCACCCTTCTATTTTCTCTATGGATACCTTTAAAGAATATCATCAACGTATTTATACATTACAAAAGCAGCAAAATATTAGGTAATATATATATATATATATATATATATATATGTATCATTTTATGGTGTATATAATTGACTTACAAGTTGTTATAGTGATAAAGGTATTGCTATGGCTGCTGCTTATCATATCTTTCAAAATTGGAAATTAGATCAACTTGATCATGATCTTATATCAGATTTTCCTTTGTTAACTTCACCCTTTGAAATTCGTTCTCGATTTCAAACGTTAGTACAAAAAGAAGTGCATAAATTATTATCAAATTCAAATACAAATCATCTCGAAAATACTTCTTCCCTTTCAACTCGCTTTATCATTCAATTGTATGATCAAACGCCTATTTCACCTTAACACACACACACACAACTATCCTTTTTTTTTTTTTTTTTTTTTTGTATATATGCATTTATTAATTATACATACATACATACATACACACACACACATACTTTCCTTCTTTGAACAAACTTTCACTTTTGATCTTTGTATTTTAAGTTCTTTTCTATGATGTACAACACACTTATTTACCGGCAATCTCCGTTTATTTCTTAGTAATAACAACTCTCAAATCCCCGAAACAAAAAGGAAAAAAAAAAATAATAATATAAATATGTATATATACATTTTGTACAGATATATGATAAATTGTTTATGCCCTACTATTTATTTTATTATATGCATGTTACAATACTAATAATCACACTACACTAATATTCCTATAATATAAGCCCTGTAATAATAAATATTTTGACATGTTAGTAAAATATATAAATATATAATCATCTGTGCGCAAGTATTGATTATTTGTGTTACAACCATGATGAGTGGTAGATATTATATTTGGATGATAAAAAAAAAAATAAATTATCTGCTGATGATATGTGTAATGTGGTCTAACCGCTGCTCCCCAAAAAAAAAAAAAAAAAAAAAAAAAAAAAAAAAATGATTGCGCTTAATCATTTACTACTACTACCTAACAAGCCACTAGAACTTGTCCTGTAATAGTAGTGTGAGATAATCTATTATTTATTATCACAAAGTTACACTATTCTGAAAAAAAAAAAAGACGATGAGTGATTATCGTTATTATTTAGTTTGATTTCTATTTTTTTGCCTTTTTTAGTTTATTCAGATAAAAAGGTATTATAGGATGAGAAGATTTGTTCTTATTGGTCCTCTTACCTTCTTCCCTCTTGATTTGTAACATTTTTTTTTTTCATATTATTCCTTCTTGGTGAAAATAGATTTGTATATGCTGTATAAGAAAATCGGACAAACATGATTGGTTCACGTCTCATTCCCAATTTTCTGTTTATTATATTATGAATGATGTGCTGGGGGGGGCGGCGGTGGAGTGGAGAGAAGATTCTATATAAGAGAGTTAGTACCTGGAAATAATGAATATGATCTAGAATGTGAATAATAAAGTTTGATAGAATGAGTTTGCTATCAAGCTTAATTTTTCTTTAGTGATAATCATATGCTTTTTTTGAATGTAAGTTAAAATATGTATTTTAGCCTTTCATTAAAATTGATCGACGTAACTATAAAGACAGCAGTAGTAGTAAACATGTGTAATACAATAATAATAATAATAAATATTTTCTCTTTCTTTTTATATATCTATCTATTTATTTATTCGTTCATGAATTGTCCGTTTTTATAATGACTGAAAATAAACGATCGATCTTCATTTTAACCATTCTCGTTTTATTCTTTACACTATTTTACTTGTTTTATACACCGTCACAAAAAAGTTCAGGAACAACAAAAGCTCATCAACAAGATTTACAAGAATCATTTATAACATCATCTTTAAATAGAAAACCAAGTACTATTTGTGACAAAGTAGATATTCCATGGCTGTAAATTTCTTATTTCTATTTTATTGATTTTTATTGATTTTTTTTTTTTTTTGTTTTCTTTCATATTATTATTATTAGAGCTGGCGATCGAGTTTACTGGGATGGTTGGACTGATAAAGCCATGTTTATTAAACAAGATGGTACTTTTACAAAGGGAAACGTTTATATTCAAGAAAATGAACAAGTTTGTATTGTTGTTTTGGTAAAAAAAAAAAGAAAAGAAAAGAAAAAAAAAGCATCTATTTTACTCGAGGAATTATTGATTTATTATTATTATTGTTAGCTTGGACCTACACCTGCTAAATCATCTGTTAAAAATGAAGATCATTTAGGACCAAGAGATAGTATTGCTTTATTTGCTAAAGGAAATAAAACTACTTTAACCATTGTAGAACTTGAACAACATGCAACTCAATTAAACGCTTATTTTGCACCTGTTCAATTTAATTTTCCAGATATCTATCAATTACATGGCTTGAATGAATTTCGATCTTATTTTTGGGAATCGCCTATATTACATACATATCGTCCTTTTCAATTTATATCTGAAAATAAGGTAATTGTACAGCAGCAGCAGCAGCAACAACAACAAGAACAAGAACAAAATAGATCATTACCTGAATGTTCTTCTCGTCAGCATGTTCATGGTGCTTGGATTGATTTAAATCTCTTTAGTCAAACTCAACCTAAATTACTCTATTCTATGTTTGAAAATTCAGAGAATGATTTTATAGATGGAAAAGAAAAGAAAGTATTTGTTCCAGATCAATGTCAATTAAACTTTAAAAGTACAGGTTATGCTGCACGTTGTCTTAATAAAAAGACGATTCATATCTGGGCAGATGATCATATTAAAAGGTAGTAGTAAAAAAAAAAAAAAAAAAAAAAAAAAATTAGAAATTAAATCCTACTTGGCGATAAATAGAAATTTAAAAGCACTTCATTTTAATGGTCAAGTATGGTGTCATGAAAATACAAATGACTATCCTCATTGTATTTGTCATGAAGAAGATGAATCATCACTTTATCCTTGGGCCCATGACCCATTTACACCTTTTGTTCTTAATAATGCTTTAGGAATTCATACAGAATTTTATTATAATACAATCTCAACAGATATCGCTCATAACGGGCCTTCTATCTTGAATTCAATAAGCTCATTTATGGATAAAACAACAAAGAAGGCAGATATTGTCATTCTTGGCTTAGGCAATAAAGACATTGAAAGTTATCGTATCTCACCTGAACAATTTGCTATTCAATTTAAAGAATTTATCCTTACCTTACGTCAAGATCTTTATTATCCTTATCAAACTATTCTTATTCGTACTCCACAATATTATTGTTGTGGTATTCCACTTAAAGGAACTTCATGGAATAATGGACGTAGTATGGTATTTACAAAGATAGTTCGACATATAATTCAAGATTTAGAGAACACCTTTGTATGGGATGTACATGCATTAGGTACAAATGAAAACACGTGTATAACTGAGGGGACAAGTTATTCAAAAAGACATGTAGTTTATATGGAAAATCAATTATTATGGCATTTATTATGTCCCAAAAGAATAGAATAAAAGAACATAAATATATAGATGTGCGTGTGTGTGTGTGTGTGTGTGTGTGTGTGTGTGTGTGTGTGTGTATGTGTGTATATATGTGTGTATATATGTATATGCGTGTGCGTATATTCATACTTGTATACTTATATAATGCGCTCTGTTATTATTGTTTGGCACTGACACCTAATGGACTAGCATGATCCCCTTTTATTGAATTAGATGAGGGTTTTCGTAAATAATGAACTTCACCATCTGCGGTATGCTTTGCAATAGCCAACATCCCTTTTACACCTGTTTCTGCTAATCTGACCATTTCATTCATCTCTGCAAATGACCGTTTTTTTTTATACTTGTTTAGTTTCTTACCATGACAAAGGCAGACCATAACTAATAAGAGATAGAATAAAACGATAAAAGCTTTCATACTATATATGTATGTATTTGAAAGAAAGAAGAAAACGATATCTTTTTTTTGTTTTGTTTTCTTGTTCCTTTTAACTCATGATAACACACCATTTATTTATCTCCTCTTTATCGAATCCGAGTTTCTTTTTTGTTTATTTCTCCTTATATAAAACCTCTTTTTGGTTATAAAGAACAAGTTGTCTATATAGACTTTATTTAGATCCAAGTTCCTCCTTGACATAGAATAGGGACATTTGCCATCAACATAACACACACACACACACACACTTTTGTATTATTATATGTAGTTCTATTCTTCACTTGGACAATAAGTCTCCTTATATACATATATATATATATATATAAATGGGAGAAGGATTTTCATCATTTTCTTCTTCTTTATCATAATCAAAAAAATGAAGACGGCGGCTTTGGTTCTATCTCTATTTTATTCTTTCTTCTTTATCATGAATGCTACACCCTTTTTATCAACAATAAAAGACAAAAAGGGAATCCTATTAAAACAAAAGAGAGAAGATTCAAGAAATAGATCTCAAGATGCTCAATTAGGAGGAGCTCTTCGAGGATTCGTTATCCCAAATATAGGTCAAGTTGTGCCTTCCAACCTTCTTGGTGGAAACCCTCCAGATGAGGATTAATATAACTTGTTTATTATTCATAACATAAAAGTAGATACATGTATACATCTATTTATATGTATAAAGGAGATGCATTATATCCTTGTAGAATAAATCAAGGTTGGAGATTGTGGATATAGTGACTGTTGTTGTTGTTGTTGTTGTTGAAAGATATGAGGTGTTGGATAATAAAGTAAAGGAGAAGGATATCTCAGGAAGATGGAATTAGGATTTGTAAGATGTTGTTGACAGATTGTATTATTATTATTAGTGTTTATTGTAGGGGAGATGAAGTGAGTTGAATAAAGACCTCTATTATTATTATTATTTAAAGTAGTAAAAGGATAATAATAAGAAGAAGACGGATAGCCAACAAGAGAAGATAAAGAAGTATCCATGGATGAATGACGATGGCTATCAACGATGGACATTGGTGGCTGCTGTTGAAATAGGAAAGCAACTTTGCTATCTAATGTATTCTCTGGTTGCTGTGTTGGGGTGTGACTACGTTTGAGTATTGACTTTTTTGGAAGAAGATCTTTTGTTGTCATAGTACATGGTGGTGTATTTATAGTTTTTGTTAATGATGCATACATGGTTGCTAAAGGAACATGTTCTGTATGTGTAGTAGATGTAACACGTTGTTGTGATTGTTTCTTGATATCTACTTTTTTTTTCGCAAATAAAATTAGATATGAATCACATTATTTATTTAACATTTTAATATGGATTACCTAGCATGGATGTCGTAATAAAAGAATGTTTTAATGCTTGTCTTGGTGAATATCTTTCAACTGGATCAAATATTAAAATATGTTTAAGAAAGTCATATAGCATTTTACGATCTGATAATAATAAAAGTAATCAATAAAAAAGAAGAAGGCTACTCGTTTTCTTTCTTACAAACAAACCTTCATAACTATCATCAGATTCAAATTCCATGATTTTTTGTTCAAGTGTTGTATGATGACTACTTTTATGAGGATGAAGAAGTCTAATTGGAGGATTGTGTGATACTTTTTTATTTCGCTTCGGAAAATGAAAAAATTCACTTGATCTTTTCCCTTGATGAAGCATGTGATCTGGAGGGAAGCAACTAAATAAAATTCAACTTGTATTATCAGTTTTCTTAACTCTTCTTCTCATTCTTCTTATTCTTACTCTAAAGTAGTCACCATCACATGCATTAAGGTGACTTCATTATCACTTGAAAATAACGGCTTTCCTAAAAATAATTCAGCGATAAAACAACCAAATGACCACATATCAATTGCACAACCAAATTCCATTTGTAAAATAACTTCCGGTGATCGATAAAAGGCAGTTTGAATATGATAATTTAATGTGTCAGTTTCAAAGAATGCGGATCCATAATCAATGAGTTTAACATCATGTACATTATCTTGACTGTATAACGAAATAAAATGAATAAATAGTAGTAGTTAGTAGTAGTAGTAGTATTAGTAGCAGTAGCAGTAGTCAATAGAGTTCATTTATAAAATGTTACCTTTTTAATAAAATGTTATCTGGCTTCAAGTCCGTGTGTATAATTCGCATATCCTTTAATAGATCTAATGTTTCTAGAATATGGAATGCTATCTTTTGAATATCTTGGATAACCAATTTCGCTTTCCCGGGTTTTTGGTGTAAATATTTATATAAACTAATATCAAGTAATTCAAATACTGCGCATCTATGTCCACGAAATACAAAACTATTTTTTAATTGTAAAAATCGTTCTTTATGTTCTGGACTGTCTCTAAGCTTTTTTTTTTTTTTTTTTTTTTTTTTTTAAAAAAAAATTACAAATGAATAAATAGTATATATTTGGTTTGTTTGCTTGTTTGTTTGTTTGTTTGTTTGTTTGTTTGCTAACTTTTGCTTGCTTGCTTATTTATTTATTTATTTACCTTACATAATATTTCAACTTCTTTATCACCATACATATTATATGTAGGTTGATTTTTAACTATTTTAATAGCTACAAGCTCATTTGTCTTTAATGTTCTACATTTTACAACTTGTCCAAATGATCCTTGACCCATTAAATCTAAAACTTCATACCTAAAAAAAAAAGGGACATAGTTAGTTATAATGGGAGGGAAGAAGATAGAGTCTGTTCTATTATAGTTATTACTTGATTTCATCCCCTAATAAACTCTTTACTTTTAATATATAATCATTGTTAATATTATCATAACCATTATTTTTCGAAGGTTCTCTCGGATTTGTTAACGTTCTTCTGGGTATAAAGACAAGATCTTTTTGAAATAATGGATTAATCGTTTTCATTACGTTTATATAATCTAGTGTTGCTTTTATAATAATAGGCTTTTTATCATCTCTAGTCCTCATCATGATAGATTTACACTTATATTTTAGAAAGCCTTTTTGTGATACATATTTAGAATCTAAGATATAAATAAGGTCATGACGAATTGTAGTAAAAGGGAGAAATTATTATTCTTACGTGATTTACTATTATTCTCTATTTCAACTGTATTCATTAGAAATATGTATATTAATAATAATAATAAAAAATAGGAAATGGGAAAGAAAGGGAAAAGAAAGAAAAAAAAAAAAGGTACTAAAGACATATTATATAACATGACAAGACTGTTTTAATGTAAGATATCTCCAAAAATAGAAACAAATGACGATTTAACGTAACTCATCTGAATCAATTGTCTTTTTGATCTTTAATAAAACTGACGTCTTCCAAGGATCTAAACGAGTTAATTTATCATAGTCATAAACCAACTGAGTAAAATGATCTACATCTCCTTGGTCAATACACTCTATAATTCCTTTCAATAATGCATATTCTCTAGTTGATTCAAAGGACATATCCATATTACAATAATTAGCAAGTGCTTGTGTTGTCTTTACCATATCCTAATTTGCATCTATATAAATATCCTATTTCTTTCTTTCATTTTATAATTACTTACTCCAGTACATAAATGACATAAGCCTGCTTTAAAAAAGTAATCCTTTAAAGACCATTTCAATAAAGGATCATCAACAGCTGATGTAGCTACTTGTTCATATTTTTCAATAGCTACATTATATATTTCCAAATCTGCAGCAATCTGTGCTACCTTTAAAGAACATTTATTAGCAAGTCTATTAAATAGAAAAAAAAGATTATTTTTTTTTTTTTGGTAAAATAAAAATGAAATGTCTCTTTCTCTTACGCAGGAGAATCATCAGCAAGATAAAGTTCAGATGCTTTTCCATAAGCTTCATAGGCTTCCTTGGGTTGATCAAGTTCTGATGATTCCAATAATTCAGCAATGTCCTGATAATGTCTAGCTGCAGCTCTAAAGTTACCACCTTCTTGGTCAAGTCGAACAGCCTCTCTTAATGCATTCACAGCAGCTATCCACAATAAAAATAGAATACACAAGATAAAAATTGAATAATGATGCATGTGCACATACCTACATACATTTATTTATTTTACCTGCGGGATCCGATCTTTTATAACTTTTAGATGCATTCTCATAAGCTCTTGCACCTTCAAATTTAGCACTATTGCCGCGTTGAAATAATTTGGCTGCCTCAATAAAAGCATCACCTGCGTTATTCCCTATGAAAAAGAGAGCAAGAAGGGAGGTTTTAAAGTTATATAATGTATGTGTGTGTGTGTGTACATGCGTGCATGTATGTTTTTTTTGTACATGTAAAATTTACATTGTTGAGCTAATTTAAACATGTTTCCAGCCTTTTCATATAATTCAGCTGCATCTTCGTATTTATTTGAAGGCCCAAAAAAGGACCACGAGTTTAATTTCTTTTGAGCTTGATTAATCAAATCTCTTGCTTGTTGTTCAGAAGACATTAGTAAGTTTATAAATGTGGAACAAATAAAAAAGAAAGGAAAAAAAAAATTAACTACAAATGTTGTGCTTTAACAATCAATCTCCGCCTCTCATTCACCATATGTACAATGATTGTAAATTATTCACATTTTTTTTTATGTGACTATTGGTAGATGCTAATATTGTTATAATAGTTAAATCACTATCATTGTATTTTATCACAAGCCAAGACAATAAATGATGATTGTTTAAATAAAGGAGAAAAAAAAAGAAAAAGAAGAGAGAGGGAAAGAGAAATGATTGTTTATAATATTGATAGTTGGATCTATATTGTCTATTTTTAAACAAGGCTTTGAATAGCTACACCTATTTTGCTAGAAGTAAATGTCCAAGTTGTTTTATTGTGTGTCTAGAATGACTATTTTCTAACATATGATCACTTTATGGGGCTTTATTATCAGTGCTTGTAATCGAAATCCGACATTACTATTTATGCAGGTATGACCTGATATTGAAAATAAAAGTCCTATAGACTATGTAAAAGGCTTTATTTGAAGAGAGTGAACAGCTCATAATATATTATTAGTGTATATAAAAGATTCCTGACCTTCACACACACACACTCTCTCCTTCTCCCTCTTATAAAGAGATAGTAAAACAGTGTAATAAGAAGAGCTATAAAAATAAAGATTAAATAATATCAAAAAACAAGAAAATGACGAGATAGATCATCATAATTCAAAAAAAAAAAAAAAAAAAAAATGGGGTTCCTTTTTTTTTTAAGGAGAGCATTTCATATATGTATACATATAAATATATGTAATCAATATATGGAACCCTGTTGATCGTCTAGCCTATCATATATCGTTCTCATTTACTACTTAGTTTGATTCTAAGGACCCTTTTTTTTTTTTTTTTTTTTTTTTTTTTTTTTTTTTTTTTTTGTTCTAAAATCTTTAAAAAAAAAGGTATAAAAAAAGGATTGTAGATCTCTTTAACTTTATTTGTTTTTACCCTTTCTTTTTTCTCTCTCTCTCTTATAATGCCTTTATCAGCAAAGACTAAAATAATTTGGGGATTTATGCTCGAAAATACACTTTTTACACCATTTGAAGAACATAATCACACTATAATAGAGAAAGCTTATCGTGAACGTAAAAGGAAACCATCGAGTCATTCTATCAATATTATAGATGGCAATCTTCCAAAGCCTTGTAAAGCTAAAGTTTACTTTGGTGTTGCTCAAAACCATCTTCGTATGCCAGGAACACGTTATTATGTTCATCGTATTACTGAACCCTTCTCTCCTTCACCTATTCAAAATAGATCTCCAGCATTAACAAAACATAGTGTCTCTCCTCGTCTTTCTAGTTGTAGTCAACAAACACTCTCTCCTATCTCATCCGATTGTTCTTCCATCATGTCTTCTCTAGAGCCCTCTTCCTATAGTAATGATTCACACTTAGCTACTACTACTACTACTACTACTACTACTCCTCTTTTAATGAATGATACAAGTCCTTCAATGATGACTTGTAATAGTACTCCTTCTAATCAACTATGGTATAATTCAATTCTATTCGATGAAAATAATAATAGATTTGACTATTTTTCATCTTTACCTTTTACGGAAGAGAGTCTCCTTTCAACTACTTCTCATCCCTATTATGATCAAAAAGAAGAAGATGTGTATCATTCTACTCATAATCAGGATGACTTTACAGCCACCAATGACAGTTATCGATACTCCCATCCTACTACTATCACTACTAATACTTATTACTCGCGTGATAAAATGGGTCACTTGAATCATGACATATATAGTTGGCATGAACCCAGTTCGACAATATCACATCTAGACCCTTCTCCTCCTCCTCCTCCTCCTCCTACTAATGAAGCCGTTTTAATGGATACAAAATGGCTTGATGAATTCTTATATAATATTCACACTGTTTCATGGCCTCATATCTTACCTTCAACAATTGAACCATACAAGATAAATAATATCTATCATGACTGTGCAACTCATTTTTTCCCTGACAATCACTTTGGTTATCCTTAAAAAAAAAAGAAGTGACGTTTTTCTTTTTATTTGTTTGTATATTTATTTAGACTTTTTTTTTCTGTTTTATTAGAATTTTTATTTAGACTTTTTTTTTTTATTTTGTTTATTTCATTTAGATTTTTTTTTAATACGTATTATTTACATTAAATAATTATAAAGCAATTATTATGCAGCAATTGGGGGTTTTTTTTGTGGTGGGATTTTGCGGGGAAAATATACAAATATATATTTTTTTTCCCGGTAAAAGAAAAAAAAAGTATAGGATGTAATCGGCTATTCTTTATTATGAATGATGTAGTTAGCAACAAACAATTGGAATCATCCATTTTCCCTTTTATTTTTTATCACATGATATTCTATTATGTGTAATGGTTAATAATTAAGCTCTAATTGGTTCTGATGCTACAATTCATTATTCATAATAAAAAAAAAAAAAAACCGGGATTTTCCAATCGCATCCAATTTTTGCTTTTAATTTTGACAGATGATGGATGCTTTAAGTTACTGTAAATTTCACTATAGAACTAAGCCATTCTTGTGTTTGGAATTTATTATCTCGTAAATTACGATATGCTTTTCTCGATTTGGTCTATGAAAATGTTGTTTATCTTCTTTTACTTTGTCACACTTTTCGAATCATAAAAAGAAAAAAAAAAGCAAGTCAGTCAACGCACTGTCATAGTTTTTTTTTCATAAAGTTGCTGAACATATCTCTTCATCGTTTACTATTATCTATCTTATTTTCACCATAATGCAAAGCTGCTCGTACAACAAACAATGGTGTTCGGTCTGGGCTTTTCTTGCATTATTCTAGTAGTTTTATTGATATGTGATCCGCACTTGATATTCGTAGTTCTTTATAGATCCAAATGAAGTGCCTTTATTATTAATGTCGTTGTTTATTTACTTGTATACTGATTTCCCTTTTTTTTTTTTTTCTATTGGCGAATTCAACAAAATTCAAACAAAGCCAGCCCAGTGTAGATGGTTGATTCATCCCATCATATTGAAACAATTACATTGTATTATTATACACCACGCATGATCGGAGAACAAAATAATAATTTGAATGTTAGAACATTATGTAATATCATCGAAAAAAGAAGTCTTTTTTTTTTTTTATGTATGTGTATATATGATATGTCTTCATTCAAGTATGACAACACTTTTAATCTTGGTAGTAGTTTCTGACTTTATAAAAATTAAATAAGCTTCTTTTAATTCTATTGCTTCCCTTTTTTCTTTTCTTTTTTTTTAATTTTTTTTTTTTTTAAATTCTTTGTAATATTACACATTTTATTAAAGAAAAGAAAGGGTAAAAAGGCCTTAAGTCTGTTATATGATTTTACATGTAATACCGGGTGAATTCTCTACATTCACAATTGCTATTGCTATCCTTAGCGGATTCATTATCTTTTTTGGTTATGTTTCCATGTTTATTAAAGAAAGATGTTTTTTATCAGAAGCATGTAAAAATCAAAAAAAAAAAAAAAATCGTGATTTATTTAATTTGATATGAAAAGTAGATTAACACCTATATCTACTTTTATTTTATTTATTTTTTAGTTGTGGCACTTATTGTAGGTATTATAGCAGGACCATTGGTATCAAATGGATTTAATCCTATGAGTTGGAATGATAGTGATGAGATCACTAAAGAGTTAACAAGGTGTATTCTTGCCATTCAAGTAAATATATTCATTTGTTTGTTTGTTTGTTTGTTTTTATTTATTTATTTATTTATTATAGGTGATGGCTGTGGGCATTGAACTTCCAAAGTAAAGTAACACATGCATACCCCCTAAAAGAGCAATTAATAATTAGTTTTATTTTTATATAGACATTATATGAAAAAAGAATGGTTAACCATGTTTATGCTTTTAATACCTACTATGCTCTTTATGTGGTTAGTGAGTGGATTATTTATTTGGTGGTTAATTCCACCTATTAATTATGTAAGTATAATCATAAAGATCAAAATCCTTTTTTTTTTTACTGATTTTTTTATACTGATCTTTTTATACTGATTTTTTTTTGTATAGCTTCATTCTCTTGTTATTGCTGCGTGTGTTTGTCCAACAGATCCTGTAAATATGATGTTGTGTATCTAGAAGAGTATTAGGATGATAGGTTAAAGCTTGCTTTATTTATTTATTTATTTATATAATAATAGATTTTAGCAAATTCAGTAGTAAAAGGCAGATTCGCAGAAAAACATGTTCCTGCTCATATTAGAAATGCATTATCAGCAGAAAGGTACAAAGTAGGATAGGCTTTTAAAGATAAACAAACAATAGAGCTAATTTTTTTTTTATTTTTTTTATTTTTATTTTTTATTTATTTATTATTTTTATTATAATAGTGGCGCAAATGATGGAATGGGTTTTCCTTTTCTTTTTTTGGCTTTATTTTTATTAAGTGAACCAAAAGTAGGAACGGCGATTGGAAAATGGATTTACATCACTCTTCTATTTCAAATTATACTCTCTTGTATTATTGGATTAGTAGTTGGATATATTGCAAGAAAGATATTGCAATGGTCTGAAAGAAAGTAAGTGAGCGAAGATAGTAAAAAAAAAAAAAAAAAAAAAAAAAAAAAACAATAGGAGAAAAGTGGATGATATTCAATTATTATATATAAAGTCGCTTGATAGATAAACCTTCTTTTCTTTGTTTTGCCATTGCTTTAGCTGTAAGTTAAATATTTGATGTTTATTTACTTACTTGTCTCTAATAAACACTTTTATCTCTCCTTTAGTTATTTTTAATGAGCATGACAGGATTCTCTGGCAGTGATGACTTGTTGGCTTGTTTTGTGGCAGGTAATGCATTTTCATGGGATGATTGGTTTAGACAAGAAACAGAAGAAGCACACTTTCAAGATGTGATTGATACATTACTCAATTTAGCTGTATTTGTTTATATTGGAGCTATTATTGTAAGTTTTTTTTTCTTTTTCTCTTTTTTCGTGAGTGAGTGGGTGGCTCAAAATAATAATAATAATAATACTTGTTTATACCATCTTTTCTATTTTAGCCTTGGTCTGAATTTGGAAATACAGAGATTGGATTAAAGCCATGGCGTCTAGTCGTGATTGCTATCCTTATCTTATTTTTTAGACGTCTTCCTATTTTACTCATCTTAAAACCTGTTATGCCTGCTATGAAGACTTATAGAGAAGCCGTCTTTAGTGGCTGGTTTGGTCCCATGGGTGTAGGTGCTGTCTTTTTATCTGTCATTGCAAAAGAAAGAATGGAAGAAATCTATGAAGATTCACAAGAGAAACCGTTATCGATTGAATTAATTGCCCCTGTAGTTTTATTTATCGTTCTCTCATCTACCTTAGTCCACGGGACTACCATCCCTCTCTTTAAACTTGGCAATCGTATTCGTACTCGTACTTTATCTATCACAAGTACAGGTAGTAATGGTGTACAAATATCACGATTACCTAAAATTCAATTTGGTCAACAAATAGGTAGTGTTCGAAAAAGTATTTCTACTTCTGTTACAACGTCTTCTTCATCTTCCACTTCGATAGAAGAAAACGGAAATGGTGAACGAGTGCAAACTGAGGAAAGAGCAGAAGCGATGGCTCAACTTAGACGTAACACATTAGCGAATACAATTCAACCACAATCACAATCATATACTATTGATATAGGTGATGATCATGAAGAAGATTTCTTACCTGATGAAGAAGCTGAGGAAACTAGACAACAACCTTCGTCTGCTACAACTGAATCACAAAGTATACGATTCCTTGAACCTGTAAATCCTAGAAATGCAGAGAGAAATGAAACAAGTGTATCTAGTTTTAAGAGTTGGATACATCGTAATAGTATAAAGGAAGCGACTAATACATCATCCAATGATGAATCAGCAGATAAAGAAAACATGACTGCATCACAACAACCTCATCTGAATCATCATCCTAGTAATAGTGGTGGTGCTACTGGTTTAAGGAATCTATTCCGTCGACATCAGCATACTACTAAAGATGATGAACAAGAGTCACCATTACCGCCTACAGTCAAAGTCACATCTCATGAAACAGAAGGAGAAGAATCAAATCAATTACCACCTAAACCTGCTTATCATCAAGAAGGCAAATCACATACGTTAGAGGTATTAAAGTCTATCTTTGCTCATCATCCTTCACAACATGAAGAGATAGTGAATATGGCTACTAATCTCAGTAGCCGTATTGAAGTCTGGGATGAATTAGATCATATAGAAATTGAAGATAAAGAAGATTCTTCTTCAAATATCGTTGTTTCTAAAAAAGACCCAGGATGGGAGAAAAGGGTAAAAACTGTCATTGAGGAACTTCAAGATAAAATTGATAAACAACAACAACAACAACAGCATCATCATCATCATCATTATCATCATTAATTATGATTCCCTTTTATATCTATTTTTTTTTTTTTTGTGTGGGTGTTGTGTAAAATAAATATTATATATTAATTGCCTTAAATGGTCAATGGAAGAGAATTACTTTGTGTAACATATCTAAGCTGGTTGTGGGGTCAAACAATAAGCTAGACAAGAGGATCCTGAATGGGTCATGTGCTTGTGTTAAATAGCAAGCTATCAGTCATGTGATCACTTTATATAATCAAACAATTGAAATGGTGTCAAAATTCGAGAAGAAGAAGATAATTATTAATAATTGCTGCTATTAGTTCTCATAAATGAAATTAATTTAAATTCGGTCGTCAGCACCGTATATTATTTTTATATCTGCTGCTTTTTATTTTATTTTATTTTATTTTATTTTATTTTATTTTTCTTCTTTTTCTTCTTCTTCTTTATTACCACTCTATCAATGTCTGAAAGTTATAAAGAAGATAAAAAAAGAAAGCTTATAGGAAAAGAGATCGATTCTGGAAATTCATCTTTCCTCATTACAAACAACAACAACCACAAAACGATAATTACTATAATAAAAATAAATCAAAGAATTCAATTAATCCTGTCCATCGAGATTCCGAACAAAAAAGTAAAATAAATTCACTTCAAAACTATGCGAAAAAAAACTTTTCAATCACTCTGGATCCTGAATTATTTGAAAGTATACTGGAAAATAACAATTGGGATTCAAAACAATCCATAATTGATTTAACTGATTATGAGGAAGCATCTCATGGTATCTTGGTTGAACCTCCTCGTACACCTGATAGACTACTGTTAGGATCAGAAAATGATGGTGGTACTTCATGTTATATTGATGCTTTATTATTTGCAATGTTTATTGCCAATACTGCCTTTGATCCATTATTGACATACGACATTCCAACGACAGAAGAAGAGGATGAAAAGAAAACAAAGTTACAAATGTTGCTGCGTTTATTTGTGAATAAACTCAGAAAGGGCCATATTATAAAAGCAGATTATGTACATTGGTTTCGTAAAGTATTACAAGAAGTGAATTGGAATGGTAAAGACGGACAAGGTCAATGGACACAAGAAGATGCAAGTGAATTATTTTTGTTTATTACAGAAACATTTGATTTGCCTTATTTACCCGTAAGTCACCTTTTGTTGTTGTTGTTGCCGCTGTTGCTGGCTACTACTACTGCTATCTATTTTATATAGTGTTAATCTAACAATAACAATCATAGTTTCAAATTAGATTATTTCATGGTGGAAACAAAGATAAAGATGATGATCGAGTCATGACAGATAGAACATTAACATTGTCTATACCAGATGACGACTCTATAAAAGAGGTCAAGTTACAAGATATTCTCGTTGACTACTTTTATAATAATATCATTACTGGCGTCATGCGACACATAGATGATAATTTCATATTATCCGAAAATGTAGCTGCATCTCCTACTGTCCAAACATATTCCAATAACAAAATTATGTATTCTGACAATAACGACTTTGTTTCATCAATGACAAGAGATGAAAAATATACCCTTAAAAAATTATTAGAAAAAAGTGATGGTAATGATCATCAAGAGCTAGAAGTACCAGTGACTGCATGGCAGGTATTAGAACTGTTACCATTTTATAGTGCAACAAATGAACAGGGTGAGGCGATTGAGACTCAATTGGATTCTTCTTTTCCAGATACTCACATGATTTTACCCATTGTCCTAAAACGGTATCGATATGACCCCAAGACTGGAAATTCAACAAAGATGAAGAAACGAGTGGAGGTGCCTGTGACGATTGACTTTAATAAATTTGTAAATCAAAACGTTGAAGATCCCATGTGTCCTATTTGTGGTCATCTTGTCAATTGGACACTTCATTTTAAAAGCGCTGTTTGTCATCTTGGTAATTCACCCTATAGTGGTCATTATATTAGCTATGCCCGTATCACGACGGATAATAATAATAATGTTGAGGATTCCTTTTGGCTCAAATTTGATGACATGAATACAGAGAATAGAGTGATGCAGATTATAAATGACGAGGATGATAAAAATCCCTCTATCCAGCAAATCAAAGAAGATCTTTCGGAAAATGCTTACATTTTATTTTATGAATTGGATAAAACCTGTCATCATCCCCCACTCCCTCCTTATTATTCTTCCAATGAGGACGATGAAGAAGAAGAGAGTATCCATACTAAAGATGATTTTAAACCATCTATAGATCAGCGAGAAAATTATACAAATAAAAAGAAATCGAAATCTCGTCATCGTCGTCGTCATCAGCATCATCGTCATCATTTTAATGAAAGATCTTCTCGCTTAAAAGATTCATGTAGAATAATGTAATATAGTAAAAAAAATAACAATAATAATAATAATAGTAGTAGTAGTAATAAAAATAGATGGGTTATATTATCGCTTTAAGGCATTTAATTCATTTAATAGTTCCGTCTTTTCCTTTTCCATCATCGACTCTCTTTGATGTAGAATATGTATATATTCTAAAGCTATAATATGTATATACAAATGAGTATCATGAATATATACATGTATAATGATTACTTTACCTTTACTTAGTATTTCCCATTTGCTAGTTTTTAAACCTTTATCTAACGGCAGTAAATCTCTTAAATCATCAAATAAATCTTTCATTTCTTTTCGTCTTTTACGTTCTGCTAATTTATGACTGACACGTAGTTCAGGTGAACGACTATAGGGTGTCGAATGATGTTGTTCACTACCCCTTCTTGATGAAGGTGCACTATGATGATGATGATGAAGATGATGATCCCTTTCTGTCATTGTAGGTGCCAAGTGATGATGCCTTGCTTCATTATCGAGCACTCTAGTCGAAACATGATTGTTGCCAATAGCAATTGAATGACGTCGATGAAAGAAAGGATCCTGTTGCTCTTCCTCAGTCATCATCATCGTTGGAGGTCTTTTTATTAAATAACTACTAATGGAGGGTAAAGACTCCCTTCTCCAAGAAGAAGAATTCAGTGGAATAGGACTAGGTAATGATGCATTCATATTCTCTGGCGTAGTTACTATAGAAGATCTTCTGGATGAAGGTAATGAATTATTATTATTTAATAAGGAGGTCCGAAGTAAGTTATTTGTAATAGCAGTAGTATGTAGAATTGGATCACTTGATGACTCTCGTTGTGGACTACTAGAAGAATGAATGTGATTATTATGACTCGAATCAGTAGAATAGTGATGACGGAGAGAAGAAATAGGATATAATGTCCTCGAATTTGGATCAATGAATGAAGATCTTCTTTCTTCTATTTCCTTTGTTGAAGTCATGATTGTAATAATAATAATAATAATAATAATAATAATAAAAAAGTATGTACTCTTCTACATGAAAAAAATAAATAAATAAAATAAAAAGAGAAGGGGGTAGTGAGTGTAGAATATTAAAGTTTAGTATAGCGCGTGCTTGTGATTTGCCACACCTACATAAAATAATAAAACTGGCTTATTTTTTATAGTTGCCACATGGCTTTTAGTACCTAAACTAACGAAAAATAAGAATTGAGTTTCAAAAAGGAGTTTTTTTTTTTTTTTTTTTTTTTTTTTATCAAGCATCATCATTATGGGGAACTTTCCGTATATTTTCAACGTTACTACTACTAATACTGGATTTCTTTTTTTTTTCCCTTTTATTTTGCGGTTTTTAAAACTAAAGTTGCAATTCTTTGACTAACAGTTTACAAAGTTGGACAAGCACTGCCTATTTTTTGTTTTGTTTACAATTCAATTCGTAGTAGTCTTTAAGATAATACTTTTTTTTTGTCTCTTCAGATTTTACAGTCATTGATAAATAATTCTCAGATCTCAATGTCCATTATTCAAGGCTAAAAGTGAGAAGTAGTATTGTTAATTTTGAATACATAAAATCAGAGTTTTATTTTTTTTTTTTAGAAGGATAAAGCGTACTACATAAGTTTGTTTAGTAATATAGAATACGACGCACGTGTTCCATCCAATCATAAATAATGCATAAAAACTTTATATATTTCTCTTTCTAGTAACAATCGAGCATATTAACATCGTCATCTGGATTAACTGGTATTATAGATTGAATCATCATATCTGCATTGATATCAAATGCTTCTTGATAAAGATGTTCTGGATCTAAAGTTTGTTTTTGTTGAGTCAAGTTAAGATGACGCAATACATTTAAAAAAGAAGTGTCAAAGTCATCATGTTCTACTTGATCGAATTTTCTTTTAGTTGAATGATTAGATGGTTTATCATCAGTCGCTAATATGGATTCTATAATACGAACAGCTTCAATACGAACAATTCGATTCGTATCCATAGCCTTGATAAACACATAAATTAGTTCATTTTATTATGCTTATATCTAATTTTTGAATTTACAGCTTCAACTAATAATTCTCCTGCTTGAAGATGTTGAAAGAAATCATGTTCTTGTTTTTCATGCTGATATAATAGCCATAAACATTCAATGAGTTTGCATGCTCTTGAACGTACATCGATATCATCGTCATATACTAATTTCTTTATAATAACAGGACTATAACTCATTGTGAATAAAAGTAAGTAAGTCTCTCTCTCACTCATTCATTCATACATACTTTAATGAGTTTTGTTGGTTAGAATCTTTTATTTCCATCTTCATTCCTTGACAAGATCTATTTTTAACTAAACAAATAATAGCATCAAGTGCAGCTCGTCGTACGATAGCTTCTGTATCATATAATAAACTTGGTAATTTAGCTGCTAAATTTCTAGATATTTGATGTTGTTGAATGTAACCCCATCCTTCTTCACACATCATCATCATCTAGTTAAAATCATTCATTATTTTGTTTTTGATTTCTTTTACACACACATTTATATATATATTACCTGCAAGACTTCAATGGCAGATGCTCGTACATATACTTCTGAGTCATGGATACGCTGAAATACATTGAGCGGTAAATTATATGTCAATGCAAATTGAATCTTGTTCTTTACAAAGGGCATCTCAAATAATTGACCTACAAAATGAATAGATGCATCACGGATATCCCATTCTGCATCCAAAAACTTTAAACTTAAAGCTTCTGCAAACCTATGACCCTTTTTTTTTTTTAGAGAAAAAAAAGATAAATAAGTATTACCATAGTCATTTATCTATCAAATCTATATTTACAAATTCAGTTACAAGTACGCCAATTTGATCATGACCTAGTAATACATTTAATGTATCTAAAACTAAGGATAAACTTTTACAATCTAAACTAGTTTCATCACTCATCTTGACTAAGGATTGTATCGCCCTTTTCAAGATAGGTTGATATTGTTCTGCTTGCTTGATATACCAAAGTGTATTTGTTAGTAAAGCAAGAATAGATTTCAAAACACGTGGATCTGAATAAAGTTGTTCATCTTCCAACACATTGAAAATATCAGTATAATTGGACTTCTATAGAGAAAGAGAGAAAGATAGATAGATAGATATTAGCTTTTATATATCTATGTTCAATTGTTCTAATATTCCTTTACTTGAGTCATTATGGAAGGGTATAATTGTACAAGCGTATTCATAGTGCGTAATACAAGTTGAGTTAATTGATTCCTTGTACGCGTTGTTTTGATAAATTCGTTTACATGTTTCAATTCATTCTTTTGTTTATACATGCAAAGATCGATTAGGGAATATAAGATAGAATAAGCTTCATCTATAGTAGTGTGAATATCTGTATTTGTGTTTTGTGTTAATAATGTAAATGAAGTATCCAAAAATGTTACTGCTGTCATTAAATCATCTAATTTCTTGGACTCTTTTATCATTTCTTTCGCCATATTAAATATCACCCTATATGCTATATAGATAGGTAGAATCAAGACTTATCCATTCATCATACAGTTTATATATATGTTACCCTTATTTATATTTGAATTGCAAGTATCTAAATTTAATGTCTGTAAAGGATCTTTATCGTAACTGAATAATATAGATAATATCTCTAATACTCTTGATCGAATAATTCTATCAGATAAACATAAAAGAGGTATAAATGGATGTAACTAGATTAAATAAAGCAAAGCAAAGTAAAGCACTGTCAGTTTTCCAAGGTATATATGTAAATATCGTCTTATACCAATTGTTTAGATCGAATATATTCAATTGCATTATCGTTTTTCATATTCACAATAGCCCAACAAAAATCTAACGCAGACAGTGTTTGCTTTGGATCTCCATTAGGTTGAAGAAGATTTTGAATCAAATTAGACGGATTCATTACTTGCATCAATTGTGTTAAATTGAATTCAACAAGTGTTGAAAATAAGCGGCAAGCCTCCGCTACAACATAACTACTTTGATCTAATAGAGCCAACATGATAAAATATGCGGTTTCTTCATTTTTTAATAACCATGTTTGACCATGATCACAAGCTAAAAACAAGCGACATGCCTCAATACATGCACATCTTAATGCCGCTTCGGACGATGTAATCCCTTTTGTAATCATAGTTAACAATTCTGAATGATCACACTCAAGCTCTTTAAACAAATCATCTTTTCCATAATATATTAATTGACCCATAAATCGTATACATAATGTAGTAACTCGATAGTCTTGATCATCACTCTCAATGCATGCCTTTCGAATTTGATGAAAAATTTGACACTGATTATTTAATTTATTGATATGGGAGGTATGAGTAGAAAGGACTAAAGTTAAATACGATAACACTTTCTCATAGAGTGTATTATCGACTATAGTTTTGGACATATAAGGCAATGCCTTTATCATCTTTGTTGCTCTTTCTAAATCCATTTTTTTTTTTCAAATAAAAATAAATAAGTGAATAAATAAATAAAAAATAGACACATAGATCTAACGTATAAGATATATTATTATGACAGTTCAGGTCGTCGCAAATTAAAATTTTAAACGAACATTGTTGGTCAAGAAGAAAGCTATCAATGACCAGTAGAATACATAATTTAATGGATGTAAATTATTGTTTGCGAATATTCACTGTTATTACTTTATTTACTACATTTACTTATAAACTAGAATCATTTGAATAGCTGATGTACGAACTGAGCAGCAGTTTTTTTTTTTTTTTTTTCCTGAAATTACGCCCTAGCATTATTTTAGTTCCATTCATACTCAAGTTTCACTTCATTCTTCTACTGTTAGTAACACTTGATAAAAAGGACTATTCAAAATGAAAATACCACTACTATGATTAATAAAAATTTATATTAGAGATGGGCTTAAATATGTATATATACATATATATATATATATCTTTGACCGAGATTATGAATGCTAATATAAAATGTATTTGAATGATGATACATATCAAAACGACAAACTATCATCTGATAGTAACTTTAGTTCAAGAGACAAGGTATATTGTCTTATTCATATATACCTATTTTCATCCTTTTTAAATGAAGAACGTATACTATTAGTATAAAAAAAAAATTCCTTTTAGACAATGTTTTCGATAAAACTAAAAATGTATACAAATGTGGTGTAAAATTAAAATATAATATGAATTAAGCTATTCTAGGTTATACAATGTAGTTACTTCACTGCCACCTTTGTTGCTTGTAACAATATTTTACGAAATGCATATTGTTATTTCCTACTACACACTACGAATTGTATACTCGTCTCTAAACATATACATCATATTTTTTCTTTCATTTATTAAAATGTAGAATACTCATATGTGTATATACTTTTTTTTTATTTTTTTTATTTTTACAGGGTAAAACCTCAACATCTTGTATTTAATATTTGTTGGAAAAAAAATTTGAATTTATTTATAAATTGAATATTACACAAAGGAATAAATGTAGAAAATTTACAAAAAGATGTGTGGCTAAAGGTATATGTATATAGGATAAATTTGATGGTATATATAAATATTGTAAATAAATAAAAGACGTGTATAAAGTATGATGATATATATGTATATATATGTGGGGTGTATGTGTGTGTGTACGTATGTATATAATGTGTATATAATACATTATATAGAAGCTTTATAGATCGATATTTTTTTTTGTTTGTTTTTGTTTTAATGTAATGGCATATATGTTGTATTGGAAGTATCAAAATTTATGTAACAAGAAGGAATTTCTGGCCAGTAGGAATTCAACATATTTTCACCATTTTCATATAATAAATCAGAAGGTGGATTAGTAGTAGCGATAACAGGTTCACTCATTTTAGCACCGAAATCGATGTATTGTTCCAAATTATAAGACATCAGATCAGAGACAAACAAATGACTATTAGGATCCGAGAAATCATCAAGTGAAAAGGTATTACTAGGATAATGAATATTCTTTTCAAGTGGAAATGCCTGAAGATCAATGGTCTTCATGTCAGGATGATGAGATACGGTATGAACAGCTTGTTGTTGAACAGTAGGTAGCTGAGGAATAAGAGGTGTAGCTACACTTTGTAAACCATGCAAAATATTTTGAGCTTCAACATCAAATAATAAAGGGTATTCGGAAGTAAGTAACATTTTGCCTGAGCTACAATGTTCAGGTTCGTCATACATCCAAAAGTCATTACTTTGATCTAAGCCCAACATCACTTCATGATGGTTCGTAGAAATGGCACCGATCACATCCGATGGTCTAATTAAATTACTATTTGTTGCTGTGTTGTACAAAGTGTCCATTGTTGGCGTTGTTGTTGTTGTTGTTGTTGTTTTTCTTTTTTTGGCTGGATAGCTGTCAACTTCAACAGCACTATCATCATCTTCTGATGTAGAGGATCCAGGCTCAACTGAATTACGACGTTTATTTGACTTTGGAGAAGGTCTACGACGTTTACTAACAGGATCAAGGGGGTTAAAACGAATGATAAAGTTTTTAGGATCTGTTTTAGGAGCAGCAATAGTAGTAGTAGCAGTAGCAGTAGCAGTAGCAGTAGCAGTAGTATCAGTAGATGAAGAAGATATTTGGAGTTGAGCATTCTTCTTTTCTTGAGCTGACATGTTTCTTATGCGTGGAGCAGAGATAGTTGTTTTCATCTTCTTGACCTCATAGTCCTCAGGACGTGTGATATGAATATTAGGACACATATTTTCCATTGTACCTCTCATTTTATTTTCATCACTTTCAGTATGAGAAGAGGAACGATTGTATTGAGAAGAATTATACATGCCCATATCATGATGTCTTCGGCTATGTCCACCTGCTTGACAGAGATTATCAACAAAGATTTTTTCCATATTAACCTGAAGTGTCCAATATCCACCTTTACCAGGATGTGCCTGTGTTGGACGACGATCTACTTTGACAAACCATTTTTTATTAAGAGACAAATTGTGACGAATCGAGTTCTAAAATAAAATGTTTATGTTACTAATTTTTTTTTTTTTTTTTTTTTTTTTTTTTTTTTTTTTTTTTTTTTTTACTTTTTTCCTTTTTTTTACCTGCCAGCCCTTTTGTCCTCTTTTATAATACGGATAAGCTTCCGAAATCCATTTATAAATATCGCTTAAAGTCAGACGACCATCTTTACTTGTCAAGATGGCGTGAGCAATTAAAGTAGCATATGAATAAGGTGGCTTTTCATCGCGTTCTGTAGGTTTCCACCAGGGAATAATTTGATGAGGCCAATTGGACCTTGTTCGAGAGGGACAAGTTTCCAAATCATCGTCATCTTCAGGTTGAATACCAATAGGTTCAATTTTAAATTTCAACTCTGCCGGCCTTTGCTTTTTATTCGCGTTGCTCTGTGAAGGAGTTGGATGATATGTTTCTCCAGGTGATTCCCGAATAATTGAAAATTGAGACATTTGAGTTAATTGATTTTTATCAGGCATTAGTAAGGGAGTAAAAATAAAAAAATAAAATAAAAATAAAAGGTATGTATATATATAAAAAGAGGCAACTAAAAGAATATATGTATTTTTATTTATATATCTATATATTTAGCTTTATATTTTAAGGACAATAGTAATAATAATAAAAAGTATATATAATGAATTTTTTTTAAAGAAAACAAAAAAAAAATAAAATAAAATAAAATAAAATAAATTAAAAATATTTCTCTACTATAAATACTTTTTATTCTATATATTTCATGATGATGACAGAGAAACAAAAAGGATAAAAAAAAGGTTTACTTTTTAGCTGTGTTACGTTACAGTAAGGATAGTTTCGGCTTTTCCTTCAATCGCTCTCTCTCTCTTTTCTTCTCCCTCCCCCCCTCTTCCCCTTAAAATTACATCCTGCTACTGCTTCCATGTATGGAATTTTTTTTTTCTTTTCACATATATGGCTTATCTTATATACATTTTATGTACGAATTACCATTCTCTATCCCCCTACCCCCTTAAAGCGCATATATATAATAGAAAAGGCTTGATTACAATGATTCTGTGGGAAACTTAATAGCCTTTTTTTTTTCTTTTTTTTTTCTTTTTTTTTTCTTTTTTTTTTTTACACAAAAAAAATCAGCAGCCACAAAAAAAAAAAATAAAACAGCTATTCTTTATCTATAAAATGTTACTTAATTGGTGATTTAATTATGATAGAAGGAATTGAATAACATACTACCAAAATGGTTTATACTCGTACGACATAGATCTCCATAAAAAATGAAACGCCATGACCATTGTCCCTTAATAACGGCTTCTTTGTTGATTGATATATTAAAAGTTAATTAGCTACCATGACAATAAGTTGATGTAGAATCAAACAGGTTGCACATACAGTATCAATAAGTCATACCCATACTTCATACTGATGGTTACTCTTTCAATGTATCACTTTCTTCTTTTCATCCCTTAATTTTGCATAATGAATCAAACAATAATAGTGCTCTACAACGGTTTAAAAGAAAAAAGAAATTAAGAGATGAATTGATATAAATATATATATATATATATTCATATGCATATACATATACATATATATTTAATACTCTTATGTAATTCTTATTCCATTATTTACAACATGTACTTTGAAAGAAAAGAAGATATACAAGTTTACATATATTTGCATTTAACTCTTCTTTGAACCGTACAACTATCGGGCGTGATTTCCGATATTTAGTTTGCAACTTAACTTGTGTAAAACACGAAGACTCTTAACATAGATCAATATAGTCTTGTAGTATCCATTTTTATACATTATGTGTACCTAGAAAAAAAGGGGGTTTTTGTTTTGTTTTGTTTTTTTTTTATTTTTTTTTGTTTTTTAGCAGCATAGCCGAAGTATTAAGATTAAAACCCTATAATAATTATTGTGTTAGCATGTGAGTGTTATAAGACTCATGGATCACTTTTTTTTTTATGTACATTAATAATTCTATCACGTTTCTGCAAGCAAGCGAGAGTATGTAACTTAACAAAATAAAATATGTAAGCTAAAACATGCTCTTTTTCAATATCTATAATACTAAAAAGTAATTATTTAGAATTTATACAGCAAAAAAGCTCGATTTATCAAACCTACTCGTCCTAAGTTGCTCATGGTATAATTATTTTAATTCTGGGGGGGGGGAGAAGTAATGGTGGTGGTGAAATAGTGCTGTATTCCCCCAAGAGTGATGAAATGAAGTAAATTATAATTCTGTCCCTTTTTATGATGTTTCGGCCCTGAAGAAAATTAAAAAAAAAATCACATCATCGAAGACTATAGATAATAGTTGACGTCAAACAATCTATTTAGTTATCATTACTGTTTTATAAAATTTTAGTATTATCGTAGATATGATTATGTTGCACCAAAAAAAAAGATGTATATTTAAAATTAAATCATCGTGCGTCATTTTGTATATTTAGTATTGATCATCATGTCTCTTTATTATTATTATTATTATTATTATTATTATTATTATTATTATTAAAAAAAAATGTAGTAAGTTATAATAATTTATTCATTACATAAAATAAGTCTGTCATGTTTACGTATACAGCACTCCTTGTCTTTCTTTCTCTTTATATATATGTATTATAAATTGTCATTAAGAATTTAAGTTTATGAAAATAGACATTAGAGTTAAACATGAAAACAATTTAAATACATATAAAAAAATGATGACCCTTAGTTTTTAAAAAATGAATACATTCAAAACAAATTGTTTTTGAAAGGAGAAGATTCTCTAGCTTTTTGTAGATGAATGCTATTCTGACTTTTGGGGAAAAAAAAAGACTGGCTTTCATGTTAACTTTGTAGATAATTTATTGTAAAACATAAAAAAAAGGACCTTATAAACTAATTGATATCTTTATTTCATATTAGTCTTTTTTTTTTTTTTGATAATAATAATATGCGTCTATTAAGTCATGGATCATCTATTCTAAATATCTTTTTTGTTTATCAGGGCATGCTTTATGACTATCCTTGCTCTGATGTTTATAATAATTGTAACCTATTATTCCCATAATCGAGATAAATAAACTAAAAGGAAAGAGTAAGAATCTCATATAATGTACATTAAAATAGATGATTGTTTTACCCTAAATAAGTCTTTAATGTTAAGACATCACCATAGATAATAACGGATAAACCAATTATAAAAATCTCTTTGCCGACACCAGCTACACTCAAAGTCACTGTATTTGTACCTTTGATCAAATAAAGCTCTGATAATGTCATGAGAAATGCTTTTTTTTTTGTTAAATTTAGTAAAATATATACATATTTATATATATATATGTATCATTTGAAAAGTAAAATCACTCGTATATTGTATTTTTACCTAATATCCCTCCTACAGACATAATTGATATAGATATAACTATTTCTTTAATCGTATGAATGGAATCGGTTGTAAAATCATGATGATAAAAGAAAGGTTGCTCTATATATAAGCTTAATGATAGCATTGTAATAAACATGACTGGACTCAAATGATACATAATTACAAGTGGACCATGATTGCTTATATTGCTATCCTTCAATAAAAATTGAGTTAAATTCCATCGTAAACCAGATGAAATTGCTGCAACTAAAACGAGAGTAAATCCTTGTAAATTAATATGTGGTTCTCCATCAATCGTTAATAGGACACCAAAGATAATACAAGTAATAATTGCAACTAGTCGTAATCTTGGTTTTTCAAAGCCAAATAAGAATGAAAACAGTAGAGTCCAGATAGGCGTACTTGATTTAATCATAGTATAAAAGGAAAGTGTAATTAAGGAAAGAGAAGCATTTGCACAAGCTATTTCTATAGCAGATGCTAAACTACAAGGAACCTATCATCATGTTATTATGCGTATTTTTTATTGTAGATTTATATATATACATATCTTTTATGTTGTGTCATATTATTATTATTACTTACAATCTTTTTAATGTATTCTTTTTTATTAATTGAATAATGTTGGTTCAATATAATTCTTGTGATAATAAAATGTGTTCCTGAATGGATTGCACTCATCAATATCGGAAAATTAAAGTTGGTTTTCCCCAATAATGTTTTATTGTAAATGGATAAAAGGATTGACAAAAGATACCATGAAAGTATATAACTAATATTATATCTCCATTCTGAGGATACTTGTTTTTGCATGTATGTATTTTATATAAAAAAGAAGAAAAAAAAAAAGCGTTACCAACGTAACTTATCCTTTCCCCTTTATTTTTTTTTTCCCTTTTTGTCACCTCATAATAATCAACAAAAATTCACGTGAGAGGAGGCAGCAGTCCAGTAGTCATTGATACTTTTATTATTCATGTAAATGTTGTGGGGGGAATACGAATCATTGTTTATTTTATAAATATATACACATATTACTTTTAAGAATGAGTTTTTGGTGGGGTCAGAGTGCCATCGACGAACTTGTTGGTAATTCAGCAATGACTCTTAATCACCAATGACATTACTAAAAATAGTTTATTAAATAGAAAAAGCGACTTCTGAGTTCCTTCCAGCTGGTCAGGTTGATCTAGCACTTCATCTCGAGATTAGTGATCACATAAGAAGCAAAAAAGTGACTGCAAAGGATGCTATGCGTTCTTTAAAGCAACGTCTACATCATAAAAATCCTAATGTTATATTAGCTACCCTTTCTGTAAGTTTGAATTTCTTTTTCTTTTATTTTTTTTTTGTCATAAAAAAAACAAAGGAGTTGATTCTTAATACTTTTTACTTTAGTTAGTTGATACTTGTGTAAAGAATAGTGGGCCTGCATTTGTAAAAGAAGTAGCTACTAGAGACTTTATGGAGGAAATGACTCATTTTCTAAGAATTCCTGTAAGCTTTTTCTCTTTTTATTAATTATATGATTGCATCTGATGATATGCCTGTCTTCTTTTATAGACTGGATGTAACCATGATGTAAAAGAAAAAGTATTATATCTTATTCAAGTTTGGGGGATTGCATCAAAAGGAAATAGCTCTCTTAGTTATATTTTTGGTACTTATCAACTTTTACGTGCTGAAGGTTATCGATTTCCACCAGTAACAGAAAAAATTGACCCTATATTACTCGAAACCGCAGTTGTAAGAATTATTTTGTACACATACATAGTGACTTTGGTTAACTCATCCCCTTTCCTCTCCCTCTTTTTTTTTTCTTTTTTAGGCTCCTGATTGGACAGACTCTGATTGTTGTGAACGCTGTAGAACTGCTTTTACTTTAACAAATAGAAAGGTAATTCTATTTAAAGATATACACGTCTATACATATATTTATTATTGTTAAACTTATGTAATATAATAGCATCATTGCCGACATTGTGGTCAAACATTCTGCCAGCAATGCTCGTCTAAAAGCCTTCCTTTACCTCATCTTGGAATGAATGATATTGTTCGTGTCTGTGATGGGTGCTATATTAAAGTTAAACTGGCCAAAGTTGCCGATAAGGTGACGGTACCTAAATTATTAGGGATCTCAAAACCAGCTTCAATCTCCTCTTCTTTAACTCCAAATTATACACCTTCAATTAAACATAAATTTGATTCAAACAACCCAGCTACTTCTAATAGTATTTCAAATACAATCAATAATTCTGTAGATAAACAGTTTGAGGATGATCTTAAAAAGGCTATTGAGTTATCATTGAAAGAATCTGAGCAACCTCAAAAGAAAGTGAGTTTTAACTATGATAATCACTTTACTTCTTCAGTCAATTATGAATCTAGCTTACTTGACACTACTAATAAAAAAAGTCAAGAAGAGGAAGAAGAAGATATTCATATTGCAGCTGCTATAGCTGCTTCACTTGAGGATATGAAGCTTTCGTCTAAAAGCCATCCTTATTCAACCATTCAACAAGATACTTTATCTATTACAGATATAGAGAATATACAAACATTTTCGACACTTATTCAACACATCTATTCAACAGGGAGTGATGCATCCAAGGATACTCAAATCAGTCATCTTTATTCTCAAATTGGTGCATATCAGCCAAAGTTAGTCGAAGCTTTAAACCAAGTTAGTCAAAAACATGGCAAGTATTTTAAATAGACATACTTATTCTTACAAAAAAAATCTTAATATATATGCTGTATAGATTTGTTTGTCGATATACACACAAAGTTAAATAAAGCTGTAAAGGCTTATGATAAATTAAACTATGCTACTACTCAGCATATAGCGAGAACATCTTATCCAACTTATTATATAAATCAAGCACAACAACAGCCGCAATTTTCCTCTACTATCTCTGCTAATTCCTTTTCCTCTTATCCTCCAGCATCTACATCATTTCCTCTTCAACAGCAACAAACTACTTATTCTCAACATTTACAAACACCCATTATTCAGCCTCACCAGCAGCAACAAGTGCCAATAACTCCAATATACCAACAACCTCAAGCGCCTAATCATTCATCATTGCCATATCCATATTCACAGCAACAAACCTGTGTTCCACAAGAAGAGTTGCAAACATTATATCATATACCTTCAACCGCTAATAATAAGGTATATTACAAGCAACAACCAGTTGATGAGGCTCCTTTAATCGAACTTTAAATAAATATTTATAATAATATACAATAAACCAATTTATTCTGATTTTCTTCTTTTTCCTTTTACTTCTGACCTTTTTCTTTTTTTTATAGATAAAAATATAGATTGAATGATCCATAAAGTACAGAAGATAACTATACTGAATGTTCCCCAAGTGACTAACTGAGAATCCTGTATTTTTCCAACAGGCACAAACAATGTGAGTGGCGCTGTATCATGAGTCAGCCTAATAAAAGTAATATCCTGTGTATGAGTAGGAGGTGGTAATAAGGGATATTGATCTGAGAGAGGTGGCCATGAGGCGTTTTGATTACCAAGAGCACAGGTCCAGCCTGCATAAGGTGCCTCAATTGTAATAAGTCGACTTGTAACTTTATTTGAAGGTTGCTGGTATCGAAGATGAAAAGGTAATTCCAACTGCAATTGACCAGTAGGTATTTCTTTTTGTCTTAAAAACACAATACTTCCACGAGTCTCTTTAATTTTCTCAAGAGGTAATTCGAGATCGTGTTCACCGAAAATAGTTGCCCTTCCAAGATGTCCTTCCAGATCCTTTAATTGGTAAGGATCAACAAAGACACTAGGTGGTAAAACATAAACAATATCGAGTTGACAGTTCTTTTTGTTTTCATCAAGATCTATTCTAGTTAATATTTTAGGATGCAGGCTATTTTCCTGGATAAGTTCTGAATGAATATTGACCATCTTTATGAATAATAATAATAATAATAATAATAATAATAATAATAATAATAATAAAAAAAAAAAAAAAAAAAAAAAAAAAAAAAAAAAACCAAAATTTTTCATGCTTACAAGTTTAGTTTAAAAAAAAATAATAAATAAATTGACTGCGCTTAAACATGCAACAAAAGATGTTATACATAGTATCCATCAAGATTAAAATAAAATAAAATAAAATAAAGAAAAAAGGTATCCTTAAAATAATCAAAAGATATATATTTATGGCTAAAGTCATACTATTTATTATAATTCCTTTTTTTTGTTTTTATTATTCTTTATTAAAGTAAAAAAAATAAAAAATAGTCAAGTCTACTGGAAATGATTTTGATTGGTTAAAATATGAAAAAGTTTCGACCTGCCCATGCTTTATCAACTTCAGCCCCCTCCACCCTATATAAAATTTTAAGAATAAGTTTCCCTTTTTTTTTTCCATTTATAAATTTATTATTATTATTATATACAAATATAAAACATGGCACAATTACTTGGAACAGTTGCTAAATGGGCAATTCCTGTTGGACTTGCTGTAGGTGGTGTACAATCAGCCATGTATGATGGTAAGTTAAGGTTGGGTACATTTCAAAATTGTTATTTTAATTAACAACATTATGACACAGTCCAGGGTGGTTACAGAGCTGTCATTTTCGATCGTATTCAAGGTGTGAAGCCCACCTCTATTGGTGAAGGCACTCACTTTTTGGTTCCTTGGCTTCAACGTGCTGTTTTATTTGATGTTCGTACTCGACCTCGTAACATTTCAACTACAACTGGTTCAAAAGATATGCAAATGGTTTCATTGACCCTTCGTGTATTACATCGTCCCGAAATTAAAAATTTGCCTCAAATCTATCAAAATTTGGGTCTTGATTATGATGAAAGAGTTTTACCTTCTATTGGTAACGAAGTTTTAAAAGCTGTTGTTGCTCAATTTGATGCTTCAGAATTAATTACTCAACGTGAAGTTGTATCTGCCAAGATTCGTGAGGAATTATATAAACGTGCTAAAGATTTCAATTTAGCTTTAGAAGATGTTTCTATTGTAAGTTTTTTTTTTTTTTATTATTAGTATTAGTTGGATTTATTTTATTTTTTATTTTTTTTTACTTTTTTTTTTTGAAAATATGCTTATAATCTCATATAATGTTTAGACACACATGACATTTGGTAAAGAATTCACTAATGCAGTAGAACAAAAACAAATCGCACAACAAGAAGCTGAACGTGCCAAGTTTGTTGTTGAACGTGCTGAACAAGAAAAGCAAGCAGCTATTATTCGTGCTGAAGGTGATTCAGAAGCTGCAGAAATGATTTCATCAGCACTATCAAAGGCTGGCGATGGGTAAATAGATATTTTTTATTGACTTGGAGTAAGTTATTAATCAATCCAATTGTATATAGTTTTATTGCTTTCCGTAGAATTGAAGCTAGTAAAGAAATTGCTCAAACTCTTTCACAGAATCCTCATGTTACTTATTTGCCTAATAATGGTCAAGGTGGCAGTAACATGCTTCTTGGTCTTAACACTCGTTAAAATAAAATAAAATAAAAAAACATAAAAAAAAGGGGGAAAACATAGTGGTAATAATAATAATAATAATAAACTTATATATTTGATATCTTTGGACATATTCCTTGTTGCATAGTAATAAAGCGAGCATTTAAAATTAGATTTATATTGTTTTATTTAATAAAAGACTACTTGGTTATAAAACGACTGATTATGTAATATAAGTTATTATTTCTGGGTTTCCTTGCATTTGCAAATTTCTTCATCTTTTAAACCAGCCAAGGCCTGTTCAATATGTTTACCACAGCCTTTTATATACATAAATAAATAAGTAAATTTATTTAGTATTCATATTTATTCTTTTTATTTAATTTTACCAGCCCAAGTATATTTTCCACAGTCAGGACAAGTTACTCGCATACACATTTTATATATTTATTTATTAAAAGAAAAGAAAAAGACTACTTATTTTTTTTTTCTTTTAAAAGAGTTTGAATTGAGTTTGAATTGCTTACGTGGCTTTACGTAGTCAATTCAACTTAATCGGGAAATTCATTAGAAAAGTGGGGAACAAGGCAAAATTATGCAAATTATTCTTATATAATTCATTTAATAATGACTTGAACAGCAATACAGTACTTTTTTTTTTTAAGAAACATGCATATCAAAGGAAAAAAAAAAAAGAAAGACAAGTTTTAGAGCCTTTCTTGTTTCTTTTCTTTTCCTTTTTTCTCTTTAAAAATAAAGAAAAAAAATGATATTCAATTGGGTTATTTTAGTTTTCATCGTTTGTAGCAATGGTTGTATAAACTTAATTTACGCAATAAAAAATAATGATTCAACAAGGTCAAGTAAAAAAGCAGTCAATTTAAATGACTCAATAGTCTGTGATTGTGGATTTGAAGACGAAAATCATAAAGTTTGGACACATATTTGGTTTGCTGATTATGGTGTCTATAAATCAAATTTATTGTATGATTCTCATTATTTAATAATGGACTATACAGTGGGTCCAAAGCATAAAGGATCCCTTCAACGTGTATTTTCACGTAATAATGTTAAAGTGAATGAAGATGGAGGTATCACTTTATCAGTAAATAAAAATTCAAATGGAAGATACACTTCTGCAGCCATAGGAACTAAAAGGTAAAATAATAATCATCATTATATCATGATTTTAGTCAATAATAACAAAAAAAAAGAAATGATTTCTTATATGGCACTTATCGAGCACGTATGAAAATGACAAATGTTACTGGAACTGTAGCTGCCTTTTTCTTTTACCGTAATGATTCAAGTGAAATTGATATTGAATCATTGAGTAGATTTACAAATCCTTACAAGTCTTATTTTGCTGTTCAACCTCAAATTTATGTTAAGGGTATAGCTTCACCTTTAACAAGTGAAAAACATGATCTAGAATTTAACCCGACTGAGGTAATAAATTATGTAATTTTTTTCTTACTGAAGGGTTTCAGTTATTTTTTTTTTTTTTTTTTTTTTGTTTGTTTGTTAACTTCTTTATTATTGATTGTTAGGATTATCATGAATATAGATTTGATTGGCTCCCAGGATCAGTTCAATTTTATATTGATGATTTACTTGTACGTGAAATGACAACACATATTCCTAATACGCCTGGAAGAATTATATTAAATCATTGGACTGATGGCAACCCTAACTTTAGTGGTGGGCCACCTACGGAAAATGCTGATTTGAAGGTTTCACACCTTAATTTGTTTTTTAATTCCTCCGAAACAAATTTCCCTCTACCTTGTCAACATTCAAAGACGCCTTGTCTCGTCACAGGTTAGAATGACATTAATTTTTAAATCATGTATAATACCTATTATTTACATATTTATTATTTAAAAGATATCATGAATAGACGTCTATTACCTAGTACACATGTAATATCGAAAGGTCTATCTATTATGTCATCATCAAATAGTTTATTTATGATTCTTTTATTGAATTTGCTATTAATACACTACTACTATGACTATGACTAAGAAAAAAAAAATTTTTTTCCCCGAAACCATAATCATCGTTACTATAGATCAAGCATTATTATTGGGCTACTATTTGACATAATTAAGTAATAAATAACAATATATCTCAGCTATGACAATGTAAAATAAAATAAAAATAAATAAATAAATAAAAAATAAAAAAATAAAATAAAAATATAGTAGATATTTTTTTTGAAGTATTTTGTTTAGAGACAGAGATATTGGCGTTTATATAAAATATACAAATGTATGTATTTTTTTTTCATTTTTTTTATTATGTAATCTGATCAATAAGTGTGGCTTTGATTTTGTCATTTTAATGCATCTTTTTTTTTTTTTTTTTTTTTTTGTTAATTTTTTTTTTCTGCTATTGAATTCTTTACCGTCAAAAGATAACCCGGATCGATTATCCTGCGCTTTTATCCCGAAATATTTTCTTTTAACCCTGAATAGCTCGGAGCGGAATTAAGCTTCGACAGATCAGAAAAAAAAAAAAGAAGGGTTATAAGGGAAAATTCTGTTTTATATTTAGATTTATTTATATATTTATATACAGATATTATATTTATATATGTATATTTTTATATATATATGTATATATATTTTTGTCTGTATACACATATATACAAATCTTTATTATTAATTCTTTGATTCTCTTTCTTTTATTTTATAATAATCAAGAAAAGAATAATTTACATTCATAACAGATAATAATAAAAGACAATGTATCCTTGTCTCCATAATCAAAATTAATTACAAAGAAAACACAAACAAGCAAACAAACAAACAAACAAACTAACGAACTGAACAATGAATAAGAACATCAGATCAGAAGGAAATAAGGATTATGCCAATAATAGTAACGTTGATCTCCCAGGGCAATCTTCTGAGGATACTCATTCTATCAATACTACCTCTACAAAAGGTCATCATCATGGGTCACATTCCTTTAAAGAAGATCATAATGACAGTCGATCTTCTACTATTGTGCATCGTAATGAAAATCATCAACGAGGTTTTATCAAGACATGGTTTTCCGGTTTATTAGGTGATATCTATGCTGAAGATAATCCAAGAGAGTATTCTACTATGAAAAAGAATATTATTATCTTTATAGTAGCTCTTAGTGGTATCAGTGGTCCCATTGGTAGTATGCTCTATATGCCTGGTCTAACCGATGTCTCTAAAGATTTACATGCCTCTTTACCTGCTATTAATGCTACTGTTGCTGCTTACGTTGCGCTTATGGGTATTGCTGTAAATGTCTTTTTTTTTAAAAAAAAATGATAATAATAATAATATATAATCTCCTATTTTTTTTTCATAGCCATTATTCTGGGCTAGTATGAGTGATACATATGGAAGAAAGCCCATGTATATCTTTAGTCTGATCATTAGTCTCGTTGCTGCTATCTTATGTGCTATATCAAGTAATATTGGTATGTTAATTGCTTTTCGTGCTATTCAAGCTTGTGGTTCAGGTGCAGGACAAACATTAGGTGCAGGCGTCATTGCTGATACCTTTGATGTCGCAAATCGGGGTCGAGCTTATGGTATATTTTATATTGGGTAAAAAAAAAAAAAAAAAAAAAAAAAAAAAAAAAAAAAATTAATTACATAATCAACTCATCCTGTGCTATTTTCTTTTTTTTTTTGCGTAGTCCATTATTAGGCCCTGTTATTGGTCCCACTATTGGTGGTATTCTTTGTCAATACTTGGGCTGGAGATCATCCTTTTATTTCTTAGCCATCCTAGCTGGTGTTTTATTATTAATGGTAACATTTCTCTTACCAGAAACACTTCGTAAGAAGCATGATTCAGAAGATTGTTATGATCAAGATATTATTGGCAAAAAGAAACAACAAGAAAGATTCAAAGCATTAAAGAATCTTCAAAAAGCGTTTGCCCCCATGTTAGTTATGGTAGGTGACCCTACCGTTTGTGTTATTACATTTTATAATACTATCATCTTTGCGTGTCTTTATTTTCTTGTAAGTTGAATATAATCCTATCATATTCTTTATGTTAATTATTAACTGAATTATCCTTTATATATATATATATTCATATGTTAATAGACGCCTACAATTACTGAAACGTTCGAAAGGCTTTATAACTATACATCTTTAGAAGTAGGTCTTTGCTATCTTGCTTTTGGTGTTGGCTTAATGTGTGGCTCTGTCCTTAGTGGTCAATATGCAGATTTTATTGTTAGACGACTTCGTAAATCAAGAGGACCTGAGAATGTTTACCCAGAGTTAAGACTAAGAGCTGCTTATCCTGCATTTATTTTGATTCCTGCTGGTTATTTAATTTATGGTTGGACTACACATAAAGGCATTGGTGTTTATGCTCCATTAATCGGTCTTTTTATTTGTAAATAATCTACTTATAAATATGATGGTGTCTCATTTTATTTATATAACAAAAAAAAAAAAAAAAAAAAAAAAAAAAAAAAGAAAGAAAAGAAAAAAAAAATTGACCTTTTTTTTTATTGTTATTATTATTCATAATTTAAATTAGATGCCTTGGGACAAATGTCTGCTTTTACACCCACTTCAGTATACTTAGTTGACTCAAAGCCAGGAAGGTCCGCTACAGCAGTTGCTATTAATAATTGTGTCCGTTCGATTGTAGCTGCAGTGACGACTATCTTCTCTAGTTCATGTCTTAATGCTATTGGCCCTGGTATTCTATATACAATTTTAGCGGCTATCAATGTTGCTAACTGTGTGACGTTGTTGATTGTGATGGTGTTTGGTAAAGGCTGGAGAACAGCCTTTGAAAAGAGAACTGGTGGTGAGGTTCCTACTACAACTTCTGAATCACAAGATCCTAGTAGTAAAGAGAAAATAGTTGATGAATCTAGCTTGGATACAGCAAACAAAGAAAAGACGAATAGCAATGAATATGATGAAGAACTTGCTATTGTTCATTCAAGAATGAGCCAGATTTAAATTTTTATTATTTTATTATATCTCATTTTATTTTATTTTTTATAGTACTATTTAATAACTAATATAATTATATCTGTATATTTTTATTATTATTATTATTATTATTATGGTAATAATAATAAACATAGTTTAAGGATGATTACCTGTATATATAATAAAAGTTTACTAACAAAAAGTAATCGTATAACCATTTGCTTCACATGAATAAGTCGATTTTTGATCATCATATGCAAAACTATAAGCATCTGGACATCTCTGCTTTACATCAGCAGCCTGAGCATTCTGTTTGCATGTTTCAGGCGTATTATAATTTCCTGTACAACAATCCTGTGGGGAGCCTGTTTTAGAACAAGCACTCATACAAGATACGACACTCCCTGTTGCATCCGTCACTGCATACTCTGGGGGGCAAGAGGATAGACTACAGATTGGAGACCCACATTCATAACCATCTGGTTTAGAACCACCACTAGGAGAAATGGAGAGAGGCATATTGTAACCATCAACAAGACTGATATCATAAAAATCTTTACCACCTGTTCCTTTAAAGAAAAACTCTGCTAAACTAGCAGGATTTACCGCGCCTGGTACGCCACAGTTCTGAGCGTCCTTACCCGCAGAGCCAGAGCAATGATAACGTGCCCAAACGCGTCCTCCCCAACTATCCGGCTTGCTAAAACTGTTGCTTGCTGAAGGAGTCAAATCAAAGCTTAGTTCAGGAAATGAGCTACTGATACCATTCGTAAGGACACCCACTGTTATAACACTAGCACAATTGTTTTTGACAAGAATAGGTTTGTCGGCTTGTAAAAAGGAAAAGATGAAAATATAAATAATTAGCAATTTGAGAAGAATATAACCCATTCTAAACCATTCAAAATTATATAAAATAAGAAGAAGAAGAAAACAACTAATTTTTTTTTTGTAATTCAAGCATTATAGAAGCTAGAGGGCGGGGTGGAGGAAGTGAAGGGAGAAGAAAGTTTGGTAATAGTAAACTAATAATTAAAAGGGAAAACTTTTTTGGTTGGCTGATCTGGAGGAATACTTCCAAGGGTTTAATATCATCTATCCTTTCAACAACATGCTACGTGTAAGAAAAAACCCTGAAAAAACCCAAATATTTTAAGCCCCGTTAAAAATAGATGTCAAATAAAAGAAAAATTATGTAATTTATTCATGTATTCTGAAACATACTACAAGACATGTGGGAAAAAAAAAAGTGTGGTATAATATGACTACTTTTAGAAAAAGAGGTACGCTACTGATTAATATCGATATAAAGTCATTAATAAAATATTTGAAAAAACGGGAAAAAACATTGAAAAAACTTTTATTATCATTCATGTAGGTAATCGCTCTTTCCAAACTTATCTCGTAAGGCACTGTCTGTGTAACATGAAAAAATGCTCCAGCCTCCATCTGCATTTGAATCATCTAACAAAGCTTCGTCAATGATGGTCTGATGTACAAAAACATCTTTAGAAGAATCAATTTGATGCATTTCTATAAATTGCATCATGTCATTTTCAAGTTGGCTTTCATCAAAGGACTTTCGCGTAGGTGTTGTTTGATAGAGTTGTAAGAGTAAAATTAAATAAGCACGACTTACATATATTAATGCTGGTGATCTGCCGATTTGTGATACATTTGACTATGACAAAAAAAAAAATCAGTATTTAATTTTTTTTTTTTTTTTTTTTTTTTTTTTGAAGCGCGTGTAAAATAACTACTTACACTGAAAATATATTTTGCACTCATAAAATGATATAAATAAGGTCTAAAAAAGCAATCAAATCCTTCTTCAGATTGTAAAGATACTTTAAACCAATTTTGAAATAATTGTACAATAGCAACCGCTGCTTGTGAAGTATGTAAAATAGCCTCTATCTCATCTCTTGTTAAAGGCTTATCACCTTTATAATTAGCAGAGGGTAATAATGATCTATATATAGTAATCCAACATTGGCAATAGTCTAATAATGTACAAAAATAGCTTCTTCTTGCCCAAATAGATGTATTAGGGGGAAATGAGACTTCTTTTCTAAATTGTGATTGTTTAGAAAGCGTGTTATTATAATATCTCCATAGTTTTTCTCGAAATCGATTTACAAGTATGCGAGGCTCTATTTTATGAGATTCTTCTGAAATAGATGCTGCTATCATTCTGATTTCTATTATGTTGATGGCAAACGTAGTTTGGTCCATTTCTATTTGATTAAATTCTGGTAATGGAATTGGTAATTCAATAGAAATATCATTTAATTTGAAGGTGGATAACTGATCATGAAATAGTTGAGAAACCTATGAAAAAAACAAAAAAAAACAAATCAAACAATCAATATATATATATAAATGTATATAAATGTGTAATATGTATAATATGTATGTATATGAGATTTATATCTTTAGTACATATGTATTATACGCTGTAGTACCATGTTATCATAAAACCAAACAGTCCAAAATACTCGTTTTGATTGTTCTCTTTCGAACGCTGATTTACATGACATATAACCTTCAGGGCAGTGTAGATTTAATATATAACACATACGAATTGCAATACCAAGATGCAAGAAAGCACGTCTTACTCTTCCTAAATCTAAATCATAAGTAATAAGGAATATACGTTGATGAATATTAGATAAATTTGCAGGTTCATCAATATCTAACAGGTCGTGTGAGTGGTTGTAAAATTTATTTCCTAGTTCTCCGAAATCTTGAATTTGTACAAGTTGAGGATGATATATACAGCAGTGTGGTACCGAATGTGAAAGGACAGAAGAGAGAACAATTGACTTTAACTGTCCCTCCTGATAATATTTTTCGAATCGACAAGGACTGACCAACGTAGGAAATCCACATTGATGATGTTGATGAATTAAGCGTGTCATGACATTTAGTTCTAAATATTGTTCATTCAAATTTATTGGTTCGGTAGAACCTTTCGAATTAGTTGCTGATTTAGAGTAACGATTTAGACTTTCAAATAATGTAAATATATGTTCCTTTTTGTTTGCAGTTGATTGTTGGTCTAGTTCTAGTTTTAGTGAAGATGAGTATTCAAATTCAATTTTATGATCATTTTGTTGCACAGATGAACAATTTAATTCTTTTAATGTCAATTGCTGTGAGATAAAAGTCTTATTACTCGGTTGTTTATATAGAGTATGACCTTTTAAATTGTAAAGAGCATTTACAGTATTTTTCAAAGCCTCGCTAAGGTCATCAAAGCTTTTGATGTTCGTAAATATAGATCTCATTCCATCTGTATTCTCGATAACAGGCCAGCCTGTCTCAATAGCCCAATCATATACACTACTATTGGTTTCGATTGTGGCTTTTGATGGCGATAACAGTACTTGAGAGTCTTGTTGTTCATTGGGCTCATACAAAATAGGGAGCTGTGTGACAAAAGGGTGTTGCACATGTCTATTATAAGGAGTTATGGAACGATGTTCTTGTTCAAGATGAGTAACAAATGAGGTGAGCCGACTAACCTGGTTTTCTAAATCATCTAATCTTTGTCTCATTGAAGTACTATCGACTCTTAGAGCATGATTGCTATATGTACAGTTATAACGGTCTTTACATTGTCCGCAAATAGGTTTTACTCGATCACAACCAACTCTTCTTTCTCGACATCTGATTAAATATATTAATAAATGTTTAACAAATATAAATATTTATATATGATGTGTTTTTTTTTTTTTTTTTTTTTTTTTTTTTTTTTTTTTTTTTTTTTTTTTTTTTTTTTTTTTACTTATCACATGCATAGCCTGTGTGTTGTCGTTTCTTCTTTTTAGGCTGACTATCATCCTTTGACTTTTCTAGTTGAAACTTATTGATTTGAATAGGAGATGTAATGGTAGAGGAAGATGATGATGTTGATGAAGGACTTGATATGCTTATTTGATGAGACGTGTGTTGTTGCTCTTTGTTATTATAAAATAGAGTCGTGTATGATTGAGTATGCTTATTACTAGTCGTTGTTGATTTATTAATCTTTGGATATTGAATATAAACAAATGGTCGAGCAGATTTTTGAACTGAAGTATTATTGTCAAAATGCATAATTGAAATACTTACAACTTATTATAAAAGAAAAGAAAGAAAGAAAGAAAGAAAAAAGAGGGTTTTTTTTTAACTGTTTAAACTCATGTCTGTGTAACTTTAATCGAAAGTACATGTAAAGTTACAATTTATCTATAACATGTCTTTGAGCAAGCTCAATACTAGAATATATATAACCAGCCTTTATATGTGCTGATAAATAGTATTGAATAAAAGAAAAAGAGGAGGGGTTACTGTTATTACTTAGAAATATATAGCATATAACAGGTTAGTTTAATTTAGTACACTTTTTCTTTATATATACTATTTTGAAAATACACACTAATATATATAGATGGGACGATGTATTATTATATATATATTTCAAGCCACTATGCCTGTTAAACATATCTAAACTATTAATAATTTTGATATCACTTTGCAAATAATACTACAGGTGTAGTTTCTTTTGCAAGAATGAGGTCTACACGAAAACAAATTAGAATCTTTTCTTCACATAATAAAACATTTACTCTTAAAATCGAATTGTATCTATTTCTTTTAATAAAAGGGGAAACATAAATAAAGAGCTATTTTGTCAGTATTATTAATGTATTTGTATTGTTCATCTTTGAGATAAGTACCCAAAAAAAAAAAAAAAAAAAAAAAAAAAAAAAAAAAAAAGAGAGAGAGAGAGAGAGAGACAGAGGAAAGATATAATATAAAGTATTCAATAATACTAGATGCGGTCAAAAGCTTTGGAAAACATGCTTCTTCCTCCAAATATAAGTTATTTGACTACTTCACTTTTTGTATAAAATTAAAGCCAATTGAATTTGATCGTATTAATCTATCTGAAACAGTATGTCGAAGGGGATAATTATAAAATATATATTTGATAGTGTACATAAGAAAATCTTAAGAAGACCCTATTATTATTTTGCATAATAAATAGAAACAAATCTTCTTGTAAAGGAATACACCACACATTTATTAATAATCTATTCTAAGGTGTTCTGTCATGTTGATTAGAGGATATGCTAACGAAGAATACATTTTATTTCCAATCAAGCCAGCCAAGGGTTATTGCATATGTAATAGATTCTAAATTCGTATTTTTTTTTCCTTTTATGCAATACCAATTGACAGACACAGTAGCTATCGAAAAAATCGGCCATTCATATGAATAGTTTCAGATTCCAATAATGTAACTGATTCACGAATATTTGGGCTTTGACTAATTTTTTTTTTTTTTTTTTTTTTTTTTTTTTCGCCAGTTTACTGAGCTGTAAAACCTACATATTTTGTACATTATAGATACTGCTCATCTTCTAAATTCATGTCATTCTTCCTCTTGGAACTAGTTTTAAACTTTAGATAACTTACTACAGCGCTTGAAAATATACTATGTATATATATAATCATAATCATAATCATAATATATACATTAGTATGAAGTGTTCTGTAATGTTCATGTGAAAAGCTGATAATTAGTATATGAGTAAAGATTACTTTTTCCTTTTTTTTTAAAAAAAAATATCCTCCTGTTATTAGAAATAGGCAGAGGAGAAATAATTATAATGCAAACGATAATAATTTAAAAAAGAAGTATTAATTCAATCACTGCAAAAGCACGAATCATTTTTAGAACTTTGCATATTGGAAAGTGGTTGTATTGTATAGCCAGGAAAGTGTCTTACTATATAAATATATATTTGTATGCATAGGTATTATATAATAGTACATGAAAATGTACATATAGAAAAGAATTAGTTCCAATAAATGTGTAAGTTTTAGAATAATGTCTTACAAATAGTTCCTATATTAGATCGAATTTATAGTTGAATGCATGCAGGAAAAAAAAAATACACGTTAAGGAATTACATAATCAATCATTTTTTAAATGAAATTTATTTCTCGATTCTATATACACAATTATACAAGATGTGCCAATATTTTTTTTTCTTATACACATAATTTATATGTTGTATGCATTTGCCAACATTGACTTTAGAGAATGAACCGAGTGAGGTAAAGAAGAGTCAGCAGCATTTGAAAAAGTAGCAAGTAAAAATTCTCTATTTGTTTTCCAATGAGAAGAACATAATTTGTATTCAATTGGAATCCATATTTCATGATCATATCGAATGATACGATAGCGAGTAATATAGGACTGATAATAAATCCCACCACAAAAGGAGCAGGCATTAGGATTCATTAAATAGTTTAGCATAGGTTTTGGAAGAGATTGAAGTCTTTTAGTAAACTTTACTTTTCTCCTCTGTATTTGCTTCTTATTCTTTTTGTTTGCTAAAAGATCAGATAAAATAGGATACATGATCTGTCTTGCACATGTTTCGAAAAGACTGAAGGGATTCTGAACGATAAGTTGATAGACCTTTTCTGATCTATCTAATAAATGTATACACTCATTTATGTTGATCTTTATCTTCATCATCGTCATTAGTTCAGCTGGAATAAAATTAATATTGGTTTTTGATATGTCCAGTGTTTCGAGACTACGAAGCTGAACTAAGCTAGAAGGCAATTCAATCAAAGGATTAAATGATATATTCAACTGTGTTAAACGCTTTAGTTTGCAAACTTCCTCTGGCACAAAAGTAAGTAGATTATTTGATAGATTCAAATTAGTTAAGTTTACTAGATAGTTTATTACTGGTGGCAGTTTGGTCAATTCGTTATTAGACAAATTAAGCATCGAAAGACGGTTTAGAAAGGCAACATCACTAGGAAAAGAAGACAATCCAAAGTGTTGACTAAAGAAAAGAAATTATTAAGTAATATCTTTATAATTAGAATACTTACAAATTGAGAACTTTTGGTGCTGAGGATGTGTTTGTAGTACTATATGCGTATAGTATTGGGGTTTTAGGAATTCGTCTTGATTGCGACTGAGTCTTTTGATCATTTTTAGGCGAGGAAGGATGCTCTCGAAAAAGATTTTTATAATATGTTTCATCAACATAAATAAGATCCTTCACCAGACTGGTAGGAGAAAACAAAGAATGTAATGGCAATTGAGTATTTAACTTAAACAATTTTCGAGAAGCAGTATCAACAGTCATACGGGATTGATATCAAGTATTTTATGTAAGATTAAGTGTATATTTAAGGTGAATAAGATAAAGAGGTATTAAAAAAGAAAAAAAAAAGAGAGAAAGAGAAAAGAAAAGGGAACGAGTATTTATATCGAAATAATTTGAAGTAAAATGATGATTATAATAAAATATGATAAAGTTGCCTGTTTGCATATTTTTAACTCACCCCCTTAATTTCGTTACAAAGGGTTTTCGGACCATTTAAGATCATCTTTCCATTTACTGATGACCTCAATCTTATTAACTCGACCAAAACGAAAAGCATGTTGAACCAACTTTAAACGAATCTGTGAATTTAAACCTGTCAAATAGCCAATTTTTCCTTCACCCTTTTCATATTTTAAAGCAACCGTTCCCATAATATTTCCATTTCTTTCCATCATCCATGCATTGCTTTTTCCATTATTTTGAATATGACTTAATTCAGTTGCCATTCTTTCTGATATTCTTTTTAATTCATCATTGTATTCTTGGCAGATCCATTTATACCATACTACACCTATACCAGCACTCCATAATAACATCTCTATTATCATTAATGTTGTTTTTTTAATAGTAATCGAAAGATTCAAAAATTGCGTTAAATGAATGCTCAAGATGCCGACCATTCCTGCCTGCCAAGTTCGTTTTGCAACTGTTCGTTGTTTCAAGGCACGTATAACCCGGTTTGTTCTTTTCTTTGATTCTATATCAATATAAAACTTTTTGAATTTGTCTTGGTCGTTGGGAGTATATTCACGTATAATTGTATCCTTCATTATTACTTTCCCTTATTATATGTATATAAAACGTGAAAATAGAAAATAGTTACATATAAAAAAAAAAAAAAATAGTAATGATGGCAGATACGTCACACGCAGCATAGAGAACGATTTTTTTTTTTTTTTTTTTTTTTGTTATTCGTAAAAAGACTAGGTTTTAGAAGTGAACAAAAAGAAGAAAAAAAAAAAAAAAAAAAAAGAGAAACATAGTATTTTCTGATATGAGACATAATCACATTTTTGTCAACAATAAGATTAAAATTACAACTGATAATAAAGGATTGTCAATGTTGAACGTTGTTGTTACATTATCCATTTATTGAAGCTCAGCGTATAAATTATGTATGCAAATGATGATAATTTATTATTTTGAAAGTACTGTATTTAAGCCAGGAATATCGTCTAATTTTACTGACGTTACTCCATGTGAATCTGCTTGTGAAAGTAAAGGACCGATATTTAATTCCTTCCATGATTCCCATACTTTATATACATTTTGTTTTGATTGCTCAGATAACACAATACAGAATATAGCATCATAACCACCAGCTACAATAATTTGAATTTAATATCTTTCTCTTTTTTTATATTATTATTATTTTACCTCCAGGAACACCGGCCATAACAACACCAGGGACATGAGTAGAAGCATCAAGAAGTCTCGTTTGCTCCTCAGGTTCAATAGGGACATCAGATAACTTACTCATTGTTTGTAAAAGGGAGCGAACATGATTAAAGTCATTTACTAGTGAAATAATCTCTTCAGCAACACTTCCAGAGAGTGTATACCATTCTTTTGACTTTAATTGTGCACACATCTTGATGGTTTCATTGTAACTTTGTTCATCTTCTTCATACAAATCAGTTAATTTACGGAAATGCTGTTCGACCTTTGCATTGTATGCCCCCAATTCATTCCAAAGTGAAATAGCTAATTATCAGAATATATTATACATGTATAAATATATATATTTTTATATAATTATTTCCTGTTATTTCTACAAGTGCTTACCTTCTTCTGGCTTCGATTTCTTCCATGCTAATACTTTACTCACTAAGGTAGGAGTATGACTACCTGCATCGATATCTGCCAACATTAATTTGAATCCTGGAGGCAACTTAAAAGAAGCCACCTCATTGTCCCAATTTTTGTTATTTGAATCAAGTTCTTGAGACAACGTCTTTGAATCAACTTGTTCGTTCATAATAGGAGCTAAAATAGCCGGATTAAATCTTTTATAGCGATGACTTCCCCAAACAGCAGATGAAACATCAAATCCACTACCAACCTTTCCTTGAGCGAAGCAATGAACATATTGAGCTACATTATGGATTAACACTTTTTCCGTCTCATTGAGTGTATCAGTTACAACTCTAAAGTACAATAATAATGCAGCAACGAGAGATGTTGTAAGTGCGGCTGAACTACCAAGACCTGTCTTATGTACTGTAGATAATGTGGCATGTGTTTTACAGAAAGGTTCAAGTGAAGCCAAAGCTTCTGCTGTGTTTGGAAGATGTTTCTTTTCAAGCTAATTTAACAGACAAAAAGATATAAATATATACATATATGAGTATATATATATATATTTTTTTTTCAAGCTGGTATAACTATTATTATTTTTCTCTTAAGTCCTACCTCAGCACGTTGAGAGTAGAAATCGTTATCACCGACAATCACAACTTCAATACCATTTGCTAAAAGTTGATTTAATAGATCTGAACCTATTTTCTCAAAAATGACTTTCAAAGTGAATTTTAAACAGGTTTCAACAAATTTATTTTGTGAATCTAGAGTACTATATACATATACGCGTTAAATAAAAAAAAAAAAGTCATAATATATTTATATATATAAAGAATTACATGGATTCAAACTGAAGATGTTCGTTTTTAATCGTTGTCTTATATTGCCAAACTGCATTCTCAAATTGTGGTGAACGTACAGTAATGATGCCTGCTTTAGATTGAGTCTCGGGTCTAATAACAGTATAGAAACGAGCTGTTGTTCCGACAACTAAGCCTGTAAAAGCTTGTTCTAATACTAAATAACCACCAGCAATAAGTACTTTTCCTGGTGCAGATGCTACAGTATAATTTTGAGTCATTGATTAACTAAAGACAAAAAAAAAAAAAAAAAAAAAAAAAAAAAAAAAAAAAGTAAAAAATTTGAGTATCATATTCATTATGAAATAAAAGTCATTAATTGGACAATTTCACTAAAAGATGGTACCTTTTTTTTTTATTTTATTTTATTTTTTTTTTATAGGGCAATGCAATTTTAATGAAGATAAATGAAAAAAAATAAAAAAAAAAAATAAAAAATCCTTCCCCCATTATTATTTACTTTAATGCTTATTATTAGTTGCTGTTTTTTTCTTTCGTAAATTGTATTGTCTCATTTTACCAAGAATAGAACGGCCTTGCTTAAAATCATTATAGCTACGAATAACACGCGATTGAGGACCAATCGAAGGCTGAGTAATAAACTTCCAGTGTACCATAATCCATGAAGTGTGATATGATAATTTGTCATAATAATCCTTTGCTATTGAACGAAGTATTGGCAAATTTGACCAGGGAATCTATTTAATATATATATATACATATACATGTTTAATAATGATAATAATAAAAGAAAAAATAGGCTACATAATAATCTTTACCTTTTGAAAATCATGATGCTCATTATGATATCCAATATTCATAAAAGGTATATTTAAAATACCATAGTAAGAATAGGTTTCTTGTCCATCATCAAATGTATAATGTTCTTGTATAAAATGGGCTGCACCAGGATGAAGCGAATAACCAAACCAAAGTGACAGAAACAAGTAAAACAAGCCCTTCCATCCACAATAGTGTTGAATAATAGCATCCGTACAAATAGTAAATACCAAATTAATCAATTCCCATTTAGATAATGTCAAGCTTTTGTCACTCTGCATCACTGCACCACGTACAACATACATAATTGGATAAATCATCACCCATAAAAGCTTACTGATAGCATTACCACGAATGAATGTCTTTTCCCATTCTAGCGGTAAATCAGGATCCATTCCTTCTACACCTTGCCAAGTGTGATGTTCGATATGATAACGACGAAATGATTGAGCAATAGGTACTGGTATGGTGACATTGGCTAATAACCCTACATATCGATTCTTCCATTTCTTATTAAATACTAAACAATGACAAGCTTCATGTATGATAACACCAAGTGTACTTGTTAAGGTACCACCAATAAGATAAGCAATCGAAATAAAGATAAACCATGGTGGTGACCATATTTTATTACCCAAAGTATAAGCTATACTTAACTGAACTAGGACAATAACGATGGTTACATAGAATGTACGAATATCTGTACCATATAATTTTTCGACTTCAGGATGCTCCTGTAAAATAGTATGTTTACGTTTCAAATGAGGTTCATCCATGTCATCACGAGCAAAGTCATCATCTATATACGGAATTGATCTTTTCCAAGTACCAAGATATAAAGGATGTCTATGATCAGGGTGTTTGTCTATTCCTTCTTCTATTTTCCTTGAGATTATGTTACTGGCTTTTTCTACGGTTTCTATAAATGGTGGCATGCAATTCAATATTCAGGAAGAGAAGAAGGAATGAAGGAAAGTAATAATAGCCTTTTTTTTTATTATTTTATTTTCTTTCTACCCAATCATGGTTTATTTCAATAATTTGGTGCCAATGTTACGCAGGAGCATAAAAAAGAAAACCAATAATAAAATACTTTCTATTCTTGATCTTTAAACACAATATTATAGTGAGTTTTTTTTTTTTTTTTTTTTTTTTTCAATTCCCTCATTAAATTTTTCGAACTCATTCTCCTTAAACTTTATAAGGCGCAAAGTTAAAATAGATTGTTTCAACATCATATTCTAACTATAGCCTACAGTCTCTAATTAATCTTCCTCAACAAAAGGGTCAAATATGTCTCGATTATATATGTACTGACAGTTATACCTGTAGAATCAATTCTTGTAGAAGGAACAAAGAAAAACTATCAATAGATGTTGCATCATATAATGTACATATCTAACTATTCTCAAAAGTAGGTAAACTAAATGTACAATAAACAAGAGAAATAACTTTGTTTGAATCAACACTATAAATGTCAGTAAAATGATATTAGAGGAAATATAGCCTTAACTTTTACATTAAATGAATTAAGCGTAGACATGTTCAAAATTATATAAATTTATACGTTTTATTATTAGTATTATTAGTATCATTATTAGTATCTATTATTATTATTATTATTATTATTATTATTATTATTATTATTATTATAAGAAAATACATTGCTTATTAAGAATTAAGTATATAAAAAAGGAATTTCTATTTAACAAAAGGACTTTGACTAGCATACTTCATCTTCTTGCTGTAAGTTTTTTAGTAATTCCTCTGCAGACATAACCTGTATATGTCCAGAAGAAGCAGTTGAAGAGGCACCTGTTGAATAACGACGTAGCTTTATAGAAGATCCTGTAGAAGTATTTCTATTTAATTTGGCATTTGTCTGTACATTTTTTAACCGTTTCAGTCGTTGTCGAACACGTCTTTGTCTCATTCTATGCTCTGTCTCTCCAGATTTCAATTTCTCCAATAAATCATCCATTAAACGTCGATCTTGATCTCCTGAATTTTCTTCTATCAAAGATTCATCATCTTGACTATCACTTGCTTTCAATTGTTTCTTTCGTTGTTTCTCTTCTATCTCTTGCTTACGTTTGTCTTTTAATTCTTGTTGTCGACTATATTCCATCTCCTCCATTGCACATATTTTCCAACTTGACATGAAAGTCGAAAAAATAGTAAAGAAATCGTCAGGTCGTCTTGTACGTGGATTTTCTCCATAAAATATCATTGTATCCTTCCATTTTGCATCCACATTGACGTATAATGCTTCTAGTTCTTCAAATCGGCCTAGAGCAGATAATCGGTACTCTTCCATAACATTCATAAATCGATCTTGAACCCCATTAGTGGTATTCTGGTCATTTTCTTTAACATCATTTTCTTGAACATTATTTTCTTGAACATCGTTTTCTTTAACATCATTTTCTTGAACATTATTTTCTTGAACATCGTTTTCTTGAACATCATTTTCTTGAACATCGTTTTCTTGAACATCATTTTCTTGAACATCATTTTCTTGAACATCATTTTCTTTAACATCATTTTCCTGAACATCATTTTCTTGAATATCATTTTCTTGAATATCATTTTCTTCTTTTCTCCAATATAAGTCTAATTCAGTTCCAAGTTGCCTTAAACCTTGTCTCAGCTCAGTGTATTGTTGAATAATATCTGAGATACTAGCCATGACTACATGTTCAAAAAAAAAAGTTGAATATATTTAATTTTAGTATTCATTTTATGTATTTACCTCTTGCAGCTTCTGGAACATCATTCAAATCATGCATAAAATTTAAAATAGAAGGGAATTCTCTTCTAACAATGCCAACAAGCACATGTAATAGATTCAACCGAGAAAAATCAGATGCTTTTGTATCTACAAGCTATTATATAATATAAGCGTATAGATTAATATATATATATATATATATATAAATAAAGAGAAAGTCTAGAAAATATACCTTATTTATACTATCAATTTTCATACCAAATGCGCCTCCCTGGACACTGGAAGCGTTCATATAGTTACCTAACAACAATATAATATTCAACAGTTCTTTGAATGATTCTGAATTACGTAAAGCATCAGAGGCTGATAATACAACTGATAGACCGTTTCGAAGTTGGTCAAACTTATCCCAAAATTGAGCTCTAAACAACATGAATTTTAATCTCGTTTCATATCTGTAGATTTTCATCATCTAATAAATGTATATAATAAGTGTCTTTTTTTTCTTATAAATATAAATATGTATATACTTCAATAGTAAATTGCTCAGGTGGATCTAATTTTCGACATTCTTCTTCAGGACCATCTAAATATTTTTGCATTAAGGTCAAGTCATCATCTGGACCAGGTGTATAAGTGATCAAATTTATTAAAAAGACCTCTGTACATAGTTTATCATCCATAGCCAAGATGTGTTGAGCAACTTCCTTATAAGAATCAAACTGTTTGATCTTTGGTAAAATAGCGATATCTATTTTGAAGAAAAAAAAAAGGGGGGGAATTCCTTCAGTAACTTTATAGGCATGTAATAAATATTTGTACTTACTGATATTCTTATTCTTTTCATTTGTCAGAAATTTGATAGAATCATTTCGTACCTCCCTTTTCTTTTGCTTCTTTTCTAAAAAGGTATTTATTTTTGCAGGGAATAAGGTATCAATCTTTTCAAAAGCACCTTTTTTGTTTAAAGTCTCTTCAATTGAATCATGACATTCATTGGACTGGTACCAGATAGTCTTTTTTATTGAATTGAAGTCTAATTTCTGCCATTGAAAATTCTTTAATTTGACTTGTGGATAATAGTGAAGTTCTTTGCGAAGAGGGACTGTAAAGTGGGTTGATCCTGGTGGCATTAATAATCCTGAAGATAGCTGTGATGGAGGTGGAGGTGGAGGTGGTGGAGGAGGAGGAGATGTATGATTTGTAAGATCTAAATTTATCGTAAATAAGTATAAATCATAAAATATGCATATATATTATAGAATGGTATACCATTGTTAAGAATAGATGGCAACACTTTTGACCCTGCATGTAAATTATATGTTATAACAAATCAAACTAAAAATTTGTGTAAAACTATCTTACCTGGCTGAGAAGGAGGTGGTGGTGGTGGCGGTGGTGGTGGAGGAGGAGGCGGAGGAGGAGGCGGTGGTGGTGATAATATTGAATCTAATATTTCGATTTTTGTTAGACAATATAACCAAAAAAAAAAGGGGGGAAGGTGAGAAATAGAGACAAGATTTGATAAATTACCTGAACTGTGTGATGAAGAAAGCTGGGTCAGTGGTTGCATTGACGATGCATGGTCATAAGAATTTGTTCTGCTTAAGGTGGATGACAATATACTAGAAGCTTTATTAGATGAAATTGATGTACGAACTAAACAAAATAGATGCGTGAATACAGTACTTTTTTTTTTCCTTTTCCTTTTACTAGCTGTATTGATTTTTACCTGAAGCAGACTCATTTTTTTTATTTTTACTTTTACCAAAAAAAGGTAAAAATAGCCCACCAAAATTGCTAAAAGTAGAATTTGATTTATGATTAAATGATTCATGATTAGACCAATTTATTTTAGAAGATGAACGCTGTAATAATTAAAGTAAGTTTAAATATTATAGTGATTACTCTTATAAAATGTACTCACAGTTTCATCCATTGACTTTCTTTCTAGTTTCTTATGAGCTACTTTCCATTCTGTATTAATAACGATATTATTTTTTCTTTCCATACTTTCAATAGTCGCCAATCGCTCTTGAAGCATTGCAATTGTCTCCTTTGATGTCTTTAAGACATTTCTAAGTGAGTCGTTTTCCTGTTTTAAATATGTATTTCTTTGAATTTGTGCTTCATGTTCCATTTGATTTGGCAAAATACGAAGCTTTTGTACTTCGTTCTGTAACTCATCTCTTTCACTCGATAACTTTTCATATTGATCCCTTAGTTCATTTGCCTCTCTTTCAATCTTCTTTAGTCGCTCCAAGTCTTGAAAATTTTGAATGATAGTACCGACTGCCATACCAAATGTAGATGAGAAACTATCTGCATTATCGTGAGACCTTTGATCTTCAACAATTTTTTGTATAATGATGTTTATCATGTGGTAAAAATGGCATCTAAAACCAAAAGAGAGAGAAAGAGAAAAGGAAAAGAAAAAATACAGGTTTTTAAGTTTTCAAAGTTATTATATGATAAACACTAAATAAATGAACAAATGCCCTACTTTGTTTCTGAATCACCTTTAATCCATAATAAATACTTCATCATTGACAAGAAATATTCAGTTCCTTTCGGTGAATCTGATATACTTTCAATCACTTGGTCAAATAAATCAGCAGGTTGTGAAAGCTCTGAATAGAGTGATATGTCTTCTCCAAAGGCCTCATCCATGTCATTCTCTGCCGCTTCATTGTAAGACTCAATTTGCTTATTTAGTAATGTATAATCTAATACTTTTAATTTAGGTAATAAAAAGGATTCCAATCCAGACGCAACAAACTGGTTACGCATATAAATTCTATAATTTACATCAGAAGGAATACTTATTATAGCATTAATTAAAATCATATTTGAAAGCTATACAAGAAGATACACATTAGAATATATGAACTAAGAATAAATAGATAACTTACAGCATATTCCATAAGATGGCTTTCGGATAATTTTTCTCTATAAAGTGAATCTGTGTTAAATATCTCTAACATGGCTTTAATCCATGCATCATATAGCCCCAATGTATTTTTAAACTTCTTCAACAACTCGAATCCTCGAACAACATGTTCATATCCATCTGAATAACATAAGAACGCTAATAGTTCACAAACCATTTTTCTTGTTTGCCAATAAGGACAAAGAATCGAAAAAACCACTGTATGAATATATTCTGGATGATCCATTGCTTCTTTTCCGCCTACTTTTGTATTAACAATAGCTTTGATACATTTTATAAGTTCTATTTCTAATCCTAATGCGACATCTCTTCTAGATTCTGAATTATGATTTAAATAGTCAAGCGCATAAGATATCACATGAAAGCCTTTCAAATGTATAAATTTAACAACCCAGCTTTATATATAAAATTTAAATTAGTGACGTCTATTATATATATATGTGTGTGTGTGTTTTTTTGCTAAGCAAGAAAATAATAGGAAAAAAAAAAAAAAAAAAAAAGAGAGGGAGAGAGAGATAGAGATAGAGACTTACTCAATTGACCTTGTTCTCAAGCTTACTTCAAGATTGGCTGCAATCTTGGGTGTCACTGATCGTAAATTAGGATCCAAAAACTTTTTAACAAAGAATTCGGGTGAATTTTGTTCCATAGTTTGAGTATCAAAATAATGGTCATTATGAAATAGGTTCGTCGTTGGCGGTAAAGAAATACTTTCAGAAAGTCTACGTGTAGGTGTAGGTGACCTCCTAGCTGTTGTTGTTGGACTCGGTAAACTTAGATTTGTACTACTATTAGAGTCAGTCGTATTACTTGTAAGTGAATTATGACTAGGTGGAAAGTCGGACTTGGTTGGAGCTGGTCCTTCCTGTTGTTGTTGAGTAGTGGATTTTGACGATGGATGATTAAAATTGGGTTGATGGGTAGGTAATCGGTTAATGTCATTGCTTGTTCTTTCTACCATAGCATTTTGGAGATAATCATGTTTTATTCCAGAGGCTAATAGCTCTGATTGATGATCTTGGTTTACCAAGAGCCATTTCTTTTCAATTCCCCAATTTTCCATGCATTGTTTAAGATTTGGATCATGAATGCCACGACGTTCCTAAAAAAAAAAAATTAATGTTGTTAATTGGAACAACATTATCAATTATTCCTTATACACTTACAAGCATATTATCAAATAACAAGTTTACATCATTCTCTGAAGGTAAACTATTGGCTTTAGCAAAATTAAGTTCTGCTAGGCCTGTTTCAAAAGAAGACTGATTTGGAATAATAGACTGATGCCGTAATCTTGCGCCTGCATAAACTATATATGCGTGTAACATGGTCAAAATCATGCATTATGTCAAAAAGACTAAACTGTACAAGACTTACTATGATGATTCCTATGCCTTATGTTTAGTACTTTTTTGACTGAATGAGGCTTATAAAGTGATCTTTGAGGTGGAATAGATCCATTTGTTGGATGGCGTTTCTTTTTACCACCGAGACGATCAAATAAATGATCCATTTGTTCCAAACAAAGTGAAAAAAAAAAGACTAAATATGACCTGCCTCTATTTTTTTTTTGTTATTTTATATTAATTTAATAATACAAAAAAGAATAGAAGAAAGAAAGAAAGAAGGAAAAAAAAAAAATAAAAAAAAAAAATAAAAGACATTACATTCAGAACAGAATCCCATTGTTAGAAAAGTGTATTTAAACTTTTTTTTATTATACTTCTGAAATCTAACCAATCAACATAAGACGGAGTTTGTATTTATTAAAATTGAACCATGTGCATTTACAAGCGATTTTCATACACTCGAGTATTCCACTTTTCTTTTTCATTAATAACTAAGGCAGCCTCCAAAACATCCCAAATATTCTTTGTATACACAAATTTAATATCTTCTTTTACCTTATTAGGAACATCTTGGTCTACATCCTTTTTGTTGCGAAATGGTAAAATAATTTTCTGAATACCAGCGCGATGTGCAGACACGACTTTTTCTTTAATTCCTCCTACAGGTAATACCTGACCTCTTAATGAGATTTCACCTGTCATAGCTGTGGTTGTAGGTACATGGTACCCAGAAAAAAGCGACACAAGTGAAGTTACTATAGTGACACCTTTGTATGCATGACATAGTTATTTCATATTTTAGTAAAAAATATAGATAAATAAATATAGGAGTATGTTTTACCTGCGCTTGGACCATCTTTTGGAACAGCCCCACCAGGTACATGAATATGAACATCATATTTTTCGACTAAATTATCCCCTTCTCTCGGTACAACCTTTAAACTATATGCGTGAGCCTTGACCCATGTTAAAGCTAAATGAGCTGACTCTTTAATTACATCACCCAAAGATCCTAAATTAGATAGTTAAGCTGTCTTTGTATTATATAGTTTGTTTGCTCAATACGTATATAGATATATAGATATAGATATAAATATATATTTGTATATGTATATGTATATACCTGTTAAATGTAAATCGCCATGACCGGGCATTTTAGTTGATTCAATAAATAAAATGCCACCATTCCCACTGCCCGAATAAGCTAAACCAGTAACTACACCTGGTAAAGGATCTCTCTCCGCAACTTCTTTTTCATAAAATGGCATCTATAAAATAATAACAATCATAATTTTAGTATATCGATCTAACTATATATATAATCTATATAATTTACACCCAAGATTTCTTCAATATGAGATAAAGATACTATTGAACTGTATTCTAATTCTTTATTTAATTCACGAAAATTAGCCAATTCGACACATTTGGCGCGAACAACAGATGCAATCGTTCTTTCTAAACTACGAACACCACTCTCACGAGTATAATTTTCTGCTAGCTTTAAAATAACCTTATCTGACATCTCGACCTGGCCCTTATCAAGACCATGTACGAGCAATTGCTTTGGTAACAAATGTGATTTAGCAATATGTAGCTTTTCTTCAAAGGTATAACCATTCAAGGTGATTAATTCCATACGATCTAATAAAGGTTCTGGAATAGTCTCCACACTATTGGCAGTTGCAATAAATAATACATTAGAAAGGTCAAAAGGAAGATTCAGATAATGATCTGTAAAACTGTTGTTTTGTTCTGGATCTAAAACCTCTAATAAAGCTGCTGCAGGATCACCATAGTGAGAAGATTGTACAAGCTTATCAATTTCGTCTAATAAAAATAAAGGATTATTCACTTTGCATTTTCTTAATCCCTGAATAATTAAGCCTGGCATAGCACCCACATAAGTGCGTCTATGGCCTCTATTAAGATGACAATAAATAAATAAAAATACCCGACTTTTTTTTTTTTTTTTTTTTGCTTGCTTGCCTCATTTCTGCTTCATCACGAACACCACCTAATGAAATACGATGAAATTCACGACCTAAAGATGAAGCAATTGATTTTCCAAGTGAAGTTTTTCCTACACCAGGCTATAACATGACACATATAAATTATTATACATAAAATATACAGGATCAAAAAAAAAAAAAAAAAAAAAAAAAAAAAAAAAAAAAAAAAGGAGGGAAGGGAAGGGAAGGGAAGGGGCTTACAGGTCCAACAAAACAAATGATAGGTGCTCTTAAATCGCCTTTAATTTTAATAACTGAAAGATACTCGATGATACGTTTCTTAACGTGGTCTAAACCAAAATGATCTTCCTCCAGTTTTTGTTTAGCTTGTCTAATATCAATAGTATCCTTTGATTTTTTGTTCCATGGTAAGTCAGCTAATAATTCTAAATAGTTTCGAGCAACTGCATATTCACTTGAAATAGGTTGAAGTTTCTTTAGACGTTTAAGCTCTCTTTGAGCTATAATAGATGCTTCTTCTGGTAATTCAGCTGCGGCTAATTTATTACTCAAGAGTTCTAAATCGTCTTCTTCCTTTTCACCATGTGTGCCATCCTTTTCTCCTAACTCTTTTTTGATCGCCTCAAGCTATATATATATATGTGTGTGTATATGTATATATATAAATCAAATCATACTGTACAAGTCGTATGCGTATATATTTCATCTTCTACATATTTTACCTGTTGACGGAGATAGAATTCTCTTTGCTTTTTACTCAATTTACCTTCAATACTAGAATGAACTTGCTCTGATATCTTGAGGACCTAAAATAGACAATCATCAACTTGAATATACAAAAAAAAAAGAAGAAGTAGGCTAGTTTATCAAACTTTTTTTTTTTTTTTTTTACATGAAGTTGTCTCGTCATCCATTCACTAGCTTTTTCTATCCTTTCTTTCAAACTTGTAGTTGCTAACATGATTAATTTTTCATCAAAAGAAGTTTCAATGACTGACATCAACAAGTCAGCTAAAAGAAGGGGTGAGACTGAATCCATCAATTTATTTAATTGTTGGATCAAATTAGCAGGCATTTGAAGTTCTTTCATTTTGACAAGAAACTCTCTTACAAGAGCCTTGAAACGAATCATTTCATCACTTTTTTCATCGCTATCGTTATCCATGGCTATCTTTATTTTCACATAGAGAGGGCTACGATCTTGTTGACTGTAGCTCTGAACTTTGAAACGAGAGACTCCTTCAATAAACATGGTAAAGGCTCCTAAGCCTGATCTTTGAATTCGAATGATACGAGCTGTACAACCAAAATGAAAGAGACGATCTTTTTCTTCTGGTCTTATAAACCCTTCGTCTTTTGTATTTCTTGTAGATTCGTCGTCATCAGCAGTAGCAGCAGCAACAGGTTGATGTTGATCATCTTTGTTAATTAAAGGAATGCAAGCAATATAGGTAGGCTTACGTTGCTCATTAGATCTCAAATGCTGACGTGCAAGAGCGACTGCATCTCTACCTCGCATATTTATCTTTAAAACAACAGCAGGTAACAAGACTTTATTTTCCAATGGAACAACAATTAAATTATCCTCTGCACTTGTTGTTGGCATAGTAATCAATTAGAAAGAATAATATGAGGGGGAGGGAAATAAAAGAAAAAAGAGGGAGAGAAAAGAAAAAAAAAAAGGGAAAAAAAAATAACAAAACAAATAAAGATTTCCCTCAAAATGTCTTTCATGTGATGTTGTAATAATCTTTCTTTTTATGTAAAATCCCTTTATAATTAAAGATTTATCATTCTGTATTACAAAAAAAAAAAAAAAAAAAAAAAAAAAAAAAAGTTCCTTTAATTCCTTTTTTGGAAATTACATAGAGTAGATAACAGCTTTTATTCAGTTTAAATAATGCGTATTCCTTCAAGTATACTATGCTTTCTTTTTTTTTTTTTTTTTTTTCTTTTTTTATAGAAAGAAATGAATGATATTAAAGCCAAATAATAATGATAATAAAGAATGGGAAAGTATGGAAATTCTTCTTCCACTAAGCATGTCTATATATATTCCCAAAAAAAAAAAAAAAAAAAAAAAAAAAAAAAAAAAGAGAGAGAGAGAGATAAGCTCAAATTGAATGGTAGAAGGATTAGAATAGAATTGCTATGATATGTTCATTTATTTATGTAATGACGTACATGATAATTTAGTGTATATATATGTACATGTATATATAATGACAAAATTTGAAAAAAAAAAAAAAATATAACAATAATAATATAAATAGGAAAAAAAAGTTACAATATATAAAAACAAAACAAAATAAGTGGAATGGGAGAAAGAGGGGGAGGGGGAGGGGAAGGGGAGGAGAAGAAGGAGGGAACTAATAACCTATGGCTGACATGATACCATAACCAAGGGTAAAGATTAAAACAGTAGAAATGATACTTGTAGGGATACCACTGATAATAAAGTGTTTGGTTGTTACATAAGGTTTACCTGATGGATCTTCAAGCATGACAGCAGACATGTTTGGATAACCGGAAACAGGAAGACCCATACCAGCAGAGCAAGCTAAACCAGCTCCCATCACCAACAAGTTGGGACGAGGTACTGGTAAATTGCGACCCACTTCTTGAACAATTGGAACAATAATCAAAGCGGCGACAGTATGAGAAACAAAGGTAGCAAAGACTAAGATAAGGAAACTGAAAATGGCCAAGATAGCGATAGCTGGTAAATCAGCAATACCATCCTTAAGACGAAGTGCAATATCTTTTAATAAACCAGAGGAAGTAACTGCATTACCAAGGGCCATACCACCCTGTGCAAGGACAACAACAGACCATAAAAAGTTGTGAAGATCTTCCTTATTCAAAATACCCACACCAAAGAAGACAAACAAGGGGATCGTGGCAATAATACCTGTATCACCCATAGCATATTCAATAGATGATTCAGCACACCAAAGAGCAATAGTAGCAATCGTAATAAAGACAACAAATACTTGTTGCCAAGTAATCTTCTCCTTTGCAGGCTTAACCGTATTTAAATGAGGGGTATCACTAGCGGGTTTAAAGACAAGTAATAAGAGCCCCCAACAGATGAACATGGATAAGATAGCAACAGGCAAAGCAACACCAAACCAGATACCCCAACCAGGATTAGGATTAACATATTGAATAGTAATGATATTTTGAGGGGAAGAAATGGGAGAGGTCATGCCACCAATACAACTAGAGAGAGCAATGCCAAGAATCAAACAAGGGCCTACACGCGATTTATCGGGTAAAGTACGGAGAATAGGATCAATTAAAGAGAAACAAAGAACAGGAGTGGCAACATTAGAGATAAACATACTAAGGAAACCTGAAACAAACATGATAGCTAATAAAACCCACATAGGACGAGTACCAGCACGACTTAATACATGTGAGGCAAAGGCCTTGGCAATACCATATTTTGAAAGAGCAGCAGCAAGAGCGAAGCCACCAAGAAGCATCATAATTGTACCACTAAACATAGCAGAGAAAGTAGCTTTAGCAGCTGCTTTGGCCGTCATAACAGAGCCATCTGGATTACACATGATTTTCAGCGGCACAATCATGAAAGGGATGAGACAAGAGGTAGCATAAAGAGGGATAGCCTCTGTAGCCCACATGATGGCAGAGAAAATAAGTAAAGCAAAACAATAATTTTCTTGACGATTACCAAAACAATCTACACATAATAAAATAATAAGAGCAGCAATAGAAAGGGCAACACAGAAAATTTGACGCAAGATGGAAGCATCAAGTTGGAAATTTGTAAATGGTACTTTATACGTTTTAACTTCAGTAGGCTCAATTAACTTGGTATCATGGTTTCTACGTTCTTGACGTACCATATCTTTCCAAACCGTATTTCGTTCAAATGTAACTTGATCACGCAAATGACTCTTCATTTGACGAAGAGCGATTACGCGTGAGCCACCACAAAAGGCATTTGCAAAAATAGTTTCGACACGAGCAAGTTGACCTTTAAGAACGTTCATGGTTTCGGGCATAAATGGACGACTCTCGTTAACCATCTTATTTATATATTGTTCTTTTAAATTGCCTTCAAGGACTTTATCATATTTCTTTAAAATCTTTTCAAAGGCTGTACGATTCAATTCGATATAAGATTCAAGTTCTGATAAAGAAATATACAGTAAAATTAATTGAGAACGTAAATCAGATAATTCTTCCACAAGAAAATCATCATCACGGTCCAAGGACATACGAGACTCAAATGATTGTCTAGAAGCTCGAGAACCACGACGAGAACCACGAGAGACTTTAGAGCTGCGACGTTCAGGAGCGATTTTTTCGATTCTTTCAACAGGTAAGTCAAAGCTATCTTTTTCTATCGAATTAGGAAGTTGATATGTAGAATCAAGATTTTCAAGGGGTGATAATTGATGTTTGGCATTATAAAAACTAACGTCATCATTATCAACAAAATTTCTATTTCCATTTACTTCAGCCTCTAAATCATCAAGCATACTAAAAAGTTCAGATTCTTTTTGAGTATAAAAATCGAATATTTTCTCAAGCTGTGCATCAAGGGCTGTTAAAAATCGAGCTTCACCATCTTGTCTATTTTCAAATGCTTTTTCTGTATCATGTTGTGTATTGATTTCTTCAACACGTTCCTTTTCTAATTGAAATATTAATTTCTTCAAAGTGTCGTAACTATGATTATCAACAAAGTAAATGTCAATATTTTTTCTATATTTGGTGATTTTTTTTTCTTTATTATTGTACTCACTTGACGTAATTGTCAATCCATTCTGGTACTGCATTTAATCGTAATGTGTGTGAAAACCTCATATTTTAATGTAAATATAAATACATATATAATGTATATATATTTATATATATAATTATATGTATATGAATATATTAAAAAAAAAAAAGATAAAAAAATAAAATAATAAAAGATTTGAAGTATAAAAAAAAAAAAAAAAAAAAGACTGTTTTTATATATCCGGATATATAAAGTTGATTCAACCGGAGCTTATGTTTATCAGTTTGTAAATGGTAAAGTTATTGGCCTATCAACTCAATCTCTGAAGCTTTCCTATACACTGATTGGATTATCTGATGTTCAAACTATCAAACGCGACGTCACATGCAGCAAATAATTTCATCCAAAAGCTTTCGGTATTTCATTTTATTTTTGAAAACATATAATCCATATTTTTTTTTTTCATTTTAAATTAACTAAACTAAAAATAAAAGAACGATACCAGTTTTTTTATAAAAAAAAAAAAAAATGAAGAAATTAATTTTTATTTTATTATCAATATTTTTCTTTTCTTTAAAAAAAAAATAAAATAAAAAATAAAAAATAAAATAGAGAATGGAGTTAAGTTTTAAGGGTTTGAAAAAAAAAAAAAAAAAATTATAAATCTTAGACACACACAAAAAATCGACATTTTTCCTTTTTTCCAAAAAATAAAAAATAACCATATATTTTAACCAATCATGTATGCACGTGGGGCACCCTTTTTTTATTTTGTAGAATTTTTGTAAACTTGGTAAAATTCTGCCTTTGAATTACTTGGAATAGTAAAATTAATTTATGCTATCCCTTTTTAGTATTAAAACGCTTGATTGGCTACTATATTAGAGATAATAACAGCATTTACTGCACTTTCTTTTGCATACTGGAGACATCATTAATAACCTATTTTTCTTTTGTTTAAATGATAAGGGCCAAAGTTTTATAGTGTGGAGATTTTTTTATTTTTAAAAAAAAGAAAGGGGAGAAATCTAATGTTATTATTACATAGTAGATATATTTGTAAAGATAAATCGTCTATTGTTGTTATAAACAAGATACAAGGACATTCTTGTTTCGTTCTTGCGTAACAATAAAATAAAGACTGACTTGTCCTTTTAGTTTATTACTTGTTTTAGTATTATTACGTAACTGTCTCTAGGAAGAGGATGAATTCTATTTCAATTATTATATACTATTGTGACGTTCATGATATTTTAGTTTAATAAATGAAAGTAGTAATAATAAAATTTATCTAATTAGGATATTATTTTATCTACAAACAATAAGTGATATCATCTTCTAATATAGACGTCTATTTCTAAATAACCACGCTTGATTTACTTTTTTGAAGTCTTAATTCTACCATCACGTTCATGTAATTCATTTTCTAGTTTACAGGCATGTTTATATCCACTTCGTTCGTTATCGTCTTTTAAATAAGGATTTCTAAAAGTGTTCTCCATACTACCTAATGATGTATAACTAAACATACACATAACAATTTAATACATCCATATATCATATTGTATACTCCTTTTTTTTTTTTTTACCCTTCATCATAAAGTGAACAATAAGGTATACCTAATTGAAGTAAAAAATCCCAAATGTTCTTGTAATTCCAATCGATGATAGGATGAATACGCATAAAATCTGGCCATCCTTTATCGGTTGGATCAAAATGTGATAATTTCTCTAATTATGTATTACGTAAGCAATCTTTATGTAATACTACTATTACTATGCATCTTTCTTTTTTTTTTTTTTTTAATCTTACCAGCATATGGATCTGTTCTTCGAATACCAACAAATATGGCTTTAGTTGGTTTGGTTGAGCCATCTATATACTGTTGTAAAGCTTTTTTCATAGGACCTGGTATATAAACACAATTCAATCCATAACGTTGAATGGAAACTTTTACAAAGGCATCTACATGCGGGAATGGATTTGGATAAGTAACGAATACAGTACGTATTAATTCATTATCTAATCCTAAATGAGATAGAACAGCTACAACTAAATGTAATAAAACAGTACAATCTTTTCCTCCATTAAATGATAATGCCACTGAATCCAATCTAATTTTATACAAGTTATATGATTAATCTAAAATAGAATTCGTTTACTAGCATTTACTGCTTGTTATTATATAATTCATACCCATATGTATTATAGGCTTTCTCGATGACTTCAATAGCTGTCTTGACGTCCTTACCAAGAGAATCATTCCTTTTCGCTAATTCGTACACACTATGTTCAATATATTTAAAGTCATAAAGTTGTGTTGTCTCTAGATGAGGATCCACAGTAGGTTCAGTAGAGCTATGAGTTAATGACTGTTTTGATAAACCAGAAATAGTTGTCGTTGTCATGATTAATTGAATAGAATTACTAATACTGAGAAAGAAAAAAAAAAAAAATATGCTTTTTTGCAACAAGTTTAAATTTTAAGGGGAGGAGTTTACTTTTTTTTTTTTTTTTTTGTTTCTTTTAAATTCTAATCCAATCAAAATAAAGGTCTTTACTAGTTAAAGTCAACTCTGTAAACAAATAAAAGAGTTTAAAGAAAAAAAAAGGGCTTAAAGAATTGGAAAAGCTGGTTGGTATTTTAAATCTTGAGTGTTGGAAATGCGAGTGTTCTTCATGAAGCGTTTTTTTTTTCTACAATAGATTTATATTATTTACTCATTGTCACTCCCTTAGTAGAATCATGATTTTTTATGTAAGAGTTTCCTACTGAAAATGGAATTATAATTTGTAATAACAAATTCCCAAATATTTTGTTCCTGGGAAGAAATAATATTTGTGTAATATGATATACAATAATGAAATTATTAGAAAAGGAATTCTTCCTTTTTATTGAAATGTCTAATAATAAAGAAGATAAACCAAGTATAGAAAACAAGGAAGATGACTTTATTTTAAAGATTCGAAATACCATTGACGTCCAGTGAATTGATACTGATTTATACATGAGTAAAGAATTAGGGTTGCCTTATGGAGCAACAGGACAAGTAAAGTGGAAAAAAAAAGAAGGTATTTAATTATTTCTTACTTTATTATACAAATAGATTATTGCTCAAGCATTGAAAGCTGCTTGGGATATAGTATCAGATAATTTCTTTATTCATATAAATATACATCTATAATAGTCTTTTATTTAAAAAAATTTTTTTATTGATTCATATATGATTGTAGTCTTTATATGTCTATTTTATTTTAGCTTGCAGTGTGGAAATACCTGTAATTTATCATGTTTAACATACTCGAGACGGTAAATTGCTTGCAACAAGAACTGTTCATGCAAAACAGAAAGGCCGTAATAACTTTGTTTGTAGGTGTAGCTTTGTTATTAAATAAAATGAAAATAGTTTTTCATTACAACATCAAGTAAGTAGTCCTAGTGCTTGTTAATATGATGAGTGTGTGTGTGTGTACGATATATGTATACATGTATATATGTAGATTAATATGCCTACAGTGACTGATCCAGAAAGCTTACCTTCGTAAGTATATACATGTGTTGTATTATATATGTATATGTATTAAGGGATGTCAAATTAATTCTAGATATGACTGAGAATATTCCTGAAGAGATCAAAAAGAGAGCACAAAAGAAAATAAAGGATGTATGTAGTACATGTTTAAGGGATCTTCTTCTCTTTCAATGTAATAATCGTTCATAATAGATAATTACTACTGAGGATATTCCTCTTGATTATCGTGCAGTCACTCAATATACTCCTGAAGAAATTATTGCAGTTAATATATTACCGAATCCGTATGGTGTAAAATAATTTGTTGTAACACATGAAATAGCCTTTTTTTTTTTTTCTTTTCTTTTTTTTTTTTTTTTTTTTTTTTTTTTTTTTTTTTTTTTTTTTTTTTTTTTTGCTTTTATGCTAAAAGATATTCATATATTTATAACAAAGATGGTTCAAAACACGAGGTGCTTTGAATGATGATGATGTGAAACTTCATGCATGCATCATTGCATATGCTTCTGATAGTGGATTTATTAGTACCTCTGCAGCAGCTAATGGATTCACCAAAAATGGGTATAATGACTTCCTTGGAATATTCTATTTTGGTTTCATTCAATGAGTATGAAAGCTGATGATTGGCCCTTATATGATATTCACAAGTCCCTGTACAAATGAAGAACGTAGTATGGTATTTATGGTCGAGATGGAACCTTAGTAGCGACAACAGCTCAAGAAAGTATTTTTACGATTATCTGAACGTGAACAGCAAAGGAAAAGAAAACTACTCTCATATTAACCAATAAAAACTCAGGGCAACATAATGGCAGTAGTAAACTTTAAATATGAATACGCATATTACGATACATTATACTTTAGTAAAAGAATAAAAATAAATAAATAACCAATCATTTCATAAGATGCATATCCTTTTTTAAGGTATCTAAAGACATGTTTTATATTAAATTCGGGGGAGGAGAGAGCTCTTACAAATATATGAATATCATTATTAAGAAGAAGAAGAAGAAGAAAAGGATAATATTTACTTTTATAAAACTCCTTTTAGTGTTAAAATAAGTAGTAAGGAGAAATTTATAACATTTTGTTATCTTAAATAGAACCTGTATTTAAATATTCTTTTTCTTTTTTTTTTTTATATCTTATATCTTTTTCTTCTTTATATTATTTAAAAATGTCACAATTAGATCCTTTTATTGTATATACTGTTAAATTAGCTATGGATTTTAAATCCTCTACTGCTACTACTTCACCCTTTACTACTGTTGATACTAAAAATTGTGTTCATCCACAAGACGATCCTAACCATCCTTTATTCCCGGAAACAATTGCTCGTATCTTGTCTATAAAGTCATCATCATTCAATTTAGGCAAAAAAGCTCCAAAGTTAATAAAAGAAAACATATTAAGCTTGTTATATCATGCAGGTAAATAAAAAAAAAAAGGCTTTATTATAGACACTATCTTAAATTCTTCTTTTCTGGTCTTGAACACTAGATGAACAATGGATACAAAGTATAAAAGAATTATCAAATATAAATACTTCAATTGAAAATGCAGTTAACCATGTTCATTATCAACAATGTATCTTCTTTGATACTCTTTATATTCTTCAAAAAACTATGTTTAATACAACACAATCTTCTGTTATCTCCATGAATCATCTTCTTTCTAGTCCAAAACGCTTTAATGAATCTATCTGGTTTGCTGCTCAAGTACTTTATCATGATTGTCAAATACGTCATCTTGAGTATTTTACGGATGTTTTACAACCTTTAGCTATCCAGTTATATAAAGCTGTAGAGGGACTTCGATTTCAATTATATGATACATTAGTGAAGCAGAATGAAATAAAGAAACGCTATGATGAAACAAAGTCATTGTATAGAAACATGACAAAACGATTCTCTATCTGGGGTCTCTTTAATACCACCTCAACTCCTCCTATCATTGCTTCATTCTACAAGAGTAAAGAGCATATTCAGTTTTTACAGACTGAACTAGGATCTGCTATGCTAAACTTGATAGATCACTGGACTCAATTTGAAAACAAACTATATGCATGCTATGTTCATGCCGTCTTTGGTGATGAACATCACATGCTGCAACAAGAGAGAGAGAAAGAGAGAGTGAATATCATTCTACCCAACTTGGTCATTTCGAATTCATTCTATCATCATGATACATTTACACAGTTACTACCATTCACGTTAGAACGAGCTATCAAGCAGGATATCATAGATATCACCATGATTCAATCATTTGATCCTATTGCCTTTGTCGCCTTACCTCGTCTTGCTATCTTGGCTGGTGTCACTTGGTTATCTCATTTGACAGGTTGGCGATCTTATCATTCGACCAACAAAAAAAATTTTGAATGGGGGGCTCCTGAATGGATTCAATCACATCATGATACAATGGACTCTATCAAGACTGCTTTATTACGTTTAGAGATTGAATTATTAAAGTCACAATCAGAGGACTCACATCATACATTTGTTAAAATATATCAAAGATTAGAAAAGGCGTTAGTTTATGGACAAGAACAGAAACAAAGAAAAGAAGAAGAAGAGGATGAAATTGATTTATTAGAAAAAGAAATTTACTTAGATATTTGTCTTGTTGCTGATTCTCTTTTATCAAATCATTATTCGCAGTCATTTAATATTATTTTATGTCAATTATTTAAATACATTGGTTCACACTATGAAATTGATTTAATGGGTCAAGAAGAAGAACCAGTAGTAGATGCTCAACCACTTGAATTAACGCTATTAGAATTAGCTATATAATAAAATTGTACACTATGATAAAAGAAAAAAGAAAGAAAACTATAATCATTTTATATTCATATTAAAGACGGCTATTGAGGAATCATAAACAATAAAGACTCCCATTACTACCATTTTATTAAAAATTTAAATTAAAATTGAAAAGCAGTAAATTTACTGCTGTGATTTTTTTTTTTTTCCATTATTTATTTCTTTTATCATCAATTATTTATTAATATTTTTTTTTTTTTATTATTATTATTATTATTTTATTCTTATATATTTATTCATCAAGGAAAAAAAAAAAAAAAAAAAAAAAAAAAGAAATAACGAATAATTCCATCAGTGAGTATAATTGACATTAATCTTTATTTATATTTGGATTATATCTATTAAATAAACTTTTTTTTTTTTTTAAAAAAAAACAAGAAAAAAAAAACAAAAACAAAAAACAAACAGTAAAGAATCATAAAATTAGTTGATGCGTTCACCCATGGATTTAAGAGTTGGGAATAAGTATAGAATTGGTAGAAAAATTGGTGCAGGCTCATTTGGTGACATTTATCTTGGTAATGTATTGAAATGAAACAGGAATTCTTTTTTCTTCCTCTTCTTCTTCTTTTTACTCTTCTTTAAACTAATGTGCTATAAACAACATTATAGGCACAAATATAATTACAGGAGAAGAAGTTGCTATCAAATTAGAATCTGTGAAAGCTAAACATCCTCAGCTAGAATATGAGGCTAAAGTATATAAAGCACTATCTGGTGGTGTGGGTGTGCCCTTTGTGAGATGGTTTGGTGCAGAATGTGATTATTTTGCTATGGTTATTGATCTTTTAGGACGTACGTAAACTCTATATTCTGTAACACATAGTATATAAGACTAACATGTTAAAATATACACATACATGTATGTATATACAGCTTCCCTTGAAGATCTTTTCAACTTTTGTGAGCGTAAATTTTCTTTAAAAACGATATTATTATTAGCAGATCAAATGGTAAATGGATTGGGTTTAATTTATATAATAAGGAGGGACAAAGCAAAGATAGCTAATAACTTCTCCTTATAGTTATCTCGTATTGAATATGTTCATTCAAAGAATTTTATTCATCGTGATATTAAGCCTGATAACTTTTTAATGGGTATTGGTAAGAGAGGAAATCAAGTGAATATTATTGATTTTGGTCTTGCAAAGAAGTATCGTGATCCACGTACACATCTTCATATTCCATACAAAGAAAATAAGAATTTAACGGGTACAGCACGTTATGCTAGTATCAATACGCATTTAGGTGTCGGTAAAGTATCTAATAGGATCCTGCTACTCTTACAGCCATGGTTTTAATCTTTTTTTTGTCTTAAATAGAACAATCTAGACGTGATGATTTAGAATCTTTAGGTTATGTATTAATGTACTTTTGTAGAGGAAGTTTACCATGGCAAGGCTTAAAGGCAACAACTAAGAAACAAAAATATGATCGTATTATGGAAAAGAAAATGACAACACCTACAGAACTATTGTGTCGTGGTTTCCCAAGTGAATTTGCTATTTATCTTAATTACACTCGTTCTTTACGTTTTGATGATAAGCCAGATTATTCTTATCTTCGTAAATTATTTAGAGATTTGTTTATAAGAGAAGGATATACTTATGATTATGTTTTTGATTGGACAATTTATAAGGTAAGGTCTATAGTAGCCTATAAGAGTTTTATAATGGGTGGTAACAAAAGCCTATTTCTTTCTTTTTAGGGTGCCGATCATAATAATCCTAATAAATCCGCTACTGCTGTAAAAGATAATCATAATGTAAAAAAGGAGAAAAAGGAAGATGTCAAACGCGAATCAGCAGTAAAACGTGAACCAGCAATTAAACTTGAACAACAACCAGTAGTCAAACTTGAAGATGAAACTCCAACTTTTTCAGCTTTCCGTAGAGCTAATAATAACCCTACTTTTGGTATAGAAAAAGAATAACAAAATGAATGTTTACTTGAAATATACATTATATAATAATTAAGATGGATCAGCAGTCATATAAATATGAAAATATACGCATTTTTTTTTTTTAAAGGAAAAAAAAAGAAAAACATAAATAAACATATGATTATGTAATCAGCCCTTTACTATTTGATATTTTATTTATTTTATTTTATTTTTCTGTCAAGTACGAAAGCTTCCGTTTAATTCCATTTCTACACCAAATTGTTCATAGTTTATTTTATATTTCAAGCGTATAGGCTCCTATAAAAATAAATAAATAGATGTGTGTGTGTGTGTGTTTGCCTTTTAATATCAAGTATTCATCTTTCTCTCGTTATATTTATATATATATGCATATTTTACCTTGTTAGGATTGTTTAAAGTCATATTCTGAGTAACAGTTCGTTCGGATTTTGGTTGTAATAACTGAGAAGACTGAGGTTCCATTTTAATTTGCATAGACTTTAAATAAATAAATAAATAAAATGAACACTTCCAACATAGTGTGACATATATGAATATATATATATTATATTATATTTACCTTGGGTGCAGCTAATCTTAACATTAACTTCTCCATAGGTGCAGTAGAATGATTGGAGAAATAAGCTTTGATTTGGCAAAGCTTTTCTTTTGGATTTTGCATTTCTAGTTCAATCTTTAAACCATTCTTGTTTACCATTATAGCTATTTTAATAATAACATTTAATCTCTTTATTTCTTCCTCCTCTTTTTTTTTTTGCATCTTTTTATAAAATACCTGTTTCGCTTGGTTGTGGTGATGTTGAATAGTTGTTATGATTATTATTATTCAATTGTTCCTGATGAAGAGCAGGAGAAGAAGGTGACATAAAGACGGTAGTAGAAGTACCTGTATTACTATTACCACCTAAAAGATCAAAAATGTCGTTATTATTATTAGCAGCTACTGTCGTTGTTATTGATGGTGAGGATAATGAATCAAGGATATTCGTAGTAAGTGCAGGTGATGATGTGGTAGGAGTATTCGTGTTATTAGAAGAAATGCTCATACTAGATCCAAAGAGATCAGAAAGTTCATTCAGTGGATTATTATTAACATTAGAGCTTTGTGTGCCAATAGAAGAGAGTCCATCGTTATCATCCAAATCAATTAAACTAATCGCTTGCTTATTCTCTTCTCTTGTAGGAGGCTTACCACTAATCTCATATTGTGTGTCATAAAGCCCTTTCTTAACATCAGAAAATTTAGCCATCGCATTATTAATCATATCATTCAATGTAAGAAGATTTTCTTTAGATGTCGTTAGTATGATGTAAAATTTCCTTTATAAATTTGTAAGTTTACCAATTTTGTCGTTATCTTCTTCTTCTGTAATCATTTTTTGGATCTTTGGTTGAGCACTAGCACAGGCATTTTTCAAATCCTGTAGTATACATAAGTATATATGTCTTTATATATATATATATATCTAGGCGTTTATTTACCATAATTGCTTCATTTTTTTCAACTTTTTCCCCAGGTTTAATGGCCTCTAACATTTCATATAACAAGATGGTTTTATCTTGAACTTTATGTAATTCACTTTCGAACTTTTGACTATAATCTGGTACCTCTCTTGTATCCTATATATATGTATATATATATAAGTGATTAACATTCCTTTCCTCACAATAATAGTAGTAGTAGTATAACTTACAAATCCAGACATAATCTTCATTAAATGGTTTGCTTCAACTAAATCTTGAGGTCTACCACGACGGATAAGTTCTTGTAATTTCTGTTATAAAATATGTAAATAGATATGTAACTATATCCATACATATATATATGCATATATATATATATATATATTAATTTTACAGCTGATTGAGCAAGTCTATCTTCTTCTTCTAATTCATGAGCTGATTTTAAAGATTCATTAGGTGCTAAAGCAGCAATGGAGGCATCCCTTAATTCAGGAAATCGATAACCTGTTTATGTTTAATCTCTAAGTATACACCCATGTGTCGTAGTTGATCTTTTTTTACCTTTAAATCGTAATAGTCTATACATATCTTTGATATGAACCAAGTCATCTTTGTGCTTTGACATGTCCGCTAATGCCACTTTCCATTCTTTAATTAAATAAAGGATGCGTTGAACAACAGGACTAGGAAAAGGCTAAATGAACCATAAAGGTAAGTAACTAATGTTACATGTCAATAATAATTATAGTTTCCTATAACTTACAGCAGGACGTTCTGGAAATTTACGAACAAGTTCATTTAAAAATTCTTTTGTAGCAATTTGAAGATGAAATGGATAACCGCAATTCTTTACACAATTATCTAATAACTATTAAAATTATATACAAAGTAAATAATACTGCATTATACATGTATATATTTAATACCGTAAGAGCTAGCATGGCTTGGTTCATATTTCTACTATTTATAAGTTTAACAATAGTAAACGCAGCTTCTCTAGGACTATACAGAAAAAAAAAAAAGAATATAAACAACATGTTCAATCATTGTTTATTCTCCTTAATATTTACGCTGTGCCTTGTTTCTTATTTATCATTTCACAAATTTCGAGATTAATACTTAATTCGGGCTCATAACGCGCAGGACTACACGCTCCCTCTAATCATAAATAGTGTTGAATAAATAAACAAAAAAGTATACACACAACACTAGTATAATTAATCGTCTTTTTTTTGTTATTACCGATAAGAGCTACTAAACCACTGAGCATAGTATTCTATATATTTGTATACAATTTTATATTAAAAGAAAGAAAGAAAAAAAAAATAGATGTTTCACCCCATTATTATTATGTACAGATATTTATATATCTTTATATGGAAAATTGTAATACGCTATAAGCATATATGTATATTTTTTTTTTTTTTGCTAATTTCAGTTTACTGTATAATTTCATTTGTAAAAATGAGAACATTCTCGTCAATGAAATATATAATGATGCTATAAATTAGTAAGAAACCATAAAAAAAAAAAGCAAGACTTGAAAATTAGGCATTTTATTCTTGCTGTTGAAATAAAGCATCAGTCATGACAAAAGTGCCTTACTAAAGATCTTCAAAAATAATGTTTGCATAAAGGCTATCAATGAAAAAGATGTTGAAGAGAACAAAGACAAAAAGTAATATAATTTCTTCTTATTTACTAATAACATTATAATGTCAAAATGATTTATGAATGTATAAACTTTCAAATTATAATGAAGCAATGGACTTTCAATGCAAATAGTCCAAATTATCTTCATCTATTATAGTGGTAAGTTTATTTGATACGGAACAAAATAAAAAATGGGTTTTTTTTTTTTTTTTTTTTTTTTTTTTTTTTTTTTTTTTTTTTTTTGTCGAGTATGCAGAGATCCTTTTATTAACACAATGTAGCTAAAAATAATTTTCATTGTCTATAAACTATATAATTGCTAGTCTATCTTCCAACGACTAGATAGCTATAATGCATAATATAAAGCAGTCCATGTAGTCATGTTGCCCATCATATAGCTTGTTATAAGCAGTTATTATTACTACTGTTATCAATAAACATTTATTATACAACGCAGAAATAATGGTTAAATATGGCGCTTTTCCTTAATGTCTGTCATTTCAGTAAAAGTAAATTTGTTGTGCCAGACAGAATACTCCGTTTAATAGGCGCAAGATAAAAAGGGAAAAAAGAGAAATTAAAAGAACCCGACAGAGATATAATCAGGAGAAAGATACACTAACTATAGTTTTCACAGCAGCTTAGTACCAGTAATTCCCAATAGAAGAGAGGATTTTGACATGAAATAAATAATACAAATCATGGAGAATGTTGCCTATTTTTTTCTCTAAACTAGCCGACAGTCCAGGCAAAACTATAATCTGAGAGACGAGGTAGTTTAGCAAATATAAGACTGGAAGATATAAACGACGATTATTAACATTGTCTTCCAAGAACTGACGATATTGTAGTTAGCTGAACGAAAATTTTTGGATATCTTGCATCGACATCACAAAAAAAGTTTTTTTTTTTGTCATGGGTAACTGTAGAGTTTATCATATAACATTTGTGGTAGAAGCCATATCCAAACGTAATTATTAGTTATATCTCTTTATTCTCTATTGAAGAATGTTGGCTGAAGGTAGAAAAAAAAATTCTTTAAGAAAAAAAAAAGGTATGACAAATTAATACCATATATTGCCCGGAACTTATACAGGGGATTGTATAGGATAGATTAAGCATACGGAAACAAACTGAGAGAGATTTCATAGAGAACAATATAGTGTAAAATAAGCTATCCTTTGATATCTTGTAAATATCAACATATTCTCTTTTTCTAACTTTTTTGCCAAGAGTTCTGATGCAAAAAAAAAAAAAAAAAAAATAATTGTAATACGTGAAAAATGAATCTGATATGGCGGCGCAATAATTATGCAGGAAAGAAAAAGAGTATATGTATGTAGTTCAAGCATATTTTAAACTGCGAAAAACTATTATTCTACCACTCTTTTGTTAGGGTCAACAGTGTTCTTTTTATATATTATATATGTGTCATCATATTATATATAATTTTATTCTTTATTTTCCTAGCTAAACAAGTATTTTTTTCTGTCTATTCATAACTAGGACTTCTAGTAAAAACTTGGATTATATTATCTTCTATTTCTTATATAAATATAGAAGAAGATCAAATCCTTGGGGAGATTGAAATTCATTAATTAATTTTTTTACCTGAAATCACAACACTTTTTTTTTTTCTTTAATTCGTTATTAGTAGTAAAATAAGCTTTATTTTCTCTTTTACTAAGATATTATGAGCAATAATATAAATTTACATATAATAGAAGGAAAACGTATCCTTTGTACAGCTGATGTTAGAGGTAAAATTAGATGTGGGGAAAAGAACATGATGATGATGGTGATGATGTTAACATGGATGTCATTATTTTGAATAATACTAGGAAACATTTCTGAATTGAATAGACTAGCACGCGAATTTAACGCGAACTATATCATTCATACCGGTGACTTCGGCTTCTATGGTAACAATAATTTTTACTCTTTTTTTTTTTCTTTAAAAAAAAACCCCCCTTTTTGTATACATGTGTTTTGCTAATGTATTATTTTTATAGATAGATCAAGTCTTGAAAGAATTGGTGAAAGGCCTCTTAAGCATTGGATCCAATATACCACATTAATACCACCACAAACACGTTCTCGCTTATTACAACAATCAGAATCTATTTACGAAACATTAGCTCAGTCACCTGAAACTTTATTATCACAATTTCCTGATTTTTTAGCAGGTCATAGACAGCTAGAGGTCCCCGTTTATACAGTTTGGGGCGCCTGTGAAGATGTTGCAATTCTCGAAAAATTTCGTCAAGGGGAATATCGTATTAATAATCTCTTTATACTGGATGAAGCATCTACTCATGTTTTAGATATTGAAGGTATCAGTTTACGTTTATTTGGGTTAGGTGGTGCTGTTGTGCAACATAAACTATTTGATAATGGGGAAGGTAAAGAAAAAAGAAAAAGAAAAAAAAGAGAGAAAGATAAATAAATACTAAATGTAAACATATACAATGTATATAGGCACAGATACAATTGCAGGTGGATTAGGCGTAATGTGGACAACTGCTTTGCAAATGGGTGAATTAGTTGAATTGGCACAATCCGTGTATGACCCTACAGAGACAAGAGTCTTAGTTACACATGCTAGTCCTGGTCGTGAAGGACTTCTTGCTCAACTTGCATTAACCTTACAAGCTGATTTTACTATCTCAGGTGGTCTTCATTTCCGTTATAATATTGCTTATAATGAATTTGCTTGTCAGCCTGAACTAGATCATTTCCGTAATCGTCTTATCGATTCTCAGCAACAATTTATGCAACTTTGGGAGGTTATCAGGGACCAAGTAGAAGAATCAGTGGATGATCATCAATATACCTTACTATGTCATGCTTTAAATGTCGTTAATCGTGTCCCACCTTCAGTCGAAGAATTAGAGCAAGCAAACGAACATGTTAATATAAAACAACAAAAGGACTGGGAAAGAGATGAGCTGGCATTCAAGAATATGTGGCATTTTAATTTGCCTGATGCTGCTTATGGCTCCTTAGTCTTTCAAATTCATCAAGGTGTCATCTCTTCTGAAATGAAATCTTATGGCTTAAACTTTTCTTACCGTCGTAACAATAATCAGCAAAGACAATCCCCATCTTCATCTTCATCCTCAGCAGTTCTTGATAAATCAAATACCAATATTCAACAACAACAACAACAACAACAACCAGTAGAAAATACGGCTAATATTCGAAAGAGACAAAGTATGCGTAACAATAATCAACTAACTGCTTATGTAGGAGGATTATCAAATACAACAATGACAGAAGAAGATATTCGAGAGTACTTTGGTCATGAAAATATAACAAATGTTAAGTTCCCTATTGATCCTTCTACTCAGCTCCCTAAGCCTCATTGCTATGTTGAATTCAGCAATCAATATGCACTTGAACAAGCCTTAGCAAAGAATGGAACTATTTACCGTGATAACAGATTAATTATTAATCGACCTAATAATACCAATCGAAGCGGTAGAAGTAACCGTCATAGTTATTATCGAGATAGTCGAATTAACTATTAAGTTTTATAAATGATATCACTTAATATATCTATTATTATTATTATTAAAAAAAAGAAAAGGAAAAAAAGAAAAAAAGAAAAGAAAAAGAGAGAGAGAGGCTTATATGTACTGGATTTTTGAACTAAATTGATGTATTTTTATATTATAAATGGTGCTATATATCTATATATATATATATATATATTTGTAAACAGTTACCACGTACCTTCTTATTATGGGGGATCATTTAATATATATATACATATATACTATCACTCGCTACAACCCTTAGTTAAAAAAATTTGCAATAAATATATCAAATGATTTATGATGTCCAAAGACTTAAATCCACTGGAGAAGTCAAAACTTCCTTAAGTATACACCATATGTTAACATGTTCATAAACGGGTTATCAAATGATGAAGATGATTGTATAAAAAATGAGGTTAGTTAACTATCCGAAGATGATTAAAGCAATTATTGGGTCCAACTCAATTATGCTGTATTTAGCCCTACATGATATCAAATTAGATTGAACCTATTTTACAGCATAAATACTATTCTAATCTAAAGATCATTATAGCTATTTGTTGATAACTGATATGTTTTACAATAGATATTGCTGCTTTGACTGCATTACTTTAATAGTAACTTGATTAAATTGACTTGTATCTATATTATATACTATCTTCTTATGTCAAAAAAATAAAAAATAAAATAAAATAAAATAAATATCATCCTTGATGCTGATAAATAATCTTAAGGATACCCATTTCATAAGTCAAATATTACAAATTAGAATGTCTACTTAGCTCTAAGCCAGTATTGCTCTTCTCAACATAAGTGGACTCTTAATGGGCGGTGGTGGATATTTATTGAAATAGTTCACAAGATATTCTCTGTACTCATCGTATAACCAGTCCTTTTTTTTTATTCAATCGACTGTGATTGTATATACCCTAATTTGGGACTTGAGATGATACAAGAACAAGTTTTTTGACAGTCATAATATGCATTATACTTTATTTAGGTTTATTTTATTTTATTTATAAGAGTCCTATCTTTCGTTTAAAGCATACATTGCTTGTTAATATTGAATTTAGGAACTTGTATATTTCGTTAAATTCCCTAAATAGTGGGAATAAGTCTTTTCTATTTTATTTTATTAATTTATTTATTTCATTTTTTTTTTTTTTGTCTCGTAATTACATCAAAAGTGTCATTTGGTTAAATTTGTCCTTATCAATTGGGACTATTTAGAACAGTATTCTTTATTCGCCTAAATCATGTGTTCAAAGTTAAAAACTATCATATACAAATAAGGTACACAAAATTAGTCCAAAAATTCAACAGACATATAAATATGTGTATAGATGTTTCCTTTCTCTTTTTTTTTTTTTTCATTATTTTCTCACAAAATGAAGTTTTTTTTATGTGGGTTATCCGCAGTTATTGCTGCATTAACTATCACAGAGGCAGCCATAACAAGGTATATTAATATAACATAGACATATGATTGTTATCTACAAATGTATATATATTTATATATATATCATACACATATATTATTATAGAATTTCTATTAAGAAGCAGCAAGACTCACCAAGAGAGAAACTTGAACGATACTCTCATACTGGCAAATATTTAGCCCAAAAATACTTTAATAAGTATTCATCAGCAGGGTCTTTTGAAAGAACGTTTCAAGTGAATCCTGATGGTAGTGCTAACCATGGTATTCCTTTATCAAACTATATGAATGCCCAAGTAATAAATAGATTAAATGATATTACAGTAATTATTATTATTCATTCCTTTTTTTTTTTTTGTTCATGCAGTATTATGGTGAAATTCAACTTGGTACACCTCCTCAATTGTTTAAAGTTGTCTTTGATACTGGCTCATCTAATCTGTGGGTTCCTTCTACTCATTGTTCTTCAATTGCTTGTTTCTTGCATAAAAGATATGATTCAAGTAAATCTAAAACATTTTCTGAAAACGGTACTGAATTCTCTATTCAATATGGTACTGGCTCACTCGAAGGCTTTATCAGTGAGGTAGTAATCATATCATAATTAAATTCAATAAATCTAGTATTCACTCTTTTTTTTTTTTTTTTGCTATGCTATGCTATGCTATATAATAGGATACATTAACTCTAGGAGATATCAAGATTGAAGGACAAGGATTTGCTGAATCTGTAAAAGAGCCGGGCTTTACATTTGCATTTGCTAAATTTGATGGTATTTTAGGTTTAGGCTATGACACTATCTCTGTTCAGCATACTGTACCACCCTTTTATCACATGGTGAATCGTGATTTAATTGATGAACCTATCTTTTCATTTTGGCTTAATAATGGAAATAAAAAAGGAGAAAAAGGAGGTGAAGTAGTGTTTGGTGGTATTGACGCTGATCACTATAAAGGAGAGATAACATGGTCCAATATTCGTCGAAAAGGATATTGGGAAATTACGTTAGAGGATATCAAATTTGGCGGTGAATCGATTGAATTAGATCCGGTTGGAGCTGCTATCGATACAGGTTCTTCTCTCTTAGTTGCTCCTACCACAATTGCTGACTTGATTAATCATGAATTGGGAGCTGAAAAGAATTGGGCTGGCCAATATATGGTTGATTGTAGCAAGATACCTAATCTACCTGAATTTTGCTTTATCTTTAATGGTCAAGACTTTTGTTTAACTGCTGAAGATTACATACTTCAGGTACAACAAGATCAATGTATTTCTGGCTTTATGGGAATGGATATTCCTGAACCAGCGGGTCCCCTTTGGATTATAGGTGATGTCTTTCTTCGTAAATTTTATAGTGTTTATGACCTTGGTCAAAATAGAGTTGGGCTAGCTCTTTCCAAATAAATAAATAAATAAAAATAAATAAAAGAAAAATAAAAGAAAATAAGGATCTATTTTATTTTCTCAAATGCAAATGCTAAATAAATGCCAGCTCCTTCCCATTCTTCCTTTGTCATCTCAGGTAATCTACCTCCAATGACACCAATTCTTTGTAAAAGTTTTGAATATTCAGGGTTTTTAGAAGAAGAAAGATAAAAGTGATGGAAATTTTCTTTGAATAAAAGTCGTAAACCATATTCACTTGCTAACCTAATTTACAATATGAATTATAAATATACACATGTAAACATGATGATTGTTGTCAATTATATATATAATTACTTTTCAAATGTTGGGAAATGAACTAAATATTCAGGGCAATCAACAGCATCTACCAAATGAAACATATATTTACAACCAAAAGGTGTAAATCCAGTTTTTATCTTTTTTTCATCATCTTGAATAGTATCAAAGGTAATACTGTAAATAGAGTTACCAAATCCAAATGATCCAATAGGTTCTTCCCTGACTCTTTTCACAATCCAGTTAGCATCGGGTATTGTACCAATAAAATGACCTCCTTTACGAAGTCTACTTGATACATTGTTAAGCATAATACGGGCTTTTTTTTCCGTTTCAAATGCATAATGAAGACAAAATTGCATTGAAACTGTATCGAATTGTAATTCAGGTTTTAACTTGGGAGCCAGTAATTCCTATTATACAGTGTTATGTATCTGTGTATGTTTATGTATGTGTTTATATATTTACTTGATAACAATCCATTGGATAGAATTCAGCAGTAAAAGTACGATCTCTTAATGCTTTATAACGTTCTTTCATCTGCTGTAATGAGACTTCTGCAATATCTAAAATGAACAAAACAGATAAAGTTAAAACCACAAACAATGTGTATCTATATGCCTTCATAAATACCTGCTGCTACTAAATGTCGAATTCTTGCTTTTGCCATTTTAATCAAATCCCCTCCTTTACCACAACCAAGATCGAGAACTACTTGATTCGGTCTTATATAACGTTGAATTAAAACACTTTTGACCCAGTTATTATAGCTACGTAAACGAATGATGGGAGATTCCCTTCTTTTTTCGATACCCATGTCAGGTCTATCATTATAGTGTTTAGCGACAGAAGAAGCATTGTCAGCATAATTTCTTTTCACTATTTTATTTGAGTCGTATTCTTGTTCGTATCCTCTCTTCATTTATAATGTAATAATAATAACAATAAAAATATAAAAAATAAAAAAAAAAGGGTTGTGTGACTGATATATAAAATCAGTAAAATTCACAACATGCACTCAATATAATAAATAGCATAAATTAAATAATAATAAAGGTATAAAAATGATTCTTGTTTATTGTCATATATAAGCATTTCATATATTGATATATAAATATATATATATATACATACGCATGTACGTAGGCAGTTAAGAAGACATGCACATACATACATACACACACACAGAGAGAGAAAAAAGAGATACCGATAAAATGTTATTATAATTATTAAAATATAGCATCTAAAGCACAACAGAAACACATTGCAGCCAAACTAAAATTTGAATAAATAATACAATGAATCCCATTTTTTTTTCTTTGTTTAATATTTATATATGCACTTGCACTTTTTTTTTTTTACCATCCTAAACACATGCCATTATCATCCTTATGTTGTGGTTGCTGTTGAACATAAATTGTTTGTGGCTGTGGCTGTGGTTGATAATAAGGCTGTTGTTGACCTCCGCCATAAGATTGTTGATTATAATAACCTTGTGCTTGAGGTGGAGGTGTATAATATTGAGGAGGCTGCTGTGGTGGGGGATAATATCCTTTTTGCTGTTGATTGTCCATAATAATAAACAAAAAGAAGATAAAGAAAAGCAAAAGCAAAAGCAAAAAAAAAAAAAGAAAGAAAGAAAGAAATTATAAGTGTAAAATGGGTTTATTAACACTAGTTGATTGGTCAAAATAAAAATAGAAATATCAGTGCAAAGTTCTTTTCTATTCTTGGCATTCCATTATAAACAAAAGAAGCTAGCCACATCATACAGTATTAAATTCATTCTCCGTTGTAACCATTCAAATATGGGCAATAACACGGTTCATTGAATTGTGGGGAAATGTGATTATGACTTATGGCGGCGACAAGTTTTTGCTACGCACTACTAAAAAAAATTAATGGCGAAAATAAAAATAAAAAATAAAAAAATAAAATAAAAGGTATGCTTTCTGTTTACATAATTATTGAATTCCATTCCGTTTTAAAATGATTTCTGATTGGTTTAAATTTTGAAGTCCAAATCTTCTGTCTGTCAATACCCTTCTTCTTTTCTAAAAATCATATATAATTCAATAAAGACTCCCTTCTCTTTTTTTTTATTTTTTTTTTATTTTTATATAATACATACATATTGTTTTTTTTATAAACACGTTCATGTTGCGAATAATATCCAAGCCAAGATTTTATACAAGACGTTCATTGCATTCGATTACTGAAAGTAATCAACGATTAATAACAACGAATGCAGCAATTCGTTCATCAAGACCAAATAATAGCTCACTTCGAATTTTAGTTGGTGTAACTCAACATCAAACATTATGGAAAGCTGGACTCTATTATGGAGCTAAGCGATTTTACAACGGTAGTATTGAATTATAACGTAAATATGTATATTTGATAATATTAATAATAATAATAATAATAATAAGGCGGTGGAGGTCAACAGGGATTTAGATTAAATCCTAACGCTCAAGAACAACAACAAAAGCCACTTGAACAATATGTAAAGAAAAGAAAATCCGAGATATTTTTATTTGATAAACTTATCATTTAAATATATATATATATAGGGCATTGATCTTACTGCAATGGCAGAAAAGGGTAAATTAGGTAAGTAAAATTCATGCAAAATAAAAATAAAAAAAAAAACTGACTTCTCCTTTTTCTCTTTTCTAGACCCGGTCATAGGACGTGATGAAGAAATTAGACGAACTCTTGAAGGTAATATACTATTCATATGTATTCAATATTTCGTTTGTCATATTTACATTCTATATAGTGTAAGCTCATATCATTATTATCAAAACTGTATATAATGTAACAAGGTATTATTATTATTAATTAGCTTGGCTCGTCGTACAAAAAATAATCCAGTATTAATTGGTGAAGCAGGGTAAAATGTGTAATACATGTTTATATACACTAACTTTATACTAACTGTCACACATGTCCTTCATTTTATATACAGTGTTGGTAAAACCGCTATTGCTGAAGTAAGAAAATATATTTATTCGTTATTAGATATCACAGCAAGGCATTTATGATTTTTTTCTTTTTTTAATTTTTAATTATATTAGGGACTTGCTCAACGTATTGTAGCTAATGAAGTACCAGAATCTATTCAGGGTAAACGCGTCGTTGCTTTAGATTTAGGTGTAAGTTCTTTTGTTTATATGTAATAGCAAATAGATATATTATTTATATTGCTTAAATCTATAGGCACTTGTTGCAGGTGCTAAATATCGGTAAGGAATTGAAATGAAAAAAATAAAAAAAAAATGATATACGAATGTCTCTTAACTTTTATTCTTTCACAGTGGTGAGTTTGAAGATCGTCTAAAAGGTGTATTAAAGGAGGTATCTGAATCTGAAGGCAAGATTATTCTATTTATTGATGAGATTCATACTTTACTTGGGTTGGGTAAATCAGAAGGTGCAATGGATGCTGGCAATCTATTAAAGGTAAAATAAAAAAAAAGAGGGAAGAGTTTATTAAAATAATAAAAAATAACATAAAAGTCTCGTTTATTTTTAATAATAATAATAATAAATAGCCTGCATTGGCAAGAGGACAACTTCGTTGTGTTGGTGCAACAACAATTGATGAATATCGCAAATATATAATGCAAGATCCGGCTTTAGCAAGACGTTTCCAACAAGTCATGGTAGACGAACCAACTGTGCAAGATACTATCTCTATTCTTCGTGGCCTCAAGGAACGTTATGAAGTTCATCATGGTGTTCGTATTTCAGATACTGCTATTGTTGCAGCTGCTATTCATTCTCATCGTTATATTACGGATCGTTTCTTACCTGATAAAGCGATTGATCTTATCGATGAAGCCTGTTCGAAACTTCGACTTCAACAAGAAAGTAAACCTGAGGCTCTTGAAAATCTGGATCGTCAAATTATGACTATCCAAATTGAATTGGAATCACTTAGAAAGGAAACGGATGTAATGTCAGTTGAACGACGTAATAAGCTTCAACAAGATTTAGAAGAAAAACAAGCAGAAAGTAAACGACTCTCTGCTGTTTGGTATCAAGAGCGTGAAAAATTGGAAGAAATTAAGCGTATCAAACAAGATCTTGAAAAGTCTCGTGTAGAGTTGGATGCAGCACAACGTGCTGGCAACTTCCAACGTGCCTCTGAGTTGCGTTATGGTGTTATCCCTAACCTTGAAAAACAATTACCTACTGATGACAGTAGTGAAAATAACCCAGAGTCATTGATTCATGAACGTGTGACATCAAATGATATCGCTCGCGTTGTTTCTCAAATGACAGGTATCCCTGTACGTAATCTGATGAAGGGAGAACGAGAAAAGCTACTGCATATGGAGGATGTCTTGTCAGAGCGTGTTGTAGGACAGCAAGAGGCTATTACCGCTGTCTCTGAAGCAGTACGTTTAAGTCGTGCTGGTCTACAGAATCCTTCTAGGCCAATTGCTTCCTTCTTATTTTTAGGTCCTACCGGTGTTGGCAAGACGGAACTTTGTAAGACGATTGCACAATTCTTATTTGATACTGAAAGTGCCATCGTACGTGTGGATATGTCTGAATACATGGAAAAGTTTAGTGTAAGCCGTTTGATTGGTTCACCACCTGGTTATGTGGGACATGAAGAAGGTGGTGAATTGACGGAAGCTGTTCGTCGTAGACCTTATGCAGTTGTCTTGTTGGATGAAATGGAAAAGGCTCATCGGGATGTCTCTAATATTTTATTACAAGTCTTGGATGATGGTATCTTAACCGATACAAAAGGTAGAAAGATTGATTTCCGTAATACGATTATCATCATGACATCCAATTTGGGTGCTGAAGCTTTAGTCCATGATGATCCTAATAGTGATACTGTGAGCCCACGTGCTAAGGAGAGCGTGATGGAAGCTGTACGTCGTAGTTTTGCACCTGAATTTGTGAATCGTATTGATGAAATGGTTATCTTTAATCGACTTTCTAAGAAGGCATTAAGGGATATTGTCGATGTTCGACTTAAGGAAGTAGAAGAGAGAACAGCAGACCGTCGTATTCAAATTGAGGTTGATTCAGAGGCACGCGAATGGTTAGGTGAACGTGGATATGATCCAGCTTATGGTGCACGTCCTTTGAACCGTCTTATTCAGAAGAAGCTTCTAAACCCATTGGCTCGTCAATTAATCGATGGTGGTATTAGAACAGGAGAAACAGCGAAAGTCACGGTTGAAAAAGTTTCAGAAACAGGTGAAGCCGATTTAGTAATTCGTCGTAATCATGCGCCTGGAAATATGATGAAAAATGAAGAAGAAAATATTTTGAGAAAGCATATGGCCCCTGTAGGAGATGAAGAACAAGCAATTCAAAAAGAAGAAAATAAGGATAAAGATTCAAAATAATTTTTTTTAAAGAATAAAAAATATATGTTATGTAATTTAATGCTTGTGCATTTTTTAGCTTTTTTTTTTTCCGCCTATATTATATAAGTTTTTTTTTATTTATTTATTTTTGTTTCTGTTTTTGTTTCTATTTTTTTTTTTTTTTTTCTTTATTTTTCTTTTTTTTTTTGCATTATGCCTACTAAAGAATCTGAACAAGTAATTTACCTTCAACATCCTTCTGGTTCAACAGCAGAAGTTTCTCTTTTCGGTAAAGATAAATAAAATGGGAAAGTAGGATTATATTTTTATGCTTATCTTTTAAACATTACTATTCATTAAGGTGCAACTGTTACTAGTTGGGTTGTAGAAAACGTAGAGCGTATTTTTGTCAGGTAAAAGAACCCTTTATGGTATGACCGTTTAAAGTGCTAAATGCTTATAATAGTAAAAAGGCGAAGCGCGATGGTACAAAAGCTATTCGTGGGGGTATTCCAATTTGTTTCCCTATATTTGGCACTAAAGAAAAGATTGATCTTCCTCAACATGGTAAATAATATGATATATTTAGATAAATTTACATAATATATTGAAGAAACAAAAAAACAAAAAAAATGGGCTATAGGTTTCGCTCGTAATCATTATTGGGAGTATACTGGTATTATGAAGGATGATGATGATGAAGTCTCGGTTCGTTTTGGCTTAAAAGATACACAACTTCCTCATGAAACAAGAAAACGTTGGTCTCATTCCTTTCGTTTACATTACACGGTTACTTTAGGTGAAAAGACTCTCAAAACGTTCTTTAGTTTAAAGAACGAAGATGAGGATACATTTGAATTTAACATGCTTCTTCATACTTATTTCTTGGTTCCTGTAAGTGATTGATGTATACCCGATTCAATATACATGGTATTATTTCAATAATAGATTAAATATCATCACCATATAGGATATCACAAAGGTAGCAGTTCAAGGCTTGACTTCTTGTGAATATATTGATAAAGTACAAAATGGAATAAACGTTACAGAAGAGAATGAAAAGGTTACAATTAATGGTGAAGTTGATAGAGTTTATAAAAAAGTTCAAGATAAAGTCCTTCTTGAAGTTAATAATGATTCTACAATTCAAATTGAAAAGTTTAACTTGAAAGACACTGGTAAAGAGTTTTTTATTATTATTATTTTATTTTTTATTTATTTTTATATATTTGTTTTTAGTTGTTTGGAATCCTTGGATTGAAAAGGCAAAATCTATGGCAGACTTTGATGATGAAGAATATAAGAATATGATTTGTGTCGAAGTTGGTAGTGTCGCAGAATGGGTTGTATTAGCAGGTGGAAGTACTTGGACTGCTGGTCAAACCTTAACTATCGTTTAATGTTAATAATAGCATAGCATTTTTTTTTTTTTTTTTGCATTATATACAGCCGTCCTCGCGCGAAGTTCATTCAATTTATTTTTTCTAAAGATAACTAATAAAATTTTCATAAGACGTTTCCTCCTAAAATTTGGAATATAATAATTATGATGATATTTTCCTTATAAGATCAATATATGCTTAGAGTTGATTTGTATGAAACCATCGATATTCATATGACATGGTGGCCACCGTTAAAAATCCAAAGTGCAGCGTGGGGGGGGGGGAAAGTAACAGCTATTACCGTCTTAAAAAGGCTGGAAAACTTGCATCAATTCTCAAGGGACAACTATCCAACTTTATCTATAAAAATACAATTGCAAGTCTAATTCATTTTCTTATCAGTCAGGCCTTCGTAAATTGTTTTTTTTTTTTAAAGGCTGAAAGGATTATTGACTTAATCTTAGGAAAGATACAAGTAATACCTCTTGCCTCCCAGAGAACTATTGTTACATTTCTGTTATAAAGATTGCGTGGAAAGTCTGCATGCTGATTATCTAGCTGTCTATATACATATATATAGATATAGATATATCCGCTTTCTCTTTTCCTATTCGAGAAAGTAATTTTTGTTCATCATTCTTATATAATGGAACATAGTGTTGTAATGTCCTTTCAATAGATGCCAATATATAACCCTCCTTGCCTCGTAAACAAGACAAGATCGGGCAGCTCTTGTATCTCAGCAGAAGAAATAAGAACAATATGGATCTCTAGCCTTTGCAGGTAACAAAGATGATTTTCTTTTAATCTCTACCTTATTAGCTACAATGGCTGTCAATACCTCCTTATACTTTTAGATTCAAAACGAATAGCTTTGTAAGTATCAAAATCCATTTATCTTTTGATCTCTGGCTCCTGTAATTTACTAATTGAGGTCTCATTAACACCTGGTTTTTAACGATGCCGTTCTAGGCTTATTGTTTCATATAAATATATATATTTTGTTCTTCAACCTTCATAGGACTCAGAGAAGAGATCTCATTTATAAGAATAAAACAGTGTATAAACTCAGTAGGAATATCGGTAGAAGACATGACGAATTAGGTGAAATGATGTAAAGAAGAAGAAAGAGATATCAAAATTCTATTTGACTGCTCAAATTAAAATATATTGCATGTAAAAAACAAAAAAAAAATCACGCAAATTCAGAAAATATTATACATAATAAGCAAATTGTAATTAAAGAGGTGCAAAAAAAAAAATTATTCGATAATTAGAAGTTTTGTGTGGTAAGTTATGATTGGCAAATATTAAAATGGCGATTCGGAAAATCAGCAAATGTTTGTATACACAATTACATTAAACTCGCTTTTTCCTCTCCTTTGCCAAAAAAAAAAAAAATAAATATTTTGTTTTTATTCCCTTCTTTCCTTTTTTTTTAAAAAAAAAATCCCTACTCTTAACTGTTCTTATCATTTTTATTTTATTTTTCTAAAATTTTTATATGGATAACATGAAAGAGCAAATGGAAGCTTTTAGTAGAAAAGCAGAAGATATAGTTGATAGAGTGGGTCAACCGTTAAAGCCATATATTCCAGCCATGTCTAGATTCCTCATTGTAGCTACATTCCTCGAAGATTCTTTGCGTATTATTACTCAATGGAGAGATCAACTTGCATTTATGGAACAAAGTAGAGGGTTTCCTGCTGGTTTAAGTCATATCTTTTTAGGTTTAAACGTTTTGGTAAGTTATTTGTTAAAAGGAGAGGTGGAGGGAGAGAAAACAAAAAAATATTTATTTATTTCAACATGTACTCTATTTTATTAGACTATGTTAATAGCATCATTTTGTATTATCGCAAAGAAATACCAATCATATGCAGTTTATGGTCTTATGGGAGTCATTGTTGCTCAAGCATTTGGTTATGGTTTAATCTTTGATATGTCTTTCTTTTTACGTAACTTATCTGTAATGGGTGGTTTAATGATGGTTTTATCTGAAACGATGGTTAAACGTAAACAAATGTTTGCAGCTTTACCTCAGATGTCAGAAACAAATCGTCGTATGTATTTACAACTTGCCGGACGTATTTTGTTGATTTTCCTCTTTATTGGATCTGCTTTCCATGGTGAATGGTCTTTAATGCGTATTCTTGTCTCTGTGTGTGGCCTTGCTGCTTGTCTTATGGTTGCTGTTGGATTTAAGGCAAAGTGGTCTGCTATGTTCTTGGTTCTCTTTTTGTCAGTTTTAAATGTCTTTGTTAATAACTTTTGGTCGGTTCAATACAGTTATTACAAGCGTGATTTCTTAAGATATGATTTCTTCCAATCTTTAAGTACCGTGGGTGGATTCTTATTGTTAGTCAGTACAGGACCTGGAGGTTTAAGCTATGACGAAAAAAAGAAAGAATTTTAAGGAAACGGAAAAAAACAAAAAAAACAAAAAAAATAAAATATCATAAAAAGAAGTTATTGTTTATACTGTTTGAAAAGTAGTAGATGCAATAGAGAAAAATGATACACAAAAAAATAAAAAAAAGGGGGGGATACGTGTTTTATTTATTTTTATAAGCTCTTTTGTTGTTTAAAATAGTTACATCCGCATTAAAATTACTTTCTGTATTACCATAATTATTGTAACTGTCCAAAAGTTGAAGACATTGAATATATGTTCTATGTCTAAAGCATTACCAAGTCATGTTCTTTTGAATTATTTATATGTAGCAGCTTATAAAAGCTAGCTGCTGACTACCAGTTGTGTGGTGTTTTCATGTATTATTAATAAATACAATCCTTATTATACTACTATTACGTTTTTATGCAAATGTAAAATAAAATAAAGAACTAGTGTCGTCTATAGTTTTGGATGTAGTTATACACTCTAGATATAGAATTATTATTTATAAGTGTCTTTTATTATTATTATTTTTTTCAAAGTAAACTGTTTCAGCTATGTTGTTATTTAGTTCAATATTCAAATAGTACGACTCTAGCATTTACTGTCGTCTTCTTTAAGACGAAATAACTGTAGTTTCAATTAATTATTGTAAAATATAATAGATACTAATAATTATATGAATTATTCATTCTTTAAAATGATGGAAAGGGGGAAAAAAAATTGTCTTGTTCCTTCTATTTTAAATTATACATGTATTTATAATAATATTTTTTAAAAGAAAAAAATAAAAAAGAAATTCCGGCCTGCCAGATTCGAACTAGCGACCTAAAGATGACAGTTAACTACAGTCTTCCGCTCTACCAACTGAGCTAAGGCCGGTTGCTGATGAAAATGAAATAAGTCAGTCAGATTTAGACCATAAAATTTTGTGATCGATCACGTGACTATCCGGTTCCTCTCCGGTCTTTCTATTGTTAATATCCGGATCGTGACTTGTTTATTATTTTCAATGTTAAAAATTAAATGTCCTTGAATACCTCTATCTAAAATTTGAATTAATACTTGTATAATTATTTTAAATGTATACGACCCTTGAAGGATTGATACATTGAGTTAATTTATACTATTTGCTAATGTCAGCATATTTGTGTTGAGTAATAAAATCATAAAAGAAATTTTAATTGCAAATGTGCTTTCCTATATCTGACATAACAGACGTAGTATTAATATTATCATGTATGATAGTATACCCGATAATCTTCTATGGTTATTTTTTTTTTCTGTATTGTTATTTGCTGGGTACATTTTTCGTTTATTGTCCGAATAATTTTTGACAGTAATAAAAATTGAAAAAGGAAGGGGGTGGCAGTTACGCTAGTTAGTGGGGTAAAAAGAAATTTACTTTTCTTCCTGTTATATTCTGTATGTCTCTTGCATATTTTTAATAAAATCGAAAAAAAAAAGAAAGAATAAATGAGCCCATTAACTTTAATTTTACAACGAAATCTACTTTCAACATCGTTATATAAAAAAGAAGTTATTCGAAAGGGTATTGGTTATCATTCAACGTTAAAATCGATACAATACATAATTTACAAACGTTGGCAATCAACAAACAATAGCAATAATGCAATTGAAGTAAATTACTTACGAATGTATACATGTATTGCATTATTTTTGACAGTTTATTTTACAGAAATTAAAAAAAAGTCCAAGCAATAATAGATCGATCGATCTAACTACTTTTCCTGCTGAAAATATTCGAAATTTTAGTATTATTGCACATATTGGTAATATATATTATTGTATATTTGAAGCAAGATAAATGTAAGATCGTTAATATTATTATACATACATATATACATACATATATATGTATAATAGATCATGGAAAAAGCACATTAGCAGACAGGTGCGTGTATATATATAAATATATTTAGAGAGAAGTGACTAATTTTACTGAATACATATAATACTATAAAGACTATTAGAATTAACAAATACAATTTCAGCAAATGGTTCAAATAAACAAGTACTAGATAAATTAAAAGTTGAACGAGAAAGAGGTATTACTGTTAAAGCTCAAGTAAAGTAACTGTATAATACTCTACTCTAGATCATTCTAATATTTATATACATATTTATTTAGACAGTATCTATGTTTTATAATTATAAAGGAAAAGACTATTTATTGAATTTAATCGATACGCCGGTAGATATTAACGAAAAAAAAAAAAAAAGTAACAACATGTTTTATAGTAATAGTAACATAATGAATAGGGGCATGTTGATTTTAGTTATGAGGTTTCTAGATCATTAGCAGCCTGTCAAGGCTCATTACTATTGGTAGATGCAGCACAAGGTATTCAGGCACAAACTGTTGCAAATTTTTATTTAGCATTTGGTGAAGGATTAGAAATTATACCCATATTAAATAAGGTAAATTTACTATACAATTTTTAACTTATATATTGTCTTTATTAACCAGTTGGTCAGATCGACCTTCCTGGTGCTGAACCTGAAAGAGTCTCAAAACAAATTCAAAGTGCTTTTGAATTAGACAAAACAAATATTTTACAGATTTCAGCAAAGTCAGGTGTTAATATAGACCAGATATTGCCTAATGTAATCGAAAAGATACCTCCACCCTCGGGCTCAATAGATGCTCCTTTTAGAGCATTATTATTTGATTCATGGTATGACCAATATGTAGGTGTAATCTGTATGCTAGGTGTTAAAGATGGTATACTTCGAAAGGGAGATAAAGTTATCTCTGCTCATTCTGACCTTAAGTATGAGATTTTGGAAGTTGGGATCATGCATCCGGAGCAAATATCTACAGGCTATTTGTAAAGTAGTTTTCATTAGTCATAGCTTATTGATAAATATATTAATATACAGATAATTATTATTTTAGACACGCAGGCCAAGTAGGCTATATAATATGTGGTATGAAGAGTGCATCCGAAGCACATATCGGTGATACATTTTATCATTTAGGAGAAAAAAGACATATAGAGATTCTACCTGGGTTTCAGCCTGCTCAATCAATGGTATTTGCAGGTATTTTTCCTGTAGATACAAATGATTTTCGAAAATTAGATGACAATATTAAAAAGTTAACTTTAAATGATGCAAGTGTTACTGTTCAAAAAGAGACAAGTCATGCTTTAGGACAAGGTTGGCGATTAGGTTTTTTGGGAACTTTACACATGGATGTATTCAGACAGAGATTAGAAAACGTAAAATAAGAAACAAAAAATTGGTTAATATTTTATGTGCATATATACACATACATGCATAGTATGGAAGCTAACTTAAATAAATAGGAATATGATGCCAACATTATTGTAACTCAACCTACTGTGCCATATAAAGGTATTTATTTACAATATAAATAAATATATAAAATTAACTTTGTTTAATTCTATATTAGTGATATACAAAGATGGAAGCTCTAAGCTTATTAGAAATCCATCTGAATTCCCTGATCATGACGAACGTTCGTTTAGGGTTTCAAAATTACAAGAACCTATGGTTTTAGCAACAATGATTTTCCCTGATGTAAGTTTTTTTTTTTTTTTTTTTTTTTTTTTTTTTTTTTTTTTTTTTGCATAGTGTAGAAATGTGCTTTTTATTTATTTTATTTGTTTAGGAATATATGGGCAAATTGATTGAATTATGTGGCGTAGGTGTATTTATTTAAAAACTTCTTCTATGAAAACTCATAAAAATTATTTTGTACATATATTTGCAGGCACGACGAGGTGAACAATTAGAATATGTTTATGTCGATGAGAATCGTGTAATGATGAAATATAGAATACCTTTGGCAGAAATTGTGACAGATTTTTATGATGAATTAAAGAGTCGGTCTTCTGGTTATGCTTCATTTGATTATGAAGAAAATGGATATGAAGACAGTGATTTAGTCAAAATGACAGTACTTTTGAATTCAAAACCTGTAGATGCATTATCTGTTATCCTTCACCGTAGTCAAGTTGAAATTGTAGGACGTGATTGGGTTAAAAGATTGAAAGGTGTTATTCAACGACAATTATTCGATGTCTCTATTCAAACAGCAATAGGCACCAGGATTATTGCTCGGGAAACGTAAATACATACAGATAAATATATACATATTCGTTAATTTTGTACGTTATATTTAGTTACAAATAACATGTGTTTATTATGATTATATAGTGTATCTGCTTTGCGTAAAAATGTTACAGCCAAATGTGTAGGTTTTAAAATTTCAGTAATTATTTTTATCTATTCATATCTTTCACTTACACACGCTCTCTTTATTTTTTTTTTATTCTAGTATGGCGGTGATGTATCCCGTAAAATGAAATTATTACAAAAGCAAAAAGAAGGAAAAAAGAGAATGAAGATGATTGGTAAGGAAAATTAGAATATATAAAATTTAGAAAGGTTTTCTTTCAAAGTAATACTAATTGCTGTATATTATAATATTGAAAAAAAAAAAAAAAAAATAGGCAACGTTGAGCTGCCTCAAAAAGCATTTTATGATTTTATGGATAAAAGTAATAAAAATTAATAGTAAATAACAAGCTTCAAAAGTTATATAAATAATTATGCTACTATTATTTATTATTTCTTTACTAAAATACAATAACGCTGTGGTATATACATGTCTATCTGGATTTATTATTATTTTTTTATTCTAAAATGATCTACTAAAAGATACAAAATATTGTATTACAGAATATATAACAATAAATATTTTATTCTAGAGCAGTGATTGAGATCTTTGATATTCTATAAAATTAAAATAAGTTGATTAAACTAAGTATTATAAGTTAGGGTGATATGTTGAAAAAAAAAAAGGAATTAATATAAAGTAGCAAGATATAAAAGATATAGTAGCTAGTGCTAATAATGTAAAGTATGTAGTCATTAAACATAGAATCGAATGAAAAGATGAATTATAATTGAATGATACGTCATTGTGTTATTTTCCACATGCTCTTCAGGATAACTCCTTTGGTGTTAAAGTCAATTTTAAAGTACTTCCACGACGACTTGTAATTAGATCTTCAAGCTCTTGCATTTTACGCTGTCTTTCAAGGTCTTCAGGTGCGAAACAAATTTTCTTATTTGTTTGTTGTGGAACATTATAAGTCTTAATTTTATTGCGCAGTGGAGTTGATTTACTGGATTTAACGACTAATATATTACAGGACTCATGAATAGCTATAGATGCTGCAGCCTCGGATGAAGATGCTTGATAACTAGACCCCACTTTGTTACTACGACGATGTTCTTTTAGCTTACTGCAGAAAGAAGATTTAATAAGATGATTAGATTCATTATTTTCTCTAACACTTGTTAACCGATTGCAATGATTACTGACTGCTGTAGACGAGCAAGAATGACGCCTACGAGGAGAAGAAGTAGAAATTATACTTTTACTGCCCTTCATTGTTAATGTTGTATTCCTATCTTTATTATCCTTTTTCTTTATCATTGTTTTTCTTATTGGATCTTTTTTAGTTGGTGAAAGTACTGTTGAAGCAATAGTAGCATCAATTAGATAACTGTCATTATTTAAATATTTAATAGGATTATGCTTTTCTTTTGAATACGGGGATTTTGGCTATTAGCAATATCAAACTTTTGTTGCAAAGGAGTACGAGGTGCAGGAGAAGAAGGCTGGTATAGCAACTCGAATGAAAGATGCTGATCTTCAACACATTTGTGATAATGAGATTTTGTAGGCGAAATAAGTGAAGAAAATAAATGAGCAGTTGTCGAATGCTGAAGAATAGGAGCAGATATCTTAAGTTCTTTTGCTGCAGCTTTTTTCTTATAACTTTTATTATTATTATTATTACTATTTCCTGAGGTTGGCACTATATGTGTTTGCTGTGAACGAAATAGACTACTTTTTTTCAAAGATAAAGTCTTTTTCTGCTCTATATTATGTTCAAGCATTGAATATTTTGTATTAAATAAAAAAGAATAAAGAAATAAAATGTACTACTCCTTTTTTTTATTATTATTATATATAATATGAAAGAATGCGGATTTATCTATTTTCCGACTTTCTTTGTAATAATACACAAAAATAAGAGAGAAAAGATTTTTAACGTTCAAGTGAATTATAATGTTGTGTATCATCAATATTTAGCGGTGATATATCATAATGATGTCTGATTGATTTGTTTCCTCTTGTTTGCTCATAGTTGAGCCTCTGGCTTCAAATTCTTATATTGATATATTTCAGTAATTGTAATACACGAATACGACGTAAAAAATAAAAAAAATAGAATGTCTCTTTCCTGTTCCGTATCCTTTTTTTTTTTTTTTTTCATCTGGTTGAATTTGACCAAGTATAATAATTGAAATCTTATTTTGTATTATACTTATATTTTAAAACAAACGCATAAATTCTGTGAGTCTTAATAAAAAGGGGTGTCAAACTATCCTCCCCCTGTCTATGTATTTTTTTTCCTGCTCACCTATTTAAGTGGTATACATATTATATCGGCCATATTAATAACCAATAAAAAAAAAGGCTTTTCTATAGGGATATTGTGTAATATATTACTAATAAGCTAGCTAACTTAAGACATAAATAACTTAGGTATATAACTTCTCAATAATAGTAAAAGCGACCTACATATACGAGATAAATATTACAATTTATTCTAATTAACCCTAGTTGAATAGACATGATTATTCTATAGCAGAATTTAATATACAGAGATTAAGCAAAAGTATTGACTATTGTAGGACTGCTTTAACAAATAGATAATTTAGCCCTTCATAAGTGATATGAATTAATCTTTCTATGAATAAAAGGCAATACACAATTTTAAGCCATTATTAACTAATAAATTTAATCAATACCTACAAGTCTAGATACTTGAAGAAAAAAAAATCTGTCGTGTAACATTTAAGAAAAGAAAAAGTTTATATCATACTATCATGTAACACCTTAATTAAGCACAACGTGCCAATTACATAATAATCAATTTATTCAACATCAGTTCATATTTTTCTTACATCTGTATCCTTCTTTCCTGTACTATTTGTATATATTTATAGTACAATAAAGTAAAGTAAGAGCAAACACTATGAGAGCTTTAAATGGAAAATTATATAAAAACATGAATTAATAAGATTAAATTTTGTTTTATATATATGACGATATTCCTTATGACAAATCATTAAAAATCTTATTTAGTACGAGAAAATACATTAATTAATAATAATAGCTTTAGAATTATATGGTATCATTTTCAATATAATTCTTACTGTAAACCATGAAAGCATTGATATACGTTAATAGATGATACTTTTGTACACTCTATCCGTAGTTCGTTGCAATACTTTTTTTTTTTTCATTATTATTATTATTATTATTATGTAATTACTCTAAAATTTATAAAGGTATTATATAACTCCATTTCAAAAATATTGATTTTATATATGCTGATAAAACCTATATGCCACGATCTGACATCAAATAAAATAGTTTGACTATTATCAAAGTTAGGTAGTCAGAGCTGTTAACTATTCTTTATTTAAAGTGCCTAGTGGACAGATAATAACAAAAAAGAGGAAAGAGTTTTCAACATACATCCAGTGCGATGGATATTGTCGCCAGCTAAAAAATATTTGTTGGCAGTTGAGAAATAATTGTCGCAAAAGAAATTTCAATTTGTCGTTTTCATTTTTGTTGATTGTCGTTTTAGGAAAAGCGTATTGTCGCATCAGATTAGCTTAAATTGTCGTAGTGTTTTCCTCTTCCTGAGCTCTTTTTTTTGTTTAATACATTTTTTTGTTTTTAGTTTGAGTCATTGAGTGATCTTTTTTATTACGAAGATGGGCACGATAACCTATACAACGAGAAGGGTACGAAAGCTTATGATTCAATGGAGGGTGTTTTAACTGAGATAACCCAATCCTATTGTGGTTCTTGAAAGATTAACCTATCAAAGCAATTGGAGAAAATTAAAACCGCCTGAAAAGATTGCTGTAGAAAAGATAGCTAAAGTAATGCTAATTAAGCCGGAAAAGAAAGAATACAGAAAGTACAATGACAGGCAATGAGATGACTTTATTGACAGAATGATTGAAAGTGCTCAGGAAAGAGGTCTAGCTACCCTGTTTGCAAGAGAACCTGGGATCAAACCACGTGTGGCTCAAAGATGGTGGAAAATATACAGAGAAATGGAAGAAGTGCCTTACAAAAAGTCTTCTATAAGTTCTGGTCCTCAGTCTTCTTTCAACGACGATCAAAACGACTTTTTTGAGGAATCTAGTGGATAATGGCCTCCAGCTTGCTGTAGGTGATATGGTGGGGAAGGTTAGCTGAACAATTCAAAAGATTTAGCATCTCAAAATCTCAACTCAATAATCACCTTAAAAACTGCCTGTCTTTGACTGTTAAATAGCTCATTTTTGAATCAGAAGCAAGAAATAATGAGACAAACTTGCAGAAAAGATATAATTGGTTTATTGAATGGAAGGACACGGACTTGGGTTTTACAAGGAATTATGTTTTCATTGACGGTTCAGGGTTCAATATCAACATGAGGAACAATTATACTAGATCCCCTGCTGGATCTCGTGCTGTAGTTATGATTCCAAAGATAAGGGCAACTTCTCACACGGTTATAAGTGCCATACATCCTACCAGTGTTATTCACGGAATACTTAATAAGCCACCTCCCAAAAAACAAACGCCTGCCAAACCTAAGAAAAGCAGAAATGATAATAAAGGCAGGAAGAGGGCCGTTCCCAACAATAACAAAGAGGAAGTAATAGAGGGATCTTATGAAGAAGCCCTTCCAATATCTAAAGGCACAACCACCTTTCATTTCACCAAATTCATTAATGAACTTCTGGATATTATGGATCTCGATCCAAATTTAAAGGGCAACTACCTAGTTTTGGATAATTATACTCTTCATAAGAGTTATCCAATGAAGCGGAAAATTGAGAGTAGAAGATACAAAATTATGCTCTTGCCTCCATACTTGCCTGAGATCAATCCTATTGAGCAGTCTTCGTCATTAGTGAAAGGAAAGTTGAAGCGCAGTCGTTTTATGACCGAGGAAAATTTGTCTGACAGAATTGCTGACGCTTGCAATCAGGTACACGCAAGTGACCTTGAAGGCTTTGCTATGTCATCAAAGAGTAAAATTTATGATGGTATGTAATAAAAGAAAGGAAAATAAAAAGAAAAAGACAAAAGAAGTATTGTTTATTCAATAAAATAAAAGAATTAAAGATTAAAGATTATTTTGTATCTAAACAACCACTTGTATTTATACTAATGAATCATGAGTCAAAGAAATAAAAATAGCTGTCAAAGAACATAAGTCATAAAACAGTGTTAGTATTCAGATGTACATTGTGATGATTCAAGAGACTGATCTATGGATTATCTATTGGGTGTTATAATGATCTAATTAAGTTTTAAATAAAAAATTTATTATTCAATCTGAGTATAGGTTCATAATATTTTTTTATGTTTTATTTTATTGGATCAAAGACGACCTGAATCCTTTGTCAAGGTTTGTGATATTTCTTTTTAAAATATCAAATAAAAAATATTAAAAAATAAAAAATAATATTAAGACAAAAAGAGTCAACGAGAGCAAACAATAGTTCTAAAGTCAATGATTTTATTTATGAATTTAAATTGATGGGGGTATTTATAAGAATTGTTAAAGAGGTCTGAGGATAAGATGTGAATCAGAAAAGTGTTAGCTACGACCGAATAAGGTATATTGTTGACAATGAAGTGTTAGTGATTTTAATATTATTAGACGGAGCGGATCAAGAGAGAGTTAGGATAGAATTTCTTAAATAAATTTATGATCCGCATGTTTAATCATGAAACATGACATTATAGGTCAGCTCATGACACCTCCCTTATATCTATATATATACTGTAGGTATGTATATTATGTATCTTGGTATCATTATGGCCCTCAAGCCATAGAAAGAAAAATAGAGTGTCTAAAAGCCTTATTTTAAGCATATACAGATACAAATCTATAGTTGCTATGTTTGGTCTTAGTCAACATCTCATGAAATGATCACAAGTAAACGTAATATACAGACTCTTTTAATTGATTAACAGCAAGCTTCTCTAGCTAATAATACATTATGTTATGGCTTACTTAAGAATAAAGATTTAAAAAGCTCTACCAAGAATATTGTAATAACAATGAATATCTCTCTATAAACTAGTGTAAAGAAGAGTGTTCCTGATTACTTCAAAAAAGAAGATATTGACAAATATAACAATTCTGTCACTGTAACAGTAATGAATGCAAGGATATTTCTTTTCCAGAAATATTCAACATTTTTTTTTTTTTTTTTTTACTTTATTTTACTGAGACGTTATCTAGATATTGTATAAACAAAATGAATAATCTCAACTCTTCCTTTATCCAATTTTACATTTAAAGTTAATATTTTGCCTCATCAAAAAAAAAAAAAAAAAAAAAAAAAAAAATGAAATGAATTACCTAATAAATTCCTTGTTCCGTGTAGTATATTGTCAAATACTTGTCAATACCTACAAACTTGAAGGCTAAAAGAGGTTAAGGATAATATTTCAAAAGCTGTATATTATACAGAGAAGACAGCAATAATATGAACATTATTGCTATAGAGTATATAGATATATTTATATTTTTAGGAAAAAATAGGCATCATCAGAACTAATTATTCTAATTAATATCTTCATTACAAAAGGAGATATTTATACTGTTCCTGAACTAAAATGTAGCAACAGTAGAGATTTGAAAAAAGAAATACATTTCCTCCTTTATATTTGATATATAATAACATGTTATCTATCATTCTTCTTATCTCCCTTTTAGTCTTTATAAGAGTTCTTTACAGCCATTGTAATCATTGGAATAGAACCAATTCATTTTAATGTACGTTAAAAATTTATTATCATGAGCTGACTTATAATGTCATGTTTCTTGATTAAACATACGGATCCAGGAATGTATTATCTATAACATATCTTAGTATTTAAAAGGGGGAGGAGAAATGTTTACTGTGAATGCAAATCAAAGATACTTAAAATGGTTTTCATAGCATACATCAAAGAAGCTAAAATTGTTAATATTTACAACCTCATTTTGGCAATCAATGTATGTGAGTAAAAGAATGGTTTCTAGCACAACATAAGGGAGACTAGACTTATCAAATACCCTTTGTTAGAAAATAGTAGTATTTTGTACAAATGAGATGCATATTAATTGCCTAATTAGGAAAAAGAAAGTTGATGAGAATATAAACAAAAAAGTGAAAACAAAAAACATTTATTTTACTTACTTTTCTTTTCTTTTTCTTTAACATAAATACATTTCATATAGTCATAAAAAAGATGTAAAATTGACAACATTTTACTATTTTACACATTGTTACTTTTTATAAGAAAGGAAGAAAATTAAATAATGTAACTGTGTGTATGTGTGTATTAAATGTGGGGTAACACATATTCTTATCGATTTCATATGATTGTGACTGTAATTTACAACAACGACCTCCTTATTCTTATAAAAAAGTAGATATTCAAAGTTATTTTTTCTTCTTTTTCTTCTTTATTATTACTATTTCTTCTGTAGGTAAGTCATTAAATAATACTATTTTATCCTTCTTCTTCTTCCCTGCCCTAGGAGGAAATTCTTTTTCTCATGGTTACCACTTATGTAACGCCTTCTGAATCAACAAGACACCCTATCTTGCCCTCCTTGAATTAGGAGGACATTGTAGGGTATCTGGTTGATTCAGAGGGCGTTACATATTGTGATCGCTATGGTTTTTCTAACCTCCTAGTAAAAATAAAAAATACAAGAACAAAGAAGGTGCAACGAATCCTAGCCTCCACGCGGCCACCTTTGGACTGCAGTAAATATTATTTTTACTGTTGACGAATTGGGGATTCACTTTTTTATATATGAAATAAAAATGAAAATAAAAATAAATAAATATCTTTTTTCTTACGCGTCTTTTAACATTCTTGTGCCTTCTTCAACTATTGTTTGTATAATAAAATATCTTTTTGCTCCAAATTGACTTTAAGAAGTATAAAAACAAGTAGAGAAGTTATAACATAAAAAATATAGGAAATATAAGAAATTAATTTCTCTTGATAAAATGTAATGTAGTAGTGATTATGTAAACTATTGACTAATATCTTATCAGAGAAACAAAAACATATGCGTCTTTTCCCTATCATGATTATTATTCCTCCTTTACAATCAGATCATTTTTCTTTAAAAATTAACTAAGATGACTACAATATTTTAAAGATATTGTGTACTTATTCATTACTTTTCTTCATTCTTATATTTTGAAAAAATGTGCGAATAATTCTTCCGTTTAATGTATAAAAAAAAATTGAACGTGTCACTAAGGGCAAGTCTTGTTCCATTTTCTTTATATTTAGAGACGAAATAGCTGGAATATTCACTGTGAATTAATATCAACGCAAGCAAAATTATTCTGAAACAATATTTTTGTATAATGCGTTATTATACCAGTATTCATTTATTCATATCATTTACCTTGAAAAAAAAAAAAAAAAAAAAAAAAAAAAAAAAAAAAAAAAAAAAAAAAAAAAAAAGTCAAGCATTGTAGAAGGGTTTAAGTTAGCGATAAATAGTGAGTGCATCAGCATATAAATAATGAAAAGAAGTCATCGAATAGCAAGAAGCATCGTACATAATAAAAGATGGCAGTAGTTTCTTATTAAATGTATGCTCACATCTTGTGGATTTTCCTCTAAATAATCCATGTAATGAGACAAATTTACTGAAGGACCAATTACCCTTTATATTCTTTATGATGAAATCAATGCTCATCCAAGAGCAATATATAACAGACAAGAACATCAAAACAATAATGGCTTTCATTAGTATTGCACTAAAAGACTGTATCTAACAGTATTGTTTTCCAAAAACATGTTGTTACGTTTTACAAGTGATGTCAAACGACAACCTTTTTTGTTTTCATGATAGGCTTCAAGAATACGTTTCTTGTATTAAGTGTCATTATACCATCCGTAGATACGAAACGGAGGAGTAAAGGATTTATCTTTATGGAAATTTTATGATAAAAAAAATAAGATTCCTTTTACAAAGACTGAGATATTGCAACAACTTCTTTTCGACGAGTCAGCCAAGCCTCTCTTCAGTCCTTATAAATATAACTACTCAATAATAATGAATACCCTAAGAAAATTTTCCTTGGAGAAAATTATGAAAAAAAATCACCAAAGTTAGTTTGTTTTCAGATAAAATAAAGATGACAAGGCTTGAAACAACTTCAAGTTATACCCTAAAGATGAACAGTCTTTTGTACAGCAATCAGATTATGAATGCTCATTATGAATGTTGGCTAGTTTTAGTCTTATTCTGACAATGTACATTCTAGTGATGCTGAATTTATTTAACCATACAGAACTTACCTTGAGAGGAAAGGAATCTTAGGGAAAATATACAATAGTCTTTTTAATATTTATACACTGTGCTGTAATAGTCTTTCACCACTTTTGTTATAATAAAATACTATTAGAGAAGCAACTTTATTGTAGAACACGATTTTATTAAATTGTTTTTTTTTTTCATTTTTGTTAATATTATAAAAAAAGATGCTTTTCTTAGTTCTCAAATCTCTTTAAAAGAGACTTGATACTAACAGGATTAACCACGAGAAGGTGAAAGCATATCTAATCCCAAAAATAATATTACAACCCATACACAAATTGATACGGGCTGTAATTTTTTCTTCTCCCTCTAAACTTCTACTTGAAAGATAAACGTCCAATTTCAACTAGTAGACACTTGGCAAAGTCCAACCTGGCCCAAGCCTTGCTAGAAGAAAAAGATAGGATTCCTCACTTCCTACTCCAATAAAAAATACAGTTGGATGTAAGTTTCACTGGAAGCCGGGCTAAACATTCTGACCTGTAGCGTGGCGAAGTGGAAGGAATCCAGATATATAAAGTGCACGACCTGACTATTGTTTACCTGAGAATGTCCCTTCTTTGACCCCTAGCATCTACTTTTGACTTAACAGTAAATACAAGTTGGGATTCTTCAACTAAATAAATAGATGAAAAAACCGCGGTCAGAAACGTAAGCTGTGCATCCTTATCTATTTTTATTTTATAAACAGCAACTAGATAAAAATAAAAAGAAGGAAAAACCTCCAAAAAGAAAAACAGAAAAACTAAACCTTGAGATAAGCCCTTTCAATGGTGCAGACAAAGAGTACGCTAATCTCCCTAAAAAAGGAACAGGTTTACAATTTCCAACCCCAAGTATCCTTTTTATTTCCCTCCTCCTTTGGAAATAAATCAAACTTGAGCAGTCAAAATTCGATAAGGTCCCATCAATTATCTAAGGTTGCAATAACCCAAGGTGAAGGCGGATATGCATGTAGTAACCAAAAGAGAGTCTAGGCCCTCTCCTTTAGCCATGTTATAAACGGACAGTTCTACAAACTCAAGTAAGCCAAGCTATGTGACTTGAGCACACTTCATAACCCTGACAATGTCTACCCATAGTTTCAAGTAAAAATAAAGAAGAATAGGAAAATTAAAAAAAAAAGCTAAAGAAAAGAAAAGAGAAAAAAAGGGAAAAAAAACGAAAAATGTACTTTTTTTTTATAGTAAAATTCAGGAGAAAAAAAAAATAAACGAAAAGAAGGAGAAGTTATTAAAGTTTAATCTTGGCGTTTTTAATTTACTTTGCGTTAAATCTTCTCTCCTACCTTTCTACTTGTCTTTTTTTTTTTCTTTTTAATACTTTAGAGATAAGTTTTGCCTTTTATTTGAATGTAGTAAAGCATTACTATCTTCTTTGAAAGTAAGCAAGAAAGTAAAAAAAAAAAAAAAAAAAAAAAAAAAAAAAAAAAAAAAAAAAAAAAAAAAAAAAAAAAAAAGAAGAAGTCAGTTATATAAATATTCATGCGAATATGCTGAGCATTTTTGTAAAGTAATTAAACCAAAACTAGTTAAATGCAGTTACACGAAAGAGTATGATATTCGTACATTCCCTAAAAGAATAAGAGTAGATAAGCTATCAATAATATAAAAAATGTCATTTTATACAGCAGTTCTCATTTTGAGTTTATGAATTTTTATTTTACAAGATGTTTCCTTTTAGCTTTGTTGTGGAATGCTTTTTTTTTTTCAATTGCACAAAATATTCTTGGCAGTTTATGCATTTTAAATAGTTAGGCTGTAAGCTTTCTTATTACTATACTATGGCAATTGAGCTCTTTTTTATGATGATCATAATAATAAGGCTCTTTATGTTTTGATCAGTCTGAAAGTAATAATGGCTTTAAAGAGAAAAAGAGATAGAGTTTCAAAGACTATACAAAAGATAACACGATGAAAAAAGAAAACAGCTAGCTCTTTAGAAAAAAAAAAGTTAGGATGTCAATTTTGAAAATTGAAAATGAGACAACCAACATAAAAATAGGATAAAGGATAAAAAGAGAAGTTGATATTCTCATTGTTCAGCCCAATCTCGAACAAGGCTAGCCTTGTAAATGGATGCGTTATCAAGCACTAGATGCTTATCATTCATATTAGTTACAGCAAATGTAGTAAGGACATGCTTTATGAATTCCAAAAAGTCATTACTAGTTGTGTCTTTTCTTTTTTACAGCTAGCGTATCATCAGTTTGTTTTTGCTGTAGTGATATTATCCTCTCGTGAAAGAGCAATAAAACCATCTTTGCAAATGGCGCCTAGGATACAGACGTTTGGTACCTTTTATTTTGCAATATATTCCTATTTCACACCAACTATAAGAGCGGTGCATGTCTCTATTGAATCTGGCCTTATCAATAAACATACAGTCATTCATAAAATCTATTTTTTGATGAATCTAGAAGTTTACTATATCATACGGTTTAATTACAGTTTCTTCACTGTATCGTACAAAATATTGCGGGATAATGCGTTTAGAAGTGAGATGACATATTTTTCTTTTCTTTTCTTTTTAAAAAAAAATGCAGAAAAAGGGACACCTAGAAATCGACAAGATGAGAAGCTAGGATGTTCAATTGATTAAATACTACTAATTTCTATTGTTATTCAAATTACTTTGAAAGAATAAAAAATGTCAGAGAGACAAGTTATTACGAGGTACTTTATATACCTTGGTCTTTTAGCCGCTCATTTCTTAAATAGTGTTATATAATTTACTTGCTAATGCCATTTTATAGAATCAAAATAATTTTGCCTTATCTGATGTTCTCTAGGGGTGTATTATGTCCTCTGTGAATATATCCATACTGGCATATTTCTTATATTTATAAGAATTGTTAAGGAGGTCTGAGATAAGATGTGAATCAGAAAAGTGTTAGTTACAACCAAATAAGATATGTTATAGATAATGAAGTGTTAGATATTTTGATATTATTTAACAAAGTTGATCACGAGAGTTTCAAGGGAATCTAGATAAAATCTCTTAAATAATAATATTATGATCTACTTATTTAACTCAGAAACATAACATTATTATACTTTACTTAATGGTCTCTCTTCTAGCTGTGTAGTTATTCTATTATTGCACAACAAAAGAAAATAAATATATAATAGAGACAAAACTGAAACATAAACCTAGAAGTTTTTTTTTTATTTGTATACGTCCATGTTCGAAAGGAAACTCTATCTGTATAAATCATTGCATTTCTTAATTGTACTACAGGCACCTTACGATAGAAAAATTAAAAAAACGAAGGTCCCACCGAGAATCGAACTCGGATCACCGGATTCAAAGACCGATATGATAACCATTACACCATGGAACCCTGTTTTGATTGGTAAACCATAATTTAATATATGTATTGTGTTTAAAATATCATGTCACGTGACTATCACGTGATAATTATGTTGGTTGGTTTCATGTTCTTTTTATGTCTGCTATTGTTACAAATTATTTACTGCTATCAGGATATTCATTTAAAATTTTACATGATATAAGCAGTTGCACGTATAATGACATACTACAAAATATGTTACAGTCATTTCATTGAACTAAGTTAATATTATCTTAGTTATTAGTTGTGATTAATTATTCAGAAAAAAAATAAAGACTGTATAATTTTTTATTTATTTTTTATTTCAGAGAAACAGTCTTTAACTATATCAACGATATAAAATATACAAAAATATATGGTCAACTTCTCAAATATATTTTAAAATAAGTAAAATAGCCACATATGGAAGTTGTGAAGTATGTAGTAGGCAAACAGAGTAAAACCTACTAGTATATATATACCATATTTCACTATCATAGAGGGGTTGTTGATATGTAAAATACATAATTGTAATAGCAATTGCTTCTTTTGAATTGACCTCTTAGAACTTTCTATTATTATTATTATTATTATTTTCATATAAATAGTCTATCATATAAAATCATAAATGAAAAAGCCAACTTCAGAACTATTGTTCACTCTTATTAACTTTCCTTTGCCCTGACATATAATTTATTCATTTCCAATTGATAATCGCATAATCATTTGAAATAGTAATAAAGAACCTAATCATGCTTTTTTTTTTTTTTTTTTTTTTTTTTTTTTTTTTTTTACAATATGATCCATTTAACAAGTATATCATCTATTTTGCTAAATAAGTGTTTCTATTACTATTGTTATTATAAAGCTAATATGTACATACACAATTTAAAAAGAAATTAAGAGATATTATTGTTTATACTATTATATAGATTAATTCATAAAAAGTAAAATTTGAATACATAATAATTATTTTTTGCTTTCATCTACAGAAACTATAGGTGATAATTCAGGAAATAAAGCGTAAATGATTTCATCCAGTAGCGTGTATATTAAATCTTGGTTTAATCTTTTGTTCTGAAGAACTGTAAATAATCTTCTTGCACCTTTTCGTGCATTCTGTCTACCTACCATATTACCAAGTAGATCTAAAATAAAATCAATACTATACTTAATATTATATATATATATTACACTAAACACTAGTTACCTGGTAACCATGTAGATAATTTTCGATTAGCTTCTTCTCTTGTATGAATTTTTTCCTCTAATTTTCTTGGTTCCTTAAATTTTAATGGCCCACCATCAGGCCATAGATTATCTATGATATTATTAAAATAAAATACAATCATTGACGATGAGGAGAGGTGCTTTACTGTTTCCTTTAATTTTCTAAGATACATGGCTACATGTTATTATTTTCATACACTTGATTTTTTTTTTTTTTTTTTTTTTTTTTTTTTTTTTTTACCTTTCAATAGTTCCTTCTAAAATTTGCTGAATAATAATAACAACTGCTTGTCTTCTTAACCAATTCGTTTTATCTTTCAGCTCAAACATTTCAATAAATAAATCACAAAGGGGTTCTGTAAATCTTGTAATACCTTCTGTTTTAAGTGAATCAGGCAAATTAGTTGTAGCTGTAGAGTCTGTCGTTGATGGTATCTGTTTCGAATTATTGCCGTAATTAAAACCTGTCTGATGATTATTATTATTTTCATGTGAAAACTCCATTACTTGTTCTCCTAAACGTTGAGTGATTAAATCTAACATAGAAGGTCCAACAAGAATATCATCGATGCCTGCAGCGACTGTTTTATAGATATGTCGCATAAATCCCTTTGATGGCTTCTTCTGCAATAATAAGTCTGGGTCGTGATTGTTTATCAACGCTATCGATTTCTGAAGATTTTGGACAGAAGGGGATGATGATGATGATGCTAATAATAGCGACTGCAGGGATGAATTACTAGAAGAAGTTGTTGTTTTGTCTCCAACCAATGGCCATTCCGCAGCTCTATTATCAGTAGATGAAATAAAGCTACTTTGCTGTGATAAGAACGATCTTAACTCTTGACTTTGACAAATTTCATGATCCTTTATCAACGCTCTCAAGTACCGTTCAAGACTCATCCTTCGTGCCTCTACAAATGATTTCTGTAATTTATTTAATAATGAGGGCCATTTTGCGGGAAAATCTATCATCTTTAATCTTGGATACTTTTCTTTCAACTGTTGATGTAAATTAAAGAATTCACTATATCTTCTTGCTACGATCCAGCCTGATGCAAAGTTATTATTGATGTCTAATTGCTGAATTTCAATCACATATAAGAGAGCAAAATCACCATGCTGATCTGTTCCCATAGTAGCATTAGTTATTTTTATTTGAGATCGTTTTGGAATCAACACATTTTCCATTTCTTGTAATTCATATTGTAATTTTTGATATTGCATCTGTTGAAGTTCTTGTCGAAAGACTGTTTTTGACTTTTTTAGAATACGAAGTTCCTCAACTTTGTTTTGTGATTCAGCCTTCAAAATTAAAGCATCCACAATTGCTTCTTGTCCTTTCAGCTTTTCCATTTCTTCAGAAAGTTGTCGAATCTTTGTCGCAAGCATGAGATCACCAGGAGGCGCAAAATGTACATTATTACTTATATTTGACGATAATGATTCTTCATTACTATCTAAATCATCATCTTCAGCAATATTAGACAATGATATACTTTTTTTTCTTTCATTATTGGTTATATTCACTTCATTTTTGACTGATAACTTCTTTTTATCTTTATTACTATCATTAGGATTAAAATTATTACTACGAATACTTTCTTCACTTTCGTTATCTAGAGTAGATGGTGGCATAGTAAATTCAAGTGTGTTATGTTCGATCTCTGAAATCGTTTTAATGCCACCTGAAGATGTCCAGGAGGGTAAAGTATAAATGTTTTGTACAGGAACAGCTGTACTTGATTTTGTACCCTTAGAGCCGCGTAATAAAAGTGTAGATGATGATAATGAAGGCTTCAAGACAGGTGGTGAGGATGATATCGATGGAGGGAATATAACAGCGCTAGGTAATGATTGGGGCTTATATACTGATTTAGACTGCTTTCCTTTAATATCTTCATCCGTATCCATAACAGGTTTTTTTGACTCAGCTAGTTTCTCATTTATATTGCTATTATTCTTTCCATCTAAAATCGATCTTAACTCTGCTTCAACAGCCTCTACTGTGTTACTTTGAACAAGCCTTGTTTGCTGCAGCTCCCTTTTATCATTAACTATTATGTCATCATCATCAACATCGTCATCATCTTCAGTCGTTATATCTAATGATTTAATAGAAGAAGGTACAGATGATGATGAATAATCTGTAATAGAGTGTTGTTGTCCATCAGGTACATTATTCCAAAGTCGATTAGTAGTAAACATATTAGAGAAAGTTAAAAATCTCGAATTAGAAGATGCTTTTGCAGAAGAATCCGAAAGAGCACGTTGATGTCTTCTTGTTTTCCCATTATATGCTGATAAGGATGCTTTCAAATGCGCTGATACTAATCGACTATTTTCTACAGGATGATAATCTATTGCTGATGGATAAGGGGTAGATAATGTAGGTGTAGCAAGTACTTTAACTGGTGATGTTAATGATGCTTCATGAATAGAAGCCGGACGATTATGAGCATTAATACGGTAAATAGATGTTGTTGATGATGAATTTAACAAAGAAAATTTAGCTGTAGTGGATAAATTATTGCTATGGTCATTCTTATATAAAGTTGTTTCATCTAAACTTCGTCTTACTCGATATGTATCCACATCATCATTAGTAGGTGGAGGAGCAGAAGATAAAAATTTGAAATAAAGATCGGATCGTTTAAAATAAGGAAAATGTTCCTTTTCAATTTCCCAAAAAGTTTGTTGCTGAATACGACATAAGCATAAATGTAATTCACGTATATAATTTCCAAAAGTTACACTATCCATTTCATTATTTTTCACCTTTGTCGTTAATGAATTTTCAGCTAATCGAATTGCATTTCTTAAATCTGTTACTAATGGTTTTGCAACGTGATAAAGAAGTCGATGCTGTGTAGCTACATTACTTTCATCTGTAAAATACATTTCATAAACCATTTTTACATCCTTTAAAAATGTCTTTTTTTCTTCAATCGTTTTTATTTCTGTGTTGTTAAATCCTTCGACGATTAACCAAAATTGTAACTTAATTATATCCCCTCGACGTTCCAAAAACTCCATGAAATATGATAATCCAGATGTATTCATCAGTATATCTTCTAATGAATAATAATGTGTATCTTGTTTCCTGGTATTATTAGCATTAGCATTACTATTGCTGTTTCCTACATCAAACAACTGAGAAGTTGAGTTTTTCTGGTAATAAAGCGTAAGTCTAAATTTATTAATAGATATAGTTTATAGCACTTTACTAAATCAAACTGATCGCCTAATAATGCTTTAATCCTTTTATCTACTCGCTTCTTTGCGATACTAAGGCGATTGATATAAAGAAGAATATCCTCTACTTTTTCACCATCTACAATTTCTTCAGGATCTCGATCAACTAGTTTTTTTCCCCAATAAGCAAATTAGTATATATATATACATATATGTATACATGTACATTATTATTATCACATTTACCAATCTGTGCTTTCTTTTTTCTTATTTGAGTCATAATATCATTTCGAACTCTTTTTAAATCTAATAAATTTTTTTCTTCCTGTATCATTTGTAAAAAATCTTGAAAAGAGCGTCTGTTGAGCATTGAATGTTGTCTCTTATTTTTAAGTGATTGTGTATTATATGCATTAGTGCTATCATATAACGGCAGCTTAAAGAATTTATTACTACCAAACATTGATAAATAATCATTTGAAACATTTTCTGTAGGGTCTTTAAATAGAGCATCTTCATCTTCTTCATTCTTGTCATTATCATTATCATCATTATCATCGAAGGGGTCATTATTTTCCTCTACATGAACAACAATGCCTGTACCAAGATAAGCTGATGAAAGTTGACTTCGAGGACCCATTTTTATCCTCTTTTTACCATCATTTTCTCTCTTTTGTATGGTCGATAATGACTTTTTGTCTATTTCCTTTTTACTTGAATAGTTATTTTGAAATATATCATCCATAACATCTTCCGGATCAATTCCTTCATGCGTAGTTGAATGTCGATCTAATACTTCACGTAATTGTTGAACCATTTCCTGTTCTATAATGGCTTTTCCTAACTTGAAAAAATAATAATAAATAAATAAATATAAAATATATGTATATATTACCTTCCGACTAGAATATACTTACATAATTATCTATCATTTGACACCAAAAATCTGGATCTGCCAGCATATCCATGACAGGCTGTAAAACCAAATTTGAGATAATTTCCCGTATGATTATTCTAACAGGACCGCTATCAATATCTTTAGCATCAATTAAAAAAGGCAAGATACGGTCAATCAATTGTCGAAGGTAAACGATTTCGGTTGGCTTTGTTGTTGTTACAGCAACGCTTGTTAAAGCCTTATGAAGCCCAATTTCTCCCTTATTACCTGATGATGACGATGACGATGATGACGAGCGGAATCGTGAAGCTAAAAGAAGATCAAGCTCATCTGACTGTGTCACGGATCGCTCAAGCGATTTACCTCTTAAAGCAATTTCTGCTTTCTTGAAATCAGAAATGTGCGACGTAATGCGCGGAATAAGCTTAGTTACCAATAACTGTAATAGGTCAGTTTGTTGAAGCCGATTAGAAAGATTGATAGCAGCTGTTCGTATGATATTTTCAGCAGATGCAGGAAACGATTGCTCATCGGGATTATTTGTAATTTTCACATACCAAGATTGAATGAAATCACGTAGAACATACTTTAATAATAAATTAAATACTGTATTTATAGCTGGATCATCCTTTGTTAAAGATATCTTTATTTCTTCATTATCTGATTGCTGTGTTTTTTGAAACAAAGACCGACTAAAGTGAGAAGTTAATCGTAATGGTTTAAAGTGTTCTGTTGCTATTGATTTTTGTTTATTACGATGATTAACTTGCGGAGAAACAAAATATTTTAGATAAATATAAAGTACGGCTGTGTTAAGAGCTAATAAAGAGCAAAGACTAGCAAAAGGAATTACAAAGATTAGAATAACATAGTTTTTGTTAATGCCTAATGTCAAGCAAAAAGTTGCTAATAATAGGCATAAGATTATAATTATTTTTTTAATTCCCATCATGTCTAAAAAAAATGACAGATGGAATAATTCAAAAAAAGAAGGACGAGAAAGAGAGAGGGAGAAAAAAAAAAAAAAAAAAAAAGGGCAAGTTTCACATATAATTATTATTTTGAAAAATTACAGTCAAAGAAACTAGGTCGGGCCAATGAGAAAAAAATTGGTCGTTTCAAAATTGGATTGGAACACCAATGCGAAAATGAGACACCAATATGAAAGTGGGACACTGATACAAAAGTGGGACATCAACATGAAAGTAGGATATATTGAAACACGCTTAGTTTTTGGGCGAATGTATAAACAAGAAGCTATAATCTTGTTCGTTTAACAAGAAAGGCCACTAATAGATTATTAGACTACTATGATGATCATCCAGATTAGGAAATGATCCACCTAACTTGAATGATCCCGGAACGAACAATCCTCATGGAGAATATCCCAGATTCGAATTACTTAGGACAATAAGGAGCATTTCTGTAAGTTTGATGGAGTGAGTGAACTATCGTTTTTGAAACAATAGAGCCAAGTAAAGTGATTAGGATACGTAGAATGTAGGGTTTTTATTATTCGTAAGAAAGAAAGACTTAGAGCCACCAGATCTTGATTACAATCATTATTTATACTCTGTAATATTGGGCTCCGTATGTAGTCCAGGTACCAGTGGATCAGAAAACCGACAATTTCATATGATTATATTAATACAAGTAACAAATAACGATAAATGTATGTAAAAGGAGATCATCTTGGATCAATAAAGTTCTTCAGTCAGTTTACATTGAATAAACACTCACACAGGCATCTGGATTAACCCACTGTTTTTGTTTTTTTTATATCTTTTTTATCTACCGATTCTACAGAATGAAAACTTAAATAACATCCCCTTTCTCTTATTTTATTGTCATTTATGCTGACACCCATCAATTATTGGTCGAAGCTGTACCAAAACTGACTCACAAAAAACTATACAACTTCGCTGCTTTATTTGTTGGTCAAGGAAAGAATGCCGATGCCGAGATCGCTGAAGCTTTCTTACAATTTAGTAATAAAATGGGAGAAGATTTTAGTAGGCAACAACAGTTCCCCAATATTCAGTATAGCACACTAATCTCAATAGTCATGCGTAGTTTTGAGACACTTATAGAGAATCATGTTGGAACGAACTTCAAGCCAAAAATGCTGCACTATCTCTTTACGAGGCTTTCTGACACAACTGAATTTCCAGACCTCCTTTTCCGAACTGGTGTCAAACGCGACCTAGCCGAGCAGGTATATAATGCTATTTGTACCAATCAAGAAGTAATTTACCCTGCTAATCTGGAAGCTGCCGACACCCACAAAACCTCGATCAACAATCTTATTGATGAATGCCGCCAAAGATTACATGGCTTGAACCTGACTGAAGCAGATTACTATGCTAAACCTCACTTGTATTTGCCATGGTTATACCATGTTTTAGAAATAATGAAGCGACAAGTCATTATTCGTGAGCCAATGTTGATGCACGCCGTCTGATTTCTAATACACCATCAACAAGGACGTGTAACTGGGACCAGTTCGATGAAGCTTTGCGATATATATTTCGGAACTTTGAGGCAATTAAAGGCTATTGCACAACCGGGTTGAAAAAGCCCAAATATCACAGCTATAGAAACAAGCAAAAAGCATTGACTGAAATATATAAACGGTTGTTTACAGGTAGCAGAAAATACCAAGAAGGCAATCCTGATATACAGCAAGCAAATCAGCAAAAGTGGAAACCGTTAGCCCCTAGAGACAATGCTGGTGAAGATGAAAGACCCACTGTAGTGGCGTTTGGTTCTGCTCGGTTCAGTGGGCTTCGTGGGAATGTACCTTCTCCAACAAAGGTATTCAGAAAAGCCTTACTAAATTATGTCAAATCAACCGAACGCAACCAGCCAAATTCAAGAAAGTACGTCGTTATGATTGATGAGTATTTCACAAGTCAAATATGTCTCAGATGTCATACAAGAAGTACTTCCAACCAACGTGATAACTCCAATATGATGATCCATCCAGTTCTCAACTGTCAAACTTGTAATACTCGATGGAACAGAGATCGCATGGCGAGTCTCAACATACGCTCTATCTTTTTGTATATGGCTGCCAACAACAACAATCGACCTGAAGAGTTTCGGCGGGGGTAAGCTATCTTGATATTAGTATAGATTTCATTACTTCATATACTAACAACAATATTATTATTTGTGGAAAAATAGCCTTAACAATTGAATAACATTATGTCTTGTATAACAGCAAGACACCCCATATTTACAGGTAAGTTAACCTATTGAAAAAAAAGTTTTCATTCGCCCAAAAATTAAAAGTATCTTAATATGTCTCATTTTCATATTGGTGTCCCAATCCACTTCATTGGCCCAACCTAGTTTCTTCGACTGTAATATACAAACTACAAGCAACTCCGTACCACACTAGGGAAGAATAGATGTATTCCCAAACTTTTTGGTTAACCTGAGCAAAAAAAAGTTAACCAAAAAGTTAACCAAAAAATTAACCAAAAATTCATAAACAAAAAAGTAAAAGTCCATTCAAGCTTATAGTTTTTATGTAAAAATTGATTACATAATTATGTTTAATAAAGCTTATCTATTTATTTATTGTGATAGAGATAGCTTCCAAATATTTATAAATATAATGTTTTACTATTATAAATTTACATATAATCTCAAGCCATCAGTAAAAGACTAAAATATTCCCTTTTTAGATTCAAGAGACATTATAGAAAATTTAATAATTAATTACATAACAGTAGTCGATAATCTCAAATGTTAATGTGACTTTTTTGATCCTTAATGCTTGAGATTTAAAAAAAAAAAAAAAGTTTTTTTTTTCTCCTTTGATAATATTTGTTACAATTAAAATATGTCAAATACCGGGAATAAAAATACGGAAGAGCCTAAGGGTGCTTTAGATGCTGTATTTGTAGAATCAGTAGAAATGCCTGAAGGCTCAGTCCTCATTCAAGGTCCTGATTTTAATAAAAAGCTATCTCTCTCTGAACTATTAGGTGCATATAAGCAAATTGGTTACCAAGGTAGTAGTCTTGGTGAAGCTATTGAAATCATTAAAGAAATGGTAATTCGAATAAAAAAAAAAACAAAAAAAATTACATATAAATGTCTAATTTCTTTCCTTTTATATAAAAAGAGAAAATGGCGTCTTTCTGATGAACCTATTCTTCCTGATGAAACTAAAGAATATCTTGACCCTGAAGTTCGAAAGCAGACAAAATGTAAAATATTTTTGGGCTTTACATCTAACTTGGTTTCTTCAGGTTTACGTGAAATTATTAGATTCTTAGTTCAACATAAGATGGTAGATGTACTTGTTGCTACTGCTGGTGGTGTCGAAGAAGACTTTATCAAGTGCCTTGCCCCAACCTATCTTGGTGATTTTAATTTGAAAGGAAAAGAGCTTCGTAAGCAAGGGCTTAATCGTATTGGTAATCTTTTGGTACCTAATAATAATTATTGTAAGTTTGAAGATTGGATTTTACCTATCTTTGATGCAATGTTAGAAGAACAAAAGACAAAAGGCATTATTTGGACACCTTCTAAGATGATTGATCGTCTTGGTAAAGAAATTAATGATGAGTCAAGTATTTATTACTGGACTTGGAAGAATCAAATTCCTGTATTTTGCCCAGCTATTACTGATGGGTCACTTGGTGATATGATTTATTTCCATTCTTATAAAAACCCTGGATTGATTGTAGATATTGCAGCAGATATTCGTGCTATGAATAATCAAGCCGTATTTGCTAAAAAGACAGGCATGATTATTTTGGGAGGTGGCGTCATTAAGCATCATATTTGTAATGCGAATTTGATGAGAAATGGTGCTGATTATGCAGTTTATATCAATACTGCTCAAGAATTCGATGGTAGTGATGCTGGTGCTCGTCCTGATGAAGCTGTCTCTTGGGGTAAAATTCGTGCAGACAGTAAATCTTGTAAGGTTTATGCAGACGCTACTCTTGTTTTCCCTCTCATTGTTGCTGAAACATTCGCTAAAGAATATCATGAATCTTCTAATAGTAAATAATTATTTACTACTACTGTATATTACTATTACATTCATAAATAAACTCATATAGATATAGAGACATCATTTGTATAATAAAGAGAAAGCATATAAAATAAATCTAGTTTTTATTCATTATTATTGTTATTATCATTTTCAAAGGCTTGTGCAATACGAGGATCTACGCCATAACTAGGCCATAAAGAAGCTATAAAAGCATAAGCACATCTTTTCCAAACATCCATCCTTGTTACTGGTCTTCTAATAGTATTATGAGTAGTAGAACTACCTTCTTCTCCTGATGTTGATCTGTCTTGATTTCTTCTTTCAGTGACATTATTATTGATAGAAGTAGATACGCCACTTTCAGCATTATTATTATTACTATTACTATTATTATTATTATTTGTTTGTGCTAAACAAGATAAGATCAGTACCAAATACATTTAATTTAGTTATTATATTATTACCTTGTGGAATCATATCGCCATCATTCCTGTTATTATTATTATTATTGTTGTTGTTTTGAGCTATTCGATTTAAATCTTCTACACGTACGCGGCGCAATACAACTCTTAATCTCCCTGTTTGATAGAGAAAAAATACAAATGCAATAGTATGAAAAATAATGATACGTTCAATGCTGGCTCCCTGACATAACATAAAAAGAACAACAGCAAGCTTTAAAGCGAGCCAAATAGTTGCAGCCATTTGAGCATTTTCAGGACGAATAAAGATAGGCATATTACGAAAGAATAAAGGTTGTCGTCGTTGAAATCTTTGTTCAGCCTGTTGTTCTATATGCGGTTGTGGTTGTGGTTGCTGTTGTTGTTGTTGTTGTTGCTGCTGCTGCTGCTGTAGAAAGTGGCTTTGTATAGGTTGAGAAGGAACCAATACAGGTGCAAGATAATACTGACCACTACGGTATAAAATAATTAGTAATTAATATTTAAACTTTATTAAACTGTGTCATTTACTTCACAAATATGACTTGGTAGCCTCCTGGTAATACAGGTGGATAAATAGGGACGTTGGGCTGTTGCTGTTGAGAAAGTGTTGCATTATTTATGGGAATATTTGAAGTTTCGATGGTGTTATTCTGCTGTTGCTGTTGTTGCTGCTGTTGCTGCTGCTGTTGTTGATGAATTGAAGGCTTCGAGACTAAATGAAAAGTGGGATTAAGTTCATCGTCAACCTACATTTTTTTTTAAAGAAAGAAATGAACATATTAATTCATTTACATTGAGATACTTCGAAACAAACCTTTTTAAGAACATTAATTAATATGTCAGAATCGTCTAGTAGTTTGCCACTATAAATAATTCTTTGGTTTGTTGGAGTAGGATGATGAGGATGAATTGGCTCAATGAATCGTTTTAAAGTTAATACCGTTTCGTTTAATTTAATTTTTATTGACAATGTTTCAGTAAGTGATGGAGAGCGTACATTAATAGTAACTTCTTTATCTGAATCATTCATATTTATAAACAAAAATACATGTATATGAAAAGTATTATTTATTTTTATGCTTGTAGTTTTTTATTTGCTCAGAAAGAAGTATATTCGAGTCACAACAATTATCCAATCAGATATCAACACTTTGCATTACATAATATTGAATTGAACCTGCTGTCTACATTCTTTTTCTTACACAGATGCACTTGATAACACTTTAAAAATTAAAGAGCATTGCTATATTACAAAATTTACGAAAAAGACGATATTTTTGTTATTTTAGATATTATTAATTACAAAAAAGGAATAAATATATTCCATGTCTAAACTACTATACCGTATTATTATTTACTTCTTTATTCTTTGGAAGAGGGGGGCGGGTTTTGATATAAATAAGATTGGGTTAAAGGTGGTAATCATTACCGCATCACAAGTACACTATATTAGATAATGCTCACTAGTAACTGATAAGGTAGGGCTGGTCCTGTTACGAATAACACTGTCAAACTTATGATCCTTCATGGATTGCTACTTAGAAGACCTCTTCTCTTGATATTTTAATAAAGTAATATTCATAGTTAAACTTAAGTAATAGATGTAACAATTCTAGGAAGTAAGTTGTATAATGCTTATAATACTATTTCCAAGTTATTCTATAGTTATTGCTTTTTTTATGATTCATGATTAAATAAATATAAGCAATAGACTTCTATATATTCTCTAAACAGACATTATATAATTGGAAAGTAGAGATTTATAATATAATAATGAATATTACCCTTATTGAATAATATCTTACAATTGAAATATGTAAGTTAATTCTTAGCTGTCATATATATCTTTTCTTTTTTTGTCTATCATAATATACTGAGTAATGTCGAGCATGTCTTTTAAGTTTACAGATATCGATTACTTCAAGCGAGATATGGCATAGTTTTATTATACTTGCATATTATATGAAGTTCATACGCACTCTACAAATATTAGTATTATAATTTCTATGTACATTAGGAATAGCTATTTTAAAATATATCATCTTAATTAAGTAATTAGTTTTCTTTTTCTTAATTTAAAGACTTAAATAATAAAACTTAATGACTATATCCTGTCTTTGTTGTTTCCAAATGAATACCTTATTGTGATAATTGATACCAAAGAGGGAATGTATATAATAACATGCCTAATAGTTTAAATTTAAAAGTAATAATTTATGATTCAAAATACAAATTATGCATATTATTCTTAACATAAACATATACAAAATAATGTCAATATAAACTAGAAAAAACTGTATTTCTTTATGTCTCTATATCTATTTGAAGCACATAAATGTATTATTTTTTGAGATATAAGTAGTATCCAATATAAGCAATATTCAATTATGCAAGTTAATTAAACAAAAGAACAATAATATTTAAAACTTAAACTTGCAACAAAAGATTCCCTTTCTTTTTACTCATCTTTACGAAAAAATAAATAAATTACTAACAATCAAGAGAAGATGCATCTTACATTTGAAAAATAATAAATAGTTTAATAGTTTTTAAATACTTTAGCAAGTGTATATTTTAATTTTTACATCTACATTCAAGTTGATTTTGGAATGACAATTTTAAAAAAAAATCCGCCCTTTGACTGTACAACTATTCCAATCTCAATCTGACCAATTTTTTTTTATGAAGAGAGTTTATCTAAATTAAGCAGGGAAATGGCCTGAAAAATAAAAAGGAACTCGTCCAATAAAAAATTGAAATCGTCTGAGATTCTTTTGAAAAGGTTCGAAAACCAAGTAAAAATACTGTAATTATACCTTTCTCTTTCATGAAAGGCTCCCTCCAGATCTTCCCTCAGAACCCAGTGTACTACTGGTGAAATGGTTACTCAACTAACAATGTAAATATCCTTGTACTGTCTCTGAATTTTATCTCACTGTTCTTTTTTCTTTTTCCCAATTACTTTATTTTTCTCTACCTCATTATATTTATTTTATCTTTTACACATATACTTTTATCATTTTCCCTTTTGTCTCTGAAGAGGGTTTTTCTTACTTATCTACTATTAGAACTGACTAGGGCGCTACAGCAGATGAAAAATGCTATGTGCTCATTTGGTCAACAAAAAAAAAAAAAAAAAATAATTATAATAAAAATTCAATTTTTTTTTAAACGTAATTATACCTTTCTTACTCCTTAAAAAACGTATAATAATAAAAAAAAAAAAAACTAAATACTCCGAATTATTAAAACCTTTTTTTCTCTCTATCTCCTTTTCTTCCATTCATTCATTTATCTTTTTTTTTTTTTTTTTTTTTTTTTTTTTTTTTTTTTTTTTCTAAAGGGAAAAAAAAAAGATGACTTGTAGCTATTGTCAATCAGACAAAACTGTTCACCTTTTACAACAAGAATTAAGCAAGAAAAATCAACAATTAAAACGACTAGAACTTGACTTGCAAACATTAAATCAAAAATATGTTGCTCAAATTGAACATGTAGGAAACGTTGAGCATGAAAAAGATTTAGTTGAACATGAATTAGAAGAGCTTAGTCGACATTTATTTGAGGAAGCAAATGCAATGGTTGCAGTCGAGAAGAAAGCACGTTGGAAGATAGAGAATGAATTAACACAAACAAAAGAACAACTCCTAGCAGAACAAACTCAACTCTCTGAATTAAGACAAAAATTATTAGCAACCGAACACCTTACCGAAGCTTCAAAAGATCCTGTTTTATGCCGAGAAAAAGATGACTTTCATCATAATTGTGATCATCCTACCTTGCATACAACACAATTAGATCTAGAGAATTTATACGGGATAAAACACATGAACAGTACAAGGAATACCATCTCGTATCAAAATGATTATAACAATGAACAGCAACAAAGAACTATCTCTATGCCACCTACACCTTCTAATTCAGATCATACGATTGCTATGAAAAAGAAAAAAAGAATAACCTCATCTGCTATTGATGGTATCCAACTAGAAACATTTAGAGAATATATTACTTTAGCATCTTCACAATCAATATCTACAAAGAAACTAAATCAAACACATTATATGAAATATTGTTTATCAGAAGATATTGAGCCTTGTCTAAGATTTGGATCACAATCAAAATTATCTGTAAAAAAAATGATAGATTATCTATCTAGACAGCCTTGTTTTATTGAACATGTACCTATTTCTCCTAATATTACAATCTCAAAGGAAATACCACAACAGCAATATAAACCAATATGGGAACGATTTTCATCGAGTGCAACCTCAACCAACTTAAAAAAGCCATTTATAATATCAGATATATGTTCTGCATGTGGGAGACATGCTAACCCTGAAAAATATATTAAATTAAATTATCAATTCAAGTTAGACGAACAAGATCATTGGCTACTGATTGACCAATATTGCCGTGATAGACTTGTTGCTGTTTGTGAGTTCTTTGTCTTTATTCGAAATATTCAAATGGGATTATATATGGATAGATCTATTGAAGACTTATACATTGAAAACATTAGGCTCAGATTACAAATGTTCTATTCTCGGTAAAATACAGTTCTCATAACAGTTAATTCAGCTTGATCTTTTTACTGACCTTTTTTTGTTCTTTTATTATTTATTTAAAGTATGGGTGCATTACCTGTTATCATGAGTGACTCAAATCATGCACTAGATCAAGCTAATAACGTAGCTAAACCAATATTAAAAGATGATATATATCTTTCAGATGGTTCAATATCTACTGGACCAAATACCCCTGAACAAAATATTATTTCTTCTCCTTCGCCTATTCATTCTGCTTGGACGCTGGAATCGTCTTCTTTTTCGACATAAATACTCTTCTTTAATATGCAGCAATAAATTTGTTTGTTTTTTTATTACTAATATTATTGTATTTACAGAACAGGAGATAGTGCTTTTTTTCCCCCTTTCCTTTCCTTTCCTTTCTCCTTTTTTTATTATTATTATTATTAAAACACACTTAAAGTAAAGGTAATGGTTCTCCTATACGTAAAATTGTTTGTAACCAACGTTCATCTTCTTCCCAAGGAATGCCACTTTCTAAAATGATTCCCTATTTTTTTCAAATATGAGTTTTTCTTTCTTTCTTTATTAACTTTAATAAACTTACATTTAAAACTGAACGTATAATAGACATTTGGTCCTTCTTATCATTTATACTAAAATATATCACTCAGTTAATTTACTTTATTATATGCCAAAAAAGTCATTTAAACTTACGCTTTCAAAAGCTCCATAGTTTCTGAATCTACTTTTTGATCTACTTTATGTCTTGATTTAAGTTGATTAACTTCTGATGTCAATTCTCTATTAACCTCATGTTGCTTTATAATCTGTCGCTGAAGTTGTGTTAATTCGGATTTTTTACTATCTAATTCATTTAATGTCTGCATAAATTGAACTACTAATTCATCACGTCGATTAATCTGTTCATGAGTTGATTGTTTTAATTGCATTTGCTGATGATCACTAGGTTTTGGATATAATGCTTCTATAGTAAAATACTGGCTGTTGATTGATTTTGTTAATGCCTCTTTATCTCGATTGAGTCTAGTGATGGAATCTAGATTATATTTTAATTCATCTATAGATCGTTTGTATTCTTCAATGCTTTCTTGGATATATTCTGTTGATATTGATTCAGGAATAACAACTTCTTTAACTGACTTTGATACGTTTTCATTATGTTCTAACTGTCTGATCCTTCTTTGTAACCAAATAATTTCCCTATGTGAATCTAGAATTTGCTTTTCCTTATTAGATAAAGAGTTCATATTTAAAGCGGACAAAAAAAAAAAAAAAAAAAAAGACTATTGTCTTGTCATTTATTTAATTTTTTTTTTTTTTCACTGCAAAAAAATTTTGGTTGCACATATAATCACGTTACTAATAGAAAAAGATACGCTAAAAAAAATAGATAACTTTAGTTGCATTCTATAGACATCAATGCTATTGTATATTGTTAACACTATTAACGATTTAATAGCTTTTAAGAGCGAAAAAAAAAAGATGATATATGATAATCAAAAAAAAAATATTCGAATCAATATTTGTTTTCTTTATAAATTGAACATTTATCTTAAATGATAATGCTATTTTTTATTTATTATTATAATATGCTCAAGAAATTTTAATACACTTCTAAAATGTAGGATTCCTTTTCCTTCCATTCCTCAATAAGAGCCGAAGCCGTAGTAGCATCTACACCACCGTATTTTGTAAGACCATGAACAACAGCATCTTTCACATCAGGAACAGGCCAAGTAGGACCACAAAGGTAAAAGTGCCCCTTCTTGTTCATCAAATAATCGCTCAACATCTCTGCATCTTCCATCATTTTGTGTTGAATATAGACTTTTTCTTTTTGATCACGAGAGAAGGCTAAACCGATGTGTGAAAGAACACCATCCGCATGATACGCTTCTAATTCTTCTCCATAAAGATATTCCATGGATCGATGACGGGAACCAAAATAAAGAACAACGGGGCCTACCTCTTTGCCTGCTAACTTGGCTAAATAACGCTCTTGAATAAAAGCACGGAAGGGGGCCATACCAGTACCAAGGCCAGCCATAATGACAGGTTGAGAGTCGAGAGGAGGAAGTTTCATAACTGAGGGTTTGATCGAAACAGTGACTTGATCACCAACATTCAATCTTGATAAATAACGAGTACACTGACCATGACGTTTCTTGCCCTTGACTTCCCAGTCAACAGCGACAACCAATAAATGAACAGCATGATTGTACATCTTTTGAGAGGATGCAATCGAGTAGTGACGAGGTTTGATGGGTGCAATAAGTTGAACAAGAACTTCAAGTGGAGGTTTAACAGAAATGAACTCACGTAAAAGATCTTCATAAGTTACGGTATCATCTACACGTTTCTTAAAGTCCTCTTTGCCTTCTGGTGAAATCAAATACAACAATTGCTCACGCTCTTTAGGATCAGTAGCATAAGCAGCAAGGGATTCGTAAAATTTCTTTGAGGGACGACCAAAGATGTCCAAGGTTTGACTAAACAATTGGAAAACAGAACGAACCTGTTCAGTGTCATCTTCATTTGTCTTGATAGAGATAACGTCATTGCCATTCAAACCATACCAATCCAAGAAATCCTGAACTTCCTGGTAATCATTATGACCATGAACACCAAGGGCATCACCAAGTTCATATCTGAGGTTTGATTCTGTAGTGTCAAATTCAATATGGAAAACGTTACGATCATAGCTCTCAGGTGTCAAACGTCGATTTTCACTGACACGAATTAGAAAAGTCTTTTCATGCAAGTCGGGGCGAATCTCTGTCTCGGTATGATATGCCTCATTAAACATGAAATGCCAAGCTGCCTTATGCCATCGATTTACGTTCACCTCAGCCGTATCATCTTCATTTTTGGCTACATCCTCTTGAGCATTCACCAAACGGTCTAAAGGAGTTGAGGGCAAGACATCATCACTTACCTCTAAAATTGTCCAAGGAGGTAATAATTCTACCTCTGTTAAGCCATCTTTGACTGAATTAACAACACGTGTGATCAAATCAGTTAGCGTGTACTTGGTCTCATCGAATTCAAGTTCCTCATAGAGAGCAGAGAGTTGATCAACCAAATATTGTTGTTGTTGTTGTTGAGATAAAATCAAAAATACGGCTTCCCAAATAAGGTGTGAAGACTTGATGTTCAACTCATGCTCTTGAGCAATACGTGAAGCATCCACCGTATAGAGTTTAGCATTGATGTGTGTTAATCCAAACTTGAATTCATTAGACAAGATACCTTCAAGTTCATCACCATGTTTCCAAGGACCATGAAGAACGATGGTAGCCCCTTGAGCAGCATTCGCCAAAGTATTATATTCACGGATTAGGCTGACATTATGAATTTCAATATAACGATGTGGAGCCGTCGTGAGAGGACCATAGGTAAGATGGGTTTGAGTGACAGGACCACCAAGACGATAAGCATCATGTCTAACACGAGCCTTCACATCAGGCTGAAGGGCCTCTAAAAGATGAGCATCATGAAGAGCAGCAGTCGCTGTATTATCCTTGACACTATCCCAGAAGATGGCGCTCCAGGCAGCATCACTCTTTTCAAGTGCAACCGTTTCATCTGAGATTGAATCACTAAAGGGCTCTGCAGCAAGATTAATGAAGTTTTCAAGTTCGGCTTCTTTGATAAGAGAGGGCAAATGCGTAGCATGGAGATGACTATAGTCAGACGCTTGTGCACTTACTAAACGAGGACGACGGTCATGAGCCAAGGAACCAAAACGGATTGAGGCAGCGATGTCTAGATATAATGGTCCATTGAAAGAGTAAAGCCCAGCACCTTCCTCGAGGACAACGACACGACGAACTGATTTGGGTAAGATGGTAATAAAGTCAGATTCAGACCAAGGACGGAAAACGCGAACACGAACAAGACCTACACTTGTCTTTAAATATTCTGTAGCACGTTGAACGGCTTGATCAATCGAGGCAGCAGTGGCATTCAAAGCCACCAACACAGTCTCTGCATCCTCGGCACCTGTATACTCAAATGGTTTATAATTAAATTGAGCAAGTAGGGTTTGAGTTGTTTTATAAGATTCAGTATAATAGGACGATAAAGATTGAACTGTATGATGAGGGGTAGCCCTTAACTGTGCCAATTGAACATAAGAAGTCAAATTCACTTTTTCAATTTGTTTTGCAGCAGTAACACCATTAAAGAAATGAATAACAGGTAAATGAACAGAGTGAGCAAGTAGATGAGCAACAATGGCCATATCATGTGCTTCTTGAGCATTTGCAGAAGATAATAAGATAGCACCCGTATTTCGGGCAGTAAGAACAGCATCTAGACTAGGAGAAGGAATAAGGTCTTGATCTACAGATTGAGCGGCAACATGAAAAACAACGGGTTGATGATTCAAAGCAAGAGCCTGTAAGTTAGGAATCATTGAGAGTAATGCCTGAGAAGTGGTCAAGACAGACACACTTTTCTCTTGAGAATCAGCAAGAACACCTTGAACAGCTTGAAGTGCACCAGCACGAGTCTCCATTTGAACCACTTTTACAAGTTGATGATTCACATTACGTACAGCAGAGGAGGCCCAATTTGATAATTCTTGACCAAGGGAATACTCATCAGAGGCCAAACCAGAATAGACAAAAACGATATCAGAGAGACCATAAGCAATGTAACTCACAGAATGATTTGCATCAAGTAATTTTACTTTAGAGTCTTCAGAATAAGGAGTTAAAAGATATTGAATAGCATTTCTAACTCTCGATTGTAACACTATAGTAGTTTCTTCATCGACAATAGTTACTTGACTTTCTGTAGTAGAAACAGCATCAATTTCTTTTTTCAATTCAGCTGTCACAGCTTTTACGAGATCAGGGGAAATATCGGTAATTATTTGTTCTTTATCATTAAGTACATTATTGGTAGGAAATGCTGCACTTTTTACAAGTGATGCAACTAAAGCAACTGAAGAAAACATTTGTTTTTTTAGTTTGTTATTACTATTTTCAATATATTTATAAATATATGAAAAAAAAGAAGCAAATTTAAAGGTATTTGTATTTTCTTTTTTTTTTAAAAAAAAAAAAAATATTAAGTTTCTAATGATTAAAAAGAAAAACTGACAGATTTTTTTTTTTTTTTTTAAAAAAAAAAAAATGGCATGTAATTTAGCAGGAAATTACCCATTCACGACAAACAAAAATTGCGCAATTGTTTCTCCGTCGTTGCTCATAACGATTTTGTTTTACAAATTGACGTGCAAGATCCAAATATCCTATTGGGCGACTGATTACCCTCCAATTTGAATTCTCCAAATGACTAACACATCAAGCAAATATTACATAATCATATAATAGATATTTTTTTTTTGTTTTTACAATGTGATACAAATAAGCAGTAAAGAAAAAGGGTAACATATTAAATTCTATTTTGAATATATGGACTATTAGTTTAGATGTATATATAAGTTATTATAAAAAAAATAAATAAATAATTATAAACTATACTCTCTATAGTCTTCTAATAAAAATATATTCTATATCGTACAAAAAAAAAAAAGAAGAAGAAGACTATGCTAAATGCTCGTTGTAAAGTTTTTTCAATTGCTCCATAAAGATAAACATAAGTGTAGTATGTGGACTACACACGATTATCAAAAAAAAAAATTAATATATGTACCGTAAACATATTTATATAAATATGTATGTATCCCTTACCCAATACGAAGATAATGTGCTAAAAATCCTTTATAAAGTCCTCGTACACCTTCGATTTTTACAAGCTTAACAAAACAATCGACTGGCCCATTATATAAGATACCTTTACCCGTTAAAGGATCAACGCCTTGATTATACATTCGAGTTGAAATTACATCAAATGGATTCATTGCCAAACAAACCAAAACTCCAGTAAACATGGATGTAGCAAAATGGGTACTTACTGTATCTGGTAATCCAAATCGATTAAGTAGGATATCCTTACCCATCATATAAGTAGGCATTTGAACAGCTGACCCAACACCTGCTCTTACCATCGCAGCATCAGCGCCACGATAAAGTCCTTTTATACCTTCTGTTTGATAAATATGTTTTAATGAGCTTAAAATAGATGCTTTATTCATAGATTCATGTTGATAACCAATTGATTTAAATACAGGTGAATACGATTGTCGACGTGTTTTGATAAGATAGAGCGGAGAACCCAGAGCAGCGCCAACTACACCTGCAAAAGCCCCAGAAAAGACACCAGCAGCCAAGATGCCACCATGATTACGATGAGTGGATGATATATTCAAGTTGAATAATTTTACTGTATAATTAAAAACAGGTTCATAGAGTCCTAAACGACTTCCATTTAAACAAATTTGATAAAAATAAGCTACACTTAAACCTCTTTGTGCACCACGAATTCCTTCATGTTGAAAGACTACTTTAAGTGCTTGAAAGCTATGCTGATAAGGTCTTGCAGATTCTGAAAGTGCACCTGCTCGAACTAATTCACCCTGCAATTGAAGCCGTGTCTTAACTACCTATACATGCGTCCCCCTTTTTTTTTAATACTGTTGTTTTCTTTATTATAGATTATACATAACTATACCTCCCAAGGATTTGTGAATGTAACTGCACCGCAAGCAGCAAGTCCACCAATAATAAACCCAATAGCAGTTTCTTTTGCTTTATTAACTTTAGTCATTTCAGCCTGTTGCTGTTGAATTACTGCTGTTGTTGACATGATGAGTAACCTGGAGATGAACAAGATGAAGAGACCAAAAAAAAAAAAAAAAAACGAAAGCTTCAAAAAAAAAAGACAAAGGCGGGGAAAATTACAACTTTATTTTTACTTAATTTAGAAGTCATGATCAAATGACCACTAAAGTCCATTAGGATTGTTCACACATTATATTGAATTATTTAATCATATAGTACAATTTAAAAAATATACATGAATTTTTTTATATATAAAAACAGTTTATTATTCATCATGTTAGATAGCTCAAATATTATTCGTAACAAACAAACAAAAAAGAGCTATTTATCATTCAACAGCAAAAAAAAAAAAAAGCTTAGTTATGTATTATAGTTTAACCGCTAATTATTCAAATAATGCTTTTATTGGACAATATTGTTCCTTGATAATGACCTCAATAGTCTCATGTGATTGGATAAGAATCATAAGTAGAAAAAGAATTAATGCAGATTATTATTTTGAGTGTTGTAAAATTAAGTCATATTGCCTTTTTTTTTTCTTGTTTTATCATTTTTTTTTCTTTTATCATAGTTATTCCTTTTCTTTATATTTATATTTATATTTATTATTTGTTACATAATTAAAAAAAAAAGAAAAATTTAAATAGTCAAAGCCAAGTCATATACATATACAACTTCATATTCATTCCTTTTTTTTAATTCGACATTCAATACATTTAAATTGAACTTTAGTACATTTCAAGATTAAAACCATAGTAAAGCAAGTATTACTAATTAACTATTCATTTACAAGGAATTGAACAAAATGGAATTCAATGTGTATAATGGAGTTCGAGCAGAACCCAAATTTTTGAGGTAAATATAAATTGTTCCTATTTATGAAAACCAGATTTTTTTTTCTTTTCTTTTCTTAAAATGATAACTTAGAGATCCTACTTCATTTGAGTCTATATCTTCTGGTATATCAAGATTGTCATCTTATGTTACATCAAACTTACAAAAAAGAAAACCCAGTTTGAGTATGTCTTCGTTTGATCCACACTATCATCAACAAAGAATGATTGAAGAAGTAGCATTACAACAAACAGATGCAATAACAGTAGACAATCATGGAGAAGAAGAAGATAATAGTAATATTGATAAAGTGACATTTGCTACATTTGAGAAAATAGAATATATTCGAGATAAAAGACCTTGTATCCTATCATGTTTAATATTAGGCTATCATGATGGGTTTCAAATATGGGATATAACTAATCCAGATAATGTACATGAAATATTTTCAGTCAAAGACAAGCATATATTTCATAATATAACTTTTATACATGTCTTGAATACGACTCAACAAGGGCCCATATTCGCTATTGTGTAAGAAAGAATGAAAGGAAAAAAAAAAAAAAGAAAAAAAGAGAAAAAAAAAGTTTATATGCCATTAGTGTAAATAATAATTGAAATTATTTGCTATTATTTAGATCTGAAGTGGTTAAGAGTCAAGCTGATAATACCTTAGATAGTCGTCATTCTTCCCTTAATGATGCTTCACAGTTACCAACATTGATGTCAAGTAATAAGTCATCTAAACTTATTATTTATTCTTTAAATTCACAATCTATCGTTAAGGAGATCCATAAATTTGGTGATGAAGATGATGATACAACACAAGTCACATGTATTAAAAGTAATTCCAAGGTCATTGTACTTGTAAAGTATATGTATTTATATAGCTTATGGTTACCTTTTATTTATTTTATTTCTTTTTTTTATTTCCAGGGCTGCGTTTCTCGTCAACGGCCGTCACTTCATTTTTTATCTATAAATGATTATAAACCAATTGCAAGTCCATTAATGGATATTTATCATGATCAGCAATATTTACAAGGTCCAATTTTTGCATTAGGATCAAGATTCATTGCTTATGCGACGAATGCTGCGGTATTGAATTCAGACCCCGTTATGACCACGAACTATTATTCACCTTCAACTTCCCATTATCATAAGACGGGCTTAAATGTATTTCAAGGAGAAAAGGATGTGAAAGGCGCTGCAAAGGGAATTGCAAAGGAAGTTGTGAGTGGAATGAAGACATTAGGTGAATTCGGGTTAAATACTCTTTCGAATTATTTTAATCCTCAGCAACAACAGCAACAGCAGCAGCAGCAACAACAACAACAACAACAACAGCAGCAGCAGCAGCAGCAATACAGTAATAATAATAGTCCAAATAATAGACGATTTAGTGTTTCACAACAAGATTTTATATATAATAATGGTAATACACCTATTCAAAATAATGCTGCTTCAATAAAGAAAATGATACCTTCAGGAATGGTAAAATCATATACATATGTGTATACAAACTCTAATTTTATGATATAGGTTATGATTCGAGATATTCTTAAATTGCCAAAGACACCTACAAGAAACTTATCTATATCAACTATAGCTCATTTTAGACCACATACTCATCCAGTTTCATGTCTCACTTTTAATCAAGCAGGAACTTTATTGATGTCAGCATCCAAACAAGGTCATACATTTCATATCTTTTCTATGTTAACACCTAACAATATGAATAGTACAAATGTATTCCATTTGTATAGTCTATCAAGAGGTATTACAGATGCACAAGTAGAAGATTGTCATTTTTCAATAGATTCTAATTGGTGTGCTATTAGTACAGCAAGAGGTACAACTCATGTATATGCTATTAATCCTTATGGTGGTAAACCTGAGATAACAGGACATGTTCATGGAAAAGTCAATAATCATCCTATATTATTCCATTCATCTTTATTCAAGAATAAACCAGTCAAGGTATAAAGTAGATATTTGATAGAGATGACAGCTAATTTTTTTTTTTTTTTTTTAGCCTACGCAATTAAATTCTGTTGTGCGAATTAAACAGAGAAGGAAAATGCCTGGATATAATTTATCAACGTCATCTCAAGATGATCTTCTTCTAAATAGTAATAAACAACAAGAATTCAATACTGGTTATTATTATCATCGACTGCCTCACTCTATCTCAAATCATCCTTCATTCACACCATCTCGATCTTCAACAAAGGAATCCTTATCTCGAGCTAAACTGACTACCACATTTGTTACCATGACAAGATATCCTTATTATTGTTTCATTCATAGTAACAATAATCCACTTTCTAATCATAGTAGTCATGGCTACCCTTCTTCAACTTCATTAGATGGGATGATGACGAATTATCAACCTATTGTTGGGACTCTAAAGCAACAAGCTAGTCAAATGTTATCTTCTTTTGGTTCTAATATGCTCTCATCCACGAATCCAACAGCACAAAATGTGATGACTAACGGCAATAGTAAATCACAAACAAATATCGTGAGTCAAAATACAAATAATGATAATGTACTCATGTTTGGATTTGATGAAGAATATGATGATATAATGACCAAGATGAATGATGGAGAAGAGATAGGATTTCAAGACCTTTATTCGTTTCATCCTGATGGTATTTTAACATTGCATCGATGTTGGATAGCCAAAAATATAATTAAAAAGAGAGAAAAGGGACGAAATATAGAAAAGTTAGACTTAACGATAAAAGAAGAAGACATAGCAGAATGGAGAGTAGCTCGTAGTTCAGATTGGGAAGAAGTAAAATGGATGATACCAACAGCTGATATTCTTGAACCATCATCTACCGAAGTTAAGAATAACTCGAGTCATAAAAAGAACAATAAAAAGAATAAGAAATTACCTGTCGTAGACAATGATCCAGTTACATTACAGCATAATGAAAAGAAAGTTAGATGGCTTTCAAATGCAGAAATTACAACTTATGGAGCAGCCTTAGCAGACGATCCACCTTTATGGACTCGACATCAATTTAGTTTTCAAACGTATCAACCTCATCAAAATTTAAAATCTTTACTTGATGCAACTATTATACCCAATACAGATACCATGATTTTGTTAAAGGGAATGCCTGAGCCAGTTTCAAGTCGAATTGATCGTGTCAGTAAAACAACAACACGAATAGCTAATCATCAAGTTGAAGAGAATATGGATGATGCTTTAGCTGAACTAGAAGGTAATCATTTAATTATATAAAGACATAAGCCATCTTATCATCCTATTCTTCTTTTAGATAATATATCCAAAGCTATGCAAACTTCATTTTCACCTTCAAGTCATCCATCATTAGATATTAGTCCAGCTACAAAATGGTTATCATCATCAAGTGTAAATAATAATGGATTATCTTCATCTCCTTCTTCTGCCTCGACTACACAAAAATCATTATCATTTTCGCCTTATTATATAGATAATAATAATAATAATCGAAATTCATCTATTTCATTTGAGGATGCTTATTTGATACATATGGGAAGTGGACCTAACATTGAGCCTTCCATGCTTGGAGTAATGGCTTTACCATCCCATCAAAATGATATTATGCAGCATAGTTCTTTAATACAATTTGACGACGACAACGACAACGACGATGAAGAAGAAGAAGAAGAAGAAAGGTTGAGTTTACAAGAAAGATCCAATGTATATTCTCCTGATGGAGATAATGAAGTTGCTTACCCTTACGAGTCTATTTTTGGTGATTTTCATTCACGACCATTGAACAATAATAATGACGATGATAATGTAGTTGCATCGTGGTAACTTTTATAAACAATTTTTCTTTTTTTTTTTTTTTTTTTTGCTATTTTTGGTACTGTACCTGTTATAAAAAGGGGCAGGGAGGAAAATAAACGAATACTCCTCATTCCTCTCCAAGAAAAAAAAATAAAACGGCACTTTTATTAACATTACTTGTTGTTTTCTATAATATAAGCTCTTCTTTTACTTTTCTATTTTATATTATTCAATTTACTACCACTACTGGGAAAAGTCGGGGATTTTTTTTTTTTTTTTTTTTTTTACACATAATAATGAAATTTATTTATTTCATTTATTTTTATACAGGATTACGCTTGCTTTTCTTCTAATAACTTTTGTTGTTGTTTATATTCATCAGACATACGATACCTAAAAAAAACAAAAAAAAACATTAAAATTTATTTTTATACATGAAAAGAAACAACTTACTTAAAGATACGACCGCATTGAAGAGTGCCTGTACCAAATACAAAAAGATTGACTGCAAATAAAGAATAATTCTTCGGAATAATAACCATGGAATAACGAGACCAAATAAGACCAGTCATCATTAAAGCTTTTTTTTTTTTTTTTTTTTTTTTTTTTTTTTTTTTTTTTTTTTTTTTTTTTTTTTTTTTTTTTACAAGTTAAACAAAAGTAACATCAAACCTATTTTATACTTACATAAATTTTGAGATAAACTCAACTTTTCAGCAGGACGTTGCATATCACCAATACCAGCAATAACTAAAGCCTAATATTTCCCTTTTTAGTACAATACATCCAAAATATGATTATTATTATTTACCCATTTCATAGCAGGTGCCCAAAAGTGAATAGTTTTGGGGCCAGCTGGTGAATCAAGAAATCTACGGAAAGCACTCTTTGTTACTGCTTGAGATGCTGCTGTTGACATTGTATCCCTTATAATAAAATAAATAAAGAAAGAAAGAAAGAAAATAAAAAATAAATAAAAAATAAATAAAAATAAATAAAAATAAATAAAAATAAATAAAAAATAAGAAAATAAAAAATAAAAAAAATAAATAAATATACAGATGTATAAAAATATAATAAAGAATATAAGTGGGGTATTAAAATTTTACGTAAGAAAGTCAGAATGTGTAATGTTGAATTAAAAGATGAAAAAATTTGATTGGATAAGAATAGTTCTTCTTCGTTTCAAATATTCTATTTTATTTATTTGTCAATAAGAAATCAGAAATTATTTTTTCCTTTTGTAGAGTGAAAATTACTTTTGAACATTCTTGTTTAATATGCTGTGTTTTATTGAATGTAGCCTGATATTGATCAAATTGTCTTGCATAGAATACACACTGTTCAATTCTATATCTTCTAACCAATCTATTGTATATTTTCCGTTGCTTATAGAGTATGAATCGTAAGTAAAGTAAGCATGTATACATACATAAAACTTACTTGCAGAGTAGACAAGACAGTCTCATCATAATGTGTTCTAATTACAAAATCATTAGGTAAAACCCATAAATCAGCACCTGCTAAATAAGTAGTATAAAGACACGATGCTAGATCGTCTTCAAATCTCTCTTCACACCTATTGTATGTTAAACAAAAAAAAATTTTTGAACATGTATATAAACACATATATACATATATGAATGCGTGTGTATACCATGGATGATTTAACCTTGAAAAGATATAAATAGGACCATACTGAGTATCATATGTTGGTACAAGATAAGGTTCTACTGCCTCTTTCCAATGTAAATAAGATGTAGGACCATGATTGAGTTCATAGTGTTCATCTAATAATCCTATTTTACCTTCCTCTACCCATTCAGTGATAGACTGCTTATCTATAGGTAAAGTAAGATTCTGCTGTTCATCAAATGTAAATCCAAATGTTGGAATAACGAGTACATTTCCTTCTTTTAATATAGATTGATGGTCTTTAAATGAATCTTTAATATGGGTTGTTATCCAAAGTATTGAAACAGGAATAAAGGCAATATAATCTGTACGACCAAATAAACGAGCCAGATTACGTGCTTGTTGATAACTCATTCTATTACTACTTGGATTCATATCAGGCTGAAGAACAAGATGAAGATCTACATGACGTTTTAGTATAGATGTCGTTTCATAGATGTGACGTATTTGTCTTAATTGTTGTCGTATATATTCATTATCCATCATCCCAGTTGTGGAAGGAACTAGTAATGTAGCTGAAATAGAGCCTGTATGTATATATATATGTGTATGGTATATATGTATATATTTTACTATGTATATTTGTATATATGTGTATGTATATTTGTATCTATGTGTATGGTATATATGTATATACTTTACTATGCTATCCACATAGTGCTATCTTTTGTCCTATTTACTTTACCTTGATAAAGTTCAGCTAGTTTTATTAAATGATTTAAATCTTTTGATTCTACTACAGTAGCTAATGTTAAAGTGTCATCTTGAACAGGTTTTATAGAAGCTGTAAACCAATAAGGACGAATGATAAGATTATTGTGATGATAATTAACAATCGAAGATGATTTACTAAATATTTTCGATAAAAGAAATTCAGGCAATAATTCATTTAAGGAAGACTCCTTCAGTTGTTGTCTTTCCATGAGTCTATGATCCCAATGCGTGGTAGAGTCTTCTTTATGTAAATATGAATAGAAGATAATAAAGTATGTTTATTTCATATTTTCAAACCTACCTGAATGATAGAATGATTTGAATAGATGCAATGTAGAGAGACAAAGACAGATCATAAGATAGGTCCAGCCTATGAGTTGAATAAATGACATATCAAGTAAATGCTTATAAAACCTGGTATTATCGTTATATTTGAGTCTATGAGTTGTAGTTGTCTTTTTATTTGAGAATCTACCATGTCGTTGCTTCCTTTTGTCTGGTGGTGGACATATCGTCGTTAAAGAAGGTCTACGTTGATAAAAGTTATTATCATAAAAGAATGTTGAATTATTCATTATTACAAGGAAGAAAGGAGAGAAATTTAAATGAATTTCTTTTACTTGCACACTGATTTAAAGTGGTTGTACAAGAAGGAAAACTTGATTTCCTCTAATAACAACACGTGTTGAAATTAAATGCTTTAGAAGAAGTACTTTATAGCATAAAGAAGAGTGACTTTACATAGTCAATGAATACAATCTATGTTCTTTAATTGTAATTATATAACCTTATCACTTGTTAATCTTTGCTTTCTTTTCATCTAGCGCTAAATACATATTTTAGTAACAAGTGTTTCTTCTTTTACTAGACTGCTTCAAATTAGTTAATATGATTAACTATCTTGAATTTAGTCAAATATAAGAGAATGTGTATACTAATATTACAACACTTAATAAATCACATGTTAATAATTCCATTCTTTTTTTTTTTCTTCTTCTTCTTTTTTTTTTCCTCCCCCCTAAAAAAAAATAAGCAGTTCAGACAATTTAAAGTTTATTAGAAATGTTCTTTGGCATTAGCTTTTTTTTTTTTTGACGACATTGTTCCAAGTAAACATATTGAATTTCTTCTCTTTAGAATGTTTCCCTTAAAGAAGAAGAAGAAGAAGAAAAAGGTGGCATTATTCAGTTTCTATATTTCTACCAGAAATAATGCATAATTCTTCTATCATATTAAATACCTAATCATATACAGCTTATATTGATTGTATTATTTTCAAAGTCAACTATGCTATACTTCTTATTATAATATTATTCGCCAAAAAAAAAAAAAATCCGACACATCATCAAAGTTACGCAAAATTCAGCAATAACGTGTGTGGGTGTCTGTTGTTGTTGTTGTTGTTATTATTATTATTATTATTATTATTTTTTTAAACTGTCCAATTAGATTATATCATGTTTATTCTATCAAAAAGAGTTAATTATAATGCGATATCGCTAAAGTACTTGTTTTTCAAGAGAAATAAGTTTATGTTAACAAAGATGAATGCATCCGAAACTTGCAGTTTACAAAGACCAACGCCTATTCTTTTATTAAATACAATTAAAACAGAGAATGAAAAAAGTCAACAGGAAAAAGCAGTGTAAGAGAAGAGATTTTTTTTTTATTTGTTCATAACAAGATATTGAAATAATAAATTAGAAAATGGTGGCAAACTCAATTTAGTAAAGAAGGTTATTCAACTATTTCCATTCTTATGTCTTTACCTGATGATAGTAAGGATAAGGAACCATTAAAGACTTGTTATGAGGGTAATGCATATTTATATGTGATAATATATTATTTCTAATTTATTTCATATGATAAGAATTGAAACAGGCAACTTCAGAACTTTCATTTTTTCCACCTTTAATGATTAGTTCAGGTGAAATAGCATGCCGTATTTCACAAAAATTTGTTTCCAACAAACCTGTTTCTGGCTTAATTATGTTAAAACATGAAAAATCCATTCATAGTTATTTGTTAAATAAGCTTTACCCTACAAGTGAGTTTGAACCTTACTTTCCAATTCTAATCATCTCCTCTTCTTCTTCTTGTTTACCTAATTTTCTAAATAATGATTGCGTCGATCATATTAAGCTTAATGAAGAAGATAAAAATGCTTTTAATCATGTAATCCAATGGATGGATAATATTGGTATGTAAATAGATAAAAAATAAAATAAAATAAACAATATTATTTGTGCCGATTGATCATGTTTTAATCGGCTGTCTGTCTTTCCGAATTCTCTCCTTTTTTTTTTCTTCCCCACTCTTTTATTTATAATCTTTTTTTCTTCTTACCCTTACCCTTACCCCTAACCCTTTAAGACTCTACCCTACCCTACCCTTGCTTCTTGCTTACCTAGCCTGCCTTTTTTTTTTCCTCTTCCTCTTTTTCTCTTTTTTTTTATTATTAACTATAAATTCAATTTATATGGCAATGCAACAAAAAGTAACAGATCAATCCATTGGTTTTTGGGGCCCAATTACAAGTTCAGTGGATTGGTAATAAAAGAGAGAGAGAGAGAGAAATAATCATTTCATATCTGTAATACATGTTGAATAATTATTTTGATTTAGGTGTGAAAAGAATTATGTACATTCATATTACATAGCAGAATTTTGGAATACAATTTCAGTAATTATATAATAATAGTTGTAAATAATGTACAAGTATATGTATGCATACACTATAAATATGTATATATATATATATATTTTAGAGTTTAGCTATGGTTGCGTTAGGTTTACTTGGCGTAGCACTTCATCATAAGTCACTTGGCTGGAAATTATCATTTAGTTATTTATTAATCGTCATTGTTGGTATTGGAAGGTAATAAAAGAGCATTACTCACATATTTACTTTTCCCCCCTTTTATATATATATATATATATTTAAATGATCTAATTTAGTATATTATTTCATGCAACTTTACAATTTCAGCATCAAATGTGGGATGAAGTAAGTCTATTATAATGCTTGTCGTCAACTATTATATTTTATATAAACGTGTATATAAAAGGTACCTATGGTATGGACTGCATGTTATCTTATGTGGGCTTTAATGAATGAGCATGGATATAATAATAAACTCTATACAATCGGTATTGCATTTTATTGTGTGTTTGCTACTTATGTTACAAGTGCGAATAAAGGAACAACTCAATTCTTTATGTTTCAAACATCGTAAAATATGAGAATTATTACACACATGAAGAAAGAAAGGAATCTGACATTCATTTTTTTTTTTTTTTTTTTTTTGTAATTTACTAGATTTGGTATAGTAATGTGGAGTGATCTTTATTTTGTACTGAAGATCTATAAAGATGTCAAAAACAAACAAATCATCAAGCTATTTCATCAAGGAGCATTATTTTTAATATTAGCCATTTCCGTATGGTTATTTGATTCTAATTTTTGTTTTATTTTTAATTATATTCCAAATCCTCAATTACATGCTTGGTAAGTTTATAATATTTTCAAAAAAAAAAAAAGTAAGTAAAAATAAAAGCATACTGACTATATTACGTAATAATAGGTGGCATATCTTAGTAAGTTTACCAGAAAAAAAAAAGAAAAAAAAAAGAACGTGTTAACATAGAGTTATTTTAGATGTGCATAAGTTTACATTATTTCTATGTTGCTTGTGGACATGAATCAGCTATAAGAGAAATCAAGGGAAAAGTGGAAATTGAATATTTTTTAAATTTAATCCCTTTCGTTCATGTAACAATGGATGAGAAAAAACAACAATAAAAAAAAATTATATCAGAAAAAAAAAATTTAAAAAAAAATTAAACTTTTTTTTGGGGGGGATGGAGGAGAATAAAAGGAGGCGAAAATAGAAAAATAGTTTCCTTTTTTGTAAAAAGCGGCAATACGCACATTACAAATTTTGCATTAATTTTAATATAGAAATTGTGACATAATGAAAAGTAATATAACTAAAAAAGAATAAAAGTTAAATAAATATATATAAATATTCATATATAAAAGATTTTTTTTTTATACTTTTTTATTTTATAATTATATTTTTTTTTTGAGTTCCTTAAATAATAATAATAAAAAAAGGGGTGTGAAATGGAAACGTTTATTGGATATATAAAAACACCTCAAGATGCACTTATTATATTTGAAGCTTGTAGAAGAGGCATGTTAAACAGAGTACAAAGACGATTAACATCAAAGGAACGTATCAGTATTCAATCCGGATCTGTATTTGCTTGGGATGAAAGAGAGGCTGGTATGAGACGTTGGACTGATGGACGTACATGGTCACCTAGTCGAGTCTTGGGTAGCTTCTTAACTTATAAAGAATTAGATACTAAACGAAGACCTCGTCGTCCTCCTTCTATTATTCCTGGTGTAAAGCATATACCATTTTCATATAAACATGATGGCTTAATTAAACAAAGCTTTTCTATCTGCACAACAACAAATCAAAAAATTCATCTCATCTCTTATTATACAAAAGCGGATGTTCTCTCAGGAAGATTAAAAAGACCTTCTGAAGACCCTCGATTAAGTTCAATTGATATTCCTCGAGGTTTATATCCAGAATTAAATCCTCTTGTCAATATTGCTTCACAAGATCAGTATCATCCTTTAATACAGCGTCATAATTCTATTGATTCTAACGGTGATCTCTCGACAACTTCTTCTGTATCTTCAACTTATTCTCTTCCTCCCTCATTAACCATTACTAACAATACTACTTCACCTTCTACATCAGAAGATGATTTTGAAACAACTTTATCACCTTTAAACACTACTATCCATCCTAAACAACAACAACAACAACAACAACAACAACAGGAACAGGAACATGTTCCTTTTACATCATCTTCCTTTTCTTCTACATCCTTATCTCAATATAATTTATTACCTATTCAAGATATTGCTTGGGAAAAATTACCATCAACAGAAGATATCCGACAATTAAATGCTCTTCGGGATTTAGTACGCATTTAAAATTTAAAACCAAGATATTATTAGACCCGTGTAGGCAACTCATATTATCAAATATTTATATTATGTAATTTATTATAAGTCCTTTGTTTATTGAATCATTTATATGCATATAAAGTATATACATTTAATTTTTTTTTCTCCTCCTTCCACCTCCTATCTACTCCCACTTTCCTCTCCTCCTCTTTCCTCCTCCCCCCCAAAAAAAAATAATAATATGCATATACATATATGTATATAATATATCTATATTATATCAGAGATACAAACTTCCTATTCTTTTTCATTCTTTTTTTTTGTATATTTATTTTATTTATATTGTAAATCATTATTTTTTATTTAATTTTTGCTGGCTTAAAAAGAATAAACATTAAAACCTATTATCATTATTATCGTTAATCTTATTATATGATAACAATAAGCTTTCTACTCTCTTTCTTTCTTTCTTTTCTTCTCTCTTTTTTGTACAGGGTTTGGGTTTTAAAAAATAAAAGTGAAACATATCAATAAACCAAGAAGAACTTAGTTTTACACATACAATAAAGTTTAACCCTTGAAAATATATAGTAATAATAAAATGGAAAAATATAGAGATCAAACATTTTAATCTGTTGATTTTTTGATTTTTGATTTTTGATTTTGATTTTGATTTTTTTTTATCATGATTTTTTATCGATTTTTCTTTTCTATTATCTCTTTCCTTTCCTTTTTTTTTGCTTTTATTTTATTGGTTTATAAAAGGATCTATAATTTTGTAGATTACCTTTTATGGAATATTCATTCAAAAAAGGTACATTCTAATATCTCACTACTTACTACCTGTTCTATAATAACAAAAAAGTTTGTTATTATTGCTGTTTCTCAATAATTAGAAACATTTTTTTTTTTTACAAACTTTAAACTGATATTCAACAAGGTTTCAGGTTTAATTGAAAAATAGTTTAAATTTAATGATGATTAATATGAATTTTTATTTGAAAAAAAAAGAAACCTTCTATTTCTATCGTAAGTACATCCCAGCCCCCACTTTTATTTTTAAAGTTAGGTTTTTTTTTTTAAAAAAAAAAAAATAGAGACGACCATGTGTTCTCGTTTATAAAAATATACTAAATTTTAATGATGGTATTTTGGCACATGCTACTACTACTACTAACTACTACTATTACTACTAATACTACTAATACTACTAATACTACTACTACTACTACTAACTACTACTACTGCTACTACTTCTTATCAATAGTAGTAGATATATGCATCTATAATATCAATTGATTTTATCGTATGTAAGAAATAACTCACTACTTTTTTTTTCCTTTTTTTTTCTTTATAACATTAAAGATTCTTTACCTCCCCCCCTTCAAGTTTATTTTATAATAGAGTCAAATAGTATATTTTTTTTTTCTATTTTCTAAAATTCATTTTAGACTTTTATATCTTCCACGTTTTTATTTTATTTTATTTTTAGTATATTTTTTTTAAAAAAAAAGTGAGAAAGAATGATGGTTTTTTTTTTTTTTTTTTTGAAACAAAAGTTTTATGTCTGCATATTATATATAAAAAAAAATTGTTTATTATTAGAATAGTAATAATATAATGTGGTGGAAATAGAGAGAAAAAAAAAAAGAAAAAAAAAAAGGCTGCTAATAAACTATAATACATTTTAGATAATTGAAAAAAAAAAAGAAATGCCTGTTTCTACATAAAGTAGTATACAACTATTTAGATTTAAATCTTAGGACCAGCAGCTAAAGTTTTGGGATCGGCTTGATCTTCATAAGTCTTAAAGTTTTGAACAAACATGTTAGCAACATTACGAAGAGAGGCATCGAATTCTTTACTAGTTCCCTGCCAGGCAGTCTTGGGATTCAAAAGTTCAGAGGGGACATTAGTGACAGTCTTGGGAATACTTAAATTAAAGATTTCCAATTTATCAAATTTAGCATTGGCCAATTCACCACTATGAATAGCATCCAAGATAGCACGGGTGTACTTTAAGGGACAACGCTTAGCACCATTTGCAGCAGATCCACCAATCCAACCCGTATTAATCAACCAGGCATCTGCTTTATGACTAGACATCTTTTCTGCCAACATGGTAGCATAACGTTGAGGATGAAGAACAAGGAAAGGTGCACCAAAGCAAGCAGAGAAAGTGGCTTGAGGTTCCAAGATACCATCTTCAGTACCTGGTACCTTGGTGGTGTAGCCAGAAATAAAGTGATACATGGCTTGTTCAGCAGTTAACTTGGAGACAGGAGGAAGGACGCCAAAGGCATCACACGTCAACAAGATAATATTCTTAGGATGTCCTCCCATACAAGGTATCTTGGCATTAGGGATATGATAGATGGGATAAGCACAACGTGTGTTCTCTGTCAAGAAATCATCTGAATAATCTACTTCACGTGTTTCTTCATCAAGGACAACATTTTCAAGGATAGAACCAAATCGAATGGCATTGAAAATATCAGGTTCCTTTTCAGCTGAAAGATCGATACATTTAGCATAACAACCACCTTCAATATTGAAGATACCATTATCGGACCAACAGTGCTCATCATCGCCGATTAATTGACGTTTAGGATCAGCCGAGAGTGTGGTCTTACCGGTACCTGAAAGACCAAAGAAGAGAGATACATCTCCATTGGGACCTTCATTAGCTGATGAGTGAAGTGAAAGAACACCTGCCTTGGGCATTAAATAATGCATTACAGTAAAGATCTAATATCCGAAATAAATAAGCAAATAAAATAAAATTAATAAGATAAATAAATAAATAAATATTTTTTGTTTGGTTTAATAATATTTAATTTATTCTACTTACACCCTTCTTCATTTCACCAGCATATTCAGAACCAAGGATAACCATTTCATTACGCTTAAAGTTGACAGAGACGGAGGTGGTAGAAGTCATGCCAGTTGTATAACGATTGGCGGGGAATTCACCAGCATTAAAGATAGTGAAATCAGGAGTACCGAATTCTTCAAGTTCTTCTTCAGTTGGACGAATCAACATGTTACGCATGAACAAGAGATGATAAGCACGAGAAGCGACAACACGTACCTTAATACGATACTTGGGATCCCAACCTGCAAAACCATCAAATACATACAAACGAGGACGAGTATTAAGATAATCAATAGCACGTTCACGATTAATCAGAAAGACTTTTTCACTGATGGGTGTATTCACAGGTCCCCACCAAATATCCTTATCAGATGTCTCTTCTTTAACAATACGTTTATCCTTGGGGGATCGACCTGTCTTCTTACCAGAATAAGCACAAAGAGCACCAGCAGATGAAATCACAGTACCTTGTTCATAAGTTAATGCTTGTTCATAAAGAACAGCTACAGAAGGATTACGCATGATTGTAACCTTTTATAAAAAAAAATAATTCTTGTTTAGTTCTCCCTCTCTCTTTTTTTTTTATTTGTCTTCACATCCTTTAATATAAAAAACTATATACCTTATCATAGTCAATACCAGCATATTCATGAAGGTCTTCTTCTACTTTGGTATGAGTAGAATTAGCACTAGAGGGTCTATAACCAGTGTAAGGAGATCCAGGTCTTGATGAAACCATTTTGTTTTCTTAAAAAAAATATATGTATATGAAATAAATAAAATTAAAAGAATACAAAAAAAAAAAAAAAAAATAATAATAATAAAGAGAAGGAAAAAAAAAGAGAAGCCCTTTTATATAATTCTTTCCTCGGAACAATCGGGAAAAACTGTTAAGTATAATTTCGTACACATATAAGGGCATACATAGAGTACACATCTATTTTTTTTTTTTTTTTTTTTTTTTTTTTTTTTTTTTTTTTTTTTTACTTAGTACTGGAATATGATGTGAAAGGTTCTATAGTGCTTGTGAAGAAAGTAGCATATTTTAATGTCCGCATCTTCCGAGCTATATGAATAATGTGAAAATTAGACATAGGCATTCGTTGTTTGCACGGAATATGACGGAAGGTTGCTATACATGACCTATTCCTTTTGTCCGACTTTCTCCTTCTTACATTATGATGAGCGTCTTCTTTTTTATGTATTTATGAAATCATATTTTTTTTTTATGCATCTTTCATATATGATATTTTAAAATGCATAAATTTATGTTAGAGATCTTATTGTTATGGGGATTTATTTATTTATGTTCATTATTGCCTCTTTTTTTTTTCTTCTATTTGTTGCCATCTCAACTATGCTAATTCTATATTCCCCACATTTTAAAACTACCAATTAAAATTTACCTTAAAAAGTATATTATTCGAAATTAAAAGACAATCTGGGGGTTAAAACTCAGATACTTAAATTATTTATATAATTTTGTACTATTCTAAATATTATTGTTAACAAAGAAATAAAGGAGTAGTAGTAATAATAGTAGTAGCAGTAGTAATAGTAGTAGTACTATAGTTTTTCTTCATATGAGTCTCGGTAACTGAAGCATGCATAATTCTACAACGTAGCACGATTTACTAGTTATGTAAAAGAAAGATGTTGTTAACAAAGTTCTGAAGAACAAACAACTCTGGGTGGTGTACCTTTAAATCTGCTTCCAGCTAAAAAAAAAAAAAAAACGCAGTGTCTGCACCTTATACATATATATGTGTATGTATAATTTAAGAACATGCAATGGTTATATATAAACATTCATAATTAAGAAAAGTTTACTATTTAATCTATACATTCTTTCAATTAATTGAATCATTATATAATATAAACTAACATTATTATAAGCTTATTATTGGATCCAGATTTTCTACTATTACTGCTACATAATAATAATTAATAGTTGGTACTACATAGTAGAGAAATACATACTTTATTAGTTATCAAGACTCTTTCTTACAACAATGATGAGGATAATGGATAGAATATCATAGTCCTTCTTTGCATTACTTTTTGAAAGCAAGGCAATTCTAAAAATAAAATAAAATAAATAAAATAAAAAGTAAAGTCTATGTTTTGTTTTGTTTTGTTTCTTTTTTCTCGCAGGAGAATTATTACGTCACGAAGCTTCATTACTACTACTACTACTACTACTACTACTATTCAATTTACTGCAATAACTGACAAGCATTAAATTATTACCATCAGATGAGCTTTTATTGACTTTGTACACAGTCATTTTATTTAACAACAAAGCCTAAGTTCTAGATTTTCAACAGAAAAAAAAATAAGGTCTATAACCTTAGTAGACTGCATCAAGCAATTGTTTATTACAAGAAGAAAAGCAGCGCCTTTTGCTCTATAGCGTGAGAAAATTAAATTAAAATACCGACTAGTACAAGCAGACTTGTAAGAAATGACATTAGTGAACCTATTTTTAATTTTTATAAATAAGGATGCCTTGTTGTTGTTGTTATGTCCCTCATTCTTCAGATGAGTCTTTTCAATAATTTTCACGTGAATTTTTATCAAATTAAAACTCAAATTGTTATACTATGAATTGCTAGCAAAAGAGTTTTTTTTTTTTTTTTTTTTTTTTTTTTTTCAATATAGTAATAGAAATGATCTGATAAGAGTAAATAAACTTACACTATTTTGGTTCAGTACTTGTATTTCTAATACTCTCAATACTATGTCTTCCATACCTTTAATCGTTATTAAACTATTGTCTCCCTCCTTTTTTTTTTTTTTTTTTTTTTTTTTTTTTTTTTTCGATAGTGATATATGACATGCTTAGTTTTATCATTTCATTCTAAGCCATTACTTAGGAGATGACACTAATTTTGGTTTTCTTTTCACTTTTAATATTGAACAGCTTCATAATCAAATTACTTTAAATGAAATAGCATAATAACCAGGAAATCTTTTAAGATAAATTATTTGATACTGAAGAGCTCATTCAATTCAATTCAAAAAAGCTTTACTTTCTAGTACAATATTTTTTATAAATAGTAGTAACATATATGTATATGTATACGCTTTAAATGTGTTTGCTTTTGATTAAACTGATGCCATCGTGTATTAGTTAAACAAAGATGATAGCTCTAATAAAAGACTAAAATTCGATATGTATATATATATATATCATATACATATATATACATCCTTAAAATGAAATACTATGCTACCAATGATACCTGAGATATTTATTATAAGCGTATTACCCACTCTCACTACTAGAGTTATCTACTCTATTTCAAAATATAAGAAGAAATGAGGGACTCAAACAACATAGTAATGCAGCAGCAGTAAATAAAAATAATCTAGAATTCAACTAACCAATGAAAAATAGATTTTTATAATAATAGCAGTAACTACTATTTTTATAATATCATTCATGCGAATAATCCTATTAATAGTTGACATTACCAAAAAAAAAAAATATCAATAGCCTTTATTGTTATTATTATTATTATTTACAATATATCATTCTTATATATAAATATATATATAATAGAGCTGTGAATAATAGTAGTAGTATACTACTACTACTACTAATACTGCTATTTATTTTTATTAACATTACTACATCATCTTTGTTTCACATTACAAGCGCAGCAATAATAGTTATAAGAGTATACTTTTATTTTTCTTTTTTTTCTTTCTTTTTTTTTTTCTTTTTTTTCATTTTTAATTAATAATGGCCCGACCTTTATTGTTTTCGAAAAGAACGTTAACATTAGATGATTTCCTTCAACTTCAATCTCTTTTAAATTATGAACGACAAGAACGTGATAATCATATTCAAGTATGTAATCACTACCAACAACAACAACAACAACAAGAAGAAGAAGAAGAGGAAGAGCCACTTTACTTTCATCATCCTTTCATCAAGCTTCGTGGTATTAATCCTCAAGCTGCTCATCAATCTCAAGTTGAAAAGCAACGCTTAGAACAGGCATTGATACGTCTCAAGTATCTTAAAGATCAATATCGACGCCAACGAGCAGCTGAAATCCAAGCCTATCTTGAAGCCTATCGTCGTCAAGCTCTCATCTGTGCTGCTGCTGCTATTCAGCAGCAACGAGAGGAGGAAGAAGAACGTTATTACCGCCAATGTATCGCTGCTGCTTTGGAACAAAAGAGAGTCAATGCTTTATGGCAAAATTATTTAAATGCAAGACGTCAACAAGCTTTGTTGCAAAAACAATTTGAGAAACAACATTTAGCAGGTTATCGAGATCAGAATGGCGATCATATGACCTCGATGGAGGATAAGACACTTTTTCCTACCAATAAAGAAGAAGAAAATGATAAAGCTAAAGAAGAAGAAGAAGAAGAGATGACATCATTATCGTCAGATGACGAAGAAGAAGAGAATGACGAACAAAAAGGATATTCAAAGTATCATTCCGAGCAATTGGCGGAGTTATTGAAACAGGTATTTGGGCAGAATGCCGAAGAAGAAAATTTTTATGTTCGAGAACAACCCTCTTCTGGTAAACAACAGCCTTCTACATCTGAGACAGATGACGAAAAAGAGATGGCTGACGTTTGGAAATACATTTCTGATCAAAAATTGAACTTTGAGACTCCTCGTTCTGAACAAAAGCAAGAAGAAGAGCAAGAAGAACAAGAAGAGGAGGAAGAGGAATCTTTGGAGGGTGTAACTTCAGCTTCAATGGATAATGGATCATCATCATCTGATGCTGTTGCTACTAACATAGTAAAACCCAAATTACCAACAGAAATAACAAAAGAAGAAGAACAGCAACAACCAAAGAGAGTTTTGCCTCCACTTCAAGATCATGTTGTTACTTTACAAGACTTGATACAACAACTCGCTTCTGAACCAGTCTTGGTAAATAAACAATACATGGATGAACCTAAACCTTCTGGTATTTGGGCCAGTCGTGAGGAGCAACAAAGGAAACAAAAACCTCATCCTATTGATGCATGGATGAATAAAAAAGAAGAAGAAGAAGGTAGAGATGATCGGTTTTTACCAAAACAGATATTCACAGAGGCAGAGCCTACACCTACTCGTGAACAAGTCATCACTCCTCTTTCTTCGGTTCCCTCTTTTACGGACGACGAGACATCTACTAAAAATGAACAAGCTAAATTTGTTGATTCCGTTGCAATTGAACAACAACAGGATCAACCTACTAAGGAGCTCACCACTGATCCACGCAAAGAAAAGGCAAACAAAGAATTAGACACGATTGCTCAACAGTTAGATACTGACAGTAGCAGTACTGCTAGTGAACTCGTTCAAAGATGGAAAAATGTTTTGAAATCTAAACTATCTTTTACAAAGCAACCAGAGGGTACATTTTTGTTGACAGCTTCTACAGATGCAAATCGACAGTTCCTAGGTTCAGAAGATGAATTAATGCGTGTTATGCTCAAGTTAGATTCTATCGATAGTTTAGGCGATGATGATATTCGTCAAAAAAGGCGTGGATTAGTAAAGAAATGCGAACATATGTTGGATGAACTAGATCAGCTTAAAAAATCACAATGGGAAAAGATAGTAACATTGAACAAGAAAAAAAATAAGCACAATAAACATCGCCATCGCCATCATAAAAAGTCAAAGAAGTAGTCCTTTTTTTTTTTTTTTTTTTTTTTTTTTTTTTTTGGAAGGCAAAATCCCATGATTACTTTTTAATTTGAATAACAATAAATTTGTCTCCCCTTTCTTCCTCCAATTTCATAATGATTCCTAAACTTTAAATTACCCTTTTTTATTGTTTTTTTTTCATCTTTGATATCTTGATAAAACGTGACATTTAAATTACTTGGCTTCTTAATTATATCATCTATATAATATTGTTAGAAGACAATGATGCTATTCCCTGTGATTCAGTCAAAAAAAATATTTTATCAGTTTCTAAGAAAGATATTCTTCCTTTTTTAAATGAAGAGATGGTTACCTGTTTTCAAGAAAAGATAAATATTACTTGGTAGCACAATAAAATCAACAGAATAAACCAATCTGATAATTCTATTCTTTTCTTTTTTACAAGGAAGCGCTTGATAAATCTTCGTTCCCTAGTTGAATTGCTTGGTTCAACATACATTATATATACAACTGTTTTTTTTCTTTTCGATTTAAGGTAACCCATCACTTTAATTTATTAGAATAATCTAGGCTTGTCTATAAAAGTTTTTATTCATACCATTAAACACTATTTTGTCCCCGCAGACATACTTGACCATTTAAGGAAATCTCTGAAAATGGTAAATTTTATTTTACCCGGTATATTTAACAAACAAATAAATGTATACATATTTTTTTTTTGATTTTTTTTTTATTGATTTATTTTTATTTATTTATCTATTTTATTTAATTTTTTTTTTTTTTTTATCGTTAATTATATGAAGTTCTATAATCAGGATATATTTGAAAAACTACCATATGTAGTATCACATTTTCTTGGCTATAGAAGGTCAAATTATAAACCAAAACAATTACCTTCTTATAGAATTTATTTATGGTCGTTTATAGCCTCCTGGATCGGTATAGCAATATTAGAAATTATTTTTACCTATGGTCCTTCGTTTAAATCATATCAAACGCCTATGATTGTTGCATCATTTGTAAGAGTCAGACTAGTATCGCAATACAAAGACAAGACATTTTATTTTTATTTTTATTTTTTTTTATAGGGAGCAAGTGCAGTTTTAATTTACGGTGTTCTTGATGCCCCTTTAGCACAACCTCGTAATGTATTCTTTGGACAATTGATAGGTGCTATTGTAGGCGTCATTATTTCACAGCTTTTCTTAAATATAAAGCAAGATTGGTCTTCAAAAGATCAGTATATTGCAGTACAATGGATAGCAGGAGCAGTAGCTATGTCATTTTCATTAGTCATCATGCAAATGACGAAGACAGTGCATCCTCCTGGTGGAGCAACAGCCTTAATTCCATGTGTGACTCCGAGTATTTTGGATATTCAATGGTTTTATATAGGAGTTGTTGCTTTGTCTTCACTTTTGCAAATTTGTATTGCTTGTTTAGTAAATAACATTGAACGTCGATACCCTCAGTATTGGTGGACACCTCAGAAATTACCTCTCAAGATAGATCCAACCACATTAACTACCCTTATGTCGACTCATGGTACTATTATGACCACGCATAACGAAGAAGATATTGTGGCATCTAATTTAACAACTGAACAAGAAGCTAGACTATCTTCTCTCTCCAATCATAGGGAGTACAAAAATGAAGCAAGAAGTCATAATAATAAGAATAGGGATGCCATTATTCATCATTTTGTTACTCAAGGAAAAGACATTTTCCCTGTCGTATCACAACCAAATGATACTACTGCTACTACTAATAATAACGATAATAGCAGACGATCATCTACTACGACAATCAATATGCAAAAGAATCAACAAGATATAACAAGCACAATCGAACAGGCGATTTATGATTTACGAGATAATGTAAACAAATCAAATATTAAGTATGCTTTCATTAGTCCTGGTTTACCAATTATTATGACACCAGGCCTATTATCTAATAATGATGATGACAAACAAATGCTAGAAATAATCTTAAATAAAATAAATGCAACCAATAACATGTACATTGCCTTTATTTTTTTTTTATTATTGTAATTATTATATATTTATATTTATTTATTTCTCTTGACCTTGTAATGTAATTACAAGACGACGTGAACCACCAGAATTACGATGTTCACAAAGATAAATACTGTTTTTTTTGTTTTTTTTTTTAAAAAAAAGAAATTAAGTGTTCAATTATAAAATAGGTATCTTTGAATCACTGCTTACCCTTGCCATGTTCCCAAGTTAAGTTTACCATTTGTGATAGGAACATTTAAAGATACACCAACAATACCAGATTTTAGATGTCCAGGCTATATATACATGTATATAAATAGGATTGTATTTCGCGTTTATTTTTTATTATCACTGTATACCATATCATCAGGCCCTTCGGCTGTATGAATATAAGGAAAGGACTCGGGCACAATCTTATTTAACCCCATTTCCATATCCTTTTGTACATCAGAATCATAATTCTCGTTAATCATCAAAGAAGCAGAGGTATGCTTTACTATAATAAAATTTAAAGTCAATATATACAGATCGTTATTTTTTTTTTTTCTTCTTTGAAAAAAATATTCTACAGAAAAAGTTTGCCATGCCAACTTTAAAATTCTTTAATTCAGGTATTTGATTGACAATTTCACTATGAACAAGATGACAACCTATTGTATGTATATATTTATATGTATATGAATCTCGGAGATACTTTCCATATTATCGATTATATGTACCTCTCCTTCGTTCATTCAAACGAATCTCTTTTTGAAACCAACGGGACATTATAATTACTTTTTTACTAAAGGAAAGCTTCCAAGAAAAAAAAAAAAAAGTATGGATTATATAATGATGGCATTATTATTAATAATAGATTTGATCTCAGCAGCATAGATTTCTTCTAATGAAAAAAAAAAAAAATATTAAATTATAAGCTTCTTCCTGTCTTTTATTATAGAACACAATATAATTCGATAGCTTTAGGTAGCTCATTATTAGGTAAACGCTGTCACTCATAGAAAGTTTTTTTTTCCTTGTATTTATTTCATAATCATTTGTTCTTGTATAGTGTAGATAAAAAAAAAAGAATTCTTTAATCCATAATTTATTTCATAATCATTTGTTCTTGTATAGTGTAGATAAAAAAAAAAGAATTCTTTAATCCATAATATGTATATGAGAAACTATTATAAAGCTACCTCTTGAATTGTAGACCAGAATGATTATATTGTATATATTAATATTGGAAGGAAGACAGAATAGATAAAAACTCAAATTCAATCTCTAATACACCAAGAGAATACTCATGACACTAAACACTTTTATCAATGATAATATACATACTACAGCAATCTATATGCACACTATACATAATAGACATCATGACCAACTATTCTCCTTTTATTCATGCCTCTATTTGCAAGATTCTATTCAAATATTAGTATATCATTTAATAAGCCCTTTCATCTTCACCGAAAACTACCATTACTATGAATGAATTATAATCAAGATGGATGACACTATTATGTCATATACTGTTATTAATTTAATAGCATTAACACACTCTTCTATTTCAACGTTTACCTTACTTTAACATGAAATACTATATATCGATTCTCCTCATATATATTATTCAACAAGCTGAACATCTTTTAATTTTCTGCCTGGTATAACTTCCATGAACGCTTTTTGCCAATCATTGAACTCTAACCATTTTAACATAATTTCACATACTATTGTTATACAATTGATTAGTACAAATAATACACTATTATAGTAAAAAAAAAAAAGGGGGGGTATACCTTGATTAACAGTTAAAACTTTTCTACTTGACATTTGTAAATAATCACTAATAGGCAATCGAGCAGTTTGAATGTCTTGTTTAACCGCTTTGTCTTGACATAGATTCTTATATCGATTTTTATCAACAATGCCACCTATAATATAATATTTGCCTTCTTCTAGTTTTTCGATTACATTATCTGAATCAGCAGATAAATAAACTAAACTTTCTTTAGGAAATAAATCCAAATAACAAGTAGAATGAATTGATACTTTGTTTCTCTGTTCCTTGTTATGATCAATCCATTGCTGCCAAGTAGGTAATTTATCATTCATGACTTGTTTTAAAGTGTCATCAAAAGAAGTTAGAGCCAACTTCATTGCTTTAGGTGCAGTTTTGTTCTTCCCATAAGAGTAACTTAATTGTTTAACAAATGATTGAATTTCCTAAGGTAACATGAATAAGTTAGTATATTCTTCCTCAACTGCTTATTATGTTTTCTATATAAGTATAATAAAGTTTTACCTTTTCAGTCATTAAATGATTAAAACTACAATCAATAATAAGACCAACATTAGTCACTTCACTTAAATAAGCTAATTTTTTCTTTGTAGGTGGACGTTCGATCACACCTTCTCTCATTAACTTTCGTCTTTCAATACGTTTTAATCGTACTTTCTCTCTCATTGCAATTTTTCTTTCATCTTTAGTTTCTTCCCATTTTTCGTCTCTTAATAAACGCTTAATAGCTCTCTTTGATAGACCTTGAAATTTGGGGTCATTTATATCATATTCTATTCCACGAAAGTTACGAATGGTAGGCTTTGTTTCCTCAATGTGATCATCGTGAGTCATAATAAAATTCTTTTTTTTTCTTCTTTAAGGAAAAGAGGGACTTTATTTGACAGAATGATTAACAGCCAATCAAAGTAAAGTTAACTTTAAATTTATAATAATGATGCCAAGCCAATGATACGACTCATTTCTTTCTCTTTTTTTTTTTTTTTTTTTTTTTTTTTTTTTTTTTTGAAAAAAATGCTTGTAATCTATAACGTTATTTGGATTATTTGCTTTATCTTACTGTTAACCTCTTTATTTTTATTATATAAAAAGCAGCGAGAATCTAGAAGAGGTGAATAAACAGAAGATCGTTGCATATGAATATAAATATAAATATGTATGTGTGCGTGTGTGTGTTTATATTTAAATAAAATAGATCCCTCTACTACTGTAAATCAACAAACAAATGATAATTATGTCATTGTAGATATCAGTGAAAATCAAGCTAGACAACCCAACACATATTATTACCCTTCTACTGATTATACATTGCCACCATTACAGCGTACACCGTCCTATAGTACAGCGATAATAGGATCAAATACTGTAGAACAGCCTCCTCCAACTTATCAGGAGCATACAAAAGATTATCGTATTCCACAGCCAATATAAATACTATTATTACCTTATATATCTTATTATCTTCCTCCCTCTTTCATTCCCCCCTATCTCTCTTAGTTATAACACTAATATCAAATTATATGTAATAATAATAATAATAATAAATATATTATAAATCACATTCACATTATTTCCAATAGATCAATTATGTAATTACTAATCTTTTTTTTTATATATATATCTATTTATTAGCATAGTCCAACTCACCTTATGAGTGCTTATCTAATATCAAGGTGATCAGCTGATACAAAAGCTACAATTATATACTTCTTTCTATCTGTTATCATTTTCTAGTGCAAAGTATATAAAAAATATACAAACCATTGACCCGAGTTTATTTATTTGGCTCATCATGGGGATAACTCGAAACAAAGAAACAAACTAAGGGGGGGGAGAGAGAGAGAGGGTTGTCTGGTCTGGAGGATTAAGCCTGGTTCTCCACAACAGAACCAAAGCTGCTGACTTTAATAACGGTTTCTATTTTTTTTTTTTTTTTTTTTTTTTTTTTTCATTTACTAAATAAACTAGGTTATATCATTTGACTTGTAACCACCTAAATTGCTTAGCAGAGTAGTTGATGATCTATTCTCTTCATCGTTAGTGTCTTTCCCTCTTCTTTTTCTAGAAATAGAACTGTGTAATTGGAAATCAAAGAATAAAAAAATAGCATCTTTTATAGCAAAAATACTAAAAAATACTAAAAAAAATCAGAGTATCATGACTTCATCTTGTATTGACTGTTTAGGTAATCTAAACTGGTACCATATTAAAAAGAAAAAAAGAAAGAAAAAAAAAATACAATATAGGATGATGACAAATGGTGAAATAGATGTATTTGTATATTTATTCTAGACTAATGAACTATTATTATTATTTCCCTCGAATAATGCATACATCATTTTGTATTCCTTGTCTAAATGGTCCACATACGCTTCACGTTGTACTCTTTGCAACCTGATGAATTCCCTATCTTTGTCCATGTCACTTTTGTGTTTAAAAAACCTTTTGAATAATCGTTTGTTGAATACAAGTAAACCACTATTACGTTTCCTTAAAAAGGAGGCTGTAAATATTTCATGCATTTTTGGAACAGTTGTATATAAAATTGCAGCCTTTTTTTTTTTAAAAAAAAAAAAAAGTAGAAAAAAAAAATACAGATATATTAAAAAAAAAAAAAATCAAGGTATTTATATACGAATTCGAAAAAGAAAAAGAAAAGTTTAACATTAATAATAACGTGAATACGTATAATTTTCTTTTTCTTTTTTATCGTCAAATAGTAAAAAAATGAATGTTTTCTATTACATATAGGATCGGAAGCTTGTTATAATAAACTCGTATGTAGTTGATCAGACTGACCAGAGAAGATCTTTGGCATTTAAGTGAGAAATAGATGTGAAACTAAAACGACTCCATTCCCATACGTGGTTAAGTCTGTATGTTTCAAATCTAAAAAAGAAAAAAAAAAAAAAGCAAAGTAGAGATGTTTATTCTTTACCTTTGAATAGACACGCCCCTCCATCTTTGATTAGATTGAAATTCACAAGAATCTTCTTTCACTCTTTCTCTATCTTTGATTTTATGACTCTTTACTGCCAATTAAAGTGATGCTCATGATAAATAAAAAAAAAGTTTACACACACACACACACACACCTTGTTGTTCCCTGATTCTTCTATTGTCGTTTTGGTTCAAAATGATGAAAGGAATTTGTGTTACCTATTTTTTTTTTGACGTTTCAGTTTAAATATATCAAGGTCTTAAATCGTTTTACTTGAATAAGCAGCGATATTAATTTTAAATGGTTGTTTCTGTAGAGGTAACATGATTTACTGTCTCTCTTTGAATCATGTTCTAGTTTTATTTAAAAGTAAAAAAAAATTACCGCATCATTATGCCAAATTTTACACTCTACTGACTTTAATTTTTTTTTTCTTTTTTTAAGAAAAAAAAAGTTTTCAGAAAAAAAAAAAACCCTCTTTCTTCTTTATGTTTTTTTAAATATGCGAGGTGTAATAGATCATCTTTTAAAATATAAAAATGGACAAGAAGACGCCAATAAACTTGAATTAGCGTTAGAGAAAGCAGTAAAACGAACTTTGGAAGATAATACGTTTAGGTATTCTATTTATTCAATAAAAAAAAAATAGATAAATAGTAGACACATTTATATTAAATCAACTAGAATTCAATTAGGAGCTTCTGATAAATATTGGAAGCTATTTAATGCAGCACTTTTAACTCTAGTACAGGATTCTAATGAGCAATGTTTAATCAATTTGATCAAATTGACAAGAAATGTCGTTGCTGGTAATCCTCATAATCAACGCTTAGCCATGTAAAGTACATTGTGCCAATCGATAACAAAAAAAAAAAAAAAGAGAAAGAGAGAGAAAGACAAAGTTTTAACATGAATATTTATTTTAGTCAGTATGCTGCATTATATAAAATCGAGGATCTATTAGCTGAAAAGACAAGCAGTTCAAGTAAAAATAGAATTACTAATGCTTACACTGTAAATTTAAATATTAAAACTGTTTATAATAGCTGATAATAATATGATACTTCAAGTTGGCACTCAAGCTATTTCTAATATGATTACCAGTAATCATACAGCCATTGACTTTATATGGAAAATATGGATGTCTAACGAACGAAGAGGGTCTATTTGGAGGTATAAAAAGTCATTTTATTTTATTTTATTTACTTTTTTTAATCGTTCATCAAATACAGTTATATTTTGTCAAAAAATAACGATAATTTAATTATGAGTGCACTTGTTTTAATTATAAATTGTATTCGTGGCAATAAAGAAAGATGGTAAGTAAATAAATAAATAAAAAAAAAAAAATTCATAAAGACTTACTCTATCTTTTCTTTTTAGTGACTTGCTTGTAAATAGAAAATTAGGTAAAGATATTTTAGCTGCCATTTTGGGAGATATTGAAAGGTTACATGGAAATGAAGAAAGTAAGAATTTCGAATTGGGGTAAATAAACTTAAAAAAAAAAAAATGCAAAAAAGTAACTCAAATTTACATAAAATAGATATACGATTTTAAGTGAATTAATTAATTTTGGCTATTATAAAAAGTTATTTATTGAAGTAGATGATTATAGGTAATATATAAATATATATATATGTGATATGTAATATGGAAATCTGGTAAATGAGGTTAATTATGATTAAATAATATATACAGTGATAAAGATATTTTAAGTGATCATCAAATCATTCTTTTGAAAATACTTGATTCGAAGGTACATGGACACAAAGAAGCATTTCCAGAATTTATGAATCACGAGGAATCACTTCAATTTCTCACCCAACAATTTGTTCTTATTGGAAAAGAAACTTTAAAAGTATTAATATCAATAAAAGAGCAAGGAGCAAGTCAATTACAACCTGATCAAATTTCAAATGTGTATACTGGCATTGCTTTACTATTTCAGATCATCAATCAGCTATTTATATTAGATCAAGAAGATCAACAAATAAGAGGACTCAAAGATATTTTGATTAAAGTGAACACACTACAATTAGTTATAGGTAAAAGGAACATAGAAAACAAGAACAATTGTATCGACTTGTCTATTTATATATATTTTTTTTTTAAAAAAAAAAGATATTCTTGGTCACTTGGAAATGCTCAAGTTACCTACTGTTGAAAAGGAACGTCCAGAAATAGGATTTAATTATATTAAAAGAGAGTGTGTTCGTTTTATAGGCACGATGAGTTATAAAGATAAAGATATGCAAGACAAGGTAAAGTTGAATTGTAGAATCAATTAAAAGAAAAGACAATCCTTTATAAACAGATACACAACTCTATAGGTTCGTACATTAGAAGGAATACCTTTAATTCTTTCACAGTTGAAGATTGACGATTCAAATCCTTGTAAGTTTTCTTTATTTTTTCTTTTCTTTCTTGTACATCTTATATCCTTTTAATAGATCTTCGAGAATATGCAACTTTAGCTTTACGTAATTTAATGGAAAATAATATTGAAAATCAAAAAATAATCGAAGAATTAAGTCCACAAGAAGTAGTTCAAACAAAAGAATTAAGTGAAATGGGGATTACACCTGAGTTAACACAAGATGGACAAGTGATTATTAAAAAGAAAAAAAATTTGGGGTAAAAGAAATAAGGTTGTACCTTAATAAATAATGCTTTATATTATTGTTGTCTATGTCTATACTTTCCCCCTTCCTCCCCCCAACTGAGAAAAAAAAAAAAAAAAAAAAACTCGAGTGACCTTTTTTTTGTAAAAAAAAAAAAAAAAAAAAAAATTAAAATTAAAAAAAAAAAAATTTCATCCTCCTCTTTTTTTCTTTCATATAAAATTTTCTTTACTTTATTATGCCTCCTGCTTTTGAACCTCCTTACGCTATTCCAGTACCTGGTGCAGTAAAGAAAGATGGAGAAACTGTTCCTTATCGTCATTTCAGATTTGCTGATAAGTTAGTTGATCATCCAGAAGACATTTATACTCTGTGGGATATGTTTCTTCATGGATACAAGTTAGCTGGTGGTAAAAAAACAAAAACAAACAAAAACAAAAAACAAATGTTTATTATGTATTTTAATATTAAAATTACATTCAATAACTTTAGATAAACCTTTTATGGGCACACGCCGCATGGAAAACGGTGTTGCAAAAGAATATGTTTGGCAAAGTTATCCTCAAGTATATAAGCGTATCATTCATTATGGTAAAGGTTTAGTTCAGCTTGGTTTAAAACGTCAAGAAGCACTTGGTGTTTATTCTATTAATAAACCAGAATGGGTAAAAAAAATATATATATATATTTATATATATATACTTGACAATAAAAAATACAATGAACAAAAAATTATATATAAACTAATTTTTTTTTTTGATAATAGACAATGACAGAATTAGCTTCTTATAGACAAGCGTTTATCATTGTTGCACTCTATGATACATTGGGAGCTGAAGCAATGGAATATATTGTTAATCAAACTAATATGGAATTCATTGTTTTAAGCGCCGATAAACTGGACAATATTATTAAACTTAAAAATCAACTTACTTCTATTAAAACTATTATTGTAATGGATGGAGATGCATTAGATACAACAAAGAAACAAGCCGCTGAAGCTATTGGTTTAAAGGTCTATACTTTCCATGAAGTTGAATCAATGGGTGCTTCAATTCAAGAAGAAACAGAAATGGCTAAACCTGAGGATATTGCAACTATTTGTTATACTAGGTAAAAAAAAAAAAAATAGGAGTAGTAAAAATAATAAAGGAGAGAAAAGTGGTTAAGCATAATGTGGTAATACAAAAAAATAAAATAAAATAGATACTAATAATCTTATGTAATTTTTTTTAGCGGTACCACAGGTGTTCCTAAGGGTGCTGTCTTGACTCAAGCAGCAAGTGTGGCTGCTATTACTGCTATTTCTGCTGTAGGTGATAAGGGAAGCTTTGCTTTAATTACAAAGGATGATGTTTATATTTCATATCTTCCTCTTGCTCATGTCTTTGAACGTGCTGCACAAGGTATTCATTTATTTAAAGGTGCTGCTCTTGGTTACTATCAGGTAAATTAGATTTATAATTTGTACCTTTTTATTTTTTTAGACTTTAAAACTTAATATGAATAATAGGGTGATACACTTAAATTATTGGATGATATTGCTGAATTAAAACCTACTGTCTTTTGTTCGGTTCCTAGACTTTTTAATCGTATTTATGATAAGGTTTTGGCAGGTGTTAAAGCTAAAGGTGGTGTCCCCGCTTATCTTTTTAATACTGCTTTTAATACTAAAAAGTCTTCTCTTAATAAGACGGTTAATCATTGGCTTTGGGATCGTGTCGTTTTTGGGAATGTAAGAAATTAAAAAAAAAAATAGAAAGAAAGAAAAAAAAAAAAGAGGGATAAAAGATAGATAACTAAATTTCACTCCCTTCCTTTTTTGTGTGTGTCTCTTTATTAGATTCGACAAAAGTTAGGTGGCCGTCTTCGGTTTATTCTTAGTGGTTCTGCACCTGTCTCGCCTGATGTAATGGACTTTATGCGTATTTGTTTTTCAGCTAAAGTATATGAAGGCTATGGTCAAACAGAGAATTTCTGTGCTGGTTGTTTGGTAGAGTCCTTTTCTTTTTTTAAAAAATACATAAAATGGACTAAAATCTAATCTTTCTTTCTTTCATGTTAGACAATTACAGACGATAATACCTCTGGTGTCGTTGGTGCACCTTTCCCTTGTTCTGAAATTAAATTAGTGGATGTTCCTGATATGGATTATCGTTCTACCGATAAACCTTATCCTCGTGGTGAAATTTGTATTAGAGGTCATGCTATTATGCGTGAATATTATCAGGCACCTGACAAGACAGCTGAAACGATTGATCAAGATGGTTGGTTACATACTGGTGATATTGGTATGTTTGATTCTGCAAATCGTTTAGTCATTATTGATCGTTTAAAGAATATATTTAAATTATCTCAAGTAAGTGATGATAGTAGTCATTATATATATACATCTATACTCATCATAATCATAGGGTGAATACATTGCACCTGAAAAGATTGAGGGCGTTTATCAAAAGCATGAATTGGTTGCTCAAGCTTATGTTTATGGTAATTCCTTACAAGCTTCTTTAGTAGGTGTCATTGTCCCTGATAAAGATGCCTTTAAGCCTTGGGTTTCAAATACTCATCCTTCAGTTCAAAATCCATATGAATCAGAAGAAGTAAAGAAGGATTTATTAAAGATACTGAATACATATGGTAAACAAAATGATCTTAAGGGCTTTGAATTGATGAAGGCCATTTATTTGACTCCTAATGAATTTACAATCGATAACGATCTCTTAACTCCTACTTTCAAATTGAAGCGTGAGACTGCAAAGAAAGTCTTTCAAGAACAAATTGATGCTATGTATGCGTCTTTATCAAATGGTAGAGCATTTAATTAATATAATATTTTAACCTACTTTTTAAAAATATCCAATGGTTCAAGATATCATCATCATCATCATTTATTATTATTATTATTACTACTACTATTATTATTTTTTCTTTTCTATATATTGCGTAAACATGGTATCAGGAATCTTTTGTTTTTCTTTTAATGCTAAAATAAACTGATGTTTAGCTTCCATTTCTTTACCTTCCCAAGCTAATAGCTTTGGTAAAAAAGTAGAAATAAACCATTGTCGACGAAATACATGAGATTGTAATAAAGAAGTAGGTATGATGCCGCCCTTTTTAATAAATTGTTGTATCAGCTCTTTTATTTTATCTTCACTTTCTGTCATCGTCGTAGTTGATGGTGGTATAGGCTTTTTTAATGATGAAGGATATGACTTTAAACTTGAATTTACCTATTTATGGATGGATTAAATAAATTAACATGTACAATCATAATTATACTTACGCCTAATTCTAATAACCGTTTCTTTGTAGCAGAAACATAAACATGATTCTGAGGAACAATATCAGTTGAGCAATTTTGTAAAGATCTTCCATGAATTTGAAGTAGACTAGGTAACTCGTAAGGTATCATCTCTTGCAATGTCTTTATAAATACCATACTTGCTTTCTTTTTATTTAATAATACAGACATCCTCTGATGTGTAAATGTGGTCTAGATTAAAGGATATATTAATGATACATGTAGACTATATACATATTGTCAAGGAGTTTATGTCCTACTACTTAACATCAAACCAATTAGCATAACTATAGCCTACACTTCCATACATTTGCTCTAATACAAATTGGGCCAATGTCAGAATGAGAATTAACTCTTGTCCTTCTCCTTTTTCAAGCGACTTTATGATTCCTTCATTCAACGTTTGGATAATATCTGAAATACGTATCACGTCATTCCCATTCATCACTAACTCTTGACATCCACTTTGGTAAATATAAAGCAAGAAATAGAGATCCAATGTCTCATCGGATATTGAATTTAATTGAAGACTATGCAAAATAAGATCTATCAATTTCCAATTGGAATCTGGATTGAATTCAAAGAACCAATTAGAGAGATGTTGAAGAATAGGTAATCTAGTTATGAATTTATTCGTATGTTGTGTAATAAATACATTTGTCTTGACTTTTTGTAAGTTGTGATACATATCCTGCGTTGTAGTAGTACCCATGTTACTCAGCTTTAACAATTGCACTAAAACTAGATGCCGATCTTCAAATGTTATTTCTTGTTTCAACAAGTATAACATAAACTTAACATGGTCTATTTGCATTGATTCACTAGTATGGGAAGAATAAAAAAATTAATGATGAAAAAAAAAAAGAAAAGTTACGATTAATAAGCCTACTTCCAATTAACTAATTGTCGTCCACCTTTCATGATTAATTTATGACGTATATCTTTTTGTATAGAGTGAATATAAACTATTTTGTTTGTTTAAATGAATGTTATACATGTAAAAGATGAAAGCCAAGTTTAAAAATGTAAAGTACCTTCAGCTATTTCATTTTCTTCAAATGAAATTAGTCTAATTAAAGTTTCATCTAAATGAGGTACATAAGAAAGTATTAATCTTGTACTTAGGGCAAGAACTTGTAACTGAGAAACAATTTTAGAATATAAAACGAGTATTCGTATATTGCTACTTGTTGCATGTTCAAAAATATACTCAAGAAATTGCTTAGAATTGAAAGAAATGGTTTGATAGAGACAGGTAATGTCTTTTATAATTTCTGTTATTTTATCTGATTCCTTTTTTTTTTTTTGTAATTTGTAATTTGATTTTAGTCCTCTTCTGTACCCTTATTTTTTTTTTCTTTTTTTTTTATAATTACATTATTTGCATTATTTAATAACTTTATGAATTTTTTTGCTACATCCAATGTTGATTTACTTTTACTGTATTTACAGATTGTTGTTTCTAGATAAGTTTTTGAATGATGATTTGTTAAACTCCATTGAATGGCATCTTCTTTTGAACTTTTAAATGTTTTTTGTCTCGTTGATGGAATAGAAGGCATAATGTATAATTTAAGTAAGAATAGGAAAAGTGAAAATTGCTGGTTCTTTTTATTTATTTATTTTTGATTGGCTTATAATTTATTGTAGTAAAATAGATTGTTGTTGTTACTGTTCTTTTTTCTTGGAAAGATAGAAGAAATAAGCTAAAAACACAAATAGGTCGATAAAGAAATAAAAAAATAGGCAATTCATACTATCCGTCATACATGAACCAATTTTAATAATACATCAATATAATAACATCTTAGGGAAGAAGAAAAGACTACTATTTACAATTTAAATGGAAGTACAGGCCATAATACAACAGGATTATCTTCATCATCAAGACAGGAAGACAAATAGGCAGAATTTAATAATTCTTCTTTCATTCTTAATTCACTCTCTCTATCGGGCCTCGATGCTTCAGGTCTTGTTAATATAAGACTTGTAGTAGGCGCTTCAAGTCCTCCACTACAATGAACAGTGGATTCATCATATTGCCAGTCTTCCATACCTTCTGTCTCTTTTTCTTCTCGTTCTAATCGTTCCATTTCTAGTTTTTGTTTGTAAGCTTCTGAGAATTTAAATATTTCAATTGCTTCTTTGGACAATTCTTCCTCCTCCTCCTCTTCTTCTATCTCATATTCTTCCTGTTGATCATCGTTATGTTCTGAGTCATCATAATAGTCTTTATTACTTTCATAGCTATAATACTGTTGCTGATCATAATATGTGTCATCATCATAGTGTTGTGATTGATAATTTTGTAAATGAAGTTGAAGTATTGAATGCCAGTAGCTTTTTTGATGAGCTCCAAAATGTTTTTTGTGAAATTCACCAAACGCTAATCTATTCATTCTTTAAAAGAAAAAAATAAAAATAAAATAAGATAAAATCAAAATTAAATTTTTATTTATTCTCTTCTATTTTATTTTATTTTATTACATGTCAACATCATATCCTACAAAAATAGAAAGGACATTAAAAGGTCATAAAGGACCTGTTAATGCAGTTCGATATAATACAAATGGCCAGTACTGCCTATCAGGGGGTCGAGATCGTACAGTTCGATTATGGAATTCAGCTACAGGTTTAATGCTTCACACCTATAATGGACATGGCCGCGATGTATTGGGTCTAGCAGTGTAATTTTCTCTTTTCTTTCTCTCTCTCTCTCTCTTTTTTTTTAACTTGTAAAAATAATCAAATATTATATAGATCTAATGATAATGCAAAAATTGCAAGTTGCGGTGTAGACCGATCTATTTTATTATGGGACGTTAGTTCTGGTGAAATATTAAGAAGATATACAGCTCATTGGGAGGTAAAAATATCAACGTTAATGGATAAGACACAACCTATCATGCTTACATGTATATAATAGAGAGTAAATTCAGTTGACTTTAATGATGATTCAACGGTTTTAGTAAGTGGATCATTCGATGCAACAATACGTTTATGGGATTTACGTTCTTCAAATTTTCAACCTATTCAAGTAATTGAAGATTGTAAGGATAGTGTCATGTCTGTAGAAGTAAAAGGTGTAGAAATAGTAGCAAGGTATATATATACATTAAACAAATGAACATCTGATTACGAAAAAAAAAAAACATAGTTATATAATTGTATTTCATTAGTTGTGCAGATGGAAAATTACGTACTTATGATTTAAGAAAAGGAGAATTAAAAGAAGATTATATTGGACCAGCTATTACTTCAGCCAGATTATCAAAGGATAAAAATTGTATATTAGTAAATTCACTTGATAACAAAATGAGATTAATGGATAAAAGCAATGGCAGATTATTAAATGAGTAAGTAGTAATTAAATAAATGTAACTTGTCTATTATTATTTTTTTTTTAATATAATATATCATAGATTCAAGGGACATAAACATTGCGAATATAAAATTGAGTCAGTTTTATCTAACACAGATGCATATGCCATTACAGGATCTGAGGATGGAAAAATATATATTTATGATGTATTAGAAGGAAATATTGTATCGACTCTAGATAATGAAGGCGTGACAACTACATTAGATTATCATCCAGAAAATGTAAATATGATGTCAGCTGGATCCAATGGTTTAATTCACATTTGGACTTAACCCATTATTTATTTTTATTTTTATTTTTATTTTTTTTTTGTTTTTATTTCATTTTTCATCTTCTGTTAATACTGATTTTGGTATCCTTTGTCTTGATAATAAACGTAAAATATCAAGAACATTTTTCTTTTCACTTTCCTTTTTCATTGTCTCTGCATCTCCAAATGCTTTCTCATCTTGCTTAATTGGGACAATTCTTGAACTTTCTTTTACCTGATGTGCTAATGCGGACAAAATATAATTCGAACGTTGTCTTGTTTGAAGAACAAACTGATTTGTAGTATTTAACACTTGTCTCATTTGTGTTGTACTTAATTCAATATTTGTCTCAGTTGAAGGATGTTTCTCTATATTTTTTTTACAATAAATATTTAAAAAGTTTTGCTGCTCACTATCGAGTAATTCATTAAAATCGTCATCCTCTGAATCAATTTGGTCATATTCAAGATGTATATCATTTTGTGTTAAATTATCATCTTTTGCAATTGCATGAAGTTGGTATACTTTTCCAGAGCAGATTTTCCAGTCTTCAGATTCTTTTTGAAAACTATTTAAATTTATTTGTTTAGCATAAAAAAAAAAAAGTAAAGTAAATATTGCAAACTTTACACTTGAATACAATCTTCTAGATTTTTTAATTTTTCTTGATTTGCTACATTAATTGGATTACGTTGTTCTTGCTTAAATTGAGTGTTTACCGGTCTAGTGTATGATGACACAAATATATCTTCATTTCGAAGTCGTTTTAAAAATTCTCTTTTTAATTCACGTGCAATCATAAGTGCGTTTTGCAGATCAGGATCATTATTTATTAATGTTGTTTGATTAATATCTTCCTTTTCTGCTAACCAAATAAGTAATTGCTTCAATTGTTGTGATTTAGTGAAATTTTTTGGTATATATTTATAATATGTTGATGTTGATGTATTGAGGGGTAGTGGTAATTCTAATAATAAATAAATAAAAGGATAAGCATAATTATATGGAATAATTGTGTTTGTGTGTGTGTTTTACCAATAAATTTTACTGAATTATTAGATGACAACTCAGTTAATTGCTCACTATACTGTGTTAATAAATCTGTATTTTGTACATTATAATCATGTGGGATAAAATGTAATCCATTCTCTTCAATTTCCGATTTATTTTGAGAATAAGATTGATGTCCAATATGTGGTGGTGTGACGGGTGATATAGAACGATTTCGTGGTATTGATGATTGTATTGGATTCGACTGCATGTATATAAGATAAAATAAGTTGCTATTTTTTTAACCGAATGAAAAAAAAAAAAAAAAAAAAAAAAAAAAAAAAAAAAAAAAAAAAAAAAAAAAAAACTTACATTATTATTTTGAAATTGAGTTGGTGCTTTTCTTATAAATTTCATGCCTGTCTGTGAATCTATAAGCATTGATCCATCTACAGCTAAAATAAATGCATGTGAGATCTGAATTCTATATTTAATTATGGTAGAAGAAAATAAAATTACACATATAATAAGGAACTGACTAGAAGCATAAAAAGAAAGTACAGTTTAATAAAATAATATTAATATAGTATTTGAAATTGATTGCATTAGTTACCTGTGATAATGACGAAAAAAAGGATGACATGATGATGATAGTAATGATTAAAAAAAAAAAAAAAAGCTTAAGAAGCAAGCTACTCTAAAAAAATATAATATTTAATTTCATTCAAGGTCGATCAAGTAGTCACAGGTCTGTAATTTTTTTTTAAGTAAAAAAAAAAAAAGTACACACATGTATACATAAAAAAAAAAGACTATGATAGAAGAAGACAGACTCTTTAAAAGATAGCATTTATAGTAAACGATAGATAAAGTACACGATTGAAGACATCATTTTTGAAAGATAAAAGACTAACAGTATCAGTGTCAATAATAATTAGTATAAGAAATAGAAAAGTAAATAGTGTTATTATCCTCTTTTCAGATATAACTACTTTACGGTTATTTGAGGTGGAGAGGGGATCAAATACTAAGCTTTATAGAAATTGTCTATTAAATTAATCATAATAAAAATGAGATTTATAACCATCATTTGCGATAATATCCCCCTCTATCAAAAGTGCAAAACTATACATTCTTCACCATAAATACAGCAATATTATATTGAAGTCAATAATTGAGTAAATGTAAATATTCACTAAATATTTTCTTAACCTCTGGATTGAAACAAAAAAAGCACACACATACACATACACATACACATACACATACACATACACATACATACATTTTAAATGGTATAATGTTAATACATGTTTATTTATTTGTTTGTTTCTTCTTACAGATATTATGTCTAGCATAACAAAGAGTATCTAATGTAAGAAGAATTAATATAGATTTTAACTATATATGTCTAAGATAAGATAGAAAGCGTTCTATAATGGTATCATAGTTTATGGTAAATTCTAGAAGGAATCTATTCTATAGATGTAAAAGGAACTATAGTAGCATATGTAAAGAAGTTTACTGTGTTGCATATATGTATTGTATAAGTAAGATCTATAGTTCATATCTTTGAACCTACATATTCAGAATTAATAACAAATAGAATACATTGTAATAACAAACGTACCTTCTTTATGTATATATATTCATTCATAACTATTAACTGACCATACTAAAAAGTTAATAGATTAAAATAAAATAAAAAGAGGAAGGTATGTTTTTTTTTCTTTTCAAAGGTTCAAGTAAAAGAGTATATTTGCAAAAGATGTCTATATTATAATGATATCATAAAATAAAAGGAGCGTATATGTAAGTATGGCAAGGAACTATTTTATAAGGTGAAAGGAATGTATTTATATATTGCTCTTTTTTTTTCCCCGAAGAATTCTATTATAAAATTATGTAATGCTTATGTATGTAATATGCGCTTTAGTTTATAATTGATTTGTATATAATAAAATTTCGAACATCTTTATTTCTTTTTTATAAACCGATAGGTAAGATGGCATGTTTCAGACTTTTAGTATAATTATTGTATATATTTTAGCTTATTTCTCAATATTACGAATTGTAATTGAAGAAATGATATAAGATGAACCAATTTTACTAAATGATATTTATTCAAACATGCGATATAATAAAATACAACAACATATGAAATAATATACATGCATATATTTATTCAAGAGAAAAAAAAAGTCTTTTCAAATACATATTTCAGTAATAGCATTTTTTTCTCCTTCAGAATTAAGTATCGAAGACGGAATAAACACCTTTTGTAAACTATAGAATGTGCTTATAATCATAATGACGACACCAAAAATCATACATAACCAATGAGGAATTTTGCCCTTTTCCCAGATCGTTTCCCCTGATGATAATTTTAGGTAACATAACGGCGGCAGAACAAAGGCTAAGACAGTAGCAGAAAATCCACCTGTCAATTCAAGTACAATCCCTAAATTACATGTTAACAGAGAGATAGTCAAAGTTACTAAGATTAAGGCAGTTGTAATTAGAAAATGTCGTCTTCTACTAAATGATGCCGATGGCCAATAAAAGTTTTCGAAAACCTAATATGCATAATAAATAAGCACTTAAATGTCATAAAAAGGTCTTTTTTTTTTTTTTTTTTTTTTTTTTTTTTTTTTTTTTTTCTTTCTTTCTTTCTTTCTTTCTTTCTCTAATCGTCTTATATTATACCTCTCTACAAACAAATGTTTCTAATGGGATAGTCGTAAACATATTTAAACCAAATGCTAACCGAGCAATATTAATAAAGATATTATCTGAAGGGAAATTATTTAAAATATTGCCTATATTTATATTAGAGTATAAGTATAAAATTCATTGTATACACATATACATATATGATTAGGCTATACAGCTTACCTGCAGTTTTATCTGTAAATACAAGATATCCACTAACAGCCAGCGCAAGACAAGTTAAAAAAGCTATACCCATACTCCAATGAGTTACTACAGCAAACCGATTAAGTGAAGGTTGTTTTAAAGATCCAAAGATAAGAAAACTATTATGATGACATACAAAAGCTATGCATTGCATTATGTTTAGTATCATCCTATTTTCTTTAATTTACAGAAGAAGAAGAAAAAAAAATTACCAAAACTAATAACAGCAATTGCTTGACATATTTCATTATTCATAAAATTAAACATAAGTTCATCTGATCCTTTTATTTCTTTTGGCATCTGAGGCCCTTCTATGGCTACGCTAATAATAATAACTAAAATTGCAATTAAAGCGAGTGCACTTGTTTTAGCTAGTTTTGATATATCTCGATAAAGTGAGAGCGGATAAGATACAAATAATGTGAAAAAGGAGATGCAAAGTCTTCGATTACCAAATATCCAAATAATAGGTAGATGATGTATATTAGGAAATAAAGATCGAATAACGCTTGGAATGGTATCACCTATACATCTTTTTAATAATTATATTCAATAATGAAAGACTTTACATGTATTCTTTTATATATATATAAGGCTCACCTATAATGACACAATATGCGCACATGCCTATTTTTTCATATATATATCTGATTAAACATAAAAGATACATATACGCTTATAAATATATTACCACCAAATGCAAATGCAAATTGAAAGATTGATATAGCTATCAATCCTGGTCTTCCAAATGCAAATTCCATTAAATCTTGATATGTTGTTCTTCCTGCTAGTTTTCCATTCAACATTAATAGCCTGACTGTCCAATCTATAGGCACATATTAGTTGTACATTTTAATTTTTTTTTCTTTAACTACACTTTACCTACAATCAAAGTTAAAGCTATTAACAGTATAATGCCCGTCCAAAAGCCCTACACATATAATATATATTTCATTATTAACATTAGATGCTCTTATATATATATATATGTATGCATGCAAACTTACAGCTTCTTTAAATGCAAATGGTAATCCAATAATTCCTGCCCCAATAATACTGTTTGCCATATTAAGCTTTAATTTATATAAAGAAATAAATAAAAACAATGCTGGGAGTACTAACCATAATAATTTTACTTACAAAACTCAAGAAGATGGTTCCACCATCAGAGGGTAACTTATATTGCTTTTGTTCAATATCTTCTAGTGTAGATTCTTCATCACTTTCTTCAACATTAGTAGATAATAAAGGTTGTCTAGAGTTAGTTGCCATTTCATAAGATGCGTTATCTTCAAAGTCTAATTCAGCATATTGTGTTCTTACTCCTATATTCTCTAACTCATTTCGGTGTTGTGAATCATGCTCTGTCAATGAATTCACATTCATCAGCTTTGAATTTGACATTATATTTTATTTGCTTAATTAGGAGAAGAAAAAGGCTGTTGTAGAATAATATACTTTCTTCCCTCCCCTTTTTTTTTTTTTTTTTTTTTTTTTTTTTTTGGAAAGTTAAACAAGCTGTATTCTATTTGACCTAGCTTCATTTGTTAATAATTGTTTCTCCTGCTTCTTCTATTGTAGAAATACAATATTAGGCCTTTTTTTAGTTCGTTCAACTCCGAAATTTAATATATTTTGTTCTAAAATAACAATCAAAACGCCTTTTTTTTTTTTTTTTTTTTTTTTTTTTTTTTTTACTTTTGTTTGTTCGTTTTTCTACTCCAAAAGCTGGTTATTTTTAAATCTGTAAAGAGATTAAGCTATATCATCGAAATAAAGGCTTTTAACAATACATAAATATTCATTTTATTTTATTCAATTTTCTTCTTAATTTACAGGGAAGAGAGTGCACTTATTTCAGTTTATATGACACGATAGTGAACATTTTTATAATATTAAACAAGATTCTCAATAAAAAAAAAATAGAGAGAGAGCAGAATTTATCTTAATATTTAGGTTGTGATTCCATCTTTATATACAAATATAAATACATTTATATATAAGCCTTGGAGGTGAATAATAATAATGGTAGTAATATGATGAAATTTACTTTTTTGTTCGGCATAAATCGGCAATTATACTTTTTTTTTTTTTTTTTTTTTTTTTTTTGGAAAATCGAACATTTCCAGCATTTTAATTAAACAATATAAGGAATGCCATGATAAAGTGTATGTTGAAAACAGTATGAATTCAGATTTATTAGATAGACGCGTTTTATCATTATCATCATATTCAGTATATACTAGAATGAAATATATATATATTTTTCGAATATTATTCTCTTTTGAGCCATGTCATATATGGAGTAATCTACTAAAAATGTAGTATAGATTCATATCGCTAATATGATACAAATATATATTATAGTATAACACAGTAAATAAAATTTAAGCTTGTACATAGCTAAATAAGTGGACACATATGTATATCTAATAAAATAACTTTTCCCCCTCCCCCTCCTTCAACTTATCTCTATTATTAAGATATACGTAAATAAGTTAATATATTAAATAATAATAATAAAAAAAAGCTATTTTTATTTGAGCAATATGTAATTTTTGATATAAGAATATATTGTATAGATTATTCCTTTCAAAGAAGAAAGATCAATAGGAATGAAATTAGCATATTTAGCATGTACGTAATGAAATAAATATGTATTTAGATTGATAAATATTTGTATATAAATATATACATATTAGATTTTGAAAAGAGTAAAACCGATTAAAAACATGATCAAACTTAATGTAGGTGACAAATGATTGCCAGCACTAGGAAGTCCTGTTTGCGTAGCAGAAGGAGTGACAGTACCAGTCGCAATCACTGTATTTATGCTAGAATTGGGCATTGACGTTGTTGAAGAAGGTCCACTGACAGCAGCAGAGGAAGCAAAACTGTTGAGAGATTGGAAAACAGAAGGAAGAGAGTTGGTTGCTGTAGCAGGTAAGGTACTGTTTGTAGTAGTAGGTACGACTGCCGAAGAAGCCACACTGTTAATGGATTGAATTATAGAGGGAATACGAGTAGTAGTAGTAGTAATGGCAGTAGTAGGAACGGGTAAAGCAGTTACACTACTTAAATTAATCCATGTAGTTCTAGCTGACTCTCTTGAGATAGTAGTAGTAGTAGTGGGGGCAACTACAGTAGTAGTAGTAGTAGTAGTAGAAGCAACAGTACGAGTACGGGGGGTGGTAGTTGTTGTAATTGTACGACCCGTAGTAGTTGTTCCTGTACGACTTGTAGTAGCTATACCAGTTGTTCTTTGCGTTGTAGAAGCTCCTGGCCAACCACCAATACAGTTTTGGTAACATTCAACGTCTCCCTTACAATTACTTATACAATTATTTGTATTCGTAACTGTATATAATTATATTTATAATCAATTACATAAACGCCAAAAAAAAAACAAAACAAAACATATACGCATGTTAAATATATACATACCGCATTCTCTCAAACAATTATAATCATTTGCAGCACAGTTACATTGTGTTGCAGCAAGTACTGAGTTTACAGCAAGAGCAAGAGCGAACAGTCCAACAAAAATTACTTTCATAATATATATAAAGAGTCTAAAGAAAGTATATAGATATATAACAAACAAACCAAAAAAAAAAGAACTTTATATATTTCTTCTTTATATATACTGTAATTATCATCACAAAAAGAGTTACATCTCCGGAGTTTTTTTTTTTTACTATTATTCTTCGAAATATTGCGTAGTCCTTTGATAAATAATGCTTATTTTTGCATCATTTTTTTTTTTTTTTTTTTTTTTAACTTTGAGCATTATGTTTAATATATTTGTGTGTGTGTTTTATATTAGTTTCAGCCCTAACCAATTAAACTTTCCTTCAACTATAATGCAAACAATAATCTTAATTTTTTCCTTAAACATATGTAATTCTTATTTCTTTAAAAATCCAATTCATGACACATAGACAAAAAAAAGGGTTTCTTAGAATATAAATATATATATTTGTGTGTATGTATGTATTGTTTTATAAACATTGAAAGAAAAAAGATACTACGTGAATTAAATATTTATAAGTTTTGTGAGGAAGTGGCAGAGTTTATGACTTGTTTCATTTTGGCTAATTTTTCTTTAAGAGCAGAAACTGACTGCTGCCTATCAGTTTCTCCATCCTAAAAATAATTGTAAAATTAAGTCCTTTTTTTTTTTTTTTTTTTTTTTTTTTTTTTTTAATGAACTTAAAATAGGAAATTATACTTACGTGATTTGTGTTTAATTGTTTACGAGGAGAAAAACTAGAGAAAGTAGATGACATTTCTATCTTCCCCAAATTATTACTACTACCAGGGTCTAAATTGCTAAGGCTAGTAGGCCCCGATCTAGAAGATAAGTTATTATCTTCGATCTAGTAAAAATCAGTTAATCATTTTTTTTTTTTTTTTTTTTTTTGGTTTTCTTTTATCTTTTAAACTTACATTTGTCTTATAACCAAACTTTTGCTGCAACCTTAAAAATCGTAATTTAATTTCTGCTGTATTATCTAAAGTAGAATATTCCAAAAAATTATTTATAAATTAGTAACAATAATAATAAAAAGATAAGAATGGGAATATACCTTCTGAAAGAGAATTAGTTTTACCATTGGCATTGTCATTTCGAGATTGCGGTGATTCAAATGATGATCTCTCCGAGTTATTATGAACCATGTGTTGCTGTCGTTCTACTACAGGTGAGTATGGTACGTAATCTTTAGTTATTGCATTTGTAGGAGTTGGTGTAATTGAACCTGTTGATAACTGTGTTTGTGCCTGTGCCTGTGCCTGTGCTTGAGCCAATGCTTGTGCTTGTGCTTGTGCATGTAATTCATTATCTTCAGCTTCTAAATTGCTTAAACCTCGACGAATATAGCTCTGAAAATAGGTACCAGTTTGACCAAGATAGTTATTCACCTTTCCTTGTGCATTTGGGTAATTCTTTTGGAAATCGTAAAGCTCAATGATACCCTTATATATATATATATTAGAAGTGTTCAATTATCGTTTATTATTTCCATCTGTATTTTATTTACCTGTTTAGTATAATCACGATTACCAATCTTTTGAAAAATTTTTGTCAACTTCACATTTAAATCATAATCTGTTAACCCATGTGCAGCATAATCATTAACTGTAGGAAGACCTATTTGCATAGGATGTACACTAGTAAGAGCAATGTTGTTTAATATAGATGAACTCAGATGAGGACTTTGATTTGAAGCAAGAGGCGATAAATGATTATCCACTTGTTGTTGTTCACCATCATTAGAAAAATGGGAAGCAACAGATGGAGACCTTATCACTGTATTTGATTTAACTGATGAAATAGATGCAGATCTACTTAATGGTGAGTTATGTGAATGTGATGCTAAACGATTTGCTATAGTTTCTTCAGTTCTCGTTGGTGATATTTGCATTTGTTGTAGTTGCTGCTGTTGTTGTTGTATCTCTTGTTGGTGCTGTATTAATTGTTGCTGATGCAAACGTTGTTGTTGTTGTTGTTGTTGATAATAAGGATTCTCTTCCTGCTCCTTTTTTCGACACGCTTCCAACATATGGAGAAGATAAGGATATACATGACTATCTTGAGGATTATCAATCAGTGTTAAATGTCGAAATACAGAATCCCCTAAGCCATTTACAAGTTCTAATAATAATGTTTTTACAGTTCGCAAAGGCATTTCACCTAATGGGACCTTAGCAGCTGCTCTTTGCTTCCATGTTGTGGGTGGAGTAGCAAGGAAAAATCGATTTATGTCAAGTAAAAGTTCGTCTGGATTTAAAATATTCCTCTTCAAACTATCCTGGATAGTTTTGGCCAGCTTCCAAAGGCATTTCATTATCAGTTCTACATACTTTGATTCTTGAGCTATAGCCAATGAGCGATCAAGCAATCTTTCTGAGCCATTACTCAAGATAGTCAATAGTGCACTATTAAATAAATAAGAAAAAAAAGAAAAAAAGAATGGTATCTAATAATATATATATATATATTCGCTTACCTAAATGTATGATTTCTTTCACTATTTTCTAAAATTTTAACCATGGCTACATTCAATGCTTTAGATAATTGTGGTCCTGAAGCGGACCCATTTGTTTTTTGATCCAATAATTGTCGGGCAAGTTGTTCTAATAAATGTTGTAATCCTTCAACTGGGACTTTAGGAATTAAAATTTCTGTAGAAAATATAGAGACTAATATATTGACTACATGCTTACAGAGCCTTGGTGTAAGACCTTGTTGTGGATCAGTCGCTAAAGCAGCCATCTTCATCTGAAGTGTAACACCATTAATAATTCGGCCTACATCAGAGATAGCAGCTTGAGGTTTGGCAAGTATAATCTTGACGATACCTTTTAATGCATCAACACCCTCAGTTTGATTACTACTATTCATTTGTGAAAGTAAATAATCAAGCATTTCTGTAGGATTATTAGAATAAGTAAAGCGTGGTTGGTATGAATGCTGTTGTGATCCAAAAGATACGGGACGAATTTGTCTTATTTCTGGGTTAATACGATTAGCATGTGGCTCAGGAATTCTTTGTCTATGATCTTCTATGACATCTTCCATTGGCTCAGGTTCAGGTAAAGTCTGTGAATATGAAACTGGACGTTGAGGAGAAATTATATTACGAGGCTTAGCAATTTGTGAACGACCAGTCAGTCGTGGTAAGGATAGTAGTTCATCAATCTCCATTTCATCTTCCTTCTGTTTAGCACGCTCCTTTTCTTCTGCTGCAAGGACACTAGCTGATGGTGTTGTACGCTATTTAATTTAATATTAGTTGGATAAATTTTTTTTTTTGTGGATCGATTCATTCTCATTATACCATACCTTTAAACGCTCTTCAAGCATGCTTTTTTCTTTATCACCTAATCTAGTCATATATTTCATCACAGGATCTCCAATTAAAATGTATGCTTGAGCAACCGCATTTAATGCAGCATTTCGAACACTTGAATCTCGGTCTCCAATATGAGTCGCAATTATAGGCAGTGACTTATTAGGATGCATAACAGATATACCATTCCTTTGTATTAACAAGCCTACTTCTTCTAAACATTCTGAGCGAACTTTTGAATTCTTCGAATTAGCAACGGCATCCAAAAGATAATTGAATAATTTATTAGGCGGATAAATGCGAGATAAAGAATTTAAGATTTCACGAACACGAGCACGCATCACCTCTTTAGGGTCACCGACCTTATTAATCAAATAAGGCAAAAATGATACAGCTTCATATTCAGTAAGATGATAGTTCTCCTCTTCAAGAATATTTACAAGATTCTGCGTCAGATCTAAACATTTAATTAACATACTTGTGTTTGTATCAAAGAATCGAATTGTTAAATATTTGAAAATAAGATCTGCATTTGCAACAAAGCGGCATTTCATTTCCGTAAATTCAATATGGTATTTGTCAATACATATGTCGGATAAAGTAAGACAGTCGTTCAAGATACTTAGACCATTGAGTCGATCACGTTCAGCGTGCTGACTTTTACTGAATAATAATGAAGTTACTTCAGGGCTCATGTTAGCATCAAACAAAGTCTTGAGATTGTCAATGATATCAGGTCGTGGCGAATCAAATTGCCATCTGATTTCCTTTTTAGCGCGTATTTGTTTAGCACGAGAATCATTCGTAAGAATAGGAGCTATTGAATTTTCAACAGAAGCAGTAGCATGTGATGTTGCTTGTGATCGAGAAGCAGGAACACCGATCATCTTCTTCTTTAAGGGGGTTTTTAAACGACTAGGAGTAGAAATAGTAGAGGAACGACCATGATCATCTGTAGCATAAATAGACTCGGGGCGTTTTTTAGACGTAGGTGCCGTAGATGCAGTAGAAGCAGCAGCTGTTGAGGGATTTGTGGCCATAGGTGCTGATCCTCTTGCAGCTTCAATAAGAGGTAAAATGGTTTGACGTTGAGCTGCTTTTAATTCTGTTGTCTTGTTGATAATGTTATCATATCCAACAATAGCAATTATTTCTGGGAGACAAACTTGTGCAGCTTTACGAACATCACCATTTCGATCTTGTAAACAAGAAAACAGAGGTATGACGATACTAGTAAAGTCAAACTTAGCAACATCCGGTTCTTCTTTAACAGCGGTGCTTATCCAAGATAAAAGCTCTTTACGAAGTGTGGGGGTTTCATTCGCTAAACTTGTTCCAAACACAGGCGCCATTAATTCCATACTACATGTTTTTCGAAAATTTTCTAATGTAGTTATACCAGCTGATCTTACATTAGCCTTGTTATCCGATAATACAGCAATCACTGGCCCGGTAAATAATTTGATATATTTTTCAAATGGTTTACCCATAGCAACTGAAAGCGTTCCAGCAATCTCAACCGCCATGATTTGAAGATTTTTGTTGCTATCATTCAAACGCTGCTTCAAAACGTTGGGGAATTCAGGTCCCAGAGAAGGTTTGATTCGATTATTGGCGCTAGTAATAATCTCCATCACTTTATCTAGACCCTCTTTACGAATTTTCCAATTAGCATCTGCACATTGAGTTATTGTTTTGCTTAACGATCCTGAAATATCCACTCGAGGAAATAATGAATCAATTGCATCTGCATTTGTACTACCAATATCACCACCACTATCATCCCCATCCTTAAAATAATAATGATAATAATTAGAAAAAATTAGCAGAAATGAATCAGTCATTTACTTACAAAATTCTTTGGTGCCTTTGTTGGCTGAGGAGGATCCATTTTAGAAACTTTTTCAAATTCTTGTTCAATAGTAGCTAACAATGCTGGACTGACGTCTTCAACGAATGATTTGATTTCTATATAATGCTATTTAATAAAACATACAACTTGCCTTTTTTTTTTTATTTTATTTTATTTTTTTTTTCCTCAAATATGTATTAAACATACCTGGACCAATAAATTGCCTTAGGGCACCTAAGACGGTAACTGCACTTGTTCTTACAGAAGCATTTGTATTGGACAGACCAAATTTAATTAAATCAATCAAATCTCGAACTTGAAGTCTATAAATACCAAAATCCATTAAAGTAGCATGAATCCATAAAAAGGAATCCGATAAAACTTTGGGCGATTTTGCCTTTTTAAGAACAGGATAAGCTTGAGAAAAAACAAATTGTACAGAAGTTTTCTCGGCAATAGTTACTAAGCAATCACCTGCTGGTTTCTTTAGTTTAATATCACCTAATTTTTCAACCATGACAGGGATACAGAGAGCACCACATGCTTTATTGAAACTAGGACATTTGACAGATAAGGTTTGAATGGCTGAAAACATCTTGCCCATTACTTGAAAATTCATTTCTTTCCAACCTGGCTTTTTCGAGAATGAACGAATCACAATTTCAGGTTCGATAGCCGAACCCTCTATTTCCTCAAAATGTTGACATAGACTTTCCATTGCAGCCAGTCGTACTTTCCATTGCGCTTGTTGTAGATCTGTATGAATAGCTTCTGGAATAAATTCGGTTGCACGGGCTTCAGCATCCTCTTGTGAATATTTATATTTGATTTCTTCCGGAGTAGAAGGAGGTGGCAGTTTAGCACTTTTTTTAGAACCAGTAACAGCAGATGGTGTGGGAGCAGTTGTTGTTTTAGGTTTTGAGGATGAAAGAGCTGGCTTTTTTATACTACTAGCACCTGTAAGACGAGATGGAGGTTTTCGTTTAGGTGGGATAACACTATTTGCGTCGTTTGCTATAGTAGGAGTATCATCAGTGGTCATCGGTTCTGGTGTAGGTTTTTTAGTCATGGTGGGTGCCTTTTTAACAGGTGGTGCTATAGATGGTTGTGGCTTTTTGGCAATTTTTACTTTTACTGTTGCTTTCTCATAAGCTTCCTTTATTTTACCCATTTGAATATCACTTAATCCATCTGTAAATGGTAGCATTGGCTTTTCACCAATTAATTTCATTAATGTGCCCAAACCATCTGCACCTGCTTCACGAGCATTGGCATCTGCATCGTCTAATAATTTTTTAAACATTTCCGCAAATGACTTTATCTCTGTTTTTCCCGGCATTTCTTTCACTTCTTTTAATCGTCGAGACAGTAATTTAAAGCATTCTGATCGTACCTGAGGATTTTTATGTTTTGAAGCTACAGTTACATCTTCAATTAATTCTGATATCGGAACTGAAGCAAAAACAGCATTTAAACCATTAGCAAGTTGTTCTAAAATAGCGGGTTTCCTTTCCTTTAATTTTTCAATCATCACAGGTGTAATATTAGGCTTATATTTGCCAAAATCTGTTCTTAATCCAGTTGCAATATGCTCTATACAAGTTGCTGTCGCTCCCACTAACAAAATATTTGAATCATTAATACGCTAAAAAAGAAATAGATAAAAGAGAGGGGAAAAAAAAAGAAAGCTTGAGACTAATACTAATATCATAAATGAATAAGCAAACTTACTTTTGAAAGAGCTCCTATTAATTCGCTATAATCCTTATCCATAATTTTTGGAGTTTTTGCTTGTTCTAATAATGCATCTAATGCTTCTCTACGTTCTTGCCATTTTTTAGATTGTAATAATTCATAAAAGTTGCCAGGTAATTTAGCAGTAATATCTATAGGATCAGCAAGATCAAAAGCATCGATTTCGTCAACATCCATTTGTTCTTCATCTTGGGCATCATCACCTATATATATATATACATATAAGAAGATTAAATTTAATTATAATCAATTTAGTAATTATACTGGTTTACCCATTTTAATATCATTCTCTACTTGTTCTGGTTCTTCACTGGCTTGCTCAGATCGAATCAAACGTTCAGGAGTTGGTTTCTCTGTAGGTAATTTTGAAAATGCTTCTTCTAAATCCTTAATTTGTACAGGCTTTAAAGTAGTTAAACTAGTTGATAAAGGTTGACCAATCCATCTATATAATTCTACCGTTAATGCAAATGCTTCAGCACGAACATTTTTATCAGTATGACCAAACAATTGAGGAATAATTTTGATAATAGGTTTTGGATTCACTTTTTTAATACCAAATTGTCGAATTAATTCTTTTAATACAAATACAGTTTGAGTAACTAATTTTGGTTGTTTTGCGTTTATGCCGGGTAAAACGAGTTCCTAATATATTCAAAACAGAATCAACATTAACAAATAATGAGTTTGAGCATAACGAAAAAAAGAAAGAAAGAAAGAAAGAAAGAAAAAAAAAGTATATATTCTCAATTTACGACAATAGGATCTGGAGTATCGATTTCTGCATAAAGTAAAATAATATCTGTTGCCTTTTGTTTTGTACCTGCTTTAATAGCACCTAAACATTTTTCTACTAATGCTGGTATAATACTATCTCTTGTACTAACAAAGAAAAAAAAATTTTTTTAATATTTTATTGTTGTTATTATAGTAAATAGATAACTATTTATTTATAAATTACCTAGTAGCATTAGGTGCATTGCTGACGTATTCAATAACTGCAGATAAACCTGCTTCTTGGGCAACTGCATTTGGTTCTAAAACTAATTTTTTTAAACAAGATTCATAACTGTAGAAATCAGTATCTTCAGTGGTTGTTTTAAATAATTTAGTTAAATCTTCACAAGCTGAAACACGAGCTTTCCAAAGCTAAATAAGAGTATTTATTTATTTTTTATTTTTGAAAAAAAAAAGGAATAGATGATTAATCTGTAAATGTTGTAAAGTTTATTCTTTATTTTTTATTTTTTACTTTATGCTGTAATTTATCAGTAATCGATAAAGAAGAAAAATCCTCCTCTTTTGCTTCCATGTGTATTTGAAATTACTTTATTTTTTCTAATTAATTAAATGTTGGTATTAAACAAAGAAAAAAAAAAAAAAAAAAGTTTGATATTATGTGTTAGTAGTTTTTTCCAAACGCTTTGCGCATCTAATTTTTTTTTATTCATTTTTTTTTTTTTAATTTAATTTTATTTCATTTTTTTTTATTTTATTTTATTTTATTTTTTTTTTCGTAAAACTTCACAGGAAATAGACATGGTTTTATTCAGCAGGATGTCAATAACACTAATCCAGCAGCAGGTAAAAATCGAGTCTACATCAATAAATAAGACTGCGGTTACTACTGGGAAAAAAAAAGTCAGAGGCCCGTATAATTCTTCTTACCTTTCCATTCAAATACAAGAATTATTGCTTGATGTTGTCGTAGAGCAAGAAATAGTGTTTATAAGATAAGCTGGTTTAACCTTAGGTATCATTATAAGAATAGCTCAGTATTATGTGAAATTATGCAAGGATGATGAAGAAGAGCATTTGCCAAGTAATATTAAAAAGCTGTCATGTTTGTAAGGAAACAATAGGAAGTTTGAGGTAAAACATACAAACTTTCTTTGTAATTATTATAACACTGCGACTGCTGTTCTATGAGAGACAAGAGGTGTATTGCTTTCTGCTTTTTTCCAGACATAAAGTCGATCAGTCTTTCTGGTTCTTCACAAACATCATGCATCTCTTACCCTTAAGAAGTTGGACAGAATTGTGGTTACTGCGAGAAGAACTGAGAGTAGTACTTTGAATTAACAAAGAGAGAAAGTGCTGAAATGGACGGTATAGCAAATGTATTATTTTATATTGATGATGAGGTATGATTTAATATGCATATTAGAGGAAATTTTAGGAGATCTAAGCAGAAGGAGTATCTGCTAAAACTGCGCTTCTATCAAGTTGAGAGCATTGCTATTACTATCGTTAGAGTAAGATGTGCAAGAGGGAGGGGGGGGGATGGAGAGTTATTCACGTAAACTTGCGTAGACCAAAGACTGCTTAAAAATAAATAAATAAAGCGTATCTATTAAGAAGAGAAAGAAAGACGACCATAGGGTTTTAGTGGTAAATGCGAGAATTGGTACACGAAATGAACATTTCCTGCAATTTATCAGTGGTGTTTTGGATACAGCTGATGCACATACAATATCAAGTCTTCATCTCATCCTGGATAATGTCTCTATATATGAAGTTTCTACTGTTCAAGATCTAATTAAAAGTCGCACATACAAATCTGTTTACTTTCTGAATTCAATTGAATTATTCTGGTCAAAAAGTTACGGCTAGAGTAAAAAAAAAAAAAAAAAAAAAAAAAAAAGAGAGAGAGACTGTCTCACGGCAATTGATGATTCAAGTGCTATCATCATTGAAACGGTAAGACAAGTGTCTGTTAACGACTATCAGGGATGGATAAAGCATTCTGTTTCATTTTTTCGATAGGTTTTTGGCTCTTGAGCTTGTACTTTAGTAAAATAAAGGTGGATTAACTGCGGTGTTTAAACTTAAACACACAGCACGATAAACAGTTTATTTAACAGCAAAGTTACAAGGACATGGTTGGTTTGACATCTTTTATTTCAGATTATTGATATATATAAAAATAAAAACTTGTTTATTCATTACGAAAAAATAAAATAAAATCGAAAAGTTGTCAATAAAAAAAAAAATTCGAGAAAAGATCTTGTTTGTTATTCAGAAAAGAAAGATATTCTCCGTCTTGAGATCATTTCTTTTTTAATGGTAAGGACAAAGGGGGCAATAATGGGTGGTGGCTATTTTTTACAAGTGATTCAACTCACACTATTGTCTCATGAATATGGCACGCGCCATCTATCTGCAACATGAATATAATAAAATAAAAGAAAAACAATGAAAAGGTGCAGTTAATTAATAGAGCTTAAAAAAACATACAAGTTCATTGGACGAGTCTTTTATATCAAAGACAAAGAAATCTATTAATTTTCAAGGGGAAACAAAAATAAGGGAAAAAAAAAATTAAAAAAAGCTGCCAGATTCTTATTTTATTTTTAGTTGTTAAATATAAAGGGCTTTCCTTTTCTTTTCCCTTTTTTTTTTCTTGTTTATTTTATTCCTTTTTTCTTCTTCCTTTTATATCTCTTATTACTGCCTCTTTTTTTTATTTATTTATTTATTTTTTAATTATCATTATTGGAAAAATAAATAAAAATTATATGCAAATCGATTTTTTAAGCTCAAATAGATGGAAATTTTAATAAAAAAATGAATATCACAGAATTACTTATTCCAGAACATATGCTAGCTTCTAATTCAACTAGTATCAAGTCTAATAGTTTAAATGAAACGAATCGTAAAATAGTAGAAAAAGACTTCAAGAAAAAATCTATTCATGATGACGAGTTGATGAATCTATGGAAATTAGCTTTAGAAAAAGCCGGCTTTAAAACAAAATTGACAAGTGACCGTAATTCACTCACAGATGCTATTCTTTCACCTATTAGGAGTTCAAAATTTATGAATGAAATACCTGTTCATATCAAGGTGATTGGTAGACACATGAATGGTTCTTTTCGATGTCATATTGGTACAAGTAAAGCATCTCGTCCTATTCAATCTATTGAATTATGTCGTCAAATGAGACTTCTTGCAGTCTTCTTTAGAACAGAGAATGCAAAGAGTCAATTAATTTCACCAGAATTTATCTTTTTCCCTACTTGGCTTCTTCATTTATTCCGATATACTCAATATGAATCTACACCAGGTAGAACAGATGTTCGATTTCTTGAAAATGCAAATATGGCTAAAGAAGATCACATCTATCGTCTTAATTATGTTTTAAACACTTTATTTAGATTTAACATTCATGACTTTGATCCTCGCAAGATGAGATCTGCTATTGAACTATCTAATTTCCTGTTTGATGTCGCTGGTCTTGATTACAAGAATTTACCAAGACCTATCTTTTTTAATGAACTGTCATATCATTATTCTCAACAGCCTATCATGTATTCTGCTTTACTCTTACTTCTTCACTCTCCTCGTCCAACAAAGTTTAAACCCATGTGCTTTAATTGCAATGCAAAACCTGCTTCTCGTCGTCGTTTATGTGTTGCCTGTTATCGTTATCAACTTAAACATGGTCAACCTAGACCTTTACGTTTAATTGTTGCCAATCGTCCTGGTCCACGCATGTCTACTACTACTGCTAATAATAATAATAAGAATAGCACAGACTCACAAGAAAAGTCGATACATAAAAGTAATCTACCCATGGTCTTTTATTCTCCTAAATCATCTACACCACGTACACAAAAATATTGTGCAAATTGTAAAGTAACTGAAACCCATCAATGGTATCGTAACTTATGTGGTCATGGAAACTGGTGTGAAACCTGTAAGAGTTACTATTTGCGTCATACTAAAGTGAGACCACCTGAACTCTTTGTAAAGGCAGCGAAAAGAAAAGTAGATGTTCGCTCATTGGTCAATTGGAATACCTGGTCTTGGGATGATATTCCTACTGAAACTGTTGAAGCAGCTACTGCAGCTATTTTATCAGATAATTTTATGATTTCAACAACTTCTATGAATACTATAAATAGTCCTACAAGCAGTATTACCTCTTCTTCTTCTTCTTCCTCCTCTTTTTCATCTTATCCAACAACTCCACCTTTTCAATATTATGATTCCCAAAGAAGGACATCTCTTTATTCAACATCCAGTTCTTCTTCTTCTTCTCTCTGGTAAAACCAATTGTAAGCTTTATGTATTTTCCATTCCTTTTCTTATGCATATTTTATATGTAAAAAAAAAAAAAAAAAAAAAAAAGAAAAAAAATATCTTTATTCATGATTATTATTATTATTATTGTTATTATTATTACTGTTTAAATATTCTATTTATATATTTATATATATATGTTTGTATGTATGTGTATATGTATGTGTGTATACTTGTACGTGTATGTATATGTATACGTGTGTAAACATTTTGTTGTTATTCGTATTTTTATAATAAATGGTTACATTCTATAAAATTAGAATCCCCCTTAACAAGTCAAATTTAATCTACAGTAAAGACGACTGACTTGTATATTATTACAAAATAAAGAGGTAAAATATCTTATTGAAACTTATAAGTATCATTGAATACTATGACCACTCGTTATAGTATGTCGTCTTTCTTTCTTGGGAAGGGGCACATAAATCATTGTACTTTATATAACATATTCTCTTGAAATAAATGAAAACCCCTTTTTACTTTTTTTTTTTAATGATTCTTATACTCACTGATATCTTTGAAGTAAATACTTGTTTAGGAAAGTATTTTCATTATCCATTTTAAATACTGAAATAAGTGTATTCATCGAATATTAGGTTGTGACAATCATTTTGAGTAGTAGAAAGAAACCATCTTCTAATAAGTCAGAGTAAACAGACACTGAATCCCTGTTATTGCTGAAAAGCTAAAGAGTCTATTAGATAACTTTATTATATATAATAATTATCTCTAGAAGATAAAGAAAAGAAACCTTCTATTACTTTATCAATTGTACTTGAGATCTAAGCTTGAGATACTTCTAGGTTAATCTTTAAACAGATATACACATTTTGACAATCAGATAAAGGTATTTTCATATTATCCTTTTACTTTTATATTCCATCATGTTCATGGGCAATATTTATTATTAGTGTATATACCTAAATTACTAACGTGTTTTTTTTTTAATTTATAGACTTATAAAGATATAAATATGTATATAAATATGTATATATGTAGATATATATATATATATATATATATATACACATATAAAATAAATAAAGGGAGAAAGGAAATGAAAGGAAGAGGAGTGAAATATATTTGATAAATAGTAAACACATACACACAGACACACACATACAAAATGGCTGTATAAAATCACCTCCTTATGAAGATGTTTGCATTTGTAAGATATATATATATATATATTTTTTATAGTTTAAAGCAATGTCCTTACTCAATTCCTTTGCTACAAAACTCAAGGGACAAAGTTAAATCCAATATAAAATATCAGCACACTTTTATAGTTGTAAATACCGTCTTTTATTGATATGAAAAGCTTTGTTGTATTCGTTTAATTAAAATTTGTATGGGTCCAAGTCAAGAAGGAGGAACAAGAATGTATATATTTCTGTAAATTATTGATTTTATATTTATATGCAATTAAATTTTTATTTTGAATTAAGGGTGTTTAACATTAAGGGAAAAAAAAAAAAGAAAAGAAAAGAAAGAAAGAAAGAGAAAATATAAAGAATTATCTTCTTTGATGCTTTCTCCTCTTTTTCTTTACTTTTTAACTTTACTTGAATAAAAGACATATGAAAACCTTTGATTTGTTTGTTATTGGTCTTAGTATCTTTATAACTTCATGTTCTGCTACATGTAACTGTCAAATTGAAGATCAGACTTGTTTGAAAACATGCGGTCAGTATTGTATATAATCAAATAGAAATAGGTACTGTCTATATTTATGTATGTATGTATGTATGTATGTATGTGTATATATAATAGTCATTACAACAAATAATTGTATTATAAAATGTGAAAATAAAGGTGATTACTGTCAACAAGCCTGCATTGCTTCATACTGGTATTGTATAAACATAACTATATATTTATATTGTTTTCTATATACTTAAATGACTGTCAATATATATATTTATACAGGCCTATTATCTATACGAAGACTTTTGAAAATGATGAAGAAAGTTATACTAGTATTAATTGTCGAACTACTCATGTTGATGTTATAATGACTCCCACTACTACTGCTACTATCACTACTACTACTACTACTACTACTACTACTGGTGATAATAACTTCATGACAAAATCAATAATTTTAGCAACAAGTACAGGTTGGTAAAAAAAATAAAATAAAAATAAATAAAAATAAATCTTGTAGTTTATATAGAATCATATTTAAATTAGTCATTCTCTACTTTTAGTATCTTCGATAGAATATCCAGACAATGTAACAACTTCTTCTCCTTCTTCTTCCTTTACTATACCATCTAATGTGAAGCCAACGAATTCAAATAATGTTCTAATAGAACCAACAGGGCCTATAAATCTATTCATCAAAAATAATAATTTAGATATTTTAATGAATAGTGGAGTGTCAAATTATGTGGTGTTTCAACAAACTTCTATGTTCATTGGCTGGTTAATTATTTTAGCCATTATTTTGATAGTCTGAATAGTCAAGCCATAATCCTTATTTATTCTGTCATCACATTTATGTATACAGCAGTAAGGCCGTTAAGATATGATATCTATTTTTTTATTGTTAATAATAAAAAGAGTTGCTGTTTATTTATTTACGAATAGAAGAAGGGGGAAAACGGAGAAACTTTTTTCCATCTATAATTGTTTAATTGTGGGGAAATTCAATCAGTGTTATTTTTATAATAATAAAAGGATTGTTAAAAGTAAAACAATTCACTTGTAAAAATAAAATAATGCATGGTAAACTAATAAGCTTATTTATCAGTGGCTCCTTTTATCTTTATTTTCTAGTTTTTTTTTTAAGATATACACACGCACAAATCAAAACACTGTTTTCCTTTATTGTAAGACGCCTTTTTTTTTTACCATTTTTATAAGACGTCCCTTTTTAGTTTTGTGCAACGCGTTTTTCATTTATATATGACACTTGTAGCACATATACTACTTTTATTTACTCGACATAGCTTACAGTTGATGAAACTAGGTTGAGTACTTTTGTTATTTTGTCTTGTACTATTTCATTCTTAGCAAGTTTATCGCTACGAAAAAAAAGCAGCCTTTATTTTAGACTAGCATTCTTAAGAAAGGAGAATAAGGTGACAAATAAACGCATTTATAGTCTCCTTGATGAATTTATTCTTTCAATAAATCATCTTTGTGAATCGATGCATCATCTATAATGATATAATAGCTTTGTATACCATGAATATCCAGTATATATATATATATATGAGGAAATGTTCTGCTTTTGTTTCTCTTACTAGATAAGCTAGCTGTTTTTCGTTTCTTTGAACCCTTAAACTCACGCATAGATATAGATATAACCCCTTTAGTGGTAACGGCTCCAAGAATTGTGATGGAAATACCTCTTTGAGTTGGTACTTCAACATCAACAGGTGTGCATTTATCAGACTATCTAAACAGTCCACTCATGTTTGAAGTAAAGCTAACTTTGTCAATAAAAACACAACTTTCAAGATATCTCATATTAATATTACCCCATTCTAATACCCATTGTATTCTTTTTTTTCCTAAAATATTCTTAGCATTTCTTTTTTTTTTCAATAACTTTACGAAAACAACTGAAAGAAAGCATACAAGTTTTTTTTTCTTTCATAAAATTGTAAAAAGGTAAGTTGGCCTATCTTAAGTCCTTCGACTTTAGCACATAAAGCTTCCATAGTATCCTCACCTGTTGATAGAGATGTCTGAATATAAAAATTTTCAATAAATTCAGCATGTTCTTTAATTCAGCTTTGACTTACGGCCACTCTTTTTATTATTTTCTTTCCAGAAAGACATATATATATATATATATATATTTTCTTGATCTTGTTTATATGCTACAGCTTATTTTTTAAGCTATTCTCGGGAATAAATTCGTTTCCTTAGCCAACTTTGATGTGTTAGAAATTGCATGACCCTGTCTATTCTCAAAAAATGCAATTCTTTCGGTGTCAGTTATAAGCCCTATGAAATTTGCTGTCTATCTTCGATATTAAGTTTCTCTTTTTTTATTTATTCTTCTTTATATATATATATATATATATTATTTTTTGTACTCAATTTCTTTCTTCTCTTTAAAAGTTATTCCCTTTCAAACTAATTCAAAATCTAAAGGCCTTCTTAACCTAAACTCGTTAACATGATAACCATAGTTTTGTAGTCCGACGTTCCTCTGAATTGATTATCAGATTTTGTTTATTACTCATTTAAAATAAATGTAAAAATTTGTCAAGAAAAATAAAATAAAATAAAATAAAATAAAACTGTTTACCTCAAAAAAGAGCTCAACTGTCCTTATAAAAATAATAAGAAAACTTACAGCTTAACTATTTAAAATGTACTAATCGCCAAGAATATCTTATAAAATTGAAAAAAAAACGTCTTACAAAAAAGGAAAATAATGTCTTAATTTTTTGTGGTGTACGTGCATCTTGAAAAAAAAAAAAAAAAAAATCCAAAAATTTGCAAAATTGTTGTATACACTTGCATTAGGTTGGAGAAAGAAAATTTCACGTGTAAATTTCAGATTCATTAAGATGTGTGTAAAAATGATTTTCCCACTTTTTTTTTTTTTTTTTTTTTTTTTTTTTTTGTACATAGACATATTTTTTTTTAGCTTCCCCTTGCCTAATAAATAATAAAAAGCTGTTCAGAAATGAATCCACCTAATGACAACACGCATCCGGAAGATCCTCATTGGACAAATCCAAATAGTTTTTCTCATCATTATTTACAACAGCCACATCCAGCTTTTAATAATGGACAGCCTTTATTAAATTCTATCTATATAAGTAATGTACCACTCTTATCTCCACAACAGCAGCAGCAACAACAACAACAACAGCAACAACAGCAACAACAGCAACAGCAGCAGCAGCAGCAACAACAACAGCAACAACACCAACAACAGCAACAACATTTAGACGAACATGGTCAACCTATCAGGATACGCAAGAAGCCTGGACGAAAACCTAACCCCGCCTCTCCTGCTTTACGTAAAGCCCAAAATCGAGCAGCACAGAGAGCCTTCCGTGAGCGTAAAGAACGCCACCTAAAGGATTTGGAGAATACAATACGCCAACTAAAGGAACAACGAAGCAGCATACATAAAGAACTCAATCGAACAAAACGCAAATTGGATGCATTTCGTGCAGAGAATTGGTATTTAAAGGGCGTTGTACTTACATTACAATTTGTGTGTCTTTATCATAATATTCATATTCCAACACATTCACCTTATCTTACTGAAGAAGTTTTGAGCGAGATGGCAAAGTCAACCCCTCACGCCATTGAAGCCTACGTTAATGCATATACAAAAAATAATATTAATCTGAAACCTACAATGGTTGCTCATTTTGCTAATGAAGCTAATGATAATGATGATGAAATTAAAGATACAGCAACACAGTTTGCGTCTTCACCGAAAAAATATGATGCCTCAGAAAAAGAGGGATTATTAGGTGAGGACAATACGATGATGGAAGGTAGTGAGTTAGAAGAGAAGAGCATGTCGCAGATGGAAGCAGCAGTCACTCCATCCTCAGATGACTTTAGTCATCTTCCTTCTCCCAATTCATCGTCTTACCAAGTTAAAATTGAACAAGTAGAAGACAACGAGGAAGAAGAAGAAGAAGAGGGAAAAAAAGTACAACAACTGAATGAGAAAAATGAGCAAGAAAATAGCATTAGTGCTATTCAACGAATTCGACTTCAGTTACGAGTTCAATCTACTTTATCAAACTTAGGTAAATCCGCTGCGCGTTTACAGCCTACAATTTTACAATTAGCTATACCCCATGATCCACGAATCGATTTAATACCCACACCTCATATGAGAGATCGTATGATTATATTTAGAGATCTTATGGATTATGACCGTTGCTTTGCCATGTTGCTTAATGGTGCTCTTTATCATGGAGGAGACCCTACCATGAGTGCAAGTTGGGAATTACCGGCTGAATTCTTTTCAGAATTTTGGTATCTTGCTACTAATTATGATGTAAGTCGTACCAATACATGGAGACGATTAAAAGGGTTACCAGAAATCAATCCTAAAGAAACATTGCAACAAAGAGAAGTTAATAAGGAAACAGCTAAATGTAATTGGGCGCAACAAGCTACTGCTCCATCTCCTTCAGATATTCTAGAACAACAACAACAACAACATCATAATAATAATAATTCATTTACTAATTCACCTCAACACGCTACTCATAATCAATATAACAATACAGTCTGGACGGACACGCTATTTACGCAATTAACAGAAGGCATGCCGACCTTACAGCCTTTAGATTCCAATCATTTATCAGGTGGATTTGATTTTGGCTCGCCACCTTCAGTATACATGTTTGATAACTTTTTTCTACATCGTCCTCCTCATACTACTGAGGAAGGTGGCCATCATTTATTTGAACAACTTATGGGTCCTTCAAACGAAACAAGACAGGAAAGATCATCAAGTTTAGGTAATTATAAATAGATAGAAAGAAAGAAAGAATCATCCATGTATTTATACAATCCTCTGTATAGGTGTCATGATGGAGCTTATGGATTCATTATCTACTGATATGTCATCTTCAAAACAGTAGTAAGTATATGCGTACATATGCTTGCATTTAATACTATTTGGTGTAAATAATGTATGTTATCGTGTTTTAAATAATCATTGCTGTATCTTTTCTTTTTTTTTTTATTTTTTTTTTTTATTTTTTTTTCTTTCTGTATAGTAAATAAACAGCCGTGTTGTGACTTGAATAAATCATTAAATTCAATTTACCACTTTTTCTTTTCTTTTCTTATTATTTCTTGTCTTGATCACATTGGAAAAATGACAAAATTATATTTCCGTGATCCTTTTCGAAGGGCCATGAAAAGTAGATTGAATGATAAAAAATTATCATCTAATGCTGATATATTGGTATATATATACAAGGAAAAAAAAAAGAGTTCATCATGCTGATTTTAATAACCTTCCACAGATGTATTTAGACTTTGTTTTATTTCTTGATAGATTAGCTAAAACTTCTGAACAAATTGCAGCTGAAAGACATGCTAATTATGTTAAATTGGAAGATATAGAAAAAGCTTTAGAAGTAAATGACAAAACATACACACACACACACAGATTTACTTATTTAAACAATATCTAATTCATATTTATTTTATTTTAAGACTACTTTACGACAGTTTCGTGGATAATATAAAAATCAAGTTGGCCCATTGGATGTTCTATAAAGTGGTTTTGGGCCGATTTCAGGTGAACTTGAACCCTGACTACTTTCAGTTTTATATTTTTCATTTCTCTTCTTTTTCTTATTTAATGTTCGTTTCCCTTCATCATCCGAAATAGCTGTATCTAATAAAGGATCATACCCTTTTGAAAAATATTTATCCATAGAGGATGTATTAATTCTAATTTTCCCTCTCCCTCTAAACTGTATTTCCTCATCTTTGCTTGATTTTCTGTTTTTAGTTGATGGGGATCGATGATGATGATGATGATGAGAGGAGGATTTCTCTCCATCTCGATTGCGTCTTTTATGATCATCTGAAGAATGCGGTGATAATGAACGTTGTCTATGTCTTTTTCTGCTTTCATCGTGATGCTGATGACTTTTTCGTCTTTCATTTTTTGTTCTCAATTCTCTTTCTCTTCGTAATCGAGCTAAATTTTCCTCATTAGTTTTAATAACAGCTTGGTTATGACTATCAGTTGCCTTGACAACATTAAATAAAAAACGAGTATTTGGCTTTGGCTTTTTACTTTTGTTGATAAATTAGAGAAATAAGTCTGTTTTTTTGTTTTTGTTTATATGAATATATTTTGGAATCTTACGGCTGAGGTTGATATGCTTGCACACCAATTTCATTATATTTTTTACGCTTCTCTTCGGCTTCCTTTAGAATAAGATCAGCAACATATTTATCAATGTCTTCATCTGCAATATCCTTTGCACCAGAGCCTGCTGCTGCTCTCATTAGATCACTAACAACGTCAACAATGGCATTTGATTTTTTAGGTGGCATTTATTGAATTGGTGTAAAATATGCTTTAATAAAAAAAAAAAAAAAAAAAAAGGAAGAAAAAAAAAAGACTGGAGGAGTCACAACGTAGTATTCTCTTCTAGTTTATTTCCTTTTAAGGCATTGCTCACATTTCCTAATCAATTTCTTTCTCTCTCTCTCTTTTTTTTTGTTGTTATTATTATTAGGTGATTCAATCTATATGCATATATAAAGCATTTTTTTTTAATTCTTTTCATCTCTCTCTCTCTCTCTCTCTCTTTTTTTTTTTCCCCTTTCTATTCGAAAAAAAAATGAAATCTGTAAAGGCATCGAAATATTTATATACGGCCTCTTTATTCTTTTTTATATTCTTGGCAGCTGTATGCGTTGCTATTTCTGCTGTTGATGTTATTATTCAAGCTTTATCAAATAAAACAAGCACTGGAAGTTTTGACTTTCGTAATCTAGCTGTTATTGGTGGTAGTTATGTTTTGCTGGTAAAAATAAAACGACGAAAGCATTCATGGAAATCCTTTTTTTTTTCTCTCTCTCAGAAGGATGCTTTACTGACAATCAGTATGTTTTTTTTAATAGGCATTAGCATCATTTCTTTTTTCTTGTAGTCGAATGTTAACCATCAGAGGCTCATTACAAGACATTCCAAAACTTTATATTCCTATTAAAAAAGAAGATTTACCAAAGGTATAATAAAAAAAAAAAAAAGAGAAAAAGATAAAGTCTAATCGTTAAAATTATATTAAATAGAAAGTATTTTTGAAAATAAATCAAGAATTCAATAAAGCAAAGCAAACTAGAAAGTTAGTAGCGCCTAGACCAGAGGATATTCAAACTGTAGGCTGGGCTAAACCAGGTAAGAAAAGAAGAAAGTAAAGTAATGGGAAGGATAGACTAAATCTGTATAAAACTATTAGGAACTCCCTTTTTTGAAGATTTAGATTTTAAGCAAGCTGTTGCAAGAACGCCAGCTATTATTGGTGAGCAATTTTTTTATTTTTTATTTTTTATTTTATTTTATTTTTATTGAATCACATGTCTTTTCTTTTTTTTTATAGAAAAATTTGCAAGAAATATTAATCCAGATTACTTTAGACCGTTACATGTACCAGTTCGACCTTATATTGAATTATTAATAGATGAGGGATTAATTGATAAGGACCTTGGATCCTATTATTTAGAAGGATATGAAATTGCAAGATTTAGTCCACATCTTTTAACTCAAGAGCAATTTAAAAATATTATGAAACATGTTGCAGCAATAGTGAAAAATATGGGCTATAACATTAAAAATAATGCTATTATTACAGATAATGATAGCCTTGAAAGGGAACTGAGTCGACAAACGACAACATCATCATCTATTGATTCAACAACTGGGGAAAGTTATTATCAACTGTCTTGGAAAGAAAGTCACCGACGGTCGTCATACCATAGTCAGCAGCAAAATAGTAAAACTTCACTGCACGCAACACTCATGAATGATTTATATAAATAACAATAATATATATTTATATACTCTACCTTTTTTTTTTATTTCTGAGTCAAAGTAGAATAGAATCAAGTCAATAAAACCACCCACCTACTATTTATTATATAATCTTTTAAAGTAGACTTATTTTTATTTATTTCTTAGACACAACAAGTGGACTTGACTTAGTTTCGGTCTCTATTCAAAATGTTAGGATGGACATTGAAAATAAGATTCTGGTATTACATCCCCTGAGTTATGCCATATGATTCCCGAAATATAATAAGATACTCTGAAACGAATATCTAAAGTTTGCTTTGGTAAAGGTGAAGATAAGTCTTCATTCAAAACTGAACAAGCACTCAAGAGGGTCTTTAAAGTGGGGTTCGTTGCGTCTCGTGTTAATTGAATAAGGATGGGTATAGTGACGATCTGATCAATAGATCTTGGTTTCAAAACGACATGACCTGAATGTCCAGAACCAACGATTTCTCCAGAGGAGCCTTCAATGACATTGATAGCAAAATCTTTCATTTGAGTTGGAATCCAACTTTCAGAATTAAGGACAGTAAAGTTGACAATCCAATTAGCCTCTATTGAAGTCGATGTATAATTTGCTGTCGTTCCATCCTTTAAACCCGCAGCTATAAATCGTAAAGTAGGTTCTCGAGGCCAAACGAAATACCAAATGACACCAACAGCAGAGATAAAGATGAATAGAATGAAAACTAGTTTTTGACCGCTCATACCCAATCTTCGTTCCCACCATTTCTTTTTCTTGACAGGTGGAAGTGATTGAATGAGTACTGAGGGTGTCGTTGTTGGTTTCGTTCCCCTTAGATTCATATCACTTTGATAAGGTGTATAATAAGGATAATCATTCATCATATCCATATTGATATTATCTTGTAATATTGAACCTACAGGACCACGAGCATGATTATGATCTGCTGCTGCTGCTGCTGCTTGAGGTGAATTGAAACTAGGTAAATCATCCACATTATCTTCTTGTAAAAAAATAGATTCAGCCGAATTATAGGGATCATGTCTGTGATTCGAATAAGGTAAATAGGAATTACCGTCTTTCTTTCTTCTTCCTCTTCTTCTTTCCTCCTCTTCATGATGTTGCTTCCTATCTTCATTTCTAATCCTTGGAGCATATGGATCTTGCGGTTCATAATAAGATTCTTCTGTTCTGTATAATACATGTTTTTTTATAGGTACATTATTCATAGTAGTAGTTGCTAAACGTGTAGTACTACTACTTTCTGAAGCTGATCTTGAATGTAATAATTGTTCTGAGTTAATACTAGGTACCGAATTATAATAACTGTGTTGTCCATCTTTATCATAAATATAATATATATATATATATATATATATATAGATATATAGCAATAAAAGAGGGAGTAGAAAGGTTATTTATAAGATATAAGATGGGATATGATCTCTATGTAATCTTGATTTTACCTGGACTTTGAGTTTTTCTAGTAGCTCTATAAGGGTCTTGTTTAAAAGAAGTGTGACTTTGTGACATTTATAGTAGCATTAAAAAAAAATGGGTAAAGAGAGAAAGAAAAGAAAAGAAGATAGAGAGAAAAAAAAATTAATATTGTGATAAAATTCATTATTGGTGGTGAGAGGGGGGGGAGGGAGGGGCTCCTTTTCTATGGTTTTTTAATGTGTACAACATAATGTAGAAGGTTAAAAATAAATTCCAGTCTCGACTCTAAAAAAGAAAAAAAAAAAAAAGAATGAATTATAGCTCAGTAAAAGAGTTGTAATAGGTCTTTTTCATTTTTTATACACATATCTATTTTCACTGCGCTAAAAATGTCAGACGAATTAGAAGGGGCCACAAATAGTAAATATACAAATGAACCTATCTTGAACTTGAATCAACATGAATGTAAACATCTATTATAGATGACCTTATGTTAGCTGCCTGTAGAAATGATCAAGATGACATGTTGGAAGATATTTTGAAAGAAGGTGATTTTGACATTAATCATTCAGATCCTTTAGGTGATACAGCTCTTCATTATGCGTATTGTACCAAATAGATACATATATTCGTTTTGTTAATGTCTTCATTTAAATAACCTAATCTAATTATAAATTTTCGAGCAGTGCTCGGTTTGGATCATTAACTTGTATGGAAATGTTACTTCGAGTGCCTGACATTAATGTGAATCAAAAAAACAAAAAGGAAGGAAATACACCATTACATTTAGCTGTTCAATATGAAGACGATCCAGAAGTAGCTATAGGCATGGTTGCTCTCCTTATTGATGTTGGAGCTGATCCAAGGTAATATTATATGTATACAAATACATGTGTTTATTTAATGACCTGTTTACTTTTATATTATTTTTAGAGTTAAAAATAAGGCAGGACAGACTGTAGCTGATTATGTTACTAACAGAAGAGATGACATGGCAGACTTAATCACACAGGCATTAGCAGGATATAATATGGTAAAAAAATATATATACATATTTTTATTTGTGGTTTGCACATGTATTTAAACTCTTATATAAATAATAGGTAGAATCTGATGATGAGAATTTTAATATTGAATAAAATGTTTAGTTTTGTATAAATACATATACATGTGTGTGTATATATTTACTCTTATTTTAATACAACAGCTGCATTTCTACTAGCTAAATAAGCTTGGACATTAGGAACTCCTAAAGTACGAATCAATTGATAAATTTCAGAATTATGGTATCGTAAACCTGTCTTAGGATCTGTATATTTAGCTTCTAATCCTGTAATGTCACAATATTTTTTTTGAGGTAAAACAGAAGGTGGGCATTCAATATTTTCATCTAGATAAATTAATGGAATTAATTTTTTTTTTTTTTTGAAAGTGTTCAGATCAGTTCATTATGACATCTTCCTTACATGTTGGGATGTTTAAAGAAAGTTCACGATCTCTTTCCATGGTTAAAATCTGCTTCAAATTCTTATTTTTCTTTACTGTTTTGTAATGTATATTTTTAAATGGTTTATTTATTGTTAATAAGTTGAGTGGCCCTTCATAGTCATCATCACTTTCTGTTGCCTAAGTTGACTCATTTAGATTTTTTGTTCAAATTACATTGTATAAAACAGTTATCTATTACCCGTTTTCCAAAATTTGATTTCTTTGTATTTTTCTTGGGAGCCCTTTTTTATTTATTTACAGTTTATTATTATTATTAGTACTTCTCATACATAATAACAATTAATATTGTTTCTTACATAATTTAAACAAGTTACAAAACAAAAAAAAAAAAAAAAAAAAAAGCTGACTGCAAAAGTACTGTTGGCATTAACAATAGTTAGCAGCAATAGTTTTAAATATCCGTCGCCAAATTTATTCATAGTATTATTATTGCATGCAGAAAAAAGTCACAGGAGCTGACGTATAGATATGATGCGACGCGCAGACTTTCTCAAAAAAAAAAAAGTGTAATTCCATTTACACAGTTTATTTTTCTTTTCATTTACTTTATACATATTTAAAAAAAAAATACATTTATAAAATGGTTAGTCTTTTTTTTTTTAGTTTATCTCGAAACTATAATAACAGAGATATTAATATTTTTTTTTTCATTCTCTTTGAATATCCTTTAGGGTAATGCACAATCGGGTATGCCAAGAGGCAATGACAAAAAAGACAAGGTAAAAGCATAATCGATTTTTTTAATTGGATAACATTAAACCAGTTTTGAAAGTTTCAAAAAATGTGTATATGTATATATTTATAAATTATTTATGCATAATAGGATAAAGATAAGAAAAAGAAGTGGGAGCCTCCCGTGCCTACTCGCGTAGGTAAGAAGAAGAAGAGAGGACCTGATACAACTGCCAAATTACCTCAAGGTAAACCTTAATGCTCATCATTCTTTAAGAGTTTTAATGTATAAATTATTGTTATTATTATTATTTAGTTTTCCCTACAACTCGTTGTCGTCTCAAGATGCTCAAGATGGAACGTATTAAAGATTATTTATTGCTTGAAGAAGAATTTGTGCAGAACCAAGAAAGATTGAAGCCTCAAGAAGAACGAGATCAAGAAGAGAGAACACGTGTAGACGATCTACGTGGCTCTCCTATGACAGTAGGTTCATTAGAAGAGATTATAGATGACGATCACGTCATTGTCTCTTCAGCTACAGGACCAGAATATTATGTTTCTGTTATGAGTTTTGTCGATAAAGATTTATTAGAACCAGGTTGTAGTGTATTATTGCATCATAAAACGATGTCTGTTGTCGGTGTTTTAGCTGATGATACAGATCCTATGGTGAGTGTTATGAAACTCGAAAAGGCACCTACTGAGTCTTATGCTGATATTGGTGGTTTGGAACAACAAATCCAAGAAATCAAGGAAGCTGTTGAATTGCCATTAACACACCCTGAATTATATGAGGAAATGGGTATCAAACCTCCTAAAGGCGTTATTTTATATGGTGTACCAGGTACAGGTAAGACTTTATTGGCTAAAGCTGTTGCGAATCAAACAAGTGCTACCTTTTTGCGTATCGTGGGTTCAGAGTTGATTCAGAAATATTTGGGTGATGGTCCTAAATTGGTACGTGAATTGTTCCGTGTAGCAGAGGAGAATGCACCTGCTATTGTTTTCATTGATGAAATTGATGCTGTTGGTACAAAACGTTATGATTCTACTTCAGGCGGTGAACGTGAAATTCAACGTACAATGTTGGAATTATTGAATCAATTGGATGGTTTTGATTCAAGAGGTGATGTCAAGGTTATTATGGCTACGAATAAGATTGATAGTTTAGATCCTGCTTTAATTCGTCCCGGTCGTATTGATCGTAAGATTGAATTCCCATTGCCTGATGTCAAAACAAAGCGTAGAATCTTTAATATTCATACTTCAAGGATGACTTTGGCTGATGATGTTGATTTAGAAGAATTTGTCATGTCAAAGGATGATCTATCAGGCGCTGATATCAAGGTAATTTAAGATAGATAAAGAAAAAAGGAATGATACATATTTATTTTTTTTTTATTATTATTTTATTATAGGCTATTTGTACGGAGGCGGGCTTAATGGCATTACGTGAACGTCGTATGAAAGTTATAGCAGAAGATTTCCGTAAAGCAAAGGAGAAAGTATTGTATAGAAAGAGTGAAGGCACTCCTGAAGGTCTTTATCTTTAAATAAATAACTGTCGTCTAATAAAGAAAGAAAAAAATATACAAAAAAAAATATACATGTACAAAATTTATACATGTAGAATACATTAAGACTTTATTCCATAATATTAAATACTCGACATGTATTTTTCCAAATAATTTCTGATAAGTCTCTAGGATCTTTATTTCTAACTGAAGCGACAACATGTAAAACAAGTCTAATTTATAAATAATTAAATAAAAATTCTATTAGCTTGGAAACAAAATATAAACTTACCCTATAGTACAAGGCTCATTTCTACTTTTAACCATGCAACCCATTTCGAATTTTTCTTTCTTTTTACTAGGAGGTGCATATAATTTCATTTCTTCTTCGCTTGCCTTTTTTAAATGACCATAAGATGCATGTGTAGGACGAATATCGCACCAAGGAGCATCAGTCTCGATCATCAATCGATCTTCAGGGATAGCCTTCACAACTTGCAAATTTTCTTCCGTTTTCAATGAACAACCATTGATACCAATATATAAGCCTAAATCGACTAATTTTTGCATCTCTTCTATTGATCCTGTAAAAGAATGAACAACACCATTACTGAATCGATGACGATGGGTTTTCACAAGCTCATAAAAATCGTCACCCGTATTACGATTATGTAAAAACATGGGCAATTGAGTTTTTTCTGCTAGGTCAAATTGCATAGCAAAATACTTCTTTTGCGTTTCTTTATCACAAAATTGAAGTCGATCATAATCAAGTCCACATTCACCAATAGCAATGACTGATTTGGAAGAAGTGGCTAATTTAAGTAGTTGATCAAAGTAAGCTTGAGGTCCATCTTTATATTCTTCAAATTCAGAACATCGCGTAGGATGACAGCCAACAGTAGAATATAAAAAGCCCTTTGCTTTTATTTTATTTTATTATATATATATATATTTTTTTTAGATAAGAGATTTACTTTTTTGTTTATAAATATTTTCTGTTACCATCATTATTGCTCTCGATAGCTTCAATAGCTTCTTTTGATTCTTCAAGATTAGTACCAGTAACAAAAATTTTTTGTACACCTGCATTACGTGCGCGCTGTAAAACCAATGGAAGATCATCTATGGGAATACATTCGATTAAAGAGAGTTTTAATTAAATAATGATTAGAAAAAAAAAAAAAAAAAAGCAAACCTGCGTGAGCCTGCTTGCCCCGATATAATCCTCTGAACATGGGATCGGTCATGTTCGCACCAATATCTATAATATGTAATCATTTTCATTTAGTATTATCCACTGTAATCCTTTGTTGGATGATTTATTTTGGTACCAATGAATCTCATCATTCTTTGCATAAAAGAAGATCTAGAGTTAATAGTGGAATGAAAGCACTGTATTTCTACTTCAAATTCAGGCGAATTAAAATTAATTTTCAGATAGTTTGTTTACCTTTTTTGGATGAATAAAAAAGGAAATACAGATGCAAAAATGGGACAAAGGAGAAATCAAATGGAGACAGAACGTTAGATGAGATTCAGAAAAAAAAATTGCTATTTTTTTTTTCGTAAAGACTTCTTATCTATAAAATCTTTAAGCCAGCACCTCATCGGAGTGAGATGTGGCAACCACATTGGAGGTGGCGCTTTATCGTGTGAAGACAGTAGGGCGATCGTTCCCATTCCAAATTGAAGAAGCATTCAGAAACATATTCTTGGATACCATCACATCAAGATTCCAAAAAAAATATTGCTAGTGTTGCACTTCAATACTTGATGGATTCGTTTGACATCGTCTCCTTCCCCACATTTCAGATTCTTGAGGTCTTGATTCAAGCAAGAGTTACAGATCTATAAGGATGCTGTTTAGAACATGTGATATATGGACATCGTTGTACTAACCTTGGAGGTTTTATACTCATTAATATCTAAAAGTAACAACTCTCCAAATCTCTCTCTAACCTTTAATTGCCTATACATCTTGTTTGAAGCGCCGTGTCGAAGACCTTTGAATTTGATGTGATCCTTGTTTTGAAGGCCATCACCAAAGATTACAAGAGGCATTTTCTTGCGATCGCCTTCTTCGAACCAGCTCTTGTTCTTCCTACACTTTTTCAATTGTGAATTGGCAGCCGCTCGTTCCTCTTGATTGTATTCAGCCCTTCTGGCTTTTCTTCTTCTTTTTCTGTTTTTCTTCGTATTCTTTCTTCTATTCTTGTTATACTTATTACCTCCATTTAACAAAATACTGATGCTTGATTCTATTGCGATTTGAGAGCCAGCGTAGTTTTTCCATCGGTATCTTGCAGTGTTAAACCCATAAAATTCAAATAAGTGGCTCACATGCTCCATCATGTATAACACATGTTGAAGGTAATCTTCTGATGATACTGTTTTTAGTGTTGGGATATCAGTTTCAATTTTAGTTAAGCCTAATTCTTGCTTTCTTTTGTGTTATTTTTTGAGTCTATTCATATTTCCTATCATATTGTAATACTATGCACTAGAAAGATTTCGAATATCATTGTTTCCACGATAAGATACAAATTCATCTTTACGGCCGAGGTCTACGGTGCACGGTCTGAAATATTTATTAATCTCTTCTTGATTGAAATCATCTAATTGAAGAGAAAACACTCTCAGAAGGTTCAATTGTCTTTCGACAAAAGGAGACTCTGCAAGTGTATCTATCTGAGTATATAGAGTTCAAAAATAGCCTGTTCTTTTGCAGTAAATTTTCCAAAGCTTCAAACTGCTTTCTTGTTTTGCAAGCTTTTTTGCTGCAATGAGTGTTTCGACTTCAGGATATATGGGTGTACATGTCATTAATAAAAGAAAGATAAAAAATAAAAGACAAACAGCAAAAAAGAGAGGAAGAAATAGTATAGCAAAAATTCAGTACATAATTATCGATCTGGGATCCAATACAATAGGATTAAGATATGATATATTGAAGATCACGTCACAAGATTATCACTAAAGATGTCTTGCTTATTAGTTATATAATACAAGCGCAGACTATCTACTTATTTGTGTGTTTCTTAGACTGGCTGAATACAGATATGAACTTGTCAGTTTAAAGAGACAAAGAGCATATAAATGCTATGTGCTCATTGGTCTTTTTTAATTTTTTTTTAAATAAAATTCTTCTTTAATCGTAATGTATTTTTTTTTTTTTTTGAAGTACGCGTTTAAACTTCTCTTTATTATTTATCAGTTTCTAAGCTGATTGTAATGATTTTATTTGAATAAAAACAAATAAAGACTACAGTATGTAAACTAGTTAGCATTGTATGTGTAGCGGTTTTATTAAAACAGTTGAGCTTGGATTGCTGAGCAACGTCATATTTACATAGTCTGTATCAATACGAAGTCAGCAGATAGTTAATAAATATTTATATGATTTCGATTCCTTGAGTATCTATCAATGAAATCCATCAAGTACGGTCTATGTATTTTCTGTCAGCTTTAAGGGCCATTTCAACATTTATCTATTCTCTATTTGATGCTTAAGATTACTCGAACGTATTAGTCTTTCCTTTTAATATAATCTCTCCATATCAATAAAGCATATTTTATGAAGCGATGTCCTTATTTATTAACTGACTCTGTTACAATATATAAGCTTAGCTATCAGCAGTATGATAAAGATCTATATCTATCTCTGGAGTCATTATAGCAAGAAATTCATAATCAGACCCCTTTACTCTTCAGCTGCATAATAAAAAGTTTTACAAGAGAACAAATAAATGATGCTCATAATTAGTGATATGAGTGCTTGTTTTAGATTTTCAATTTACCAACAACAGTTAAACCCTTTTTCTTTTTCCTTTTCAACATGATTAAAGAATAAAAATAAAAGAAAATAAGAATTTAACAGACTAAAAAGGAGTATGAAATTGATGGCAGTAAAATGATACTTATTTGTAGTCCAAGAAAGACAGATTCATGTTTCAAAATATTGGCACGATAAAGATATAATAAAGTATGAGTATATACCTTGCATGAAGTATCATTATTTACTAATGATATTTATTGTATATTTAATCCTTCTATATTCTATTTTTTTTTTCCTTTAATCTACTTCATCATCATCATCACAAGAAGATTATTCTTTTATTATGTTAAATTCATGCCCGCTGCCTTATTTTGTTGATCAAATAAGGTAATATTCAAGTCGGTGATTTAATTTATATCTATTGTTTGCCTTTCTTATCTCCTTTTCTCCCCTCCCCCCTTTTTTTTCTCATTTCTTTAAACAAAAAAAAAACAAAAGGAGAGAAAGAGAGAAAAAGAAAAACTTATCTTATAATAATAATATGCTTTCAAAAATACGTCTTGCAAGAGAGATTATAAATGAAGAATTTGGTTCCATTACAGCTGTAAAGAGAGATTAACATCATGTCAATTTTCAAATTGTTCATTTAACACTTATTATATATACATGTATATATAACAATAGACAGTTGCTGATCAGCTTTTAACGAAAGGCCGTTTAACAGCTATTGAGATAGCAAGGAATACTCACTATTCCATGTATTGTGTTAAAGAAGCGCTTGTAATATTAATTCAGCATGGACTTGTTTATTTTACAGAACATAATAATGATATGAAGTTAGATGCAACCTATTATGAAATCAATATGAAGCAAATCTTAATGAGGTTACGTATGGGTCGTATAATGCGAGTTACTGAAGAATATCATGGAAAAGCAGTAAATAATCAGTATCTGTTAGTAGCGGTGATTTAATCTTTATCTTTATTATTTTTATTAGGGCTCGACCATTTGTCAATTATTATTCTTAAATGGAAGGCTAAAATTAAGTCAAGTGCAAGCATGGGCAAGAATGAATCAAAGAGATGGTATTCCAAAAAAAAATATATATATATAGACAAGAAGGAAATTTGTATTAGGAATGATAGGTTTGACTGTCTGTCTTTTATAGAAGCAACTTATGTAAAAGTATTTACAAAAATGGCAGTTGATCAATTCATTATTCCTTCTTTACCTCAGCATAGTCGTTCAATTAAAGATCAATATTTAGAAGCTGAAAAAGAGGAACTCTCAAAACTAAAGTTTACTTTTAAAAGTCCAAAAAAGATCATGTTAATTAAAGATATTGCAAAGGCAAATATGGATGCACTGTTTCAACATGAACGAGAGCAAATTGAGCAGATTGGCATGGTAATCAGTCAACACAATTTAAGTCCAAATAAAAAAAAATAGCTTAATATACTTAATAGAAACGAACAGCAAAATATCCTTTAGAACCGGAAACAAGAAAGGTACAAAAAGACGGTATATTAAGGAACAAAAGATACTGATATATGTGTATTAATAAAACGGTTTTAATATATATACAGCGTTTTGAACAAGAGCAAGGAACATTTCACTCGGGTCAGGAAAATATAGTAAGCCAAATTATATATATATTGTTAAAGTATAATGCTGATCTAGTAACATGTATGTATATAGCCTAAAGAGGAACTATTATATGATGTAGAGCCTCATGTCTTTTTTGTCTTGAACTATAACAAATACAATGTCATTTTTCGTAATTATTTAGTATCAAAATTTGCTATCAAGCGTATTAATCGTACTGCTGGAATGATTTTAAAGGCATTTTTCAGGTATTGCGAAGACAAATCCTATCAGGTGGGAGAAGATTTTTCATGTAAATTTTATATACATATACACATATATATACATATTAAAATAGATTATATTATTTATTCACTTGTAGCCGCAGCTACACCATCCTATATTGCTAATATGTTGGAGCCCGAACTATTTAAAAAAGGAGACATTATACTTGACCCTAAATCTATTCGATTACAACAACATACAAAAACAGATAATAATCAAAAAAAGACACCTGTAGTTAGTGAAGTTGTTGAGGGTTATTTTAAACTTCTACAGACAGATCAAGCAGGATTTTTAAAATATCGAGATGATTTGGGTGGTAATCACTATTCAGTTAATTTTAAAAAATTAAGATATGTTATGAAGCGTACAATTTTTGAGAATTTTCTAAATGATCAATTTGGTATTGTCTGTTGTCGTATTGTGCGTATTTTGCTAGACAAAGGCAAGCTGGAAGAAACTCAAATACAAAAATTAGCCATGTTACCATTAAAGGATGTTCGATGTAAGCTTAATATCTTAATGAAACACAGTATAGTTGAAATACAAGTAAGTGATATAATGTGTATATGTATATAAATATATACATATATGTATATATATATATTTACAGAATGCGCCTTATATATGTAAATTAATATATATCAATTCTTTGATATATTTAGGAAGTACCGCGGTCTTCTGATCACAGTACAGGTCGCTCATTCCATTTATGGTTTGTTTCTCTTGATAAATGTTTCGAGGAATTGCTATTAAATATTTATCAAACAATTGTTAATCTGCAACAACGGAAGGAAGAGGAGCTTTTGAGGCGCAAACGTTTGATTAATAAATTGAACCGAATAGATGTTATTGAAAATAGAGATTTATTAAATAAAATCGACCAAGCGGAAGTAGCTAAAATGGAAAATGTTGTTGAAAAGATAGAAGTTGCAAAGGAGAGACTAGATGAACTAGTTATGATCTTACAGGATATTTAAACAATTTTTAGCTATTTATATTACAAAGTTCTGAATAAAAAAAAAAAAAAAATTGGCAGCTCATTTTGAATAATGATAAAGAAGTAAGCAAAAAATGTCATTCAAAGAAAGAAAGAAATTAATAATAAGAGTACATATTTCTCCAGTATTTACTTTTTTTTTTATTGTTTTTGCTTCTTCTTTAGTCTATTTAACAAGTTTCATCCATAATTAATTTTCCAAAATAAAATAATAAGGTAGAATCTGATAACCATGTTGACTCTCCTGAATCTACTTTCTATAACAGTCACTATAGAAAAAACGAAGAAAGAAAAAAAAAAAAAAAATTTCAGTTTCTAATACTTGGCCCACATGTTATATGAATGTAATAGCATTATTATTTTAGCAATCAACCATGTTTAAATTAGTTTATAAGCGTATAATTCCTTTTGCCTTTAATCGTGCTAATTCAGGATACATTCTTTCTAAATCTAATAATGGCACTTTAATACCTATAACTCGTCGTTATGTTAATCAACTCTCAACACAAACAGAGAAACTAGTGTCAAAAAAATATGAATCACCCCAATTCAATACAAAGATTATGAATTTCCTTTATAGTCATAAACAAAGTCCCATCCCAACGTCAGAAAAAAACGTAGTCTTGACTAATTGTCCTCATTGCTATAAAGTACGAAAAAATAGTTTTGCCGCACATCTTAACCTTGAAAAGGGCAGCTATCATTGTACGACATGTAAAACAAAAGGAAGTTTTAGTGAATTTAGAAGGACTCTCAAGAAAAAGGTGCCATCCCAACTAGAATCTGAAAAGTTTACAATTACAACACCAGGTAGTAATTTGGCTAACTCAGTCAATAATAATAGCACTTCTATTTCGAATTCTCAATTAGAATGTACAACAGCATTAATAAACGATCCTGTGTTGTTGGATCAGTTTCAAGAAAAACATAAAATTACAAAAGAAACATTAGAGACGTATAAAGTTGGCATCAAGCAAGTGCAAGATACCTCTTGTTTGACATTCCCTCAAACAACACTTATTTATGATGATGAGTTTAAGATAAACACAATGCGGCTCAAAATGTGCTCGTTAGAGGATCCTACACAAGTTGTGCGATTAGATCCGCCTACAACAGGAAAAGAGAGAACATCTGGCCTTTTTGGTTATCAAACAGCTTCAACGACAGATGATACAATCATATTAACTAGACGTGAATTAGATGCTATGGCAGCATATCAAGTAACTGGTATACCCTCATTTTCCATTCCAACATCTAATTATCAGCTTCAAGAATCTGTTTTGCCCTTATTAGAAAGATTTAATAAAATATATTTGTGGATGGATGATGACGTTGATGGTCAAGTCGCTGCTGAACGATTTGCACGTAAATTAGGAGAACATCGTTGTTTCTTGATCAATAATATACGCCAGGGTGATCAGCAGGGGCCTCTGAACGCATATGATGCTCTTCTTCAAAATCGAGATCTTAAGGAAATCGTAGCTGCCTCTGCTCATGGAATTAAGCATGATCAAATTGTTGATTTCCGAGATGTTCGTGAAGAGGTCTATAACGAAATCTTACATCCTGAGCAAACTCAAGGTGTACAGTCAAAAGATTTACCAACGTTAAATAAACTTTTAAAAGGTCATCGTCCTGGTGAGTTAACGATCTTTACAGGACCCACAGGAGCTGGTAAAACTACAATCGCTAGTCAGTTAAGTTTAGATTTTTGTAAATCAGGTGTACCTACATTATGGGGATCATTTGAGATTATGAATAGACGACTAGCTAAAAAGATGCTGTTTCAATTTGCTGGAAAGGATTTAAGTAAAACTCCAGAAGAGTTTGATCAATATGCAGATCAATTCGAGCAGGTAAAACAATCAAAAGTGAAATAGATGTTGACTGTATATGTATTAAAAAAAAAAAAGTTACCCCTTTATTTTTTAAAATTTTTTAGTAGCACAGCAATTCATGATGTATTACAAGCCTGTCATCATGCCGTCTATTCTTATGATATACGACACATTATACTCGATAATTTACAATTTATGCTGTCACAACAAGCTGGAAATGGTTTGGATAAATGGGATATCCAGGATAATGCAATTGCTGAAATTCGAAAGTTTGCCACTCAACAAGATGTTCATATAACCTTGGTTGTTCATCCTCGAAAAGATAATGGTACAAGCGATCAATTAGATATTCATTCAATCTTTGGTAGTGCCAAGGTTACTCAAGAAGCTGACAATGTCATTATTCTACAAAAAGAAAGATCAGGTGAAAGACGTTTGGATATTAAAAAGAATAGATATGACGGTACTTTGGGAACCATCCGATATGTATTCAATAAAGACACACATAAGGTAAGTGTATTTACACTATATACATATATGTATATGATAAAAAGAAAAAAAAAGCCATTATTTATAATTAAAAATTGTATATAGATTTATGAATCAATAGATGAAGGAAGACAATATAGAAAAGATAACGATCCTAGGCAAAGTATTAAAACTGTTTTTTATAAGAATAAGTAAAACTTACATAACCATGTTTGTTTGATTGCTTGTTTGTTTATTTATTACCTGTATAAATATAAGGACTTCTTCAAGCTATATAATATATTAGATGCATCATGATAACTTGAAATATTTATTATATAGATTAACGATTAGAAATAATAAACTGATCATAGTAAACGAAAAGCCTTTGTAATACAATATTTTCTATAAGCTATCTAGTAAACTATTTCTAGTGTAGGCCTATTTTTTTTATTATTATTATTATTATTTAAAGTTTTCAAATAGACTATAAACTACAAGCTGTATAAATAGATATACTTCTATATTTCTTCCTTTTCGTCTATTGTATCTTTTTTTAGTTTGGATTTTAGTCTAATTAATCCAGAACCTTTAATGGGTTGACCAAGACTATCATAGGCATCTATCCATTGACATGCTCGACTCAATTGCCCTTGACGATAAGCAGTCTTTGCCAGGTACCAAACTGTTCTTTCATCCATATTGACTCCCTTTTCTTTTAACCATTCTACCATCTTTTCAGCTAAATTTAAATCTTTATTTAAAATAGCTAATCCACGAACCATAATATTAAGCGTCGTGAGATTTGGCTTTAATTTCTTGCGTTCAATAGCCTCCTCTAAAAGTCGAAATGGCTCTTGCGGTATTCGATCTCGAAGTCTTTCTGAATGATGATAGTGCAAAAAATAAAAATCGATCATCATATTATAAACAGTCATTTCAGATAATGCCTTGTTTCCATGTTGAAATGGTGTCCGTGTTTGATGGTTGCGTGCTATAATAGATTCAAACATGGTTTTAATTTTTGTTAGGTCCTTGTAATTTTCCGATGCTGATGCTCTGATCAAGGCATACATAATAACAGATTGTAGGACGTTGTTTGTATGTAAGTCTTGTTGTAATAAACTTTCATAAAGTGCTTCAACTTCTTCAAGTCCCTCACTTTTACGTACAAATCCATGAATAACAGTCGTAAAACTCACGATATCGGGTTTGGGTATGTTACTATCAGAGGACATCATCATGGTATCTAAAACACGTTGTGCATCATCTATTCTACTATCTTGACATAAAGCTCGTAAAAGTAAGTTATAAGCATAGATTGAAGGAGGTTCATCTAATCGAAAGACCTTGTTCAAGACATCCATTGCGGCCTCATTTTCATTATTTTCCAAGAGGGATGTTATTCCTGCATTTAAAAGCTTTTCCTTCTCTGTTATTAAAGGAACCCTGTTTGCTACATGCTCAAATGCTTTACAGACATCTTCTTCATTTGGATACTTTGTCATTGCTCGAAACAAGATCCGTAAGGTTACTACATTGGGTGGAAGATGATGGTCCTCCATTAGATCCAACCAACGCTTTAGTATATGCCATTGCCGGTATTGTATCGAGTGTCTAATAAATATATTAAATGTAGCCTGACTTGGTATAAATCCTTCTTTCAATAGATTATGATAAAGGTTTAATCCATCCATGTCATCTTGACTCTTCTCATTATAACTCGATAATTTCATGCGTATCAAAATATTAAATGTTGCTGTATCAAATGGAACACCTCGTTCTTTCATCAAATCCAATATGAATTCCATATGGTTATATTCTTTATTACGTTGACATTGACTAAGTGCAGTATTATAGAATGGTAATATGTCAGTTAATTTCCCCTTCTGAGGAATTGCATAGATGATAGATGAGATATCTCGAGTAATTACATATCTTGGTAACAGTATTGAGTTGAATAAATCTAATCTTAATTGAGTATACTGACGACCCCACATAGACATGATAGAGTGAATTGTATCTATAGACCAATATGAAGCTGCTTCTAGAAATACTGAGCGTAATTTCTTATTGTATTCCATTTCCTTTAACTTGGTGGAGAATAGATACACGATCCCTTTCGGTGGCCATTTAGCTATATGAGAATACCATATTCTTGCTTGTTTTGATGAGTAAGAGTTTTTTAATATTTGATCTAACTCTTGATAGTCAGATGATTTGATAAAAGATAAAGAAGGAGGCGGCGATGATGATGATGGTGATGACGATGACGATGACGATGACGATTTAGGGGTTAATTCTATCTTTTCTAGTTGGTGACTGATCTGATCTATTGCTTTTGTATTTAATTGACGATTAAAAGATGGCTGTAACAAAGCGCCAGGGTATTTAAAAGATCTACAAGATGGCTTTAATCTGTACAATGGAGGTAAAATAGGGTATTTTCTAGGGCATAAACAGAAACGAAATACCATCCCTTATACATGCTACTTCTATCTCGCTTTTAAATAAGAAATAGAATCTTTTAATGATAAAAAAAAGAGAGTAATTAAATTTTTTTGAACCCCACTATTTTTTGAGCCAATACCCAGGGTACCATCGACCGCATACACACACACAGACACACAGACACACACACATACACACATACACACATACACACTACAAAAAATAAAAAAAAATAAAAAAAAAATAAAAATAAAAATTATGACGTTTAAAGTCTATTTTATTCTTTCTTTGCCGCATTATCATTTACTTTAATAACTTTTGTTATACGAATGTAAGAATCAACTAAACCAACTAAAGGAATAAGGAAATAGGGAAAATAAAGAAATAAAATACAATTACGTTGTAGATTTGTTAAACCATAATATTCTTGATTAAACATGACTTCAACTAGACAAGGTATAACAGTTGTCATGACATGAGCTCCATAAACTATTATATATGTATTAGTTTACAATTTTTTTTGTTCTTCTTTTTTTTTTATATAACAATATAAATGCTACATACCAGCTAAAGGTAAACGAACCCAAGATTTATCTAAAGAAGAAGAAGAAGAAAAAAAAAAGTAAGAAAAAGTCTATCTTACAAAAGTATCAATGTGACATTACCTTTAAGTAAGCCATAAGCTGCAAAAAAGAAAAATGGAAGTTGCAAAAACGCCTCACACAAAGAAAAGCTTTTAAACCACCACATAGTTTCTCTTGAACGGTCCATAAAAGGATCAGCTAGCAAAGCAATATAAGATCCATGGACTTGAGATAAGAATGTAGGAAGAAGCCATTCAGGATATAGATTTTGTAAATCAAAGAAAATAGTAATAGGGATATGTGAGATAAAATAACAAAAAAGAATCCAATCAATGGGTCTTTGTAAGATGGGATCCATTTCGTCTGCAAATTTATCCATGTAGGGTGTAATTACTTTTGTAACAGGCTCTACTTTTTTTTCAAGCTTATGATAACTTTTATCCCCATATTCTAAAACGTCAGCCACTTTATCTAAAACTGCATCTATTTTTGACATCTTTATTATTATTATGTATAATGAGTATAAATACACCTCTTGCTAAAATGAGATTTCAAAAAAAAAAAAAAAAAGAACACATATAAGGTTAAAGTATCGCACTTTAAAAAAGAAACTACACAGCACAATTCAGGAAAATAATGTCACATTTACCGTGCTTTTCAATAAACAATATTACGTCGGATATATAAAAAAATAGAACATTCAACAGAATACCGTGCAAATCCTTTTACCATTGTTTTACCTTTAAAAAACCTTATCCATCATATTAAAACGATGAGTGAACTCAGAAGACAAATCACTGTTAGATGTTATGCATAAAAAGAAAAGAAAATACTGAATTCCATTTCTAAAAAGTTCTCTATTGATTGATAGAACAATAAAGAAGATATTTTAATACAAATGACCTAGTAGATGAAGGCCATTGTTACGTCAATTTCATCAAAGATATTCTTGCTAAAATAGACAAGCTTCCTAGAGTGAAATGCCATTATCTAATTACGGGTAATGTACCCATACATACAAGGCAAAATAATTGATGAAAAGATCCGAGAAGCACGGCTACAAGTATATTAACCGGCCAGAACTAAATCCGCATGAACAGTTATAGCTTGTTATTAAAAGAGAGTTTATGCTTAAAAAAAGAAACTATTCCTCAGATAATTGAAGAAGATTCTAATAATCAAGCCACCCAGTCATCTTTTGAAGGATTTGTACTGTATTTCGTTAAATGGCTTATTTAATAAACAGTTATAGATCCGATATATTTTCTGTTAAAAAAAAAAAAAAAAAATAAAATAAAATATGGCACTGTTTTCTTTTGAAAGTGCGATATTTAAATATTTTGGCAAAAGATGTACAATTTAATTCTTCTAAATAAAAATAAAAAACTCGTGTTTTCAGAAACATGTTATTGTTGATTCATCAAGATCTCAGATATAGCCTCCAATGCCTAAATGAGATTCATAATTAAAGAAAAAAAAATCATTATGTAAAGCTTTAGATATATACTAATAATACGTACCATTTTTATATGTGCTCTAATTTTATCTGCTTCAGCCGTATGTTTATCTGCTAATCTGTGGTTTTTTTTTAAGATTAATCAAACTATACACATTTTTATCATTTCTTTAAGTTCTTTTATTTTACCTTTGTAAATGTTCTTCCTTCTTTTCAATGAATTCTTTAGCTTCCTTTAAAGTAAATTGAACATGAAATCCAAATCCAACATTGACATATATATATTTTGTATCCGGTCTATTATAAAAATAAAAAAAAAATATTATTATAAAAGTAAAATAAATATATTTAAATATAGCAATTACATATGTGCTTGAACATAGAATTGTGATCCTAGATCAACCATAGTTTTTAAATCCTTTAGATCATTTTGTTCAATAGTCTCAATTTGTACTTTAAGTTTTTCACTATTAGATGGATCAGTTTATTATATTTAATAGTCAAAAAAAAAAATAGATTACTATTCAGATATGGTATTGAAGATCGCATCACGTTCATCAAGCTCACTTTTTAAGGAAGGCTTTAATTTGTTTGTAATAAATTCGTCATATTTCTTGATTAAAGCATTAAGATCTTGTTTTGTAGTTTCTGTCATTAAAAATATCAAAATAAATTTAGATATACGTTGACGTTTCTTTATTTTTCAAAGGAAATTATTTTATTTTTATTTTGTTTTTTTTTTCCTGAATATTTGAAAGACAGCTTTGTAAACAAAAATGGAGTATGTCTATCATGTATATTCTTTATTTACTGGGTTGAATATTCAATGAAAGAAAAGATGGATAAAAGAAATTAGCATCTTTTAGAATAAAGGATAAAAAAAAAAGTGAGTAGCTACGACACAATTAATGAGTGAAGAAAGAAGAAAGAAATATTTGTTATGGAGGAGAAAGTAACTAGAGTTCAGTAACAATGCAAACTCTCTAATTTTAGTCTAACATTCAATGCTTTCCTTCAGTAAGTTGGTGGTATTGGATAGGATAGAGTACATAAAGATTATACTTTATTATTAACGATTTTTATGGTTTTTGAAATATTAAATTGGTAATGTCAAAATTTTGGTTATCATTCTCATAAATATCAAAAAATTTCTAATCTTATTAAGAGTTTCATTAATTATTTCTTTTTTCATACTTCAATCATGGGAATAGAAATAGTGTGCAACTATGAACTTTAATGGTGAACGAATATTTATAGGAGTGCACGTATTATAATACGTTAATAAGCCTGTTTTGTTTTTATTATTTGTATTTTAAGATCACTAAGAATGGAGCGAATACACCTCTTTGAAATGTATATTGAATTTGAATGAATAGGATTCGAGTTCAGAAATATAATCATTACGCACTAAAAGAGCAACTCTATTTCTGGTGGGACAACTGATATCAAAAATTCCATTATTATATATTTCAGTTTAAGTCGTTATTTAACAGAATCTTTCAGGATCGAACCATTAATCCTTAACATGTTTATCTCAATCAAAGATATTAGTTCATTTATACACTTTGAAAGAATGTAAACAGCCATGGTATAATCAATGAAAGTCATGCGCTTAACCACTACCTTTACGAATATATATGTTTCCTATTTATGTATTTTGGAACATGACTGCTTAAACTGCAAAGATAAAAGAAAAAAAAATACAGGATAAACTATTAAATAACCTTTTGATTATATCAAAGTTTTCAACAAAATTATTGCTTCAGTTAAACCTATAGTTAGGAGCTCCTAGCAAAGTAACTTTAAAATAATCTATTGCTGGCTGTACATTTTTTATTCAATTCTTTTTAAGCAAAAAAAAAAAAAAAAAAAAAAAAAAAAAAAAAAAAAAAAAAAGCAACATTGAAAAATAAAGTTAGTACTTGATAGCTGTATTAATGATACTGTCCCAGTTAACCCCATATATCAATGCATTAACCTTAACCTTAAAGAAAAAAAAAGAAAGGTCTACTAAGTGAGAATATGAAGAGTTGCGTTGAAGAGAAAAATATGAAAGTACTGTGATGATATCTTAATACACTTTCTCTTTTATTTGTGAATCTTGAAACGTATAATTCCCTACTCTTACTATGTTATAGTAGTAAATATATTACTAACAGACAAAATCCTTTTAATTGTATATACACATATAGAGGTATCTAGGCAACTAATAACAATTGTAATCAAAAATAGTAGAAAGGCTTTATGAAGATAAAAGATATAAATTCGTTCTGAGTGTTACTGGTCAAATTGCTTGCGTTGAACTAACTAGTAAAAGCTTTAAATGATAAGAAGGATAAATGAAAAGTATATATAAAGTTAGAATAAACTTATACGTAGTTACTGATAAGAACCTTTATGCATTATTTTTGTTTTCAAAGCTTAGTTACTAGTTACAGTTAAAAAAGTTAGTGTTATATATGCATTTTCAGTAGATGTAAAAAGCAGTCGGTTTAAAGGGATACCATTCTTTATAAATAACTCTAGTTATTATCAATTCAATTCTACAATAAAGATTTATGACAGCAAACTATTCATATATTGTATTTTTCAGCAAATAAGAGAAAATTTCAGAAAAAATAAGAGAAAATTATTGGAACAAATAAGAGAAAATTTTAGGTCAATTAAGAGAAAGTCCAAGAAAAATTAAGAGAAAAAAAAAATGGCAATTAGTAGAAAGCACTTTTCTCACTATTATTAACAAAAAATGGATATTGACTTTGATATGAACGAAATTTCTCTACGCGACGATGACATTGAAGCTGTACCTGAAATCATTGTCAGCGTAATGTCAATGATGAGAAAGAAGTGGGAGTACAACATCACTGCATCAGCCATGGAGTTAGATGAAGATGCGACGATGGAGCTGAAGGAAGGGTACGAGGGTGATGAGGCCAGCAATAGCTCGGATAAGGAGGAAAATGAAGCTGATGTACAAGGTAGTGAGAGCGATTTGAAAGAAGAGAAGCCTCTCAGAGATCTGGCCGAAAAAAAAGACGCCGCTAGCAATGCTAGACGTGTGTACACTCAGCAAGATATCAACAAGCTTATTTCCCTGTTAATTGAACAGGTTCCTGTAAAAGATGCAGCTTTAAAAACAGGAATAAATGAGAAATCAGCTTACCGTTTCAAATCGCAATGGCAGAAAACAGGGGAAATACCTCAACAGAAAAAAAGAGGGCGCAAAATGGGAACTGTCTCTGAGCTTACTGAAAAACACACAAAGTTTATTACCGACATTGTTGATGAGTGTTCAACTGCAACTGTAGCTGGAATACACGAGTTGTTGCTCAAAGAATTTCCAAGTCTCTCCGTGAGCCCATCCGCAGTATACAGACATCTTAGAACCAGCTGTGCACTATCTATGAAGAAGTTGGAGAAAATTTCATCTGCTAGAAACTCGGAAGAAACTCTTAAGAAGAGAAAGGAGACCATCCTTCAATGGCTAGCTGATAAAAATATGGACTTTGAGAATAATTGCGTTTTTTTGGATGAAGTAGGGTTCAATTTACACATGACACACACTCGTGGCTGGTCCAAGATAGGAGAACCTGCTAAAACAACTGTCCCTGCTTCAAAAGGCACCACAATAACCATTCTTGGTGCCATCTCTAGCGCCAGCATTATTGACATCTCTTTGAGAAAGCCAATATTAGTTTCGGGAGCTAAGAAGAGAAGAATAGATGGGAAGGTTGTTACAACGACAGCTAAGGTTGGAACTAGGACTGAGCACTATTTAAATTACTTGAGTAATGTGATGGATGTTCTTGACCGAAATAATATGAAGGGCTTTTACTTGGTAATGGATAATGCTCCCATACATAAGCCAGCTACAGTAAGAAACTTAATAGAAAGCAGAGGCTATAAGTGTGCATATCTTCCGCCGTACTCACCATTCCTAAACCCAATTGAGCTATTCTGGTCGAAGGTGAAGTATGGCGTCAAAAGAAGCCCTTTCGAAACTGGTGAGACACTCACACCCAGAATAATGGATGCCTGCTCCAAAGTAACTAAGAAAGACTGCCAGGGCTGGATTCGCCATTCTCTCAGATTCTTTGAAAAGTGTTTAGCCCTGGAGAAAAACTTATGAGATTTAAGTATAAGTAAATTTTTTGCTAATTGCCATTTTTTTTTCTCTTAATTGACCTAAAATTTTCTCTTATTTGTTCAATAATTTTCTCTTATTTGTCCAATAATTTTCTCTTATTTTATCCAATAATTTTCTCTTATTTGCTGAAAAATACAATATTCCAAAGAGAAAGATTTTCTATTATAACAGCACTAGATTTGATTATACTAAAGCCTCAGATCTTAGAGTAATACGCTGTATTGTTGTAAATGTATGAATAAAGACGTTTATTATAGTTTAAGAAAGAATATTCCCATTAAAAATCTATTATGAAACATACAATTTATTTCTAATTTAGAAGTATTCCTTTTCTTTCTTTACCTCCACATTCTTTTTTTTTTTTCTTTTTTTATTTCCGCAAAAGTGTGACTAAAAAGTGCCCTTATTTTATTTTTATTTTTATTTTTTAATTATTCCTTTTTTTTTTTTATTTCTTTTTTTTTATCAATTGTTTAAATATCAAGTAAAATTTAATTATGACCAAGTCGGAATTTGATGCTAATATAATTGATGAGGAAAAAGAGCAGCAGACAGAGTCAATTGATTTTGCCATAGATCATAAAGTAGATAGACTTACACTTACAAAGCAATCCTCTACTTGTTCTTCAAATAACAGTAGCCATCCTTCTTTTGCTACAGAGGATAATGACGACAAAAGTGATTATTCTAAAGAAAATGACGGTAGTAGCAGTAGTCAAAGTTCTATTGATACAATGACTGGAGAAAAAAGTAATGATACCAATGTTATTTCAAATAATCAAACACTTGCTATGAACAGTCATCATCATCGTCGTCGTGGTCGCGCTTTAACTGTAACACAAAATAATACTCGGCCATTCATAGAACAGCAACAAAATTTATTTGTACCAGATCAAGATGAAAAGTTTGATACGATCGATATTCATGACCAAATTCACGAATTAGACCAAACAATCATTGTTCCTGACGGTCATCAGAAGGACGATCAAGAGGATAGTAACAATAATTCGGACTCAGATCACACCTCTTCTGTAGAAAATATGAAAAGACATAAGAGAGATGAAAGTTATCGTTCCACCATGTCTTCCATTCATTCCTATGCTTCAAGTGCTTCTAATTATGATACGCTTTTAGCTCGACTCGATTCCTGCAATAGTATTAAAAATGCCCAGTTATACAATTCTCCTGCATTTGATAATAAGCATTCATCTACTACTATTTCATCAACTATGACAATGATGGATGTTGATAAACAACAAGAAGAAAGGCTTACTTCTAATTTAGCACATGAAGAAAAAGAAGAAGAAGAATCTAATACAAGACAAGAAGAAAATGACTTTGATTGGGGTAAAAACTAGATCCTATTCTCTCTCCTACCTTCCTCACTTCCCTCCCTTCTCTCCTTTCTCTCCCTCCTTTTTTTTTTTTTATTAATACTTATTATCTACACCTATGATTTGTTTTAGAATTTTGGTCAAAATTAATTTTGGATTTTAATAATGCTGTCAAGTCAGAACCCAAAATGTTATCCTATCATATTGAAAGAGGAGGTATTCCACCCTCATTAAGAGGCATGATTTGGCAATTATTGGCAAAGAGTAAAAACTTGGACCTTGAAGATAAATACATGCAGTTGTTGAAGTTGGAATCTGTTTATGAAAAGGCAATTATACGTGACCTACCAAAAGTCATCATTGCAGCCTCTGTTTATGATATGCAATCTGATAATCTTGTGAATCATGACCAACAACAAGAAAGTCAACAACAAAGAGAAGCACTGTTTAATGTAGTGAAAGCCTATTCTTTATACGATACTGAGGTAGGCTATAGTCAAGGATTATTACATATCGTGAGTCCATTACTTTTAAATGTAAGAAGTTTAACACATGATGAATATATTACATATATATTACATATATTTGCATACATATATAACTTTTTTTTTCTGTTTATCATTAACTAACTAGATGCCAGAGGAAGAGGCATTTTGTGTTGTAGTACAATTAATGAACAAGTATAATTTACGAGCCCATTTTTTACCTCAATCTGATTTATTATCTCAAAGATTATACCAGTTGGAAGGTTTAATAGCGGATCATTTACCACATATTCAAAGACATTTAAAAGAATACGGAGTCAAATCAAGTATATTTGCTTATCCCTGGTTTAGTACATTATTTTCTTTCAAATTTCCTTTAGATGCTGTCTATAGAATCTACGATGTGATCTTTACGGAAGGTATTATGTCTCTATTTCGATTTGCATTAGCTTTATTAGAAAAGAATCAATCCACTATTCTAAGCTTAGAGTTTGAAGATTTAACTAATTTCTTGAAAAATGGTCTACTTGAGATATATCATGTATGCGTATAACTATAGATGTCATATCGATTATAAATATATATATATATATTCAACTTTTAATCTTTTATATACATATATACATGTATATTCGTAGGGTGATATGAACCAGCTCGTAAAAGATGCCTTTCAAATTTGTTTTACTACTAAAAGATTAGATCGTTTAGCAAAAGAATTTCATGTACAAACAGCTAAAGCAAATAGCGGTGCTGAAGTGATTGAGACGCTAAAACAACAAAATAAAAGTTTAACAGAATCCATTCAAAAGTTGGATCAAGACTATAAGAACCTGAATAAAGAGCATACTGAAGTAGCTGCAGAGCTAATCTCTGCTAAAATGGATATAGTACGTATTCATGATGAAAATGAAACTTTGAAGCAACAAGCAAATGATCTTAAAAGGACCTTAGAGACATTACCAGCTGAAGTAGAGGCACGCGTAAAAGAAGAAATGGAAATTTTATATACCAAAAATGTAGCCCTTGTTGAAAGAAATTCAGCACTTGAAGACCAACTGGCGTATATGGAAAACATGATTATTGAAATTACAGAGAAATATTCTGAAAGTGAAAAAGAAAGAGAAGGTTTACGACAAAGATTAATTGATTTAAAACGTTTAATGAGTTGAAAATTTTATTTTTTAAAAGTCCACAACTTTTTTTTTTTTCACCTTCTTCTTCTTCTTCATTGTTATATAATTTTAAAATTTGAATGGATGATATTAATAAACTATTGGAAAGATCAGGTCTTCTAGCGTTAAAAGAATCTGGTTTAACTATAGTTTCTTTATTTGGTGTTTCTGAAAATAACGATCTACTGCTTCTCTATCAAATATAGTCGTTACATTGGCTAATCGTATTGTTGGCGCTAACGTTTTTACTTCAAGAAATGAGGTAAGCAGATATAGTTTTAAAAACTGAATTCCATCCTGTTTATTTTTTTTTTCGCCTTTATAGCCTTTAAATGAGAATACTTTGGAGGTAAAATGCAGAAATTAAGCAACTCCATGTTCATCAGGTTTTTATTTTTATTTTCATTTTTTTTTTATTTTTTGCGTGTTTTATTTTAGCTTGCAGAAGGGCTTCAATTTTATGTGGATACAAAGTCAAAAACAATTTATTTATTCATGGATTCTAATTTAGATGTAACAGTGTTTTCAAAGGAAAAGGTAAACAGTCATATTATTAAGGTGTTAAAGGCTTCAAATTAATTTAATATAAAAAAGTCTTTCCCCGCTAGTCTAATGGATTATCAATCAAGTATAATGAGAGGCTTACTTTTTATGATGATAATATCCCATTTAGTCGTGGTAAAGTATATTACCTTCCATTTATTTTTATTTTTAGTTTTCCTAATCTATATTTTGTTTTAGCCTATATTACCTCCATCTTTATTGCCTGCAGATTTCTTGTCAACACTTGTATCACTTTCACAAGCCAAGTCAAATATGCATACACATTTAGCTCAGTATCAAAGTTCTTGTTGGAAATATTGGAATATTTCGGTACCTAATGCTTTATTTGAAAAGAAAGAAAACGAACGTTCTAATTCAACACTAATGGGTTGGTGGGGGCCTGCAAAAGGTGTCCCAATTTTAGTTTTCATAATTACAGACGTAAGTTAAGAATCATAAAGGAAGCATTATTTTCGGTTCTTTTTTTTTTTTTTCTAAATTATATTATCTAGGTTCCATTTTCAAATATTATACCGACAGCTATCAAGCGAATGCAAGATGCCCTTCAAACTAAAGTAAAAAACATGTTTCGTGCTTTACATTTAATGCCATCAAGACCAGAAGGAAGCACTCATCATCTTCCCGTCGAAGTTCGATCTTTATTTCTATTACCATCGGGTAGTCAACCTGTTATTCATATTATACCTGCACCAACAAAAGAAATAAATGAAAGCATGGAATCTGATCTATTACTTTTTAATTTTGATAAGCCACCTTCTTTAGCATCCAGCATTCAAGATTTATTATCTACTTCTGAAACTAACTTACCTTCAGTTACACTTTATCATGAATATAGTGACAAGTTGTTAAAGAATTTTGTAACTATTTGGACAAAAACAGCTATTTATCGACATCCTTTACACCATCATCATCATCATCATACTAATATGGGCCGAAAACTTGCAAGTCAAAATGATGATAATTTCAAGGCGACATCAACACCTTTACCTACACCAATGCAATTTGCTTCAGCTGTTGTGCCTTTACTTTCCTTTTTATTCAACAAGCCTATCACTGAAAATGGCGTTGATTTTAAAAAAATTATTACAACACAATTTCCAAGTACGAAAGGTATGATACAGCAAATTGAAGTCATTTTAAGAAAAAAGATCAAAGATAATATAGAGATTGAACGAGTATTTTCTAAAAGGTATAAATCATATTTATTTATTTTTCTCTTCAAAAAAAAAAAAGGGTAATTTAATCATGTATTTATGTGTGCATGTTTAGCCATTGTATGGAAATTATGCAAAAATGCAACGAAGTATATTTACAGGATTCTCCACCTTATTATGCTGAAAAATATCATGAATGGAAGGTATAATGAAAAAAAAAAGACACTTATACCTATTTGTACTTTATATTGATTTTCTATTGCTAGAAAAACAATGTTATACGAATGTATTATTCATTAGCTCGTGGTCCTTGTAAAGAAGAATATGCAGTGCGACTCCAGCGTGACTGTGATGCTGTTTGGAAAGGGGGAAGACAAAGTTGTGAGCATGTTAGTTTAACAGGGAAAACATGTCGTTTAAAGGTAAATAGTATAATTATATGAATATACATGTATATATATATATATAGAGATAGATAACTTAGTGTCAATAATAATTAGATTGATCATGAATTGGATACAACTTTTTCAAAATCTGCTAGAGATGAAAGAAGTAGTATGATTGATACAGCAAAACATAATAGTGGCATTACTTTCTTTCACGCATGTAATTGTGGTAAATCACAGAGAGTTAGAGATGATCCTTTTGAAGTAGAAGATGCAAATATTAGATTTTATAACAAATTTGATTGTTGTTTAATACCTGGTAGAGCTGCTTTAGATATATGTAAATCCAAGTATGGAGAAAAGCAGGATTTAGTATTAAATTACGATGAAATACCTGCGTATGATATTTCGCTTTTATATCTCGGTCCTGCTAGTTTTTATAAAAATAATATAGGACTTGATAAAGTGGAAGGATTTACGAGTAATACAAACTTTTTAATTCCATGGTCAATGACTACTACTAGTGAAATAAAGCTTAGACAACAAGAAATGGCCAATGCGGATACTACTAGTCAACAACAAGATAAAGCTCCATCTTCGTCCTCTGCAACAGCACAAGATAATAATACAGAATGGCCCTTACTTGGAAAGTCACCACCATCAACGCTTAAACCGGCTCCTACACCTATTACAGTTGCCCCCTTAGACGTATTTCCTGCTCTTGGTTCTAATCTACCCTCCACACATACACCGACTCTATCTACACCAACAACGATAACGATGCCTAATACATCAAATCGTCAATTATTTGATACACGGCGTAGGAGATATCATCGTGGAAGAGAACGTCTTCAGGGACTTGTTCGTGGTTATGTTGGTGCTGAATATGAATGTCCATTTGGCCATCGATTTCTTAGTTGTGGTGATGGACGTGTCTGTAAGCTTGGCCACAAAGGGCATCCAAAGGAGCATGGCAACTATTTTGTTCATCAAGATTTACCCGTTTATATAATTTGTCCCTGTACTTATGCTAATAATACTAGCAATAGTAATAGTAGTAGTAGTAGTAGTAATAATAATAATAATAATAACAGTCTAAGCAATAATGCTATTAGTAGCAATAGTCATATGATATTAGGTCATTCTTCTGTTACTGTTGCTGCTGCTACTGCTGCTGCTACAACGAATGGTAGTAGCCATCATTTAGAAGTGATTGCTCAGTTGCAACGTTTATATGTTGTTACCCCTGATGAGCCAGCTATTACTATCTCTATTGAACCAAAGATAAAGGTAAGTTTATCTATAGCTATAGCTATATATATATATATAATTTGGATTATTTAAGTGTATCATATAGATTCATGTCTCTGGTAAAGAAGAGGACTTTCATATTTTGGATCTCGGTATAAGTGATAGTTTAGCTCTTGGACCTAATAGTACCTATGTGGTTCGTTTACCATTTATATACCGCGATAATAATGGATCTCCTATACCAGTTGAGTTAGACGTACAAAAAAGACTAAAAAGTGCTTTCTTACAAAAAGATTGTATCAAATTTCATTACAAGGAATCTACAAAATGGAGTATATCTACTGCAATATAAACAAGTACAATAGTGAGACTACCACTTTTATATATATATACATACATATATATATATATATTATAATGATGTATTGTACAAAAACAACAACAAATAACTCATATTAATGGTTGATGCAGAACGAACGAAAGAGCACCCGGGTTCATTTTTTTTTCTTCCTAGTTTAATGCATAGAATCTTAATTTACATTGATACGAGAAGCATTGTCTTTTTTATGATTGGCTAAAATATCTTTTATAAGTCATGCAAAATTAAAAAAAAAAAAAAAAAAAAAAAAAAAAAAAAAAAAACTCTTTTTTCTTCTTTTTTATTTTATATATATTCATATACGCTTATATATTATACATGGTATGGACGAGAATCTGTTTATTAGAGTTTTAGGAAGTGTTTATAAACAAGCAGCTAAAGAATGTGTACCAGTAAATGATAAATCTACATTTATCATTAGTTCATTGTTATGCATTGGGCTCGTCATTTCATATTTACCTCAAGTAAGACATTGTTATTAAACATCATAAGGAACAAAAGATATATATGTGAAATTGGTTTATTTTTATTTTAGCATCTTCGAATCATTTTAAATAAAACAAGTGAAGGCTTTAGTTCTTGGTTTTTGTTGTTAGGTGTTGTGTCTTCATCTTCAAGTTTTTTAAATATTATTTTATTGCAATGGGATGCTATTGTTTGTTGTAAATCACTTGTAAGTTTGTTTTTGTTATAGGTACTAACGAGGAGAGAAGGAAGGTTTATTCTAATTTATTTTAAAATATATGTTTATATACATATATAGTCTACAGGTACTTGCATTGAAGGTTTAATGGGAATTGTTCAAATTGGTCTTCAATGGGCCATGTTTAGTTTAGTGTAAATGCATTCTCATTACCATTGTGAAACATTAACAATTAGGACCTCATTCTTTTTAATAGCTTTTTACTATTTTTATTATATTTCCCAGAAAGTAAAAAAAGAGAACTTCACGCTCCTGCTTTGCTGCATTTGGACTTGCCAAATAAACTTCAATCTAGAATTTCACAAGAATGGAAAGTAAGTTTAATTATTGCTGCCATCTGTATTGGTCATCTTGCCCTTTCCTTTTTTATCTCTGTCTTGTTATTGGCTATCGTAGGTGGTCCTGAGCATTGGCAGACAGATTATTGGGCTGGCTTTTTAGGTATCTTGAGTATGATCCTTGCCTCTCTACAATACCTGCCACAAATCTGGAAAACCTGGAAAAGCAAGGTAACAAATAATGATAATATTTTTTTTTTGGTTGTTTAACAGCATCAAATACATATTTATATGTATATCTCATATTCACACTGTATTCTAGAGGATTGGAGCTTTAAGTATACCGATGATGATGCTACAAACTCCTGGAACTGCACTATTTGTTTATTCTTTAATTGTACGTCCAGGAACAAATTGGACAGCATGGCTTACGTATTTAGTTACAGGTATCCTACAAGGCACACTTTTAATCATGTGTATCACATGGCATTTTAGAAATAAGAAACTGGGTATCAATGATCTTGATACTACAGAAGAAGAGTCTAACGAAAATACCCCTCTTTTACATTAAAAAAAAAATGTGTATAACCGTCACATCCTACTCATCTTCTTATTTAGCAAAAATAAAAACTTTTATTTTATTCATATTTATTTATTTATTTATTTATTTTCCATCTACAAATATGAAAGATCAGGTAGATTATAACGTAAATGATTATATTTCACTCACAAAGATCTGGCAAGAAGATCCTACAGCCTATCTTAGTCGATATTATTCCTTATTTTATAAAACTTCTAATGAGCCCTTAAACCGAGCCAGTATCTATGTCCGTCAAACACCAAGTAAAGTGTGTGTATTAGGCATTTCAGATGTGTCGTTGATGAATGATGTTGATCAAGTTCGCCTGTATACTAATCACATTGGTAATAAAGTGAAATCAGATACGATTCTTTGTGATTTAATCAACAAAGATGGACAAGTTATCAGTCACGTTCGAGCAGAGATGGAAGGAAAGTTATTAGAATTGAATAAACGGTTTGAAGAAAAGGAGAGCTGTCAATCTCTATTAAAAGATGGACATCATATGGATATTGGGTTTATTGCAATTATTTTACCAAAGACAGAAGATACGAAAATCCAATTAAAAGACTTTCAAACCGAAGAAGAATACAATATTGAAAAAGAAAAACAAAAGGCCTAATAAGGATAAAGTCATGTGGTAGTTGGTGATATTCCCGATTTTGTGTGATATCAAGTGCTGTATTTACTACTATTGTGTGTATATATTATTATTATTACTATTTTCTCTTTTTTTTTTTTTTTTTTCTTTTTTTACTTTTTTCATTCTTTTTTTTTTTTCATTATTTTTATTTTTAATATACATTTATAAATATAAAAAGAATGGGACAAGCAACTTCTTCACCAAAGTCACTCTCATTTTTTCGTAAAGATCCTGTATCAAATGAATATGAAGATATTTCAAATAAATTTACAAAGGCAACTGTGTCTACATTAGCCGTGCCTGTCATTATTGTCGCTTATCCAGTTTTAAATGCTTACACTTTTCATGATTTAGATATTACTGGATTTAAAATTGTAGATGGTGCTATTGGAGGTTTATTAGGTGTTATTGGATGTATGTAATAGTCCGTTTATATAATAATAATAATAATATTAATATGTATGTAAAAAGGGCCATTGGCACCATTTATGGCAGTTTGGGGTGCACTTTGTATGAATTTTAAGGAAAGACCTTCTTTACCATTACGAATAAAATCAGACATTTTACAAAAGGCAGAACAAGAAATCAAATTGAATACCACCTTATTTTATAATATTGCTATTGTAGGATGTTCAGGAACGGGAAAGGTAAGGTAAATAAAGAAATGAATAAAAAGGCGAGAGAGAGAGAGAGAGAGAGAGAGGGGGAGAGAGATATATAGTATATAAATATATATATATATATATCAATATTTATATACATATATATTAATTGTAATGGGAGGAAAGTATAGAGCTCTATTGTGAATGCTATTCGGGGATATAAAGATACACATCCTAAAGCATCCAAAGTAGGAGAAGTTGAAACAACAGCAGTACCTATACACTATATACATCCGGATTTAGCATCTATGGCTATTTGGGATATGCCAGGTGTAGGCACAAAAAGTCATTCTAGAGATACTTATTTTGATGATAATTTTTTATGTGCCTTTGATTTATTAGTTATAGTAGTTGGTAATAGGTAAGTTGAATGGAAGAGAGGAAAAGAAAAACAAGCCTGATGTAATAGGATACTTTTCAGACTAAAAATAAAAATAAAAGATTGATGCAGGATGATATTGAAATTGCTTTAAAAGCAAAAGAACATAAAATTCCAGTTTTATTTGTTCGTAGTAAAGCAGATCAAGCAAGTACAAAAAAATAGATCTAGAATATACGCATAAATATACTAAATATGAATATTGTGTAGGCAATTCAAAGTAAAACAAAAAGACATGAAGGTGATCATGAATATCAATGGGCTACTGCAGTGGGTGAACTTGTTCTTGAAGTAAGTAAATAAAAGTTAAATATTTATAGATGTATTATTCATTCAAATTTATTACGTGAATAGGTTAAAGATTCAGTTTATACGCAACTTCGTCAACAACAGTTAAATACAAAGAAATTATTTATAGTCTCAGCAGAAACGCTTTATCAATTTGTTGCAACCATCAATAAACAAGAAGAAAGAAAGTTACTTCGATTAATTGATGAAGAAAGATTTATTACAGCATTAATTGAAGGAGTTTTCACAAAGAGACGTTATATCGAAAAGCAAGTTAAATTAGAAGAAAAGAAAAAGAAAAAACTTCAAAGACCCTCTAGTCAACAAGCTTCTACAAACAGTAGTCCTATTCCTTCTAGTCATGTTCCAAACCCTTACCCTTACCCTTAAATAATAATAATAATAATAAACATTTATATTATTTATTATAGGTGAAATCTTCTAGTCATATTCATCTATTCCTGAGGGTAATTACTCCCAAAAAAAAACATTGAATACTCCTTTTTTATTATTATTGTGTATGTGTCACAATATAAGAACGTACAAGTACATTACTAGTTATATCATGACTTATGTATGTATATAGAAGAAGATATCTATGTGTGTGCTTCAATATTTACAATATGATAAAGTCATTATTCTTATCGTCCTTCTTCTAATAAAAATGGTGTAATTTCATTATTATCTGTAAGAGTAGTAGTAATATCACGTTTGCAAATAGGACACTATATAATAATACATGGGTGGGGAAGGTTTTAGTGATAGGATGACAAAATGAATATTTATGTTTCATTACCAGTTTCTTTTGAGTGGTTAACCAAGCATCTACGCATAAAATATGAAATTGATGCTGACAAGGTAAAACTCTTAATTCATCCCCCGTTTGATATTCTTCCAAGCAAATCGTACAACACTCAAGATCCTTTTCTGTCCTATTAAATATCTTGACAGTTAATCGTGAAACAATTGAAATAGGTGCCAATTCTCTTCTACGTTGTATTCCTTGTCTAATTTTCCAGGAGATATAAATGAAAGCCAACATGATACAAGGAGATAAAATTACAATAATAAGAATGTCAATCAATTGCCTATATAATAATTATTTGATTAAATTTCTATGCAAATACTCTCCCTTTTTATCTATTTATCTCCTCTTTTTATTATCTACTTTACCAAGTTTTATCCATTTCATCATATTGTAAAATTGCCATCATAGGTCTGTCTAATAATTTGGATAAAAACAATATTTTCTTATATTCATTCTTGGCTAAAAATACACTAGGAATCATAATATCTGAACTATCTCCTATCATAATGAATAGGGCTTAGTTGCCTTATTTTGAATTGATAGTAAACAATAACAACCATAAATTTAACTTACCTGGTGAATACATAGTTATCCAATTAGAATGAATCGGATCACCTACAATCACAGCTATTGCACCACTCTGTTGCATGTTTCTTACTTTTGTTATAAATGAACATCCTCCTCTACTTAATAATGCAATCCAATTATTATACATTTGTGGCATCTTAACTCGATTACAGCCTGTTGGATCTTGTTCAGGTTCGATAATATAACCTACTTTACCATCTTTCGACATCTTGGGTCCAAAAGCAGCACTTCTATCTTCCAATGTTTCATTAGATAACTAAATAAGAATAACTTAATTTAAAAAATCATTGTAAAAAGTCTTTTTCTTTACTGTAACATATATTGTTCCATAAACAAAAGTAAAATGGATTCCAACTATAAAATAATAAATAAACAAGGATGATGGCTTCATAAGCATCTTGCTCTTATACAAATACAATTTGATGTTTAAAGAATAAGAATAAGAAGAATAATAAAAAAAAACTTAAATTATCATAGTTTTGTTTACAATGCAAAAATAATCCTATATTTAATCTCCGTTTAAACTTTCTGTATTTTCTAATTCGTTCATGTTTGTAAACAAGAAAAAAAAACCCTCCCCCCCTTTAATATTATTCTCTCTCTTTTTCTTTTCTTTTCTTTTTTTTTTAAATGAACATATAAGAATGACATGATGGAAGAAAACGATTTACAACAACAAATAGGTAGTTTATTAACACCTTGTAAAAGTACTGAACCAGTCAAGAAGCGTTCTTCATTTCGTCGTCTTTCCTTTTTTAAGCAACATAATGAACAAACATTAACTATTCCATCATCTGTTTTAACAACAAATACAATTAATAAAGAATATGACCCCGAAACAGGAAATAAAATAATCAATAATTTCATGATATTAAAAGAGATTGGAAGAGGCATGCATGGTAAAGTGAAATTAGCAGAAGACCTTGAAACAGGAGAGCTTGTCGTAAAGTATCTTTTATCCCCCCTTCTTTTTAACTAACTCCTTTTACTAATAATAGTTTTAAATATAGGCTATTAAAATCGTAGATAAACAAGCAAGAAGAAAACAGTTGGGTTATAGTATTTTAAGGGCCAAAAATAGTTATGAACAACAACAGAATAGACATCCTCTTTTTCCCAATTTTAAAAGAGTAACTTCTGAAAATAGAAAATTTTATTTAGAAAGTGAACGTAAAATTAGAAGAGAAATTGCAATATTAAAGAAATGCGTACATCCTCATGTAGTTCGATTACGTGAAGTAATTGATGAGCCTACAAGTCGGAAACTATATTTAGGTAATTTTTTTTTTTTTACTTTTATATACACTTTTTATTCTATTTAACAAAAATAAATTAGCCTTAGAGTATATGGAAGGCGGTGAAATTAAATGGAGAAATGAAGACACTAATAAACCTATACTATCCATGAATCAAGCAAGATCTATATTTAGAGATGTTTTAAGTGGTTTAGACTATCGTGAGTTTATATACAATACTCTATGCATTCTATCTATATATATTTATATCTATTTTCCCATCATTCATTAGTGCATTATCAGGGAATTATTCATCGTGATATTAAACCAGCTAATCTCTTATTAACAAAAGATCAAATTGTAAAGATTTCTGATTTTGGTGTTTCCTATTTTAATCAGCATTTGGCAGGTACAAAGCATTCTGATTATGACGAGGAAATTGATAGAGAATTGGCAGAGACAGCGGGTAGCCCTGCTTTTTTCGCTCCTGAGCTTTGTTGTGGTCATATAGAAGAAGGAAATGAATTGATGTCTAAAAGGAAAAGACGTATTACAAAGGCAATTGATGTATGGGCATTGGGTGTCACTTTATATTGTTTAATTTATGGTAGATGTCCCTTTATAGCTTCAACTGAATTTGAGTTATTTGAATTAATTCCGACTGCTCCTCTCTTATTTCCATCTCAAGAGGAAGTTGGTTTTGAAACACCTGAGGATTTAAAGGATTTGTTAACAAAATTATTAACTAAGGATCCTATGAAAAGGATTACATTAGAAGAAGCTAAACATCATCCTTGGGTAATACATGATTTAAAACATCCTCCTATTTGGTGGCAAGAAGCTGATCCAACTCATTATCAAACTGTAAAAGTAACAGATGAAGATGTGAGTCATGCTGTAACTAATATTATGAATCGTTTAAGAAGCTCAATACGACGTATTTCTTCCTCTTTGATTTCCAACTTGTCGCAAAGCTTTAATAGAAATCATTCTTCTCACAAGTGTTTATCTGCTTGTGCTATTCCAAATATAAACTCCGATCTTTCTTCTTCGTCTTTCATCATCACTTCACCTTCTTCTTCTTCTTCTTCTTCTCCTCCTCCTCCTCCTAGTACCACTAATCATCGTCGTAGAGTATCTTCCTTATCATCTATTTCATCTTCATCTTCAATATTACAGTGTGAAAACACAAATCGTCATGATTGGTTACCGACTTCATTTACAAATACTTCATCTTTATTTCGTTCATCCGAGCATTTTTTTGAGGAACATGAAATAGAAATAGAAAATGATAGTTATTGTCATCCTTTACTTCAACAGGAACATCGTCCAATTCAAATTGAACGACATGATTCTTCAAGTTCTTCCATGTCGGGTTTAGTTGTTACCTTTAGTCGTTCAACTGAACAAAAACAATAATAAATAAATAGAGGGATATACAAATAGATGTGTATACATTTATATATATACATATACATATATATTTGTTTAAGGGAGATCATCTTATTTAAGGGGAATAAGGTGGAGGCAATACATGACTACTACTAGGATGAGTACTACTAATAATGGTAGGGTGAAATTCATAATTGGTCTGTAATATATGATTAACTGTGCTGATATGTTGTTGATGCTCTATGATTGAATGAGTCATGGTATTAGGTTGTTGGGTTGAAAGGACATGATTTTTCATTTTGTTCGTATCCAATGTGTGTTGATCTTTTAATGGATCATCATTCTTCTGATGTCTCTGATTACGACGATGTCTTTTAAAATAAAGATAATGTAGACTAATGGCAACTATGATGAATAAAATGACGCTTATAATACTAACAACAATATGAATTGTATTATGACTGTTCATCGTAGTAGTAGAAGCTGTTGTACATGTATTTTTATAACAAGAAAGGTGATTTGAACATTGATGATCAAACTCACATACTTCACCATGTTTTAATTGTCTTACACAGAAATGGGCTTGATCACAGTAAAGACCTGATTGGCAATTACTTTCAGAGTTCGTTAAATCAATGACAACAGAAGAACCACTTTGTGGTGGTGGTGTATGTGTTGAATTGTTGTTGTAGAATATACATGTTTGACCTAGTTGGGCTGTTGTTGTTGTGATAGACATTTAAACTCTTTCCTCCTCCCCCCACATTGCTTCACCACCCTTGATTTTATTTTATTTGTACAACATTTCCAAAAAAAAAAAAAAAAAAAAAAAAAAAAAATATGCACATACAATGTCATACATTCATATACAAATATTTATAGAAATATTGCTTATTTAAAAAAAATAATTCTTTTTTTTTTTTTTTTGTATATTTAAAAAAGCAAATTACCAAACAGGAATACCATTTTCAATACTTCTCGGCTCAGTAACATGTCCAATCAAAGCTTGACTTAGGAAAGCATGTTCTTCTTTATAATGCTGCTTTTTATTACCTGTCGCAACGGAAGCAGAGGGAGGTCGACCGGCATAAGAGGGCGATTTACCCGTATGATATTCTGTTTGACTTAAAGCGGTTGTCAAACGTGGTTGTACATGATACCAACATCCCATATTCAAGGGTTCCTCCTGACACCAAAGGATATCCGCATTAGGGTATTTATCAGCATGTTCCTTAATTTGTTGGAAGGGGAATGGATTCAATTGCTCAATACGTGAGATAGCGATATCATTCATCTTATTTTGATCACGCGCTTTCAAAAGTGCATAGTAGACTTGTCCACTACAGAATATATGCTTCTTGATCTTCTCTGGACTGACCAAGACATCTTCAGGATGAGGTTCAGGTAAATAAAGTTGGAAGGAAGTATTAGGTCCTGTCATTTCTGAAAGTGAAGAACGAACTAAAGGATGTCTCAGCATAGATTTAGAGAATGGTAAGATGAGTGGCTTTCGGAATTGACGACAGATTTGACGACGAAGGACATGGAAGTATTGAGCTGGTGTAGATGGATAGACGACTTGCATATTACAGTCTTGATGCTGTCGTTGAAGCTTTTCAGGAGATGGGAAGACAGAAGGGTTTTCATCACACAATTGAAGATAACGTTCAAGTCGAGCAGAGGAATGCTCGGGGCCCTGTCCGTCATAACCATGGGGTAATGAAAGAACTAGACCCGTACGTTGAAGCCACTTTTGTTCTCCAGCAGCAAGGAATTGATCAATGATCACTTGTGCAGTATTAGCAAAATCACCAAATTGAGCTTCCCAGATAATCAATGCATTCGGATCAACAAGTGAATAACCTAATTCAAAGCCTAAAACACCATATTCCGATAAGGATGAATTCGTGATCAGAAGCTTGCCTTGTTCTGGACTGATGTTGTTTAAAAGTACGGTACGGCTATCGGTCTTTTGGTCATGTAGCACAGCATGACGTTGTGAGAAGGTGCCTCGCTCCACATCTTGACCAGAGACACGAACGTGTTTCCCTTCGAGTAAAAGGGACCCCCAGGCAAGACCCTCTGCGGTGGCCCAATCGATGTCTTTACCACTCTCCAAGCTTTTAGCACGTTGTTGAAGGATACGATTCAGGTTACGATGGACATTGAAATTTTGAGGTAAAGTCGTCATGGCCTTACCTACTTGTTCAAGTACTTCACTTGAAACACCTGTAGGATAATGAGGTAAAATTTCCTCAGCCAATTCCTTTGGAGACTTGAAACCTGGCCAAGTACTCGTTAACCATTCTTGTGAACTAGGCTTATAATCTTTACTTGCAGCATACTTTTCTTCCAAAATATTCCATACACGCTGCTTTTCTCTTTCTATCTGTTCATTCGTAAAGACCCCTTCTGCTTTAAGAGATTCTGCATACTGCTCTGCAACAGGCTTCATCTTTGAAATAGCTTGATACATTAAGGGTTGAGTAAACATGGGTTGATCCGTTTCATTATGGCCATGCTTTCGATAACAAACTAAATCAATAACACAATCACGATGGAATGTCTGTCTCCAATCAGCAGCTAATTGCATCACAAATGTCACTGCTTCCACATCATCTCCGTTTACATGGAATACGGGGGCATTAATTGACTTTGCTATATCTGTACAATACGGTGTTGAACGACCATAACGGGGATCGGTTGTAAAACCAATTTGATTATTGACAACGATATGAATCGTGCCACCTGTAGAATACGACGGTAGATCATAGAATCCCATGGTTTCATATACAATACCTTGCCCTGCCATAGCAGCATCACCATGCATTAAGATCGCCATAGCATGTTTACCTTCTGGATCACAACCATAGAACTGAAGCGCCTTTGTTTTCCCCAACACAACAGGGTTCACCGCTTCAAGGTGAGATGGGTTGGCTACTAATGAAAGATGAACGCGTTTACCAGAAGGTGTAGGACGTACATAATTCATACCCAGATGATATTTTACATCACCTGAACCTTCATCAGAAGGCTCAAGAGAGCCACTGAATTCACAAAAAATGGATTCATTTGGCTTACGAACCACATTTGAGAGAACGTTCAAACGGCCTCGATGTGGCATACCGATTACAATTGATTCTACACCTAAATCGACTGATCTATCGATCTATATGTATATATGTATGTGTCAATTTGTTAGTGCAAAAAAAAAAATTATAATCATATAATATAAAACTTACTAACGCCTTCATACCAGGAATAAGACTTTCACCACCTTCTAGACCAAATCTCTTTTCAGAAGGATATTTGGAGGCAACAAAACGTTCAAAGCTATCAGACCAAGTTAAACGATCAAAGATAACTTTTTTTTCTTCATTGGAATATTTATAGGGTTCAGGCTTCTCAATACGAGAACGAATCCAATTACATTGTTCACGATCAGGGATATGAATATATTCAATACCAATGGATCCGCCTATATACAAAAAAAATAAAAATAAAAAATGTATAAATACTCTTTTTTTTTTTTTTTTTTTTCCTCCGCCCCTCTCCCCCTCCCTAATTTTAATATATAAATATATACTTTACAATACATTTTTTTTAGGGCTTCAATGATCTCACGTAGAGTTAATTCTTTTTCTGTTTCGCCTAAAGCAGGCAAGATACCAGGCCCTAAAGTAAATTTACGATCCAAATCTTGTTCCTTAAAGCCATAATATTGATATGTTAATTCAGGAGGGTGCGAGTTTTCAATACTTGCGTGTTGAATATGTAAAGGATCAAGGTGAGCTAAATGATGTCCACGGACTTGATAAGCACGAACAAGCAATTGAATTTTCATATGCTCAATAACACGCTTTGATGATCCGTCTGCGGCATTTGTAATGCCAGTGGGTAAATCAGGTAAACGAGCACTATCAGAGGGCATCATCATGATAGTAGGTGGGGGTACGTAGGCTTTATCAGGAGGAACACCGTTAGCAATATTCTTAAAATAGATTTGCCATGATAAATGAACTGAAGTTGGATCTTTTAACCAAGCCTCATACATTTCCTCAACATAATTAGCAGAATTACCCTGCAAGAAACCTTCATTGACAGATGGTGGGGAGGAGGAATGACTTGAAACATGGCGTGATTGCTGTGTAGAAGAAATAAAAGTAGGTGGAAGACATGTCTTTTGATAATTCAACGATGCTAAATTCTTTTTTAAAAATGGTTTTGTAGCACGAGAAAGTGCTGAAAGTCGATACATACTCAAATACAACTGGTATAAAACAGATAAAAAAAAAAAAAAAAGAATAGAATAAAAATATATATAAAAAAAACAGCTTTTATTTATTTATTTATTTATATATATATTTATTGTGACGTTTTAACTAAATAACACTTTTGCATAAATTTCTATTTTGTTGCACAAGAAGCAAGTAATAAATGAATATTACGTGATTCTTTACATACTATGCAGTCTGCCTACTAGTATTCTTCATAATGCATTTGATATAAAGCAATCATCCACCTTCATTTATATTACGGTCAAAAATAAAAAAAAAGGAATACAAATTACCCCCGGTTTTTTTTGTTCTATTGTTTCAAGTTTCAAAATAATACATTCGATTTCAACAAAAAAAGAAAAATTTGGGAACAATTTATAACGGATAAATATTCAAATTTGAAAACGGTCAACGAAATTAAAAAACACGTAAAATTAAAACACGAAAATAAAAAATATGTTCTCTCATTACAAAGATATTTTTTTTAAAATTTTTTTTTCTTTATTTATAATTATTTTCATAAAAAAAATAAAATAAACATAAATTACCTAATAAAAAAAAGAAATAAGTTTGATTAATAAAAGATATTAACAAAAAAAAAGAAAATAATTTCTTTTTCAGAGATATTAAGTTTCTTTATCAGCACTAGAGCTTGCGCTCGGCTAAGCGTGGTGGTGCATAAAATTTCGAAACCTTTATATCATCATTATAAAGATATTTTTTCTTTATTTATTTATTTTTTTTTGAAAGATTTTACCTACCAATCAAAGAGATCGATTTTGACAAATTAAGCCAAAAAGGAAAAAAAATGTATTATTGAATAAATCTGATTTATAAAAAAAAATACGTTAGAATAAATGAATTATAGAATTTAAAAAACTATTATTTTCATATTTCAGTAAATTAATATAAATGTTCTCTTTCATTATTTTTCAGAGAGATTCCCATTTTATACAATCATCCTTATTATGAAAATAATAGTCGCGTATATAAAAACATACGTATTTATAGAACACTACTTACATTTTTTTTTCTTCCCCTTTTGACTTGAGAAGATGAGACTATTAAAATAATAAAAAAAGAAAAAGAGTGAATAAAAAAGCTCTGTAAATTACTCAAATGTTTAAATATAATAAATTAAAAAAAAAAAAATTTTTTTGACAACTGAATTTTGAAAATAAGTGGACTGTCAAAATAATAAGATATTATTGGATAAACTGGACTGCTTTATTGATCAATTTGTAACAGATAGTCAAAGTTAAGGAATAGTTTCAGCTATCTGATTCATACTTGAAGTGCGCCATGCTGTATGTCTTAATTATAATATGATAGCCATCAAATTAAATAAAAGAAAGAAAGAAAAAAAAAAACTATGAGACAAGATATAGTTTATTTAAATAAATATGTTTTCGAAAGAAGCATTTGTTTCAATTTAATTAGTCTTCTGCGTGTTCCGTCAATATACGAAGATACTTCTTTTTTTCTTCGATAAATGTATAAATATAACTTTGTATTATCGTATTTAATCTAATGACTATATAAATTTGAGCCAATTGAAGATATGTAGATGCTCTTTTTTTTTTCTTCTTTCTAGTTAAAGGAGCATAATGAGCCAATATACATTGCAAACTTTTACCAAATTAAAATCCTTTAGAGTCATTACTTTCGGCCAATTTTTTTTTTTTTTTGAAGACTTCTAGTAAAAGCACATTTTCTACTAACAGAGACATACCTTTTATTGGAAGACGGTTTAGGTAAAGTATTAACTGTTTTAAGCAGTATTATTAGCCTAATGTCATCTGAATAATACCTAGAAATGCACTTTTATAAATCTATAGGCATATGGATATAAAAATATACTAATAATAATAATTGGAGTATATAGGATTATTCCAATATGATAAACAAATAGTTGGAGTATAGAAATATAGGATAGAGTAATTACTATTATAAGAGCAGTGTACATAAATAGTATATACTTATTATATGCTTCTTCCGTTACTAATATATGTTGTAGACCCGTTTTTCTTTTTTTTTTCTCGATACTCAATCCAATACTGTGACATATAACGTTGGTTATTTTATATAATTATTGTGAAATAGAATAATGGTATATTTAAGAAGAGAGTCGTTCTGCCTTTAGTATGAATAAGAAAACCCACTAATAAAATTAAATAAGTTCTTTATTATCGATTTGCTTCTAACACGCATGTTTAATTGTATGTATGTAGCATATCATCTTTTTTAAACAAAATAGAGTACAAAACTATAGATAAAGCTCTATATAGCAGTAAAGTTAAATTTGAGATACATAATTTATTTATTTATATATATCTTCATCTCTTTATTTATGTAATATATCTCTTATATTATACGCGTAAAAAGGTATTTCCTTCCTCTGATATGCGGAATTTAAATAACCGTGCCTTTGTTTGGCACTGTATTTTTTTTTTTTTTTTTTTTTTTTTTTTCACTAATATAACTCAATTAACTTAGTGTTGTAGCTTGCAAACATTTCAACAAATGATTCCATAAAGTTTTAGTATATACTGATAGCAAAAAGTAACTATCTGTAGAAGAATGAAGAATCCATAATTTAACAAAGTTCATCTCGTTTTCTTTTCCTTATTGTTATTCTTAATTAATAATTGATATTCTACACTATATTATTGTGATAATTTTAATAGAATGATGGTTTATACTGAATAATAGTTTAAATAATGATCATTGATTTCATTTACCATTCAAAGTGCTTACATACAAACAGAAAATATACTCATAATAATAAGTTTTGAACTGAATATAAGTCATAAATGTAGATATACATGCATATATAGCCCAAGTCTTTCCTCTATTTTGGAAAAAAAAAATCAAAATATAACAAAAATCCAAAATTTACTGGGTCTTCACTTATGGTTCATGGTGCTTCGCTTTGACACAAGCTTACACTTTTTGTGCTCACAGTAAGTACAACTCTTAATAGTTTGAAATGCATTTATCACTCAAAAAAATCAATAAAGATTCAAAATTAAATAGCTTGATATAGTATATACAAAAAGCGGAATAGTTGGATGTACATATTAGATTGTGCTAATGTATATATGTATTTCTTTTTTTTTTTATCTTATGTTACAATTTGTTGTCTTCAGGTTTTACTAAGGATTCAGCAATGCTTTACTGTAAAATAGAAATCATTGTCAGTTGAAAATAATAGAATAAAAAACATGTTAATAATGCTATACCTTAGAACTATATATTAATTCTATGGAAATATGTATGTATGCATAAATTTCATACGTAGTGGGCAAAGTAAATGGTGGCTGCTCGTGATTATACATAAGCATCTTTATTCAAGTCTATACTCATACGGAAGAAGCATAAAATATGAGCCTTTTGTAAAGAGAAAGAAAGATGCATGTCAAATATTATTTAAAACCCTTACCTTGACCTAAAATTCTGAATGACACTGCTGCTGCTGCTTCGTGTTGTGCTTTTTGCATATCTTAGACGAGCGTGTAATTGTGGTTTCATTATCTCTAAAACATACATTTTATCTTCCTCATGTTGATCTTAAGAAACACCGACTTTCTTCACTTTACTACAAGCGACTTTGAGAGTTTTATCATGCTGCTTAGCATGCATTAAAACATCAGGACACAGAAGATTATCCCCATCTACTGTTTCATTCTACTTATATGCCCCATGGAACAGCACCAAATTCCATTTTGGGCATTGCCATGTGCAAGGAAAAGTAGCGAGAAAAAAGGTAGAAACAGAATTGACCATGAAACCTATATCAAATCCATTGTTTTTAATACCCTCTCTACTATGCAGATGAGAGGATACTATTTAAGATGTTATTTCTGATAATTCATGCTTAATTCAAGCTGTATATATAATTATTTTTTTTTTGTTTTGAACTGTTGCTCTTTTGAACTTGCGAATGTTCAAATACACATTGTTTGTCAAGTCAAACTTCATTTCAACTGCCTCATCATCTGACGCAAAAATTACACATCCTATATATAGAACTCAAAAAAAAAAAGTTAGCTGTGCTTGATTGCTAAAGAGTATATACTTCTTGTTACATGCACCCTCTTTATCACTGATTACTTCGAAGCCTCTAAAGTTATTATGAACGGTTTACATGCGCTGTCTCTTATTAGATTCTTCATTTAGAGACTCTTTATTGATCATAATGTTACGTTTCTAATTGTTATACCTCCCCCCGCTATGAAGCTAGCATTATACTACAACCATAGATGTTATTAATACATTTATGTGTTCTAGCCCTTATGTCTAGATCTATTATTCAGACATAGATGCCGATAAATGTATAATCATCATTAGTTGCACAAGTACTCCCAGATCAAGATATAAAAGAACAATAACTAACGGAACAGTATTTAACTGGATCAAGCTATATTTGAATATCTTTAATTAACAAAGATAAAAATAGTTTATACGAACATCTATTGCACTGCGTATATTAGGAACTAAACTTTTAATTGTGGCCTTAATTAATTCCATAGTAACTCAGAAGCGCACATTAAATAATGATATTTGAATTTATATATAAATACTCTTTAATAACAAAAATGAAAGGATAGTTAGAATTAACTATCTCTGAATAGTCAATAGTCAGTATCTGTTTAATCATTTATAGTTTTTTTTTTTTTTTTTTTTTTTTTTTTTTTTTTTTTTTTTTTTTTTCTAAGTTTTTTTTTCTTTTTATTTTATTGTGTCTCTATCTTTATTGCTGAAGATACATCATCCGATACTTTTTAAAGATTTAAACAGAGCTTTTAGTAAAGTTAACACTTAATTTAGAAGTGTTCATATTACCATTGATGAGGTCATCTGGTTATTTCCATAAGCCAATTCATGTACTAAGAATGCTGTAAAACAATGACTGAGAGCTAGCAGGAATCACTTTCTCTTCCTTCAAGTATTGTAAGAAATGATAGTTTGTTAAGGGAGATCTAGCATAGGCTATTTTTTGAGTAATGCCCTGATTACATAAGTTTCTTTAGTGTTTATAGCAGCTTTTATTTTATTTTATTTCATTTCATTTTTTAGAGAATAGGGTCGAGCTGTTTGCTCGTTGGTTTCTCTTTTGCTATTAATCGTTCTCTTTTTTTTTTTTTTTTTTTTTTTTTTTTTTTTTTTTTTTTTTTTTTTTTTTTTTTTTTTTTACATTACCAATGCACTTTTCTATACAAGTGAAAAAAAAAAATAAACAACAACATCAATATTGATATGTATATCTTTTTTTTTTAATAGATTTCGATGGTCATGGATTATCAGTCTTTCATTTCATGATATAGCATAATGATGGATATGAAGAGAGAGAAAGAAGCATGTTGTCAAAGCAAACATCTGTAACTTTAAATAATTTAACTGTTGATTTGATTAAATGCTAATAATTCATCAGCAAACATGATGTGTTGCTTATAAAACTCTTTGATCATTTTATATGTTGTATATTTCTTGTTTTAGTTTTATATCCCTGATGAATTAACAGTATATATTTTATAATCTAAAGCAAATGTAGTATAATAGTGAATCAATGTGTTTGTTTGTAGTTATTAATTAGAAGTCCTTCATTCTCCTTAGTTTACTAAAGAAACAGTAGACAGCATAAGTCTCTAACATGTCCAAGCCTAATTTATTAGCTTCTGATTTTGTTTCTAATTTAATCCACTTACTTTAAATTGTTAAAAAAAAAAGGGTCATTCTATACTTTACAATATGTAAGTAGACAATGAGTGGGGAGGGGGGGGGATAAGCAATAAAATAACATTCTACATTGTCTCAAAATTTTCCTTCAGTTGTCCAAATACCAATTTTGGGTTGTAAATCAGTTTTTAAATTTTCTGAAAAAAAAAAAAATTGGATTTCAGCCGAAATATTGTAATTTTTTTTTAATTACTATTTTTTTTTTTTTTTTTTTTTCTGCTTCATATATATTTTCTTTTAAATACTTGTATAATGTCTTTAATTTATTCAACTGATACCGATAACTCTATATCTGCGCCGCTTCCTACCCATTTTTCTCCAAGTTTACATTATAATGATAACTACAGTAGTAGCAGTAATAATAATAGCAATATGAATCATTATATTCAGCAACAAGTAGAGAATACACCCGCTTTTACTGTTCCCGATAACTTCCAACTTCAGGACATTCAAAATAATAAGAAAGCACCAAAATCAAATTCCTGGTTTAATACAAGTGCTTTTGGTAAAGCAAATACCAAAGCTATCCGAAGAGTAGCTTCTGCACCTAATGCAAATCACTTACAGCCCCATAAACCTAATAATTCTTCATCTTTATTACATCAAAGTTTACATCCTGATAATGCAAGTCTTCAATCTCAATTTGATAAAATGAAATTATGTAGAAGAACTTACTCAAGTAGCAGCATTAAAATTAAAAACTTGGAAGTAGGCCCATCAAGTTTTGTTAAAATAAGAATGCTAGGAAAAGGTGATGTCGGTAAAGTTTATATGGTTCGACAAAAAGGGACGGATAAACTATACGCTATGAAAGGTAAAATAAAAATAATAATAATAAAAAAATAAAAAAAAAATAAAATAAAAAAAATGAAAAAAATGAAATTTTTGTGTGTACTTGGAAAATTTACATGAGTATATTACCTAGTGCTTTCGAAAAAAGAAATGATCAAGCGAAATAAAATCAAACGTGCTCTGGCAGAACAAGAAATATTGATGACATCAAATCATCCATTTATTGTTACCTTATATCATTGCTTTCAAAGTCAAGAGTATCTTTATTTTGTTATGGAATATTGTATGGGTGGTGAATTTTTAGAGGTAAAATCATATACACAAGTAAATTGAATTTTATAAATTGAAATAATTCTATATTAGCATTACAGCTAAGACCTGGTAAATGTCTAAATGAAGATGGTGCTAGGTTCTATGCAGCAGAGGTGACAGCAGCTCTTGAATATTTACATCTGCAAGGTCATATATATCGTGATCTTAAACCTGAAAGTAAGTCAAATAATATCATATAAAGTGTTAAAAGATAGTATATGTATATATAGTTGTGTGTGTGTGTGTGTGTGTGTGTGTGTGTGTGTGTGTGTGTGTGTGTGTGTGTGTGTGTTTTTACTTATTTACAATTAGACATTTTATTACATCAAAGTGGACATATTATGTTAACAGATTTTGATCTAAGTAAAGGATCAAGTCCTCCAGGTAGACCAGGTGTAGTCAAGTCAAAATCACCAAATCAGGTAAATAGATAAATGAATGGTATTTAAGACATTATAGTTCTAAATATATATACATATACATGTACATGTACATGTACAAATATATATATATATATATATATATTCTTAGCCACCATCTATTGATACTAAAAGCTGTGTAGAAGGATTACGTACAAACAGTTTTGTTGGAACCGAAGAATATATTGCACCTGAAGTCATTAAAGGATGTGGTCATACAAGTGCTGTTGATTGGTGGACATTAGGAATACTTATTTATGAAATGCTTGTAAGTATAGACTCATATTTAATAATTATAACTATAATTAATAATATCATTCTATAGTATGGTACAACTCCTTTCAAGGGAAATGGTAGAAACGATACATTTTCCAAAATTCTTCACACAGAAGTTCATTTTCCACATCAACCTGCACCTTATTGTGGTACTATTTCAAGTAGTACAAAGAATCTAATTCGTAAATTACTACAAAAAGATGAACAAATTCGACTTGGATCTAGAGCAGGAGCTGCTGATATAAAACAGCATTCATTTTTTAAAGCTATTAATTTTGCTTTATTAAGAAATATGACACCACCTATTATTCCTGCTGTTCAAAAACCAAACGGAATTGATGCTATCAACTTTAGAAAGATTCAAGAAAGTATTAGCTTAGACTTAGAAGCGGATGGATTAAAGATGATAAAGAAATTAGAGAAATCAAATCCGTTTGAGAAATTTGACTCCAGTAAGTTATAATAACATGTATTTAGTAATACTTACTTTACTAAATAAAAGCAATTTTATTCATTATCTTTTAGTTACTCTGTACCACATTGGGGATTCTGATTCTGACGTAGACTATTAAATATACACTTAAATAATAATAACAATAACAATACCCTACTCTTATAATATTTCTTTATTTCATATAATATAATATCAGTTATAAAGCAGCAAAAAAATTACTATCTAAGGATACATGAATGTATTTATAGTTGTTTATTTATTTATTTTTTACATCATTTTAGAAAATAATAATAAACAATTTATTTCTTGATTTACACGAAAGTCTTTAACAGGTAGTAACTATAATAGGTGATCGCTCAGACGTATCTTCTTGCTGTTGTTGATGCCATATTGAGTCTATGGCCCATTCAACGTCCCAATGGAAAGCAGGATATCGATCTGTTAGTAGTATATGACTAGCATTGACTCTTAGTTATCTTCTTCTTCTAGTAGACTTCTTGGTTGAGAGTCGACTGACATCTTCAATTATTGAAGATATATTTAAAGAGGAATCTATTCCTATAGGATCACGCAACCCATCAGCAACTATAGATGATAGTGATTTATCTTGAATTTGCAGGGTTTACTGTATCTATTTTCATTATGAGACACTTTATTATGACTGAAGATAGATAACACAGATGCCAACCACGAGGAAGTGACGTTTATTAACTTACTTGAGGATTGACAAGAGTGCCACTTCACTAAAGGTAATTGATCCTTATCATGATGATCTCCAGAGGAAGCATGAACATCCAAATGATATCGTAGTGAACATAAGCTATGTATCGCAGTTGTATCTTTATGACTGACAGCACTCATATCCAAAACAATACGCTTTAAACTGGATATAATTTGTTATTTGTAACAAGCTTCTGTCATGACTCTTGATCTTTAATTGAGGCTCATTCATATGAGACTGATTTATATTTGAAGTTATTTTTATATGTACATACTTTGACCAATTCTTCATTTTTTTTTCATTTACATATTCTGCATTAGGATATGTGTAGTGGAAATCATGTTTATTCACATAAATGTAACGGGTATTTTTTTTTTTATTATCTCTCCTATTTGACACTTTTTTCATGATATCCATCGTTAAGAGATGAAATAGATTGCGTTGTTAATATGATGGTAGGTTCATCCAATTTAAGATTTATATATGTTATCGATAGCTTAATACGACCCAAGACTACGACTGAGGGTCGAGTAAGGTTTACCAACATGTGTAAAAAGGAAAGACCCACCGAGATATAGATACCGGTCTTGACATCCATAAAGCACATTACCACTACAGTCACCACATAGATAAAAAAAAAAAAAACTTCCAGTGAAATGATAGGTTTTGACACACAAGATCAATGACCGCATAAATGACTACTGCTTCAGGAGTATAATAAAAAGCAGGTGTCAATACATAAAGAGCAAGAAGAGCGATTGCACCTGAAAAGAATACCTACTAAATGGAGTTTTAGCACCAGTACACGGGTATGCACTATTATTATTATTATAATCAATGTAATATCTATTATAATTGTATATTACGTACCAGGAAAAAAATGACCCAACAATGTTACTCATACCAACCGTCACTATTTCTTGATTTATATTTATATTATAATTATTCATTTGTCCAAATGCCTTTTGAAACCGATACATGCTCCAAAAATGAGGATTAGGATAATAGAAAGTAAAAGACCACCTGATTCTTTCAATACAGTCATGTTTCAATGTGGAAGAGATATTGCAGGCACTTTTTTCAATAATAGATATAGCAGATAAATATGCTGAATAGTTTTGATTGATTAGATTAGAAATGAAGGTTTCCAGCAATCACAATCAGTCTACTTCTCATAATTCCCAAGAAAAAAAAAATAATATCTGCCTTGGCCGAAACATCCATGAGAATTTGTTTTCACTCTAATAAAGCAATGCTGCTGTGATTACTAACAGACCCTGATGAAATAAAGAATAGCAAGTGCAACTAGGCCAAAGGCAGCATCTAGACGAACCTCTTTCAGACTTTTACAAAAAAACATTTATAAAATGTCAAATTAAAAGTGGTTCGTAAGAATTTACATCGTTGCGTACTACAAATAAAAGTCTAATTTCAGTCATATTTCAGTGTTGTGAAATATCTAATTTCACAAACATTTGTTCTGCATTTCAAACCCTCTATTGGATTACGCTTCTTTAACCTTTATTATTTATTTACGTTTTTTCACTCTTAATTGGCCTTTACATTCAAATTAAATACTTGCTTATTCGTTGTGTTATAATACATTATACACTTCTTTAAAATACAGTGAATAATGGAGTTTATATTCTTTTTAAAGACGATTTTATTTTTATTCATTATTTCATTTTAGGATATATAAAACATGTTTAAAAATGTATATGATATATATATATATATATATATATATATATAAATGTATACAATTTTTATCGAAAAATAAGATAAATATATTATGGCAAAGACCAATATAACGTGTAATGGAATCATCCAAAGGACCATAGATAGCTTCTTTCATAATAGAATTCTTCCTATAATAAAATAAAAGACTATTTAGTCAATGAAGAAATAAATAAATTATATTTTAGTTTCTTACCATTTCTTTACACGTTAACGGCCACCGAAGCAGGATAGTTTTTTTTTTTTTTTTTTTTTTTTTTTTTTTTTTTTTCACTTACCTAAATAAAAGATAAGAAAAATCAATACATATTTTACGCGTTTAAAATAATAGTTAGTGTGCTTACTATATTATCACAAGATAAAAGCTATAAAGATAGACCTTTAACGTCTAGACAAGAAAAAAAAAAAGATATTGATTGGAATATATATACCTATAAATATGTATATATATTCTTGGATATAAAGAGCTAACCATGTTCTTTACATGTACACCGGGAATAATCAAATCGTATCAAGTTAAATAAATTATAAAACAAGTATCCTAATTTATGGAAATATGATTCATTTGTAGTAGGACGAAAAATAAGTAAAAATGTGTTATTAAAACCTTATTGCGCTCATCAGTAATCAATAGGTGCTACTCCAATGCCACAAAATAAAAAATGATTTCCAAGCTAAATAGTAGATGAAAAGCCATTGGATGGCTGATATTAAAAAAATTGTTAATAAGCAGTAACATGTTCTTAAAGCGATCATAATAATAGTTATTGAATCCATTAGGGTTTTTATATATCTTCTTTCTTCAACTACTCCTTTGACAACAACAAAAAATGCACTCTAATTATGATTGTAAGAAAGTAAAAAGATTACAATGTATTCTACAGATATATATGAACTCATATTAACGTATATATATATATATTCCTCTTTTGTTAATCAAAAAGACGAAATACATAATGATAGTGATATAGACGATCATTCAGAGAAAGATTCACTTCCAAAAGCATGGAGTGATCTTATTGATCCAGAGTATAAATTAAAATCTGATGGAATTGGATCAGGGAACTTACATAGAAAAGGACGTAATTATAAACCTGTATCAGAAGATATTATACTTAATCATCGTCAACATAATGCGCCCATAAGGAGATCAAGAGTAGCAATTAAAGAACATAAAAGATTAATAAAGCCATCAAGTAATGCTTATATATCTTCGACTATTAATACAAGAGATACGCATATAAGGTCATCAATCAATCTTGAAAATGAATTTTCAAATTCACGTTGGGGAGCACAACCATTGACTTCAACTCCCTTTTGGGAAGAGAACAAGCAAACTAATGGTAATTTATTGATAATTGAGACTAAATATATGTATATTATTTGTATATTTACTTTTACTTTTTTCTTTTTTTTAAAAAAAAAAGAAAAAAAAGATACAATGATAAATTCAAACTCTAAAGAAGAATCTTCATCTACTGTATTTAATCCTTTATATCATCATAATAATATATGGAAACCCCTATCCAGAGAAGAAAATCCTAATTTGAACTTCGATAAAAACCAGTCTTCAAGCGAAAGAAATGTAACAAAACCTATTCGTGGTTTATTGAATACGTTAGCTATACATAAACATCTTAATTTGCCAACAACGACTTTAAATCTTCAAAAAAAAAGTCCTTACTATTGTACTAATCAAGATAATAATACTATGTCATTAAATCCTAAACCACCAGAGATAGTAAGAAGGGATCAAACAAATAACGATATAAATGTCTTATCTGATTATCTCGGAAACTCTCTTGAACCTAGCACAGATCATGATCATTTTCCTGCTCCTTTTTTAAAAATTAATATTGAATTCGCACCTGGTTTAAGTTCAATGCTCTTAGTGTATAGAGATTCAAATGCCAAAGATTTGGTTGACACTTTTATTCAAAAACATAGACTAGAATTATCCAATACTGCTAAAAATAATATCATCAAAAGTATTCATTTTTTAATAGAAAAAAGGAGAATAGAGTTGATTCCTTAATGGAGAGTAAAGAAGTTAAATAAATGCAAATTAAATTATTATTCTTGGTAGTTTCCTTCCTCCCCCCCTTTTTTTATCTATTCAAAGAATGAAAGCTAAATCATATTCTTATAATTTGTCAACTACTGTCCTTAACTTGAAATTTATATACAAGCCATAAATACACTCGTATGTCTTTTTATTATCATTTACTGAATGTTATCCATTTTTCAACTATAAAAAAAAAATGAATTTATAAAGATCAGCTCTTTCTTTACTCCTGACTATAATAAAGATACTTTTGTATAACATACTGTCCGAGTGTTAATCACAATAGTACAAAAAAGAATATCATAATGCTAACCCAAATATGGCATTGACTCTCTTGACAGGTGACATTTTTTTTTCTTTTTAAAAAATCAAACTAAGCTCAGTATTTAAAATTCATTTATTACTTACAGACTTCGATCATGTAATCCACATGTTAGTTGGAAACTCTTCGTATACGAATCTCTGATAATCATTTTAGTTAATATCATAATAAAACCCGCTTACAATATATAAAATAACAACTTTTTTTCTTTACTCTTTTAAGAGAAATACAAACTAAACTATCTCTCTAGTAAATCCATTTAGTATAAGTCTCCATGAAATACATTAGTCCTAATACAATCATATTTTCCCCTTTGACTACCGCAAATCATTTCCGATATTTATATGTTTATTTTTTATTTGAACCCTCATTGGCACTGGGCAGACAAGGATAGCAGAATGAATGAATCTATCATATATATTCATATTTATACTCATCTTGTCTATTTGATTTTTCGAATTTTTATGAATGGAACTAAGTATTTCCAGGTTCCTTGTTTCTATTCAATATGTAACTAATACATGTTGAAGTTCATCTGTTATAATGTGTCGACTATTTTTAGTTCTTTACTCATAAATCGTGTATCAGATAAACTTTATTGTTATTATTATTATTTCACTGAATTTAAATGACCGCATTTTTTACAAGTTCGAAGCTCTTCACTAGCAGCAAATTTTTCAATAACAGGTTTTAATTGTGTGCCAAGATCTTCACAATAAAAGGATTCTTGATATACTATTTCCCGACAGTTTTCTTTTTCACAGTACCATCGTAAAGAATCTTATATAAAGGAACATGTTACACAATAAATACCTTAATTTTTTTTTTTTTTTTAATTTTACCTATCTGGTGGGGTAATCTAACTTTTTCAATAACTATACCAATTGTATCTTCAAATCGGACGGGATTATGAGGTACATTTGCTATAAAAAGAATTGTTAAAAGGGGAGGGAAGAAAATTTACTTTTTTTAAACTATAACATGACTTACGAGGAAGAAGAAACATGTCACCTTCTTCAACAATAATATCTTTAAATTCTCCATCATCAACAACTTTGATTAATAGCTTGCCCTTGACTTGATAAAACCATTCCTGATAATTTAAAGTTTAAGTATCATTTCTTTTTTTTTTAATTATTATTATTATTACTTCAGTCTCATTAATATGATAGTCTGTACGTTTATTTGGTCCTCCAACAATCATAATAATAGTATCTTCTCCTTTAAATAATAAGTAGTTATTTACTGGTGGTTGAAGTTTATCACTATTTTCTTTGATCCATTTTGGGAAATTGATTGGTGGTGAAAGCATTTTGTTTTTCAAATGAATTATAACAGAGTTTAAAGAAAAGAAAAAAACGGAAAAAAAAAAGAGGCAAGATTTTAAGTTAAAATTGAAAGCTATTTGCTCGTGACTTCGATCAAATAAAAGATTTGCATATACAGCATTAATAAGGGCAAATAATGTGATATTTATTATATATCAATGATTCATATATGTATATATTTTTATATTTATATTTATGATAAAATATTTTAGAGATAAGGCTGCCACCCTCTGTACATGACACCCAAAACTCGAGAATCGGTAGCAAGATTAATAAGGCATTTTACTTGTTCATTCACATTTTTACATTTATTTCCAATATTGGCTCGTATATCTACACCAGGAACACCCTTTGCAATACTTTTAATATTGTTTATCCATGGTTCATTTGAGTGGCCATTCATAAGCTCAGATACAATGATATCTATTATACCGAACATCATTAGTCATCTGTAGATAAAAATATATTTTTACTTACTAGCAGGATTTTCTCCATTTAATTTCCTTTTAGCGGTATCTATTTTCTTTTGTGGATACCATTCGATATTTTTGTCTATTGAGTAAGATGTCTCCTTGAGTGACTCATCATCTTCTTGTCCTATAAATTAAATCACTCAAAAAAAAAAAAAAAAAAAAAATGCATAATTCAATTATTCGTATACATACGTTTGTTTTTGTTTCGTTTTATGGCAATTTTTTCCATTCTAATAAAGGCTCTTTAACAAATACACTCATAATATTTAATAACAATTCCTTTTCTGCTTGAATAACTATCAATGTAAAGAAAGATCTCAGCATTCAACATTATCTATCTTGTTTAAAATTTATTCTTACCGCTTAATATATTTATCATTGCATCTTCCAATATGCCAGATATTCCTAATGGGTCTAATACTCCGATCAACTGACGTGTAAGTCTGAATGGAACAATCTCAGGGATTGGAATTAATTCCGAAGCTGCACCAAAAGCATATCCAAAATCAATAGGAATCAAACGTCCACTAAAAAATACGAATTATATAAATACAATTAAATCTTCTGTCTTTTACGTCTATATACATATATGTACCTCTTTTCATCTAATAAAAAATTGTCAAGGTGTCGGTCACCAATACCTAAAATATAACCATAGATAGAAATACATGCTATACTATAAGCAAAATCCTTCCTTAAAAATAAGAAAGCTTCTGGAGAAGAGGCTAACTGAAATAAGTAATCTTTAAGCATTGTATTTGGGACTGAGTTAGCAATTGCTTCAAAATGATATACAATCTTATCCCTTGGCTGTGCGAATGCTGCATAATATCCTCCTTATTATGTATTAATTTATTATTAGACCTATGATATGAAATCTAATTTTGTAACTTACTAAATTCGTTCTCATTTGGACGTAATGGATGATGGTTAGAAATAATCCACCGTCTATATTTTCGGGCAGCATTTTGCATAAGTAAGTTTGATTTATGTTTTTCTATACAAGCCCGTAAAGGTAAAGTATGGCTCACCCATTCAATCAAACCAAGATTAGATGCCATAGGAATAACCTAAAAATAAAATAAAAATAAAAATAAGAATTAAATGTATATCCAATGAATGGATAATACACTCTATTATTTACCTTATATGTGCTAATTTGAATGTTTTGGCTGGAGCAAAAAGCATTTCTTTTAATTATACTATTCATTATATTAAACAGTTGCTCTATACGCTCATCTAAGCGCAAGTCTTCACCGCCCTTGACAAGAAATTTATATTCTTTTTCATCTGTTCCATAAATAGTAATTCTTTTTGGCTTTCGCATTGAAGCCATCATCAAAATACGAGCGTCTATAGAAGCTATATTGGAATGTAGTTCAGGATAAGGTCTAGCTAATCCATGATATTGACCAGGTATTTCCAATTCCTATAATTTATTTATTTTTTAGTTTCCTTTTGCTATTTTTTTTTTCTGTTATTTTTTTTTTTGAAAGTAAATATACATCATCATGTTCAATATTTTTAAATGAACTCAACCACGGTGAGTAGGATTTTAGACTTAATCGATTTTTATCATTCGGGATTGTTTCTCTAATTTTGGTTTTATAATAATTGCCAAGTTCTTCTAATTGCTCTTTAGTAAGCTTTGAAATTTTGCTACCATTTTCACCAAAATAGCGGATAAATGTACGAGCATGACTTGCAGCTATCCTCTTGGGAATTGTCCCTAAACTTTCACTGTAGTTATTTAATACTAGTTGATAAAATTCTTTATATTTAGATTCAATAAAAATCTGTGGAGTATCCTCTTCAAGTAAAATAGACTATGTATATATGATAAATTACATCTATTTTTTTTTCTTTATAAATGCATATATATATATATATAAATTTTTTACCTTTATGTATTCTATAAAATCTTTGATAATGTGATCTGGATCAATTAATCGCTTTAATTCAATAGCAAATCGCTCCATGATAGGTGAACGGATTAAATTCATAATTCTTTCTATAACTTCACAAGTTTCTTTCGAAAGTTGACCCTTCTTTAATTCATAAAATTCACATGACATTTGGAAAGGATAATACAAAGCTTTAGGATAATCTTTAGCAATCCTTTCTAAAATTGGCATAGTGTATGTTGCAATAGGTGAAGCCATTGAAGATATTAATTGTGGAATCCATCTTATATATTTCCAAGAAGCATTAAGTTCTAATGACTACAATAATATGAAAAAAGAAAAATACTTATTAGCATTTTTTTTTAATATATACAAGTATCCTATACTTACACAAGTTTTGAATATTGGCCCTGATTCGGGGTATAATTCAAGCAGTTCAAGTAAACGAGGGAAATAGTCATTAGAGTCTTTATAACCCCATTCAATTGCATGAAAGTAAGATTTTATGACAATTTTGCAATATTCTAGAGGATTAAATTCAGGTTGAAGGATAGATACAGCATCTTGTAATACATGCAACGATTCATCACAATATTTTCCTAACCTCCATAAATATTCCGCTCGTTCAGATGTCTAATCATATCATATCTCAATAAGAGCATAAAAATTATAAGATTTTGTAAAGGGACTTACCTTGGTTATATTTAACTTTCCTACTTCAGCCAGAATATCATATCCTGTCTTTTCAAGATAGTTCACAAAGGTTTCTGCATTTTCGATGTAAGACTCCAAATTCTTCTTTTTTGCAATTTTTAAAAGGTCTCTTTTTCATCTTTTAATGTTCTATCAAATAAATCAGGATCAGAAATAAGTTCCTGTTTGACTATATCAAAGGAATTTGCTGTAATTATTCCCCATTTATAAATTTCATGCTCGGTAGAGTTTGTAGGCGGCTATTTATTTATTTATTTATTTATTTTTTTTTTTTTTTTTTTTTTAAAAAAAAATCAGAAATTCAATGTATGTTAACGAAACTATATAGCTTACCTTTGAAGTTAATGATTTTATAATTGCTCGCGCTATATATCTACTCTTTTCTTCCGGTGGTCTATTAAGACATTCATATTGATAATAGCGAATAAGAGTAATATCAGCTTCATAAGTTGCATTCATTTCTTTTAAAAGCTTTAATAGCTTGGAAAGAACAGTTAGATTGCCCTGCTCAAGCGCTGCATCTACTACAGCAGATGTAAATTTAATTTTTGCATCACAAAAGAATGGTTTCATATCGTGTATAATCTAAATATATTTTAATACATATACATCTATATTTATATATATATATGCTAATTATCTAAGATTAATTACCATTGAGTCCTGTTTGTTTAAATCATCAATAAACTCAAATCGAGTCTGAAGAATGTCATCCCATATATCCATACGGTCAGTTTTAATATCGGGATATCTATAGTATCAAATTGATCAATAAAAAAGTTATACAAACTTCTATAAAGTAATTACCTTGAAGTAAGAGTTTTTATAAAATACTCAATTTTATCCTTATTAAATTCACCATCCTCAAAATCTTTATGAAGCTTTAGATAATCATCTAGTTCGACAGCCTAAGATTTGGCAATAGTTAAAAAAAATAAATAAATAAAAAAAAAGAGGGTAATGTAAATTATTTTCAAATTAGTAACTTACCTTCTGCAGGTGAGCAAGTCGAGCTAAACGGCTTGTGTGAGCTAAAGGATGTAATGTTGTCCAAGACGATAACATAGCATTATATGCTTTGTTAATAAATAAACGTCCTTTATTATAGTTTTTACGCAATGTCTCGATAATAGACCATTCTAATAAAATTGGATCATTATTATTACCAACCATGCTCTTCTATATTTTCCTTTATCTGTTCATCTAACAAACTAATATTACATACCAAAAGCAAATCTATCAAGAATTTTTTCTTTATGTATTTCATTTTCATAAGCATTATCCAAGAAGCTATAGACAGGATTTATAGTGTCCTTATTCAAGTTCACTAATTCAGGACTTGCTATATTTACATCATCTAAAATCCATCCTTCCTTAAGTTTAGATGCACTTCTAATGAAATATTCGAGATAAGGATCCTAACATATTTGTTTACTATTAAATTCACACATGAGGAATATCGTTTCTATCATGACTATACCTCATTTTCTCCCCATAAAGAGCTCCAGTTACTGTGTATTTGGTCTTTAACATCCCTAGCAATAAATTCCCATTGTCCTAGTTGTGTTCGACAATAAAGCATTTGTTCCTGCCATAAATAATATTCAATATCTTCTTTCACTCCTGATTGTGAAACAGCTGAATCAAATTGATTAAAGGCTATAGCATAATCTCCTTTAATTTGTGATTTGATACCATCTATTTAGGGGGGAGAAAAAAAAAGAATATGAATATACATATATGATATGATATAATTAAACATACTTTTTGCAAACTCATTAGTTGAAACATTGGATAAATATATATTTTCAAAAATTTCTAGTTCATCAATATTTTGGTATAATAATGCAAGATAAATCCATTTATCTTTAGTTGGTGTTAATGTATTAGTCCTCTTTGCAGCTAATATTATACAATTATATCAAATTAGTCATTAAGAGAGAGAGAGAAAGAAAAAAAAAAGAAAGTATATGTTCTTACGTCGTTCATAAAAATCTCCATAATCAAGCTGTTTTTCAAGAATTGCGATACCAATATGGTGATTATAGCTTTTATGACTCACTTCTCTGAGAAGATTATTATTTATAGGCGCATTAAGTTCAAAAATGATACGTAAAAATGCACCAATTGTGGGAGTAAAATAAGATTGACTTATCTTCAAGTTTGTTTCTATTGATTTGAAAAAGGCTTGCTTGTAATTATTGCTTTCATCATCAGTCGCCTAACATTTTTATATAAAGGTAAATAACTATAATATATATATATATATTGTATAAATCAAATTTTACCATTTGCTCAAATTCATTGACTATACTAATCGCTAGACTACTATATAATAAACGAGAAATATTAAAATCTGCTGTTGCTAATATTTCGAGCGGTTGTAATAATTCTTTTCGACTAATTTGGACATCAGGAATTTCACCTTGAAAAAAAAAAAAAAAAAAAAAAAGTTCAAAACTTGTTAGAGTTGTCATTTGATATACGCATAATATGCTTACCAGCTCTATAAGATCTACTTAAAGTAACTTTCTTTTCCATAGCTTCTTTCCTTGTATTTAACAAGTGTCTTAATTTCTTTTGTAATTGCTCGTTACGATCAGCATGAAAGCGGCTGATAGCATTTTTTGATTGAACGAAGAAGCGTTTCGTAAAATAACGCTTTTCTTTTTTGATAGCCCTATTTTGAATGTTTTCTCCTCTATTTTTTTTTAATAAATAAATAAATATACACATTATTTAACTTATTTACACAAAAAAAAAAAATACTTACAAATGTGTTTCATCATCGATAGTTTTATCGTCATATCTTTCATTGCTCATACTTCCTTGGCTCGTAGGATTGTAAGTGGCTAACAAGGATGGACCATTGCCCTGTGTAGCACTGAACTCAAATAAGCTTTGCGTTTTTCTCAATTCGAACTCCAAGTCTTCTACATTCAGCTAAAAAAAGGAAAAAAAAAAAAAAGAAAATTAGAAATGGCTTTAAGATTTTTTTTCTATTTTACCGTTTTAGAAGAGGTGGAAACAAACATAGGAGTCATTGATGAAGTGCTATACCATGAAGTATCAATTTTTTTATAGCCTACATCATATTTGTTTTTAGTATCTAAGGGATTTTCAAAAATAGGTTGATTGAAATCATAGGTTTTCTTAGTATTGCTTAGAATCACTCGAGTAGCACATAATAGATATATGTCCTCTGTTTCTTTTAAATACATATTGCTAAAAAGGAAGAAAAAAAAAAGAGAGAGAAGGTATTCACCTATTATTATATTATCTTTTAGTAAAATTATTTGAATTATTTTACCTAGTAATTTTTAATAAAGTTGATAGAATATCATCATCAAGTTGAAATTCTGATTTAATAAAGTCAAACATATCTGCTGCTATTTTCTCATCTTTATCAATTAGCCCTCTATAGATCCGAGCTTTTGCTGTTTGTAACTGAGATCTGTTTAATTTTCGACTTTTATAGGCTTTTTTCAAAAAAGCAAAAAATAGAAACTAATCATGTTCACGTATATATCATTAGCTTAAACACCAAGTAATCATTTTTTTTTTTTTTTTTGGTTATATATATGCATATATAAAAGAATTACCCTGCATTCAGTATTCTTGTGATTGGGAAATACTTTTTCAAGTTGCTTAAGATGCAAATTTAATTCTTCTCCGTCTACGGAGTCAAAAAGGGTGTTTAAAGCCTTTAAAGAAGCTAACTGAAGATTCTCATCTCTGTTAGTTAACATTCTCGATAAACCAGCACGTCTTAAATAATAGTAAGTTGTATCATCATTGTTCCAACAAACACTAATAAAGTTTAAAGCTAAAACCTTCTCATCTGCATTAAAATGAATCAATCTTTGAGTAACAGTAGACAGTAATTCTTTTCCTAGTTCAAGATCATGGAGATATATACGATTCATACATTTCAGAAAATGTTTTGCTGAATGGATTCCTGAATTGCCTAAATCAATAAGCTTTATATATATAAAATAAGTACACAATATAAACCTGTATATTTATATTTATACCATTTTTTTGAATATCGAATGCAACTGATCTGACAAAGGGTCGTTTTTATCTTTTAAAATTTTTAGTGTCCAACCCATAAGCTACAATCATAAATAATACATTAGTTTAATACAATAATAGAGATCACGTAAGATATACCTCAGCAGCATCGGATGAAATATCCATACTTTTCCTATCTTTATAATTTATATTTTTTGCCATATCCGTATAAAACGTAAGCTCTGATAAACCCAAAAGGTCTCTATCATAAGGATCATAGATAGCTATACCATTGCCATATATTATACCAGTAATTTGAAGCCCAATAATATTTTTAGCTTCTTCTCCTTTGATATGATGAAATTGTTCGTATATAGCCCTCTATTTAGCAAGTTTTAATACATTGTCAAAAAAAAAAAGTTGTAAAATAAACATACCGTTGGGACTGCACAAAACTTGCCGTAATTTTCGAATATACCTTTAATTATCTGTATATTACTTTTCATAATACGAGGTGATTCATGGTATGCATTTTTTATCAAATATTTCTATACAAAGGAGGAGGAGAAAAAAAAGTGAACTTTAGAACGAGTTGAAGAGTATTTTAATAACACTTACTAAAAATCGTGATAATGAGAAATGACACTCTCTTAATGTAGATAAAGGAATTTCAGATTCTCTACCCCATACAATCAATATAATACATAAATCCTGGATCAGATAGTTGATAGGTGTCCCAAACATATCTCCTTTAATAATGAAATCCATTAGAGGTCCGATCCAATGTCGAGCATATTTTTCAAAAGCCAGTGGAAAATTAGTGATTAATTTTACAATATAGGCTTGAATAATAATTCCATTGTCCTCACTATATCCTTTTTCACTATTAAATGCACCTAATAATCCTTTCATCCATGTTGGCATAGTGTCAGGTGAATAGTTGTTAGGACAACACACTTCATTATTTAATTTTTTTACAACTTCTGTTAGCGATCTCATAACCGAATTTTGATTTAATATATCAACTTCAAATTCTTCATCATATTCCATATCGTTAAAATCAGTTTTATCTGATGTTTCTTCCATTTGAGTATCCTCATCGTGCAAGCTATTCAAATATTTATCTTTTGCGTTTTGCTCCTGTTTGTCATGCTGACTTTCTTCAAGTACCATCTATATTTAACAGTCTCATATTAATATAGAAATGAAATTAACGTTATAGATTATTACCTCTGAAAATGATGATTGTGTTAAGCTAATACATAAATAAAATCAAATTATTAAATATTATAAACAAACTCTCTCTCTCTCTCTCTCTTATAAATGTAAACTAACCTACTACCAGTAAGAGCAATTGATGACATATATGATATATTACGTTCTTCGTTGTTTGCATTATAACCCATTATGGATTTTATACCTTCAAGCTTTGATTTAATAAGAGGTTGATCCAGTTCCAACTTCAATGATAAAGGCTGAGTGATATCTATAATTTTACGCCATATATAGCTATTAGTTCTTGATTCTTCGCAGAAGAAACTATTATAAAAATTCTCTTTATCCGCTAACAGTAATGCAAATGCGGCTGTCGTATTAAATACAGCCTGATTATATTTTAACTGCGCATTCCAATGTTCGCTTTTTTCCATGTTTAAACTTGGTGAAGCGGTTCGTAACATAGATGTAAATGTAGAAATGATATCAGATTGTAGGTGCCTTTTCTCTATATTCTCTTCGGAATCCAGCCATATCTTATCAATAGGCCTATTTTTATCTACAATTGTTTTAGGCAACAATTCATAAAAAGCGTATAGAAAAAAAAAAAGGTAGATGGGTTAAGGATATATTTGTATAATACAATAAGTTAGTGCAATTCTAAGTATATTATCTCTAATATATATTTATATATATATAAATATAAAAGGATATTTGCATCAATCGTAGACAACATGATTTTATAGTTAATTCAATAGGCTGGTCCTTGATACAATCTGTTAATTTCTTCTGTACAACGCCCATAATAAAGCTAATATTTCTCTCGTAAAATGAGACTAAATTGTTTTCATCCGAATTTGTAAGCAATATAATAACTACATCTAAAAGGCTTTGACGATATTGTAGTAGATAATTTTCATCCTTAAAGATACTATAAACATAATTAAGATATACATGTATATGTATACTTTCGGTTTTACCTCAAACAGGATCCAGTGACTTCCAAAAAGCTTTTCTTTCCTAAGGTTTTTGAAAATTTCTCAAGACTACGTTTGATAGCTTCTTCATGTGTATGGTTTTCCAATTTTGCAAAGGTCGACAATAGCAAATTAAAGATAACCACAGACTTAAAAGTAGTCATGGTCTCTAAGAGTTTATCTAATATAGTTATAAACTCATTATATCTATATATATATTATTTTGTTAATTTAAAAAAAAATCCCCTAAAAAAAAATGACATAGCTAATACCTTGTTGTACCTTTCTTGAGATAATATTTACTTTGATCTGAGTAATAATAGTCAAAAAACAAACTAATTTTTTCTTTTATCTATATTAATATAAAATAGCAGGGTTAATCATTTGTATTTAAACAACTAAATAAATTTTACTTTTATAGTGAAATCATCATCTAGACATATAAACACTGGGAGTAAATCCAATGCGTTATTTTGAATTTTATGAGTTTGCTTTTGATCCAATAAATTGATAAAAATATTCCATAAAATATTAAAAATAGGCTTTCCCTTTGGCCTTGTTGTAAGTCCTGGATCAGCTCCGAATAATGATTTTAACAAAACTATTAAATCAAGAAGTTGATCATCTGTTTTCCAATGTGTAGCACTATAAAAAAAAAGAGAGAGAAAAGAAAAATTAGAATGTTTCTACTTTAAAATAATTCAACCAGTTACATCGAGTTTAATAAGGTTGGATTCATAGTAAGCTATTTAAAAGTAAAGTATGAGCAAGAAAAAACAAACATGCACACAATAATCAAAATATTTAGTGGCTTACATAATTTGATAAAGTCCAAATCATTTTTCGATGCTGAATTCTGTTGTTTTTAAGAAATTCTAACAATAAAAAAGATAGTTGCAAACTAATTTAGACTCTATATTATCCACGAAGATTTCAGAGAATATATCAAAATGATCAGTGATACATTTAGCCATCTTTAAAAAAAAGTACAAAATCATATTAATCTTCATTGATATCTTTTTTTTTAAAAAAAACGTTACATATTCTTCATGTCTTTGAAATATGTTTAGTTTCTCCGAGTCTTCTAACTTTGCCAACGGCCCAACAAATGCCTAAACATATTTAATAAATTTTTTTATACTTTTTTTTCTTTCAATTATAGGTCTTAACTTACCAGTAATTGTGATGCAAAAGATTTTACATGGCCTAATTGATGAAAACTTATTGTGATGGCATTGCCTGTGTGTTGCAGCTCAAGAGGATCATGAACTAATTCACAGTCTTGTAAATAACGATCGAATAGCTTTACGCAATACTGATAGGCACTATTCGGGTAATTACTATTCAATGCATTTGCCTTTTGACATATTAAATCGAAAATATTCAAGGATTGAAGAAATTTTATGCCCTCAAACGTTTGAGCTACTTCTATGAGCGCTGACCGTCCTAGAATATCATCAATTGTATTATTAGAATATCATCACACAAATACACCCTCATTTTCTTCTCTCCTCAAAATAATAATAATAAACATACCTAAATTATGTGCTAAATTTAACAAAAGATCTATCTTTGGATCTTGTAATATCTTGCCGAGAGAAACAGCCAAGGCATCTATAAAACCAATGGACGATTTTGTCTTCATGGTGGTGATAAATTGTTTTGCAATATCAAATATACGCTTCATATCTGACTGAGTAATCATATTCTTTTGATACGATTGAATTATTTCAGAGACTTGCTTAGGTAAAATTAAGGCCCTTGCAACCCATTCCGTAAATTTTTTATGCAGCAAAATAAAAGAAAGCTTCTTCTCTGCATATTGAAGAGACTGAGGGGATTTGTATATCAAGTCGATCAAATAGATCAACCTTACTGATATATATGCATATACTGAAGTTACTTTTACTTTCTCACTCATATTAGTATAAAATTGTTCAACATCCAAATAATTTTGAGGGGAATTCTCTATAAAGAAAGCTATAGCATCGAAAAAGATCGACGATGGTAACTGGATTAGGTCAACTGGATCCATGATTTCGCATTCAATAAGCCAGATATAACCATCTATAGTGCAATTTAATTGCTTAAGCCAATGATGATAGACATCTATAGGATGTTCTCCTACAGATGCTTTTAAAGGTAGATTCAGTCGATCCGTTTCGTATACATTGATTAATAGTGTATTAAAAGAACTTTGACGCGAAAGCCATTGCTTACAGCTCTTAATATCAGGCAGTAGCACTGCAAATTCAATGAAAAGATGAATACAAGTTTTAGCGTAAGCACGTTGAGGTCTTCCACTTTCTTTGAATAACCATTGTACTAAGCAATCCATATCTTTGACTCCAGGGTGCCCAATAAATGGTCTTTGTGAATTTTCATTCATAAAGACTTGGGACTTTTCACAAATAATGCGCTTGATATGAGAGATTGCTTCAATAATTTGATCTCGCGTTCCAATTGAGGGATGATCTGTTTCTGTTATTCTTAAACTAAGTAGGAACTGTCCGAGAATTTCGAATGTATATATACCAACTAATCTTGGTTCTTCTCGATAAAGTCGATATATACGATTAAATACTAAAGCAGCACCAAATCTTTTTGATGCACTAGGGCTGTTCATTAGGTTATATAATCTTTTGAGTAAGGATTCAATATTGTGAACAGAATTAGTTGACTGACTCGTTTGTTTAATTGACCATTTTACGAATTCTTGAATACATTCAGTGCCATAGTCACGAAGACCTGCATCTGTACTACAAGATGCTTCTAATAGTGCTTGCAACAATACAATTGTCTCTGGGTTTTCAGCCTGAGCATTATTTGTTAGCCAATGGATGATTTGTGAATTTAATAATCTATAAATATCCCTTGTTATTTGATCAGGGTCAATAGCCAAGTTGATCATGACAGGGAAGAGACGTATGTACAGTTTGTGATAATCAGACTCAGTTGGATCTCGTGTTGTTTGTGCTTTAAAAGCTCTATCACCAATCATATAGATAACTAATCCATGTAATAATTCACAGGCAGCTACTTTCACTTGTCGATCTGGTGAAGATTCAGCGAGTTCACAAATTCGTGGCAAATACTCATCAACATATATATCCACTTTTGTATTCATAAACGGCACACGTAATTTAAGTTTTTTAGCAGAATCCCATGCGAGCATTCCATTATTTTGTATAGAATCATTACTTTGTAAAAGAAGTTGCTTATTCTTACCACCTAATCTTCCTAAAAACTGCATCATTCGTTTCTGAAGCTCAGGGAGCCCAGCATAGTTACGTTTTATAACTCCAATTTGATCCGATGTCATTTTTGCCTGAACAGCTTGGTATTTACGCTGTGATGCGGTGGGTGTATTGTACTTTTTTTTCTTACCTATGTATTCTTCTTCTTCAATGAAGGAGACATCACCAATAAGAAGATATTCATTGATATAGGGCAAAATTCGAGATAAAAAATCTGAATTAATATCAAGATTGAGATTAGGATCCATTAATTTGTCTATACTATCAATGGCAATAGTAGCTAAAGGATGGTACGTGATGCCTAATCGTAAAGCTTTTTCAAGAGGTATAGTAAGCTCTTCAATATTAAAAAATTCAATCGGATAGGCCAATATTAATTGAAGACAAGATGCTAACAATTCATCTGTAAACTGTTGAAGTCGATGCCAAACTTCTTTTAGATATTCATAAAGTACAAGATATGTTGCATATTCATTTGGCTATGTAAAAAAAAAAAAAATCATTAGTATATCTTATGAATCCAATTACTTCACATGCATATTAATGTAATTTACCTTTGACATATTTTCTTTTGTAAGTCCATTTTTTTCATTTAAAAAGTATGATTTACAGCCCTTAAAAAACTGGATCCTTTCACATACAACCAAGACCTCAGATAGCATCTTATAAAATCCACTCACTAGAGGATGAATGATACTTTGATCAATCATGGTTGTACTGAAAATATAAACCCAATGCGTCAACCTCATATTATCAATCTCTTTTACTACAATGCACCAGAAATCTATGAGATTTTGAAACAAAATAAAATCTTTTTGGTTGACAGGCTGAAGTGATTTGGAAACAATACTGGTATTATCTTTAACCTCTTTAAATTCTGAATCATCTGTTCTGTTTTTTAATTTTAGGTTGAATGATTGAATGACTTTCATAACAGTCACTATAAAAGAATCATATAATGCTTCTGTAAGATTTTCTGGGTCCACAATTGGCCTTTGTTGATAAATTTTATATGTTTCTTCTTCTTCTTCTTTAATTTCATCTTCATTTTGTTCTTCTTGATCACTATCATTTTTTACTTTGATTTGTGATACTTCAGAATAAGTTTTGCTTAATATTATTTTCCAAAAAAATACCAATTCCATATAAGCTGGATGGTCTTCTTTATTAGGTGGGTGAATTGTCGTACAAGTACATATCAACGCTTTCTCGACTAAATATTTTCATTCATTAGATATTCAAGTTTGGGGAATATAAAACTTACAGAGGTTCTCCGCAAAGTGTTTAAAAATTCCTCCACCTTTCTGATAGAGCATACTTAATAATTGTTGAATGTAAACGCTACCTATCCTTCTGTGATAGCCAGACAAATGTGGAAAACTTAATATGAATATATCACACATTTTTTGAAGATTACCCATGAGTTCTATAGGTATAATATTAAATTCTTCAGCAAAAGATGTATATGATTTTATAAATGCTGGAAGATGTCGAATATACTCTTTCTGATCTGTGTTGGCTCTATAATAATAATTTGCATTCAATAAATAAATAAATAAATAAATAGATAGATAAAGCGCACAATAGCATACACTATATTCAACTTACTCGGAATAGAACCAATCACTAATTTTGACTAACATTCGTCGTAGTTGATCTCTTTTTTCTTTTCCTTTATCTTCAGGCAATTTTGAAAAAATTTTGGAAAAATAGCCCACACCACGAATAGCTACAGAAATTTTATACAAGTTTTCCAAGTTATCAGCTACTTCAAGGATTTCGTTCAATTTAGTCATAATTTTCTGTAATAAATAAATTAATCTCTTGAAGATAATACATACATACATGCATATACATATATAAAAAGGAAAAAAAAAGGGGGAGGAGGAGGGAGAGGGAAATATTAATAATCATAGTTAAACCTACATTAAATACATCATTTTCCCGAATGCCTCCAATATTATAATATAAAACGACAGATAACTAAAATTGAATAAAACATAATATTAATATTGCTTGATATAAATACACTCTTTAGGTAATTGCACACCTGTCTAAAAAATTCTTCATAAGCTGCTAACCCATATCTACATGCAATTTGATTATGATGAGAAGCCCAAAAATTTAAACAATCATAAAGCTTTTCACTATTATATAAAAGTAGATTGGAGAATAGAGTTGAGTGTTCTTTAAATAACATTAGAGCAGAGATAGGTGCTGCATATCGATTTGTATATGTATAATCTCTCAAGACTTTGAAAATGAAATTAAATAGAGTATTACTATCATTAGTTTGAAGTAGAACTGATTGCTCATTTCGATATAAAATAGAATTTAGGCAAGTTAAATATCCTGAAATAGTTATAGCCTCTGGTTTTGAAGAAATATTCAATTGATGCGTCAAGTTATCAAAGCACCATCTTTTCAATTTTTTAATTTGAAGTTCGTCAACTACATCTGGATAATATCTAGCAATGGTACCTAATAACTCGATCACCTTTGCTTTCACACGAGCAGGTGTCTTTTGTAATGTATATTGATTACAGAAACTATTAACAAAAAAAAAAAGAAGGCTCTTATGGTAAACTTTTTTTTTTGATTATATATGATAAAAGATATAGTTAATGACTCACCTAGAATAGAGTGTAGGAACATTAAATTCTTGAACATTATATCCATTTCTGATATCCAACATGACTTCAATAGCTTCAATTGCAGTTGCTTTGGTAATTGCATTGCCTTTTTTCAATGCTATTGTTTGAAACTGACTCTATTAAAGGGGGGAAAAAAAAAGATAAATATATTCTGCATAAATCATCTTTTAAATTTTCTGTAAATTACCATCAAATCTTTCGAGTACTTTTGTAAGCTTTTATTTGTTTTTCGTCTTTTTAAAAAAGTACAGAGGGTTTTTAGTATTTCAGTTACAGCAGTAGCAAGATCGTCATTTGTAGTATCTCTGCACTTGAAGAAAAAAAAGTGAATAGGTCCATCATGTTTAAACAAAACTGAAGACGCATTATCTATCAAAATAAAGGATATATGTATATTTTTTTTTTTAAATCTCCACCTTTCTCTACTTTAAAATTTACTAAGCTTCTAACCTATATTGTCCTCAGAAATATTAGATATTAATTCATGACCAATATCTTTAATTGTTTGCAACACTTCTTCGCTGTCAATAGAATTTTCACAACTGTCGTGTAATCTTTTTGCGTAATTCTCAATTCGTCTTAATTGTGACATTTTGAAAGTTTAAATAAAATAATTAAAAAAAAAAGAAATGAAATAAAATTTCAAACACACATACACAAAAAAAAAAAAAAAAAAAAAAAAAAAAAAAAAAAAAAGAAAAAGAAAAATTTATTGATTACAGTCCCGAAGAATACATGGAATTGAAAGAACTATCCTCCCAGACCGAATACATAAAGGATTAGGAAACAAAACAAAAATAATAATAATAATAATAATAATAATAGTAGAGTAAAGGTAAATGTAAAAATAAGTGAAGACTGGACGGGTTAAAAGTCGGAGTAGTGCTGGATATAATCGACCGCATAGAGAACAATAGCAGTGAATACAGATCAGTATTGTTGTTGTATGAGTAGATAGTAGGGCAATTTATCTATTAAATATTAAATAAGAACATCAATAGCATTTCTGGGCTAAAGGCAATTATGTATGTTAACATTATAGAAAAGGAAAAAAAAAAGACATGGACAAAATCGAGTAGATTTCTCAAGATAATAAGGTAAAACAAACTTAAATATAGTAGCTACATTTACTATTTTTTCACTGTTGTTCATAGGATTGAATCGTAAGTTATTCTTTCGATAGCATCAAACAAATAGCTTTATTTTTAAACGAATTTAAACTGAATTTTTCGAAATATGTCACTTTTTTTTTTTTTTTTGAAAAAATTCGGTAAATCTCATAAAATGCAGTCACTAAATAATTTTTAAAGGTTTCTGAATCCATTTAAAAAATATTTTTTTCTTCTTTAATATTACTTTTAATAATTTAAACTATAATGCCAATGGACGCTTCTCAATACATTGACGTAACAACCGAAAAGAATCACTATTCTCTTGATCATTTTGTCATTCCTTCTCATTATGAAAGAGATGTTTCTTCCATTCTTATTCCTCATGGTGTAATTATGGACAGAGTTAACAAATTGGCACGTTTAATTGTCGACGAAGCCAAGGGTCCTTTAGTTGTTTGTTGTATCTTAAAAGGTGGTCATCAATATTTTGCTGATCTTATCAATGCTGTAAAAAAATTAACCACAAAAAATGGTGAGACTATACCTTTGAGCTTAGAATTTATCCGTGTCAAGTCATACAAAAATGATCAATCAGAAGGTGTTACCATGTCCATTACTGATGAAGAATGCAATGAATTTAGAGGAAAGGTATGTAAAGAAGAATAAAAAAAAATAAAAATAAAAAATAATATTAATAGATAAAAGAGTATTAAGACTATATTTCTTCAATACTTTTACCAATAGAACCTTTTAATTGTTGAAGATATTATTGATACTGGTGCTACTATGGTTCAATTGCTAAAGAAGTTGGAAACATTTGAACCAAAGTCAATTAAAGTGACCAGTTTGTTAATTAAGAAAACTCCCAAGAGCAATGGTTATATACCTGATTATGTTGGATTTGCTATTCCTGATGCTTTTGTTGTAGGTTACGCCTTGGATTACAATGAGTATTTCCGTGATTTAGATCATATTTGTGTTATTAGTGTAAGTATTTATCATTCTTCTTGATAAATTAAGTGATACTGAATTGTATATATACTTTCTTTTTTGCAGGATGAGGGCAAGAAGAAGTATGCTATTTAAAATGTTTATTTGTATTGCAATTAAAAATCCTTATAGAATTTAAGCATATTTAATAAATCGATATTAAAGTTTATTATATATTATATATTTTAAAGAAATCTATTTGGTTTAAAAAGAAAAAGAGAAAAGAAAAACTTGAACCTGTCATAGTTTCATGATATTAAAAAATGGGTGTGAGCGGGTGGAGTGGGAAGGTAGTCAAAGAAGTATATAATACGAACATAAGTAAAGTTCATAAGAAAGGTATATAAAAAGTATTAATGTGTAGAAAAGAAATGGTATATAAAAATAAAACGGCCATTTTGTAGCATAAATAATTAAATTAAAAAGTATAAAAAAAAATTTTTTTTTTTCCCCTTTCGAGTATATAAGCTTTACATATGAAGAAGAGTAGGATCGATATAGTTGATAGAAGCATTGATCTGCATCATTAAAAGATCATCATTAAGCTGTTGTTGAGGGAAGTCAAACAGAGGTTCAAATGGTCTGATATAGCCCAAATTTTGTGTATTTTTAACCATAGATTCATTATTAATGGTAGTATTAGTATTGGTATTAGTAGTAATAGAGTTGAAATTAAAGTAATCTTTAGAGTCATAGATTAAGTTATCATAAGCATTATAACTATTCATAAAAGGTGTATTGTTTGTATAGTTATATGAGATTGGATAGGTGTTCATAGTAGTGTCCAATTGAGTAGATACTGTATAGGGGCTAGAGATGTCATAGTCAAAGAATGAGCCAACTTGAGGAGATACAGAAGAAGTGTAAGATAATCCAGGAGATAATTGATTTGCAATAGGATTAGAGTAGTTCATAATCAAGTCATTTTCAGATGTAGTTTGCTTTACTGTCTTTTTCATATGTGCATATTTAGAAGTCTTTCTTGTAGCCTCATTTGTGGAAGACTTCTTGAAGGTAGAAAGCGTGGTTTCTTCAGTAATTGTTTCAAGAGCTGAAGGATTTTTGTAAATCATCTCCATTAACTTATTATTTTCTTCAATACGAGAAGTAAATTGATTCTTTTTACTTTTTCGAATATAAACACGCTTTGGTGTAGTCTTCTTCTTTGGAGCATATTTATAATTTGGATATCTAATGATTAAATGGAATTCTCATTAACAAATGCCAAACTAAACTAAACTATTTTTTATTTATTAAATACTTACATTTTACTATGTTCTAACTTGGCAATACGAGACTTTTCGCGATAATATTTTTTTTCTTCATCAGAGGCTTCTTTCCACCATTTTGCAATAATTTTAGAGATATCACGATGATTAGCACCAAAGCATTTAGCTACAATTTCTTTTTGTTTTTCAAGACGATACAATAAGAAACAATTTAAAGGTCTTGGAATATTTGATTGATTATCAGTTTTCATAGTAATTATTATTATTTAAAATTAATTGATAAATATTTGTAGTTTTTTTTTTTTTTTTTCTTTTTTGGTTTGACTTGAGCCCGTATTTATTTGAAAACATAAAAAGTACAAAGTGATCATCCAACCAATAAAAAGTGTTTCTCGTATTTAGACTTTGTGTAAATTTTGAAAAGTTTATTTATTTTCAACTCCTTTAAATTCTATGATTTTACTGTATTTTACTTTGGTATCCTCCTCATGCTTATTATTATTATTTTACTTTTTTTTTAATATCCTTCTTTATAGTAGCTATATATGGTTAAAGACCGCCTCCAGGTACGATATATATCCTCCTATAGCTTTGTTAATTCTTATTAAAATATTAATTCTTTTGCGGGATAATGTCAATTAGCCATGAATTCACATAAGATTATCCTGAAATGCATATCATGAGAAAAAAAATCCCTTCAATTTTCTAATTTCATTTTTAGGCTGTATATATTAAATAGTTATTTTAAATGCATGTTATATTATAAATGCGCATAAATTAGAATAAGCGTACAAACTATATGCTATTTCTTTGTGTCAATATACTTTTTTTTTCTTTTTAAAAAAAAAATATAATTATTAAGTATTTGTTCTAACTTTTTAAAATTCATTATTAATCTAGGAGTTTCTCAATTGTTTTAATAATAGTAAACTACTATGGTTCCTCATCACGCTATCTGCTTTTTTTACCCCTTATTCTACTATAATTAGCATTTTTTTTAGTGAGCTTAAAATCCCTTTTGAAAGTGTAACTTTTTTTTTTTAATTAAACGCAACTGAATAAGAAAGTCTCCTTCTTCCATTAAAATGAAATAAACAATAGATATTTATTTACATATTTACAAGCAAATGTAGTAGTCATTTTTCTAATAAAAATTTATAGTAAAACAGGAAATTTCTTTGGTACTAAATGAAATACAATAGAAATAAGATGAGTGTGTTTAAATGTAAGTGAATCGATAGACATTTTTTTTTCTGGATTTACAAAATGTACCTAGGAAAATCAAGTAACTTTGTATGGAAGCTTTTATTCCAAATCGGGCAAATTTTTATTCCTTTTTTTTCTTTGGTTCTGACAAGCACATGTGCTTAATATTAATATATAGTTGCTTTTGTTTATTATTCCATTCCTGCAGTTTAGTATAAATCCACTATATTCTTTTTTTTTACTATGTCTCATGTTGCAAAGGGAATATGCAAAAAAATTAAAGATTTTGTACGATTTTGACAAAAAAAAAACAACTATAATCTTTAAACTGCAAAGTACAAAGGATAGGAAATACATCTAGAAAGTTGGACAATTTAGTTTAGTTAATTTTTAAAAATAGCTCAGCTTTCAATTAAATTTGAACTTTATATTCTTCTTTTTTTTTTTTTTCGTTTATAAAGCATGAAGTTGATATTAAAGAAGAAAGACAATTTGAGATATTTACTTCCTTTTTTTTAAAAAAATCAAATAAAACTTTTCTTATTAAAAGTACATCTATTGAGAAGCAAATGGACAGTGCACGATTTATTGAGCTCCAGATATGTAAACTAATGATTTGCAAAGTCAATGCAGCAGGGGCTTTTGCCATTTTTTTCGAAGAATTTTTTATTTTTTATTTTTTATTTTTTTTTCCTTTTTTACTATATATGGCTTATCGCCGGTTTACATGTATTGCTTATAACAAAACCCAAACAAATCATCCCATTTATTACTGTTTTATAGGTTTATATTTAGCAAATATGCATTATTAATTGACAAATATCAAAACTATAAGTTCACGGTTTTAAATTAAGTTCCTGTGGCAATAGAAGATAATATTTGTCGTCATAGAAACGGTACAGATACGTTTAAATGTATTTAATCTCTATTACTTGTGTAATCTATGAATATATACCATGCATATGCACGGCTTTTGTGTTATGTAAAATATATATTAAAAAAGATTTATTTTTTTTTTAAAGAAAAAAAATTCTTACTTGATAAGCACGTAATATATACCATCAGTAGAAGGATGAAATTCATGCGGCTTCATATCTATTACGCTTTGGTAGTAGAAAAAAAAAACCCTTCTTCATTAACAAAAAAAAAGCATTATTTACATACGTAATAAAAGTAAGTTTGATACACATGAGTACAAGTTGTAAAATGTACCTTATAATCCTCTCCTTATAAGTATATAGAATATAAAGAAGAATAAAAGAAAAAAAAGAGAGAGACTTCAAATTGATTTAAATGTAATTGACATAAAAAAAAAAAGAGAGAGAAAGAAAGAGAGAGAGGGTCATAAATAAATACGTTAGACATAGATTTATATAGTGTTTGAACATTTAGTAGATCATTATATTAACTGAATAGTATTGCTAGATTAGTAAATTATCGTTAGCTAAAAAAAATAATTAAAATAAAATAACTTTGCTACACAAATGTAGACGTTTTTATGTCACTTGGTTTTCTTCTAAATATGTTTTAAAGCTGTATGCAGTTAATATAAGCAAGTTTAAATAAACAGCTATAATAGTAGTCTATGTAAGTTTTAAGTTTTGAGTATTTTAAACTTTTGATTTATTAATTTATTGTTTACAAATAGCAACAAAAAAAAAGGAAGGCTTTAGCTAAATAAGATACAATTAGTAGCATTTCCAAGATCTATCTTCATTTTGGCATTCCTCGTTACTAATAAAGTAATATTTACGTTTCACACATAATTAATGATACAAATGTGCTCAAGTTGCTCAATAAATCAAAAATGTCCGGAATATATCAACCGAGGGAATAAATGAGTAACTGGAAAAATAATAATAATCTTTAGGAGCGAGAGTAAAAAAAAGGGGGGAGTAGGATAATAAAGCAATATAAAATATTGTAAGGACTATACTTTTGGTTCAATGAAAAAAAAAGGAGTTAATCCAGGAGCTTTATTTTTCTTTTTCTTTTCTTTTCTTTTTATTTCTCTGAAGAGTTTGATGTTGCGTGCGGAACTTTATTGTGCTACAAGTAATCAAGTTCATGAAGTGTACTAATTCTTATAGGCAGCTATAAACTTATTGTGTAAAGGAAGCATAGTTAACGTGTATTTAATATGTTAAATATGAATGAAGGGAGGGGGATTCTCGTTATTTCCGAGCTTTTATAGCTTGTACATCTATAAATATATGTATTACGTGATATTTAATAATAATAATAAACTATAAGAGGATACTTTGAGTATAGCATAAAACGCCAACCAGCAGAGAACCCAACATAGTAGCTGTGTTTAATGAATGCTATAAATAGTTACAGATTAGGGACTAAAAAAAAATAGAATAGCATAACATTAGGGGAGCAAAGACCAAGAGAATATTTATTTTTTGCTTTAACTCATAAATGATATATTTAAGCTTTTTACTGTCAGCAGTATAAAGATCCGACATATTTTTTTTTTTATTTTAATCATTTAGAGAGTGTGCACGATTAAGATATATTTGATGGTTATTATGATAGAGATAGGGATAATAATAAAACTTGAGCTTGAAATATATATGTATATAGAGATATATAATATTTAATTAAAGTCGCTAGATTACGAATAACGTTACTTCATCAGATAATTTAAGCTATTAACAAACTCCCTATGAATAAAAGTGATTATATAGCAACGTGTTAAAGCGTTCGTGATTAACACCTAATGTATATAGAAAGTTATAGTATTAACGAGAATTTTTTGTCTTGACAGATTACTCCTTTTAAATAAATAAAATGAAATTCGTTTTCTTCATTTTTTTTTTAATATTAATAGTATATTTTATTATACAAATAGGGCGTCTGAATATCGTATTCATCATTTTATCGCTATTCATTTAACATAAAAATAAGTGACCCTATTCTTATTAGTCATTAGTAGCAATCCTTAGTTAAGATAAAACAGGTTAATTATACTTGAAAAAATATTGTACTTATAGAATATTTTATAAGGTTTTACATATGCTCAAGGGAGTAAATATTACTGCTATAATGTATAAACTATTTTTTTTATTATATGCTCAACAGTTGGAGCTTCAACATAGTTAGTCTTATGAATATGAATAGTATTAAAAGAATAAGAATGGCTTATCACTTTATTAGTTATTCAAAAAGTTAAGAAGTGTAATTACTGTTTACAATAGGAGTGGTAAATTTTCTGTCAGGTTAATTGATATTAAAGGTTTGAATAGTTGCTGGTGCCCAAACATTCAAAATAAATCTAAACGAATATGTATTTAAACGAAAAGAAAAATATCGAAAACTTTGTTTGTATGAGGTTAAAGTATATAGACAAATTACTCTTGATTTTGTAATTAGATGTTTTGTCTCCATGTATATTGAAATTATTTTATATCTGGAGTTAACTCATAAGGAAGACCATTAAGTTTATTTTTCAGAATCCTGGAGATTTTTAATTTTCCGATGAGAATGGACAAAGAAGCTCTTTAATATTTTGAGATTACAACTGTTCTTACAGTATGTTATTTTTTTTTTTGTAGGCTAAACTTTCCTTTTTTTTGGTTATTAACAGTTTTATAATAATAAAAATATTAATACATCTTACTATTAATTAATCGTATGCTTTAGCCTTGTTCTTAATCAGATCTATGAGAATATTCGGTAAGAGAAGTGAATTTAGAATAAAGCAAATATGAGTTGTAGCATATGTATCGAAATTTTAGAAATGTAGATTAGTCATTAGTTACTAGTAGCTTAAGTAGAAGCTTTAAATGGTGCATAATTGATATATTTTACCATAAGAAGTACAACAGAAGATTATGATATTTTAATTAGTGATTTTGCACAGAAGATGCTAATTAAGCTATTGGATAATATATATTGTGGCTACTATCCTTTATATTGTATCTTTGCTAGATGGTCTTAATGTAGATAGTAGTAGATCTATTAGATGCCTTCATAATTATACGAGTATGCTAGTTTAATTTACTGCTTTTTGTTGATAATACCTACATAGTATAAGCAATTAAAATAGGGAAAAACAGAGTATCTACTTTTTTTGTTTTATTGTTTATATATAGGACAAAGTATAAGCTCACATATCCCAAACTGATAAAAAAAAAATCGAAACATAATATTTGAAGCCTTTTTTATAATATTTAATTGTCATTTACTAAACTACTTCTACTTTTATAATCCTATTACCAAAAATTACTAGTTGTAGGGAAAATGCTTTTCCTTTATACAAGATTTGAATTCAGAGTAATATAAGTCACCTAGATTCAGAAATGATAGAAAAGACAAAAAAAATAAGTTTATACTTGCTACTAATTTACTATATTGTAAAACATATTACAATTATTCTTTAAAGTCAAATTTATATGATAAAATATTTTCGTTGCTAATATTTATCATCCTATTTTTACACATCAATCTATATTAATGATGTATAGAGCATCTCTGCAAATGTAAGATTTGTGGTTCAGAAATATCCAAAAGAGGGTATGTAATACAAGCCCTGGAACAGGCACTAATTCAGTACTTACTGATGACGAAATGATATACATCATTTCCTTTTAACAACAGATACTATTCAAAGGTATTTTTTAAGAAATCACGGGAGAAGTTAATAATCTAGGTCAGTTTAGTTTGGCACCCACGCATAGAATAATACTTGAGTACATTCAGTAATTGCTATCAATAACGTATGCCAGATTTTTATTTTTTTGAAAAATGGAAATAAAACAAAAGTTAATAGATGACAGCTGCTTTATTATTTTCGTTAATTACATTGTTTTGATTATGAAAGTAAAAGATACTAACAAATATGTCGACTCCCAAAAATTTAGAAATTATATCAGCTTAATCTATTGTATGTAACCAATATGTTATCCATTATTTAAACATGTGCTTTTATTTGTTCATAATTATGGATTCAACTTGATAATATAAACAAGCCATTATGAAATTCAAACACTTGATTATAGTGATCTATTTACTGGTCTAAAGAGATGCATAGCATCTTTAACTAAATATCTACGATTCATTATTAAAAGACTTTATATCTCCTTTCTCCAACTTAGATATTGATTCTCCCTCCTTTCACTGGTTCTATAAATGATTTTTTCCATAATCAGTCTAAAATCCGTATAAATTTCTTATTTTAACTTGACTTTGAAAGGCATTTTTAGTCTCTCTTTTTGTTATTATGTGCTAGTAGACAAGTTAATAATTTAATTCGAATGAACAGATGTTTCTAGCCCAAAAAGTTACTATCTTTATATTTTTTGACACTGTACCACCTGGATACAAAAAAAAAAAAAAAAAAAAAAAAAAAAAAAAAAAAAAAAAAAAAAAAAAAAAAGAAAGAAATAAAAATAAAAATAAAAAAAATGAAAAAAATGAAAAAACGAAAAAAAAAACACCAAATTTTTCCTCATCAAACATTCATTAAACTAATTACGGTCACTTAAAGAAGACAAATAGGCTATTTATTTTATTTTATTTTTTTTAAACATAAACAATAACAAGTTCAATATTATAAGAGGCTGACAAATAATATGTTTTTAGTCACCGAATTCTATTCAGATTAAGAAAAACGTACTTTTTACCGGTTCAATTGATTTTCAAATTCTGTATTCTCAAGTACTCACTTTTGACCAATGTACTCCGCTTCAGTACTATTAGCTGGTTAATATAAATACTATTATGTAATTAGTAATGATCAATATCAAAAGTAATATGATTTATAGAATTGAAATAATAAAAATTTGAAATACTATTGTATTCATTTACCCAACATTGAAAGATTATACTTTTAATAAATACATGTATAATAAAAAATGTGAAAGGCAAAATATATTTTTATTTTATGAAGCTAAATCGGAGTGACGGCAGCAGAATGGTAGACCTTGACTCCGTATTAGAATGTGCCACCTTACTAAAATATCATCGTAATCTATCTTAATACTCCTAATTCATTATTATAGCACCTTCTTATTTTTTTTTTTTTTGTTTAATCTTTTTTTTTCTTTTTATATAATACTTCTTTTACTTTTTATACGCAATACAGATTTACATTAAAAAATTGTAAACTGTGTATTCTTCATTCCTTTATATTTTGGGCGGCATTAGTATTCATTCCTTATAACTATGCCCAGTAAACATGAAAGTTTAAATTCTTTGATTCAGGCCGAGGAAAACTATTTAAATGATTTAAATGATATAGACCTGGTAAACATGTTTACACTATACACTGATTCAATTCTAATTTTATAATTAGAGACTATTACAGCTATGGACGAAACAAACAGAATCAGTGATATCTGATTTCAATGATATGCTACAAAGTTTTCAAGATATAATTCATATTCATAAGCTTTTTTATAAAGTACTAGATTCTAATATAAATTTAGCTATCTCTTATATATATCTATATTTCTTCTCTAATCTTTTATATATGCGTATTGTAGGAACTAAAAGAAACGAATTTTGAAGAGGGATTACATTATTATTTATTACGATTGGTTTGTTAGCTAAATATTTAGTGCACTTATCTATACTAACTATTAAGTATAGGTTAAATTTATAAAAATACCTTATCAAACTTATAACAAAAAATATCTTAATAATTTGGAACAGCGTCAAGATATTCTTTCTAATACATTGATTCAACAATTTCTACATGTAAATTAATCATATACATATACATATATACCAAGTTATTTTTATACATTAATATCAAATATATAGGACATTAATAAAGATCGACAAGGAGAGGAAAAGAAGCTTCAGTCTTTATTGGATGCTCCTTTAAACCACATTCATTTTTACAAATCCTTTTTTAATGTAAGTTTGTTTGCAATAGTTATATAACTTTTTAGTTTTTAACTTTTTTTTTTTTTTTTTTTTTTTTTTTTTTTTTGTAGAAATCAGATATTGATGTTGGTCAGCCTATTTTAACGCAGGCTAATGAATTGTTTGATTCGCTTATAAACGTTATGTCCATAGATATCGATTCACTTTATAATCAAATTGATTGTACTCATGTTACTGACATATTAAATGATGATCCAATTTCAAACTACAAGCTACAGCCATTTTCAAAAATTTTGCTTTGTAGCACGTTCAACTGTGCAGAATTATCCAAAAATGTGCAACTTATCGTAACAACAGATAATAATTTGATTTTTTGTCATAGTAAAGATCTCGATTGCACTGGAAATAAATATACATTACTTTATGCTCCAATAGATATCAACGATATTTCGATCCAAGCTGTTCAACTACAACATGAGCTCGTAGATGACTATAATTTTCAACTGCAAATTCATGGTAGAAAGATATTTACGATGAAATCAAGTCATACAGATTATAGAAAATGGCTTGGTATAGAAGAAGAGTCTTTGAAAGGCCATTCTGTAGAACATTGGAAACCTTTCAAAGATATCGTCGAAAGCTATGGCACAGACCATCAAAATATATCTAATAAACCTAAACAATCTGATTTAGCATCCATTCGAAAAAATGACGTTTTTAGATTTTATACTGAACATTCTGGAGAAGTATCACCTTTAGTGTCTTCGGATGAAGAAGAGGAAAGTGAAAGTGAAGCTGAAATCAACTTCAGAAAAATGAAAAGTGAATCATCATTCAAATCAGGTATGTATAAGTTTTAAAATACATTAATTACAAAAGTTAATCCATGTTCATATAGATAATTACACAAATAAAATTCAGATACTCGATACGGATTATTTTCCTTCTTCCTCTTCTTCTACAACTTTAAAAGAACAAAAATCAATGCCGCCTTCTCTTCCAGAAAAAACTAATATTTCTCGACTGCCTTTAGAGTTTCCTAAACGTAACTATCAACCGCCAATTATATCCAGTGTAAAATCACCTTCAGTTTGTAATCAATCGTTAACAAGCCAACTTATTCCTTCAAACCTACTCTCATCTACAACGAGTCTTCCATATAATTCAGCAACTGTCAGACCTGAAAATACTCGACCTCTTTCAACAACTAATCATCAGCCTAAAGATAAACCCTTGATCAGCAATCAGCATCCGCATCCAAAGCAATCATCATCACTATCATCTACACCCTCATCTTTCCCACCTCTATCAAAGAAAAAGTCCTTTGTGCAAACAGTTATATCAGTCATATCATCTAAAGCATCATCACGTTTACAAAAGAGCCAAGCAAAGCTTAATGAACATCCTGAACCATCAACTGCGTTAGATGTGCCCCATGAAAATAAACAAACTCATAATACGAATTTACAAAATCTGAACTCAGTAGTTTTACCAAGCCAACAACAACAACAGCAACAACAACAAGAGACAACAAAGTTAGGACCTGACTCTACTGATTTATTGTGTTGCCAGAAATCCGAAAATCCGACTAAAACACTGATTATACCTCAGAATTCAACTGCGCCATGCCCATCTTTAAACTCCTACTCGTCAAATAATCATTCATCATCTTCATTTATCAATGTCACTTCATTAAGCCAAACTAGTATAGCGCTTACCCCTCCATTAAGTCAATCTTCTAGTCCTAGATCTTCTACGCCCGTCAGTTTATCTCTTCATCAAGCATCGTCCTATTCTTCATTTGAGGAATTAGGTACCCCTCCCGAGAGTGTAAGTGATATAAATGATTGCTGCTTGCTATACATTCTTCTTATACATTATAATATATGCATATACAAATCTGTATACATATATATGCATATACAAATCTGTATACATATATATGCATATACACTATATATATATAAATATAGCCTGAGATTATTACACAAAGAAACTTGATTAGAAATATTCTTTACGTGAATGATAAATGCATAGTATTTCGATGGAAGGATGAGTCATGGTATGAAATTGAGGGAGGCTGTGTAATTGAAGTTCGTCAAACCTATAATAATCGTTCTTGTATTGCAGTCCATATAAAAAATACGGGTCAACTCTATTTAAATGCATGGGTGTTACCAGATACATTTATCTGTCGTACAAATGAAACTGATCTGAGCCTATCGCTACATATCACAAATCATCAATCTGCCTTGGAGACTTATCTTTTCCATTATGAAACAAAAGCTGAGGCAGAGAGCTTCAGCAATTTATTAGAACAATTGCACAATGAGTCTATAAAGATGAACACTACTTTCTCCGCTACAAACACATTAAAAAGCGCTCCCCCGGTATTAATCCGAAACTCTTCATTAACAGAAACTAATACAAACAATAATGTTTTAACGTTAGACGAATTATCAAAGACATTAAGATTAGCGATGCAATGTAAATGTAAATTGTATGTGCAAAGTGGAAGCTCTAAATGGAGAAGCTTTGGGAGTGTTCATATGAAGGTATCACAGCAATATACATCAAAGAGAATGCATATTAGTATAGAATCTCATAAAGGTGGCAAAATAACGCAATTGGTGAATGCCATGATACAAAGCAGAAACGTTGAAAGATTGAGCCAAAAACGGATTTCATTTATGTTGGTAGATGAATTACAGAAAACGAGTGTAGTATACATGATACAAGTTCGCGAAGAGCTAACCGGGGATAAAATTATAGAGTACATAAAGTCAAAAAACGCGGAGTATGGTTGGTGATACCGAAACGTATTTATTATTATTATTATTTTCTGTAGTATACAAATACATATTTTTGTCATGCCTTTGTATCATTATATATTTATTTGTATGTGGATGTATATTCATATTATAGTTATTTATTAATATATACACATATATATATATGCCACATGAAAACATTATGACTTCCTATCATTTAGTATAAATTACGAAATTATACATATCATCTAATTTTATCTTTATACTATTTTCAACTATTTTATCATGGACAACTTCGAATGCATTTCCATATATAATATGCCAAATTCGTTGTTATTGTTGCTATATATTCTTTTTCTTCAGATGACAATTTAAGAGGATCTTTCCTGAATTCCTTTGTATTAATCGTAGCCGAACATAATTGATTACAATATAATTCAAAGTGAAAAAACGAAGGTGATCCTGTATTCGAAACAAATAACAGTACATGCCTTGTGTCTTGAACATAAATATCACCGGACGCTTTTTTATAAAATAACTTTAAATTATCTAGTGCATCATTCCAATTGATATATTTGAGCTTTAAAAATTTTTTAAATGATGGATCCGTTTTGCCAAGATCAATAGGATTGAATTTTTTAGCTAATTGTATCAAGTTTTCGGAGTTCTCTTTTCTTATATTGGGGTACATTATTTTACATAACATATTCCAATCTTTTTCACGTTGAATAAAATGAACGGCCTGTACATGAATATGTATATAGTAAATAAATATTTTCAATAGAGAGGAATAAGAGACATTATACTACCTTTTTAATGATGCTTTCAATTTTTAATTTTGCTGATTTTAAAATATCTTCCTGTCTTAAAGATTTAGGTACTAAATTATTATCTGAAGAACTGCTACATTTTTTCTGATTTTCTTTAAGAACAGTATCCTGACTTTTTTGGGAATAATCTGAAGCTTTACAACAATCTATTCCTTGATATGTAATTAGTATAAAGTACTGTAATGATATAACTGTTGTATGTCTATCTATTTTGTCGGTGGTATTCATTTGACTAATGACTTCTTGTACTGAATTTGCTTGTCGATGTAAACCACTATTTTTATCTAGCTCAATATGACTTGTTTTTTCTATTGGACAAACTATTAATGTATATTTATAAACTGAATTTTCACTAGAGGATTCATTATTTTCATCCGCAAAGGATGAATTATTTGAGGATATAAAACAAGAACTAGGTACTCTATCTACTGCAATTGTATTAAGTTCAAGCTTATTTCCATTATTCATAACCCATGAAACAAGTTCATTTAATGATTCTTCTATTGTTACTTCATAGATTCCTTGAATAATTCGATTTTTGGAATATATTGTAGGTCGATCATAAACAGAGACTGTATTTTTTATGACGCTCAGTAAATTTAGATTAGAAGGCAGTATTTCAAGATTATCTAAACTTCGTTGGATATACCGTAGATGGAAATCGAAAACAAAGGAATTAACATGAATGCGTTGTTTGAATCGATCACACTCAGCCATGAAATTCTGAAACGATTCTCGTCCAGTCCCATATCTTTTTCGTTGGCTTGAATGAGATGGATATTGCAATCTACTATAGCGTCTATGTAAAGTATATAGTGTAACAGATACAAATGCACCAGTAATTCGTACTTCACACATAATTGATCCGCCTTCGAATACTTGTAATAGATAAACTACAGGTGATTTTATTACGTAATTTTCTGTTATGGTAAAATCTGATAAAAAAGCATTTATTTCATCTTGATTATCATTAGATGGCCCATTCACAATAAGATGCATACCAACACTTTCCAAATAAGAAGCATACTCCATCATAAAGTCTTCAGATAGCTTTTTATACCACGTAATCACTTCTTCATCTTTTAATGCCAACGAATTATTAAATATTTTTTCAAACCTATCTGACATTGACTTTGAGGATAAAGGTGTATTAGCTGAATCCGAGAAAATAAGTGGAGTTCTACAAAAATGTAGTAACCGGGAAGCTTTTAAAATTAATTTTAACTCGTCTGCTGTCATCATTTCATCCGTAGTTTTAACATGCCCAGGCCCATAGTACTGATCAGCCCATTTTGTATAAACTTTAAATGCCTTTTCGTGAGCAACCAAAGGTTTTGACTTTGCTAAATACAATTCAAGAAAAGGCTCACCATGCTTGAAGAGGTGATCTTTATTAAACGAATATCCATTTTCTTTCGTAGAATCAATATAAGTGTCACATAATAATGTATCTGCATCAGCTTCATGAGTTGAAGTAAACATAGGACCCATTTCTCTAATAGATTTATGGGCAATAGTTGATTTTTCATCACCTTCTGTATAACAATGATACATATTTTGTTGTTGTTGTTGTTGTTGTTGTTGTTGCTGCTGCTGCTGTTGATAAGGATGTATTTTTATATTATAATCGTTAGTAATAAGTTTTCGCAAGTTTTCAAAACCAATAATAGTAGTAGAGCTTTTATTACTAAATTTTTGTTCAAAATCAGAAGTCTCGTTAGATTGTATTGATAATAATGAATCCATGTGAACAAGTCGCCCCAGAGTATTTCCCAAACTAGATGCTACAGGAGATTTAATACTATTATTATTAATCGTTTGCAATTGCGTTAGCGGTGTTGTATGATGAAATGAGTTCGTATTTGGGGCTGATTGATGCCCTGTTATTAAAGTACTTTCTTGTAAGTCATGTTTACGAGAAATAATATTAACCATTTTTTCTGAATGATGAAATAATCCCATTTTTTGATGTAAAATATTTTTTAAAGCCATATGTCGTATTTCTTGTTGTATAATATATTTGTATAATGTGTTATAGGTTTGCTCTATAAAGAAGTCTGAGCAGTTATATGAATAAAGTGATAAACAATCTGTATCCAGAATAAATATCATAAAAGTGTGCTGATTCGTTCCATCTTTGTTATCGTTATTTTTAAATTTTGCAATATAATTTGGAAAAGCTTTAGACATAGATTCTTGCCGGCTATGTGAATTGGTAGTATCCTCTCTCTTTGAATTTTCAGACTTTTCGATAAAGTTTTGAGATTCATCTTCTTCAAAAGGATTTAAGCTATCACTACTACCAAAATGCAGTCCACGAGCACCGATTAGCCTATGTATGTAAGGTGAATCCCATAAATAGTTATTCATTGGTCGTAAGCTTGAAGCTGAAGAAGGAATATATTTGTTTAATAATTCAGGGATTCCACTAATAATTATATAACGAAAATTTGCATGATTAGATATTGGTAATTCGTTAATTGTTTTCTGTTTTTGATTTGATTTATCAGATTCCAAGTCTTGAAGATTTTTATTTGAACTTTGAAATATATTGTAATCTTGTTTTGGTGGAACTGGATCCGATAGTCTCTGACATTTATCATTAGCTGTAATGTTATCATAATTATCTATTAACCCGAAGGGATATAGATTATATTCTTCAAAATCGGAGTGATTGTTATTATTGTTATCAAAATTAAAGGATAAATTTGCTCTTCCGATTACTGGCTCAAACATGCTATGAATATCTAAAAGATTTGATCTAAATTGTTGTATAATACCATCCATGTGCAAGGGAGCTAATTTGATTGAATGTGTAATATTCTTTACTGTTGAGCTCTCCCATTCGTAAGCTTTTTTTAAAACGAAAAGAAATGAAGATGATATAGTCCTGAAGTCTTCAATTTCTTGTTTTGATATTGTGATAGTAGTGATTATAGTTTGAGTAATATAATCACATATACTCTGCTTGAATGTTTTATGTATATATTGGTATATCTGATCGACATCGGTTTTACTGTGAGACCAAATATCAATACCAATTTTTAATTTTTTTTCATTATTGTTTTTTTCGAAATCAGAATTCAAACAGGACGATAGGATCTCTGGACTAAAGCTATGTAGGCTTTTGTTTCTAATAACATTACCAGAACTTATCTTATTATAGACTAAGCCTTCTTCATTTAATAACGTTAAACAAATTCCAGCTATACCTTCACCAATTTTCTGCTCAAACGGTAAATAAGTACCAGGAGCACGATTTAAATAGTTATAATAGAATACAAGATCCAAACATGACATTTCTTCTGCAGCAATACGTCCTGAATTTTCTCCTAAAGTCTTGTTGTTGTAAGCATAACCATTGTATCTTAAATCATGATGACGTTTTATCAAAGAAGGTAAATAATTTGAGTGTAGTGTATGGAGTGAAGATCCGGAGAAGATATTCTTGCGCAATATCCTTAAAAATTGTATATTATTTTCTATTAAAGGAGGTATATATAATAAACGATGAATTAAAGGCTCCTTTTCAACAGGTATAATGAAATCTATATCTGCACGAGAAAGCTTTGAGTTGGGATTACGAACTAAAAACTGCTGTACTTCTTTTAAGGTAATATCAGAAGTAATTCGGGAATCAATCATTTCAACAAGTCCATCAATGATATAGTCGTTCAACTCAACACCATACACTTCCAGAACAAGCTCTCTTCCTTCATAATTTTTAGTTCCAGATTTTCTGCTACCTAAAGGAGACGAAGCTGTGGCAATAATATCAGTTAAACAGGGGCTTTGATTTGGGCTAAGCTGTTGTCGATCACTATTGATGCTCCCTTGTGGTGAAGGTTTAGTAAAAGTATAAGCAGAATGATGTATACGAGTATGTGATGTGCAAAGTGCATCATTTTCATTTGGATTTAAAAGCATATTATTATTATGAGGAGATTCCGGATTTGATATATTATGAATATCATCTATGTTGTGATTACTAAGATAATGCTGGTTAACACTATCAATTGAAGCAGAAGAGTAACTTAAACTATTAACTTCTGAGAGAAAACAATAAACCACGGAATTTTGATGAGAGCAAACAAACATCCCAGATTTATTCTTCACCAAAAAAGGAGTCAGTGTGTCAGTCATCAGCTTATTATAAGCCACGTTTGGTGCCAGTCTCCAATGCAAAGGAAACCTTTTAGTAAATAAGAGATCACAACTAAATTGGCCCGGCATAAATTTTTTTGGTGGAGAAAAAGCAGCTTCCTCTCCAGAAGTTGATAGAATTTCAACTAAATTATTTCCTGTGTTATTATTAGTGAAGTCATCTTCCTCACTTGTTTCTTCATAAGAAGAATAGACTAATTTATCTTCTTCAACAGTAGATAAAAGGTATTTGCTATTTTATATATAAATATATATATTTATAGGAAAAAAAAATATATTCTTAGTATTAATTTTACCTTTTATGATATAATTAATTTTACCTGCATTTTCGACTATCATGCAAAGATCGTAAAAGGATTATTTTATTTGTACGTTCTGTCACTTCATTTACCATTGCTTTAGTGGAGCGAATAATTTCAGAGCGATTAACTGTTTCTTGCATTTTTGAATAAAAATATATTTGCACATTATGTGCTTGAGGAATTAGTAATAGCCAATAAAGTTGTGGATACTCTGGCTCTTGCTCTGTAGGTTCATCTTCATCAGCTGGTGTTTCAATTTCTAGAATACTAATTCCTAAACCTTGGCAAAATTCATCGCTTTCTTGTTCTCTGCTAGTTGTATTAATCGTATTCTCTTTAATATTAGTATAAATATTGGATTCAGTTGTTATATTTAATCCTTCACCATCAAATAGAGGATCATTATTTTCTTGCTGTTTTAGTAATGAACATGATCGTAGCAATAAAGTATTACTTGATCCATTATCACATGCATAAAAGCAATCTCCTACACGAACTAATCGATAAGGCGCACCATTATGCTTTTCAAGTTCTTCGAAAAACATTATACGGCTTTCTTTTTGATTTTTGACAAAAGCTAATGGAATAAACATTGTTGTAGGGAAATCAACAAATGGATTTTTTTTCCTTAATTGGGTTTCAATATAATGAATCACTGTTTGTGTGATGGGACCCGATCGGAGTAAACCATGCATAATCTCTTCTATGAATAACCATGTTAATCGAGCCTCTGTTTCAACTAATGCATCCTGTTTATCTTCACTCAAAGCAGGAAGTCTTGATCTATGGAGTTTATCAGTATCCAAAAATAGCGACCTTTTATTTATTCATTTTTTTTTTTTTTTTTTTTTTTTTTACATTAGTTCATCTTGTTGTATACTTTCATTTCTTATAAAACTTACGTATGGGAAGGAGCTTTATTTTTGACAGGACAGGAAGGTTTATGCGAGAATAAAACATTTGGTAAATCATGTTCTGACTGTGGTAAAGTGATACAGACTAAGTGTAATGTAGCAGAAGTACCATCAGTAGAATCCACAGGTGAATTTTCAGTTCCAATAAAATCTGGTTCAAAATTAAAAACGCTTCCATCTTCTAATTCACCTTCATACGATACAGGTAAATCGCGAACAGGAAATGTTATCTCTGTGAATCCAGTATAAGTTTTAGAAGGTTTACGTAAAGTGCATTCCAGACGTATGAATAATGGATTTTGAGCACATATAATAACATCCGTCAAATTACTTGGCTTTTCTCCCGATGAAAGCGAAAGCCCTAGCTTTTGGCCAACCTTGGCAAAAGGTGGACGATAACAATACATATTAGTCCATTTAGAATTGGATATAATAACTGGTTCAAAATAATGACCCAAAACTGAAGCAAAGCGGTGATTAGTTGATATTAATTCTTCTTTGATTATTCTTGAGCTTCGCTTAAGCAACGTTTGAACATTTAGATATCCTGTTAAATCAATATCTATGTTAGATTCATCACAGATTTCTAGAACTTTTTCAAAGTCTTCTGAATCAATTGCACGTCCATGTAAAAGACATGTAAAAACGGATTTAACAAAGCTTCGGGAATAAACTTGTGATATATCCTGCATTATTCGTAGTGCTCTGTCAGACAAAGGATTATATAATGGTATGTTCGAAAAATAACCTTGAAAGAGATTAGGTCGGAGTGTTGATGGTAGACTGTCTAACCATTCTTTAGATGCTGTCAAATCAATAGGACATATCTTAATTTGGTCAAAAGGGGATACATTCATACAGCTATTTTTAATCTCTTGTCTCCGGCATTCAAACACCATTAAACCCAAATGTTCAAATGAGAATGGCTCGTTTTTTAGAGGACTATTATCAATTTTACAAAATCTCTTAATAACAGCATCCAACCGAGGTATTGAAATTACTATGAAGACAGATGGTTCAAATATTTTTATAAAGCATTGTAGATCTCGAAAACTATGTGCTACATGTAGAGTGCTTCTATTGTTTCCAATTTTTTGATTATTTTTAAGTAGTTCTTTAATTATTGATGGCAAAAACTCATCACTGGATGCTTTGCTAAAAGATATATTACGATCCGTGACTGCATATAATGACTGCTCCACATAGTAGTGTAGTAATACAATATCTCTAAGAACAGGCTTCAATTTAGAGATAGCATTCTTTTCAGTACAAAATAGAGTGTCTGGTCGAGGGCAAGTGCATGTAGTATTCTTATCTGTATTCCAAATCAAAGGAGTTTTGGATATAAATGGTGAACCTATAGGACTAAATTTCGAAAATGTCCTTGAACGGGTATTTGTAGCACCGTTCTGTTTGAATGTATAGCTATTCGGCTCTTGAGCATCATTTACAAATAATTTCTTTTGCTGTTGTTCAATTACTATTGATTCACTTCCTTCTGGATGAAAATGTCTACTGTAATTTGGACATGAATACATCGGAAATAAGAAAGTTCCTGATTTCAGTATAGAAGACAAATTGAATAAGGATGATTTCTGCATCCACCTTGTTGTATTATATATTTCATCCTCAATTTCCATTTGATCTTTTAATAAGTCCTTGATTGATAATGAACTTTTTTTTCCAAAAGCATACATAACATCAAACGTAGTCAGCTTTGAAAAGATATGTTTATCTGATCCAAATATCTCTGATTTAATAGCATCGTTTGTTTTAATTGTACTTTCATATGGTATAGGTTCAAACCAAAGTTCTGTCGAAACCCTATTCTTCTGAGCATCTTTCCAAATAAAGTATTGTAAAGAAAAAATAGCTCCTACATCTTGACTATTATTATAACTGTCCTCTTTATAAAAATGGGCAAATGTGTCATTAAACGATATCAAACTCCATTTCTATTAATTAATTTCATAAATAAAAGATATATGTAAATTTTTGAAGCACTCACTTGTTCTAGTCTAGTTACTATAATATGATCAAATGCTAAATCCAATATTGATTTAAAAGCATGGTAGTAACTTTGCCTGTCATAATCTACGTCTTTGGCATCCCAATGCCATATATACTGTTGTAGATAGTTCCTTACAATAAATTCACCTGTTAAGATTATAGCAGGATCAATATACCAAGAAAATTTGCTACTATTTTGGCTGACATTCTTAGAAAGTTCAAATTCATTATTCCTTATCAAAGAAGGTAAATAATGAGAACTATCACGCATGAGTAAACGAGTTAATGGCCTTTCTGTTAAAATGATAGCTGTTTCTGAATTATGATAAGTCTCTTTAGCAAACTTATTGTTAGCCACAAATGATTTATTTCTTATATCCAGTTCAACTAGCATATTAGTTTGATCTATTGGATCTTGTGTAGTTAGCATAAGTTTTAAATCCTCAATAACAAGCTGACGTTGTTGAATACTTGTATTAAAGAATAATAATTTGATATAAAATACTCTGTCAGTTTCGTGTATCATTCTTAACGTACAAAACTTTAGTACAGTCTGTTTTTTTGAGCTATTAAAAGTGAATAAATTTGTTGACGATATTCTTTTTCTGTCATCATTACTATCGTTCTCTGATAAGGAGCGCAATGTAAAAGCAGATGTGGTTTCATCTATATTTAATAGCTTTATATAAATGTGTTGCTCATCACTAATGAAAGTTGACCATTTTTTGAGTTTATTACAAATCCGACTCCAAGCTAGTTGTAGTTCATTAGAGTCGTTATTATCAATATAAATTATTTGTTGTTGAGAACATTCACCCATTCTATCAGCTTGGAATCCATATTGTAGGCCCAAATTTGATGAGCTTTTAATAATTAAATTAAAACTTACTTCATCAAACCAGCATGTATTAAATGCATGCAGTTCCGACCTTTCAAATTTAGACCAATAAGTTCTAAATTTTTGAATATAATTTGCCTGAAAAATATTTTCTTCATTAGAAAGAGCCTCAGGATAATTAGTGTGTTGCACTTGAATTGAACTAATTTGATTTTTTTCTGTATTATTGATTTGAACCAACTGTTTTAGCATGTTATCTGCTTCAACTATTCTCTCTAATAATCGTTTCATTTTCCCTACTTTGATAAACCTCGACTCATTGGCTAAATCAAGAGTAAGGTTTCCTCTACCCTGAACGGCTACCATTTGCTTTCGTCTTCGAAATGAGTCCCAATTATGTAGCATATGCAAGAAGGATGCTGTCGATTTTACAATAATTTCTATTTTTGGTGCTTTTATGAAATTAAATATATTATCATTGTCAAAAAATAATGCTCTTCAGGTATATTTGTAAGCTTATCTTGAGCCATAGAGATTGATTTAAGATAATATCTTAATGAAGATGTCCAAAGTGCTTTAATTGAATATTGAACAGTAATATTGAGTTGCCATCGCAGAATAAAAACCAGTTTGACATTTTGCTTTCTTTGGAAATTCGGTAATCCTTCTATTGAGGCCTGCTTATGTAATTTACCACTGTTTTCTACTTTATTCCCTACAGATTTAGATTCATCAACAAAAGAAATAGATTGAAGTACGAATCCTTGCCGTAATCTTGCTTGCATAAAATGCCAGCATTCAGAAGGTAAAAAATATTCTTTAAATTTCAGCCTTCCAATATCTTCTGTAATGGGTATAGCCAAAGGATCCCACGGAAATATTCGTTGTTTAAGGAGTGGAACTGTGTTGGTTGTCAGCTTTGGAATAGATGAGGACATAAATGACTTTGTATTATTCATATTTAATAAAGTTGAATCACTATCAATCGATTTTTTCTGATCCTTGCTTCCATTTTCCTTATTTTTTCTTGATAAGCGGGATGCATTCATATAATCCATATAAACTTCTTTTAACATATATCTATAATGATATAAATTCGGTGATATTGAAATATCATCTTTAATTCTGTACTCAATCTCATTTATTGATGGACAGTTTTCAGCAAAAACAAAAACACCTTGTGTTGCAGTTACCAAATATTCTAAAATCTCATTATCAGGTACGAATCCAAAATTTAAACCGGGAAAAAAATCCACATGTTGTCCAAGTTGAATAACGTTACATGTTATATTTTCAGATATAATTTGACGAGTAACAAATTCATCTTGAATATTTGACTTTACTACGCCGTCAGTCACTAATATAAGAGATGACTGTCCCTTTTTAGGGAATAAGCTTAAGGCTAAATGGCCTGCACGTAGTATATAGGCTAAGTTACTACCTGTTTTACCAACACCCCATACATCTTTTCCATCTTTAACAATTGACTGTCTAATTGGACTCTTTACGTTACTTGGAACACTTTCAATAGAATCTGATATAGATGATGAGTGCTTATGCTTGTGATAACGACTATGATGATGACGATAATGATGGCTAGTCTCGGTCGTTTTCTTATTATTAAAGCTATTATCTGTTCTTTTATTTTGCTGATATTTATTATTTGATACTGATTCACTCTTTGAGTGATTATTGTCGGATACTATATGGGCAGAAGTATTGTCATACTTTGACAAATTTAACGAGTTTTTTCGAGATTGCTGTGTTTGCTTTAGAGATACATTTGATGATGAGTGACTAGATTTATTCAGGTTAAAATTTAAGTCTGTGTTTTCTGTAACAGTTGGAGTATGATCATCTCGTACATCTAATTCATATCCCATTTTCGAACGTTTTATTGTTAAATTTTTCCTGAATGTTCCTAAATCCTTTTTAAAGGCCTCTATCGCATCTTTTAGAACATTTAATACTGTTGATATATTATCAATTGACACAATCGTATTTTGTAATAAAACTCTTATTGTTGAGTATTCAGCTAGAATGGGTATAACATTTATATTTGATCCAAATTGTGAGCATTCTGCAATAACAGTAATTCTTACAATACAATCAATCTGCAATAATGGTAAAAAAAAAAAAAATCAACTCATCTATTTTAATCTCTATAATCAATTGAATATTTACAATAAATGGAGAAGAGACATCATTTGGATCCAGAGAAAAGGGTTTGATAAGACCTTGAATAATATTTTTGATTCTATAGAGAAGCTTGGGTTAATAACTGTATATTATAATTTGTAGAGTCAACTTACATATTAAATGTATGCCCTATCATCACTTTTCCGGAGTTCGTGTCTATAGTAGCCAAACTAGAGCTTAGATCGATCATAAAAACAAAATTATGTTCTTTTGCAACAGTTAAAATTCTTGTACGGGGAGTGATAATATACATTTTATCATTTTCTGATGCCATATCATGGTTTAATAATGATTTAGAAGGATCTTCATCCGTGCTCATTTCGTGTGATATTAATTCTGTTTGCACTTGTCTTGAATCCTTTTTCTTTTCCCAAAAAGGTTTAATATTTGGTGATAAGTATAAAAGTTGGTAGTTCTATCGTCAAACCAGAAAAATAAAAATAAAAATAAAATGAAATAAAATAAAATAAAAGGTATAGTTTTAATGAGTTGGTATTATTAAGACTTACATCATATGTATTCAATGTTAAAGGTCGGAACATATGTTCTAAAAACCACATTGTAGATTCATTACGAGCTGAGTAGCCTTTAAGAAGTAATACTGCTTGGCGTGCTTCTACAACCTAAATTTGAATAGGTTATATACGAGAAAATAGAAATTAAAGATCTTCTTACCTTAATGTTGGAAGGATTGCCATCTTTTTCAATTTTATTTAATTTGGATGTTGACATTTGTTGATCAGTGAGATTGTCTGAGGTATGTTTCAAATTAATATTTATTCAAAAAAAAAAAAAAAAAAAAAAAGATGTTAGTTTTTGTACCCCCAGTGAAAGTATTTATTTATTTATTTTCATATACATTATTGTTACTGTATGAGAATATGTTCAGTTTATAGTTTTTTTTTTCTCTGTGTGTTCAGTTATAAATATAAGATTTATAATAACCAAAATAATATTATATGCGGGTAAATTAAGGTAGATTTTAGTTAGTTTAAAATTAATGTTACAGTGTTTTCTTATATTATTCTTTTAAGACCTACCATTAGCAGTAAGTATAAGGTTTATTTTATTCAAGTATATATTTGTTTTATACAGTGTGTCTCTAACATGAGTATAAATCTGAATAAAAATCATATATCATTGCTTTTATCATAAATTAATATCAATAAATAACTGAAGTAGCTTTACAATTAATAGCTGTTTTAACTTTAGAAGCTTCAACTGTAGCATCGATTAAACTATTTTTCTTTATATATAGAAGGGAGAAGTATTTATGGATAACTTTGGTTTAAATCTGTTTTATGCAGCTTTTTATTATAAATAGCAGAAAAAGTAGCTTCAAATGTCTTTATCTGATTCATAGTATTTGTATCACCATCCTCTTCATTAGTACATCTTGCAAACGGTTATGTATTATGTATACATATACATCTATTATAACAAAAAGAACCCCCTCTTAGTTACTTGTAAAAAGTATGGAAATTCGATAATAGGATTTACTTTAATTACACAGTATTTTACTATACCATTTGCATAGGGGTAATAACTCAATACAAGTAAATGATTTATATAGGTCTACTTTACTTATAAACACATCATTTGATGTATATATTCAGAATCCTTACCATCTTGGATAATTTTCGGTTAATCCATTAAAGATAGAAATTATTTCTTCATGTGAGTGTAATAGTTAGGTTAAACCTACTAGAGATAGCTTTGAGAGTGCAAAATCTAGTAAGTATATTAGTAACTAGAAAGATGTAGTTATTATCGGTAGTATAAATACAAATATGACGTTTTTTTTTTTACCAAGTATATTATCTTTGAAACTATGTTCAATAAGCCTTTTTATTATATAAAATATGCATTTACAGTTACTAGTGTGATTAAATCAGTAAGAATAATTATACGAGAAACTAGAATATACTCTTCTTCTATTTGATGTACTTTCAATTAAAATTTGGCTATTTTGAAAAGAAATTGAATTTAACAAACAAAATTATTTCAATATGTAAAATCATTAGCAAAAGTTAACATTATGAGACATATTTAAATTTGTAGATATTATATAGCAATTCTATATGTTATATTATGTAATCATATTTAAAAGGTTAAATAGCAATAAGTGAAACTATCTTTGCATTGCACTGCATTCTCTCTCTCTTTCTCTCTCTTTTCTTTTTTTTTTACGCCTTGATTTAAATCGTTAAATAAAAATCGATAATTTCTTTAAAATCACTTTCATTATCATTAGAAGTTAAAGAAGAACGCGCCTTTCTTTCATTACAAAAATAGCATTTCTTAATTATCATGTCACATAATTCCTTTGGGAGATAAGACTTCATTCTCTTAACCTAGACTAATGCATTTAATAATAAGCTTATATATTTGTGTTTACTTACATTTTCATAGGTAATATCTCGTCCTTTATGATCACAATCTGCATGGGCTTTTGAAATAACGTCGAATATCTCTTCTTTAACGCATACTGGTTTTCCAATAGTTTGATCAACTTTCTTTAAACAAACCACTTGCTTTCCATCTGTAACTATTAATGCAAACTTTTTTCGAGCCCAGTATCTAAATTTAGCTGTACTAAAAGTGCAATAAGCTGGCTTCTATTGAAAAAAAAAGGAAATGAATAAATAAACTCTTTTACTTTATATTGTTTATTTACTTGTCTTAATACTTGAATTATATCTTCATATGTATTCATTGAAATTAATACCTTGGCTTGATATTTTTTAGATCTACTTTGAATGAAAGCTTCAACTAAATCATTAACTTCCTTTTTAGTTATCCAGTTTATAGTAGGATATGTATTGTCTGTCATTTATTTATTCTGAATAAAAGAAAAGATACTGTTGTCACTAAAATAAAATGATGCATGAATAATAAAAGTTAAAAAGGGTGTATTTAGTATGTTGTTCAAAAAAAAAAAGGATGATGAGTTTAAAAAATTCATCCATGAAAATGTTGAACTTTTCTTTCTTTCTTTTTTTTTTCTTAAAAAAAAAAAAAAACCATAATAATCATGTCAAATAAAGCCTCTGAAAGTGCACTAAAAATGAATAATCCAACTAAAAAGCCTTCTGCTATATCTAAGCAAGTGCTCAAGACAAATCCAATTCCACAACCCGTACAATCAACATCTAATTTGACAAGTAATTTAACAGCACTTAATGATAAAACTAAAGGAAAGCCTACACAACCACTTCGAAGTACAAAGTTTTCTCAAAAACTTGTTTTATTTCCTCAGTCATCTGCTGATAATGCTGAAACTAGTATGCAAACAATTTTACCTATTGATTCTGGAACTAGTTACGATAATAGGCAACAAGACGCTTATACAATGATGAATCAATTGCGTCGTACTTCTAGTAATTCATTAGACGAGCATCAACAGCAACAATGGCAAGATGAGCAAAGTCAACCACGTACTGCAGGTGTTCCATTACCTATTGAATGGACGTTTGGTTCACGTACTCCTGCAGAACGTATGACTAAAGATGAACGTGAGTTGGCTCTATTACCTCGTGCTGCTGCTTATTGTACCGGTGAAGGTTATAATACGACTCAATTACAACGTTTTTTGCGTCAACATCATCATGCTACACCTAGACTTTATGACGAATGTCTTTATGCAGCTTATCATTTCCCTCTAAGAACATTAAGACCCGGCAAAAATAATCCGTATAATATTAGAGTAAGAAGTAATATTTCAAAGCCTCCTAATAGCCGGCGTAATACTGTGGAAGATGAAGAAGAAATGAACTACGATGAAGACAATTTTAATCGTTCTGATGCTCCTATTGTTATGCAGCCTGATATAAATCAATCTTATTCAAATTATTATCAAAATCGTAAAGATTATGATCAAGAGGATCAACAACAGGAAGAAGAAGAAGAAGAGATCAGCAATAAAGGACCTCAACCAGAACAAGATACTTCTTCACTTGGGGAACAAAAGGCGACGGAGGAGGAAGAGGGCATCTTTGAAAACCCATTTTCTGAAGAAAATAGTAAATTAGACGAAGGACAACAGAGAGAGGAAGATGAACAATCGAATGAGCAGCAAAAGACTGAAGATAGAAATAATAATAAACAAAATGATGAACAGCAACAACAGCAACAGCAACAGCAACAGCAGCAGCCGTATCGTGAGCCATTTAAGGGAGGAGAAGTTTTTATATTCGATTATGGTGTTGTTGTATTTTGGAATTTCCGTCGTGCTGAAGAACTGTTGATGTTGGAAGATTTTATGCAGTTTTCTATTGATCCTTTTAGGGATAATCCAGATGAAGATATGCAAATTGAAGAAATTCATTTTCAATATGACACTTCCCAAATGAAGCCAAGAATATTCAATGATATGATTACGTTAAAGAGTGGGAATCATATGATTAAATTGACATTATCGCATGGTTTAGCTCAAAGTGCTGTATTAGCCAGATATGAGGACATTATGGATAAAACAATTGAGGACACAAAATATTTACCCAAGGAAATGGCTGAAACAGGTCGATTAGGTAAAACTCGTGGAGAAATAACCAAAATTAATGGACAGTTGTTTAAATTAAGAATGAATGTTAATTTAGTATCCAATGTACTAGGTAAAGAAGTAAAAAAAAAAAAAAAAAAAAAAAAAAAATGTCATTATAATAGATTATTATATGCTAATTTATACATGTAGATACACCTGAAATTTTTTGGTCGGAGCCTGCTTTACAGCCAATGTATACTGCAATAAGAGACTATTTAGAGATCCCACAACGCGCTAAAATATTAAATGATCGTCTTCGCGTTATTTCTGATTTATTATCTATGCTTAGAGATCATTTAAACAACTTTGGTGTTGAATATCAAACTTTGATTATTATTTATTTAATCATTATTGCTGTTATTGTTGCTTTCGTAAGTACAAAAAAAGTAAGCTTATATCGTTGTATTTGTAACTTATAATTTCTTATTTAATAGTTTGAAATTGGTGTCAAAATTCTACAATCTATTGACGTTATTTAATTCTCCTTTTTTTGTATATATAAAGTACAAATATAAACTATTTGAAAAAGAAAAAAAAAAGCTTATTCTGGGTTACTGCAATCTTTTCTTTTTTTCTTTTTTTTTTTTTTTTACATGTATATTTATCACTTGTATTTTCATTATTAAAAAAAGATCTAGTTTTATAAATTCGGGAGGTAGATGGGAAAGAAATAGTATAGAAATATATATAATGATATTTAAACAAAAAAGAAAAAAAAACAAACAAAGAGGGGTAATATATACATATATGTATATGTATATATATATTGGAAACTAAATAAATAAGCCGTCTTTAGGGATAAGTTTCGAAACAAGATCTTTACCCCAGGTCAAAGGTGCTACTACAAGAGCTACAAACAATAAAAACATACTAGCAAACATCATACCGTATGTCGTAGCTACGCGTCTTCTTTTTTTACGTTGTTTTACAGTCCAAATATGATCGCGGATCTGTTGAGATGGTTTAAGCCAAAATAACATAACAGAATGAGCTGTATTAATATAAGGTATTATGGTGAAGAGAGAAAGGAAAAAAAGAATGATATGACCCAATATAAAATCAGTTGCAAATTCAGACATTTCAATGATTTTACAAATAAATTCACGCCCAGGTTGAGTAATAACATGCCAACCTAGGCCTCTACCGTACCATTTACCAGTCCACCATCCTCGATTTGACTCATCTTGTTTAAATTCACGTGTAAGGAAGACAACTGTCAATGATTTTAAAACGGCACGCTGAATAGCTATCATTGCTACTACACCGAGTAAAACATGATTTAACTTTAACTCCTCTAAAAAGACAAGCACTTCAAAAACTATAATGAGACTAATTACCGACCAAGCATGTGCTAAGGCTGCCATAAGTGAACCAAATTTAACTACCCAAATGCTTAGGATACAACCAATGCCAACAGATAAACCAAAAAAGATCACCAAACCGACAATATTCAATATAATTGGAGCTAAGGCAATAACGCCAATACGAATCAATGGGCTTGGGCCTTTTGCTGCAACTTTAGGATCATCAATATCAAAGCTCTTGGCAAAAGCATATGGAAGTGTACATAAACCAGCATAAAGTAGTGGTAATACTAGCTCAGATATAAAAATAGCAAAAAAACCAGCACGAGGAATATCTGCCATACTATTTGTAGCTTCTGTAGGCTTACTACGTTTATAGCCGGTGATACGAGCTCTAGATGAACGTGTATGGCTAATCCAGGAGTTAGCATGTGTTTTGGAATTACCTCGAGAGAGCCAGCGAATAAATTCTTTATAATCCATTAAGAAATCTACAAGTGCAAATTGATTCGGGTTAAACACAAAGGGAGAAATGATCAATGCGATTACAGTAAACCAAAAATAGACTAAATGAGGGATCCAGTAAGCAACGGAAGCAAAGATCATAATAACCAAATTCCTTGCACCTACATAAATACTAGGACCTGTAAAACGAGAATACAGTGTTGCAAATGAAATACGAGATGTAGCAAAACCACGACCTGTGCCAATGTAACGGGCTCCACCGAAAACAAGATTCTCTAGGACAGAGTTAGTATATATTTGTGTCACAAAGATTTCAAAGAGAGGAGACAAAGATATAAAGTGACGCCCCATACGTGTCAGACTTCTCCAAAATCCCTTTTCAGTTAATTCCTGTAGAACTAACGGTAAGAAGGCCGCAAAGAAGACAACAAAGATGGATAAAATACAGCGTTTCACCCAATCAATAATAGGTACAAGATTAAAGCAACCTTCTGGCACTAAAGGCGCCTCTGGTGGTACATCAGGATTATATTCGCAAACAGTTAAAGAACTACCCATAGTGCTGACAAAAAGAATAACCAACATGAAAAGTTGTACAGATAACATGATAAAAATATTATTAATATGAAAGCCAGGGTGAGCATAGTAAAATGTTAAAAATCGATCCAAAGGTAATTGAGTACCTATATAATAATATTCACGAGAAAGCATTTGTTCGCCCATACCAGTGCCAATCTTCGTTGTAAAATTCAAGATAGAGCCAAAACCTAAATCACGACCTTTACCGCATTGAAAGTATTCGGTATGTTTAATACGACCTCCTCTTGTAAAGGCATTCATGCCTGCATAAATATCTTCATTTAGATGAAGACCCTTTTGTGCCTTAGATACGCCACCACGAGTAGTCATAAAAATAGCATTCAAAAAGTCGGGATGACCATAGTGTAATTTACCACCAATTTTTGCCATAATTCGCTGGGTAAGGGTGCCAAATGTTTGTTCCTTACCAGCAGCAACATCACCTAATACACCAATATTTTCTGAAAAAATATATTCACGGGCACCAACAATAGCAACCGCTGATGTTTTCGTTTCTTTGTAAGCAGCTGAGTAAGGGGATATAGATATAGGCTCCAATGTCTCAAATTCACCAAGCACGTTTCGAACTTTTAAACATTCCTCAAGATAATTATCTTGATTAGCGTCAATTAATTGAAGAAACTCACCACGATAAAAGATAATAGCATGATTCTGATTATCAGATTTACCATCTCCGAGTATAGGGTTTCCGGGTAAGCGGATACGATAACGGGGCTTACGTTTACCATTTTCAGTTAGTTCACAGGTGCCATCAACTAAAGAAGAGTAATAGGTAATCTCTCCGTTAGGATCAATAGGGGATATTTCTTCTATATAAGCTACTTGAAGTTCAGGGAAAGCTTTGAATAAAAATTCTGCATCTTCAGATTCACTAGGAGTAAATTTTGCATATCGTTGCATGGCTACCAAAAATTTAAATTTACGGCGAGATAATTTGTCCAGATCGTTTTCTAATGCTGTCTTATCATTAGCATATGTATGTGCTATTTCTGGGTTTTCCACACGATAGAGAAGCTTTATAGCTCTGTGGTAATTCATAAAGCCCGATACAGTACGATATAATGTTTGCGCTCTAAGTGATGCCCAAATTCGAGTGCGTAAAGCATACTCTGGTCTAGAATCCTTGAAGCCAATACAATAAAAGGGAAGATCATCATTTATACTTTTACTAAAGTCTTTTTGAATACTGCTTGATATTGAGAAGCCGGAATTACAGCCATCACGTGTATCAATACTGCGTCGACAATCAGTATCTACAAATAGCTTAGTATCTTTAACAAAATTATCCCATTCAACAGGATGTAATTGTTTTAGGTATTCTAGCAATGTTACTCTTGTGCTTGTATCTTCTTCTCGTATAATTTCTCGGAGTGTCAAAAGAATCTTTTCACCATAATGAGGCTAATATAAATATAAATATAAATTGAATAAGGAAAATAAAATACAATACATATCAATATTAAAAAAAAAAAAAAAAAAAAAAAACCAATATTATAAACTTGTTTTTCGTTAATACATACTGTAAGTACGGTAAAGGTGGGCATACATTCTACCGGATGCGGAGGTGGCATTGGTGTCGTTAAACTCTGAGCAAAAAAATGAATACGTCTTTCGGCTTCACCCCTTTGAGGAAAGTATTCTGTTTTGAATGAGGTATCTTCCTGAGAAACGAAAAATGTAGGTGTTTTAAGCGATCGTTGACCATCAATAGGGTTTATCTCCTACAAATAATTATATTTTTAGTACATAGGAACGGATTTTTAAAATGTATATCAAAATTCTACCTGCTGATATAACATGCGTTGGGCATGGTCTACATTGATCAAGTGCTCACGATACATAGTGATAACAATAGCATTCCATATTTGGGAACATAATACTTTTGGTTTATATTTAACTTGGATATCTGTTGTTGCTAACAATTTGACAAAGATACGCTTTGGCAATCTTGAAAAGATATTTCTCCACGGAGACCAAATAGAGATACCTAGATAAAAAGATCTAGCAACGGAGAAGATAGTATTCCAAATGATATACCAAAGGTAGGTGTCCAAAAAGTAAAGTACTAGATCCATCAAAAACATAATAAAAATTGTAATATGAGGCATTTGCTTACAGATCAAATCTCCTAATATGGCATCATGACAATTTGTAATCGTCATTGTACTGATAACTTTAAGAGGGTCCTTGAAGGAAAGAGCTAAGAAGAAGTAAGATTCTAATAGTTTACAAGAAAATACACAGATCCATAAACAGACCGACATGATCCGATCAATACTTTTGAGTGGTGGGAAACATCCAGTAAAGCTTTCATTAGCTAATTCTTTACGTGTATGTTTAGAAGGACCCATAAAAAGTCGAGATGATGGTACAAGGGACAAATATAATGTTGTAATAATACTAATAATCAATTGAGTAATAGATACTAATCTTGATATTGCACTTTGCCTATCTATTATAACACAATAGTAAGAAGGAGCCACATTCACGATCATAAGTAATATTAAGAATGCAATACGACGCAAAATATTTCTTGAATTATACCAACTAGCCGGTAGGTACATTAATTCAGCACAAGAGCCTATTAAGACTAACAAACATGCAATAGCTCCCCCTAAAGCAACAATAGATATTTGCACTGGAAGCTCCTCTTTTGCAATATCTTTATCAAGGTTTAAATATAAGGAATAGGCATTTGCTGATATATAATACCAGAAAGTCACAATATGAATAACCCACACTCTTGAGAAATTGATAGAAGCATGCATCCATGTACGTTTTTCTTTATAAGTTTTTTTAAAAGTCTTTTTCCAATTGACATCTTTTAAAGCTATGTACCGTTTACGGGGTAACAATTGACCAAGTGTTTGTTCCTCATGCCCTGCAACTAAAATTTTATCATAAAATGTTGAATTCCAAAAGAATTGATTTGCATCATCATAGCCAATAATTTTATCATGATCTCTCTCTCGCTTGGTATATTTTCCGTTGATTTTAACATAAGTCTGATCACGAAAAAATTGGTAAAGTGGTATAATAATGTCATTTAAATAGGCGTCTTCTTGTGCCTCTTGCATATCTACAATAGACTCATGACAAGAGTAATCTGAGGCCATCTTATAAATAAAGCAGAGTATCTCAGGAGTAAATCGTACAGGAGCTGCCTCACCCCATAAGCATAGATACAATGCTAAATCATGAACTTTTTCTTTATTTGATAAGCTACGCATACGTAAGTCCCATTTCTCTTGCATACGCGATAATTGTTCATGCTCGTCAATCATATCCAAAGCCATTTGTTTTTCTTGTTCTGTTTGATCATAAATATCAATTTGAGCAGCAAAATACCACTTACGATAGTTAGCATTTTTACCGCCAATATAATCGGCATGAAGAGTATCTAATGCTATTTGAGGCTGCATTCGAGAAGCACGAGAATCTAACATTACTTTTAAATGCTCGCTCATATTTTCTACGCTATCTTGTTGAAACCCAAATCTCTTTGCAAGGACATGGAAAATACTATCCAATTCTTCAAATGTAATAGGAATATCCCCTCCAGACCCCCAGGATGGAAAACAAGAGCTTTTCGCTAATAGATTAACGTTTGGAGAAGCTAATGGTATAGAACCGGGAGGGCTTTTTATAAAATCTTGATTTTCACCTTTATTGGCTCTATATTTACGGCTTTCCAAAAGAGCTAACATAGAATCTGCTGAGGTTGCATAATTAGCATATCGACCATTGTCACCTTGTGTTAAAGCTGCTAAAACATCTACATCAAATATAATATCATTTTGTTTAGCTGGTTGAGATAAAGATGGCTGTGAGATTGATACATATTGTGGAGGTAAATGAGTAGATTGATCTAATGATAAATATATTGGTATTATGTAATGATAATATGAACAAATTTGCATTCCAACAATTTTTTTCTTTCTTATTTTTTTTTTTTTTTTTTTTTTTTTTTTTTTTTTTTTTTACCTTTTTTATAACTATTTGATGTATGTGAATTATTAGGCGATTCTGCATCCTGATATATGCTAGATGATGTGTGCTCATTGTGATTACCAGAGTTTTTAATATATTGTTCATTAGTTGATATACTACAAAGCAATAGGTTTAGTTAATAATCTAAATAAAGAGTAAATTATTACTAAAGTTCTTACTTTGAAAAATCAGTATTATGCTCAGTTGTAAAATGGCCTTTTAATTTATATCGATGCTTAGTTTTTTCACTACTTGAAGTATTTGAGTTGGAAACTGAAGCCGACTTGGTAGATTTATCAACAGTGGAAGAGGATTGTATACGATCTTTTTTGTTCTTTTCCTCCTGCTTATCTTCCTCCATTTTTTATTTATTTATTATATGAAATAAATGAAAAATAGTAAATGAAGGAAATAGAAAAATTGAACAAGAAGAAGAAGAAGAGCAAAGATAATGCGTTATAACCATAGTTTTGATTACGAAAATAGATACGTTGAATGAAATATGGTTGCATTTAAAACGAATTTTAGGCACGTAACATAAACAATAATAATCTTATCAGGCATGCGGTCATATATAAACGTATTTTTGTTAAAAAAAAAGAAAAGCACAAATAAGTATTGTATAAATACTATACAATATAGTATTCATAAATACATTTCAATTTTACTATATCTATTACTTATACAGTGGCGTATTACATGTTATATGCAGAATATAAAATTTCCTTTGTATATATTTATATAATATGTAGTGAATCCTAAACTGACAAATATATAGTTTAGTGAACATAGGTTCTCAGTAATATATTTTTATTTGAATTATGTGTATATATGTAAACATACTACTCACAAAATATGAACGTTAAATAATCTCACTTAGATTTACTCTTGTAAACGATCCATAATTAATGTCTGATTTGGCGACGGAAGTTTAAATGCATCCAATATATTGGATACCCTGGCTGTGTAAGCAGGGGGAACTTGATAGGCTAACAAGCCACTAAGAAACTATCAAAAATTCAGCATAATATTTTCTGAAATGTCTTTTTATTTTACATACATCTTTTACAACTTACATATTGGAAAATAATGTTTCGTAGAACTATTGTTAGGTTTCAAAAAACAACAACTACGGCATTTAGAAGAGCTTATGCTTCAACTCCTGAGCATTCGGTCAATAACTCATCTGCACACAAGTTAGCCGAAGAAGCATTAGCTCAAAAAATAGGTTCTAAAGGTAAAGCTACTTTACCTAAGGGTGATAAAAAGCCTATCAAAGCAAAAGGTGAAAAGGACAATAACTACAAAGAGATGGCTATAACTGCAGGTGTATTTACAGGTCTTGGTCTTGGTGGTTTATTTTATTATGGTAACATGTAAAAAGGGAAAAAATACAAATGCTGTTAAAGATTATTAACTTTAATTTACAAATTACAGGTCGACCTTTTGAGGATGATAGAGAAGACAAAGTAATGTTCCGAAAATTATTTTAACATCATAGATAGAGCATTTTTATTTATATAATTTATATAGTATGTAAATGAAAATGGACTTGTTGCTGCTTATAAACGCTGTGCTGATCGTTTTAAGGAATTCAAAGAGGTATTTCATTTGAGATTATTTTAAAAGAAAAAAGAAAAAAAAAAGACAAATATATTAAAATGTTTCGTTAATTAGGGAATGAATGAACCCATGTGGGACAAACTTCTTCCAGAGCCTCTTCCAGAGCCATATCGTCGTAATTACACATTAGTAATTAATTTGGATGAAACTCTTGTTTATTCTACTTGGGATGTAAGGATGGAAAATGATAACTCAGAAATCATTTTATTGATATTTTTTTATATAGAAAGAACATGGTTGGCGTCATGCTAAAAGACCCGGTGTTGATTATTTCTTAGCATATCTTTCACAGTTCTATGAAATTGTTATTTTCACCTCTCAGTCATCTATGGTAAAATATATTTTCACAAATTTAAATTGATTAGGAGGTTTATTTTTAATTAAACATGATAATAGAATGCTATGCCAATTTTGGATAAGCTTGATCCTTACCAGTATGCTATGTATAGACTTTATCGTGAGGGTACCCGATATGTAAATGGAAAATATGTGAAAGATTTATCCCATTTAAACCGTGATTTGAGTAAAGTTATCATTATGGATTCTAATCCTGATTCTTTCTCTTTACAACCTGAAAATGGCATTGCATTGAAGCCTTGGAAAGGTGAACCAAAAGACCAAGGTCTTCTAGAATATATTCCATTCTTAGAAGGTAAGACAACAAAAACTTATGAACAAAGGGTAGAAACTAATTGTTAAATATAAATCCAGCTATTGCCTTAACGAATCCCGACGATGTTAGACCAGTTTTAAAGAGTTTTGACGGTAAATATATTCCTGTAGAATGGGCAAGACGCGAAGAAGAAATGAATAAAATGCATCGTTTACAATGGGAACAAGAGCAGGCAAAAAAGAAAACCTCCCGTAATCTGGGATCAATTTTGGGTGGTGGAGCCTCTGCACAAGTTGAGGGACCACCTCCAACTTATTTACAACAAATGAGAAAGCATGTTAGAGAAACATTTGCTACTGAGTTTGAGCAACAAAAGAAGATGCAAGAAGAAGCTATGGCACAGGATATGGAAAAACAAATGCAAATGATGAAAGAGATGAAAATGTCTGTTTGGGACTTAATGACACAAGCAGCTTCAGTAAGCAAATAAATTTTATTATCTCTTTAAGTAAAAATGATATTAATCATAATTTTTTATTAGGGGCAACCTATTATTCCTCCACCTAATGCTGGACAATCTCCACAAAATACTCAACAATAAAGGGGGTTTTTTTCTTGATAATGTATATAATAGTACATGTAATAATTATACATAAAATTACTGCTTTATTTGAATACAACATTTATTTCTAATGAATATTCTGTTTACTGCGTTCATATATACACAAATATATTGCTAGGATATTATTATAGCTCATTACAACTTTGTTATATTAATATTTGTATATGTATTATGTAATGTTTTTTGTGAGAGTTTTTTATTATTTCGATTTGTATAAGTATAGAAGATGTTTTATATTGATACATTTTCTAATAACTAAGATGTAATAGCGCATATTATTTACATTTTTTAACCATTCTGTGCTATAGACAATGATAATATATATTAATAGCATTTTCTCTCATACATATACCGTAAATACTGAAAATTAAAGCATATGACTTATGCATATATATCTCATTTATCTGCAGTTTATATATAAATGGTAGCAAGGCAAAGGAAAAAATGAACACCGAATATCCCCATATTGTTTTTTCTTTTCTATTAATATATATACATATATAAAGTTAATCTTATTATGAGTGTCGAGATTAGGGTCACCCGGATCTCACAAATGAGTAATACACATATATAAGCAAAGTGATTTATATATAATAAGAGCCGTCAGTCTTTATTTATTTTTATACAAGAAATTGTACAGTTCATTATAACATGTAGTATTTTATTTTCTAATTTATTCCTTAATACTAATCACTAAAGGATACCGTCAATAATCTGATTATACTTTGAATATAACTGTTTTAAATAAGTTTCCTAAATACATATACAAATGGCAAAAAGTTTGCTGATATAATACAGCTTATAAATAATTTTTTCTTTTATTTTAATAATACTTTTGTATATCACCTACTAAATTATTTGTATGTAACAAGAAATTTTATTTAAAGTTATCGAAATAATCTCTGACGATATACCTTTTTCAAACCTATTTGTACTTTATTCAAAAGAATTCTCTTACAAGTAGTAGATAATCTCTGGTAAAGGTAGATTATTAATACAAGCAAAAATAAATAGACATTTACATTAGAGAATGGTGAGTTTCCATAAAAAATAAACATCAAACTAATTATAGTATAAAAAAAGAATTTGAGCATGTTCAAAGTAAATTTTTTAAAAAACATAGAGCAATCAATAGATAGTAATTATAATTGCATTCTTCTTTTTTCTGTTTCTAGTGTTATTTGTCTTGTCTACTTTTACACAACTTATACTATTTAGATTTTAAAGAGTACTGAATATTATAAGAATACATTCTGGGAAGAGAGCAAACGATAATAATTATATTAGCATAAACACTAATGTCTTGATTCCATAAGTAGTATGTAGTAGTTGTCTCTTCTTTTTTGATAACATTAAATAATTAAGAATGAGAATGAACCTAATGAGTTAGTCAATACCTTAATAATCCAGATCTTACAACTAGTAGCTTTATATGTCTCCTATAGTATCCGAGATTTATTATTTGTGTATTAAGTTGCAAAACACATGCATTATAATAATCTTAAGATAGTATGAATTAAAAAAATCAGTAAATAATAATATATATCAAATATATTCTTTTAAATCTTACAAATATATAGAATTCAAAAGCGGCTGTTCAGCATATTTGACAATAGCAAATATTAAATTATATGAAATATATCTGTATTCTCTAGTATTGCAAACTTCATCTTGGCATATTTTCGTGCCCCTTTTATTGATGACTGTTTACAGCTATTCATTTATCACCGACATTAATCCTATATTTTTCTATACTCTCTGACAGGAAGGTGTATAATATATTTAGTCATTTTTTTCAACATCATCATGCCTTAACTTCGATACATCCTATATTTAAATCATGTATATATATATATATATGTATATATATTGAAAACTTAACTAAATACGATTAGCTTATAGTATTCTAGTTCTATGATACTATATATTATCCTATTTCAAACAAAAGTTATTTTAACAAACACTTTTGCAGTTAAGTTGTGCATAGCAAAACATAAGTGAGCAAATCATTGCTCTATTTTGTCTACTGTTTTCATATTACTTTTTCATTTAACTCTTCTTTGTTGAATACTTAGTACGATGTTAACTGCTTATGATATAATTTATGGTATTTATTTCTAAATTATATATTAGTATATACCGTCGAAATCATATTATAATAATAATTTATACAAGTACATTATCAATACAGGATCAGAAATTCGATATAAACAAGTCGTTTTTTTTTCATTTAGCTTTGTATAAAACTATATTTCACCTTTTTAAAGTTATTAATAAGATGTATAATAGTCATACTTAACAAAGCTGTTCTAGAAGTTTATAAACAGTCTATTTTCAATTTATAATTTTTACACATTGAAATGTCTCTACATTATGGAGGACGATAAAAAAGAAATAAGAAGATGGCGTGTATTAAAATATATTTTAGGCATACATTATTATAAAAATCAATCGTAACTATTGTATATCATGTTTTTAATCATTATTCAACGAAAACAATATAAGCTATTACTTTGATAGTTAGCAGCTTTCATATATAATATAATAAAACTTTATTAAGTTAGCAGAATAAAACGTCTACAGGATGAACAAGAACACTAATAATCTTTAGTATTGTAGATTTAATTATTGATACTTGTGTCCTGCTTTCAAAAGTAGATTGTGTAATGTAAAATGACAGATCACTTGTCCATCGTTCATTAGTATATCACAAACTTTTCTAATTTGGTAAGATTATTCTTTCTTTTTTCGTGAAACATACACTCAATGTGTACTTCAATTCATCATAAAAAGTTCCCATTCAAGTAAATGTATGTTTTATAATAAGCATCCATTTACGTGTATATTTGAAATGCCTTAATAGCAATCACAATAAGTTTATAAATCCGCTTGTATTTACATATCTAACGGTTAGCATACAAATGAAAAGGATATATCACAAAGAAATGTGCTTTATTACACAAATCGTTAAATAATATATTCCTGTCATGTTGTTCGGATGTATCAAGTGTTTACGATCATTAGGTTCTTTTTTCTTTTTTTTTTTTGAGTTACCTTCTTTTAAAGAATATATGGATATATTTTAATAAGAAGCATATACATAAAAACATAATAGAATTTAGTATATATATATAAGGCAATATATTTTGAATATTTATTTATAACTTAATGCTTCTACCATTTTTCATAAAGTCTGTTGATTGCATTCTTTTAAATATGAAACATTTTAAAACTTCTAAAAAAGGAAAAATAGGAAATTTCGTTAGTTCATTTCTCAACAAAAAAAAAAAAAAAAAAAAAAAAAAAAAAAAAGGCTATCAATCTAAATCTGGACATAGTTCTACTTGTATAGATCATAATTGATTTACATGTAAAATAACATATAACAAAACTTTTTATATGTTGAAGGAACGCTATTGATTTAGAAAGAATTCGCAAACTCCATGCAAAGTATAGAAATACATTCAAAGCGGGGAACTTATGAAAAAAAAAATCAGGGACACAATAGCCATCCGTATATTTTAGGAAATGATTTTTGAACAGTTATCTGCATTGATTCATGTGCATACAGATATGTAAAGTTTGAAGCCACAAAAATGATAATATGCGTTGCTTGAAGAATAGAACTTAGACATACAGTCTACTCTACATGTGTATACATTTATTACATTAACTGTATTAGAAGCTGAATATACTAAGAATTTACAAAACAATATATACATAATTTTATCAATGAATAGTTATATATTCATATATATGTCTATTTGTAAAAGAAAACGATACTTTATTATTAGTCCGTAAACCACGTCATTTCCTAACAATACGGTTCAAACATAAATGATTAAAAGGCACCTGATTTTTAGTTTTCACTCCACCCCCTTTTTTTTTTTAAGAAAAAAAAATTAAAGGCTGTCCAAAGGCCTTTTTTTTTCTCTTCTTCTTCTTCTTCTCTTTTTTTATAATCTCATCAGCTTATATACGTTTAGATATAAATCTATTGATCTAAAAGCGTTTGAATTTTACTATCCAATATATTTCTACGTTTCAAAGTTGTTGACGATTTATACGATTTTTATATTACATCTGCTCAATTATTTAATGCAATATTTAACATCGAAAAATATGTCTACCATACCTACCCCTCAAATTCACAAAATAAATACTCCTACGGATACACCGTGGAGGAAGTCATCAGCTCCTACTATGACAGAACAATATTTTAATAATATAATTAATAGTTCAACTAATACTCAGTCTGATTTAAATGTGAAGAGTACATGCTTATCTGATGAATCTGCCTCTTCTAAAGCTCGTGTTTGTACCTCTGATATGTGTGTGAAAAAAAATACTGAAGGAAAGCCGCCATACTCGTATGCAACATTGATAAAATATGCCATTGAGCGTAGTGCAGATAACAAATTGACTCTAAGCCAAATATACCAATGGGTTATTGATCATTATCCATATTATGCGACAGCCGGATCTGGATGGAAGGTATATTAATAAACTTGAAACTTTTATCATTATCAGTGTAACTTAATATATATATATAAATATATATTTATACATATATAATCATGTAGAACTCTATCCGTCATAATTTATCCTTGAATAAAAGTTTCGTTCGTATCCCACGTCCAGTTAATGAACCAGGTAAAGGTTCTTATTGGACTGTAGACCAGTACGCAGCTGAAACTGATACAAAAACAAGATCTTCTCGTAGTCGTTCTAATAGATCAAATAGCGATACTTGTTTAACTGGTCAACGAAATGTTAATAATTCTTGGTTACTTGGTCGTAATCCTCGTGATAATAGAACACTTTCGAAAGGTACAGATAATTATACTACCCCTTCAGTTGTAGTCCGTCGCCCATCTCATTATGATCATTTCAGTTATCCATATGGTAATTATCGTCGCAATGTTCGTCAGAATTATGGGTATCAAAACTATCAATATCAGCAACGACTTCCTTCACATGAATCTCTCTTGTCTACCAGGCATAATTCCTCTGTAACTTATAGCTTACCTTCTTCAGTTAATCAATCTTCTTCATTCCCACAAAGCAATTATGCTAACATTCAACTTTACCCATTTCAACAACAGCAACAGCAGCAACAGCAGCAACAACAGCAACAACAGCAACAGCAATCCTTTTATTCTCATCGTCAATCATGTCCTGAGTTATCTAATATTTACTCTGAAACAAATATTCTTCAAGACTTTAATACAAGTTCTGCTCCTCTTACTTCTATTGGAAGTGAACTTACACCATCGGCATGTGAAAATAAAATAATGTATTCAACTCCACAACCTCTTACTAATTACTCAACAGATATAATTGGTGATACTCTACATAAAGTTTTATTTGATGATTCTTCTACTTCTCCCATTAAAGAAAGTTCATCATTTAATGATGAGATCTTTTATAGCGATAAGAACTTTGAAATCAAACATCAAAAGGAATTACCTAGTTTACCATCACCTGTATTATCATCTTTAACTTCTCCTTCAGCCTCATCCTCTTCTTCACAAAATTTATCTGCAGCAGATCCTCTTTCTTTGGTTGCACATCACCCTTCACCCGTGACAACAGCAGCAACAGAAACCATAGCCACTACATTAATTACCCCTGAAAAAAATAGTCTAAAATCATCGTTTTATTCTACAAATTTACTGGAAAATCAGAATAATAATAATAATAATAATAATAATAATAACGGCTTAGTTCAACGAGACTCGCATATTTCGTCGTCTAATGATGAATGTAGTACAGGTACTTTGTCTCCACACTCAAAAACAGGTAAATGATATACTAAATACTTTATGCATGTATAATAACAAACAATATCATATTTTAGATAATTCCTTGGCATTCTTAGGAATAGTTCCACAACAACAAAAGGATATTTCAAGCAAAGATAGTTTAGTATCGTATTCTTCATCTTCCTGTTCACCAGAACAAAATGATTTATTCTCACCCCAACCATCAGACAAATTAGATAATCTTTATAACTTTCAACAGCAAAATGATAGTAATGTTTCATCTCAATCGTGCTCAGTTAAATATTCTCATAAAACGTTTCTTCAAAATGAAAACCAAAATATAATTATGTCTTCATATGATAATGAACGACTTAATTATAATAATTTATAACTGTTAAATACACACACACACACACTTATCGTCTGTTTCTAAAAATATATTTTATTGAAATAAAAATAATAATATGTAATTACAGCTGAAGAAAATAGGTTGGGCCACCAAAAAAAAATTTGGGCCAGCCAAAAAAAAAAAAGTTGGACACCTATTTGAAAATGGGACAACCAATAAAAAACTAGGACGCTTATATTTTTATTCATTTCCTTGGCATCACATTAAAAGCTCAATGTTGTTCTTTTTCCTTTTCTTTTATTATTCTTTTTTTTTAAAAAAAACATGAGCATTGACGATAGTCAAGTAGTTCCTATAATCGTTCAATCTTACATGGATTGGGAAGGACCAGCAGCGATATACGCAGAAGGAAAATTAATAAGAGCACAAAAGGCTATTAATTTTAAAGAGACCTCAACAGCGCGAGGATCTTACATAACAAAAAACGAATCAAAGGTAGTAAATTTAATTAACATAATACAGGAGTTTGAACATATGTCTATTAGAGAAGCGGCTTCTAAGATAGGACTGTCAAAGTCAACAGCCGCGCGTTAAATCAAAAAATGGAATGAATCGACGAGCAACTCTGATCTAGAAGATATTCCTGACACTTTCATTCCCAAGGAGCACAAAGGTCGAAAGCAAATTCTTAAAGATGTACACACAGTATTTATTTTTGAGTTATTAGCAAATGAGCCAACTCTGACAGTCGAAACTGTTACAAATCGACTTCGCGAAAACTTTACTGAAATTCTAATCACCCCGAGATCAGTAGCAACCCACATGAAAAAAAAAGTGTCGTCTCACTTATAAACGTATTGCACCACAATATTTTGCACGAGACAACGAAGAAACTATTATCAAAAGACATAATTGTTGTGATTGTAGTAGCCTTTATAATTAAGTTAATAGAAATAAACCATCATTTATTATATAATAAAGAGGTTATTCAAATAAAACTAATATATCGCGCTTCACAGCATAATATTCATTCTACTCTCAGTTTTGATAATAGTCATTGTTTGAGTATTCGAGCATTAAAAATAATTATATACATTATATTATGTAATAATAATAATTCAATAGGATTATGACCGTTATATTCAATTACATAATTATTTATAAGTCATACATATTATATATAGATAGCTATAAAGATAAATATTGTTATGTAATAATATCTTATAGGATAATAATAATAGTAGCATATAAATAATTGGTATTGTTATAGCTGACATATTCACTGTGAATTAATATTGACGCGTCGCTTACCCCAGAAATAATAATTTAATATTTTTAGTAACTGCGACAGCTCAGGCAGAAAAGAATAAAAATAGATCTTATTGTAGGCAGAATTATTCGGAGAAAATATTTATGACTAATGCTTTATTATAGCAATATTTGCTTATCCAAATCATAGTTCTATTAATATCACTTACCTTGCAAAAACATATAAATAACCCTTTACTTTTTCACATAATTTTTCCTGGTACAATTTTTTGTATTTTTTTCTTAATAAAAAAACTACGCGAAGTTTTCACAGACTTGTCTTTTGTCTTTTCCTCTTTCTTTAACTTTTTGCTATCAAAACAATAATGAAGTGAACTCTTGGATTATCAGAGAGTTAGATTTTATTAATGATTGTGTGTTTATTGATGAGGCTGGATTCAACAGAAACATGCATCGTTCTTATGGTTGAAGTGAAGTTGGAACACCTTGCAAAATCCAAATTGAAGCAAGTGGGCCAAACGTGAGTATCTTAAGTGTCATTTCCAAATACGGTGTTGTTACTCTTTCGCGAAAGGAAATCATCGCTACAGCAGCAGCAGAAAAGAAGACAATGATTAGATGACACGCCAATCGTAAAAAAAAAGGCACAACTTGTAATGACTTTTTAGAATTCATAGAGCAAGTTCTCACTACAATTGATGCAGCTGGTATGGATTACAAGTATTTAGTACTTGACAGTGCATCCATTCATAAGTCTCATATAGTGCAAGATTGGGTGGAACAACGAGGATATCAGATGGTTTTTTTTTTGCCACCATATTCTCCATTCTTAAATCCTATTGAGGAGTTTTGGTTCAAGTTGAAGAATATCATAAACAACGATCATTCTTCAGTCAGGCAAAATACTAAGATCAACGAACGTATTTGCAATGCATCTGTTCACATTAGCAAAGAGGACTGTCAAAGTTGGATAAGACACTCTGTCATGAGCTGACTTATAATGTTGTGTTTCATGATTAAACGTGCGGATCATAAATTTACTTAAGAAATTCCATGGCTCTTCCCGCTAATAATCAGAATAGTACCTTTCAGGGTCCGCCCTCCTTCCTCCATCAGAGGAAGACATGGGTACAAGCCATTTCAGGAGGATCATCTGCAGCATCTAGCTCATCAGCTAGCCCGTCGAGACGATCCCCCTCACACTTGCCCGGTAATGGATCTGGAACATCCATGCCTTGTTGTATTTGTACATAACATCATAAAGATATAATAAAACATAAATGTGAACATTCATTACACAATAATATTGTATAAAAAATATATATATCATTATGTCAAATATAAATTATGTAATTATTAAATGTAAAACCTCCAAATGAAACCCTGATTAAATTAGCGATGTGTGAAATATACTACCAGATCATGATCTGTATCATGACTGTCGATAATGTCATAAAGAGGTCAATATTTAACACAACACCAATGAAATAGCATCTATAAATATCATCTAGAACTACCAAGAAAAGTATAAATAGCCAGATAGTTTTTACAAGAAGAATATTTAGTTTTTTTATATTTAATTTTTTTCTAATAAAAATTATTCTTACTTGTGCCTGTGTCTCACGATTTAGTTTTGTCTTCTTTACCCATACAACATGCCTCGAGCTGATTCGCCTCCCCACATTGATCACTTTTCGAACAAAGTGATCCGCCCCTTTTTGACTGGATCCTTTGCTCACTCCATGCTCATCGATATTACGATTGTTGAAGATCAACAAAAAATTTTTTTGAAAGAATTGGATCACTTCTGTAGTGGTAAACTACATCTTTGGGGTGTTTCTGACAAAATCCGAAAGGACTACTCTCGTCTTTTTGCCGAGATCGCTGTCAGCCCTGAATTATATCAAAAGTTTAAGGTTGAACCTACTTTTAGTCTTCCTTCCTTCCCTGCTCCCTTCGCCGCATATCCCTCTCTTTCGCCCTCTACCAAGATAGTTAAAGTCTCCTTCTCTGGGCTCCCCTTCCAATATGGCCGTGAAAGTGGGGGTTCAGATGAATTGTTCGCTGATATGCCTTTCAATCTTGCACCCTTTGGGGAGGTCATTGATTGTGGTTTCGTAATCGGTAGTAGTGGGCTTTTTGGTGGTGGTGGCTACGCCGTGCTCGCCCTATCTTCTGATAGCGAAAACCCAAATGTTGCTTTGACACACCGTCTTAATTGGTCATACGTTCCGGTCTCCTACCCTTCGAACACCGCCTTTCCTAGTTTCTCCGGTATCGAAACAGCTCCTGCTACCCGTGATTACATGACAGTTCTTGCTACATGGGCCTCTATGCCTCCTTATTGTCGATACTGTCATTCCCAAGAGCATGCTCTGATAGACTGCGACTTACGTAAAACGGCTACTATCTGCCATTTTTGTAATGCTCCTGGTCATATTGCAAAAAACTGTCCTCGTCGTTCTGAAGTAAAGAAATCTAATTTGGCCAAGAAGGCTCGTAAGGTCTCTAAAGTAACTTCTTTAGTTGATCGTCCTCCGGTTATTGTAACTAATCCGGTTCCTTCTTCTGCTGATGTTATTGCTTCTGCCTTAGTTTCTTCTCCCGACCATACTGTCATCATGTCTTTGGAGAAAGAGGAGGTCTTTGCTGCCGCCTCATCTCTCTCACCCGTATTATCACAAACACCACCTGAGCCTGCTCTAGTTTTGCAGCACTGTAGTAGCACTACGGATGTCCCGTCTTCTTTGCCTCCTATTGATATGAAGGCACACGCCCCTCCTCTTCCAGCGGTTCGCCGTTCCACGCGTCGTAGTCAGGTGTCGGACGGCGGTATTCCAACATCCCTCGCGCCTGCTACTCCCACCGGTCATCGCTCTGCCACTGTCGTGTGTAAACACTGTCATCTTCCAGGGCATTCACGCATAACTCACAACGATTGCCTCAAGAACCTGAAGAGGGCCAGGTTAAATATGAATATTCCAAATGAAAACATAGCACCTCTCAAAGACCTTGACGATGCTATGGATACTACCGAAGATAATGTTCCTCTGATTGAGGATGGGGAAGCTCTTTCCCAATAATATATATAATTTTATTTTATTTTTATGATTTTAGAACCTAACATTAATTTTATTGATGATAATTCTCCAATTATTGTCCCCCACTCTACTAATATCTCTACCGACACTCTTTTACCTCCGCCTCCTTCTACTTCTACTTCTACTTCTAATTCTTCCTTTACTTCCGTGAATATTGGTTCTCTCAACTGTCGTGGCCTTCCCAAGACTGCCGATTCCTCTATTCGCGGTGATTTTATACGTTACTTACGTACTCGCTCTTTTGACTTACTCGCTCTACAAGAAACTCACGCTTCTTCCTCCTCTATGCAGGATATGTTTCACTCACAATTTCAGGCTACTTCTAGTCTATGGTCTTCTCATTGTGGTTTGGTTTCATTTTCTGCTGATCTGTCATTCTCTAACTCTTTTATCAGTCCCTGTGAACGTGTTATTTCTACTACCGTCTCCCATACTTCTAATTCTTTTGATCCTATTACAGTTACCGTTGTCTATTTTCCTGCTTCTCGTACTGAAAGGTATTCGTTTCTATCTGATTTACAACAAAAGTATAGTTCAACTTTTCTTGCCTCGCCGTCTCGTACGGTCCTGCTAGGTGATTTTAACTATACCTATTCTGCCGGTCGTTCAAGATTAGCTCCATCTAATTGGCTTTCTTACACTGATGCTAACTTTACCGATGGCATCACTTCTCCTGGTTCTGTCTCATCTATTACTTTTCAAAGAGGAATGTCTCAGTCCTGTATTGACTATATCTTTGTCACCGCTGATCTCTCCTCTTCTATTAATTACAGTAAATGCTCAACGACCTATATTAATCCAACCTGGTCAGATCATTTTCTTTTGTCTAGTCATCTTCATCTTCAGGCTCCCATTTCTACCTCTTCGGCTTCTGCTGTTGGTAAAGGTCTATGGAGGGCTCACCCGAAACTCGCTAGAAACTCTGCTTTTAAAAAACGATTACGTGTCGCTCTCACTAAATGCGTTCAATCGCTTGATTCTACTCTTACCGCCGCCGAGAAATGGGAACGTCTTAAACAATGCACTGCTAATATTTGTCGCTCATTTTCTCGCCGTCAAGCCTTCAATCTTGTTAAAGCTGAAGACCTACTTCATAAAAAACGTTCTGGTTTATCCAAAAAATTACACGCTGATCCTTCTTTGTTGCCTGTTGTATCTCCTCAATTACAAATTGTGGAACAACAATTGGCATCTATTCAAAAGTATCATGTGGAAACTCTTGCCTTACGTTCAGGTATTCGTTGGCGTGAGTTGGGAGAACTCTCTCCGGGTTATCTTAAACGAACTGTTGCATCCCGCACTGCTCGTCAATTGATTCCTCCATTAATTCATCCAACCACTCAATCAACCTGTACTACTAAAGAAGAAATGCTAGAAACTGCTTCATCATTTTATCATGATTTGTACTCACCAGATAATGTTAGTCACGATGCGATTGACGAATTATTATCATCAATTCCTGAATCGCTTCGATTGTCTCGTGCTGATGCCAACTCTCTTGTTGACCCCATCACCTTTGATGATTTATTGTTGGCGTTCTCTCGCACTCCCAAAAAGTCTTCTCCGGGTATGGATGGGTTACCATATGCTATTGTCCGTTTAATCGTCATTCATCCCGATTGTCGTGAAATCGCTCTAGCTACTTTTAACAATGCCCTCTCGTTTGCAGATATCCCTGACTCTTGGTTAAATTCAAGCGTGACTCTATTAGCAAAACAAGGTCTTCTTGATCTACTTCAAAACTGGCGTCCGATTTCTCTAATCAACACAGATGCTAAAGTTTTTACTCGTATCCTCAGCTCACGTATCATTGGTTCTGCTAATGATCTCATTAATCCCTTTCAGACTGGTTTTGTTCGTGGGCGGTTTATCGCTGATAATGGTCTTTTGATGAAACTTATCATGGATCATTCACGTTTTTCAAACTCTTCAAGTATTGGATTACTACTAGATCAAGAAAAGGCTTATGATAGGATCCATCCTGTGTATCTTCGTACTGTTCTTGTTCGTTTTGGATATCCTCTTCAACTTGTCGATTGTATTGATAAACTTTTTTTTGGTACTCGTCTTCATATCAACATCAACGGTTTTCTCACTGATAGTATTTGTCAACGCCGTGGTCTCAAACAAGGCGACCCACTTAGCCCTATTCTATTTAATTTAGCTTTTGAACCACTTCTTCGTAGTATTCAAAATGATATTCTGCTGAAAGGTTATGCATTGCCTAAATCAATTTCTGGTCCTCACTTGTCTGATTCTCTGACTGCTCCTGTTAAGCTAATGGCATACGCTGATGATGTTATTTGTCTTTTAAATTCCCCTGCTGAATTAAATCGACTTCAATTTCATTTATCGCTATATTCCCTGGCTTCTAATGCTCGTATCAATTATAATAAGACCGAAGTTATTTCTTTATCTGGTTCCTCTTCCATTTATGACACCTGCTGGCGGACAGCTTTGCACTCTCATGGTATTTCGGCATGGCATGATTGTCGTTCTTCTCTACCAGTTGTATATCTTGGTTTCCCTCTTTGCTCCTCAACCAAACAACGTGATTCTTTTCTTGATAAGATTTTATCGAACATCAAAATTGCTTGTGACATTCATCGTCTACGTCTTTTATCTGTTCGAGGTAGATCTACTGTTCTGAACTCTTTGATTCTCAGCAAACTTTGGCATGTTCTTCGTGTGTTGTCCGTACCAGCTTCCTTTTTTAAATCCGTTCAGTCTATCATTTCAAATTTTATTAACTTTCGTATCTTTCCCAAAGTTAGTTTCAATACTGCTTGCTTACCGCGATCTTTGGGAGGTTTAGGTCTACTTAATCCGTCTCTTCAACAATCTGCTCTTCAACTACGTTGGTTATACCCTATTCTTTCTACTTCAACTGATGACCTTGATTCTAATGACTCGGCTATCAGTGGTTCTATCGTTCTCTCACGAATTATTTCTTTCTTGTATTCGCAAGTTGAATTGTATTCCGACGGTCGAATTTTCCATACTCCTCCTGCCAAATTAGATCATCGTTTCTTCTTTTTGTTCCCTCACCGTAGGCCTCCTTTCCTCCGTCAACTGACTAGTTCTCTATCACTTTTATTCAACGCCATCGACATGATTCCAAAACCATTCTCAGATGTTGTTGTCAGTGCTGCTACTTGTCTAGAGATCCCATTTTCGTCACTGGTTATTTCCTCATCAGAGCCCCTACGCCGATCTATGGCTTCCTTAACTAGTAATTATGGATACATTTTCAATAGTGATGATGGAAATTGTCTCCGTCCTCTTCAAATTACGGAAATTCTTCACCATCCACGACTTACCAAACAAGTTTTAAAGCGGGTTAAAAAAAACGAAATTATTTTAGCTCCCTTTTTTATTCGTTGCTTTATTCCAACTAGATTCGCAGGTTCTGGTCAATTCCCTTTCACTCAAGTTTCTGACCATCAAGTTGTTGACATTTCTCCTTTTCTGAAAGATCTTGGCTTTTTTCGTTCCCCTGGTACACCTACAACCCCTTTTACCACAAAGAAATTTCGTCGCATGTGCTCACAATCACATTTATCCTCTCCTCTACTCCCACCACCTTTTTCCCCAAAAATTTCTTTCCCTTGGTCTCAGTTTTGGCAACTGCCCCTTTCTCATTCTGGTAGAAACATCTGGTATCGTCTGATCCACAAAAAAATCCCACATAAATCATTCCTTCATCGAGTTATGCCGGCCTATTTTCCAACATCCACCTGTCCCATTTGTTCTGATCCAGTTGAATCATTTGTTCATTTTATATTTACATGCCCACCCAAATTAGCAATATGGCAACACATGTGGTATATGTACATTGATCCTTCTGATTCCTCCTTTTCGCTGGATACTCTATATTATGCTCTGCATACCCTTCACGTTCCTTCTTCCTCTCTCACTTTAGTTTTCTCTCCTCTCACTGCTATAGCTGCTACTCTCGAAGCGATCTGGTTGTCCCATTGGGCCTCTGTCTTCAATGACACGCCATTCACTTCTGCTACAACTATATCTCTCCTCACTACCAAAGCTCTTCGAATACGCCAAGAATCTCTTCTTTCAAATGGCATTCCTCATGCTCCTCTTCCTCATTTTATGACAGACTAGTGTTCCTTATTGTCACTATATGTGGTTCCCCTTAACATTTTAATAATTTAAAAACTAAAAACAAACAAAAAAAAAAAAAAAAAAAAAAAAGCAACCATACTTTAATAATCCTAAAAACCCAAAAACACAGTTGTGACTATCCTTTAATTTTTACTAATAAATCAGAGACTCCGTCTCCATATAAACAAAAAAATACTTAAGAAATTCTATCTAGAATCTCCTGAATCTCTCTTGATCCGCTCTATCTAATGATATTAAAATCACTAACACTTCATTATCAACAAAATACCTTATTCGGTCGTAACTAACACTTTCCTGATTCACATCTTATCTCAGACTTCTTTAACAATTCTTATAAATACCCCATCAGTTTGAATTCATAAATAAAATAATTGACTTTAAAACTATTGTTCGGTCTCGTTGACTCTTTTTGTCTTAATATTATTTTTTTATTTTCTATTTTTATTTGATATTTTAAAAGAAATATCACAAGCTGGCCCAACCTATTTTCTTCAGCTGTAATATAAGCTACGCCTTTTTTTTTATCTTCAGACTTGCTATTATGTCCATTCCCAAATAGAATTGTTTTCCTTTACCCATTGCTGCAAAAGACATAATAAAGCCCAATTATCTGCTGATTCGGGAGAATCATTAAAAGAATTTATAATACTATTTGATGGACTAGGATTGATTATTTCGTCAATAGTTAATATAACTACTTTATACCTAAATCCAAAGAATAGAATTAGTGTGTGTTTATTAATATACTGTTTTTTTTTACCTTGCCCGTGACAGTGCTACGTTCCATCGTCGAAAATCACGTAAAAATTCATAGTTTTTGAACTTTTTATTCACACATGAAAAGCAAGCAATCAATAAATTGCACTCTTTTCCTTGCATCTTCTCTACAGTATCTATAGAAATATTATTTGCTTGAGGTAGTAAATTAACTCTTCTTTGAATAGCTACTCGTTGCTTATGAAGTGGAGTAACTATCATGACATTTGTTTCATCATCATCTTTTTGATTAGAATGAGATGAATCTCTATTGTAGATTTTTAAATATATTTCTAATAATTGCTGAACAATTTTAGCTTCTGTTTCGACCGTATCATCCTCATCTTTGTTATCGCATTTTACTTTAACAAGAGATATAGGATGGCAAGGATCTAATATAGACTTGATCAATTCAAGTTTTTTTGTTGTATTCATAACAAGCGTCCAGTTAAATTGAATATCATTCTCTGGATAACGTGATTTGTATTCTGAACCATAAATATGTTGAAAGAATTCATTTAACTTCTTATTCTAAAAAACATAAATGTATGAAAATGGAAGGATGGTGATTGGTATTAATTATTATTCATCCTTACCATTCTCCAATTTTCTTTTAGCTGCAATGTGCTGGGTCCAAATTCATGTAATGCATTTTTTTGTAGCAAAAATTCCCGAGCAGGTATTGCATAATTATCTTCAGTACGCATAAGGCATTGCTGAATCGATCCATATAATAACGGTTCCTGTAAACATGTATCAACCTCGGAATAGTTATTTTTCACGATGGGACCAAGTTGCTACGAAAGGATATATATTTGTTTATGTGTTCATATTATGTAATATTTTTTTCTATTTTTTTATTTTATTTTTTTTTTTTTACAAACATATGTATCTTACTAAATGATCGCCTGCTATAATAAGTTTACCACTAGGTTGTTTCAGACAGGAGATTGCTAATAATGCATCGGACACAAGTAGCTTAAAAAAAATAACTATTAATACGACATATAGACATATAGATATAGATATTACTTGCGAACTTTCATCTATAATCAGCATATCGAGTTTTTCAAATCTTTTCCATTTATCCCTTATCTTCCCCCATCCCCAAACAGTAGCTCCAATAATATATACTTTTATTGGAGTTGTTTTCTGTAACTTGTTTTTGACCGTAATTGAATCCTTCCAAGCCGTATATATTATTTTAGAGCTCAAATCTGTAATTTTTGACGAATTAACACAAATAATAGAGAATAGATCCTGAAGTTCATGCCGTTTTTGTATCTTCTCTATTCTTTTTAGCAGATTTAGAATAGCATCATTAGTAAATGCCGTTACTCCAATCATTAGACTCCTGTCCTTATTCTCTTCAGTAAGACATTTTATATACCAGTTAGTAAATAATGCCAAAAACTCAGTTTTACCAGATCCCTATACAAAACAAGAAGAAGTCAATTTGTTGAAACAAAAAAAAAAAAAAATGAAAAGTTTCTAAATATTCCAGGTGGTAATTGCTTACAGGTGGGCCCCAGACAATTTGCAACCTTTTCTTTAAAGCACTAATTGAAATATCCTTTTGAGAAGTTGACATACAAAATTCATTTAGAAGATTACTTGCTAACTTGTTATTGCTAAAATCAATTTCGTCTTGTACATTTTTTACTGCCCAGCTATTTGGATTATTGATCAAACCCTAATTCAATATATGAATTATTAGTTGAGCAAACTCAATAAAAGAAAAAAAAAGTCTTACAGTAATATTTTCTATTTCACTATTATCCATTCGTTTTAAATTGTTTATTGTTTGAATAGTTGTATAGTTAACGTAGCGCCTATAAAGCCTCCATCGTATTATTCCATCCCTGATTGATTTTCCACAAAGAGTAATTGTATCGTTTGTAACTTCTCTAATATTAACAACTTTAACAGGTACTCTACAATACGGAAGATTAGCGCCCATATAGAGCATATCAGAAAAATTTATAGCTTGTATAATACCCTTTATATATACATACATATATAAATATATACATATAAAATTAATTAGTAAATAGATGCATAGTCGTATAAAATATTTAAACCTTTTTACCTCTCGTGTGTCTGGAACAAGTATATATTGACAAAAGTTATCTTTAATTAAACAATCGAGCTTTTGTTGAGTTTGAGGCCCATTTAAAAGCTCAGTAATAGAAAATATAAGATTCGATTTGTATTGATCAATGGGGTGTTGACTACGAAACTCAAGAACTAAACCTCCCAAATTACGACTGTTATTAGGATGTTGATCATATTTCAAGGTGGATAAGTCTCTAATACGATCCATTCTAATTTGGTCACAGTCCTTCATGCATTCTAATTGCTTAAAAAAGGCTAATTTTGCGAAAATAGGATTATTATAGGTTTGTACTGTTGGCCAGCTAAATGGTTTACAAGGCAGTGGGAATAAATTTGTATGAGTGTCAGACATGTATTCATTTGCTAAACTCCAGAAGGTGTTCATAACCCCTAGTAGCATTACAAAACGAAGTTTAACCATCTTTTTAACCCTACAAGGCTTATGTTCTCTTTTCCATTCATAGTAAATGTATTTTGGGTCAGCTCCCAAGAAAGAGCTAACGTTATCGTAATTAGATTTTTCTGAAAATATACTACTAATATCATACATCCATTTAGTAACATCTGATAATCGATAATAGTTTGAGATTCCCAAAGCAATATTTTGCTGCAAAAGTGATTCAATACTAACAAATCTAGGGACATAAGAAGTAGTTAAAAGATCGTCTAATTCTGGAAAATGAACCATATCAGATAACTTCAATAATTGTATATCTCGAAAGAGTGTAATTAAACATCGTGTAGCATTATGTACGATTTGGTTCCTTTCTTCTTCGTTCAAATGAACAAGATCTTTTCCTTGTGATTTTACCAAGTCATGAAGGAAAGACTTTATTATTACTTTTTCCTTTTCACTATAGACGTAAAATAGACATCTTGATTTGTTTTCATCCATATAATCCAATATACGTGTTAAATTAGACACAAAATGGGTAGAAAGTTGACTGATAGCCATTATGCTATCCTTAAAATAATCGCTATGACCAACTGAAAAATAAGCATTAGTAACCGTTTTACCAGAGGAATCAAGGACTTCAATGCCATATACAAAGGGCTTTTGTAAGTATAAATCATTCTGCATATAGATATAAATAGAGTGATCTAAGTCTTTAGCAATAAGGACACTAGGATACCCTAAAAATCTAGGCCTTTCATCTTGATAAGCATTCATATATTCTTCGTATTGACTCTTTTGCATTTTCGATGTTGTTCCTGTATTGTCAATCTTAAGGTTACCCATTAATTTTCCGAGATCTTCTATGTCTGTTGGCTTATCAGTTATCATCTCTTTATTTAAATAGGGTATAGATCGTATAGTTCCTTTAGCCTCTGATTCACAACGACTCAAGAAAGGACAGCCTTCACATTTCTTACTCAAGACCCAAGTAGGTTCAGATATCGTTGATATATTTACTAGCATTTCCATATATATATACTTTATTTTACTCAATGCAAAATCAATATGAAATTTTTCAGGCTTGTCAAGGTCATTTGGGAGCCAGACGCCTCCCCAATTATCAATTTCTAAATCACGAATATCCTTGATAAGGTAAGATAGGAAAAGGGCATAAGAAGTAACCTGAAATTGATGCGTTCCAGAGATTTTACTAGAAGATTTAGCATCAATGATAAAAACTTTCCTTATTTTACTATCTTTATCTCTGTGAATATATAAAAAATCAGGTATAAAATCTTTAATACGATATGACGTGGTATTATGAATGATATCCGAGTAAAATGATTCTGGTAACGAACATCTAAGTTGATAGAGATATTTGCCAGGTTCTGCTTCTTGAAGCACCTTCATAAAATCTTTTGTTTTAGAGTGATCAACCATTTGTAATCGATGACGTTCAAAAAGTTCTTGTTCAAAATCATTTCCTCGATTGAAATGAGCAAGCGTGTGAAGATTTACTTTTTTATTTTCTTTTTCTAAATTTTTCAGATTAGCAAGAAGATAAAAATGTTTCTCACAATCATAATAAAAACTGTTGGCTAATGTTGAGACTGAATACTTGACTAAAGGCTTTGTAATTGTCTAAAAAAACATTTTAACAAATAAAACTATATGTGAACAGAGTAGTTATTATTTACATTCGATTTCAGATTCTCTTCCATAATATGTATATAAATATGTATATATATTTTTTAAAAAAAATAAAATAAAATAAAAAAAAGAAATAAAATAAAGGCACATCATGTCGTAATGGGGGTTTTTTTTTATAGAGTACAAATATGGTTAAAGTTTAAGGTCATTGCGAACAGGGAATAAGTGAATCGGATAATCTATTTAAGCGAATAGATAAAATATATTGTAATTCAAGTAGAAAACTCCTCTTTTGCTTTGTTCTAGTGTATGGCTACTTGGAGATAATGAAAAAGTATTGTTGAGCGGATAAGGAATAAATCTTTGCAATCTGATTGTACAGATTTTTTATATGTAAATAATGATAATTATATTTAATGTTAATACAAGATCTTAGAAAAATTATTATTTCTTGATTCATACGTCAAATATTACCGATAGTCCTAGTCAAAGGCCTATTTTTCTTCGTCAAATATAGAATAAAACATTGCTAGTATATCATAAATGGCTTTTGGAACTTATATAAACTTTACTGAATAATGTAGTGAATACCTTTCTAACCCTCTATATAGGCAAATAATTGACCATTTTTGATAAAAAAAAGGGGGGCAGCTGGCAATGTTCAGCTTACCCACTTTATGACGATCGATTAATCTACTATAGTGAATAGTAATAACAGCCTTCATTCTACTTCTTCGGTGACTTGTAAATGAATGCCAAATTTCATAGAAAAATATATTCTTGTTAATGAATGAAATAAAATCAAAGTCTGCATCATTTTGAAGCTTATTCAAAAAGTTAAATCTAGAGAAGATGTAAGTATGTATGATAGTGATGTTAACCGTTAGAAATGGTAGATTCAGAGTTTGTTAACATATGTATTTCTACCAACAAGTATTATTAATTGAATATCTGACGGACAAAATATCATTACAAGATACAAAAGATTCGAAGATATTCATTATATATTAGACATATCTATTATATTAGCTGGAGAAATATCCTATTTATTTTGGTATGTGTAAGCAAATAATCAAAAATTAACCTGTGAGAAAAAAAAAGTATAGTCAACTTTTGAAGTTTACATATGAAAAGTGAATGATAAACATACTTTTCTGAATAAATAAAAGAAAAAAAACAGTATATAGCGTAGTAGAGAACGCATGATGATATAACTAATAATTTTTTCTGAGTTTCTTGGATAAAATGAATTAACTAGTAATGGGTGTAATTAAGCTTTTGTATCATAGTATTAAAAATAAATTTATTCAAAGATTTAGTGTACTATGGCCACAAGAAACATGTCAATTAACAAATAGAGTTTTATCTGGAAGACTTGCTGTTTTTTTCTCTTGTGGAAACATGTAAATAATTTATTTCAATATACAATTTAATTATGTTAATTAGCCTTTATCATTTGAGTTTTGTAAGCTGTAATCCATGATTTTTTTTTTGTATTTGTGTTGCTCATTAGGCAAATAAGGCTATTGAAGCGGATTGGCGGACAGTGACTAGCTATAAGCACCCACATAGATTCAAAATAATTTTCCCCAGAAAATTCAATTTTCTTTTTCCCCACAATCGGAGATGCATAGTACATAGGCCATTTTTTTTTTTTTAAGTTTAATTATTCCTTTTCTTTTTCTTTTATTAACGTTACTTTGTTTTTTAATTTATATAATATATACACAAATATATAAATATATTATATAAGACTTGAATATGTCATCACTTACTGTAGAGACTATTGAAATTACAGAAATCAAACCTGGGTAAAAAACATATTCACTGATTTAAACTGTTTGATCTATCATCATTTTTATTTAAAATCCCCGCTTATTTTTTTTCTTTAAAAAAGTATGTCGCAAGCTGTTAAGGATTGCATAAGTGGTACTGTAGGAGGTATTGCCCAGGTTCTTGTTGGCCAAGTAAGTCATTTTTATTCAACTACAAATACGTGTATATAAAACTTTTTCTGTTTTCGTTTATTTTTAAAATAATAATCATAATAATACACAAATATACTTTATTTAAGCCTTTTGACACGGTGAAAGTTGTGAGTACAAAAAAAAAATAGTTCTAATGATGCCGTAATATTAGATCAAAGGTTCTAACATTATTATTTTTTTTAAAAAAAATATTAGCGTCTTCAAACACAATCAACTACATCACCGTTATATACAGGCATGATGGATTGTGTTAGAAAAACACATTCTAATGAAGGCTTTAAAGGTTTTTATAAGGTATAAAATTTTAAATGGAAATTTTTAATACTTGTTTGTTGGGAAAAAAAAATTCAAATAAAATAAATATAGGGTACTATGACACCTTTAATTGGTATTGGCGCTTGTGTATCCATTCAGTTTGTTGTACTTGAAGCCATGAAACGTTATTTTACTAGAATGAATCATAAAAAATTACAAGATGGTGAATTTTTAAGCAATGGGCAACTTTATTTCTCCGGCGCAATTAGTGGTTTAGCTAACTCGTTTGTGTCAGGGCCTGTGGAACATATACGTACAAGACTTCAAGTACAGATAGGTACGGGCTTTAATGGGCCTTTTGATTGTATCCGTAAAATCTATCAATCTTATGGTATTTCTGGTATCTATAAAGGTCAAGTTATTACAATGGCACGTGAATTTCAAGGCTATGGTGCATATTTTTTAGCGTATGAATACCTCGTTCAAAGGGCTATGAAGGAAAATAATTTAAAAAAACGCTCTGAATTACCTACCTGGAAAGTATGTGCTTTTGGAGCTGCAGCAGGCTATGCTATGTGGTTTACTATTTATCCCATGGATGCTATTAAGTCTAAAATTCAGACCGATGGTTTTGATACTCACACAAGACAATATTCTTCTACTCTTGATTGTGCTCGTAAAACATTTGCTAAAGAAGGTGTACCTGGATTTTTCAGAGGTATCGGCCCATGCTTACTTCGTGCTGCTCCTGTTAATGCTGTAACATTTATGGGGTAAGAAAGATAATGAATGCAATATGTATTAAAAAAAAAAAAAAGCTATTCTATTTTCTGGTACTCAGACATATTTTATTATAGATTTGAAATGGCCATGCGTGTTTTATCATAGAACTTCATAAGTCATATTAATATTCAGGAAAAAGAAAAGTAAATATTTACCTTCACATGGTTATTGAAACGTAGACATATGATTCTGCTGAATAAAGTTGAAACATTCTATACACATAAACTTTTAAATAGAGAATACTCTTGCCAGAAAATACATATTTAAATGTTAACTGTATTAAAAACTTTGATATTGAATAATGTAAATGATTTTTAAATATAGCAGTAGCGTAGATTGTTACACAAATAGTAAAATCGGGGAGGGGGGGGGCTATTGTAAAGATTTAGTTCAAAATAAATAAATAAAAAAAATTTTTTTTTACTATTTCCATTTCTTTTTTATTATTATTAGTTTTCAATATATTCAAGATGGAGCGTACTTATATTATGATTAAGCCTGATGGTGTTGAACGTGGTCTTGTTGGTGAGATTATCAAACGTTTCGAACAACGTGGTTATCAATTGACTGCCCTTGAGCTTATCCATCCTACTCGTGAGCTCCTCGAAGAACATGTAAGTATACAAGATTACCTGAAATAATAATAATAACAAAGAGTCTAGAGTATGATGTGTAAAATATAAATAAATAAGTAATAACAAAAAAAACTATCTATAATGTGTAGTATTGTGATTTGAAGTCTAAGCCTTTCTTCCCTTCATTGCTTGAATATATGACATCCGGCCCTGTTGTTGGTATGGTTTGGACTGGTAAGGATGCTGTTAAGACAGGTCGTAAAATGTTGGGTGAAACTAACCCTTTGGCTTCTTCCCCTGGTACTATTCGTGGTGACTTCTGTATTGAAGTTGGTCGTAACATTTGCCATGGTTCTGATTCTGTTGAAAATGCTGAAAAGGAAATTGCTTTATGGTTTCCTCGTGGTGTTAAGACTGTTGCTCGTAATCATTCTATTCATTCTTTGATCTACGAAAACTAAATTAAATCATACATGTTTATACTTCTACAATACCATTTAGAATAAATTATACATAAATCAAAAATAGTTTTATTTTATATTCTCATACCTTTTCTTTTCAGCCTTTTAAATATAATCTTTTGTCCATTGACGCTAACTTTACAGCTACTAGGAAATAATAACCAGTTTGTGACAAGTGTACAATTTATGCAATAACGAGAATACATTAAAGTAAATAACTGTTTTAAGAATGAAGTAATGTAAGTTAACTTTAACACAGTTAAAAGGAATAAATAAAAACCAAAAGATAAAAGTATATAATGTGGCATAAGAGATCTGCTTGGGTATTTATTATGTGTGTCCATCAACATACGTTGAAGCAACAAAAGATAGAAGTACACAGAGCATGTGTTATAATAAGGGGTTTTTTTTTATCAAAGAAATGAAAAAGACTCAATGGAACTTTTATTAGAATGAAGAGGAAAGAATTTTAGGTGCAGAATCTAAATATAAATTCATTTAATGAGTGAAGGGAAATTTCAGTACATCTGTAATATCTTTACTAAAATATCAGAATATAAAAATTATAAAAAGACTAATAAAGTCAATGAGAGGATCGAACAATAGTCTTAAAAGTCAAATTGTTTTTATTTATGACTTTTATTAAATTGACGAATATTTATAAGAATTGTTACAGAAGGAAGTAGTCTGCAATAGGACGTGAAACCGAAAAGTAAAAGTGTTAGTGAACGACCGAATAAAATGTGTTATAAATAACGAATTCTTATATGTTTTGATATTATTCGATGAAGTAAGTAGATTAGAAAAGTTTTAAGAGAATCTAGTTTGAATCTCTCGAGTAATAATTTTATGATGATCTACTTATTTAACTAAGAAACATCAGCTTGTGACACGCATTTTCTTATATACTTTTCTATTAGATATGCATTTTCTACACCTCCAAATAAAGAGAGCTCTAGATTTTTCTGTACGATACGAAATAGTACAAAGAATATGTATATCTATATACTCAATGGTATATATCTCCATTGACTACAATTAGTATTTATTCTATTGTTTCATTCCCCTTTATTTATTCAAAGAATAAATTGTCCACTGAGAAAAGATAATCTGACATCACAGCTTACAGCAAATAACTATAATAACTCAAGAGATAAATGAATACTTTTTTTATTTCAGACACTACTGTAGATAAAAAAAAGGTGTACATTTATACAAGCTACACTCAGATATTTCTACATAGTATTACTTGTTAATGCCCTTTTATATACTCAAAGAATAGAGTCAACTATACTGAAGTCTATAAATAGACAAAATTTATATAAGCAGCAACAGAGGGGGAAAAAGCTCCGTTTAAATAAATAAATAAATAAATAAAGGAGAAGCTGTAATACATTCAATATGTATGATGATCTAAACAGAGTCATATTCTCTAATAGAAAACAATAAGCCACAATAAAGCACTGTGCCTATTAGAAGCCTTTTGTTTATGTGAAAAAAAAATATATAAATAGGGGAAGAAAAAATTTATTTTTGCTTTTCTTTTTCTTTTCTTTCTTTATGAAAGTGATATTCTGAGGATATTGGTCACTATAAACAATAAATCGTCAGTGATATTCTCCGGATAATGGTCACTCTAAATAATAAATCCCCCAGTGAAGTTATTTGGATGTATTGGTCACTTAAAATATTCAATCCCGAGAGTATCTTTCATTTGGAGTTTTCACGTCTCTCGTTAAATATGACTGTGAAAGGAAGCACATAATGATCAACCTCCACGATTGGTTGCTTCTGGAAACAGTAGTCTTTTTTATTATATAGAGAAGCTACTGGCTAATTGGATCATTACCCCTTTTTTATTATTAATTATAAATGAAAAAAAAAAAAAAAGAAAGAAAGAATCAAGATCAGATAAATGAGAGTACTAAAACAATTACTGACATAAATTTGAAGAGATATGAACATCTCATTCAATAGAAAGACATTTGTAATATTCTCGAGTATAGAAAGCAAATTATAAAATTTTGGAGGCGCGAATTCGAAAAAATTCAATAAGCGAATTGAAAACAAACCAAGATCCTTTTCTACTGTAACTTTATATTTTTTAACCATGGGGCTTATAGAAATAAAACCAGCTACGATTAAAGATATCCCTGTTATTTTAGATTTTATTAAGAGACTTGCAGAATATGAAAAGCTTTCACATGAAGTTATTGCAACCGAAGATGTTCTTCGGGAGACCTTATTTGGTGAACATCGTTATGCTGAAGTCATAATCGCCTATGGTAAACAAAACGATGAGGGGAATACACCTATTGAACCAGCAGGAATGGCTCTTTTCTTTCATAATTTCTCTACCTTTGTAGGACGCCCTGGACTTTATTTAGAAGATTTATTTGTGAAGCCTGAATTTAGAGGAATGGGCATTGGTAAATGTCTCTTGATTCAATTAGCAGTAATCGCAAAAGAAAGAAATTGCGCACGTTTTGAATGGGTTTGCTTAGATTGGAATAAACCTTCAAGAGAGTTTTATGAAGCACTTGGTGCTAAACCTTTAAGTGAATGGATTATTCATCGTATAGATGGCAAATCACTAGATGATCTTGCTGCTTTATAATTAATTATAAAACAAAATAAAAAAATAAAAAAAAAAAAAAAAAAAAAAAAAAAAAAAAAAAAAAAAAAACGTGCGCATGTATTTTTTATATATTTATTTTGAGATTGCTAAAGACAAATTTTATTTTATGTTTTATTCAATTCCCTATCATCGAAACGACGCATTTTTGATCTTTTCTTTATATTATTTTTAATAATGGTATCGTCTTGCATTAATGGAGACTCAGTACCAAATTGACCTTTAGCTTGATATCCATTTGCAAAATCAGTTGCAGATATAATGCCTTTATTTTCTACTTTTAATTTAGAACAAGCAATAACACTGCCATCACCGAAAGCTATATGTAAGGATTTACTAGCTTCATCCCATCTAAAACTTCCAGGTTCACTCTGCTGTAATGATATAGTTTCCTTCTTATTAAATGATAACAGATGAAGATCTAATAGTTGCACAATCAGATTCTTCTTCTTTTTATGGTACGTGGTACGTAAAGGAAATTGATCTCCAATAGCACGATTTAATTGTTCAGCTTGCCAGGCTGACATATTTTTAAAGTCTAATTCAGACCATTCCTTCTTCACTTTAGGTGCTTTCGTTGCTTGGGAAATATCTTGTTTTTGAGCATTCTGTTTACGTTCATAAAGATTGCAGACAGTATCAATTAAGAGTCGAGAACCTATCTCAGCTAAGGTTTCTTTCAATTTTGAATAAACTGGGTAATCATGATTCATTGATAATAAACTAATTCTTTCTTGTGCTAAAATACGGCCTGCATCAAATTCTTTATCATCTAATTCTTGAATGGTCACACCTGCTTCTGAATCTCCATAAAGGATAGTATGTTGGATAGGTGCAGCTCCTCTATATTTTGGTAGTAAAGAAGGATGAACGTTAATAGCGCCTTGATTAAGTGATGAAATAATATGAGGTGGAATAAAATAGCCAAATGAAACTACAATGCCTAAATCATATACTTTATTGTTTGGTAGTGTCCAATCATTTAATGTTTTTATGCCTGCTGGTGTATGATAGATTTCAATATTATTTCTTTCTGCTATTTCTTTTGTTTCACCTATATATGTATATATAAATGTATATAAATATATATAAATATATGTGTATGCATATTAACAATAGTAATAATCTGGGGTATGTCGAAATAAATTTACTAGGAGTTATTTTTTCGAGTTTTCTACCCGTTCGTCTATCAGGAGGACAAACAAGATCAATAGTAGCAATGCAGCTACCTTGACGTTCTAGAAAGAAAAGAAAAGAAAACAGGTCAATTACCGGGTATAATGGCAATTCTGAATTCCATAATTACCCTTTTCTTTAATGAGAGCCCTTAAATGAGTAGACGCAAAACTGTCAGTTCCAAAAAATAAAATACGGAGTTTTTGGTTATTAGTCAAAGTTGTATAGTAGTGTTGATATTTAAAAGATGAGCTCTATATATATATATATATCTTTCTTTTTTTTAAAAGAGGCTGTATATTTTGTTTTGCTTTACTTTTTTATTTACGTTTATTTTAAAAGAGGTTCTAGATATCAATTTGAACATTTTATATAGGTAAAACAATATTAAAAAGAAACGAAAAGGGTCCCTTTTTTTTTTAATTCATTATTATGTGACTACTTTTTTTTGGCAGATTTGGCAGATTTGGCAGATTTGGCAGGAATTTCAGCTCTAAAGACATAAACTAATTGTTGACTTTGCGTAGCAACATTATCAAGACAGCCTAAATTATACAGATCTGATTTCATATTGGAAACCATGCTTTTCATTTGATATAAATCATGGTTAAAGATATCAATACTTTCTAAAATACATAAATTAAAGATCAATTGTTGCTTTGCGAACTTCTCTAGATATAGAATAAATGTTTTCTTTCTTTTTATATGAAATAGGATAGCCTTCAATGTTTGATGAATTGCAAAAAACATATGATGATAAGTACTTAGGTCGCATTTCATTATCTTAATTTCATCTAAACCCTGAAGTATCTTCAATGTAAGATCTAATGCTTCTAATAAAAGGTTAATTGTAACCTGATAATTATCTTGTTGTAATAGGGAAAATAAAACCACAAGATGCATTGAATAATAACATAATTTGAGATGTAAACTTGGATTCAATTGATTATCCCACCATCTTTTGACTTCTGCCGTTAATGAATCATATGTTGAAGATAATGTATAAGACTGAATTGCTCTATTGTATTTACGCATGTACTGAGAAAAATAAGCAAATTGAAGATAGGAATCTTGTGACGTACAGCAATGATTATGCTGTCTAGTTGGTTCCTGCTGTGCTACATGATGAGGCGTTGTGAAGTGATTGAAGTTAGGGAAAGTAGTATCATAATGATAATTCTGATTTATGCCAGCAGATATTTCTTTAATTTTGAAGGGGATTTTATCTGGTAGTAAACATTCTTGATTTAATGAAATTGCTAACCAAGCATCTATATAATACCAGCGATACCAGCAATTCCTTAAAATAGGCGAACTATCAGCATATTTGACTTTATTCTTTAAAAGAACACTAGCGAAATAATGCCATGTATGTTGTTCTCCAGTGACACGTAAAAGGGTTGCAGTATAACTAAGACAAAAATAACACTGGATAGCTATGATGGATAATTGCAAATCTTCTTCTTCGTTATCTGGGAAAATAAATTCTTCTAAATAATGACAAGCCCTCTTATAAAAATAATAGGCACTATCTCTTTTGAAATCTTCTGTTGCTTTATTATTGACAGTGTTATTATTAGGTTGTTGACGACCATTGCTTATCATTGTTGGTTGCTGCTCGTTAATGGTAATCATACTGATAGCAGCCACACAATAGAGTATTGTCCTTGGAGTATTCTTCTTTTGTAATAAACTTAATTCAATCGGTGCAACCTTAAAACTTATGCAACACCAGTGTTGTATAGCTCGGAATATAAGACCTTCAGTGAGCCGAGTACTTGCTGAATGATATCGAATTGGCTTTGGTAAAGAGGGCCTTTTTTCATATGTGCTGCGAGCCTTACTCACAAGATATTTTGTAGATTGTACACTTTGCTGTATTAGAGAATGAGGATGAGATGGTAACAAATTGTTAATTTCTAATAATTCACATAGGTCACTAAAGTTATGAATCAAATAAGATACTTTGCTAAAATTAAAAGGATTAGTATTAGATTTATAACAGTAATAATAAGCGATATCTGTCATTTATTTTTTTAAAGTGTAATAATGCATTTAAAAGAAGAAAAAGAAAAAGAAGAATAGTCTTTATTTTTTTTATTTTTTATTTTTTATTTTTTTATTTTTACTCCTGAAAAAATAAACATATTGTAGTTCTCAGAGAAAACTTATCCAAGTTAAATGAAGAAATTTAAAAGTCAAAATCGAGAAAATACAATTACGCAATCTGAGAAAGTGCAATTGATAAATCGAGGACGGCTCAGTCAAATACTAACTGAGAGAAAAAAGAGAATAATGTATATAAAGTGCCTACTATTTATACTTTTTGGTATGATTGTCTTATTAATGCTTTATCCATCCTAAACTGTATATTATTATCCTTTTACGCTATATTAGTTTATAAAATTGTGTTATATATTATTGAGTGATCAATCTAATGTATGCAATAATTGTAATGGATAAATACTTATTCCTGTTATTTACTATGCCTCATCTTGATGTATTATATACGGTAATATATTTTCTACTAAGTTTAGCTTATATGTATCGACAATCATTTATATTTGATTTGATAGCTAAATTATAATTATGATTAGTGGTAACTTGGTTTCAGCTCTAACTTTTAACTTTATTTTTGTATATGAGGTTATTAAGCTTATTTTATTATTATGTTATCTACAAATACGACAAGCAATCAATGAACAGTATAAAATTATACCTTTCTTTTGTTTTCGTTAAAATTTAATCCATACCATCACTAAAGTAAATGTATGTTTATTTGAAAATACTTCGTGACTTTACAGCTTAAGATGATGTAAAACGGCTTTACATTATTTCACAATATTATTAATGTAGTTTTTTTGTTATTAGTTAGAAAGAGCTCATTTATAACCCTTTTAATAGCTGTTAGTGGTAATTACCGATAACTATGTTGTATAGTATTGTTTAGGAAAGGGAAACAATAATAATAAAAAAAGGTAAAGCAAAATAAAACCAAAAAGTCTACGAAAACGTTGTATAAATTCTTTTTATTTAAAAAATTCGATAAATAGAAAAGATATACTAAATTGGAGCTTTATTTATATCCTTTGGAGATGGGTAAAGCTTTTTGGAAAATATTAGAGGGCCAAAGATATATCCAGTAGATAGTTAGATTGATATAGTTTGGCCTTGATAATTAAGAACTGTCATGGTTGTAAGATTTATAACTTGATTTGGTTAGATAAAAGTATTTAGTGTGTTTCCATAATAATTCTGTCTATGTACATATAAAGTATATTAGTCTTTGTATGGAAAATAATGAATACAAGTCTTGCATCTAAAAATACATCTTTTATCATTGTTTTACTAATTATAAGTGTATAAAAAATGACTTTTTTTAATCAAGTAGAGAATATAAGAATAATTAGTATACAAGTAATAATCGATCTCGCTTAAAAGTACATGAGCTACTTTTAAAAGAAAATGAATATACAAAAGATATGGATATTTTTATAATGCTTCTTGATATTATAATATTCTCTTCTATGATTATATCATCAAATACAATTTGTTACATTTATGTATCTTATCATTACTCATCATCTTTATTCACAAAAAGTATAAATATCTCGCTATTATTTAAGAATAAACTTAGAACATACTTTTAATTCAAACTTATTAACAAGTCTTAATCTACTTCTTTACGTCTTTTCTTTTATTTTTTATTCTTCACTTATTTGTAAATCACAACACTCATTCATACCATAATTCATGCGTCTCCGTATGTTATATGTTCTTACATTTACAAACTTTTTTATATCTTGTCTGTACAAATTTATTTTCTTCAGCCGTACTTGTACCTGTGTGTTTTTATACTCAATCCATATCTTTACGTTACATGTGTTTCTGTTCAATTCCTTTAAATAAATTAAATCCGTCCTTTTGTGTACTTTGTTTTGTTTTCATCATATTTGTTTGCTGATTCAGCGTAAGTCAATGGATGTAACTGAAATATACTTGAGCAAATTTCTTTTCCAGCTATTAAATAAAAAAGCCAATTACATGGTGCACCTTTGTAATGACAAAACCGCATTTTATTTGAAAATTTTCCAAAAAAAAAAAAGCGCTTGTCCAACTCTATGAATTATATGTAATTGAAGGCTACTAATTATAAGGCTAAAGAGTGCTGTTTAAACCTCTAAGGGCGCCAAAGGTATGAAAAAATCAGTAATATAACCTTTTCCTTTCATTACGAACATATCGAAAATAATATATGTATATCCATTACTAAGTACAGAGCTACTAGTAGTCTTAAAAAATTTATTATAGGGAAACATTTCGAAAGTTATTAGAATCATCTGTTTGATGCAATAACCTACTTATGTTATATTTTAGCTATTGTACTGGTTTTAATTACAGCAAAATGTATTATTTATATATTTATGTTATCTAGTTTTCATGTCCATATATGTTATCTAACAAATATGAACTCCAGTAAATATATTTAGTTTTCCTTGGATAATAGTAAGACACATTACTGAGTGAAAAGTGAGAAAATATTAATATGATGAATATGTTTGAAAACCATAATTTCATAGATGAAGTAGGCCCTGATATTAATATAACATTTTTCAGAGGATGGCTAATCAACGGCATTTCAGCTATTATCACTACGCCTAATACTAGGACTATATTATCGTAGACGATCTTAGAGATGATGAACACTTAGTATATAGTAGAATCAATCGTATTTAATGGCTTGCAAATAAGATCAATTTTGATAAATGTAAAATAAAATCCCTATCTAACTTGAGTAAGCACATTATTATAAATCATTACCCGTAAGCTATTTATAAATTCTTAAGCGAAAGAGACCATTTCGAAGAAATAATTTTTCTTTTCTTTTTTTTTTTCTTTTCTTTTTTTCTACTAACAAAATAAATAATAAAATAGTAGAAATAAGGCATAAATACATTAATTGTCTACCTACTCGCAGTTTAGAATCAATAGCTGAAAACAGGGTTAAGTGAAGCTCTAATTTTGTAAACAGTAAGGACTGAAGTATTAAAAGCTTATAATACTATTCTTTTTTGTCTTATTGAAGCAGTTGTATAGCACTTGACACATATTTGAGGTGTGAGTCTATTTTTTTTTTAAAAAAAAATGATTTAGGCCTTAAAAGAATACTTATTGTGATTTTAGTTCCCACCACTCAATTTAGAAAACCGTCTTTTTGGAGTTGCAACCTTTCCAAATTCAAAACTTCAAAACATGAATGTCCAAATTTAGACAATATTTTGCATTGTTATTAACAAATATATATAATAATAAGCTTATTTAAACTATTTGCTAATGTGTTTTATTTTATTTTATTTTGATTTGTTTTATTTTATTTTAACTGTGTACTAGAAGCTAAGGATGAATGGATTACCTTCTAAAATTACATTCTTTACAGAAGATATACATAATCAAGAACGACTTTGCACTAATCATTTACAAGGTATTATCATAGTTCATATCTTATCTTAATGTTTATCTATTCATTTTTATTCATTCATTTATTTATATTATAAAAGACCTTTCTAAAATTAATGATCGTAGTTGTAATACAACTCCTCTTTCTTGTTCTGATTCTTCAACAAACACAATACATAAAAAAAAGCCTTTACCACAAATCCCACCAAAAAGGAATACGACCTCTGAAATAATTCCAAATTATAACAATTCTACCACTGTTCATTATCCTTTTATTAATCACGCAACACGGCAAGGAGGTGTCGTGACAGGACCTTCTTGGACAGTTACAACACCTATGCCTATGATTGACAGAGATAACGTTATTCAACTAGAAAATAGAGAAGTTAATTTTAATTTACCTCAAAAAAATTTTAATACAACTGTGGAAATTAAAGATAATAATGAATCTCAATACATTGTTTATAATGAACACAACAACAATAGAAATATAAAATCCGATCAAGAATTGTTACATAATCCTTTGTCTGACGAATTGTTTCAACAACAAGTACATTATTTCAACTCTGCTCCATATTCAAATGGCTATTATGATAATCAAACCACTTATTCTTCGGTTAATAGTCATCACTCATCATCCTGCGAATCAATTAATATTAGTATTGACTCGACTAATCATAGGCCATTCGCACTAAATGATAATGTAGCTTTCGATACTAACCAAGAATGGAAAATATCAACTTTCAGAACTATGGAATCAACCCTTTGTAGATCCGAGAATTCAAAAACAGAAACAAAAGACCAAGTAACACACTTAAATCAGGGGCCTCAACTATTTAAAGATACGATGCATTATGAAAAGCCCTTTGAGCCATCTACCAAGAAAATAACGAATACAGAAATAAATAAGCCAGATTATATAAATGAGGTTCAACATCATACTCTATTATTACAACGAAAGCTGTCCAAGGAGGAGATCTCTAATATGTCTGAAGCTTCAAAATCGGTATCATGTTTACAAAGGTTGAACTGCTCATCAGATTCAACTGAAGATATTGATCTTGCAACAGCTAGCGCTAATATTACTACTCTATTTTTATCTTCCGAATTACACAATGCCAATAGTAGTGGTACACTAAATGATGGTAGTAGTTCATCTATACCATCCTTTGTGTCCTCCGTTGATTATCAATTAGTACCACTACCATCTACTTTTGTCTATACAAAATTACCTGATCAAGATCATTTTAACAAACAAAGAACTACACAAAATCATTCAAGTTTAATGCCTCGTTTAACTATACCACCATCAGTTGAACAGGAGGAAGCTCCATGTAATTCCTTTTTTGCTTCTGAAAAATACTTCCAACAGCCTGATAGTGCTTCACCAATTTCAGCTACTGCTTCAAGAATACCTTCCCCTTGGGGTAGTGCATCAGAGAGACAGCAACAATCAATGGGCCGTATATCTACAGTTTCTATTCCTATTTCCTCTGTTCATCATACAGCTCAAGTTCCGGATGAAGTTTCGCATATTAATTCATCTACTGAAACTACTACTACCACCACCAACACTACTACTACTACTACTACTACAATGGAAAAAAATAAAAGTCAGAAAGAGACGCTTTCAAATGAAAATACAAGTAAAGCAGAACGAAATTTTATTAACATACATGTGAATCAGGAAACGAACAATGATACAATTACTAATTATAATGAAGCTTCATTGAGTATTGCATCCTGTAGCTTAATTCAAATTCAATCAAATATCAAACTCTACCGTCGAATGGCACTTAAGACTCAAAATGAGGATATACAAATGACTTATGCCAAATATTTACTACAAATTGCTAAGCTTTATAACAAGCAAGGTAGTATATTCATTCCAAAAAAAGCAAACCTATAACCCCACCTATCAAAAAAATAAAATAAATAATAATAGTCATAATAATATTTATTTGAATACAGGTTTTGGAAATCGAAATGGCCGCAACACTATAAAGAAAGGCATACATGGTACGAAAAAGGGGCATACTTATCAACAATTAGAAACTCCTGAGCAGACAAGACATCGTTTACTTTCAGAAGCAGCTTATTGGATTGTGCGACTGGCTAAAGCTAAAAAACCAGAAGCGTTATTCATTAAAGGACGTTGGTGCTTATTGGGCCCAGAAGCAGAAGAATGTGTCATACGAGGTTATGAAAAAACTCAAGAAAATAAAGCTTTCAAATGTTTTTTAAGTGCTTCAAAAGGAGGTTGGACAGAAGCACACTACGAGCTTGCTCAGTTATGGAAGATTCGTGGTAAATTTGCAAAAGCTATACAGTATTATGAGAAGGGTGCAAAGGAAAATCATACACTATCTATTTATGTATGTATCAGAAATATTTTTACATGAATTTTTTATTTTATTATATATATATATAAATATATATTCTTATAATATATAATATAATATAGAAAATGGCCAAAATATTATTACGTGGACAGTTGAAACATAAAGTAGATATTCCCCGAGGAATGGCTTATTTGAAACAAGCAGCTGATATGAATGATTTTGCTTCAGCAGAACCAGCATTTGTTTTGGGATGTATCTACGCGCATGAATTTGATTGTATTGGTATTCAAAGGTACCCTTTCATATATAAATATATATTTATATTATTATAAAATATGTCATTAACTTAATTTTAAGATATGCTGAAAGTATATCGAAACAACTTGCTTTAGATTCAGCAACTCAAATGGAAAAATCTTATGAAAAAGTTAATTATCCCTTAGCGCTAACTTATTTAAAAAAATCATGTCAAAAAGGTTATCCAGATGCATTGTATTTTATGGGTCAAATATTGGAAACAGGCAAATTAGGACAGCTTAGTGATTCATGGCAAGCTTATCAGTATTATGTCAAAGCAGCTGATGCGGATCATGTAGGTGCTATGTTAGATCTTTCACGAATTTACTCTCAGGGTATTCCAGGATTACTGGCTGCACAAAAAGAAATTGCATTCAAATGGTGTTCAAAGGCTGCAGACCTTGGATTTGATCAAGCTGAATATGTACTAGGGTAAGTATGTATATATATATATGACAAATGAATGACAAAGCAAATAATAATACAATTATTATAATAGAAAGTACTATGAAAATGGCATAGGTGTTAATGCAAATTTTCCTCGCGCTTTGGAATATTATGGTAGGGCTGCTTCTAAGGGTTACCAACCCGCTGCTGAGAAACTAAATCGGCCGCTTACAAATGGATCTTCAAGAAAAGAACCACAGGCCACTGAAAAAAAAAGTATCATAGCTAAAGAAAATGCAAATGTGGACCAACTATTCACAAATCGAGATGATAAATGTAAAAAATCATCTAAAAAAATTAATTTAAATAGTACAAAAAATAATATTTGTAATGTTCAATAATTTATACAACTAGAATTAAAAGAAACTATTCATACTTTTTTCATATAAAACGAAATTTATGTTATATTATTGCAAATCTTGTGCATATATATGCACTTTATGCTATATATTAAAAGCCTCTTTTCAATCATATTTAGGACTTGTAGGAGCCGTTTCTTTTTTTTTTAATGATTATAGAACAGTATATACAAACCTTGTGCTTTTAGCTTACAAAAAAAAAAAAAACTGATAAAAACTTATATTACCTAATACCTTCGTATCAATTTTCTTCCATGTATATTAATGAATTTAGTTGATTTCATATTATTTCTTTAAAACAGGCTTCCCAGACTATTATCTAAACAGACTGATCAACAAATCTAATAGAGATTAAACTAAATAATCTTTCAGCAACGACCGAAACAAATAAATATGATTTTGCATAATGAGTGCACGACTATCTCTCCTAATCAAGGATCTCTATTCTTAAATTGGCTTCGTTTGTCTTCATACTAACATGCACTCCTTTCGATCCCTTTATTCTCCTTCTACTCATAATGATTTTTCCTGTATATAAAATACATTTTGAATTGGTCCGAGCAGATTTAGTGTTTAAAATACTTGTATTCAACTGAATTAATTAAAGCTAATGGATTTAACAACATTGAAGCGCATAAAAAACATTTTTTTCTACTATTTAAAGAGAAAAATAACTTCAAAAAAAACATTATAAATATAAAATAAAAATAAAAAATATGATATATTATTCTATATTAAATCTAATTTTTTTTAACTCTGTATTCATAAAATAGAATGAATTATTATCTAATCATTTTACTGTCAAAACCTTCTTTTACAATAGGTAAATCTGTTGCTTTCTTTGACTTCATCTTTTCTTGTTGGCTAACGTTACTATATACATACATACATATATATAGATGATATAAATACGTTTTTTCTTTCTCTAAAAAAAAAAGAAAAAAAAAATAGAGCTTGTTATGTTTACCTATACCAAGCACCACCAAGCAATGTCAACACAATACCGATTAAATTCATAAAAGTAATATTCAAATTAAAAATTATCACTGCCAATACAATTGAAAGCACTTGTTTTACATTCCCTGCCACTGTCATGGTTAAGGCGCTTGTCTTCTTATTCGCTGTAAAGCTAATAACATTTAAGAAAAAGGCAATCACTCCATTCATTAATAAAGCAAAGCAAAGAGAGAGTGTAAGTTTTGAATGTGCAAAACTAATCACTGCAGTCATTTCTCCTGTAATATAAGCATATATCAGAGTCTGAATAAACGCCAAAGGAGACATACGTAATAAAAGGTCTAAAGGATGAAGCTTCAAACGTCCTACTTGAACTCTATTTGTTACAATTGTTTTAATTGCTGCCAAAAGTGTGCCTAATACTGTTAATACGAATCCTAGCATTGTATAATTATAATCTCCAAATGTAGCAAAAGCAACACCTAAAACTACCTAATACCATACCATATATCAAATCAGCTCATTTTCTGTCGAATTGCTATATATATATTTACTTACGGGTAATAATGAAATGTATATCATAGTAGAAAAAGACTTTTTGAAAAAAATGATAGAGATCATCACTGTGAAAACAGGAGTCATTGCACGAACTACTTGATGAAACTATGTAAAACAAAATACATGTTGTATATATTCTTACTATCAATTTTTAAATATGTATTCACTTGTTTAAAATAATAATAATAACAATAATTAAAATACACTTACTGGCACAGTAACCAAATTTCTATAATAATAATAATAATAATAACAGGGCATATAAATATAAATCGAACTTATAATTACACCAAAAAAAAAAGTTATTATACATACAATGAAACGTTACTGATAGCAATATTGATTGTGTACAGCACAGAAAAGGCCAACATAACTATATTTTCCCTTTCTCCAAGTAAGGCAGGTGTAAATAAATCTGCTTTCCAAAAAGCATAGGACCCAATTGCACCACATAGTGTATGTATTGCTGTAAGTGTCCAAGGAAATGGGAAATCATAAAGTGCCAAAATGATTTTATTATAAAGCGTTAAAGATAAATTAAAAAAAAAGTAAAGTACAAGCCAAATCATAGGCGTATCAAAGCTTTCTAGTTTATTTGAAAATGTTTCGAATTTCATTATGATATTATTCAAAGAATAATAAAAAAAAAAAAGAAGAAAAGAAAGGAAAAAAACTGTTCTGTTTAACTCAATAAAGTTTAAAATAAAATTATTATTAAAAGGAGGAGACACAGTTTGCCTTTTTTTTTTTTTTTTTTTTTTTTTTTTTTTTTTGTAGGAAACGAAATTGTAGGGGTTACAACAATAGCTGCTATAATAAAAGATTGTAGATCCGGAGGATTTATCATCCTCTTATTAAATAATTGATTTGCCTTGCTTAAAGATTTTATTTATTAATGTATTTATTTTTTAGATTTCAACTTTCTTGAATTTGAACTACTTCCAGTTCCTGTAGTCTTTCTTTTCTTCGATGACGCTTCTTTAATGTATTTTGAATCCATAGCATCTTCTTCATTTACTGATTCTTCTTCAACAGGACTGTCATCGCCAATAGGTTCATCTTCTTCAATAATTGTTCCTTCCGCATCTTCTTTAGGTCCAGACACAATTTTTTTAATTGGTACTCCACCAACTTGGAATAGGATAGGATGATTTTTAGAGTTGTACCTAATTTAAAACGTCAGAATCTTATATCATAATTTAAGGTATATGCTTACTCTCTTGTAAAAGCAGTTTTAACCTTAGTAGGGATTTGTACAAGTGGTAATTTTCCTGATTCAGTAAAAACTAATTCATTTAATGTATCTAAATTTTCTCTGTCAAGATAATATGTATCCATAATCTCCATTGCTCCTTCAAAATTTTCCTAAAAATAGCCATCGTTACACTAACAATTATATAATCCTTTATTATTATTATCTTACCTTTTCTAGATCACCAAATATACGTTCATTTAATGTTGGAATATAATTCTGTCTAATTTCATATTTATCACCAGAGGCTCTTAAGCGCATACGTGTTTGAACATCACTTAATGCTCTAGCATATTTTCCTGCCTTTGAATTTTGACCAAGCCATCTAAGATAAAATATAAGAAACCATATAAAACTACAGGTTATATATAAACAATAACTTACCCAGGGAAATTCATTCTAGTTCGAAGACTACCTTCCATATAATTTGCAGGTCTTACACAAGAAAATATAGAATGAACTGGCATTAATGAATAATGTTGAACAGTACTGAAAAAAAGTAATTAGAATATTTATATATTATTATTATTATTAATAATATTAATATCTACCCATGAATCATTGTATCTACAAGGTCACCATCTGCCATAGCATTAGCCGCCTTTGCTATTAAATCCATATGATTACAGTCTGTCTCAGTAGCATTACCAGTTCGAGAAGCTGCTTTTTCAGGTACACATTTTAAATAATTTTCCTAATAGCCACAATATATTTTAGAAAATAAAATATAGTTATTTCAGATAAAAAAAAAAGAAACCTACAAACATCATTAAATGAGAAAGACTATATTCATGGAAATAAATATCATATTTCTCATTTAAAGACTTTGATCTCCAATTGCTGCTTGACAAAAGTTCGATAGGAATATCAAATAAGTTGAGAATAGAATATTTCTGGTTATTTTTACCACTAATGTGTATAATATACATATAACAAAAAAAAATAGTTAGCAGTAGTTTTTATTTTATTTTATTTTTTAACAAACTTACACTGCCTTTGCTTGATCATAAGTCATATCAGATTCTTTTAGACGATATGTAGACAGGATATTAATAATTTGTCGAATATCATTCTGTGTTAAAGATACAAGCTCATCAACAGCATTTGGCTGAATTTTAAGGCCTTCCCTAATAGATTTGATAATTTAATATCTGCATGGATTCTTTATACAGTAAATAACTTACTTGAATGCTATAGAAAGAATTCTAGAGCGAATTTGAGCAGCTGGTGTTCTACAAGGAATATAACCCTCTTTTTAGGAAAAAAAGATGATATGATAGTTATATAATATCTATACCATTACCTCTTAAATTTAGCTTCAAAGCAAACTCTCAATAAAGGTGCTACTTTGGTTGATCTTGGGTCATTACATATACAAATAACAGGTATTTTTGTTTTTCGAATTAACATGGCTAATTCTGCTGATCCACCACGATCGCCTGCTGTCATACCATCAACTTCATCCATAATTAATACAACTTTCTTTCCATTAGTAAATTTAGTTTCAGTCTAAATAGTAGTTGTTTGTAAAATTGACAAAATACTAACGACAAAATAAAAATACTGAACAAACCTTTTTCTCTCTATTAGATTTAAGGAATTCAGTCATAGTACGATTATCTATCATTTCAGTTATATTCTCCTCTAGAACTTTTTTACTACGAGCATCACTTGCATTGAACTCAAGTGCTTCATATCCATTAACAGCAGCAACAACATTAGCAGTAGTAGTTTTACCGATGCCAGGTGGTCCGCTGATAAGAATAGCACGAAACTGATTCATTTCATCTCCATTTCCTTTAAATCCTTCAGAATAATTTTTTTGCCAATTTCCTAACCATTCTGAGATACGACGAACTAATTCTTTATTACCAATAATCTCTTTAAGTTCTTTTGGTTTATATTTTTCTGTCCATAATTGTTGGCTATTTGTTTCGGTCTTTTTACTAAAGATGAATTTGATTAATAAAAATGTAACTATTCTTTTATCAAGTGTATAACTTACGTTCCATTAGCTGGACTTTCCTTTATAGTTACTTTATCTTTCCCCTTATCCTGTGCAGGTATAGCAGGAATAGGTGCTTCCTTTTTAGGAGCAGAAGATTCAACAAATTTATAAAATGCATCTTCATCAAGGATTTTTGTACCTAATGATTTAGCTTTTGCTATCTTACTTTCACCTGCATCTCTACCTAGTAACAAATAATTGGTCTTTCCACTTACAGCAGTAGTTACACGACTATCATAAACAAAAAATTAATGATATAAAATACATAATTCTCTCTCTCTCTCTTACCCTCCATAACGCATAACGATGTCTTTAGTTTGATCTCTTGTTAATGTTTCATATTGACCAGAGATAACAAAAGTAAGACCACCTAAACAATTAGGAGCTCCTACAGGCTCAGGTCTAGTACCTAATGCCTTAGGTGGTTCTTGGTTTTTCAACATGGCGAAATAGTTTTTTTTGCCTGCAGGTTTTGGTTTCTCTTCAGTTTCTTTTTTAGGAGAATTAGGCTTAATCTTCTTTTGTGGACGAGAAATGGGTTTTGCTTCGTCACTGTCTTCTTTATAATCATTATCGCTATTATTATCCTCATTATCTTCTTTATAATCATCATCATCTTTACTAATAATTTTATGCTTTCTAGAACTAGTCTCTTCTTTCTTTGGTACTATTACTTTCTCAGTTGCCTTTACTTTTGTCGTCTTGGATACAGGCTTTGTCGAAGTTTTTGATTTAGACTCAAAAAAATCTTTAGGATTGATTTGTCTAAAAAAAAATAATAATAATTATAATAATAATAATGCATTTAATATATCTATTCAATTAAGATAAATTAAAAGTTTGCTATTTTTTTTCTTATTTACTCTGTGTTCTTTGAGGTAAAATGTCTTGACTTTAAAATGGGTGCTTGACTAAATTCAAATAGAGCAAAATATATGTCAATAATGTACTCATGAAAAAAAAAAAAAAAAAATAATAATAATAACGATAACAATAATAATATTACAATTCATCGTCTTCATTAGCTTCTTCTAAGGTTCCAAAATATTGATATAAAATTAGTAATTAGTTGATAGCAGATATGTTTAAAAACAAGTATTGAGTTTTATAATAATACCTTTTGCTATTCTTTTGAGATCATTAGTAGATTCCTTTTTTTCAAGTTGAATCGATTAAAAATTAGTTGACATGTCCTTTCATATATTTGTGTACTTTGACATGGTTTTTATAAAGTATAGTTTCCTTTTTTTTTTTACCTTTTTCTTTATTTGTGATGGACTGAAATATTTTTCGATTCCCATATTGATCGACTATATAAAAATATTTGATAAAATAAAAAGTGAAAAGAAAAATATAAGCGCGGCGCTCTGCATTATTATTATTATTTTTTCGCGTTTAAGAGGTCACAGCTTAAAAATTTGAAAATGATTGGATATTTAGAAAAATTATAGAGGATTTTGATGTTTAATTATCACATAATCTATGAATATAAAAGACTGTATTATTTCAACCAATAGTTCTAGTGTAAGAGGATAATATGTTTAATGGCTACTATTTTTAATAGGAAAAAAAAAACAATCATTAAGAAATAAAAACATTATTTATCGTAAAAATATATTTCATTTAATGACTTTATTATTTTAAGGTAGAATATATACATTATTTTCTTTTTCTTCTTTTTTTTTTTCTTATATTTTCTTGTAAAAAAAAAAAGGATAACATATATATAATACACTTACTGTGCTATAGTTGTGTTAAGTTGGATCTGTAGCAGTATACGTGAATATGTATTTTTTTATTGGTCATTATCATCATCTGTCATTTCTATGTCAGAAACTTCTTCGTAAATTTCTTCAATATCACTGTCACTATTGTCCTCATTGTCTGTATCTTCTTCATCTATTAATTCCTCTAATGCATCCTGAAATTCATCTTCACTCTCCTCATCTGTTTCCTTCATTCCTTCATCTTCTTTTTGATCTATTATATTTAAATTTTCTGTATCTTCATTTATTTCCCCTTCCTCTAACTCATCTTCTAATTCTTCATCTGATCCTTCTTCCTCTTCTTTGAAACGTAAAGACTCAGAATCACCAACATCGCTTCCAATCTCATATTGTGACCAACCATCATCATCATCACTCTCGTCAAATAAACGAATAAAGCCTTCTGCTTCTTCCTTTTCTCGGATTTCATCTTTACTTGTTATAGGTTTATTTCCTTGCATTGATTTTAAATCAGGATGTGTCCAAACTTTAGAAGCAGCTGCCTCTTCAATCACCTTTTTCTTTTCAGCCTTAGCTGTTTTCTGGGCATAGAAATAAGAAGGGCTCATCCAGCTACTAAGACGAACAATACCGCTTTGTTTCTTGCCATCTTTATTATTAGTTGCTGTTGATGTTGTTGCTGTACGTCTAGCGACATGAGGTAACCGGCAGTTTGCATTTGAGCATTTACCTGTTTCTGCAAATTCTGGACAAACATGAATATGTTTTTCATCACACTCAAGACCCTTAGGACAATAGCCTTCCATAGCAAATGCTCGACACACAGGAGCATCGGAACTCACTTTTACATGCATGTAGATACAAGGGTCATTTGTACAATGTCCCTTTTGAAAATGTACACAATGAGGCATAATATGAGGACTAGGGGTATGTGATAATCGACAGGTACTAGCCGTCTTTTTGCATCTATTCTGTAGAAACCGAGGGCATATAGCACGCCTATTAGGGTCATGTAAAAATGGACATCGAGAGCCATTAGGACATTTACCATATCTTGTATAAAATCCACAATATCGAGGTTTTTTTATTGTAGTGGTGCGTGAATTCAAGACGAGCGATTTACCAGTTCGACCTTGACGTACATAACCTTCAGGACCACGCTTAAAGACCATATTACCCTTTTTATGACGATGAATACTTGTACTACTACCATGACGACGTATTTGTTTAGGAACTATTTTTCCTAAGACCATATTTTTATTTTTATCTCTTTTCTTTAAACTAAATACATATAGAATGAATATATATACATATATATACATATATATATATATATGTGTGTGTATGTATATATGTATATGTATATAAATATAAATGTATATTTTCTTTTTTCTTTTTTAAAAGAATGATTTACTTACCTTTTTATGGATCTTCTAATTAATACTTTTGGAGCTGTGATCAAGTGATTAGATTGAACTGGGTTATTATTGGAATCAAGTAAATCCTTTCTAATTAATTTCTTTCCTTTTACTACAAAATCAGCTCCGTTAATAGTAACTTGTTTCCTTCCGGACAAGGGATCGATTGATTTAACCATTGTACTGTTTGTTGTTGTATTAGTGCCTTTATGATTAATAATCAGCTTTCTATGATGACTTTTACTTTCTGGAATTGGTTGATTTATTAATGGAGTTGAGGGCTGAGCCACATTATTATTATTTGTTAAAATTAAAGTACGATTAGGTGAAGAAGGTAATGAAATTGAAGGATTAACATATTTATTAGAAGGATAATAAATATTCTGTCGGATAGGTGACATTGATTTTTGAATAGGAATGCCGCCTCTGCCACGAAGATTGCTATAAGGTGGAATGAAGCTTCCTCTACCACGACTACGAGAAACATAACTTCCTCTTTTCCCTCTTATACTGTTTGTCAACATTTTTTGTTGTTCAATTGCATTACTTAGTTTTGCAATTCTATCTAGCATTTCTTGATTTGACGCCATTTTTAAATAAATATGAATGTGTATATATTGAAATAGAAAAAAAAAAAAATAAAAAAAAAAAAAGTAAAAAAAAATAAATAAATAAATTATCGCATTATGATAGTTTGCAAGTGAAAATCTTTCTATTTAATTAAGGTGCCGCTCAAGGATAACGCAAAATTTGAACCTCTTTTTTTAAATCAATTAAAGTTAAATTTTAGACTTTAGTTATTCACATCTAAAACAATAGGCTTTACATGAGTTGTAAATTTCAAGTATTATGAGAATACTGACCAGGAATCTACCGACACCTGTTCTTTTTCTCTCTTCCCAAGGCATGTGTATTGTTATTCGCCATCTTCCCTATAATTGTTATACATCTTTTGTCAAGTACTCTTTTCTGAAAAAAGAAAAATATGATATACTATTCACCTCCAGCTACTATACCTAGCTAGCTGTACTTAAACACTTAATTCCAGATATTGAGGAATTGAGATCAAATTATAGTGCTAAATATGACGAATATACACCTTTTTCTGAAATAGATTGCACAAACACAGGAAATCCTTACACGCATAAAAAAAAAATCAGATTGCATACTAACTGAGCTCACTTTACACACATAAAAAAAAGTGAGGATTGCATGACAGTGTAATTAAGATATTCTGTATTTGTGCAATCTGTTTCTGGAAATGGCGTATAGGACATTTATAAGATGATAGCCTTTTTTGAAGGTAATGGTTGGCTTAAACAAATGGATGTAATAATTAGGATAAATATACGGCTTTAATATGTCTGCTTCTTTAGCTAAAGTTAACTCCATTGATTTTTAGTGAAGAGATGTTCAAATAATTTGCTTATAGGCACTGTTTACTATTTTAAATAAATTGAATCTTTTACTCTAAAACTTTTGAAGTTTTTAACGTTATTGTAAAGATCGATAGAGATAGGAAGTTTTATGTTCCTGGACTGTAAGCACCTGATAGAAAGAGGTTTCATCTACGTTAAAGATTTTAAATGAAAAGATGTTGTGAATGGCTTTAAAGAGTTGTGATCTGATGCAAACAAAAAAATAAATCAATTTATTAGAAAAAAAAATCAAATAAAAACTATTACATAAAAAGCCCATTTCAATTGACTCAATTATGCAATGCAAATTCTCAAATAACGGAATGGATAATTGGAATATTTGCTTTAATTGACAAATTGTATGGAGTTGAGGCCTAACCCTCTGGTTATTCAAATAATAACAAAAAAAAAATAGTAAAGACAACCTTAAGTAATAAAAGTTGAAAAATCATAAAAATCAAAAACATTGTGAGTCACTGTATCTTTTCGACATTGATTTGCACGGATGCATATTTTCATTTGAAGTCTAGGAATAGATTTTTTTTTTTTTAAATTACCGAACATTGTTGGTAAGCATTCATAGAAATGATAGTAGACATAAAATATTTCTATGGTTGAATAGATTTTTTTTTCATTTTATTATTCTTATTCTTATTTTTTTAGTCTCCTTTTTAAGGAAATGACACATCTAAAAGTAAATGATGATGCTCAAAAAATGAAACAAGTACTCATTCCCCAGTAGAATACAACGATACTTCATCATTTATTATACCTACTACACTAATCCCACAATGTGAGAAAGATGAATATTTAGTAAAGACGATTGATTGGAAAAATAAAAAAGTGCGAATTATAACACAAAATGGTTAGTTCGAATTTTTATTATAAAAAAAAAAGAAGGAGGAGGATTAAAATAGGAGGGAGCTTATCTATTTGATAATAGAAAATGGACCATGTCCGTTAGTGGCCATTTGCAATGTACTATTTTTACGTGGTGATTTAGAAATTCAGCCTCCTGATAGAGAACTAGTAACATTTGAATATTTAGTGGATAGATTAGGTGATTATTTATTAAATCATGCACCTAATAATGAAACTACTATATCTGAAGTTACTACTGCTTTTTCTACAGCGGCAGTGGTAATTATATAATATTTCTGATTTTTATGCATCCTAATAGAATACCTCTTTTAATTGTTTTGTTTTATATCCATTTGAAACACAGACAGAAGCTAAAGGAGGAGAGCCTGAAGGCCAAAACACGCTTGAATCTGTTTTAAACTATCAACATCATTTAGATTCTGCCTTGACAATATTACCAAACTTAAAGAGCGGTTTAGATGTAAATGTCATATTCGATTCAATACGAGGATTTGAACCAACAGCAGAATTGTCTATGTTTGATATTTTTAATGTTGATCTTGTACATGGTTGGATTATAGACCCTCAAGATAGAGAAACATATGATATAATTCAAAAATATGGGAAAACATATAATAAAGCAGTAGAATTTATTGTTCAACTAGATGGCAATTTAGAACAAACAAAAAAATCAAACATAAATTATGATGATGAAGGATTAATGTTAACGACTGCTGAAGAAGAAAAACTACATGAGGGCTTTATTATTAAAGAGTTTCTAAAAGATACAGCAACTCAATTAACCTATTATGGTCTTGAGCTTTTATTAGATTCAATTCCTGAAGATTCTTTATGTGTCCTATTTAGAAACAATCATGTTAGTATACATCCATACATCCATATACATATATGTATATATAATGTAATATTTATTTTTTTTACTCAAAAAAAAAAAAAAAGTTTTCCACTGTGTATAAACATCCAGATTTAGGATTATATATGCTTATTACAGATTCTGGCTTGGTTTTAGAGCGTTCAATTGTCTGGGAGAGTCTAAGTGATATTGATCAAGGGTCATCAGAGTTTCTGGATGGTTTTTTCAATAAACCCAACACAATTCTATCTCCTAGTGTAATAGAAGAATATCAAGATACTGTAAATACAGATTTAGAGTAAATATACGAAATAGATGATATAATGAAAATAAGGATTGACATGAATTATATTTATTGCTTAGTTACGCTATTGCTGTCTCTTTACAAGAGAGTGAGTCACGACAACAACGACAACAACAACAGCAGGAATTGAATTATAATAGCAACAGTAGTCATGGTAATAATAGACAGCAACCAGAAAAATCAGGTACAACAGTGCGGATGAAAAAGTCATCATTAAAAAGGAATAACTGTGTAATCTGTTAAGTACCAAATATGATTTGAAGCGAAGTACTTGGAAGAATTGTTACACAGACTATATAAATTCTTTTACTTTGTTCTTGATGCATTTCTATCAAGTTACTTTTTATAAAAAGAATATCAGTAGATGATTCTAGACTATTTTATTCATCGGAATTAATTTTTACTAAAAAAATAAAAAAAAAAATCCCCACCCCCCAAAAAAAAAAAAAGAAAAGAAAAAATTATTCTTTTCTGCTTCTTTTCTTTTTCTATTGTTTTTCTTTTTTTATTTGTAAATAATTAATACATATCAACTTTTCCTTTTCTCTAAAATAAATATGACAGAAAAAGGTATTTGAATAGGATGAATTAATTTATAAACATACGTTATTTATATTCAAGTAGATAATAATAGTGAGACCTTATCTCAAACACAATATAATCAGCAAAATGATATAGTAACTACAGGTGCATCATCCACCATTGTTCGAACACAAGCTGCATTTGTCAATAAATTATACAAGTAATTTTATATTATTTAGTTTATAGTTTACATCTAGTAATTATCATCATCGTAATAATATACACAGAATGTTAGAGGATAAATCTATTCAACATTTGATAACTTGGTCTGATAAAGGTGATCTCTTTAGTGTCTCTAATCCTACCGTCTTTTCAAAAGTAGTCTTACCTCAATATTTTAAACATAATAATTGGCAAAGTTTTGTTAGACAATTGAATAGTAGGTTTATAAATGAATACCTATTACAGTAGCTAAATTATATATATATATGTATATGTATATATAGTGTATGGCTTTCATAAAGTAAATGACATGATTCATTCCAACTTGACATCCGACAATCAAACATGGGAATTTAAGCACCCTCATTTCAAAAAGGGAAATATTGAAGGTTTACAAAATATTAAAAGAAAAAGTGCAAAGACGGCCTTTTCCAATGCGCAGAAACGTTTATTAAATAATGGCAATTGTAGTAATAGTGGCAGTAGCAGTATTAATAGTTATGAAAGTCATAATGATAATTTTCGAGCGAAATTTGAAATCGATGAAGATATTTATGGTTCCTTTTACAAGCATATACTACATATTGAAGATCGTCTTCAAAGAATCACTCGATCTTATGAAATTTTAAATAATGAAACAAATTCTTTACGAGAATTAGTACTTCAACAACAAAAAGTATGTTTAAGCTTATGAATAATATGAATATACCTTTTTTTTTTCACTTACAGAAATTCTTGTAGACATTTAGTGAGTTTACTAAGCTATTGTCTGATCTGTTTGAAGAAGGAAGTAAGTATTGATTTATTTGTTTGTTATACATTCTCAGTAACTAGAACATTTGTCAATAGTAAATAATGGAATCGACGGATCTAAAAAAGGTAATTCATTTGAAAAAAAAAAAAAAAAAAAAAAAAAAAAAAAAAACTAATATATTTAAATCAAACTATAGAAGTTTTTATTGAAAAAATAAATAAATTACAATCATTAACTATACCAGAAATTAAAGCTTCCGTACTACTTCAACAACAAAGCTATCATAATGATGATAATGATAATAATAATAATAGCGGTAGTAACGCCACCAATAATAATAGTAGTAGTAGGAGTAATAGTAATAGTAGTAGGAGTAGTAGTAGGAGTAGTAGTAATAGTAATAATAATAGTAGCAATAGCAGTATTAAAAGTAGTAGTAGTAGTGGTAATATTAGTAGTAGCAGTAGTACTCGATCGTTTGAACAATTTACATCATTACAGCAAAATACTCTCCGAGACAAAAATGGTAAAGTTATTTGTTTTGTTTTATTTTATTTTGTTTATAATTCAAATGATTTTTTTTTTATTTTCTTTGATTTATAGTATCAACAAATAAACGATTAGGCTTTGGAAAAGAATCGCATTTATTAAACCCAGAACAAGAATCTAATAACGATTATAAATCTGTTCATGATAATATAGATCCACCATCAAGACAAGAAGGTAAACTTGCATCTATTTTCATAATATATTTGTTCTAATTTTTTATTGTGCTGCATTAAAGATGATAATCGTCAAACCTTTAAAAGAAGACGTACTGGATAAAAAGAAACTGATGTAAACAAAATATATATATTCAATCCTCCTTTTATGTTTAATTGGGATAACCTATTCAGATTTGTCATTATTCCCCCTTTTAACAAAAATTGTCTTTTTTTGGTATATAATTCTTTGTAATATATATAGTTTGTTTTACATAGTAAATACATCATTTCTTCTTGAATTACTTGTGTATATATAAAATGCTTATACTATTACATTTTAATTGAATAGGGTTTTTGAGTCTATTACACACTTATAGATTTTCTTTATTATGTCCAAGTTTATATTCGTAGAATAATTCAAAAAAAAAAAAAAAAAAAAAAATGCACATGTACAGAATGAATGCTTATGTAAATAAATTCTTTTTTTTTCTTTTTTATCACCAACCCCATAATTCTTTCAACCAACCTTCTAAATCACAATCTGGATTTGCTCTTAATTTAATAAAGTCATGTAATAACATTTGTTCAGGAGTTGGTCTTTTTTCAGGCTCTTTAATTAAACAAGTTTCAACAAAGTGTTGACATTCAGGAGAACGATCTTGACCTACAGTTGGCATTGGTTGATGTACAATAAAGTCCAAAAGCTCAAAAATACTTAAATGAGGATATCCCGGTGGTGGTAGTGCAGGCCTATTTTGTGCTACTTCAATGATTGTCAATCCCAAAGACCATATATCGGAACTTACAGAGTAGGTTGCACCCTTGATACGTTCAGGCTAACAAAACAATTGTTAACTCATGTAACACTCAATGGTTAATTTACTTACTGCCATATAATATTGTGTTCCTGTAAATGTTTGTGCTATCGAATCGATAAGCTCACCAGAAACACCTAGATCACATAATTTAATTTGTCCTTTCTTTGTCATTAAAATATTTGATGGTTTAATATCTCTATGAATAACATGTTGAGTGTGCAGATAAATTAAACCCTTACAAACCTATACAATAAATGATTATAAGTTTTTATTTTTTATTTTTATTGCATTGTATATGCATATAGTAATGTGCTTTTTTTTTATCTCCTTTTCTTCACGCACCCATACACGCACATAGTTTCGCATATGACTACTACTTTCTTTATATGACTTGTATATTTGTTTACTTAACTGAATCTGCAATATTTGCTAAAATCGTCTCACCTATCACACCATGAATTTGGTTCGCTCTTTTATAAATATTCTCTAAACTTCCACCTTCACAATATTCCATACAAATTGAAATAGTGGCTTCTCCATCATCTAAAAACGCACCATAAAATGATACAATATGAGGAGATTCACATGTCTTTAAAAATGATAACTCTCTTAATATCTGTCTTTGTAACTGTGGATCTGGATCTACAGTAATTGTCTATGATATAAAAAGTTTTTATTATTTAATTTATTCTCTCTGTATATGATATACTACCTTTTTTGCCATGATTAATTTAGTCGGTTTATGTGTGACTTGCCAAACAGTACCAGCTGTACCTTCACCTAATTTTCGAATATTTTCAAAATCATCTGATTTCATTTCACATGCAATCAATGTTCTATCTGTATTATAGTGTTCATGATGTTTTCCATGTACAATGCGAACGATATCCTCGCGCCAACTTTTATTGGTTGAAGACTTTTTTGTCTGAACAAAAGAGAATGAAGAACTGTCAGTAGAAATTAAATCTTCTGATGGATATGAAGGAGTTACAAGTTGTATTTTTAATCCAGCGGATTTAATCTTGGGTTTAACGTTATTGCCTATTTTTGCCATCTTTATTTTCAAGAGAATAATAGTAAAAAAGAAAAAGAGTAAAAAACAAAAAAAAAAAAAAGATATAAAGTATTATTTATCTACATTCATCATATGTTGTGTAACTTTTTTTTTTCATTTTTATTTTTTATTTTTTTACTTTAGGTGTGTGTATGCTTGCAGTATAAGCAAATACATACATGATATCAATATACTAATAATGCTATTTTTATTCATAAAGAAAAAAAAAAGAAGATTTGCTTATGTTTAAAATGTTACAAAAGATATGTTGCTGCTGCTGCTGCTGCTGCTGTTATAATAAAAAAAAAACACGTTAATTTTAAAAATAGAAATACATACTTTATGGTGAAGAGATACACAAAGATGATATTCGTAAATAAAATGAACTCAGATATCAATTAATTCGAGTATATATTTGTAAGTATAACTCATGATATATATAAATAAAATGATATTCCAATTTCAACTGCAGTTATTGGCAGACATCTTCTTTTTTATTCTATTTTTCTTCCATGTTGTTTGTACCTGGATTTGATTCATATGATGAGGATAGTAGAGGGTGGCCCGATAAATTATTTCTTTTTTTTAACTCCGGACCGGAATTTTTGCTTTTTTTATCCCTATTTTTCTTAATACTTCTAGCGGAAGGTGTGTGTATTATGGCATTATTCAGAAAGTGACAGAGGAGAGTGGTGGTGAAATTTAAAACTGTCATGAGTGTTAATAACCCGTTAATACCTCCTTTCATTAATAGTCTTATTAGAAGATGGTAAATACATTTAAATCATCTCATCTCTATTTCATATTCGAGAACATCCATCCATCCATTTATCAATAAGTTGAACCTTTTTTTTTTGGAGAAGAATAACAAATGTGATTCAGCCATGCGAAAAAAAAATAACAATGAATTTATACAATTTAATCAATTGTCTTAGACTCTACATTTTATGTGCATTTTAATTCAACAAAATAGCTTATATATTTAAATAACCGTTAATTGATAAATACAACATTCAATTTTATTGGAATATAATGGATGTTCGAGAAAATAAGAGAGAAAGAGAAAAGGCACAAGTTTGCATAATAAGAAGCTAATGACTTTTGTATTTTTTTTTTCTCTCTTATTTAAACAATGATAGACTAAGGGTACTAGCTCTTTCGGTAAGCGCCATACCAAGACACACACTTTGTGTCGTCGTTGTGGTAACCGTTCTTTCCACAAGCAAAAGAAGACTTGCGCTCAATGTGGTTATCCCGCTGCTAAGACCAGATCTTGTAAGTTTTCATTTTATATACATATAAATATATTTATAACTGTAAGGATCAACATACTTATGTTTATATGTGTATAGACAACTGGTCCGAAAAGGGTAAGCGTAGAAAGACCACTGGTACTGGCCGTATGAGACACTTGAAGTTGGTTCAACGTCGTTTCAAGAACGGTTTCCGTGAAGGTAAGCATTGCAGAAAATATTTTTTATTTCTAAAAAAAAAAAATAGGCTTAAACTTTGTTATAGGTACTCAAGCCAAGAAGCAAACTTCTGCTTAAATACAAACGAATTAGTTTCCTTTTTTTTTAATCGTCTTTTTTTCCTTCTTTCTTTTATTTTTAAAGAAAAAATTGTCAATAAAAAAAAGGAATAGAAAAGATATTTTGTTAATAGTTAATCCGTAAAAAGATGGGGATATATGATTCAGCATGATTTCTACAAATTCACTTAGGTTTATAAATAATCAGTTCATTATTTCGTCAAACATTGTTTAAAAATATAAAGTAATTCCAATCTGTTGTATTATAGGATATATATGATGCAGATAGACTTTATAAATACTAAGTGCTTGCCAAATTAGTATTTTAATTCACATGTTCTTATTATAAAAGTTTGAGTTTGTCATTAATGGTAAATGCATTCCTTGAGAATAACTTATTTTTTTTTTTTTATAATATATAACCTATCTTTGGAGAATGATTTAAAGTGAAATAATCATGGTTATCAGTCTTGGAATAACTAGCTTTGATACTTCTTTTTCTATAATAAGTCTATCCTGAGCAGTACCTTGCTTCCCTTATTATAGGATGCATAAACGGGCGCCTGATATCTACAGTAAACCCAATAGTTGCGAAACAAAATGTCTAGCATAAGGGTCGGGCTTTATGCTTGGGAGGAGAGTTCACTTATCATGTTGAGTAAATTTTCTTGACAAATAAATATCTATTGTACATGAAGCTATAAATACTAAAATAGTTAAAGTATCTTGTATTACTTATTTTGTCAACGTCATATACAAATATAATCTATTTGAAGCATATTCCAGAATTTTGAAATAAATGGGTAAACATAAGAATCGAAAATACAGTTTATTGTGATCAGCAGAATTATGCACTTATTAAGGAAATATAAGGAGGTGAAGGGCTCAAATACTGAAAAGTAGTTATGCAAAAATACATGCACATGAATATATAAAAATTTGATGTAAATCCATATTTCCTTTTTTTTTTTGCTGTAGACTCTTATCCTCCATTAAAGTATAACAATGATGCTAACATTGAAAATAAAAACGTTCTTAAAGGAGGTAAATAAATCAGGAATCAATAACAAAGAAAAAGAAAGCTCAGTATTTATAACACGAATGATTTAGAATATACATATATAAAAGGCATTATATATTGTACCTTAATGGTTAATTATAAGAGAAGTCAATATTTGTATAATATAATTGAAGTTACAGACAAGATACATATACAATAATAAACAATTTTAGAGCTGAAACCAAGTTACCACTAATCATAATTATAATTTAGCTATCAAATCAAATATAAATGATTGTCGATACATATAAGCTAAACTTAGTAGAAAATATATTACCGTATATAATACATCAAGATGAGGCATAGTAAATAACAGGAATAAGTATTTATCCATTACAATTATTGCATACATTAGATTGATCACTCAATAATATATAACACAATTTTATAAACTAATATAGCGTAAAAGGATAATAATATACAGTTTAGGATGGATAAAGCATTAATAAGACAATCATACCAAAAAGTATAAATAGTAGGCACTTTATATACATTATTCTCTTTTTTCTCTCAGTTAGTATTTGACTGAGCCGTCCTCGATTTATCAATTGCACTTTCTCAGATTGCGTAATTGTATTTTCTCGATTTTGACTTTTAAATTTCTTCATTTAACTTGGATAAGTTTTCTCTGAGAACTACAATATGTTTATTTTTTCAGGAGTAAAAATAAAAAAATAAAAAATAAAAAATAAAAAAAATAAAGACTATTCTTCTTTTTCTTTTTCTTCTTTTAAATGCATTATTACACTTTAAAAAAATAAATGACAGATATCGCTTATTATTACTGTTATAAATCTAATACTAATCCTTTTAATTTTAGCAAAGTATCTTATTTGATTCATAACTTTAGTGACCTATGTGAATTATTAGAAATTAACAATTTGTTACCATCTCATCCTCATTCTCTAATACAGCAAAGTGTACAATCTACAAAATATCTTGTGAGTAAGGCTCGCAGCACATATGAAAAAAGGCCCTCTTTACCAAAGCCAATTCGATATCATTCAGCAAGTACTCGGCTCACTGAAGGTCTTATATTCCGAGCTATACAACACTGGTGTTGCATAAGTTTTAAGGTTGCACCGATTGAATTAAGTTTATTACAAAAGAAGAATACTCCAAGGACAATACTCTATTGTGTGGCTGCTATCAGTATGATTACCATTAACGAGCAGCAACCAACAATGATAAGCAATGGTCGTCAACAACCTAATAATAACACTGTCAATAATAAAGCAACAGAAGATTTCAAAAGAGATAGTGCCTATTATTTTTATAAGAGGGCTTGTCATTATTTAGAAGAATTTATTTTCCCAGATAACGAAGAAGAAGATTTGCAATTATCCATCATAGCTATCCAGTGTTATTTTTGTCTTAGTTATACTGCAACCCTTTTACGTGTCACTGGAGAACAACATACATGGCATTATTTCGCTAGTGTTCTTTTAAAGAATAAAGTCAAATATGCTGATAGTTCGCCTATTTTAAGGAATTGCTGGTATCGCTGGTATTATATAGATGCTTGGTTAGCAATTTCATTAAATCAAGAATGTTTACTACCAGATAAAATCCCCTTCAAAATTAAAGAAATATCTGCTGGCATAAATCAGAATTATCATTATGATACTACTTTCCCTAACTTCAATCACTTCACAACGCCTCATCATGTAGCACAGCAGGAACCAACTAGACAGCATAATCATTGCTGTACGTCACAAGATTCCTATCTTCAATTTGCTTATTTTTCTCAGTACATGCGTAAATACAATAGAGCAATTCAGTCTTATACATTATCTTCAACATATGATTCATTAACGGCAGAAGTCAAAAGATGGTGGGATAATCAATTGAATCCAAGTTTACATCTCAAATTATGTTATTATTCAATGCATCTTGTGGTTTTATTTTCCCTATTACAACAAGATAATTATCAGGTTACAATTAACCTTTTATTAGAAGCATTAGATCTTACATTGAAGATACTTCAGGGTTTAGATGAAATTAAGATAATGAAATGCGACCTAAGTACTTATCATCATATGTTTTTTGCAATTCATCAAACATTGAAGGCTATCCTATTTCATATAAAAAGAAAGAAAACATTTATTCTATATCTAGAGAAGTTCGCAAAGCAACAATTGATCTTTAATTTATGTATTTTAGAAAGTATTGATATCTTTAACCATGATTTATATCAAATGAAAAGCATGGTTTCCAATATGAAATCAGATCTGTATAATTTAGGCTGTCTTGATAATGTTGCTACGCAAAGTCAACAATTAGTTTATGTCTTTAGAGCTGAAATTCCTGCCAAATCTGCCAAATCTGCCAAATCTGCCAAAAAAAAGTAGTCACATAATAATGAATTAAAAAAAAAGGGACCCTTTTCGTTTCTTTTTAATATTGTTTTACCTATATAAAATGTTCAAATTGATATCTAGAACCTCTTTTAAAATAAACGTAAATAAAAAAGTAAAGCAAAACAAAATATACAGCCTCTTTTAAAAAAAAGAAAGATATATATATATATATAGAGCTCATCTTTTAAATATCAACACTACTATACAACTTTGACTAATAACCAAAAACTCCGTATTTTATTTTTTGGAACTGACAGTTTTGCGTCTACTCATTTAAGGGCTCTCATTAAAGAAAAGGGTAATTATGGAATTCAGAATTGCCATTATACCCGGTAATTGACCTGTTTTCTTTTCTTTTCTTTCTAGAACGTCAAGGTAGCTGCATTGCTACTATTGATCTTGTTTGTCCTCCTGATAGACGAACGGGTAGAAAACTCGAAAAAATAACTCCTAGTAAATTTATTTCGACATACCCCAGATTATTACTATTGTTAATATGCATACACATATATTTATATATATTTATATACATTTATATATACATATATAGGTGAAACAAAAGAAATAGCAGAAAGAAATAATATTGAAATCTATCATACACCAGCAGGCATAAAAACATTAAATGATTGGACACTACCAAACAATAAAGTATATGATTTAGGCATTGTAGTTTCATTTGGCTATTTTATTCCACCTCATATTATTTCATCACTTAATCAAGGCGCTATTAACGTTCATCCTTCTTTACTACCAAAATATAGAGGAGCTGCACCTATCCAACATACTATCCTTTATGGAGATTCAGAAGCAGGTGTGACCATTCAAGAATTAGATGATAAAGAATTTGATGCAGGCCGTATTTTAGCACAAGAAAGAATTAGTTTATTATCAATGAATCATGATTACCCAGTTTATTCAAAATTGAAAGAAACCTTAGCTGAGATAGGTTCTCGACTCTTAATTGATACTGTCTGCAATCTTTATGAACGTAAACAGAATGCTCAAAAACAAGATATTTCCCAAGCAACGAAAGCACCTAAAGTGAAGAAGGAATGGTCTGAATTAGACTTTAAAAATATGTCAGCCTGGCAAGCTGAACAATTAAATCGTGCTATTGGAGATCAATTTCCTTTACGTACCACGTACCATAAAAAGAAGAAGAATCTGATTGTGCAACTATTAGATCTTCATCTGTTATCATTTAATAAGAAGGAAACTATATCATTACAGCAGAGTGAACCTGGAAGTTTTAGATGGGATGAAGCTAGTAAATCCTTACATATAGCTTTCGGTGATGGCAGTGTTATTGCTTGTTCTAAATTAAAAGTAGAAAATAAAGGCATTATATCTGCAACTGATTTTGCAAATGGATATCAAGCTAAAGGTCAATTTGGTACTGAGTCTCCATTAATGCAAGACGATACCATTATTAAAAATAATATAAAGAAAAGATCAAAAATGCGTCGTTTCGATGATAGGGAATTGAATAAAACATAAAATAAAATTTGTCTTTAGCAATCTCAAAATAAATATATAAAAAATACATGCGCACGTTTTTTTTTTTTTTTTTTTTTTTTTTTTTTTTTTTTTTTTTTTTTTATTTTTTTATTTTGTTTTATAATTAATTATAAAGCAGCAAGATCATCTAGTGATTTGCCATCTATACGATGAATAATCCATTCACTTAAAGGTTTAGCACCAAGTGCTTCATAAAACTCTCTTGAAGGTTTATTCCAATCTAAGCAAACCCATTCAAAACGTGCGCAATTTCTTTCTTTTGCGATTACTGCTAATTGAATCAAGAGACATTTACCAATGCCCATTCCTCTAAATTCAGGCTTCACAAATAAATCTTCTAAATAAAGTCCAGGGCGTCCTACAAAGGTAGAGAAATTATGAAAGAAAAGAGCCATTCCTGCTGGTTCAATAGGTGTATTCCCCTCATCGTTTTGTTTACCATAGGCGATTATGACTTCAGCATAACGATGTTCACCAAATAAGGTCTCCCGAAGAACATCTTCGGTTGCAATAACTTCATGTGAAAGCTTTTCATATTCTGCAAGTCTCTTAATAAAATCTAAAATAACAGGGATATCTTTAATCGTAGCTGGTTTTATTTCTATAAGCCCCATGGTTAAAAAATATAAAGTTACAGTAGAAAAGGATCTTGGTTTGTTTTCAATTCGCTTATTGAATTTTTTCGAATTCGCGCCTCCAAAATTTTATAATTTGCTTTCTATACTCGAGAATATTACAAATGTCTTTCTATTGAATGAGATGTTCATATCTCTTCAAATTTATGTCAGTAATTGTTTTAGTACTCTCATTTATCTGATCTTGATTCTTTCTTTCTTTTTTTTTTTTTTCATTTATAATTAATAATAAAAAAGGGGTAATGATCCAATTAGCCAGTAGCTTCTCTATATAATAAAAAAGACTACTGTTTCCAGAAGCAACCAATCGTGGAGGTTGATCATTATGTGCTTCCTTTCACAGTCATATTTAACGAGAGACGTGAAAACTCCAAATGAAAGATACTCTCGGGATTGAATATTTTAAGTGACCAATACATCCAAATAACTTCACTGGGGGATTTATTATTTAGAGTGACCATTATCCGGAGAATATCACTGACGATTTATTGTTTATAGTGACCAATATCCTCAGAATATCACTTTCATAAAGAAAGAAAAGAAAAAGAAAAGCAAAAATAAATTTTTTCTTCCCCTATTTATATATTTTTTTTTCACATAAACAAAAGGCTTCTAATAGGCACAGTGCTTTATTGTGGCTTATTGTTTTCTATTAGAGAATATGACTCTGTTTAGATTATCATACATATTGAATGTATTACAGCTTCTCCTTTATTTATTTATTTATTTATTTAAACGGAGCTTTTTCCCCCTCTGTTGCTGCTTATATAAATTTTGTCTATTTATAGACTTCAGTATAGTTGACTCTATTCTTTGAGTATATAAAAGGGCATTAACAAGTAATACTATGTAGAAATATCTGAGTGTAGCTTGTATAAATGTACACCTTTTTTTTATCTACAGTAGTGTCTGAAATAAAAAAAGTATTCATTTATCTCTTGAGTTATTATAGTTATTTGCTGTAAGCTGTGATGTCAGATTATCTTTTCTCAGTGGACAATTTATTCTTTGAATAAATAAAGGGAAAAAGAGATACATAGTCTTTTTTTTTTAAGAAAAAAAGGCTACAAAGTTTTGTTTAATTAAGTAACTTGGTAACAAACTTTATCATCTATGTCTACTATAACAGTTTACATTGTCAATTCACATCATCCAATACAAGGTAAACATAGTATCTATTTTTTTTATTTTTGATTTATTTAGGAAAAAAAAAAGAACTAATAATGCCTAAACTCAAAGTATAAAAAACTATAGAGGCTATGCAAATAAGATATTCTTTATTGAACAATGTTAGAAGTTGATGTTCTTGATGATAATTCTCGTAAATGATTTAATGCTAATGAAGGTGCTGTATTTAACTTTTTTGACATCAAGTTTTTATCTTCCTCTTCAGTAGCTGTATGTTTCCAATTTACTGTTGATTCTCCAGTTTCTGCTATCACGGTCTCTAATAAAGGGGAAGTGGTTACGGCAGTAGTTGATATTGTCACATCATTTGTATTACTAATATATCTTTCAAATGGGGGCTGTTGTGTTTGTTTTATAGCTTGTTCTCGCAGTTCACTTAACTCTGGCCATTTTGTCTTGTTTTTTAAGAGAATTCTATCTTCCGGCTCAATATATTCCTCAATAACTGATAAGGACTTGAAAATCTTAATAGCCTGACTTTTAGCTTTTTCTGCTTGTTTTTTTATTATTAAAGCTATAATAGAGATGAACAATTCGTTCTACAAAAAAGAACATCAAAGTTGTTATTACCTTCTGGTATCTTATCGGCTACTAATCTGGCTTGCTGTAATGAAGCTACCATTTTTTGAAAATTTGTTAAGCTTAGTTCATCTACATAGGCAATACGCTTTAAAAGAACTTTTTGTTCCATATTCAAATGTAACATTTGTTCCTTAATATGTGTCTGTAAATTAAGAAAGACATCCGATAACAATGAATTTTCTATATGTAAAAGATGAATCATATATACGCTAATTAATTATCTGTAGCATACCTTCTTCTTTAAATGTTGCTTTGTTTATTGGTTCTTCATTTGATATCTTTAATCCTAACAATCGATCTAGAAAAAAGCCTTTGTCTTGGTTTTTATCAATGAAAGGTTCAAATTTCTGTATAGACTTCAACATAATAAGTTCCTCTTCATCTTGCTCATCAGAACCTTTCACGACTTCTATGACACCCTTTTCAAAACAAGTATTTATGTAAGTATGTTATCTGTGTATATATAAATATTATTGTAGTTGATTGGTTTTACTTTGTTAATTTTTGTACTTTCTTCCTCTTGCTGCTGATGACCATGATGCTCTTCAAGATCTATTGTATTTGATGACTGGAACTAATTTTTTCAAAAAAAAATTTACTACATTACAATATATGCTCTATGATTTAGTATTTACATTACCACTTTCAGCATTGTTGTCCTTATTTCTATTTAATGTAGATATATAAGACATTCTGGACGATAATTTACGATTGCTTGAATGCTCTTGTCCCTTGAAAAAAAAAATAGAAATAAATAAATGAAGAGCTCCTTCTTGAAATTAAATCATTAATGTGCTATACCATCTCTTTAATTATAAAATATAAAGGAATTTAAGTATGTGCATAACATTTTGTTTTCATATTGTTGTTTATGTGTTTCTTACATAATTTTACTTGTAGGCCAATCAACTCGTTCTTTTTTTTTTTTTTTTTTTTTTTTTTTTTTTTTTAAATCTACAGCAACTGAGCTAATTTAAGGAAAAAAGAAAAAAAAATAGTTTTCCTCACGAAAAGATTTAAGCAATTTTAACAATGAAGGTAGAAAAAATAAAAAAAGATGGCCTATTATTTACATACTAACATTATTTTCGGTAGATAGCAATTGAAGGTTGCTGTCATGGTCGTCTTGATGATATTTATGGATCAATTCGTCTTATAGAACAACGAGAAAACTGTAAAATAGATCTTGTGTTGATCTGTGGTGATTTTCAAGTAATTTTGTATTTAATTAACAAATAACAAACCTTTTAATCAATTTCAACTTTACTAACTAGTCTATCCGTAATGAGGCAGATCTGAAAAGTATGGCTGTCCCAGAAAAATATAAAGAACTGGGCACCTTTTGGAAATATTATTCAGGGAGAACACGAGCGCCCTACCCTACTATCTTTATTGGAGGTAATCACGAAGCTAGCAATTATTTGTGGGAACTCTATCATGGAGGTTGGGTGTGTGAAAACATATATTATCTTGGCAATGCCGGTGTTATTAATTTTGGTGGCCTAAGGATTGGCGGTTTATCCGGTATTGAAAAGCTGCATCATTATAAAAAGGGCCATTACGAGAGAATGCCTTATAATTCAAATGATGTTAGAAGTATTTATCATGTACGAGAGTATGATGTGAAAAAGTTATTACAAATTCAAGAACATTTAGATATCTTTTTATCACATGATTGGCCAAAGAACGTCGAAAAATTCGGCGACATTGAACATTTGATGAAAATAAAGCAATATTTTATTGATCAAGTAAACATTAATGCACAGATGCATAAAAGCTATATTAATTATTATTTAAATTTAAATAGATCCTGACAAATACACTTGGAAGTCAAGCTAATAAATTGCTCTTGACAAAACTAAAACCAGACTATTGGTTTGCAGCCCATTTACACGTACATTATGCAGCAATTGTTGATCATGAAATGTGGGAAAAGAATGAGTATCCACTTAAAACACAGGAAGTTCTAAAAGATAAAGCACATAATTATGGTCTTCAATCAAGAAGTAGCTTTAGTGAAATAAGCAATGATTTAGGAAATAACCCTGATGAAATTGAAATAGCGTTAGATGAAGAAATCGAAAATGATTCCACTGTAATAAATACAGCCACCCATGATTCAAGCAATAATTTGAATGAAAGTAAAATACAAACAAATGAAGGGAACGTATTAAACAAAAAAGACAAGACAAACGATGATAACCAAAAAAAAAGAAAGATTACAAGATTTTTAAGCTTAGATAAATGTTTACCTCGTAGATCATTTTTACAAATCGTTGATATTCCTTCTGAAGAAGATTCTTCAGAAAAAGGCTATGATTTCTATTATGACATGGAATGGCTGTCGATTACAAGAGCAATGCATCCTTACTTTAGTAGTGAATATCAACAAAAACCAATTCCTTCTGATGAAGAGCTAAAGATATTAATTGAGAAAGAGCGTATTTATTTAGAAGAAAAACGAGCATCAGGCGCACTTGATTTAAAAATCCCTCATAACTTTGAACCTACTGCACCTGCTTACAATTCTAATAACAAGTCCAATAACGGTAAATATATTACAATTCACCATAATTTAAACTAACTTTTATATATAAAAGAACATGTCTACTTGAATCCACAAACATTACAATTCTGTAAAGAAATTGATATTGAAAACAAGATAAATGTGGATTGTATTCCTGAACAAATGATGCCAAAAACAGAGGCTAATATTGATAATACAACGACTATAAATGATCAGCCCGTCAAACGTGCAAAAATAGAAGCTCATTCAGAAATTATTATTGATGAAGATGAATTCCTATAACTGTGACAAAAGTTTTTTCTTTAAATATGGCTACATGAATGAATGGATGTACATAATATATATACATATATGCTCATATACATGTATATAACAAATAAATATATACCATAACAAAATGTAGTAGGTGTACTTGGTGATATACAATAATAATTTCTATAAAGTGAGTAGGACTCATTTAGTTTTTTTTTTTATATGAGATCATGTCTTTTGACTCGTACTGAAACTTGCCAATTGATACTGTAAACGCCCTATAAACACAGTTTACTTGATTAAATGTTATACTTTGATATATACATTCATATACAAATATAACTGTATATACAAAAGACTCTTCATTAAAGTATAGTGTCTCATTTGTTTCTACAAATATACACACATGGTTACACGTTTATACTACTATTATTGGTATATTTGCAATAGAAGTCCTTATGATAAGCTGTGCTAATCAGAGACATTGGTAAACATTTATTTTATCTTTGTAGCAATCATGTATTATAACTTTTTTTTTTGTGAGCATATAATTATATTTATGTTTTATTCTTACATTATATTACTTTTTTTTTTTTTTTTTTTTTTGTTAAAATTCATAACCTTCAATTTTAAAAAGCTCGGCATAATCAAAATATTGTGTCATCAGTTGTTGAACAGGACGAGGTAAATTCATAGAAGTTAACATATTTTGTATTTTTGAAAGGCCTTCTCTTCTGATTAAAATACTTAAATTACGTGCAATTTCGCTTGGATACTAAAATTTGAAATATCAAGTTAATTAAAGATATTTTGGCTATTGATACGATATACTTTACCACAATTTCATGATACCAACGTTCATGATAAACTGTTAATTTAACTGCTGCTAAAAGAGCTCTTTGAACATTTGATTCATTTACATAAATTTCTAATAATTTCATCCATGCCTTTGCAGAGAATTTATGATCTAGACATTGCTCATATGCTTCTTTAGCTTCTTGTTCATGCCATAAACGAAGAGCAAGGTCACCTAGTAATTCCCATTCTGTCCCTGTTTTACGGTATGGCATTTGTTGTGCACGATAATGAGCTGCTTCTGTTCTCCAGAAGGTGTAGATTCGTAAATCCTCATATAAAACCATAAAAAGATTATCTAACCATCGTTCACAAAGTCGTTTATTACTAAAAGAGAAGCTCACTCCATCACTAGGATGAGGTGAAGGAAGATTATTTTCATTAAGATTACTATTGTTGTTAATGGCTGTGTTAGTATTAATATCATCGGCCTATACAAAAATTATTTATATATGAGAATAGATGTAATATATTATTTTTGTTTTCTTTCATATATATATACCTTGAATTGGTCATCAGCCGCTTGTGTAGGACGGAGAGGTGGTGTATGATGTACTTCAACAGATTTATTATTGTTTTCTTCCTGTTGTTCATCATTTAAATCAATTGTATCCATTTGTTCTGCTAATGCTTCATTAACTTCATTAGATTCCTCTTCTTCCTTTTTGTTGACCTCAGTACTTTCTTCTTGTTCATTTTCTTGTTCATTTTCTTCATGATTTGATGGCTCTGCCTCTGTCTCTGCCTCTGCCTTTACCTCTGCGTCTGCCTTTACCTCTGCCTCTGCCTCTGCTTTTGCCTTTGCCTCTACCACTGTTTGTTTTTCTTGGGTTTGGGGTGGATCCTTTGGAGGTACAGGTGGTTTATGGTCAAGATTCAAGTCATCCTTCAATTCATCATTTGAAGATGAACTCGATTTCTGAATGTCCTCTTTGGCTTTCTGAGCACGATATTCTTCTTCCATAACGAATACTTCTGATCGACATTTTAGCAAATCATCCCATCCAATTTTACTTACCAGACGAGTTAAAAGAGTATAAGCTTTAGCAAATGTACCATGTAAAGCAGGAGCAGGGAGACGAGACAAGTTGGGATCTGCCTCATTTTCTCTTCCTGCCGCATCTTCCTCCATGACACCCGAATTTAAAATATCAACTTTAATAGGTAAATGAGTTTTAACAGGTGCAGGCATTCGATGCATATCACGTTCACTATAGGTAAACATAGGACATGAATTTAAAGTCAAAAGTGCCTGAGTAATATATGAATGAGTCAGCTTAAAAATATTAATATATGTATGTGTATATGCATATATATATTTACGTTTTTGTAATCACCGAGATCAATATAAACTATATACAAAAATATTAATTTATATGTGTATTTGTATTCATTTTTTTTTTTTTTTTTTTTTTTTTTTACCTTCAGTTAGTTTGGCCCATGTTAGGAATTCAGAGGGAGTAGTATTTACAGCAAATTTAGCCAACTTTAAGGCCATATGGTATTCGCCCTAAATCACAATATAAAATAAATATGCTTTATAAACAGATTTCTAATCGATGTATCTTTTTTTACCTTGCTACGAAGGAAATCAACTTGAACATGTAACAATGAATAGCTCATGGGCATACGTTTTAGATCAGCATTTAATACTTTAACCGCTTTAATTTCTTCATTTTGACCAATAAATGACTGAGCTAGTAAGGCTCCTACTTCAGGATCTCTTTTACGTAATTTAGTATAAAGCTCAATTGCTGGACCGTAACGAAAACTATCACCAAAGTACTTCATAACACCTGAAGTTAAATGATTATGAACTGTTGTTGCTGTTTGAATTTCTGGATTACTACCCAATTGCCAGCCTCGCCAAAAGAGAGCTTCTACAGCCTCTAAAAATCGCTGCTCTCCTACTAAATTTGTGATAGGATCCATTTTACGATAACCTGCTAATCTATAGTAGCTATCATCTGAATAAAGAATAGCACGAAGAACAGCTGAAAGATATGTTTCTTGCCAAATAGCAGCTGTTGCTTCATGTCTAAGTAATAACGATTTAATATATATATACTATTTGCTCTCCATATTTGCGTTTACCTTTCTCCTCTAATATCTACAAAATAACTTTCTACACCACCGGGAATCTTTACTTCAACACGGACATCTACACGAGAGAATGCATTAAAGCAGCTATTATAGGAATTAGTATTGAGCTTTGTCTTTTAAATTACTTTTGCTTTTTTTATTTCTTTTATACCAATAAATTCCTGATCGAATTCTCCATGCATTTGATTTTGAAAACCAAGATTGTGTTTCATCCTAATAAAAGGTATAAACAGGTTAATAAATAAAAATAGAAAAAATAATAATAAAAATAAAAAGCTTACTGTATAAGTAAATAGTGTTCACTTACGATAGAATATGTTAAAGAATTTAAATATGCCGCCAATGTAGCAGATGAAGAAGCATCAACACCAGAAACATAATGGTAACTACCAAGCTAAATAAGATCCAATTGTGTGTGTGTGTGTATGTTTAGTATATAAAATAAATTTAAAATAGTAAAACACTAATTAAGTCCTCTGCCTTATCCATTTCTTTATAAGTACCTCTTTCATACCAGGCTTTGAATGAGCTTTAATAATATGACATAAATCTGGAGGACCTAATTCACGAAATGTACCTAACAATACATGAACAAATAATGTATTAGTAATTTGACAAAGACTAATTCATATATACAGATGTTAAAGATAACAATAAAAAAAAAGCAAAGGAATGGAGTAAACTGAAACCCCCCCCTCCTTCCCCAATAACAACTAAGAAGTATGTACCTAAAGCTTCTGTACGAGCGGTAATAGATTCACCAAGTTCAGACTCAAAGAATTCTGGAACATCTTTGAGAGTGTCTGCCATTGTTTATATAGATGTTATTCTATTCTTTATAAATGTTCAAAAGATAAATATAAAAGAAAAGAAAAAACTACATACAATTAAAGGATATTATTTTCGTGTAATGACCGCCATTTGAATTGGATACTATTGTTGTATTAAAATTATTTTCCCATGGATTTTGGTAAAAACGCGAAATCAGACAATATTCTAAAAATACTAAATGCTATATTATCAAGAAGGAAAAAATGTACTAAACTATAAACACATAATGTTGTGGATTTCTTAAATTCGAGTTTGTCCTTTTTAATTTATTAAATTTAATTAAATGCAAGTATTTTAAATACTTGATTTTCCTAAACTTGTTTAAAGTAACTTTTTTTTTTTTTTTTTTTTTTTTTTGTTTAAAAGAAATAAAAACTTTGATGCTTCAATAGAAAGTATATGGAATATATATATAAAAAAAAAAAAAAAAAAGAGAAGAAGAAGAACTGAGCGATTCTGTTTACTATTGGAGCGAATAAATTAATGCAAGAATGCAAAAACCAAATATGGCCGAGGATAAGAAATATACAGAATACTCTGTCTCATTAATCTTGTTAGTGAAGAAATATTTAATGAAGTTCCCAATAGGGTAATTATTTGGACAATTTGTTTAACTAGTAGTTTTTTGGAAATATATTCGATAAAAGTAATATAAGAGTCGGCCAATATTCATTAGCATATGTTAACAGAGTTATATACAGAGGTGCTAGGCAGTATAAGCTTTCATCAGCTCATTTTAATTTACAAATGTAAATTTTAAGGATACGATTGTTTTAATTTTTATTATATTCAATAGGATACGCTGATAGCCAAAGATTTTGAAGTTTTTTTCATTCGCAATATACAGATTAAGTCTTGGCATTTTATCTTCTTCTTTTGTTTCACTTATTTTAACTGTAAAAACTATATATAGTATTCTTTTGCCCCAATTCAATAAAGGGTTAAATAATATCAATATATAAGTTTGCATAAAATTATTGCCCTAAAATAGTGTTAGTAGTGATCAGGAAATAATTCAATAGCTTTAAATAACTAATTAGAGCTAGATATTAACATATTTCATCACTTATGAGGTATCTAAAAAAAAAAGAGTTATAATGACTATAATCTTATTTGTAATTATGTTTCCACCATAGACAAAAGGCATGTCGTAAGCTGCTACGTTAGGTACAGTTAATATATTATCTATCGCCACTTGGATAAAAGATTCGCTTATAGCTAAACAAAATAATGTCAGTGAGGCAAGTAGGTAATTGCTATAAGAGTCAGTTAACATTGCATAAAGTTCTATAAGGAAAATAATCAAAAGGATTTTCTTATGGACTAATATAGTATAACAAGTCGATAATAATAAGATACTAAAGAACTATTATATCAACTTTTGATTTTTTTTTTTTTTTTGAATAATGTTTCTTAAAAAATTTAATAGTAAAATGTGTAAATCTGTCATATTTTAATACAATATTGAATAAGCCTGTTTACACATGTTAGTTTTATACTTTTTAAAATAGGGGAAGTTTCTTTTCAATATATCGAATATGTATTACAGTTATATACTTGTATCCTCTTTCTTAGTCTTGTACGCTCTATAAACTTTAATAAATATATATGTATGTATGTATGTATTACTCGAAGAAGACATGTAATAGATTGTTTTTATTTCCAAGGAGAATTTTTATACAGTTTAATATTTCTAGGTTTTGATGATACACAGCCATGTAAACTATTTGAGCAACAAGATTTAAATGCCTTCATACATATTCTTCCGCTGCTATTAAAGTATAAGTGAGTAAAAAGAATACTAACATGTATGTAAATATTTATTTTACCCATCCGTATCACAAAAAGTATCACATTTTAATTTCTGTGTCTTTGAATCAAATCGTATACATAAAGGCGCCTCAGTTAAAACACCACATCTTACAGGAATAGATGAATCATAAGAGACAAAGGCAATGCATGATAAGGAAGCCTCACCACATATTGTATCTGAATTATTATTGTTGCTTGATGTGAATGAGGTTAGTATTTCAGATTCATTAACAGGTGATTGAACTTGATATAAATGTTTATGCAAAGGGAATAAAGAACCAGTCATTATAAAGAGAGATAAAAACACGATTATCAATAAACACAGCATACAATGATAAATAAATAAATAAATAAATAAAAAGGGATGCATGTACTTCTTTTATACACATGTCAGATAAATAATATCCTTGCTTTATTTTAAAACATTACGTATAGCGTACATTAATAAACCTAAATAAGCATATATAAAATTCATTTCAAAGCCTCTTGTTGGCCTTTTGATTATTCTTATTATTATTCCATTGATGGTTTATCATTCGTATTATCATAAGGTGCATGAATTAATCGAAATGCACTAGGATAGGGATGCTGTTTTGTCTCTGATGCTTCATATTGACTATAATTATACTAAGAGTAAAATATATATAAATAAGACTGTAAATAAAAGTAATAGATTTATGACTTACTGGTGGAGCAGTTGAATGTGATAACAATAATGAGCATTTATGAGCATGAATATGGTAACTAATACGAATATGCATTGTATTCCTTTTTGGCTGTAATACACTATAATCCGTGATTAATGTATTTATTGTTGCTGGATATTGAAATATGGATTTTTTGTTATCTTCATTTTTTATATTACGATAAATCGGCTTATTTGATGAGTTTCTTTGTGTAAGACAAACTATTACATAATATAGAAATTTAGTATTTTTTTTTTTATTCATATAATACACGGTTATGTAGTATTTACTCTGATATCCTTTTCTTTTTGATTCAAAATAAGATATTTTCGATATACCACCTGTTAATGAAAGTAAACTACTACACTTGATATATATATGAAAATAATAAATATGTATAAATGTATGTATGTGTGTATGTATGTATGTATGTATCTTACATGTGCTTTATATTGACTAGTGGTTCCATTATCTGTATATGTCATACATGTATATTGTTAAGTTCAACATATCATATGCATGTATTGCATTTTCATGTTTGTTTGTTTATTTGTGCTTACCTAATAGAGTTTTAATAGACATTGAATGATCTTTTCTCTTTAACTATAACACAACTGTTTATAAATATATATAAAAAAACCCCCCAATAACACACACACATATATATACTAGAATTATATATATATATATATACAAACATTCTCTTTATGATTATCATTGATAGCATCTGACTGATGATAATTGTAACTGTTTCGAAGTCTATGTGCATGTTCTGCTAAAGCCATTAATATAGTACTTGCTTCTTTATCTTCAGCATCTATCATCATCATCGTCCCAGTAGAATCATCTTCTACTTTTGAATTTTCTTTTTCTTTATTCACTATAACATTAGATGACCTTTTTGCATAAGAACTGACATTATCTGGATCATTCTTTGAAGGTGATCTGTAGACTCGATGATTCTTTCTAGTATGTTGAGTTTTCAATGTCATATTTATATTATACACAAAAGAGGGGGGGTTTATTTTTTTGTTATTAGAAAAAAAAAAAAGGAAAAAAGACAAGTTAAAAAAAAAGGAAAGAAGCATCAGACTTTTTTTTTTTTTTTTAGTTCCTTTTTTCTTATTTTGTTAATGTGTAACATGTCCAAATTCTGAATGATGCGTGATCTACAGTTTATTTCTTGATTGAAAATGGGTTAATGTATCTATTACGTGAGAAATTTATGGGAGTCAACTTGTGCTATGCGGGCACCGCATTAACTGATGATATTTTTAAATTTTCAAATTTGACTTGGATTCATTATCCAACTATTTTTGACTTGCGAATAATAAAATATTTTTCTGCTTATTTGTTTTCTTCTTAACATGCGACCTAACTCTTTCTTTTTCTTTTTTTTTTTTTTTTGCGGTTCTTAAAGCTGTGAACGAAGATTAACATTTTTGATATTGGATTTTGTGATTGATTTTATTTCTACTTCCAAAATTGAGCATGAGTATTTTATGTTCAAACCAATTTAAAAAGTATATAAAAAAGGCCTAGTAGAGAATACAACATAGACATTGTCAAAGGCTTTTTTTTTCTCTTTTTGCAAGAAAAACTATGATACTAAAGGATGTCACTAAAGTCACACATGTTAACAACGATACTGCACGCAAAAGGAAGTAGAATTATAATATGGAAATCCCTTTCGAAACAAAAATTATAATTCATATCCTAAACAGACCTATTAGCAGATTAAATGACAGTCATGAAAAGCATCATTTTATTAGCTTTTTCTTTTTCTTTTTTTTCGATACTAACTCCCCCCTCCCCTCCCAATAGCTGCTATTCAGGATGTAGTGGACGATTAAAACTTTAGAGATTGATACAAGTAGATAAAAATTGATTCATTATTCGTAGCACTTTGTTGACATTATTTTGTACAAGTTGTAAAGTGACCAACAAGGCTTCTACCAGTTTAATAGGAACACTCAAGTATGAAAACCAATGTTATTGTTGGGAAACAGAGTTACTCTATAAAATAGATATGTCCTTATTGTTCTCTGAGGGATCAAGGATAACATATTTACTCGGTTTCTATCAACAGTCTAAGGATTTCATAGGATGCCAACAAAGAGTCCAGTTTATCAGATGCAGCAACTATAACAACATGACTAGCATATGATATAAAAAGAATCCAGAGCCTTTCTTCTTCTTCTTTTTTTTTCTTATGTCAATTGTTGTTATAGTAATTAATGATGAGCGTAAAATAGTTGGAATTATGGTTAATATACATGTAGCATGCAAAAGGGGTCAAACCTTAGAGTTTACTAGTCCGGGAGAAAACTCTATGGTGAAGTATTGTATTATCATTACTATTATTATTCAAAAGTATTTCGAGTTGGATCTTATAAAAAAAAAAAAGTTGGGTCAAGCGTACTTCAAGTTTCATGAAAACTATCTTGGGTCATATCAAGTGATGAACTCTCAGTTCTCTGTAAGTACAGAATAAAACCCAAGTTCTTAAATACTATTGTTAGATGAACTTAGATAATTTGGAGAGCCACGTTCCATAATAATAGGATGTAAAATCATTGCTAATAGAGGTGTAAATAGGAATAAAAGAGTAGGAGCAAGAAGGTCAACTATAGGAGAGATTATTTCATATTAAATGCGATCAATTCCAGATGCAACTTTTGTTAGTAGGTGTTGTATGACAAATTGGACATTATCTAGTATAATTGGGCAATCACTGATGGTGAGAGAAAGGTGATCGTTGTCTATTGGAGTATTAGTACTGTAAGGTTCTAAATATAGTAGTTGTTCAGGTAGAAGCTATCCTGAATAGATTTATTATATTATGACCCATCATGATATTGGATATATGTGTTATGGTCATTTAATTATAGAAAAGATGGGTTTTAATATATTCAGCTTTTTTTTTCTTTTTTGTCATATACGACCTGATTTTGCAACAGCTTTCATATATTCACCTTGGGTCATTTTATCATAGAACAGTCTCCCATGTTTCACGACGCCATTAAAGTGCTAATCTCCATAATTTTTTTTTCTTGATAAAGTAGCTAATATTTGAAACAATTTAACTCATTTTCTGTAATAATCCTCTTCTTGAGGTTAAAGAGCTGAGGATGTTACAGCAATCCAGAATACATTTTAGATGGATATTATTAAGAATTTAGTATTTTTATTCCACATGCTTGAGCAAGAGAAATGTATATAGTATCACAAAAAAAAAAGTCGATGAATCGTTTCAATAAAAGTATGAGCGGAATCCTTATTGGGAAAGGTAAGAAAGTGCTTGATGTGATATTGAATATGACGTTATGCTGCACACTGAATGCATTTCCTGGATTTAACAGCTATATCTTTGTGTCGTATGTTTTTCCTAATGCCCGTTGACTTCACCTAAGCTCTAATGAGTTGGGTTTATTAGACGACAATGGTAATACAATAAAACCAGAGGTTGTAAACTTGTGGTTAGAAGAGAGTGAGAGATAATCTTCTATACTGAGTTACAATTTCTATAGTTGATTTTTTTTTTTTACTAAGGAAACAGTTTATAATACTAGTTCCCTAGTATATATATATACATGTATATATTATATGATGTTGGTTGACTACAGAATTGCTGCCTTAATAGCATTAGGTTTTGACCTTCGATCCAAGTATGTAGTAAACGATTGCTGATTAGTTCGAGTACAAAAAATTTATTTCAAGAAATCATATTCCTTCTTGAAATGAATACACAGTGGTTCCTTATTTTATATCTTTTGGAAGAATGGGTAAAACTTGGCAACACAAGTAGAATGAATAGATGTTGAAAGAAGATTGTTTCCTATTCATATATAAATAATTAAGCATATAATGTTTGATATTCATTTATGCCCTGATTGATAATCAATCTCAAGTAACAGAAATATAAAGTAAATTATTGGTGCTTGATATAGTCGGTTATTTCTTTTTTTGAAACCAAATAATGAGATTTTCGTTTATTCATATACTTGTGGATAATATACGGGAAAAACACTAACATTATAGATTTCTCTCTTGTTACGACTTAATGAAACAAAATCAGGAACAGAAGAGTCATCAGCAGGATTTGTTTCAAATTCTTCGTTTTGGACGCTATTCCAAAAAAAAAAATAGGCTTCTGTATTCCATTAATGTAAGTATTTACTCTATAAAGTTGCTATTTTCTTCTGATATAGTCACTACTCTCCCATTCCATAGTAGTATTCTTTTGAAAGAGAAAAAAAAAAGGGGGGATCAGTCTTATAATGTAAATCCGTCTATAAACTTATTAAGAGTACCATGTTAAATATTACAAGGATAGACTGAAATCACACTCACTCTTAATATACCGTTACTTTAAAACCGTATATAAATATCTATATGTAAGACTCAAGTACATCCTTGTCCATTTTACAAAGAACGCGATTTGCGAAAAGAAAAAAAAAGCATTTAACAAAGAACGAAATTATAGCTGATCATATTGATCAAACAGCTGTAACACTTACAGCGGATACTGGGCCCCCCATTACTCTTTTTTTTTAAAAAAAAAATAAAACCCCTTCCCCCCTAAATGTCTCAATATGAACAGAACATAAATATTAGTTTTTATTATCAATATAAATGCTATAGTTGATTTTTATTTGGATTTTCAATACAAAACACTGTAAGTCACCAGTGCTTAATTTTGAACATATAATACACTTTTTTTTTTCAAAAAATCAAGTGAAGAGTACTTATAATTACTAGTTATACATGACAGGATACTGTTCACATTTGTAAACAAAAGTAAAGAAATTCTTAAATATGAAAGCGGAAAAAGAAGTATAAATAAAGAACTTGCTATCTCTGATAATAATAAAACTGAAGCAGCTCTTCAGATGTATTTTTTTTTAAACAACTATTGATCATTTATTACATCGAAGTATATGCTAAATAAATATAATTATCTCAATGAGAATCTTATATTGAATGTGCAAATATCCTCTCCCTCCTAATATGATTATGGATACAAATAAAGAGCCATACTAATAATTACATAAGATGACTATAAAAAAGAAAAAGAAATGATAAATATGCATTACTTATTTTAAAAAAAATAAAGAATATTTACCAATAATAAAACACCTTCTAGCCAATTTGATCTACCATCTCCAATTAAATAGTTTACTATGAGTACACTAGCGAACAGAATGACAGTTTCAAAATCTTCAAAGAATAAAGACATGGGTTGCTTAATAGCCCAACCAGCCAAGACTAAAGTGGGCGTAACTAATAACCCAATTTGAAGAGAAGAGGATACAGCAATCCCTATACATAAGTTCATTTTGTCCTTCATAGCAAATGTTACTGCACTAACATGTTCTGCCGCACTAGTAATATATACATAACCAAAAATAAATAAATAAATAAATAAATAAATAAATAAATAAATAAATAAAATTAGTTATGTGTTACAGATAATATGAATATAAAGTTATCTTACTTTCCGACAATTGGTAGTAAAATAAGGCCAACGAAGGTTTCATTTATACCCCACTTTTGCACGACACCTTCAATACTATAACAAATGATAAATATATAAAATAGATCCTTCATAATGTGTAATATGAATATTTACGCTCCAACAAGATATTCTGCATGAACAGAAACAATAATTGCAATAACAAGTAAACTATAAATATAAATGAGTATAATAAAATAAAACAATTTGAAACATGTATCTTTATATGTTACCTTGCAATAGAGAATGACAGAGATGTGGAAGGTAATTCTGTTTCATCTTCTTCATCTTCGTACTAAAAAGCATCATTTTATGAGAGGTTTTTTTTTTCGTATCTTTTATGTATAAACATATATATATATTTACCAGAAAAGTATGTGTCTTTAACTATATAAAATAGAAAGGTTAAATCCTATTTAAAAACAAGTCTAACATGGTATTTCTTACTTGAAATAATAAATATAAAATATAAACAATCAACAAAACGATCGAAACACCGCGACTCAGTTCCAGAATACTTTCAGCTGTGTCATCATCTGGTGTGGATGCAATAAAAGCAGCAGGTATTAACAATGATAATGTAGTTAATGCAAGAAGTGAGCAAGAAGTTTGGGCAGCTTTTAAACCGATGTTTTGATTTTATTTGTAATAGCATAATAGATAAAATTAATTTTACTTTATTTGTTTTGTTTTTATTCTTCATCTACTACTACTACCCCTTACCTGTAACATTGAACTTTTGTTCTGTTCTGGTAATGCCACCCAAAAAGAAGCAGCAACCGAGAACCTATATAATAGATGATATATAAAAAAAATCAGCTTTATACTGTATAAATAATTTTTTTTTCATGTTACCAATAAAAGATTAGATAAAATAGAGCCTAATACAGATGCTATATACAAACGTAAGATGTGATTCATTTTATTTTTGTTTTATTCTCTTATTTATATACCTTGAACGACACGAATCAAGCCTTCTTTTAAAGCAATAACGCCCAAGATTAATTCAACCGCGTTACCAAATGTAGCATTAAGTAAGGCACCAATAGTAGAACCAGACCTCAAAGCAATTTCTTCAGTTGCTGTATAAAGGATATTAATGAAGCATTCATTTTATTTTATTTTCTATCAATATACAGTATTCTTACCAAAGCCCAATAGTCTAGCTAAAGGAATGATTGCAATAAAATTTAAAGTAAATACAACAGTAGGAGATGACTCCATGATAGAATACACAATAGCAATAGGAACAAAGATCAAAAAGTAATTGATATAAGATGATAATAACGTTACTTTTAAGGAAGACCAAAAAGTGATTGCTTCTTGTCGATGATTTCCCAACAAAGGCTGATTCTCGTTGTTCATTTTTTTTTTTTTACAAAAAAGAAAAAAGTAATAGATATTGTTAAAGAAAAGAAGAAGTTGTATAAAAAAAAATGAAACGTATCTGTCTCTTTTAAAACCTTTTCTTTCACTCCTTAAAAAAAAAAAAAAAAAAAAAAAAAAAAAAAAAATAGCAACAACAACAATAGGTCGGACCAAATTCCTTCTTTTCTGTTTGTGTGTACCTGAAGAAAATAGAATTTTCATTACCCTAAAGACACCTTTTAATTTTCTTCAAAAAGCAGTAACTTTTATATTAAAAAAAAAAAAAAAAAAAAAAAAAAAAAAAAAAAAAAAATCATATACAGCAAATAACAAAATAAAATTTAATCTCTTTATTACATATTTCTTTTCTCCTTTTTTTTTTATATACATTTATATATTTATTTGAAATGAGCCAACCAAATAGAGGATCTACCCTAATTATTCAGTCTTCTGCAACTACCTCAAAACCTTCCTCACTACTTGGCCGCAAAAGTAATGCATATATACATGTCTATATTTTTAATTAATTATAATTGTTTACCTTCTTTTATTTTAGGTGATAAACTGGAATGGACTAAAAAACCTAAAAAGGGATTCTTTTCTTTTCTTTTATGCTTTACATTCAAGAAAACCAATAAAAATAAAAATAAAAAGGAGACACCATCCATCATAATATCAACAGAGAAAAAAGAAGACAAGATTAGAAAGGAAGAAGAAGACAGAAAAGAAAGCATTATAATAAATGAAGAAAAGAAACAACAAGCCATAAATGACCATGACAGTCAAATTGAATTACAACATACGACTTTAGAACAGAATGTACAACTACCACAAAAAGAAGAATATGAAAATAGTATAAAGAGTCAATTAACAGAAGAAGAAATGGGCAATAAAGAAGTCGTATTATCTGAAGAGGAAGAAATTGAAGAAGAAGAAAAAACGATTGATGATTATGATTTTAATGTATAGTTTAGTTTATATATACTTGTCTATATTACCTTTCTTTCTAACTTTTTCTTTTCCTTTTAATATATAGTTTACTTATTTATTAGACCCAATTGAAGAAGAACATCGTGGTAGGAAATGTCTTGTGTTAGACCTCGATGAGACACTTATACATAGTTCATTCAAGGTTAGTAACTATTCAATCGCCTATTAATAAATAATGATGTATTTATTTGTTGCCATAGTCAGTTGCAGAAGCAGATTTTGTAGTACCAGTTGAAATTGATGGTTATTACCATAATGTATTTGTACTAAAAAGACCTGGGGTAGATACTTTTATGAAACGTATGGGTGAATTATATGAAATTGTTATATTTACTGCTAGTCTTTCAAAGGTAAACAAAATGATATAATAATAGAAATTCTTTATTCATTTCTTTTTTCTATCAAGTATGCTGACCCTGTATTGGATAAATTTGACTTGCATAAAGTTATTCACCATCGATTATTTAGAGAGGCATGCCATCCATATAAAGGAACTTATATTAAAGTAAATTCATATAATAGATATGTATATTATGAAAGGGCATTAACAATCCTCCTATTTAGGATTTATCAAGGTTAGGACGTGATTTAAAGCATGTCATTATACTTGATAATACACCTGCAAGTTATAGCTTTCATCCTTCAAATGCTGTTCCTGTTTCCACTTGGTTTAATGATCAACATGATTCAGAATTGATAGATTTAATTCCTTTCCTTGAAGATCTTTCAAAAGTAGATGATGTAGTTGAAGTATTAAATATATCCCTTTAATATATATATGTATATAAATATATATACATGTAAACAATTGTACACATTCATTTATATATCACTTTACTTTTCCACACACACACACACATATATATATATATATGTATATAAATATATGTATATGTATATAATATTTGTATATACACACACACACACACATACATACACACTATTATATGGTTTCCCTGCTTGCTTTTATTGTCTACGTTACATACAAGATTTGCTTTTCTTTCTTTCTTTCTTTCTTTCTTTCTTTTTTTTTTAATAAAGGTTTATTTTAATCCAACATGTATATTCTTGATGCAATGTCATTAACAATCCAGTCCATGCCTTTTAATAAATTATTTCCTGAAACTGCACTACAAGCAAATATAGCCCAATGATGACTTTTGATAGCATCTAACTCAAGCGCATCTTTTATCTCTTCTTCCGTCATAGCACCTGCAATGTCTTGTTTATTAGCAAATACTAATAATGTTGCACCTGCTAAACGTTCTTCTTGTAAAAGTTGTTCAAGTTCACGTTTACAGTCATTCAAACGAAGTCGATCAGCTGAATCTACAACCCAGACTAATCCATCTGTTTGTTCAAAATAATTTCTCCAATAAGAACGAATCGATTTCTGACCTCCTACATCCCAAATATTTAACTTGTAACTATTGATTATATTTGGAAATTTAATTTTAATTTTTTCATGTATATACATTGAAATCATTTATTTTATTTTTCTTACTTGTCGTGATCTAATGTTTTAATGTTGAAACCAAGCGTTGGTGAAATAGTGTCGATAGATTCACCATTAATCCGTTTCAAAATGGTTGTTTTACCAGCATTATCTAATCCTCTTTTATAAACTAATTAAATTAAAAAATATTTTTTTTAAAAAAAAACGTATTTATTTCAAAGTATACTACCTACAACATTAAAATTCTCATTTCTTTTTCATTTTGCCGATTCTTTTTTAAAATAGTTAATAAGCCCATCTGTAATTTTTTTTATATAACTTTATTAACTTTAGAAAAAAAAAATATTAAAAACACAAAAAAAAAAAAAAAAAAAAAAAAAAAAAAAAAGAGTAAATCTGAGTTCATTTCACGTTTAGGAAACGCATCTTTAAAGTAGTAGCTCACTCACTCATTTATAAATAAAGCTATGCTTAATAATATATGAGGGCAATTTGAGCTGGTAAATTGAGACTCTTGTGAATTACTTTATATTTAGCCTTCTTTTGTCATATTGAACACTCTATTTGGAGCAGAAAGATTTGTAAACTATATATTGGAATACACTAGGAATGAAAACATAGTATCACCTGCCCCGCTCTCCCGTCTTTTTATATTCATATACACATGTACTAAGATGTTAGAAAAAAAAAAAAAGATGGCTTGTATTATTATTTGTATTTTTGAAATAATTCTGTAGCTTTTATAATATCTACATTGCCACCACAAAGAATAATACCAATTCGTTTAATCCCTTCTTGCTTGATCTTTTCATGGAAATCTTGATTATAAAGAGCAACAGCACAACCTACAGCAGCACTGGGTTCAATACAAAGTTTCATACGTTCCCAAATCAATTCCATTGCTTGAATAATCTCCTTTTCTGATACTGTAAAGACATCATCAACATGTTTCAATACTTCATGATAAGCAATGTCACCTAAATTCGTTAACAATCCATCCGCTACTGACTCTGTCTTAACACTATTCGTCATCCTCTTCTTTCCTTTAAAGGTTCGGTAACAATCATCTACTTGGCTAGGTTCAGCTGCAAAGACTTTGATTTTAGGATTGAGTGCCTTGGCTGCAATGGAACAGCCTGTAAGCATCCCTCCTCCCCCTACAGGAACAAGAATAGCATCCAAGTCACTTACTTGAGAAAACAATTCAATTACAATCGTTCCTTGTCCAGCAATGACATTAGGATTATTAAACGGATGAATAAAAGAAGCTTGCTTTTCAACTCGAACCTTTTCTGCCTATATATATTTATATATATAAGAAAAAGTTCTATTGTCAAGTAAATCAAAAAAAAAAAAAAAAAAAAAAAAAAAAAAAAGGGAGGAATACATATATACGCATACCATACTTTCACGTTCTGATTGAAAAGGCTCACATTCAATTATTTGAGCACCATATTCATAAACAGCTTCTTTTTTCACTTTAGGTGAATTTTTTGGCATAACAATATAAGCTGGAATACCACGATTCTTTGCTGCAAGAGCAAGTGCTTGTGCATGATTACCACTTGAATGACAAACTACCCCATTAGCAGCTTCTTCATCTGTTAATAACGCAATTGCATTACTAGCTCCGCGATATTTAAAAGCTACGAAAAAAAAAAAAAAAAAAAAAAGAAGCATTTATAAAGAAGTTTTATATACACTATACATGTTTTTTTTTCTCTCTTTACATCCTGTCTTTTGAAATAATTCACATTTAAAAAATAACTCTACAGAAGACATAATACCACCATTTTTTGAAACAAGTTCATTCATAGCTGTACTAGTGGCTATAGGTGTACGATGAACTTGAATACGTTCAGCAGCTTGTAAGACATGATTGATAGAAATTTCTTCACTAACCATTTTAATATATGAATATATAAAAAAAAGTAAGTGGGAACTTTTCTTTTTTTTTTCTTTTTAAAAGAATATTACACTGTGTCGTACAATATTAAATTTCTTGGATTATTAAGCAGGAGGAAGGAAAGCAGCAAACAAAATAATACTTAATAAACCATATAAAACAAAGTAATAAAGCACTGAATGGGCTATAAACGATGATGACGTATTATGTTGTTTAACATTAGAAAACCCTTTGATCCATAAGTGTCCCACAAACCAATAGAGAGGAGGTAACGAAGTGAAGAATCGAATAATGACTTGAATATGCATATTTGTAATAGCGAACATGAAAAGGAATAACCAAAGATACATGTAAACTAGTAAATTAAAATGATAATAACCATCATTTCTAGCATTTGTTGTTACATAGCCAATTGTCCAAAAGCGTAAATGATCATGTTGACTAAATGTTTTCAAACCAAATAAACTTAATAAAATAATAGGCGCTGCAAGTATAAAATTAGGTATTTGCTTTAATTCGTAGTAAGCAAGAAATCCATTATTCCTGAAGAAATGATACATGTTAATACACCTCAAGATAGTCAATTTACTGTTCTTTTTTTTTTTTTTTTACCAATATTCTTTTTGAACAAATGAATATAATAAAGGTATTTTATTAGTACACCAAGGTCTTTCTTCAGTCGTCATCTTTACACAAAATTCGTTGTATCCATAAAATTGAAATAGTCCAAATCCAATACAAACTATTAAAGTATAATAAACTGATTGTAATAATCCTATTAAATAATTCTAATATATTTTAGATAATAAATGTAAAGCCCTATTATTATTTTTATTATCATATTATTTACCTTGTGTTTAAGATATCGTATCCACACGAAATCATAAAAAAAGAAACCAGAATAAATAATAGCATTAGATCTAACGGCTGATGTCACTCCCCATATTAAAGCTGCATTCAAGTACTTTTTCTGAGCTACCCAGCGCATACCAGTAAAACTTAAATAAGCAAAAAGTGATTCTGTATAAAATGATGACATAAACATGGCAGGTGGTGATAAACAAAATGCAATTGAGGATAATAAAGCTAATTTTCTATTCTTTGGTAATAACGTCAACGTTAATCTAGACGGATTAAATAAAAAAAAAAAAGAATAAGAATACATCTTCTAAAGATGGAGAGTAAGAATTACTTGTATAATGCACCAGCAGCAAGAATAAATGCTATATTTGATATAGTGATGCCTGATAATAGCAATACATATTTTCTATCTAATATAGATTGCAATGGATAATATACTAGTATTTTTTTTAAAAAAAAATAAAAAAATAAAAAATTATCCGTAAATATCATGGTATCGTTTAAAGCATCTTTAAGATAAAACCTGTATTTGTTATTAATCTTGCACATAAGGGCATTATAGGAAAGAAGGCGGTTTCTTGTTCATATATATAGCCGTCTTCAGCAATGTGTAAAAAATAAAGTGCATCCCATCGTAAAAAGGCTGTTAATAGCCTATGCTTTATAGTGGAATTGAGTTGAATTTCAGCCGAAGAATCATAACTTCCAATGAAAGGATAAGCCAAGATGGCAATACTAAGTGTAATTAGACGTGAAACTGTGGCTATAGCATAAACTTTTTTTAACATTAAGAGGAAAAGAAGAAAAAAAAAATAAAAAAAAAGAAGAAAAAAGGCGTTGTTTAAAAAGAAAATAGTTATTAGCAGACACTACCACAACCTATTTAGAATGTCGAGAATCATTGATTTCTCTTCTTGCTTAAAAGTGTGAGCTTATTGCAAGAATTGTTAATAAACTTTTTAAGGCTATTATCGTTGAGAAGAATTACTACTAAAATTAGTAAAATAATAATAGTGGCTGACAAGCGATAATATTAAGTATTTACAGATGTTTGAATGTTACAGCAAACACAAATAATGATTTGCGTCTGAAATTCAAAACAGATAACTTTTCTTCCTCTTTGCTTTATCATGCTTGGGTGAGAACGTTCATTGTCCTTGAGTCATGTAATAAAAGATAATCAGTTTTTCATCGCAACTCACATGCTTGAACCTATCATCAAATCGTGCTGTCAGGAACTGTACGAGCAGGGTTTTTCGTTCCTTATCAACAAAAAAAAAAAAAAAAAAAAAAAAAAAAAAAAAAAATACGAGTGTACTGACAGCGAGTAATCACTACTGTATTTTTATGATCTACATGTGTATGTTTATGTCAAATATAATATTAGATCATGACTGTTGATAGTATCATAAAGAGGTCAATATTTAACATAACAGGTGTAGTATACTATTGTCGAGTTGAGGTATGGGAATGACAATGGCCGGGTTTGAAGTCTCTGTTGGAGAGACATTGTCAGAGATATCCTCTGCCATTCTAGAAGGAGCAGTAACTATATTAAGCATTTAGGATGTATGCATAATATGGCAGCATAAGGTACATTTGTAACAAGGTTGGTAATGGTGCAATGGTAGGTAGTGACTTTTTTGCATTCAGGAAATGGGATCGCTTTGCGATGTTCAAGGAAGCCTTTTGCAAGAGCTACCGGTTCTTCTTCAGATAGAACTCGACTAGGAGTCTTATTATATTTATGTCGATTAGACGACATTTACCTAGTTATCGCGATGTTGAGAGTTTTTTCAATGTGAATGTAGAGTTGTAAATGACTTTCCAAATTCAGTAATAGTGTTGGAAAGAGGAAAAAATCTGGGACGGGTTACTTTTTTTTTGGGATTCAATGAAATAAAAAAAAAAAGGTAAATCATCTAAAAACTCATGTCATTTAAACTCAAAAAAAGTTCAACCTTACCAATTAAGACTAAAATCCTGTAGTAATAGATAAACCATCAGCATTCCTTACTTGGAAAGTGAGAAAATTAATTGATGCCTGGCTCATACACTGGTCTTCCATATGCGTAATTTTGCTTGAGATGAACTACCTAGCTTCACTCCCAAATCCCTGAACCCTCTGACCATCATCTTCTTTCAATACAACAACGATTTTCTGATAGTTAATTATCATCACTTCTACATACACTTTAACATTTCCCCTTTTATCCCAGAAGGGGGGTTTCTATAGCAATCTGACCAAGGCAAAACAGCATATAAATGCTATGCGCTCATTGGTCATTTTTAAATTAAATACTTCAGTTTAATAATAGCTGACATATAAATATCTTTACCAACAAATAAGTTATTCTTCAATTACTTACTTTTTATTTTATTCAATCAATCTTTTTACCAGCAAAATCCCTTTTTAATATGTCTCGCTCACAATATCCTCCTATTGTCTTAATACTGCTTCCACTGCTCGTTTGCATCCTTCAGACAAACAGCATCTATGGTGGCTAAGCTGAAATAGAATAACCAGCTTGAAGAGCAGATGTTTCCAAACCAAAGAATCTCTCAGTTGGAGAAGAATTACAACTTAAAAAATCAAAATATGTATATCAAGAAAGATCGGCAGAATCCGAATGACCGTAAGTATTATTATTATGTAATTATAATGACAATCATTATTAAATAAAATATATAATACCTGTTATTCAATTCAATCAATAGGACAAGATTCACGATGCTTACGAGCAAAGTGGATGTAGATTTGATCCCAGATCTACGTTAAAAGATGGAGGTCATAACGAACAGATCTTCGATTTCATCTTTGCCCAGGTTAGAGCAACAACAATCCTGGGGAAAGAGCAAGGAAAGAGATTTCGGCACGCATCAGAAGTGTGTATGATACGGAAAAAAGAAGCATTCGCGTGCCGAAATCAACACACAGGAGCAATTAGATGCTCTAAAAAAAAGGAAATAATTAGAAGCAGGAAAAATAGAGTAAGTATATACTTAGCATAAAATTTAATACAAGATAAAGTAAATTTAACTTCTTTCTCCTTATATTCTATAGAAATGTAAAAGAAGACTGGCAAAGTTCAGCAAAGAAGGGTCCAGGATTGCGGAAGAATTGGGCGTGCCTTATAATGAATGTCTCCGAATGATCAAGGCATCTTATATGTCTGATGATGAGGATGACATTCATTATCAGGGCTCGTTGAGGACTTGGAAAAGTCTACGTCCACATTGGAGAAGTGAAAAGGTATATAAGTTAAAATACAATCATATAAAAAAAAACTAACTGTAATGAATATTTCTTTAATACCTTTAAAGTTGAACCAACTGTTCGATAAACTGGACACTCTCTCCAAAAATGTGGACAAGTCTACACCCACAAGAATCGTCGTTACGAGGGTGCCAATCTTTTGGATACCTTTCCTGCTTGGGCCAAAAATGAAGATGCCTACAATTAATTTTTTTTAAATAAATATAATATTTTTATCTTTTTTATAATTTACCTTTGAGAATGCATTAATCGATCATAAATATCTACATCAGCAAAAATAAAAGACTTCATATATTTGTATATAGATATCACGTTAATTTCTATTTTCCAACATCATCTCAAAAAAAAAAAAAAAAGAAAGAAAAGAAAAAAAAAGAACATTTGAAAGACTGACATAACGATTTTTTGCAACAGATAATATATTTAATTTGATAAAAATGAATAACTAATTGATTAAATGCCTTGGTAAATTTATAACAACATTGATACCTTGAAGGTGATCAAGTTTAATAGCAACAGGAGAGTGAATGCGCATGACTGGAACAATCGACATTGCTGAAGGATCCTCAAATTCATTGCTCCACACTTCCATGTTGTTGATCTCATACGCATGCAGGTTGAGGCCTTCTTTCTTTTTGAACCATCTAAAATAAAAAAAAAAAATAAAAAATAAAAAATAAATAAAATTGTGCGAAAACATTTTATAAATATAAAGAAAAATACTTACGAACATGCAAACGTATGAGTAGTAGACACCAAGAATTCATCATACTATCCATTAAATAATGTATGAAAAAGAAATATAAAATTGTGCAGTGCAAGTTAGAGGAGTGAACCGTATCGATGTTGCTCAAGTTGCAATGAATAGTGCATAGAATATCGTGATTCGAGAGATTAGCTCCGAGGTGTATTTATTAACAAGAATCTATAGAAGAGAACTTCGTATTTTCCTACTGTGATATTCTTTAAAATATCAATAAAATATAGAATAAATATATTAGACAAAAGAGTCACGAGACGATAATAGTTCAAGTCAAATTATTTATTATGAATTAAATTGATGGGTATTTATAGAATGTTAAGAGGTCTGAGGATAAGATGTAATCAGAAAAGTGTTAGTTACGACCGAATAAGGTATGTTGTTGACAATGAAGTGTTCGTGATTTTAATATTATTAGATGGAGCGGATTAGAGAGTTTCAGGAGATTCTAGGCAGAGTTCCTTGAATAAATTTATAATCCGAATATTTAATCATGAAACATGACATTATAAGTCAGCTCATGACACCTATCAACATAAATACCACCTTGGACACTGTTGGTAAGACCAGGTACACCAGAATCCTCAACAAATGTCCAGCCATAATAGATATTAGTATAATAGTCTAATAGGCATCCAAACCCTCGTCATTCATTCTTAAGGGCCGAGCCTTGGCTTTCACATTCTTGACGATGCTTGCAGGGACACACTCATAACCATGTAGCTTGCCGTCACCAGAAGCTTCATTCTCCAAGAACAAACTGATATCAAACTTTGAGTTATACATATCATTATCTTCTTCACTTTCTTTGTCATCATCAAATGCAATATTTCTCTTATTTTTACAAAAAAAAATTGATTTGATCATCACAAACTACCGGCAAACAATCAAAGTAGTCTCCAGCAAAAACAGACTCCAGAAACCTTTTTGTTATAGTATTTTCAACGGATCCCTTATTGTTAGTATTAATAACTTTAAGATCACCGTTATACCTTTCAAAGTTGAAAAGCCAATGGGACATGGCTGGCCCATAATCCAAAAGACCTTCTTTAATATGCAAATGGTTGTGCATATTCAGTGACAAGTAACTGGCATCATGGTAGATTTCCATAAATTCGCTTAAGAATTCTTTTAATAAAGAATGAACGTAATCTATTTCTTCTTCAGTTATACTTGTATTGGCTATATAACGATTGGCTTCAACAAACTTCATCCAATGATTATAATATTGCATGTTCAATCTCAAGGGCAAAAGATAAGGTGACATTGCAATAATCCACACTCGCCATTCATCAGCTGTTAAATGGCTAAAACCATCTTTACCTGCTGTTATCTTGCGTTTAACAGCATTACCACCATCATATCCAAAGGGAAGTATCAGGCTTTTTGCAGATTCTGACATCTCCGCTAAATCGCTCTTCGTAATCAATAATGACTCTTCGCGGCGACCGCCAGCAACGGATCTAACTTCATCTCTCCAGATCATATGTAGGGAAACGTTTGGCTGTCCCAAGAAAGCAATTATGCATTACATCTACAGGAGCGAAACGGATAGGATCAAAATATGGCAAACGAAGGAGCGTACTTCAACGAGTACCAGTATTTCTCTCAAATTCACTACGTTGATCTTTCGTCGAGAGAATTAACCACTTACTTGCATTTACACGGTGGGTACTTTCCGAACGACCAGCCCAATTAGCATCATCAAAGTCTCTGAAATCTCTTCTATTAGCATTACCAGGCAGCGAAGGAAAAGATTTATCACACTTATGGCACGCACGTGTAGAGTTATGACCTGTAAATCCAAGACATTTTCTTTGTGCCGGCAAATCCATCGTCGTCAACACTAATGCACCCTTCACTAACTGATCCTCCTCGTCTCTAACCTTCATTTGCACACCATCTTGTAAGAGCAAGAACTCATCAACTAAAGGATTCAAATAATTATTTATTTCAAACGTTGATGGCTCTGATGGGCCAGGTAACAATCCAACTAAAATAACATTCTCTCGTAGATTTCTTATTTCTCTTGGTAAATTAAGAATCGTTAGATAGACTGCACCGCAAGAATACTGGCTATTGGTGTACAATTGAAGCCAATCTGCATTTAATGAAAACATTAAATTAAACCGTGAGCTTTCTATAAAAGCTTCTTCATCTTCAGGATTTAGTTTGAAACTTTTCCAAATTCTTCCGTCATACACGTCGAACAAACGACCAGGAACGATTGTTCGATTCTGTCAAGTACTAATATTTAAAAAAAAAAAAAAAAAAAAAAAAAAAAAAAAAAAAAAAAAAAAGAAAAAAAGAAAAAAAAAAAATTCCAACTTTTTATTTTTATTTTTATTTTAAATTTAAATTTAAATCGAGTTCATTTTATATAATAAAATAATGTACTTTGTGAGTTGAACATAAATACATAATGATGCTAAAGTTTATTTTTATTTTTAAGAAAGTAGATAAATGCGTGCCCTCACATTAATAATTTTGTCTTTAACGATAGACTAACATATTTTCCTTTTCCTTTTTTTTTAGCTTGTATATAATACAATACATGTGTATACATGTCTCATCTTTTTTTTTTCTTTTTCTTTTATTATTATTATTATTCCATAAAGTTGAAAACAAAAGAAAGGAATTTACCATCCCATTAAAATTTCCCTGATTTTATGTAAAAAGCCAGAAGGTTTAACAGTGCTATTGTTACTGTCTTTGGGAACATGATTACTACTATTGTTAATGGAGGATTTTGAGTCATTATAGGCTTGTGTTTGTAAAAAGATATCTTCAGCAGGAAGAAGTCTAACTGTTTGTAATTCTGTAATAGAATCATCCCATACAACACCAATCATCCTTTGATGCATCACTTTGCCATGACATTTTAATGCCTTTAAGGCTGCTTCATGAGTTGTGTATTTAAAAGTAATCCAGTTTCCTTGACTAGAACAAGGCTCTACTAAGTTTCCAAATGCCATAAAATATTTAAGAATAGCTTCTGTCTTACTAGGATCAAAACCAAAGACACGAACTCTTGTTTTACTATTCATAAATGTTACTATCTCTATCTTATCAATTTTTTTTTTGTTCTTCTTTAATACCTTTCATTCATGGATGCTTTTGAAGAGAAAGCAATTGAAGCTAATTTCTCATCTTTTTGCGATAAATCATCAAACTTATATCTAGTAGGTTGAATACCAACTTCCGTAATGGACTTGGTAGGAATCACATCTACATCTTTAAACTTATTCAATGTTCTATCAAAACTACTTTTATGACTATGAGAATCAGAAAATACTCCTTTCAAGCTTTCTGCTTTCTTGGGTCTAAGGTTTGACAGAAATAATTAAAAAATTAGAATTATCCCCCTTTTTTTTTTTTCTTTAAATAAATACCCTTCAGAGGAATTCTCATCAAAGAGACGCATCTTTTTTCCCCAGGTTGTTAGTGCTTTATCATGGTCATAACGACCCTATTTAATATAGAAGTATTAAAATATGAATAATAATATTTCGTTTTAGACTTACATAGTATTCTTCATTAGGTGCGGTTAATAAGGCAGGTAAATAAGCCACTTTTCTTTTATCTCCAAGTGAAGGACCAGGAACAAATTCAGATAAGGAGGCTTGGTTATTAGAAATATCACTATTAAAAGTAGTATTATGACTGTTACTGCTTACAATACTTCGGGTTCTACCATTTACGAAAGCATTCATAGAGACAGAAGAATGTGTTACACTATTAGGAGTAATAATGAATTGAGGTATCATTTTGTCACTAAAACAATTCTGAAGATCTAAAAGACCTTGCTGAGTAAGTTCAGACTTTGGCTTATCAAAAGGTGAAGCCATTTGTTGTTGATTATTAGTATTATTGCTATTTTGGAATAAACCACTTGTTGGTTGTTGTTGTTGTTGAGTTGATGGTTGAAATAAGGAATTAGTCGATTTTTGAGCAGATGTTGATGCGAACAAGGAACCTGTAGATGCTTGCTGTTGATTATTAGTATTGCCGAATGAGAAAGTTGGTGTTGACGTAGAATTCGTTATAGTAGTGGGAGTAGTGGTTGATGTTCTCCTCTTTGCCAAAGGAGGAGTTCCAGCTCGAGATGATGCAGGTGAAGTATGTGATGTTGCAGAAGAATCATTAGTAGAATTAAGAGAAGAAAGGCCCAAAGGGTTAGTTGAAGAAGTGGTATTAGCAGTACCAAACAAATTTGTTGATGTAGCAGGAGCAGTACTAGTAGTGGTGGTAGTAAAAGCATTTGGTGTGGATTGAGGTGTTCCTAAACCACCAGTTGAATTGTTTGTTTGGGGCATAGAAAAGGAAAAACTGGGATTTGTAGAAGTTCCACTGCTTGAAGGTTGTGAGGCTAAATAAAGAGGAAGAAAAAATGTTAATATTAACATTCATGATTACTATTAATTTATAAAAGAATTGAAATGTTATAACAGAAAGTATAATTCTTTAAGAAATTAATAATCTAGATCTATAATATTAAGATCTATGACATTAATTTCTTTTGTGCAATATGTTTTCATGACAGAGAATAAAAAAAAAAAGCAAAGCGCGTCATTGTTCATCTTAGAAGTGAATAATATATAATCATGTAATTGAAAGTTGAGATAAAAAAAAGAGGATAAATCTACTTTTTACTAAAACTTTTTGTGATGTTCATTACTTTTTCTAATCAATCGGCATTCAATGGGAATCCATATTCAGTTATAGTAAGCTTATTATCGATAATTTTTTGTATTTGTTTACTATCGCCTGATTTTTTTTTTTTTTTTTTTTGTATGGATCAGATTAAGATAATTGTAGTTGAAAATGAGAAATGATGTTGTCGATAGAGTGATAAAAAAAAAAGAGGGGGACGAGTAGAATATATATACAGTTTTTTACAATGATAAACGCTTCACTGTAGGTAGAAATGAGAATAATAAATATGTAAAAGCATAATTACCTTGATTGAAAAGAGAAGACATTTTATTTATGAAATACTATTTCTTTAAAACGAATAAATAAACACTTTTTAACTGATAAATAAAGAAAGACTTACTGTTAAATATAAATAAAATGTAATTTAATGAGAAGAAGAAAAAAAAAAAAGGAAGAAATAAACACTATGTAAAGAAATATGTTAATAAAAATTTTGTCTAATTGTTCTTCAAGATATGATTTAATACACCCAAAATTTTGCCCGGGCCGGATCAAGGAACTATATAAAAAATAGATAGGCTGTAGCTTTTTTTTTAATAAGACTTGGATGAAAATCATTTTCTTAATTACTCCAAGCGCTATACCTTTAAGCTTAGTTGTAATTGGAAGCTCTTTAAAGCTAGTAAGTAGTAAAGTATCTTAGTAGTTTAGTATCAGTTAGTAAAAAAAAAAAAAAAAAAAAAAAAAGAAAAAGAAAAAGAAAAAAATGTATCAATAAGTTCATATTCTTGTTAAAGAAGGACTAGGCATAAGAATAAATCATCGTATATTGAAGAAACCATTCAAATTATACTGCTTCATGTTATAGTTTATTAGGTAAAAAGTAGAAGCAATAAAACTGATGTCCAACTACAGTAATGATGGATAGATAACGATGAAAGCCCCTTCTCCCTCAATTAGTACAATATCTAATTTATTTTGCTTATTGCTATTATAATTTCTTCCCTGACAATAAAAACAGATAAAGTGATAATTTAATTATTTTTTCTCCTTTTTCTTCTTTTTTTTTTTTTCTCTCATTTTATTATAAACATAACATGGAAGGACATGAAGGACACAACATGTTAGGACATGATATGAAGGACATGCCTGGACATCATATGCCAGATCATCACATGCCAGGACATGAAATGCCAGCAATGTGTTCTATGAGTGTAAATCTATAAATAGTATTTATATAACGTTGAATTAATAGATCCCTAACATTTTATTAAATAGATGTTATTTAACTGGCAAATAAAAGATGTGTGTATTGTATTTGAATGGTGGCATATTCATAATGAAATTGAATTGTTTATTTCATGTATTGTTATATTCGTTATTGCTGCAGGATATGAATATTTACGTGTTTGGTCAGCTTCAATGGATGAGCAATGGACACTAGGAGATAAGAAGAAGATAACAGATCAAAGAAGCCCTTTAGTAGCAAGACATTATGAAGAAGATTATGAAACGGCAGCAACTATAAATACAGGATCAGTCGATACAAATCATTTATCAAGAAAAGGCTTTTTAACGATAAGGTAAGAAATTAAGAAAACATATGATTGAATATTGATAGTTATTTATTGTAAAGACATTCTATTAGACATCGTATTTTAAAATCAGTTATTTATGCAACACTTGTAGCCATTAGTTTTTGGCTAATGCTTGTATTTATGACCTATAATGGCTATTTAATGGCTGCAACGGTATTAGGTGCTGGTTGTGGGCATTTTATTTTTGGGCATGGAAAATTAAAAGCAAGTCGAGATATTCAGTGTCATTAACTCCTTTTTTTTTTTTTTCTATCTCTCTTTCACTCCTTAAAACCTCCTATAACTTAATATAAAAGGGGCTATTTTACCTCTTCCCCTTCCTTATTATTAATATATTTCATATTTAATTTTGCATTTGCATGTAATTTAATTCGATAAATTAAACATTGTAAGTGTCTTTTTTTTTTTTTTTTTCTTGAGGGAGTGTGAGTGTTTGTGTATTTATACATTGAATTTTCTTCTAAAGCCTTAAAGGGACGTAATGATTGACACAACGTATGATACTTTATTATCATTTGTATATTATATTGATATTAATATATTAAGATTAGTTTTACTAGTATTCCATTTTATTTTAAAAAAAAATTAAATAAATAAATAAATCTCCCGTATAGACACTTCATGATTATATATCATAAAAGACATTTATTTGGTTTATATATTCAAGATATACAAATGTATATATTTGTATATTATTAAAATAGATATATGTATATCTGTAAAAACTGAAAATAGATTGATTTTATGAAATTGTAGACATACATATATGTATATATTAAGTAATGAAGGTATTGGGTAAAATAAAGTACAAATGAAGGGTACAGGTAAGGAAAGTAGAAATGTTTCGTTAATATTTGTAATTCTTAGTGAATTAACAACTCTTGGTGTTGATAATAGCATTTCTTACATACACGTTGAGGTTGAGAGGCTATTATGGCTGGAGGATCTAGAGCCCCTTTAGGATCTTGTAAAATTTCAGAAGGATTTAAACAAACTTTCCAAGAAGAACATTTATCACAAAATACAAGTCCACATTTTCGGCAATGATGTCTTCTTAACAAGAGTCCAAACTTTTTTTCACAGATACGACATGATTTAGCATCTAAATCAGATTCCCAATGAACCACCGCCTCTCTATGTAATCGCTGGTGTATCCTTTGTTGATGCTCAATAAAGAGATCAGAGTCTGGTGTAGCAGATGTGTTTAAAGAAGATGCTGACGTGAGTGCTGACCATGGGTTACTATGATGATTAATAGGTTCATTCTGTAATAGGTTTATCTGTTGCTGTAAATGCCCCCTTTTGCTGATGAATATGACTTCATTTGCATGCAAATCCTTTGTATGATCTTCAGTTCTTTCAATTCCTTCTATATTAGTTGTTTTCTGAACCATGTGTCCATTTCCTTTTAATGTATAAATAGGATCAGTATGAAGATAATCCTCTTTCATATTAATATGACTACTGCTACTACTACTATTACTACTGCTACTGCTGCTGCTACTATTACTACTGCTACTACTACTACTACTACTACTACTACTACTACTACTACTACTCCTGCTAATGCTTCTATGACTATGACTATGACTGTGACCGATACTGTTACAACCATGATTATTATTATGTGTCGTATTAGTATTTTCCTGTTGTTCATCCTCTATATCTTTTGTAACCTTCATCATCATCATCATTAGTTCATTCTCTCCACGATGACTCCCCTTTGTCAAATCCATTCTTCTCTTCATTACACGAACCCATCGTCTTCTTCTGACCCAATTATAACCACTTGTAGGTGCCACAGGTGTCCAACGATCATCTGTATCTGAAAACGATTTTGCGTACTGCCATCCTGATGTAGGGTCCACTCTAGGATCACTATAATCAATTTGCCAGTCTGTTAACCAAAACCAATCTGAAGTGAGTTGTTGCTGGTTCGTGTCATGATAATATGGATTGGTATTCGAATTAAAAAGTCGTGGTAGCGTCACTAATTCTTTAGAAGAGGGTATCCCAGATGGATGAAGTGACCAAGGTCCTCGTGTTTGTATCTCCTCTTTCTTTAAATAATTTTCACTAAAGTAGGGACGTGAAAGTCCTGAGAGTAAAGAACTAGAGCATCGTTGATTTTCATGTAAAGTCACAATCACTGTCACATGATATTCTAATAGATCATAAATAGCACCAAACATAGAAGCACGTTTGTTCTTTGGATTCAACATACCTAAAATAAATGGATTCATCAATATATATATATATATACGTATATAGTTATATCTGATTATACCTTCTGTATGTTTCAAGTGCCACCATTTACGACCTGCTTTTTCAAGCATTTCACAAATATAAGATTCACCAGCAGCTGCACTCACATCATAAGCTGCTTCACCAAATTTGTTTTTTATAAGAGGATTTGCATGTCCTTCATCTAGAAGATATTCTACAATTGACATATGTCCTTTTGAAGCAGCATTAACTACGATATGAAAAATAAGTTAGATCCTCTTTCCCAAAAAAAAAAAAAAAAAAAAAAAAAAAAAGGGGGAAAGGGTAAGGGTAAGGTGCTGAGGGGTAAAACCAAAAAAGATATATAATATGTAAGGTAAGTCTACTTTACTTAATGGAGTATGACCCATTTTACTTTTCACATCTACTTTTGCTTTTCTTTCAACTAATAATCTTACAATTCTAAAATAACCTTTTGAACAAGCATTATGAAGAGCAGTCCAGCCATCTTTATCCTTTTGATTTATATTTGCATGATGATCTAGTAAATATTCTATTACATGATAATGTCCATGGTAGGCTGCTTTCAATAAAGCCGTCTAAGAAAAAAAAAAGTGTGGAGAGAGAGAGATAGGGAAAGAAAGCTTAGCATAAAAAATAAATCCAGCTTTATATACACTTTACCTCTCCTTCTTTATCTGTTGAATCAGGATCAATCAAATATTCTTCTACAAGGCATTGAACAATGTTTAAATGTCCTCTTGAAGCAGCAAAATGTAAACATGTTAATCCAGTAGAAGGGAAAGGTTCATTTACAGCTTTTATAGGATCCGAAACCATTTGTAAAAATTGTTTTAGTAGTGACAAGTTACCAGATAACGCGACAGATCTTAATGTCTTTTGCTCTTTGGATGATTTATAACTAGGCAATGTCTTCTTTTTCGTATTTTCTTTTACATTATTTACTGAAGGCAAAATAAGATGTGGTAACTTGATATAGTTGTTATGTGAATATCCATAATATTTATGAACCTCTCCAGGAACTGCCGGAGTACAAAAATCAATTACAGATGACATGGATAAAATATTATTTTTTTTTTTTTAAAGGATAAAGAAATGAATATAAAAAAAAAGGGGGAAAAAAGTTTTAAAGAAAAAGAAAAAAAAATAATATGTTTTTTCGTGGTGGTACGATTAAATAATTCAAAAAGTGCATGGTAACTTTTTCTTTTTTTTTTTCAGAAAGAGAAAGCGTGATTCTTTTTTTTTTTTTTTCTATTATTATTATTTTGATAAAAATAGGACTAGGATATCTTAGTAGTGGCTTCTGCCTGTAATAATCAATTATTTTGAGTAATAAAGACGAAAAGGATTCATTAACAGAAATTGGTAATTAAAAGTACTGCATCATTTGGAAGTATACTATTATATAATGGATAAACATTTTACCTGATAAGAAGTTTAATAGGTCATTAATGGAAAACTTAGTTCCTAGTCAAGGCTTTTGATAGCATTAATACCGAATTCATGAACCTCATCATTCATGTATATAAACTAGAGTATTGCCTTAGGTATTTATTATATTATATCTATCCTGAACTAAGGCAATGAACTTGTCAATATGAGGCTTTCATTATGTTAAAGTCTCGTCTTCTAAAAGGAATTTTAATTATTTGAATAAATAAGCCATTAAATTATTTTATCAAATTGAAGTCTCTCTTTTAGTATTGACTAAATAGTCTAACACTACATGTGTATTTACTTGATCAAAAAGAATATCTAACCAATGTCTCCAAAAAGAAATAAATAAATGCATGCTTTATATCTCTTTGATTTTACTTTCTTTTGCTATAATAAAAGCAACCAACGAATACTCTTTGCTTTTTATCAAAGTAAATTGAACAGCTTTATAACCCCCAAGACAAAACCTGTATCTTTTTTTAAGTAAATGGTACGCTATTTAATATTATACAATGACATATTTTACCTTTTGAATCCTTAGTCTCACATATTCAAAAATAATACAACGAATTAATGGTCTGTTGTAGTCTAAAAGAGGAATCTATTATCAAGTTGGTTTCTAAAGTCAAGTAAAAAAAAAAAAAAAAAAAAATTAATAACTGGGAAATTTAATATAAATTGTATAAAACGTGCATGTGCACTTAGATTCATATTATTTAAAGAATTTTATCATATGATTGATCTACCATTAATAATTTACAAAACGTTGTTTCTCCCTCTTCTTCATTGACAACGACACGAAACACATGGCATTTTCTTTTTTTTTTTTTTTAAAGAACGATATAATTAATCTCAGATATCCAATCATTTGTTATTATGCCCTTTTTTTTTTTCTTTGAACATATTTGATAACTCCTCCCCCTTCCTTCCTTCTCTTTCATCTATTATATCTTTTTGTTTTCTTTATTCTACTATTCACTTTACGAATATTAACGAACAAAGCAAAAAAAAAGAGAAAGACAGACAGTATAATGTTAACTAACAACTTAATAATTATGAATGAGCAACAGAATGATCAAGAAATGATTCAAAAAGAGTACGAAAATATGACATACGATGAAATATCTCAACGATTGACCGAGAATTATAAGCAACTTTCGGAATTCCTTGGAGACAAACGTATCAGTTTTCTCTCTGACACAACCACTCAATCCAGTTTAGTAAGTGATCTTAACACTAATTGCTTTGATGATATTGAAGATAATGACTATTTGGATACCGATCTTTCAATGGTTGTCACGAATGATACTCAACAAAGGAGAATCACGAAATTATTTTTACAATCTGTTTCAAGTGGCAACCAAGAAAGAGTAGAAGAATTCTTAAGTAAACTTACCTCTTTAGGACTGGATATTGATGCCAAAGATGAAGACAATGGTACTACAGCACTTATTTATGCTGCTTGTTTTGGAAAAGTCGAAATTGCAGCTGCTTTATTAAGCGCTGGTGCACAAACTGATATTCAAGATTCTTGTAAGTTACATTTTCTACAAACAGTAAAAGGGAGAGAAGGAGTAAAGATTTTTTTTTTTTTAATCTTGAAAGAAAAAAAAGGAGAAGGAGAAGCACTGAACTTCTAGGAGAAGATATATTGTTTTGTACATTTAACAATTCTATATTCTTGCTTCTACTCCTTTTTTTATTTTCTTTATATGTAATTTGAGCGGTCTCTTCTTCCCTTTCCTCCTTCCCCCCCTTCCCTCCTTTTCTACATTTATACGCACAGTCCTTGACATAATTTCTTTATTTTATTTTTTCCTTTTTAAAATTAGGTGGTTGGACTGCATTGATGTGGGCAACAGCCAATCATCATGAAAAACTAATTAAATTATTACTTGATCATGGTGCTTCAGCACAGACAAAATCAGCTAATGGTAGAACTGTATTTGATTTTGTAAAGAGGAATGATAAAGTGAATGCTGACATTTTTGCTACATCAACAAAAACTAGCACCTATAATGACTTATCTTTAGTAAACAGCAGTGATAATTCAGTCTCTCGACTCCTCCAGAATTATACTAATGATGATAAATACATTTCAACTGAAGAAATAGAGGGAAAGGATATGTTTATCGAATCTCCTTATATATCTGTTAAAAACCATTTGATGGAGGATATTGAGGATGAGAGTCATAGAGAGATGGTAACAGAATTCAATTGGAATAAATGTATGCCGGATCAAATGTTTGTCTTTGCTGCAGATAATCTTTGTTACATTCTTGATTCTGTTATTACTACTTTCACTCTACCTATTAGTGATACACAAGAAATCTTTGTGCCTGCTAATGTGATCTTTTTGAGTGCTCGATTTGCTTATTATTTTTCAAATGCTGAACTAATTGAAGATGTTATCAAAGGAGCAATAGATAGAATAGATGCTAATATAAAGGTATACTTATTTTCTTCCCAGAAGAAATGGCTATTATGTTACATACATAAATTGCCTTTTTTTTTTCTATTTCTTTTGTTTATGCCACTAATCATACACAACACCTCTATTGATGAATTAGAATAATAGAAGAGATATTCATGTTTTATCTTTTTGGCTATCTAACATGACTCGACTATTATATTATCTTAAGAAAGACATTGAACTCGTCGTAGCTACAGCAGAGCATCAACTTTGTTTATCGGAATTGATATCAGAAACCTACACATATATCGTAAATGTTGTTGAAAGACAAATCATGCCCATTTTACAACCAGCCATGTTAGAATATGACCTAATCTCAGGAATGGAAAGTATTGATTTTGCAGATGATGATATTTGGCAACGATTCTTCTCTAAAAGGAAGAACGATAGCCATCGAGAATCCATGATGGAAGAGAAGAGGTCCTGCTGTATGAAAGAATCATTATCACAACTAAAGAAGAGATCACCTAAATCCATCACCCATCTTCTTTCCTCTATCCATCATGTACTTCAATCCTATGAGGTTCATTCAACTATCATCATTCAAGCTTTAACTCAGTTCTTTCATTTCTTGTCCTGTGAACTCTTCAATCAAATCTTGGCAAACAAGAAATATCTTTGTCGATCAAAGGCTATTCAAATTCGAATGAATTTATCTATCCTTGAGGAATGGATACATCAACAGCAGCATTCACAATTACCTGTCCATCTTCTGATTTCATACCTGACTCCCTCTATACAATTGGTCCAATTATTACAATGTCTCTCTCAATTAACTACCCCTGATATCTTCAAGTCTACTGTGGCTATGTTTGAAACCATGAATCCATTGCAAATTAGACGATGTGTAACAAATTATCGTTATGAAACACAAGAACCAAGATTACCTGAAGAGATTGAGACACTTGTAAATCAAATGGTGAATGAGACGAAGCTTATTTCACAACCGAAGGGTCAAGATCAAACAAGCACTAAAAGAAGATCTTTATTGTCATTATTCGAAAGGTATAACAAAATAGAAACAAACGTAACAACAACCACCACCATCAATGAAGAAGAAGGCGATAATAATAAAGAAAACATGAATGAAACAAAAGACTCTAGATTCTTGTTGCCCTTTTTTGTCCCTACTACAACACAGTTATCAAACTCAAATATCGCGTTAATTCCTATTATACCAGAAAACTGGATGGACAAATTGGATAAAACTTATTAAATAAATAGCCTATAGAAATTCACTACTCATGATACCCCTTTACACTCATTCTGATATGTTAATATTATTAATTCCTCTTTATTATTATGTACACTTTTTATGCCCCCCTTTTTTTTTTCTTTATGTTAATGTTCTAAAAATAATAATATCGTTATTAATCCGTATCATCGGCTTCTTCATTTTTATCATCTTTTTTCTCTTGTTCTTCTTTATTCTCCTCTTTTTTGATGATTTTTTATTCTTATTACGTCTTTGACGCTTTGCTCTTTTCTTTGCTGTACGTTCCTCATCTTCCTCTCGAAGTCGCCTTAATCTTTCACTATACTCTCTATCTTCTCTTTCCTTTTTTTTGGTTTTTAATTAAAAGCTTCTTTATTTTATATTAGATCCTTATACTTACTTTTCTTTCTTCATCTTCCATGAGCTTTATTCGAGTAAATTCACGTCTTCTTTGTGCTCTATAAACATGGAAATCACCACTACCAGCACCGGCACTTGAACCTAGAAATGTATATACAAGTAAGTGACACTGCATTCTTTTCGTCACTTTTTTTTTACCGATTATCATTCAAATTTACCTGATACATTGCGTACGAAATCTTTAGGAGGTGGAAGAGCAGTTCTGGGTTGTTGTCTTTCAGGAATGTGAACAGGCTTGTCGATCTTTTCAAACAACTTGTTTAATCTCTCTTGTTGTTCTTCTAAAGGAGTTAGATTATGTCTATTCCTTTTTGGTAATGACTCTGTCTTTTCATTTTGAGCTGCTGCGCTTGACATTATGTTAATTTTCCTAATTGTTGGAAAATGAAATAAAAAATAAAATAAAAGAGAGAGAGAGAAAAAAAAAAAGTTGCTTGCAAATGTAATTATTTAGCCCAATCAAATTCAATCTTTTAGAAAATAGCCAACAACTTTAATTTGGTTTTTTGGTTTAAAAAAAAAAATATTATTATTACAAAATGTCCTCCATCTCTTTATATGAAAAGAACTCGGAATTAACAACACGATATAGATATACAATACCAGTTCCAGTATCAACTACAACTGCACTTCATTATCGACAGTTCAAGAAATCAACAAGTGTAGCATCAACACTGGGTTCAATACCAGAAACAAGTGATCTTTTAAAAATGAAAGCTGATGTAGAGTCTTTACTTCCCTTATCAGAAAGAAGGATTCGACATTTGCAACGAGATCTTTCTTTTATTAGAAAGAATGTAAAAATGAAAGAGTCAAGTAAACATATAATATAAATAAATATGAATTTAGCAATACAAACATGGCATATATATATATACATATACATGTATATATTTATTCAACACGATTATATGACTTATTTTATGTTCTCTCTATAAATTTGTTCATATAAAGATGAAGATGAGCAAGAACAATTAGATAAACAGAACCAATCATCAAAAAAAGTAGGGAAAAGTAAACTTCCTGCAACACTGGATAAGATGCTTGTCAAGAAAGAAACTATAGGTATTTTATTTTATTTTATTTTCTTAAAAAAAAAAGAAAAAAAAGGGGGTGTATATGTTTAGTTTAGTTTAGTTTTTTTTTTTTTTTGGATATTACATTGACTTTATTATAAATATGCATCTATTCTTTTCTAGATGAATCTTCTAACACGTTACATTCTCATAACAAAGGTCAGATGGAAAGACAGCTGTAAGTTTTCTATTTTATATATATGTTTCATGTATTTAACTTGTTTTTCTTTTTAGTGCATTAGAAGTTCTACGAAGAAAAAGAAGAAGAGACGAAGACAGTAATGGAGGAATCCAAAAAACAAAAAGTAATATAAAAATGTAATTTGCATACATGTTGAATTAATTCCTTTTCTTTTTTTTATATATATATATAAATATATATACAATAGACATGCCACCTTATGCAGTAACAAAAGCTAAGAAAACAGAGGATACAGCAGCAGCAACGACTTCAACAAAAATACATTCAAAAACAGGTCAGGTAAATTCGTTTGATAAATTATTATTATTCATTTAAAAAAGAAAAAAAAAAATCTTTAACCATGTTCATAGAATTCACATACGAAAAAGAAAAAGTCGGTTGTCGAACAAAATAGCTTAAAACAACGATCAACTGCAGCTACTCATCAAGAAATTGATTTCGTTCGTGTAAAACCAAAAGATCAGATTCCCATCTTAACTTTTTGGTCAAGCCTTGATCCCCATTTTCGTCCATTAGCAGAAGAGGATCGACAGTTTTTATTAGCAAGTGAAGAAGACGAACAATTTTACAAGATACCACCTTTAGGTCGACATTATGCAGATGTCTGGTCAGAGAATGAATCAGTATCAACACTGATAAATCCAACCCGACTCGGCAATCGTTCTGCATTAAAGCATAAATACCTTGGATTGGATCAGTCGTTCGTAAAGGAGCATTTATTTTGTGAAAATATAAGTTGTGGACAGCTTACAGAACGTTTGTTGAGTAGTTTAGTAACAGAGCCTTGTCATGATGAAGAAATTACTGACTTGGAAGATGAGATTAATGATTATGATGAGCATGAGTCTGATTTAACTATGGAAAAAAACTATAAAAATAGTCAATTATATGCAACGCCATCAGAAGATGTTGTTAAGTTTGAAGAAAACTTGAAAAGAGAATTACGTTATGTTGGATTGTTTGGTGAAGATGATGTAATTAGAATATATAAGAATAAAAAAAAAAAAAAAGAGAAAGATTTATTTATACATTATACATATAATAGGTGGATTGGGATTCAAAAGAAGATGATGAAATTTGTGTAGAATTAAGATCAACTATAAAAGAGTTAAAGGAACAATTTGCAGTGAATGAATTTCGAAAAAAAGATTATTAAACGTGGTCGATAATCAGCTTCAATATGAACAATATAGACATGTATTAGATAATTTAGATTCACAAGTAGAGCAATGTTACTTGAAAAGATTTGTAAATAACGGAGAACTTTTTTTTTTTCCTATTAAAAAAGAAAAAAAAAAGCTAACAAATATGCTTATTTTAGAGGACGCAAAAATCCAAGAAAAGAAAGAATATTTCTTCTTCGAAAATAGTCTTGTCAGAAAATGCGATACATACAATAAATAAAAGAAAGGCTTGGATAGATGCATTAGAAGGTATATTTAAGGATAAAAATCTTATTATGCCATCCCATTCGATATATACAGAAGATAAAGAAGAAGAATGATAAATGTATGTATTATACCGACAATTCAACATACACACGCACGCACTCACTCACTCACTCACTCAGAAAGACTTTTTCTTATAAATTGTTATTTGTAATTTTATTTAATAAATACTTGATATGTATCCTATATAAAGTTCAAAATTGTAAATAAACAAGTATATGCATATCATTTACTATAACCCAGCTTTAGTAGCTTAGCTTAGCCTATTTTTTTTTTTTTGTTTTTTTTTTGTTTTTTTTTGTTTTTTTTTTTTTTTTTTTTTTTTTTTTTTTTTTTTTTTTTTTTTTTTTTTTTTTTTTTTTTTTTTTACATGCAGAATAGATAATTTAGGATGACGGTACCTATAGAAGGATGTTTCTGCCGAGAAAAAATAATAATAATCTACTATACAATAGCATATAGCTTAGAGTATTAATAAGAGAGGAGTAAACTTTATTTTATTTATTTTCATACAAATATATGGCATATTTAAGTTATGATTATATTAATAAGGAGCAATAGACATGTATTTACTGAACAGTATCAGCAGTTGCTTTTTTAGCTTCAGTGGTATCATTATCAGTAGTAGTAGAAGTCTGATGAGCTAATTTTTCACCCTATATGTTATATCATAGTTGATTAGGATCACATGTACACACACGCATATATTTATATACATACATACATATATGTATCTATTTATATATTTACCTGAATTCTTTTAGCTTCATAATGAACAGCAGCAATTTGGGCAAGCGTTTGTTGAGCAAGATCTTGAACCTTTTGTCCAGTAGGTGTTTGAAGTGCGGCTTGTGCTGTCGTTTGAGCTGTGTGGGCTGCATTTGAAACCTTTTCACCAATTTTATATTTTTGATCAATATTAACTGCTTTATCCCAAATACGATACTTTTCATCAAATTGCTTAACTAATTATAATAATATGTGTGAAAAAAAAGTAGATATGACGTGAGACATTGATAATAGTTTAAATAGTATTCTTATTCTTATTTTGGTTAACATACCATTTGTTTGAATTGTATTGAAAAAGTTAGTTAAACGAGAAGTCAAATTATATTTATGGTCATATTCAAGACCTTTAGCAACGACATGATCTTGAAGCATATAACCATTTGCTAAGATTTCAGCAGCAATATGAGACTTTGGTTTTGTTTCTTGAGTTTCTTGTTGTTGGTCAGATGAGTCAGTAGTCGTTTCATTTGATGTGGGGACATCAAAGTAAGATTGAGCAGTAATATAACTGTCACCAATTAAAGCTATATCACCCAGGAAAAAGAAAAAGAAAAAAAAAAGTTACACATATAATTCTTATTTATTTTCACCAAGCCCCTGATCATATTACTTTACCATTGCTTAAAAGAACAGCAGTCTTTGCAGCAGATTCACGTTCAAAATGAATTAGAGCAATTTGATGTTTCTCGTCGTCTTCATCACTAATTTAATAATAATAAACTTATAAGTCCTTATACTTTCCTGTACGCATACATATGTACTTTACACTTTCATTTCAAATTCTTTAATTTTACCACAAAACAAAAAGAAATCTTTGACTAAAATATGAAACGTTTGTTAAAAAGCAATTGAGAAAAAAAAAAGAATTTATATATATTTTACCTGTCTTTTCAGTTGATTGTAAAGAGATATTCTTTACAAGAACATAGTTTGGAGATGGGGTTTGAGAAGTCTATTTGTGATATATTTATAAAGTAAGTAAAATAAATATATTTACACATGATAAATACTTACTAAAATATTCCAATTATTTGTCATTTTTATTTTCTTTGTAATAATAAAAGAAAGAAAGAAAGAAAGAAAAAGAAAAAGTACGATTTCTTTATTTATTTCTTTATTAAAGTTAATTTTCATGTGATTGTGTGTTGAAACTTATTTTATTGCTTATTTAAATAAAACTGGCAATAAATATTATGATTGTTATTAGGTCCATAAACATACACAAGACATATTGTTACATGCTCGAACTACTGCTGTCTAAATATCTTCTTTTTGTGCGAGTGGGTTGTGTTATTTATCTTGCATGTTTACTGTTATAATGAATTACACTACTACTACTACTACATGACGTAAAAATTTAAGCATAATAATCAATTGTCCCCGAAAAAAAAAAAAAGATATTTTTCTTACGTTTTATGAAATTTATAATAAGGTTCGCGAAATCTAAATTTAGCAATAAAAAGTATACATGTGTATTATTTTGATCTTTGGAATAAAGTCTTTTTATTCATTTGGCCTTATTGTTATAAGAAGCTCTTCTTGATAAAAGTCATCTTTTTATTTTATTTAATATATTTTTGTATATATTTGCTTCAAGTATACTTCTTTCGCCTTTTAAATAATAGTTTAGAAGAATATGCTAAGAGACAAGTTCAAAGCTATAGGATATAATAAAATATCACCTATGTAAAATAGACAGAGGAGAGCTGAAAGTAATAGAATCATTATCTTGATAACAGCCCTCATTCTTTGGTGGCATGTTCTATTATACCCTAAAAAAAAAGGGGGAGGAGGTGACTACAATAAATACATAGGTAGTTATCAGACTGAGTTTATAAGGAAATTATTTTATAAAATAAGCATTTTCAAGAGTCCTTTTTTTTTTCTCTCCTTTTTTTTTTAAAAAAAAAAATAAGGAATAATACATTTATAATGGATTCCGACGATGCAGAAGAATATAATACACACGCTGAAAAGAAATATGTAAAGGATGCCAAGGTGGGTGAAGGTACCTATGCTGTTGTGTATAGAGGTAAGTTTCATTAGTTTTTTTTTTTTTTGTTTTTTTTCATTTCTCCAAAACTATTATATTCATTAATCTTTGTTTAGGTACATGTGTACAAACTGGACAAAAAGTAGCTATTAAAAAAATCAAAATGGGACAATTTAAAGATGGTCTAGATTTAACTGCAATTCGTGAAGTAAAATATCTTCAAGAACTACGCCATCCTAATGTGATTGAGGTAATGAATAAAATAGAATAAAATAACTGAATTTTGTTTTTTGTTTTTTTTTTTAAATAAATAAAAAATCTTGCATCTTTCTTGTAGTTAATAGATGTCTTTTCACATAAAACCAACTTAAATTTAGTATTAGAATATCTTGAGTCAGACTTAGAACAAGTGATAAAGGATAAAAGTATATTATTTATGCCAGCAGATATTAAATCTTGGATGTTGATGATGTTGAGAGGCCTTGATCATTGTCATCGTCATTTTATTTTGCATAGAGTAATATATTTCAGTTTCTTTAAATGGAATAATATGTAAATTAATTATATGCTATAATTAGGATATGAAGCCAAATAACTTGCTAATAACAGATAATGGAGTACTTAAAATTGCAGATTTTGGTTTAGCAAGAGATTGGGGAGATCCAGGAAGACAGATGACATCCCAAGTTGTAACAAGGTATATAAAGACTATGATTGCATACATCTATCTATAGTACTAAAAAGAGAAAAAAAATGGATATCTCTCTTTAGATGGTATCGTTCACCTGAATTATTATTTGGAGCTAAAGAATATTCATATGCAGTAGATATATGGGCAGTAGGATGTATATTTGCAGAGCTTATGTTAAGAACTCCTTATGTCGCAGGTGATTCAGATATGGATCAATTAACCAAAATATTTCATGCACTTGGTACACCAACAGAAGTAGATTGGCCAGGAATGAGTACATTACCTGGTTATATGCCATTTAAACAATTTCCTAAAGTACCACTAAGACAATATTTTACAGCAGCAGGTACAGATGCCTTGAGTTTATTAGAGCAAATGCTAGTATTTGACCCAAATCGTCGTTGGACTGCCGAAGAATGTTTAGGTCATTCCTATTTTAGAAATTTACCTTTACCTACACCACCAGAAAAATTACCACAAACTCAAAAATCTACAACAATCAAGAAAGATCAACTTCTATCAGACTATGTAAATATGAATAACAAAAATCATTTAAAAAGAAAAATGATACAAGAACAGGGAGGAGAGAATAGTCATATAGATGATACAAAGACTGTATCAAAAAAACTGAATTCTGTAGCTTAATAAACTATTGTAAATAAATAGCTTTTATTTCAGATGAGATGGGTAGAAACAAGATGATTACTTTTATTATAAGAGGGAGTAGAGGGGAGGGTAAATCGTTATTATACAATTACAAGGAAATAACCGCTCATCATATCTAATATTTAAAAGAAGGTACATTTACCTAAAGTTTAATCTTGGTCTGAAAACAAAGAATAATGTAATGTAAACAAGCAGAAACATGATTAATTTATTATAAGCCAACATTATGTTTAAACAAGCTTTTTTTTTTTTAATATACGACATTGATTATAAATTAGAAAAAAAAAAAAAGATTGATCATACGAAAGAAAGCTTATTATTCTATAATCGAAATAGTAATAGATTAACATAAAAGTTTATATTGCGCGTAATAGAATGTTCATTATCAGAAAGATTCTATTTTTTTGTTTTTTGCCTCATAGAAAAACTATGTCAAAAAAAAAAAAAAAAAAAAAAAAAAAAAAAAAAAAAAAAAATCTAGCCGTCGTTTATTTTAATTTGTTTCATGTCAGTGAGTATAAAGGGGAAAACAAATAATTTTTTTTTATTATTTTTTCTCTCTCTTCTCTGTTAGTAAAAAAGGAAAAAAATAAAATGAGTCATCAAGGCCCTGCAGGTAGATTTAACAACTTTGTACAAAACATGAATAAGCCTTCTGGGCCTAATGGTAAATAAGATTCTTTTTTTTTTTTCCTTTTTTGATCTCTTTATTTTCTTTCCACTCATTTGATGTTCATTCGTGATTCTAGCTCAAATCCAACAATTAAAGACGTTGCGATGTGTATTTTGTAACATGGTGAAAAAAATAAAATAAAGAAATTAATGTGAATTATGAATTATGAACTAATTTTGAATGCATGTATATTTATTTATTATTTTGGTCACTTTAATAGGATAAACCTCTTGATGCCTTTTCTTCTACGCAAATTCAAAAAGCTACATATAATCGTAAGTTGTCAACAATTTAGACTTTTCTTTTCTTTTTATAATTCATACATTTTTTATTTTCTTTTCTTAAAGCTTATGCACCACCTTCTTATAACAACAAGAAAAAAACGATTAGATGCAAGAAGTGTACGCCAACACAAACGACCCATTTGACTTGTATGGTTTGTTCCAAGACCCAACCTTTAGACAAATTTGCAAAGGTAAAACTTAAAATAAAATACTGGAATAAAGAGCACACTATAAACCCTACTTTTATTTAGTCACAAAGAAAGAATGCTGAAAAGGCACGTTGTTTGAAGTGTATCAAGAAACGTGAAGAGGAAGATGTTTGGGCTTCTGATCCTGATACAGATAGTGAAGATGATTTTGAAGCTTATTTTTAATGATAACCCATCACGTTTTTTTTTCTTTATGAAGAATTATTCTATAAACATATTGTAAGGATATAAATGTATATGTGTGTATATATATGTATTTGTATATGTATATGTATATGTATATAGATATATATATATTCATATACATGTATACATATATACATATTTTTATACATATTTTTATATATTTTTATTTATACAGACATACATTAGTGGCAATAAATATTATACGTGTAAAAAATAAATTAATATATATATATATATATATACAATGTGTGTAATAATGCTATTTGCCACCTAGCCAACTAGTAGTTGTAGTTGATATTAAATGACTAGTATTAGAAGGTGAATGTGTTGATTTATAATAATAGTCTCTATTGATTCGAGTGTTGGTAATCTGATTCTCTGGAGAATAATGATGATGAGATAAGGAAGAATGTCTTTGTTGTTTATTGTTAGGTAATAATAGGGTATCAGTCATTGTCGATTCTTCTTGCTTATCATGATGTATTATTTGGTCAGACTTTTGATTTGAAGCAACAGAAAAGATACTTGAGAACCAAGATAAGGGTCTATTAGAAGACCTTCTCTTTAAAGAAAGAGAGGACGACTGTTGTTGTTGATGATGATTTGAACTGATTGCATCATCATGAATGGATAACTCTTGTTGATTCCCTTTCATTATTTCTTTCTCTACTCTCATTTTATTCTCTTCTACTTTCTTTACATATTCAACTTGAAAATCATTCATAGTCGTTTTCAACATACCAAGTTCCTTTAACATACTCTTTAATAATTCTAATAGAGGAAAGAAAGCTACCTTATCATCACGACTGAATAATTGCCTCTTATCGTTCATCCATAAGAATCGACTTTCAAGTGTATCTACATCCATAAGAATATTATCAATGATAGAATTGCTCATGCTACTTAATTCAGTAATGTCAAACGCTCTTTTTAACTTTCTATTTAATGCTCGAATATCTGATCCTCTTAATCTATCCAAAATTTGAGTTGCATGTTCCTGTAACAGACTATAAGGTGATTTTGTCATTTCAGAAGAGGCAATAGCTGTTAATTCTCCATCTTGTACAGTAATAATTGAAGAAGTAGAAGGAGATACTAAAATAAGGTCTTTTTGTTGATCAGATAAATTCATTTCACACTATATAAATAGATTAGATTAGATTAGATTGTGTTTTGTTTAATTTTTTTTTTTGATATAATATTATTTTTGAGCTATTATTACCAATCCATCATTTATAAAGTCATTACTATTTATTGTGGATGACAAAGTAGATATAGTATTAGTAGTAGTAGTAGTAGTAGTAGTAGTAGTATTAGTAGTAGTAGTAGCAGCAGTCGCTGTTATTTCCTTTGTTTTGTTTGAAGAAGAAGGGAAAAGATGTATTGTATTCGAACGTTTAGGAAGGGTATGTTTGATATCTTTTGATAATAATACGATAGACTTCTTTTCTTTAAACGATGTTGAACGTTCGTCATGCTCTTCTAGTTTATGAGTTAAAATCACGATTTCTTCTTTTGCTTCTGTTAATTGACTTTTATAATCTGAAAGATCTGATTTTAATTTTGTATTTGTGAATGAAAGTTCTTTAATCAAATGAATGAGGTCATTTATAGTATTATTTGATATCTACAAACACGTGTGAAAATAAAGAGATATGTCAAGCAAGTATAAAAATAAATAAGAATACCTTATTATTTATATCATCTATAACAGCTGTATTCTGTTTATAATTGTCACGATGATGGTTGATCGTTGTTGGTATACTTTTTTCTACTTCTTTTATTAATTGTTCATGGCAAAGATGTAAAGATTCTAATTGGATAATAATATGACTATTTTTAACTTGTTTTTTTTTTTACTTATTTTTTTTTTCACTTACCATACTTCATTTTTAATTTTTTGATTTTAGATTCTAACAAAACTTCATTCTTTCTACAAATAGTCAATTCTTGATTTGTATCTTTTAACTATAAAAGTAAAAAAAAAAAAAAAAAAAAAAAAAAAAAAAAAAAAAAAAATTAAGTTATAAGAATAAAAGTAGTTTTTATAATTTACCTTTGATGTTAGTAATTCTTCCCTTGATTCTGATTGTTTTACCATAAATTTAAATAGTCTTAATTTTTCAATTTCTTTCATTTTTAATTCAAGTTCTTTTGTAAGCTGATTACATTTTTCATTTGACATTTCCAAATCAGCTATTGTTTCATTTAATATCTTTTTTTCAGGTACAGCAAAATATATTATTGTAATATAAAATAATTTACTAAAAATATCAATTATGCGCATGATATATATATGATGAGTTTTACCTTTTTACCCTTTTGATATTCCCAAAGCCATTTATTCTTTTCTTTTAAAATTGTCTCTTTTTCATTTTCTACTTCATCTGATATTAGTTCAAGTCTTTGTATTTTTTCATGACATTCTTTTAACTAATAATAATCATCATCAATAATTATAAAATGAATGAATGAGCAAATAAATTACATACTTGTTCTTTTAAGTGGGCCTTTTGTTGATTAGACTCATTTATATACATTTCATGTTGATTAAGTAGACCTTGTCCAAGCTCTTTACATATACATATCAAGTTTATATACTTTAAAAATAATAGTTATCATCATTATTACCTGCAGCCAATCGAGTATCAGTTTCAAGTTTTTTTACAACACGATTGAAATAATCTAGACTTTCACAATCTTGTTTACCACAACAACGACATATCTCGAATAAACTATTATTTATAGAAGAAGAAGGTGATACTAATGAGGGTGAACAAGAAGATAATATGTTATTTATTTGATAATCGTCTATTGTTCCTTCTCCTATGAATGTAGTTGAATTAGTATCATGATAATCAAATACATTTGACCGAGATTCTAATTTAGAAGCTGATAATGATATTGTCATTTCACTTGACATTGCTAATTCATCATGTCTCATTTTTTTTTTTTTTTGAAATAATAAAATAAATAAATAAAAAATAAAATAAAAAATAAAAAAAGAACGAATAATTCTCGGCGGAGCTTAGGATTATGTATACACATATGTATATAATTAATTTAAAACTCCGATAGTCATGATGTTAGAACATCAGCACAACAGTTGAATTCTTAAGAGATTATAAACCAGGATAACATTGGACCTATTATATCATCTGTAAATATCCAGACGCTTTATTTACATAATAAGAGATGAACACTGTTTAATACAACACTTTACTTTCTTTTTTTTTAAAAAAAGAGAGAGAAAGATAGAGGAACATCTTTCATTCTTTCTTGACAGAATATTCTCGATGTATTGATTGTTCCATCATTATTTAGACTATCTTCTTGAACAGTATTTCATTATCTTTTTTTTTCATTTACCTTTGGATATAAATAAAATTTGATTTTTAAATTGTAATTGCTTCTAGTTTAATTCATATACATACATAGACTACTTTGATAGCAGGTTAATAACAGGGACTACTTTTATGAGTTATAATAATAGAATAATACTTTATTAATTAATTAAACAGTTGAAATATCTCTTCCCCAGATAGCACATTTGGTCCAATCTAAACTTAAATTCATACGTGTACGCATACTAACTTGTTCACTCCAATAAACACTACGCCAAAGATAGAGTGCCCAAAGACCACCTATTATTTGATAACCCCATTTAAAGTCGCCTACAGCTGTATTACCTAAATAAGCCAATGCACCCAGATGATTATAATGAAACTGTCCAACTAATCTTTCTGTACTCTCTTCATCATTCTTATTCTTAGATAATCTGTTTAAATAGTTAGCTAAATACTTTCCTTGCTGACTTGCTACTTGTGCCGTCTATGATTATTATATGAGTATTTATATAAACTACTTGATTATAATACTATTATAACACTTTTTTTTTTTTTTTTTTTTTTACAGCAGGTAAATGAGTTAATTTTTTATCAACATCTTCTAGCATCGTTTTCATTTCATCTACATCTAAAGAATCGTTTTTATCGACATCATAGTTTGAAAATAACCTTTCAAGATTCTTTAAATGTTCTCCTATTAATGGGAACCTTGAACGTAATTTTTCACAAATAATGAGAAATTCATGTAATTGAATCTTTCCATCCTTATTACTATGTGTATCTATTGTTAGTATCTATTTTATATATATATATATATATATATACATCTGCATATATACTTTACGTATCTGCTTCTTCAAATATGTCCATTAAATGCTCTAGTAAGTTTGGATTTTCAATTGTTGCACAATCACCTAATGCATAAATAGATTTATCTTCTACACCCGCTAAATGTAAATAGCCGTCTGTTGTTAATACACGTTTATGTGCCTGAGCTGATAATTTGTCTGTTAACTTTCTAGCAAATGAAGTCATAGCTAACCAATCAATATGATTATTATTTTTTTTTTAAAGAATTAGGTCAATTCAATTCAAATAGTCTCTTCTTAAACTTTACCAATACCAGTTGACCATAAACATAATCCATAAGGTAATTTTCTTGTCTGATCTTCTTCATCTGTCTTTAAACGATATACTACCTTTTCGTCATCGATACGAACAACTCGGGCATTTGTGATTACATCGACATGAGCACGTTGAAATCTTTTCTCTGCATATTCACTAATCTTACTATCAAATGTATTTAAAATATGATCTCTTGATTGTATAATATGAATGGATACTTCTTCTCGAATTAAACCTGGAAACTAGACAAGAAGAAGAAGAAAAAATGAATGAATATAAAGAGTATAAAGAGAAAGAGAGGTCACAAACCCATTTCACCAGGTCTTCATTGATCCAATCTGATAATTCAGCAGCAAACTCAACACCTGTAGGACCTCCACCGCAGATAACAAAGGATAATAACCGTCTACGTTCCTCAGGGGTAGTCGTCGGTAGACATGCCCTTTCGACATTTTCTGTCACTTTACGTCGTATATGAATAGCATCTCGAATGGTCTTTAACTGAACTGTATGTTGAAGACCTTCTATACCATGCGTTATACCGGTTGCTCCTACTGCTACTATTAATTTATCATAAGGGACATAAAAGTTGTCTTCACCGTTGATTCCCTTTATCTCTACCAATTTATGTTCAAGGTCGATATCTACAGCTTTGCCTTCCAAAAAATGAGCTTTAATTCGAGAAGCTATTTTACGAACAGATTCGATCAAGGATCTATTATATATATGTATGTGTCAATAACAGAGTCTAAAAATTCGGTTATCAATGACAATACCTTAATTCAAGTGTGCCAACTGTAGCACTAGGTAATAAGGGTGTAAACAAGAAATAATTGTTCTCACTAATAATTGTTACGTTATATTTATCCTTTTCTAAATTCTTTAAAACTGAGATAGCACCCCAACCTGAACCAAGTATAACAAGACGTGGTTTCTCCTCATCCTCCTCTGTTGTGACGGAGGTGATGGTATCATCCAGATAAAAGTCAGATATAGGGAGATTCTTAAGACCACCTCGTTTTGGATGAAGGGCAAGAGGAGGAACACGTTCATGAGCACCCAACATATCTTTTATAAATTGTTCTTGGTCTCGAAACAGATAATAAATTACACTACCTGAAAGACCTCCTGCTAACGTAGCATAGAAAAGCATCTTTGTTCTTGTTGCTCTTCCTTCCTTTTTTATTAAATTAGATCTGAAGAGGAATCGTCCTTTGCTACTTTCCTCCCCCTCTCTCCCAAAACTCCATTTCCCTCTTCTTTGACCATAAATAATAGATGTATTCAATCGTTGGCCTGCTTTCTTTAATAATGAACGCGACAACATGATTTAAAGAAAAAAAAAGATATAATAAAAAGGAAAGAAAAAAGAAAGAAAGAGAGAAAGATAATAAATAATAATAATAAAGAATAAAACGTCTTCATCATTACATCATAGTCTTTATATGTATATAAAATTAGATTTTTGTCTTTGTATTGCCACTTTGTTGTGTAATAATAAAATGGATATTAAAAGCCTGATTGTAGGAAAAGAAAAAAAAAAAAAAAAAAAAAGAGAGAGAGAGAAATAGCTTACGTAATATATACGTTGACCTATTTGCTCTTATAAAAATCTCTCTTCCTCTCCCCCCCTCTATTCTTCTGATAGGTACGATAAAATATTATTAGATCTGATAAATATATAGGTATAAATAATTTATTTTTTTTCTTCAAATATAAATATAAATATACATATATAAATATATTCAAGCACTATTCTTATTAAAAGATGTTGTACTTTTTGAGTTGCTTTTGAGATGGTGTATCCAGTAAGAGAGCACCTTGTCTTCTTTTATTTTTTGGGTGGTAAAGGATAAGGAGATGGCAAAGCAGGCTTGTCAGGTCTAATTTTAGGCATTTTTTTTTTTTGTATGATAGTATTGCTATCTAAAATACTTTTTTTTTTCTCTCTCTCCCCAACTTTCCTTCCTCCTATTTATACTTTATCCATCATATTGACAACTTTTTTTTTTTTTTTTTAATAATGAACATTGACAACTTGTCAACTGAACTTTATCGCTAAATTTAATTGGCTCAAATGTGATGGCGTTTCTTTGTTTGAAATTTTTCTTTCTTTGGCAGGTTTTTTTTTTTTAAACTTTTCTCAACCCAAAAAAGAAAAAAAAAAAGTTTTTTTTTGTTTATAGATCTAAAATTAAATATGGATTCAACAACAAAAAAGAGGCCAAGATCGGAAGAAATGACAAGTTCACAAAAAATAAAAAAACAAATCTTGGAAAAAGTGACGTCTTCTAATTCTCTTTTACCCACCTCTGCATTACTTGAAGTTGCTGAAGATTTTAGAATTATTGTCGGTACTTATGAACGACTTTTATTTGGTATTAATGCCAATTGGAATGATAATGTAAGAATCCCTCATTATTATGTAATGATAATAATAATAATAGTTTTTTTTTTATTATTGTTACAATAGAAAACACAATTAAAGCTTGAACCTATTTTTATTATTCCTGCTCATACGGGTTGTATTCGTACTGTATCTGTGGGTGGTCACTTTTTAGCTTCAGGTAGTAGTGATGAGATCATTCGTCTTTATGATGTAAAAAAACGTAAAGAATATGGATCATTGGGTGGTCATCATATGGGTGATATTACAGATATTCAATTTCACGGTAAATATATGCTCTCTGCAAGTGACGATCATACCATCAATTTGTGGAGAACAAAAGACTGGGAATTCTTAAAGACACTTAAAGGACACAAGTAAGTAGAGAAAGGAAGATGAGTGAGTATGGACAGATGTATCTTAACCTGTATATATATATATGTAATTTAGAGGAAGAGTTAATTCATTAGCTATTCATCCTACTGGTAAAATTGCTTTATCTGTTAGTGCAGATAGAACAGTCATTGTTTGGAATTTGATGACAGGACGTAAAGCAAGTGTAAATAAATTAGGCAAAGGTAAAAAAAAAAAGAAAAGAAAAGAAAGTAAACAAGTAAAGGATATTTATCTCTCTAACTTGACATCCATCATAATAGAGGAACCAATGGTTGTGTTATGGAATACTCAAGGTGATCAATATGCTATTATGTTTAATAAGAACATACATATTTATAATGTTTCGGTAGAGTGATATATAAAGATAGATAGATAGACAAGCAAGCAAGCAAAAAATTGACTTATTTATTTATAATAGGATGCCAAAGTACATGTCACTATTTCACACAACTCAAGGTTCAATACAATGAAGTATGTTCATTCTAAAGAAGATGATAAGGATTACATTGTCACAGGAAGTGAAGATAAAATAATTCGTGTTTGGAATAGTGAAACAGGGGAATGCGTGAAAGAAATTAAAGGACATAAACTACGCGTAAAGGCAATTACAGAAATTACAATGGAAGATAAGATAGTATTAGTCTCTGTATCTTCAGATGGACTTGTTAAATGCTGGGATTTAGAACATATAATTCATTCTTCATCAGAAGAAGATATTCAACCTTTAGGAGAATACAATACAAAATGTCGTGCAACTTGTATTACTGGACACCTTGGTTTCTCTACCCATCATCACAAAGAAGAAAAGCCTTCTGCTGCTGCTGATAATAAAGAATAATATTATGTGTAACGCAAACCCACTTTTTTTATTTTATTTTTTTAAAAAAAAGAAAGAAAGAAAGAAAGACTCTATTCTGTATTTTTTTTATTATTATTATCATTATTATTGTTTATTATATACTTATGGAACACTTGACAAATAATAAACTAAAGACTAGTAATAGTAAGCGTTCAAGTATCTCCAATAATGAAAATTTAAAAAAGAAATCATCTCGAGCATGTGCTCCATGTAGAAAAAGAAAAGTAATAAATAGATGAATCAATGATTATGAGATTCTAAATCAAGTTATACATGTATCTATTTTTAGGTGAAATGTAATGGCATGTTACCATGTGATCGTTGTGTAAAAAATAATGTAGAATGTGTGTATGATAAACCGCAACAAAAGAAAGAAAGTACACCAAAACCAGTTCTTGTAGATAATCATGAACCAAGATTAAAGTCTATTGAACGCTTTTTAAAGCAATTTTCCAATTTACTTGACACAAATAATAATAATAATGAACCATTAATTCATTCTAATTCTAATCAAGTTCATCTATCTCAGCAATTGAAAGGTACTAAAGGGAATTAATTTATAAAAGAAGTAGATAGTAATAACGATAACCCTCCTTTTTATATATACAATGGATAGATGTAATGAATTATCATAAATTATCAGTTCAAACAGTAGGAAAAGGAAATTATGTACCTGATAAATATCTTCGAACAGATCGTGTGCCTAGTTTATTATCAGCAAATAATATTCAAGAATTATTTATTATGGACATTACTAATACTTCTACTGATACTACTACTACTACTACCACTACTACTACTACTACTACTACTACAAATGGCACTATGATGAAACAACATTTATTATCTATTTATTTTCAATTTATTGATCCCATTATACCTATTATTCATAAGCCTTCATTTTTACAACAAATTCAATACACCCATCATCTTCCTTCTTCTTTATCACTCTTAGTAAATGCTATCTGTTGTGTCTCCTCTAGATGGGATTTAGGTGTTTCTTGCACAGGAGAAGAACCAAGAGGCTGGATCTACTACCAACAAGCAGTTTATTTACTTGATCAACAAAATCATGTAGATTTGAATAGAATTCAAGCTGTATTCTTACTATTAAAATACAACGAACATGTACGTAGACCAGGTTTTATTTGGAGAACAAGATATTATTTTCAAATGATTGTACGGATGTGTAAAGATATTGGTTTATCACAAGAAATTAAAATAACGACAACAACGAACGATGCCTTGAAGATTGAAATTGAAAAGAGGAAAAGGACATTTTGGGCCATTTACTGTTACGATGTGATGATGAGGTTATACAATTACTATGTATAATACTTGATTATATATATATTCTTACCATTCTTTTATCTATTCTAGTGCTGAAAATGGTACTTTACCTTATTTTCATACTATTAAAATACCTCAATTTATACCACATATCTTACCTGACGAAGAACACGACAAGATGACGCATTTTATACTGTTGATAAAAATGATGAAAAATCAATCCAATATTCTAAATCATTTACATATCAAATATAACAAAAAATTGGATATTTACTGGAATGAAGAAAAGACGTTTGATAGGCTATCATGTGAGTTAAATGAAATTTTCAAATCACTTCAAATCTATAATCCAATGCAACAACAAACCATGTGCTATACAGTATGCTTCTTATACTTGACATTTAGTTTTACAACCATTTTATTATATCGACCTTATTATCAAGTTACAAATAATAGTAAACAATATATGATTGAAGCTGCTATGAATATAAAATCAATTACAGAGCTTTTACTAGCATATGATGCCTTTGAAGACATGTATTGTTCAATTAGAGGAATACAACAAATAGTTCATTATCTTTCTGCTGCAATCACAGTATTCAAACTAGTTAATTTACAAAAGGAATTGAAAACTACAATAGAAATGGCACAGAATTTAGCTTCTATTTCACCTGTTACAGAAGTTAATAATAATAATAAACAATCTTCAGCAACATTAGCAACACATGATTTGTTGTCAATTCAACAACAACAACAACAACAACAGCAACAATCATTATTAAACTTATTATTATTTGATGATAACAACAACAACAATAACAACAATAATATACCAAATTTATTTTTACAATAATAAGAACTTACTTTGTTTCTTAAAGAGACTTTTTTTTATGTTGTTGCCTTAGTTGATTTGAACGTTGTATTAATTCATCATAAATTTGACATTTTTGTGTAGAAGCTAAACTTATAGATTCTTCTTCTTCATTACCATCGTCTACAAAAGAAATAACAGAAGGTGCATTCTTGTAAAAAAATAAAGTGCTATACTTTTTCTCTCTTTTTCTTTCATTAGAATTCTTTTTTTTTTTTTTTTTTTTTTTTGTTAATTAATAAAGAAATAAAAAAAAAAAACCCCAGAGATAATTGTCAATAAATTACCTTTTTTATATAGATTCCTCTACTTTTTAATAAGCAATGCTTGTAATGCTTTTTCATTGAATTTTCAGGTACAACATGTCTTTTATCAAATGGGCAAATTAATAATTTTTTATGTTCCTATTTATACAATATGAGAAATATTCTTTCTTCGGTCATCATTATAATAATACATTATGCCATTGTTGTAACTCTTCACGTGTCCATCCTAGTTTATTAATTATTTCATTTAATTGTTCATTTGCTTTTTCAACACGTTTAGAAATTAATATTAATTGGTTATATCGTGTATCCATTTTTTCATTGACGATTAAAAAAAAAAAAGATTAAATTAAACTTTTTTTTTATCGCTGAGTATGGAAGATGAGGTAATTCCTTAACAGTGGACTTTTTAATGAAAGCTTATTTTTTTATTATGATGATTATTATTGGTTAAAACAATTCAACGTATAATTTACATCACTTTGTTTTTTCCCCCTTTTACTCTTTGGTGATACATAAGCTCTTTTATTATAAATGACGTTGAAACTAATAAAGTATTTTATTATAATCATCATTTTCAATAGATAAAGTTTTTTTTTGGTTCCGCAGCTTTGACAAATAAGGTCAAGAAGATAAATAGGACAAAAACATACACACACACACACACACGTATATACACGCACAAAAAAAATACTTTACCGTCATTTCTATATCACATATCAATAGAAGATCGAAAAAAAAAAAATGGCAAGAAGAAAAGATATATAAAGAATGCCCTTTTTTTTTCTGTTTTTTTTTTTTTTTTTTTGATTTAATTTAATTTTTACTTTTTATATAATAATAATTATTATGAAGATTCTTTTCTTACAAGTTTTAGCTGCTGTTTCTGCTGTCTCTGCTGCATACATTACTCCTAGACAAGCTCAACAGACAAATCAGACTGCTAGTCAATATCCTGCCAATCTTGATGTTGGTAAACTGAATGGAACCTGTAAAGTATTTTATTATTATTATTTGTTTGTTTGTTTGTTTGTTTGTTTGTTTGTTTTTATAATATGCTTATTCTTATTTTATTTTATTTTTAGGGCGCTTAACTGGTATCACAAATAACGCTTGGGAAGTTTATAGAAAAATAGCTGGCAGTATGAACATTGATATCGGATGTATTCAAATTAATCTCATGAGTAAATCTAATACAAGCATGGATGCCTTAGCTAGTGCATTCTTGAACAATACGAATGCTAACGTAGGTGTCAATGCCTCTGCTGCTGGTGTCTTAATGTTACCACCACAACCTGACCCATCTGTCAATGCCTCTGCTTATGAATTCCTTTGGAATGCTTATGCATCACAAGTCTTTGTAAATACAAATCAATGGAAGAACTTTACTAGTATGGGCAGAGGTGTAGGAACGGATGGTAATAATACCGGTAGTTCTGTCATTCCTGGTTCTAAGCCTGTAGAAGCCAAAATCTATACTAAATTGGTTGATTCCAACGCTCAACCTGGTACCAATACATCTACTAACTTTGATACTATCTTTGTATGGGGAACTGACTTCAAGACCCATGATATCTATCAAAAGAGACAAGCGGGTAAACCAGTCTATGGTGTTATTCTTTCTAGAAATCCTACTGTTGATGGAGCTACATTTAACAAGACAATGCAATTTATGCCTCGACAATTTACTACTAATGTTAGCAGTATTATTCAATTGAATGATACTTGCTCCGTTCAACAAGCAGCTGTTCAAAGAGCAAGAAGATAAGATAGTCACCAAACTCGGTGAAATATATAACATATTTAGGTTATATGTACACATATTTTTTTTATTATAATTTTATTCATCTGTTAATATTAAAAAAAAAAAAAAAAAAAAAAAAAAAAAAAAAAAAAAAAAATTATATGTATATTCTATGTTCGTTTGATAATACAATAAAATATTGTATTAACTTACTTGAATAAATATGTTATATTTAATATTACTTTACTTTTTTTTAAACCTTCTTCTTTATTTGCTGCATAAAATATAAGCTAAAATTCCGGGTAAATAACCTTATTAATATTAAAACTTGAATAATTATATCATTCTTCATGTAAGAAATAGTAGTAGTAGTAGTAGTTAGCGGGTGGGATATTATAAATATTTGTATATATCATAAATGATTATTTCTTTTTCTTTTTTTTCTTTTTTTTTTCTTCAATCGTGTCCAAGATGATTTTATATATCAAATGTTCACAAGTTCATTAAATGTTATATATCAAAAGGACAAATGTATCATAAATTAAGTTCTTCTTTGACTTTAGAATTTTACTCAATTGCATGATAAGGAGCTTATAGTATAGATCACTTTTTTTAAGTATCCAATAAAGCACATTTATATTTATAGCTTTTGACCTATTGTTAATAGTATATGTTGTAATCATTAGATAAAACAGTGTAATAACCTTTTTGTAATGTCTGTGTTTGTGTGTGTTTTTTAATTGGCTTCCATCATATTAGTATTATCATATTATATACTTTACATACACATATACACATAACAAAGAAAAACTTATTAACTCAATATGATTCGGAAGGGAAACATTATCTATTTCGATGTATAAGTTTTTTTTTTTTTTTTTTTTTTTTGAGTCATATTACCTCATTATGAAAAATTGGAAGCCCTTACAATAAACTAAGATAGCTTGTCAAAATGTTAATGGTTTTTTTTTTATATTAGTGCTCTATCAGCATATGGATTAATGATTCAAAAGAGAATGATAATCCGAAATATACAGTTACAAATCTCTGTATCTCAATATAAATATTAAGAGTGGGTGTACATACAAATGTTTATGGTATTCTATTTCGGTTTTTTGTTTTATTCTTGATGATTTCGATTTTTTTTTTTAAGAAAAAAAAATATTATAGATATTTATGCAATTTTAATAGTAGTATACATTTATATACAAAATAAAGAAGATGATTATGATTATTACTATTTTTTTTTTTTTACCAAATATCAGTATTGCGAACTTCAACTTCTTTACCATTTAATTCTTCTCTAGTGGTAACAGAGCCAAGTTCATATACTGTTTCATTGGCAGCTTCTAACATTTGAATAATTTCAGGGACATGGTTACGATCAGCAATGATGACCATACCGATACCACAATTAAAGGTGCGAGACATTTCATGAGCAGAGAGACCACCTGCTTCTTTCAACCACTTAAAGATGGGAGGTAACTCATAAGATTTAGCATCTACAATAACAGCAAGATCTTTAGGCATAACACGAGGAATATTTTCAAGGAAACCACCCCCTGTGATATGGGCCATAGCCTTAATTAAATCCTTTTTAACGACAGGTAATAATTGTTGAACATAGATACGTGTAGGAACCAAGAGTGCTTCACCAACTGTCTTTGATGTATCCCAGGGACAAGGAGAATGATAATTTAATCCAGGTTGAGAGCTAACAATCTTACGTACAAGTGAGAACCCATTCGAATGAACACCAGAGGAGGCTAAACCAAGTACAACATCGCCAGCTTTAATGTCATTTAAACGTGGAAGAATCTTCTGTCGCTCAACGGCACCTACTGTGAAACCAGCACCATCGTAGTCACCTAGAGCATATAAACCTGGCATCTCTGCTGTTTCACCACCAACAAGGGCACAACCCGATTGAAGACAGCCATTGACGACGCCTTCGACAAAGTCCTTACCCACATCTACTTCCAATTTACCACAGGCAAAGTAATCCAAGAAAAATAATGGCTCTGCGCCTTGTACAATCAAATCGTTGACATTCATAGCAACCAAATCAATACCCACCGTATTATGAATATTACATTCTTGTGCAATCTTGAGTTTAGTTCCAATGCCATCTGTAGCAGATACTAAGATGGGGTCAACAAAGCCTGCTGCTTTAAGATCAAAGAGACCGCCAAAGCCACCAATATCAGAGTCAGCACCTACTCGCTTGGTTGACTTGACAAGAGGTTTAATTTTTTGAACAAGCAAATTACCAGCATCAATTGAAACACCGGCATCTGCATAAGAAAGCCCGTTTTTAGTGTTATTTTCATTAGCATGCTTGAATGCTCTATATACATATATGAATAATTTAGCTTTCTTTTTTCCCTTTTTTTTTTCCTTTATATATATATAATAAAAAATAAAGAGAATCATGACTTACCTATGAGCAATATCTTTACGATAATACATATTATCAAAGTGAATAGATTGAATACTAGAATATGCTTTATCTACAGCTTCACGCAAGGAATCTGCTACAGCAGAAACAGATAGGACACGACCTCCATCGGTAATAAGTTGATCGTTCTTAATAGTGGTGCCAGCATGATAGATGATAGTATCCTTAGCATCTTTAGGAAGTGTAATGGGTTTACCCTTAGCATAACTGCCTGGGTATCCACCAGAGGCTATAACAACAGTGGCAGCAAATGCTTTTTTCGTAGTAATCGATACAGCATCAAGTCGACCTTCAACACAAGCCATCATGATCTCTGCTAAATCAGTATCATCACTCAAAAGAGGCAATACAACCTCTGTTTCTGGATCACCAAAACGAACATTGTATTCAAGGACTTTAGGACCAGAGGCAGTTAACATGATACCAGTGAAAAGCATACCGACAAAGGGGAAACCATCACGACGCATACCATCAATAGTAGGTTGTAAAATAGTTCTCTTGACTTCTTCAATCAATGATTGAGTTCCAATAGGTGTAGGTGCATAACAACCCATACCACCTGTGTTGGGTCCTTGATCACCATCAAGAGCACGCTTATGATCTTGTGCTGGAGGCAAAGGAATAACCGTATAACCATCTGAGAATGCCAAGAAAGATAACTCTTCTCCTTCAAGACATTCTTCAATCACAACTTCATTACCTGCATCACCAAACTCTCTATTTATCATGATTTTCTTAATTCCTTCAAGGGCCTCCTGTTTATTTTCGGGCATTAAAACACCTTTCCCAGCTGCTAAACCTGACGCCTTAAAAAAACAAAAAAAAAGGAGGGGAAGGAACAAAGATGTTATAAAACTCAAAAATAAATAGAATATGCTTTTTTTTTCCTCAAGCTTTATGTAATTTTCTTTTACCTTTAAAACAACTTTATGTTGAATGGATTCAATATAAGATTTGGCTTTTTCATAATCTGTAAAAATCTATATATATAAAAAAAAAAAAAAAAAAAAAAAAAAAAAAAAAAATCAAATTAATATCCAATCTGTGTTACAAATTCAGTGTCACTCCAATTTTCTTTACTTCATATGCAGCTGTAGGAATATTGTGTTTTTTCATAAAATCTTTAGAAAAGGCCTTGGAACCTTCCATTTGAGCTGCTTTAGGGGAAGGACCAAAACAAGGAATACCAACTATATATAAAGAGAATAGCTTAATATAAATTTCCTAATGCTGTTTAATGAAGATGGATTCTACCTTTTCTGAATATGGCTTGAATACCTTCAACAAGAGGTTGTTCGGGACCAGGAATAACAAGATCAACCTTTTAAGATATATATAGTAAGCATTAAATTATTTCTTTGCCTTATTGTTGTTGTTTTTTCTTTCTTTCTTATATTACCTTATTTTCAATAGCAAATTCTTTTAATTTGTCAAACTCGTTGACATTAATATTAACATTGGTAACTTTATTCTCGGTTGAAGTTCCACCGTTACCTATATATTATTTAAACGAGACATATTTATAAGTTTATATTTTTAGTTTGTCATGAATATGTAGATATGCACTAAAACTGTACCAGGAGCAACAAAAATATGTTGAACTTTATTGGATTTAGCAAGCTTCCAAGCAATAGCATGTTCACGACCACCAGAGCCGATAATAAGAAGGGTTAATTTATCTATTACAAAAGAATAAAGACGACATATAAGTAATGGGATTTTTCTTTTTACAAACTGTTACTTACCAGAATTCATTTCTCTATACAAAGTTAATCTTATCTTAAAGAAAGAAAGAAAGAAAAAAAAGAAAACAAATAAAGAAAGAGAAAATGATTTTTAATTATCTCTGTTTGATATTCTGCTGTTATTAGTTATGTGGGGGTCTGAGTCATATCCATCAATTTTTAAGCCACTAGATTTTTTTTTCTAAAAAACAAAAACTAAATACATATTTAGTATTAAAAAAGTATATGTTTGACTATAGATAACATTAGATTTGGGAATAATTTCTTCTTTGATATATGTGTGTCTTTTTGTTTTTTTTAATAAAATATAGATATTCAAATGAATATTCATGTATATATAATCTTTTTTTATATTTGAATCTTTAACCAACAGATGCTGAAGTTGAATTTTCTTGATGTTGGTCATTTTTTTTTTTTTTTTTTCGCAGGTTTTTGATTTTTATAAAAGACAGTGCATTAACGCAGCATATAAAAGTAAGTTCCGCTTTACTTTCAGGCTGTTTGCCTTAAAGACAGTATTGGATGAAATTATTAATGGAATGAAAATTGAATAAGATAATCTATATTTTCTTGCTTTTTTTTTTTCTTTAAAAAAAAGCCTTGACACTACAAATTACTTTAGCTTTTAATAATTCTATCTTCTTGATGGTTTATACTAGACTTATTTTTTTTTATGATGATATAATCATTATAGATATGTAATGTTGTTTACAGTATTTTCCTTCCATTTTCAGTCTTTTTATCTTTCAGACTAACAGAAGTCGCTTTTTTAGTTTTTGCAAAATAGGCTTTTAATATGCTCATATTCATATTCTTTACGGTTATATTTGGACTTAACATATAGCAAAAGTTCTGTTGGTAAACATCTATCACAAAATGATTTTGAATGTCTAATCCAATCCTGAAAACCTTCAGTAGTAACGGTAGCGTAGGCAGCAGCAACTCTGGGTGTAAGCTGATCTACTTTACTCAATTGATGTCTTCTAGTAGTTTTTTTTTTTTTTCTTGACTTTTGTCCAACACTCTTCAATAGGATTAAGAAATGGCGAGTAAGGTGGTAGGTAAAGAGGCTTATAGCCTCGTTTGTTAATCGCTTTATATAACAAAATTAGAGTGATGAATTCTGCAATTATCCATGTTGAATAGAAATGATAATTCTGAATACTTGATTGAATAAACTTCTCATTTTATATTTTTACATATAAGTTTGATTATAATCTTTATTTAGTATATACTTACATTTGAAAAGAGAGTTTATCACAGAGACGTATGGTTTACATTATATACTTGATATTTTTCTAAAGCTAGCTTAGGATATATCGTGCAGGAAAATAAAATTGATATGAAGCTTATTCAATATAGATAAAGTTTTAATAAAATGTCTTTTGTGTTAATGATATCATTTATTATTATTTGTTATTTATATCAAAAAAAAATTAAGCTCGGATTAAGATAGGGGGTGATAGTCTTGATTCCCAACTAGTGAGATTAGAAGGATCGGATAGTAACTTGAGTGCTTTCCAGTTTAAAAAATAGCGACCGGGAGGTAGAATGATTTCCTCACCTAAATTGTCTTTCGCAATAGGTATCATGGTACCATTCCAGCGTTGAATAAAGATAGGATCTGTATCAGAGAGAGTATTTCGAGGTAAATACCTGTATTCCTTATAATAGCCTATTTTTGTCATATTGGCATCTAATATATCAGTTACAAGCTGAGATGTACCAGTCAGTAAACGAATAATAATTATCATGGGTGAAGAATCAAAAGAACGATCAATGATAACACTCATTTCTCCATCTTCAAGTGATGTAGGTGGAGTGGAAGTGTTCAAGATGTGAGGGAATCCTTCATCAAAAATAGGAAGTTTGGCCATAGAACCTTGGATGCCAATATAAGGTACATGAATTGGTTTTATATCGCTGTTATCCTCGATTGGAGAAAATTGGATAAATCCACCATAGATAGGATAAGGAGAATCTGGTAGACCATTTCCAATACTTGTTATTTCCAATTCTATTTCGATAGATTCACCTGGTCCTAGTGTTATTTGATTTTTGGAGAAGGCTATATCAGCAACAACATGATTTGGTGTATACTGAATTGAACGTAAGGGGGCATAGCCTTGTAACGTTGTGTTATAAGGGGAAATGGCTAAACTTTGTTTATTTTCCACGCGATATGTGATAGTGACATTATTAAGATTAGTGATATTTAGTATCCGAGGACCAATATGATCTGTATCATTGAAGCTAAGTGAGCCAGGAGAGACATGGGTTGATTGATTAATAGCGTCCAGTACTATATACATTTACATGTAAATAAAGATAGGCAAAGATATTTTATTTTTATATTATTTTTATTTTAGTTTATTTTTATTTTTTTCATTCTGCTATGAATTACTTACATTGAAGCATGCCAGACCCTTGATAAGACGGATTATCCAAGTAATTTTTTAGTGTAACTATAGGCTTAACATAATTTTGAAGATGCTCCTTAAGGAATTTAAGATCATACTTTCTTCCATGGGCTTGAAGGAATAAAGCACAAGCACCTGCAACATAGGGTGCAGCCATTGAGGTACCTGATAATATACCATATCCACCATTAGCTATTGGCAATGTAGAAAAGATAGAATCCCCAGGGGCTGCAAGGTCTGGTTTCAAGTCGATACTATAAAGAGGACCGATACTAGAAAATGGAGACATTTTTCGCGCACTCGAATGACGACGTATATCAAAAGCTGATTTAAACTTCACAAAGATACCATCCCTTGCATGTATTAAATCTTTGTTTAATAATTTCCTCATTTCTTTTCCCGCTTTCAAAGTAGTAAATGCTAAAGGCATCTTTGAACTAAGGACTCGAGAATTGAGAAGAGTATCTGAAGATTGATTATTATAAATAAGGATACCTATAGCTTCGTATTTCTCAATTTGAAGTACTTTTTCCTCAAACGTGCAACCACCTCTTTGTACAAGTACAATCTTTCCCTTTAAACTATTATCAGGATTTGTACCAATACATGCATCCCCGTCTCTCTCTTTGTTTGAATAGCTTATTAATTGTCCTGAAGGAAACTCTTTTGTTGTACTAGATAATGAATATGCTTTTATATATATATATATATATATATGGAGGAAGGGGAGGGGAAGATGGAGAATATAAGATAAAGAGATTATAGTAAGATATCAGTTAAAGGATAAAAAGAAATACATTAGATACATACGATATTGCTTTCGATTCTCTAAAATAAGCAAACGCTGGAGGATATAATCATTATTAACAGAGGCTGTAGTCAGAGTACTTAAACCTGTGCCCGGTGATGAAATATAAAATGCGCCTTCTTGGCCATCATTACCGGCAGCAGCAATAACTGAAGATTATTTTCTGTTAATTTGACATTAATTTTAATTTGTTTCTTTATATGTATATATAATTACCAATGACACCTTCGTCTGAAATTCTGTTAGCAACAAGAGACATTGGAGTATCTGCCCAGTTACTTGAACTTCCTAAACTAAGATTAATGATATCACAACCTAATAAAAGTAAATTATTAAACAAAGGTTATATATATCATTTGAATAAAGCTTTTTCCTTTACCTGTTTCATACGCATTGATCAAAGCTTTTATTACTAAATCATTTGAAGTTCCACCATTGCATCCAAACACTCTCCAAACCCCTAGTGTAGCTTCAGGTGCTACACCCGTAAAATTCTTTAATGATAAGGTATTGATTAATTAAAGAAGATATATATATATATATTCATATGTACTCTACTTACATATAAACGATCATTAGCAGCAATTATTCCAGTAACATGTGTACCATGACCTAGTTGTATAATAGAATTAATCTATCATCATCTATCTATATATATCTATATACATATATAAAAGATAAAATAATATACCAGGTCCATCTATACAGGTGTCAAGCGGAGTCTCATTTTGTTTCCTAGAGGATATATTTGTATTATCAAAGTCATCACCTACTAAATCATATCCATATTGAATTGGATACCCGGGACCAAAACCACCTCCCAGTGCTGGATGATAATAATCAACACCTAGAATGAATTAGAAGATAAGATAATGGTTTAGAAGAGAAAATTGACTTTTATAATAAACGTGTATATATAAAGAACCTGAATCTATAATTCCAACTAGAATGCCTTCCCCTCTGTACTTTGAATGTACTTTATCGACCTGTGTCATGACATGAGTAAAAGGTAAGGAAGGACCGTCTTTAGGTAAGTTGATTTGAGGAGGATTTGGAATGATATTGTGATTTTCATCGAAACTATATGCATAAATATCATTTGATACGATATTTACTTTAGGACGAGGAATTTCGATAACAGGATAAATATATTTGACTTGATATTGTTCAATTAATTTCCCAAGTACAACATTTTGATAGGATTGAATATAACTTTTTTCTCCACTATCACGTTTAGTAAAAGAATGAGAGGGAACAGATTCATGGATATTTATAGAAACACCACGAAAGATAGAAGAAGATGAATTAAAATCTTGGGCGATACTCATCTTTATACGAGAGTCAGGAATAGATTCATTTTGACTAATATCCGATTCAACATTAGTTATAAATTCAAAAGAAGAACCATGATAATTATCGTTAAATTCAATGATGAACCGACCAGGAATGATTTTACCCAATGAATTCCATTTATACTTTGGATTTGTTAATAATAATTCGTCGTTTTCGCTATTAAAATCATCCAGTTTTATAGCAAAGACAATAGATGGTAAAAGAACAAAACTTGTAAAAGTTATTAAAGACACTATTTTCATATCACTTTATAATGTCCTTAAAGAGAGAGAGAGAGAAAAGAGAATACGGGAAACGATCAATTCATTTCAAAATATGAACCTTATTAATCATTTTTTTAAACCAGAATATTCAATTGCCAAGTCCTATTATTAACCTTATTTCTCTTTCTTAGGCTTATTATTACAAATTATTCATTTTATTTGAAAATTTGTTTGCACAAATTATATTCATGTCTTTTATTACGTCACATTCATCATCTTAAATTTATTCTGCTTTAGAGCCATGGTTATTAGTTGGCTATAAAAGAGAAAAACCAATTTTATTTAATTTATAACTGACTGGTAAATATCTTTAAAGTGATGACATAATCTAAATTTCTTTTTTTTTTCAGGACTCTATGCTTCATTTTTACAAAATAAATGAATTGTATTACATAAGTGTTTTATTAAAAAATAGGATGCTGATCAACGACAGAAACATGCTCCTTTTTAATCATAACTCCGACATTTGTTTTGGACACCATTTTTGTAATTTTAATAACAAAAAAAAAAGTCTTTGGATTTTATTATAGAACGAAAAGTCATTATCTCATATTCTTTAATGTAAAGGCGATCTTTTTTCCTTTTAATATATGATAACGAGTGACTTTGCTTATGAAATCAAGAAAAGACTATATATTTAAACTCCAATTTTTAAAGAAAAAAAATAAAAAAAAATGAAAAATGACATGGACTATTGTTACAAAGTAAAAGATGATATCCACAACAACTGATTATTATCATTTAATGATTCATTCTTAGTTTACTGCTTTTGAATGAATAAAAGAGAGAGAGAGGGAGAAAAAAAAAAAAGACAAGCCTTATCTGAGTTTTAATTATTTTTTTGTCACTTCATGCTTTATTTTTTCATACTAGCTCAGGTAAAATGAGGTCAAAAAAAGACTTTTTATACGTTAAAAAATGGTAGATGATAGAAAAGAGTATTCATTTTTTATGATGAGAGGTTGTTTTAGAAGGGAGGAATTTTTTTTCTCTTTTTTTTTGTTATATATAAAGAACACATCTTTTGTGTTTCTTAATTTTTTTCCTTTTTTTTTTTTTTTCAAAGAAGCCCTTAATTTTTTTTTCTTATCAATTTTCTATGTGCTCGAAAATAGATATTAGATACAGCAAAGACATTTATATAGCACCAGAAAGATCAAAGGCATTGAAATCTAATCTTGTTGCTAAACGTTATCATTTTGATAAATCTTCAAAATATCAGCAATGTTTTCAAGATGATTATTTATTAATGAAACGTACTACTTCTTCTGCAAGTGTAAGTAAATATATTCATTTTTATATGTCTTGAATGCGAATTAAATTTTACATTGTTTTAGTCGGATAATCATCATCTAAAAAAAATGAAAATGATTAATGATAACGAGCAATTTTGGTCTGCTTTGGTGAACAATGATAATTTAATGTCCTCGACGATTCAATTTCAGCAAGTATTAGTTTCAAAACTCAGGGCAGGTATTCAGCCATCTCGAATGCGGGGTCAAGTTTGGCAAATTTTATCTGGGTCTACTTCCTTACATCTTGATACACTTTATGAACAATTAAAAAATGAACCTACTCCCTATGAATCACTTATTAAGCGAGACGTATGTCGAACCTTTCCAAACACAGATATGTTTAGTCAAGAAAGTGGACAAAAGGCTTTAGAACGTGTTTTACGTGCTTATAGTCTTTATGATACTGAAGTGGGTTATTGTCAGGGTTTAGCATTCTTAGTAGGACCTTTATTACTTAATGCAAGTATGATATATTATATAAATGGGGAGGTTTTTTTTTATTTCAGCTTTAACGCATGTATATATGTATATGTATTTGTTTTTTTTTATGTATATAGATGTCTGAGAAGCAAGCCTTTTGTGTATTTATTAGGTTAGTTTTTTTTTTTAATTTTTTATACATCATTTCTAAATAATTTTTATTCTGATTTTAGACTAATGGAAACTTATGGAATGAGAACTCTCTATACTCAAGATATGGAAGGACTTCATTTACGTCTATTTCAATTTGATGTTTTATTACTAGAGTATCTTCCAAAACTACATTATTTCTTGAATACTCTACATGAAATTCATTCACAAATGTATGTTTCTCAATGGTTTCTAACTATCTTTGCCTACATTTTCCCTCTTCCGCTTATTTATCGAATATACGATATCATGTTTGCCGAGGGTCCTACTGAAACAGTTTTTCGATTAGCTTTTACTTTATTAAAGAAGTCATCAAACGACATAATGGAGCTAACGGAATTCGAAGATATAAGTCATTATCTTTCTACAAAGTTAATTGAACCTTACCATCAAGATTATGATAAGATAATTGATGACTCTATGGCATTGAATGAGTTTATTACAAAAGCAAAACTATGTGAAATTGAAAAAGAATATTACGCAAAGAAGGAAGAGACTAGGATATCAAATATACCAACATCTACTGTAAATAACAACAAGAGAAAAGTAACAAGTAATAATAAAAAATCTGGCTGGTTCAGTACTTTACAAAAATCAATGACATTCAAAAGGGATTTATCTGATGATGATGATGATAATGATATTTTACAACAAAAGCCAATAAAAGATAGGAATTCGATCCTCTCTTCTTCTTCCTCTTCTTCTTCCTCTTCTTCTTCGTCTCCTCCTCCAGCATCTACTAGAGAAAATTCACAAAAGCCTTTATCAAACTCTCAGTCAAATTCAAGTCATATTAATTCTGAAATAGTAATGCTACATCAACAAATTGAAGACTTGGTCTCGGCGCTTGCTGAAGTTCAGAAAGACAATCGAATGTTAAATATGAAAATACTAGCTTTAACAAGCTCTTCTGGCTTACACGAACAAGTTGTACCTATTGATGACACACATAATCAACTATCAAAAAAAGAGAATGAGACTGTAGAATTAAAGGGTAAAAAAAAAAAAAAAAAAAAAAAAAAAAAAAAAAAAAAAAAAGGATAATGATAGGTTCTATTGCTATAATACTAACAATGTGGCTTATTGAATGATTGTAGAGAGAGACAAAGTTCATTGTCATTGTGGACTTGAACAATTATTAATAGAAGCAAATTCACGTATTCGTGATTTAGAAGCAGCATTAGCTAAACAACAACAACAACAACAAAGAAAGAATTCACGTGTATCGACGCATATTCGATCTTTATCTTTAAGTAGCGATACATCTTCTTCTTCTTTATCGTCCTCTAGTTCATATGAAGTAGCACAGCCATTATCGCCTGTTTTCTCGGACACAAATTATCAATATCATAATGATGAATATAGGTCAGTCACAATACATGATCAAGATCAAGATCAATTTAGAACTATTATCATGTCATCATCTCAAGACAATCATCATCATTTAAAAGAAGATACACTACAATCGCCCCTTTTAATATCAACAAAATCAAACAGCTATTATAAAAAGGCGATATGAGTGATAGGTCCTTATGATGATGATTATCGGTTTGTATCATATATTATTATTTATTGAATTACATGTTTATTTTCTTTGTTTCATTTCTGCTTAATTTTTCACTACTTGTATTATACTTCTTTACTAATAAAAATATCTTTCATTCATCATTATTACTAATCTCTTGTTGATGTTCCTCATTTACTTCATAATATCCTTCATCGTTATTGTTTTCATATGGTTCATAATGATCGTCATTGTATTCTTCTAAAGGAGAAATAGTCTCATCTTCTTGAAGTTCTTCACTATCGTATTCATTTAAATCAACATCACTTCCAAATTCTAAATCACTAGTATGAAAATCTTGTGACGTAAATGACTCATTATCATCAGATACTACATCGTCTAAAAACTCCCATAATTTTTCTAATAATGGCTTTCCAAGAGAATATAAATCTATCCCAATACTACCGTCTATATTAAGAGAGAGAGAGAGAAAAGATGATTTACTATCTATCATTATTATATATACATATATTTCTATATATCATGTAAAATGTTCTCCTTCTTTACCTTCTTCTGGAAAAATAGTCATAGTATCAGATAAATCCCTTAAAATGATTTTTTGAAATTCTTGAAGCTGTTCAGGATTCAACATAAACATTCTTCTTGCGAATTCTGCTATATTAATCTTAATATAGAATAAACAAATATATACACATTAACGCTCATTAATAAAAGGTACATACACATGTATTTATATTTATATATTTACATTAGGTATATCCCATTCTTCTCGAAGATCATCGCCAATATCCGCATAATGAATAGGACGAAGATTGTATACGTCTTCCAAGTTATTCACATATTCGACTTGTTCATCCATTTCGTGTATAGAAGATGAATTAGTTTCCACTAATTCGCCTTCTTCATCGCTAAAGATACGAGGAGAAAGTGGTGTAGTTATGTTAGCTTCTTCATTTTGTGTTGGAGGGATATAATTTAAATCTATATGAGGTGATAACGGTGAATGATGTGATGGTGGAGTCTTGACAGTATATGATGGACTCGATAGATGAGGTGAGAATGCAGGTGATCGTATTTCTGTTAATGATGGCTTTTGTGATGATGTTGATGATATCGACGATCTTCTTGATGATGGTCTTTCAGTTTTCCTTTTAAAAGTCTTTTCTGGTTTTAATTTTCTATTGGATTTTGTTTCTTGATGATTGACATCGTTACGATTATGCTTTAAGGATTGTTTATTTGATCCTTCATCTTTAATTTTACCACTATTATTCGATGGTGTAGGAGAAGAGAGTCGAGGGCGTTTACTTCCTTTTCGTGGTGATGGTGATGCTGTGATTGCTGTTTCTGCTGCTAATGCTGTTGATGAAGCTTTAGCTGATGCTTGTGCCGCCAACATTGCTTTTACTGTTGAAGAGTTTATTGACAATAGTTTTATTAATTCAGGGGATGCATTTGGAAACTCGATTGTATGTATTACAGAATAATTTGACATTGCAAAGTTTAAATCGAATAACAAAACTTGAGGATCTGTTATATGATCTGCAAAATATAAAACAATCCGCATATCAAATTCACCCCAACCTTTTTCTTGTAATAAATAAGGCTCTTCTTCCTTGGCTGATAATATAAAGATAAAGATGTATATATATAGATTATCCATTTATACACTTGTATGATTCAATTTGAATAGTTTTTTTATTATTATTATTATTATTTTTATATACCTCTTATTGGATCTTTAAAAGTTGGATGAAGAATGTATTCAACATGATCTAGTATAATTGATAATTTTCCTTTAACTTCCTCTTCACCATCCATTGCAACCAATGTAATTTTCCAATTTCTCCAAGGATGTCCATCATTCGATTTTGCTCCAGGGCCTTTAATAATACTATTATGGCATGATATTTTAATGTCTTGAGTGGTAAGAGTCTATACAAAATGAAATTATTCATTTAAAATGTTGAATAAATTAAACACACACACACACACACACACAAAAGCAATACAAACCATGGCTCTTTACTAAATGTATGAATAGATTTTATAATTATTATTGGTATATTGTATGTAAAACTTGGGAATTGTAAAAGTATATGAATCAAGACGTATACTTTTAAATTAAAGCTTAATCTCTTATTGACTGCTTAAAAAAATAAAAATAATGAAAAAATAAAAAAGAACTTGATTTATTTTTTTGTCAGTGAATTTAAAAAAAAAAAAAAAAAAAAAAAAAAAAAAAAAAAAAAATAAAAATATTATTATTTACTGTCTAATAATTTTGCTTGCATTTACAAAAATGGCATATTCAATATTAATGGATGTATTCATACTTTACAATAATAATTATGATACACATGTATATTTTATATATATGTATATACATACACATACACATAGATATACATGTATATAAATATGAATATGAATATATGTATATTTATAAATCGTTATTTAATCTTCTGCTAATAATTCAATATGAATTTCTGATCCTACTTTGCTTACAAGCTTTTCATAGGGTGTCTGAGATGAAGTCGCTTGTCCAACATTTAAAGATTCCTTACTTAAAGTACTAATATGGGTAGTAATTGGTTTATAAGATGTATCTATTGGTAATAAAGAAGAATCAGCAGCACTAAAAAAAAATAAACAAATAAAGGAATTTAGCAAGTACAGAATAATACGGTTCAACTTAATACTTTACACTTCGCTTTCTTTCGGTTTTTGAGTAGCTGCTCTTGTACTTTCAAGTAAAGCTCTCCTTCTAGCTTCTGTCATACGACGTTCTGCTTCATGTACTTCAATTCTATCTCTTTCTCTATTTCTATAATTGATATTAGCCCATACATCTTGCTGGCTATTTCCTTCTGTACTTGAAGCCCTTTCTTCTAATTCTTTTAATTCCTTTGTCAACTTTAATACTTTCTCGGTCTCATTATAAGCTTTAGCATGCTCAAGTCTAGCAAGTAACTGAGCTTTTTCCATAGCCACATTCACTGATGCACCTTTAACAGCTCGTTTCTTTTCAATCATCTCATTTACTTCTTGATCATTTAATATATATTCTCTTGCTTGTTTTAAATCTTCTGTTTTTCGTTCCACTTGATCCATGGTAGGAGCACGAATACGATCACTTTCCAAGGTGGCCAAAAGACGTGAATATTCATGTTGAGTAATAGGTTGATTCGAAATAATATCCATTGTGAAATCCTTTTCGGCTTTACCATGTTTGATCTTTAAGGCTTTATTGCTCCATGTATTCTCCGTCACTTTGTATGCTTTATGCCAAGGAACAACGTCAATGATTTCACAAAGTCTGTAAACAGGTGTCTTTTTTTGTGGATCAGGTCCAATAAATATACGAACGAAACAACCTACAGATATATAAAATATTGGTTATCTATGTTTAAAAAGAAAAAGAAAGGAATAAGATCATCTATTTACCTATAACTGTATTTTCAAAGAAAGGAGCAAAAAGCCATTTTTCAAGGATGTTTCTTGTTATACAAATAGTTTGAAGTTCTTCATATGAAGGTGCTCTTTTTTTGGCCTATATATAAATTTAAGCATTTTGTATTTCTCGAGATATAAATAAATAGTTACTACCTTCTTTTCAGCTTCATCTTCAGATTCAATATAGTCTTCACCACTGTGTTCATAGTCACTTTGATCACCATATCTCCTTACCCTTTTTCTTTCGGGACTAGGCGTTTCTCTACGATGACGTTTACTTCTGCTTTTATTTTTTTCTTCTCTACGTCTAGCTAATTCCGAAAGAGCATTTGCTGTTCCACTACCTTTAGAACGTGCTGAACCTAAGTGAACAAATATACATGTATATATATATATATGTATATACATATTCAGTTTAATGTATATAAACACACATATAACATTTGTATTCTTACGTCTTGTAGCATTTTCTCTTCTACCATCTTTGAGAAGTTTTCTGACCTCAAGACGTTCAAGATTTCTCTGTCTTTCTTCTGAACGCTCAGCCAAAATTCTTTCTCTTTCAACTTCAGGAAGTGCTTGTAATCTTTTATAGAAAAAAATAAATAAATAAATAGATTAGGAAAAAATAAAATAAAACATTATTTATTAACATTTAAAGCATTTACCTTTTACGATCCTCTTCATCTTTATATAAATCGGGACCATATTCGTCAATATCCTCCATGTCTTCATCATCATCGTTTACAGCATCATCATCATCAGAATATCCATGTCCCTCATCTTCTGAATCAGATAAACTACAAACAAGCAAATAAACTGTGTTAAATAGATAGACGAAATGAACATTATTATACATATTTGCGCATTACGTTCTTGTTGATTTTTTTGTTCTTTTTGACACGTGTTCTTGTAGTTTTTTATCTTCTTCTGCCTTTTTTCCAGTTAAAGAAAGAATAAGATCATCAATATTGTCCATGTTAAAAGTAATTTTAGCTGACGAAAACTCAAAAAAAAAAAAAAAAAAAAAAAAAAAAAAAAAAAGGGAATAAAGATATAACGGAATTCATGTCAAAAAAAATAAAAAATTAAAAAAAAACTGAACGTCATCGATTGGACAAAATTTTGTTTATTCAAAAAATTGCTTCATTTTATTAATAAACCTCTCGCAGTTGCTGCTGCTAAAACAAACACCCTAATAAATATGACCGCGTATTCCTTTTTCTTCTTCTTTTTCACATATAGAAAGAGGATGTCTGCAACACACAAATGCTTGTATTGATATTTCTGGTCTAAATTATGAGACAGAATTTTGCTATCTGAGAATTTCATTACTATTTTTTTTTTCATCTGATCTACTAGCAGTCTTGATAATTGACATAGTTATTTTGCGTATTTTTGTATTTGTTTGAATCTTTAGGAAGGCATCATATATAGCTATTCTTTTAGTATATATATACATATATATATCATGTGTACTCTTCTATGAGTTACAACATTGCTCTTAAATATGTATACATATATATCACTTCTATACATTGTCGCTGGTCTTAAATCATATTTGTTATTTGCTATTTGAGTGTCTCAACCAATTCTATTAGAATCGATTTCAACAAATATGATATATATAAAAACACGTCAACATAATTCTTTTTAGTGCAACATTATTTTGAATAACAAAGCAAGAAAGAACTTTTGTGTTGCTATCGACTATCTGTTGCGTTTTCTAAATTAGTAACCAATTAAAAATCGTGTTTTTTTTTTCTTTTTGAAGTAAAATAAAAAAGAATACATTATTATTGTTTGCTGCATTTTTTTTTTTAAGGAAAACTTCGAGAAACAATAGAAATGAGAATACGTATACGACATGCTAATGGCATGGCAACTCTTTCAAATGTTTCAGCTGAACAAACAGTTTTAAATCTAAAACAGGAAATCTCTAATCTTCTTAATCTTACTTCAAGTCAGGACGTTCAAAGTAAAGAAAAAAAAAAGGTTTACTGTTATTATAGTCTATGAGCTTAAATTGCTCCTCTTTTTTTTTATATGTAATTTATTAGTCTCAGGGGGATATCCACCGAAGCCAATAACTATTACCAGTAATAATGTATCATTGGTTGAGGCTGGTATTAGGGATGGTGATACTCTAAATATCAAAGTAATTGAATCTACTATTCCTCAGCAGCAAATAACAACATCACAAAGAAGTTTAATAAAAGAAGGCCTGATTGAAACACCACATGGTTTTCTTACACTTCGAGTAAATTATCTTTTTTTCGGTCATAGAGTTATAACAAAACTTGTAGTCTAAATAAATTTGGCTTTATTAGGTTATGGATGATGATAACTCTTGCTTATTTCGATCTATAGGTAAGCTCTGGTTTTTTTTTTTTTTTTTTCTATAAATCATAGATTCTATTTTATTTATAAACATAAATAATAGGGTAAAACATATACACGCACACGCACATGCACACACAAATCCTTTTCTCGTTGATTTGTTCATAAAAATTAATTTTTGTTTTTTTATTAGTTATGTTATAAGAAATAATACTTTTATAACTCAAGAACTTCGACAAGGTAACCTTATATATCAACCTTATAATACATTGTATATGTAATGCCTATTTTTGTTTTGAATAGTTATAGTCGAAGGTATAAAAGCAGACCCTGTAATGTATTCTGATGCTACACTTGGTCAGCCCAAAGGTAAACTTCAGTTTTTTTTTTTTTTTTTCCTTGTATGTTAATATATGAATATTTAATAGACAAATACATGGAATGGATCTTGAAACCTAATTCGTGGGGAGGAGCTATTGGTAAATATATCCCTGAAACAATATGCAGTATTACATGAATATTTATTTATCTTTTTTTTTTTTATATAGAATTGGCTATATTTTCTTCACATTTTGGAATTGGTAAATAATTAAGAGAATAAGAATAATAAAAGCCGTTTGAATATTTAAATAGTCGTTATTGTATAGAAATTGATAGTATAGACGTTCAAACAGGTCGAATCGATAAATTTGGTAAAAGCTGCTTCATCCTTTAGAAAAAAAATAAGCATATATTTATAAGAAATAATTTAATAATAGGTGAAGGACTATATAATGAAAGAGTCTTGATAGTTTATAGTGGCATTCGTATGTGTTTAATATAATTTTAAAATATTTATCATATAACATTTTATGTTCTTTAGACTATGACGCATTGGCACTTGCACCTGCAAGCGATAGTCCTCTAGAATTTGATCAGACGAGATTCTCTACTGATGATGAATCTGTTCTTACGGCTGCAAAGCTATTGGTAGATGATTTAAGAAAGGTAATATTCAACTATTGTCAAATTTTTTCTTTTTCTAGCATTAGTATTTAATACTATCCTTCTTTTTTTTTTTCTTTTTTTTTCTCTTATAATAGAAACATAAATATACAGATGTAGCAAACTTTACATTAAAATGTGAAGAATGTAAAATAGGCTTAAAAGGTGAAAAAGGTATGTTTCCCAATGACTTTATCATTTTATATTTCAATGTACTAATAATGTATATATAATAGATGCACAGGAACACGCTAAGGTAATTCTTTCTATTTATTCACTTTATATAAATATATACTTGAACATTTTGTTTATCCTATTTAAAATGTATATAGAGAACTGGGCATACTCGATTTGTAGAATATCAATAAAATCATAATGATACAAATTATACTATACTTAATTCTCTGTCAAAGGTGTAGCTCAAAAAATTTGTTAATAGATAGTATTAATCTAAAGCCAAATATATGCATACATATTTAAACACAAAGGACATTATTATAGCTTAAAAAAAAAAAAAAAAAAAAAAAAAAAAAAAAAAAAAAAAACCTATTATTACTTTTTTGGGAAAATAAAATATGCCCTTTGGTATAAAAAATACAACTAGACATTGAAGATTATAATATAAGCTGTATAAAATATATACTAATTCAGTAGCATAATATTATGTATAGGACTATAGATATGCTCAGTCCATGTATTTCTACTATAACTCAATTCATTATAAAAGGTCAGAAGACTAATCAAATTATTGAAGAATTAACTACATGTTACAGTAGTAGCAATAAGAAGCATAAAAAAAATACACATTACTAGAATATAAACTATCAGTTTCAGTATATTATTTTAACTGGAATATGATTTTATAAAAAGAAAAGTTCATAATTTAACAAATATGTCTTGAATTAATTTAGTGAGTAAGCTTGAAAATGTACTTCTTTTACCCCCATCTTTTTTTTTTTTTCTTTATAGGTTTATTAAAATGAGGTACCAGATACAACAAGACAAGATGATATTTTCCGCAAGAAGAGGTTATGCCTAATCATCATTTTATTAATATAAATAGACTATTGTTTTCGATAAACAAAATAAATAAAAATAAACTTATTTCCTATTCCCACCAAAAGTCATGATTATTATTTGATTTAGTTGCTTATTAAGCAATCCATTACCAAATTCTGATCGGACAGTAGTAGTATTGATAATAAAAAGCTATATAGTTTTATTTTATCATCATCATGCAGAAGAAGGACACAATATATACCTGTTATCTTTTAGGCAATACTATGCAAACTCTTTATCTCGAGACATTGTAGCTTTAATTAATTCATATATAGTTAATGTAAAATATTTGTATTTAGTTTGATTTTATTTGAATATAAAAAGGAAAAAGATAATGGATGATGATCGAAATTAGTTTTATAAGTGGCCTGTCTTGTCATACCATGACACCACAAATATCATTATTAGCAAAAAAGAAGAAAAAAAAGAATGTAAAAATGCTGGCAGCAGGAATCGAACCTGCGTCGACACGGCCACAACGTGATGTACTGCCACTATACTATGCCAGCTTATTTGTTGATAGAAATTTTTTAAATAAATGATATCGATAATCGGCAATTAGCCCGGGAAGTCACGTGACATTCCGGTGGTTTATCTTTACTCCAATTATCTCAACGTAGTTGTCGGCTCGTTATTTATATAAAATTATAAAAGTTGTTTATTTGTTTTTTTTTGTAAAATATATTTTTATTACTCAGTATATTATACTATACCCATTGTTAGTTTTTCACATATCACTGACACCTTCAATAGTAAAATACTTTGAACGAAGAGTTTGAGTGAGTGATGAACGAAATTCAATAATGTCTAATACAATAAGTATAGTGAGCTAGTGATTTATTATTATACCAAAAAAAAACTTACATGTGTCGCTAGTAATGGTATCCAAAGGAATATCCCACATATAGTGTAACTTATTAGCGTTGACGTTATTGGCAACGACTTTTTCGCGTTTAGAGTTACCCATATTCTTCTTCTCCTTATTTAGAGAATCATCATAAATTAAAACAATTTCTAAAATTATATTTTCATCAAATAAATTATCCCAAGATAATACGAGTTGATCACCAGCTTTAAATACAACACCTTCTACAGGATATGTGATTGTTAGAAATTCATGCCTTTCTGAAGATGAAATCAGAAATACGATATAGGCGGCAGTTAAAAAAAAGGTGGTAGCAGGAAATGACATTACTTGTTTTATGTATGAAAATATAAAAGCAAAATACATATTACTATTTATATCTAAAACATAATAATGCTTTAAGGGAGAGACCTTAAGTTGATGCATCTAACAAATTCTTCGTATATTTGAGAAGTTATTTTTGCGATTTAGGGAAAGTAGAAAACATCTTTTTAAGAATCTCCTGATACATATATGCACTGATTTTCATCTCCGTTAATTTTAATTGACTTGATCTAATGTTATACAAACCTGTTTGAAGATCTATACTCGATTTAGAGATTCAAGAACATAGAAGAAAATAAGAAAATTGGCAATCATACAAGTTTTTTTTTTTTTTTTTTTTTTTTTTTTTTTTTTTAAAAAAAAAGGACATGTTTTTGACATTACATCTTTTAGAATTTTGTAAACAAGTCTTCGAGAAAGATTAAGGATGTAGTACGATTTTTATATTGGATTCTATGAACAAATATGAAGGAGCATGTTTATTAGGTATTGTATTTTATGAATTAATATATTTGCAAATCAAAGAGATTTCTCTCCAAATATGTAAACGATGACAATGTTTCTTAAATAATTATCATTTTATATAGACATTATGAATTAGTTGCAGACAAGTTTATCATGTCACAATAAACAACTTTTCTAATTGATTTTTAAGAAAGCAATGAAAAGAAAACAGCAACGACTTTTTTGTTCTATTAAAAAGACTATTCTACCTGAAGGATATTAGCAATCATATCTATTTCTTCATCGCATAAAACCGAATTATGCTTATGATTTCATATCTATTTACTAGATTTTTGACAAGTATTTCATCTTAAATAATTACCAGGGGTCTTCTTTAAATCTGATTTACTACGTATAATTCTCCTTTTTCAAATTAATGTCATACATAATAATTTATAGAGACTTACGAAATTTATAGCTATTACTCAAATAAAGCTATAATGGAAATCAACTATAATGATTATGAGTTAAAGGCTGATAAGCTTATCTATATAAATAGTCTAAAGCATATTATCATAAAATTATTTCAATGCATCGAAACACATTTTTTATTGGTCGCACTATCCTTTATAAAAGTTAGTATTTTCATCTCATGGAAATTAAAGAATAAAGAAGATAAATAATTATACTTTTTTATTCGGTCTTAGTACACATTGAATCTTTAGCTGTCCCTTCTTATCATTGTCCTTTTATCAAGAATTAGCATATGCTCATCTCCTACTCAAATAATAAATCTTTATTCTATTTTTTTGTTCTGGTTGTCTTGTTCCAGTCTTTTTTGGGATTGCGACAATAAGACAGTTCCAGATAATATAAAACTAGCCCCTAACCACCATTTTAATGTTAACGGCTCACGAAATACTAAATGTCCTAGTATAGCCTATAAACATCATTAATATGAATTCTTTGTGTTTTATATTCAGCACTTACAGAAGTACTAAAGTTAATAGCTCCATTAACTATAGATACTTGTATAGATGATGGTGCTACATTAAGTGCTTTTGTAAATGTAGTCCACATAACTGAGTTACAGACAAATATTAAAATGAAACATATTCCTCTTACTACCAATAACGATAGCTTGTAGTAGAAGATTAGATCAAATCATGGATAATGGCCGCATTTGTCTTTGTCACAAACCTTTTCAGGGAGAATGTAGAATGCACTGGAAATGTACGCATGAAAATAGGCTGTTCGTTCATCTGAAAAGAGCTTTGCAAAGACAGACGATAAAGCTGCGAAAATACCAGAAATGATGGCAAATGGAATGAATGAATTATTTTTACTTGTCATGTTTTCTTAAAAAAAAAAAAAAAAAAAAAACTAATTTTTCTACTGCTAAAAGGTCAAAAATAAAGAAGGACGTGACTTATCTTTTCACTAATAGAAAAAAAAAAGTTTTGAAAATACGCGTATAAAATATTTAAATTATTTCTTCCAAACTTATTATTTTTAATTGCTAATTAACTCCACTTCATCGATACAAAAGAAAAAAGAAAAAAAAAAAAAGAAAAGGAATAAAGAAAAAGGACGATTTGTAATTACAACTAAACGAATAAGAATAAAATAATGAACTCTACGAATCAAACAGGTTTTGGATTTGGCTCAACAGGTAAATAAATGACTTGAATAATAAAATTTAGCTATATTTATTTAGTTATGGTCTGTATTTTTAGCCCCTTCATTTGGTTCAGCTTCCAACACACAATCTTCTGCTGGTACATTGTTTGGTGGCTCAGCCACTAATAATTTAACAACAACAGGTGGTTTATTTGGTTCTACTGCAAATAATAATTCTGCTGGAACTCTATTTGGTACAAATACAAACAGCAATTCAACAGCAGGCACATTGTTTGGTGGCTCAGCTACAACAACTACACCCGCTTCAACAGGTATTAAAATATTACAAAAAAATAAAAAAGGGAGTATATGAAGCAGACTAAACTTAATATTATCATTAGGGTTTGGAGGATTTGGTTCAACACCGGCTACTTCATCAACTTTTGGAACGAATACATCCACAGCTACTGGTTTTGGAACAACAACTGGGGGATTTGGAGCAACTTCACAACCAGCAGCCAGTATAGGCACTGGTTTTAGTGGATTTGGTAATACAGCTGCCACAAATACATCAGGCTTTGGTACTTCAACAACAACGAATGCTAATAATAGTTTTGGAGGATTTGGTTCTATGGCCAACACTAACAAACCCTCTTTTGGAGGCTTTGGAGCTACAAACAATTTATTTGGTAATAAGCTTCAAACACAACAAAATAATATGTTTGGTCAACAGCAAATGGGTGCAGCACCTGTTCAAGAAAAAGTATGGCAGGAGCTTGCATTGATTAGAGCACGATTTGACCCTACTTCACCACTTTGTCAATTTAGAGTAAAATATAGATATGCAAATAATATTTTATGCAAAACAATTCATTATTAATCTATCTTATTTATTAGCACTATTTCTATAATTTAGTACCAGCAAATGAAATACATCTGTATGTTCGCCCTCAAAATCAAGATGAACAATTATGGAATGAAGCTGTTCGCAAAAATCCAGATCCTGCAAAGTAAGAAAAAGAGTTAAAAGAAAAAAAAAAAAGGAACATTATTTTAATGTATATTTTTATATATCTAGTTTAGTGCCTGTTTTAGCTATTGGATTTGATGATATCTTAAAGCGTATGGAAATTCAATCCAAACAACTTGAATTACATCAAGAAAAGTTGAAAGAAGCAACAGAAAGATTATCAACAGTACAGCGTCAATATTTACTTGGAACATTAGTCAAATTAGAAGAGCATAAACGTCGCCATACATATTTAACACAAAGATTACTAAGAGTAAGTTATTAGAAAATGGGATTATCGAAAACAAAAAAAAAAAACTAATATATATTATTAGCTTCTTCGATATAGTCAAGTACTTCGTTATAAGGGTTTCCCATTAACTGCAGATGAAGAACAATCAATGAATAAACTATCTCAAATGATCAGTCAAATAGATAATCCAGAACAGCTTAATGCAAAGTTAGTAACCTTATGGAATCAACTTCAAGCCATTAAAGCACAAAAAAGTGGTGAACAAGATAGAAAAACTGAGATCTGGCGTACAGTTAATGAAGAAGACACTAATATTATCGCAAAGGTAAGAATATGTTTATATTTGAATACGTTTTACTTATTTTTAAAACTTTAGGTGTTGGAGGATGAACAAAAAGGAATTAAACATGTTACTAGCATATTAAAATCAGATACGAAAGAATTAGAAGACATTGAGACAAGATTAAAAGAAAAGCGTAAAGTAAAGAGTGACAGTAATTATATATCAAGACGTCAAACATAATAAAATAATATCCTACACATGTTTTTTTTTTTTTTATTAATATTGAAATGAAGTGTAACGATTGCATAATAGAGCGATCATCTATTTCTTAGTAAATTCTACAAAGAATAATATATAATGTAATTGCATGCATGTATACGCAAAAAAATATATCAAAATTATACATTTAATTAACAATCTATCCTCTTAAAGAAAGGAGAAAAGTTATTGTTATAATATATAACAAAAAAAAAAAAAAAAAAAAAAAAAAAAGAGGAGACATAACCACGGTATGTGTACAACGTTGTCTATAATGTTGCATCTATTTTTAAACTGTTATAATAAACTTTAAATTATGCTTTCTTTTTATTTAATTGATCTCCCTTTCTTTCTTTCTTTCTTTCTTCCTTTCTTTTTTCTTCTATAATAATTATAAGGAAGGATAAAAAAAAATGAAATCTTTGTCAATCATATCAAGTATTGCTCTTTTGTTCAATGTTATTATGGCACAAGAAGGTTCAACTGTGCCTGTTCCTTCAACACCTGCTACCTCAACTTATTCTTGTGATCCTAATACTTGCAAAATCGAGAATAATTGTTACTGTGCATCCAAATTACCTCCTGGTGGACTTTCTCCTTCGGATATACCTCAGGTAATATTAATAAAATGTTCATTAGATTTAAGTAAAATATTAATCATATGCTTTATTAAGTTTGTTACTGTTACCTTTGATGATTCTGTTCAAGAAGCCCTCTACAAAACAGCATTATCTATGGTGAATGTTACGTAAGTGATATTATTCTCCTTTTTATAACTTGGTTGCCTTTGTTTTTTTTTTAACTCGATCTTTAATCCTATTTACAGTAATCCAAATGGTTGTCCCGGTCACGGTACCTGGTAATAATAAAAAAGAAGCTTTTTATTTTTTCTATTTTTGGATTAATTACCATATTTACTAACTGATAATTCATATTACAGGTTTGTCTCTATGGAATATACAGACTTTTCATTGGTTCAACAGTGGTATGCTGCTGGAAACGAAATAGCAGAGTATGTAAAGAAATGTACTTGATTTTAATATTCTAATAATATATTAATATGTATCCTGAAATAGTCATACATTCTCTCATGTCGGTTCTCCTTCAGCTCAGGAAATTTCTAGCTGTAGATCAATGCTAAATGCATATGGTGGTATCCCTAACAGTAAACTCCAAGGTTTCCGTGCACCTTTCTTAAATTATACAAAGGATACTCTCGCTATTTTAGATCAGCAAAACTTCTTGTATGATTCTAGTTCAAGTGCTGTCACTGAGGATGCCTATTGGCCTTATACCCTTGATAATGGTATGGCAAACGACTGCTGGACAGGCATTTGTGGTGCTGGTGAAGTTAAGCTTCCAGGTCTGTGGGAGATTCCTATGTATTCTGTTCTTAGTAATACAAATGTTCCTCAACTTATGGATGTATATCTTGCCGGTGCTCCCGCTGATACCAAAAAATGTATGTGTTTATTATGAGTAACTTGAAATTGTGTTCATGCTAATATCATGATTAATCCTTTTTTTTTTTTTTTTTTTTTTTTTTTTTTTTTTTTTTAGGGAGTGAAGACGCTTTTAATAGCCATTATAATGGCAACCGTCAACCTTTCGGTATTTATGTTCATCCGAGTAAAGTATGATTATTTGTAATAATAAAACAATACACTAATCGTATGTTTCATTTTGTTTATTTTTTTTATTTATTTATATATTTGTATATTAGCTCACTTAACAACTTATGCTGGGCTTCCTGATCCTAAAGATACGCTTGCTAGTGTCCTTGAATTTATTCAAGAAATTTCCTCTAAACCTGATGTTTGGTTTGTAACCAACCAACAATTATTAGAATATATGAAGAAACCTGTCAAAGCCTCTGAATTAGGCAATCAACCCTACATGCAATGTAAACAACCTGTTATCCCTAAAGAAATTTGTAATGGTCTTGATGACGATCATAATGGTGTTATAGATGACAGCCTTCTCAATAGGTAAATCAAACAGTAACGTTCATTTTTAATTATAACTAAATCTTCTTTATATACAGCTGCAATTTTGGTCAAACGACTACAAAAACTTGCTTTAATTGTCCCGGCTCAGCACCTACATTAGATAATCCTACACCTGCCTCATCTGTACAAAATGGAACTTCAGGCTATCGTTACCCTATTTCTGATACTTGCGAGTAAAGTTTATTATTATTATTATCAGAAATATTCAACTAATATTTGTCTCTATTATTATAGTACTACATGGTGGGATCCTATTGGAAACACATGTCTTTGTACAACTTCTGATTGTCAGCTAAAGAGTGTTGCCGTCTCAAAACCTAATTCTAACACTAATACTACTGGAGCAAGCTCTACAACTGATAATGCTACAACTACTTCTAAGGCTGATAAAGATTCAAGTGGATCTTCTAGTTTAAATACTTCATTTGGTTATGCTGCTTCCATTACTTTAATAGCCGCTTTACTTACTAATCATTTTTTTTAATTATACACATGTATTTTTCTTTTAGTTAAATTTTTGAGAAAATAAATACATTATTTATAGAAGGCAACAAACAGTCAATAATTAAACAAATATCAATATGTATATATACATATATGTATATATACTACTGTTTAATACACATTATATTTTTTTTAAAAAAAAAGTAAACGGTAATAAGGCTTTATAGAATATGTTCCTGAAAGTGTCTACTGCAAAAAAAAAAAAAAAAAAAAAAATAATCACTAAATTACTCATCTATCCCAAATTTATAGTTTATACACTTTCAGATAAAGCAGTACAAAAATAAATATTTATATAATCTTATAGCTTTAATATTTAACACTCGAGTGTGATCGATATGTATCAACTAAAATATTTGTATAGAATAGAACAACTCTATAGCTTGATATCATTGTATCTGGATTTAATATTGCACTGCTATAACACCTTTACTCTCTCTCTCTCTCTCTCTTCAATTATATCTTTTACTTTCCATTAAATCCAAGGTATTATTTTAACATAAATTACCGTCATTCGCTTTTTCAATAATATAGCTTATTGAAACATAAGGAACGCTTAGCAATGGTTCTATATGACCTCCCCTCTTCTTTTTCTTAAGAAATATTTATATATATAAATACATATACATATTCCCCTTCTTCCGTCTGAACAAAGATTGTGGAATATTTCAACAATCGTTAAAATATCAATAGAACAACATAATTTTTTTTTTTTTTTTTTTTTTTTTTTTTTTTTTTTTTTTTTGTAAATTGCTGAAATACCAAAAGGTTATATTTTGTCTTAAAAAAAAATCAAACTAGTGAGCAATAATGCCATTTCATGTTTATTATGTAGTTCTTTTTAAATGAATGTACGGTAATATTCATCTTATTATAAAGAGTTTGCAACTTTCTGTTTGATTTCTAAAATTGTATTCAAAAATTCAGTATCACTATTTAAAAGAAAAAAAAAGATAAAGTTAGATTAAGTAATATTGTAAAGACTATTCACGTAAACTTACTTTCTATTTTCAGAATTTGCTGATGATAAATTGAAAATACCAGCCATCATTTGTTCTGCTACAGCTTGTGTTACATTAGGAGGGAAATCACGTAAAAGACGTAAACATTTTAGTATTTCATCCAGCATGACATTTCTAGAAGCGCTACAAATACAAAGTCGTAATAGTCCAACTACTGTGCGTTCAACAACCAACACACTTTGCTTATCAGCAAATTCTAGAATACCAAATATATATTCTGTAGCATAGGGCCTAGCACCAATATAAATACACAAATGTATATATTTATATATATCATAGAAATAATAATTCATATTTATTAATAAAACTTACCATAACTCTTCAATTCGTTCTGCATTTCGTACTGTGATAGTGATCATGAATTCTAAAAATAATACTGTAGCTGGATCATAAGGGATAGTGACAGTAGCTTTTTTCATAACTTCGGTATCATAACCAACGGCTTGGATTGCCTTTAATAAACATATTAATGTATCAGTTCGAAGGATATGAATATTTGAGAATAATTCTTCTAATTTGCAGACTGCTACACAGTCTACCGCACATAATGTTTGTTCTACTTCTTCCTCAGTGGGATCACGGCAGTAAGTTTCATCACTTGAATAAGGCGAAAGTAAGTACGAAGAAAGAGTTGACAAGAGAGATCCATCACGACGATTTGTTTGCTTAACTGGTTTAGGACTTTTTGGTTTTAATGGTATACTTGTTGTTCCCGATAAGAAATCTTCTACTTGAAGCATAGAATTAGGTAAAAGTGAATTTAAGAAAAGATTTCGAATGATTTGTAGAACTTTAATCCAGCCTCTATGAAGTGAGTCTCCATGTCGAGTTACGATAGTAAACATGACAACAGCAGCTAATTGACCCTTATAGTTACGACCAAAACGAGTAGCTAATTTACTAACTACATACTTTTGTCCTGCAACATCTACAATTGGATCAGGAACTGAAGTGTTTCCGTTTGTATTCTCTAATAAACCAGTCATAGTAGCTAAATTGATGACAATACTATCAAAGATGTTATAAAGCTCAAAATGAGCAGCTAAGCTTGCACAATGGCGAAAACCTGCGATCGCCTTTTGTAATATATCATCATCCTGAGCTGTACTAAAAATATAAGAAATAGCAGCTACAATAGGTTTCCATGATAATTCAAAGATAGTCTTGTCAAAAGTAGAAGTCATACATTGAACAAATTTACCACTAACAAGTGATTTGTGTTGAAGTTGCTTCCAGGCATAATTAAAGCCTAATAATCCTTCATGCTCTTCTGGCATTAAAATTTCATTTTGCTGAATAGCTTCATAGATAGCACAAAGATATTCCTTAGGAAAATCCTTTTTATTGTTAACGCCGCTAACATTACGAATGTATTGCTCTAAAGACATACGAGATTGACGCCTGATTTGGGGACTATGTTGATCTGTATTTAGCATAATAACAGAATACGCCAACACTTCTGCAGCTTCTACACTAGCAATCTCCTTAGGTCCTGTTTCAAAATAAGTGGCTGCAAATGATTCTGTAACACGCATAATTTGCTGTGATTCTCCTGGTAATCGGAATGTTTCAAGAACCATTCGTAACGCTTCGTCCATACGTTTCCCTCTAAAATCAAATTGTTGCATATAGGCTTTTAAGGTATCAAAATTCTCAGGTCTTCCTAAATATTCACCTAATACTTTTTTATCCAATTGTTGTGTTGATCTTAAGAAATGTGAAAGACTAGTATTGATATCTCCTTTTTCATCTGCTGTAATTATGTTATTTTCAACTAAGAACTGGATACCTTTCTTGGGAGATTCATTAAACAATCTGGATCCTTTTAAAATTAATCTTTTCCTTTCTTTTCTTTCTGCCAATTCTTGTATAGATGTGATTTCCTAATTTTTATATAACATAGGAATAAAATTTTAAATGGGCTATTATAAGTTTTAAACAACATCTTTGCTCTTACACATACAACATAACCATCTTGATTCTCCTATTTATATAATCAGCTACTTGTTTACTATTATTATTTTTATTATTTTCAAAATTCTTTACCTGATTGTTAATTCGTTCTACAATTTGTGTAACAAACATCAAAAGTGTATCCAAGCAAAGAGCATGAGAATTCATAAAAGAATAACTTTGATGATTGGGGAAAGAATTCTAAAGAAAGAAAGAAAAAAGGGGGGAGGGGAGGAGGAGAGAGAAAAGGATCAGCTCTTGTTATATCATTATTTTATATAGACTACCTTGCTTAAGAATTGAATTAATTCTTCAAATAAATCACCACAAGCTAAATCACAATCATAGTTATACCATAGATCAATCATAAAAGTGGGCTTACGAGCAAATTGTACTAGACTTTCTAATAATAATTCATGCACTTCACTTGAAATTACCATTTGCTCAGAAGAAGAATAGCCCTTATTTGTTCGAGGATAATCAGTTGACTTGGTTAAAAACATATTTGGAGATGAACTTCTAACATCTGCTGTGTTATTCTGTTCCAAGTCACTTTTTAATGATATAAAACTAATGTTTCCTTCATCATCTATATCAACTGACATATTGCGATTGCTTGCATTGGATGCTGGAGATAATCGTTCAATTAAAAAGAAAATAAAAAGCTCTTGCTGTAATTTCAAATAAGGTTGGAGCGTCTCAAAGACAGTTGAAATAACTCGGAGAGATAACGATAATAATGGTAGAGAATCTGATTTAGCCAACTGAAAAGCGTATTTACAAAATTCGTCAGTAACTAAAGAACGTAAATTCTCAAAACGTCCGATGCTTCTGCCTGCTACTTCAAATGCAACATTAAGAATACTAAGAGCCATTAAACGCATTGAATCGGTGTGTTTATGTTCATGAGGATTTAAAAGAGAGATCAAAACTCGAAGCAATTCACGTATAGCTGGTAAACCGTATGGTTTTAAACTAGAAGGCTCAACTGCTATATTTAAAGAATTTTAGTATTATTTTTCATTGTTCTTTCCCCTCTCCCTATTTTTTTTTTTTTTTTTTTTTTTTTTTTTTTTTTTTTTTTTTTTTTACCAGCAATTGCTTCAGGTGAATCGGTCATTAATGGCTCTTCAGATGTTGATGTTTCTACTTCTGTATCTTCTGTCTTTTGCTCTGGTATATTATTGGAATCTTTTAATGTATCTGATATATTTTCTTCTTCATTTTTAACTTCAGTAACAGTATTTGTGGGCTGTGTTGGTGTAGGTGATGAAGAAAAATTTGAGGTACTCATATGAGGATCAGTAGGCTCTTCTATAGCCTCGTTTGAAGACTCAATCAACTGCCATTCATCATCTAAGTTTTTTAGTCTATAATGTAATGGTTATGTTTCTTGTTAGATGTTTTTTTTTTTTTTTTTTTTTTTTTTTTTTTTTTTTTTAAAAAAAAAAGAAAAAAAATAAATCTCAAAAGTATATCTAGATATTATACCTCTCAAATATAGCGATCACCATATTTATCATAACATGTTCAGCTGATCGTCTTAACATTTCTTTTTCCAAAAAATAATAATAAGAAACTATACATTATTTTGTATACGAATGATTCAATTTACCACTTAATCTCATCTGACAGCACATGCTGAGGCCTGTTTCCATCATTTCACATACAGCTTCGTCACTCAAAACTTGTCCACATTCACTTGTAATAGCCATTTGTAGTACTTGTAACATACGTAATAATACAAGTTCATCAGAAGCAGCATCAGAAGCTTCAAATTTACAATGTGTTGCAGCTGAAGTTAAGGCATTCATAGCTGTGGCAATCCTTGAGTTGTGTATATCTGATAATTGACGTAAATAAAAGCATTATTTACATTTGCGTAAAAACGCAAGTTCATATATGTATACAAGACACTTACTAATAATTCCATAGTTTAAAAGCTTCTCAACACTTCCTAATGCAGTACCTGCAATAGGGCCTGTTGTATTTCCAGAACGAATCACTTCAAGAAAAGGATTTAATATATTGACAGCATCCACTTCACTAACATCTTTTTTTTTAAAAAAAAAAATACTTTTTAATAATAATTCTATACCAATATAAGATAGACTCATATTTCTTTTACCCGTTATAGTATCCATATATGTTCTTAAATTAGTAAATTCTTGCATTAAAGGATTCTCCTATTTAAAAATGATTTTTATTGAAAAGGTTTTCTTTATTATTTTATTGATATAACAAACCTGTCTAGTATTTGCGTCCTTTATATTTGATTGTGCACTTCGCAGGCCCATACTATTACCTAAACCACCCATTCTAAGTCCACTTACACCCATACCAGACCAACGGGCATTTTTACGCATAGCGCTAGTAACAGCTAATGTAATATAGAATAAGATTTACAAGATATATATATATATATATATGTGTGTGTGTATATGTGCGTGTTTATTAATATTTATAATACTTGCCAGTAATCTCTGCGTTTACAAGTTGTGACCAAGATAGCTCTGATTTGATTCTTACTTCTCCATGTTGACCAGTGTCAGAGACTTTTCTTGTGTTATGTTCATCTGTTAAATTAATTGTGTTGGATGTCGAGTTATTTATGGACATTGAAAAAAAAGGGATTAGTTGAACGTAATGATGGTATTAAAGATGATAGATTAATAGAATGATGTTTATAATCTTTGTTAAAATTCCTTTTGTTCCTTCCTCTTTACAAGAAAAAAAAAATATTAAAAGAAAAAAAAAAAAAAATAGAGAAAGGAAGTTTTTATTAGCAGAAATTTTGAATAAAAAAAAAAAATATGTATTCATTTATACATTGTGAATTTTTATTGCCTATTTATTAATATTATCATTTATTTGAATCTGCATTGGAGTATCTGTGCTCAAGATATGAATTGGACCGGGATTATTATTTAATATATCTTTTGCTTGTTCAATTAAAGTACGTGAAGGCTGATACCATTCTTGAACTAATTCGACTAATATATCACCAAATGTGACCCCACTCGCAACAATGATTCTACATAAGGTAGGTATCATTTGGTCTTTGCTTTCTATCCTTGGCCTTATTTCTATTTTTACTTTTTCATTTTCGAAATCAGTTTTTATAAAGGATTTAAGGTAATCAAACATAGATTGTTCAGGATCTGAATAAGACAATAAATCAATAACTAGTTCTGTATGCGTATTGAAGGATAATGGTTTCATGGCTGGAAATAAGCCATTTTCTAGTTGAATATGACTATGTTTTTTAATCCATTCTATTATTTCAGTTCTTGTTCCATAAAATACCCAACGGTTTGTATTTTCTACACTTGAGAGTGTAATCTTATCTTTTAAAAGAGGTGGTGTAATTATTCGAACACCTTGATTATCAACGTCTAATGATATATTCATAAGAATATATTTATTTATTTATGTCGATATAATTTTACCTGTTTCATATCCAAAACTCAAGGTCATATTTGTATGAAAGAAATGAGAAAAAGTTGAAAATGCATAAAAAAATTTAAAAATAAAATAAAATAGCTGTATAATCTATGTATTATGTAATAAAACTCACGTCACTTATTTCTTATGTATCACTATCTGTGTAACATAAAGAAGAAGAAGGAAAAAAAAAAAAAAAGATCTATTAAAGGAACAATGTAATTAATTTTATTTTATTTTTTAATCTTTTATTATTATTTTGTTAATGAGATTAAAGATAGTTTATTTGTATATATTGAAGTTTACCATATTATTGCTTAGTTTAGGAACATTAGGTTGCCATGTTGGTAAGTGCAGATATATACTATATTTACTACATAATATCTGTATACTTATATGAATATATAAGCTCAACTTGTATTATTAAATCAATTATCTGATAAAACTGGATCATGGTGGCCACATTATGTACCTGTAAGAATAATAATAATAATAATATGTATATGATAATTAAATCAATTAGTTATATACAGTATATTTTATACTATGCTGGAACAATATCTTCTGTTTTGTCGTCTACTGTATTATTATTCTTAAATTGTATGCTTCTTCTTCCAAAATTACTTTGGTACGACTGTTTGATTAGTATAATCAATATGCTATTATTTGTTTCTATTATTATCTATATTTCACTCAAGTCAGGAGTGATTCCTTGGACAGGAAACATAGAAAAACAATTTTCATCAACTACAAAAGGCTACGTTACTTATTGTTCTAACTACGATGATGACAACATGTTGATTCGATGCTGTAAAGTATACAATACTATAGTGTATATCATATTTATATTGACTGCGATTATAGGGTTAAGTAATGGAGAATGGCTTGGTATAGTTATTATAGGATTTTTCTGGCTTTTATTATCTGCCTATTCAATTCTCTTTAAAAAATGTTTAATTATTGAAGATGAATATTATGACTTTAAGAATGATATTCCTATGACTAAACCAGAAATACTTACTTCTACACAAAGATTGAACTCTTTACCACCTGTAATGGCTACAACAAAAACAGAACTTATATCCTATCCTCCTTATCAAGATCAGCGGGATAATTACTATCACAATACATCAGAAATAACAACTCCTACTCAACAACAGTCTGTGACTCATGATGTCGCTTATGAATACAATTTAAATGATGACTTATATCCGATAACAAAGCACCAATACGTGAATAATATACCACATCAAACATTATATGAAATGAATATGCCTAGAAGAATGTCTAAAACTTTTATAGACGATGAAGATGAACCAATACAGCAACAAAAATCTGATCTTATACATGATAGAACAGTCATTTCTTCTTCGTATTCACAACAACAATATTAAATCAATTCATAACAACTACAAGACGTTAATCTATTATCATGTATATGTCTATACGCGTATTTATATGTATTTACGATAACACTTGTAGTTACCTTTTTGCATATATATATATAGATATATGTATATATTTTATATATATATATATATATTGATGTAAAAAAAAAAGAAAAAAAAAGTTGTCGTTTATCATACATAGCCTACATAAATAGACCATATTATACGTTATATTATTAAATTGTCATTCAAAGATAATTTTTGAGTAAATGTGAGATATTCAAGCTTATATTTGGCATAACTATTAATTTCATTGATTAATTTTTTTTTATAACTCGAATCAAAGTTAAAATGACATGTATAATAAAATTAATTAGAATAAATAAGGGTTTGGCGACAGTGCCTTTTTTTTTTTTTTTTTTTACTTTTCATTTTGGAAACTACAAATTTAAATAACAAATAAATTAATCCTTTTGGTCACGTTACGTGACTTTCCTAAATACTAAAAGGGAATATAATTTACATAAAAATTTTGTAAATGCCAATTTAAATAGTAAGTGTAAACCCGATTCAACTCTCTGTGGTTAACCGGTAAGTCAAAATAAAATAAAACTTAAAGAAGATGTTAAATTAAAAGACAAGATCAAAGATAATGTTTATTTCATTCAAATCATAATTGTATTTATACTAAATAAAATATTGTAAAATGTTATCAAAGTATGAACGTGATCCAATAAGATTTGAACAAATATTAAAGCCTTAAAGAAGTCTTTACGTGTTAACATGTTTCACTTTGGACCCTGTTTTTACGTAACCTTTTGTTATTGGTAATGGGCTTGAATTTTATCTTCTGCTTTGCTTCTTTCCTTAGACGTACCTCGATCCACTGCAAAAAATTTGTCCGTTGTTACGTATGGAGTACTATACGTCGTACTCACGTACTGCATATATGGTGTACGATACGTCGTACGCGAGTACGATGTATAGTACTCTATGCATACAACGTATAACTTTTTACATTTGATTGGCTATTTCTTTGAAAAACATGAGCCATCATTGGTATTTTGCAGAATAAATAACGTTCATTTACGTTTCATCTTTATTACTTATTGGCTTATAAAATACATTTAATTCATATTAGGCTTTTATTATTGTCTTGTTTATTGGATGTTATTTAAAAATAAACATGTAGTTTGTTTACATAAAATGTGACTTTATTTACATTTAGAATAGTAATAATAATAATAATAATAATAATGGAAATATATAGCAAATGAATGATTACAAAAAATAAATTGTTTTTAAAATAATAGTAAAAAAAAGGATATTTCTTACAATTGATAATAGAAAATACGATTGCACTTACCTTTGCATCTTTAAAAAGAAATAGTACAATTACGCAGTAAATAGATACAAATAAATAAGAGAAAAAGACAGAGATAATAATGATAGGGGCCTAGGAAGCTAAATTACAGCAGTTAAACAGAAGAAAACAAACAATCTATAATAAACAAAGTTGATTAGTTAGTAAATAAAAAAATAAAAAAGAGTATTGGTATTCAAAAGAATAAAATGCTTACCGAAAACAAAGAAAAAAAGGGTTTTCAAAAAGGACAAAAGCTATTTGAAAAAAAAAGTAAAAAGTCCTAAAAGAAGAGAATAAAAGATAAGATTGATATATCTTATATTAGACAAAGAAAGTATACTTTTGGAATTAACAGATAAATGTTATATTTTATTTTACCTTTGTATATACATTTGTTTATCTGTGTAATATTTCTTTTAAAATATCAAATAAAAAATATTAGAAAATAAAAAATAATATTAAGACAAAAAGAGTCAAGGAGAGCGAACAATAGTTCTGAAGTCAATCATTTTTATTTAGGTATTTATTTATAAGAATTGTTAAAGAGGTCTGAGGATAAGATGTGAATCAGAAAAGTGTTAGTTACGACCGAATAAGATACATTGTTGATAATGAAGTGTTAAAAGTTTTTAATATTATTTGATGGAGCGGATCAAGAGAGATTTAGGATAGAATTTCTTAAATAAATTTATGATCCGCATGTTTAGTCATGAAACATGATATTGTAAGTCAGCTCATGACAGACATGCTATCTGGTTACCTGATTGCCTACTGGTTTCTCATCTACAGCACTCTGATGAAGGGTTTAGGTTGAGCCTACGCTTTATGTATTGGACAACACCAAAATATGTCTTGTTAGGCCTACTAATTTCCATTAAAACCAGAAAGTAAAAACACCGCCGCCAACAGGTGATGGTATAGCTACTGTTAACGTTGACCATAAGTTATGTGTTTTGAAATGAAAGGGTGTCGTATCGTGTTTCCTTAAATGAAAAGGATTTTTGTCCGTTGATCACAGATATTGAACTTCAAGCGCTAGTGTGCTGGACCACCTGAAAAAATGTAATAAAGTTACGATTAATGCAACTTTGAAGTATTGTTTGACGCGCATTAAGTCTTGGTCCTAGTACATCAAACGCTAAAAAAAGGAGGGCTTATATAGTTAAGCATAGAAATACTATTTGTAAACAAATAACGCATTAGTTAATATCATATTGTAGTGTTTACTTCTTTAATATTACCACTATTTCATTGATTGCGATGATAGCTCATTTACTATCGACTTCTTGTCCCCCCCACTGGAAAAGCTACAAGCATGAAAGCTTGATACTTTGGCAGTTTAAGTTTCTCATACATGCTTCTGTATAAAATAAAAAGATAAGTTAAGTGTAATATACTTGATTCGACAAACATTGATTGATGGGGGTATCATCACTCAAAAATTTTATTCAGTATGATAGAAAAATCTGGTTTACTCAAACTGCAATACTTCCGTTCCAAGTTACAATGTACGCATCAATATAATTAGGGCTTACTCCTCATCGCAAAGATGTCCAGCATTCCTTCTACTACAAATAAAAAAGGCAGTCAGGTATAGCTAGCGTAGTCTTTAAATAATACTAATGGAGGTAAATCTTTAAAAATCTAATAAAGGATATTCTATTTTCTTAGATACATCCTATTCGTCAGCCTTATATAATTGAGAACCCTTCGTCTTACAAGCAATCAACCATCTTTATCTTAAGAGATTGGCCTACATAGACTGCACTGAAGAATCTCTCTTAAGAAGTTTAAAGTTTTATGAAAAGAGGAAATATCAATGAATATGACAGTTGATAAAAGAATAAGCATAAGAATAAAAACATATATTGGATGTGAACGACTAAACAAAAAAAAAAAAAAAAAAAAAAGCGGTAGAAAAAGACGATTAGTTGTCTAGACGAGGAGGGGGGGACAGAAGAAAGGCAGGTAAAGAGCCATCATAAACTTGGCTGTTGCTTCGACTAGATGGAAACCAGCTGCCTCTGACCCAGCCTATATACTTGGCAGATTTAAATATAGTATCGTGGTCTTCAACATCAGAGTTGCTATCTGGTGAGCGCCTTGCATTTCTATTTTTAGCCATGTTTTTTTTCAAAATCTTTCCTCGCTTCTTTCATTTTTCTGTAGGTTCTGGCCAATGCCAAACAACCCCTTTTTATCTCAAAAAGACGTTTTATCAACGTCCTAAGACGATATAAATGGTCTTCGGAAGTTGGAAGACGTAAGGAACCTAGTACAGAAAAGGTATATAGGCCCTCTTCGACCAAACGTGTCTCTGTTATTTCTCCTTCGATACCACAAAGTTGTATACCACGAACTTTGAGTGCCTTTTTTTCTTTATTTTTGATGTGTGGGGAGGAGTAAAATTGATCAGAAATTATTTTACTCTCTCTGCACAATTTGGCATGATCATCGAAATATTTTTTGCTATTAGTCTGATCTCTGGCGATTTCTCCATTTAGCAAATCAACTAACTTGTTTCGGTCTTTGCAACAAACGCGGAAGTCGATCTTGTCCCCAATGCACTTTTTTTTTGATTCTTGATTTGCCTTCTTTGCTATCGAAGATTGGCCATTAACAGAATCACCCCACATAATTTTTAGGGTTGGGTGCTCGAAAATGGAGTCTATAATAGGGCTCCAGATTTGTATACAAGTGTTTGCTTCAGTTGTATGTTGAGGTTAGGCCTCCAAATATTCAGGGTGAAGTTTCATGACAGAAGTAACATGAGCGTATATTTTAAAATATGTCTCTTCTTTAGTAAAGGCATATTTTGCTTGCTTCATCAAACATTCTTGATAGGCTTTTGTAAGACTGCCTTCAGCAAGATGTTCAATCTCTTTCAGCTCCGTCATTATGCTCTCAGGGATATCCTCGAATTTGACTTTGGCGTCGTAGTCATTTTTAATTTTTTCCCATTCATCTTCATTGAACAGATGTCGCTGATTGTTTGATGTTTCACTGTTGTTACTTAAATCGAGCGTGGAATTGAATCCAAGACTAAATCAAATGTATTAGTAGAAGTTCTAATTTAAAATGACAAAGCAAAATATACCAGATTGCTGTTTGGGCATCGACAGGCAAGTTGTTGTATATTTTGCCTTTATAAATTGCATGAGCATGATTTTTTATCTTTGTAGCTATTGGGTCTGCTTCAATAATTTCCTATAATGTACACTTCTCAAAATTTTGTGTACAACTTGACATTCATCACTTACAATTTCTGCCTTGGGTTTTTTTCTCATTCCGCGAGTGGTCATTCTACTGTACGATGCAACTCCACGCTTTGTTTCATTTGTCCTTACGCCATCTTTGTGCTGTTCAATCAATTTTTTATTCCAGTAATCAGTACATTCTGTATTATTAAATAGCTTTTTTTTTTTGAGTGTTGCTATTTGGATTGCAAAAAATCAAAAGACACCACAACCGGCCATTATTTAACTTTTATTCGAAAAACTCTAAATGAAATGGATAAAACCCCTTGTATGAACGGCTTTTATATTGTTATGAACAATGTGCCTATTCATACACATAGTGATATTGACGAATTGATCACTTCAAGAGGTTATAGAAGCATATATCTTCCCCCATATTCACCTGAGCTTAACCCAATTGAGCAATTTTGGTGTGTTGTAAAGAACAAGGACAAGAGGGGCACATTTTCTGATGATGAAGATCTCAAGACAAGAATTGCAGATGCATGCAACAATGTTCCTATTCAACATGTGAAAGCTTTCATACAACACTCTTGTGATCAACTTGAAAAGTGTAGAAATAAAGAACCCTTATAATCACATAAATCCTTTTCGCTTTACCGCAATTTAATTTCACAAAAAAACTGCAATTTGATTTTTAAGAAACCTGCAATTTAATGCTGCGTTCACTGTAATTGTAAGTAAATAAATATTAATCTAAAGTAAAGAAAAAAAATGATAGAAGAAAAGAAAAAGATAAATGAAAAACGGTAAATGAAAAGAAAAAAAGGAAACGACAATGACGTAGAAATATAGTAGTTTCTTTTAATTTAGTCCGAAAAAGGAAATTTTCTGGAAGTAATGGATAATGCTAGACGGCTAACATATAAATATCTTTACCAACAAATAAGTTATTCTTCAATTACTTACTTTTTATTTTATTCAATCAATCTTTTTACCAGCAAAATCCCTTTTTAATATGTCTCGTTCACAATATCCTCCTATTGTCCTTAATACTGCTTCCACTGCTCGTTTGCATCCTTCCAGACAAACAGCATCTACTGGTGGTAGCAATAGAATGAACCAGCTTGAAGAGCAAGTTGCTTCCCAAAGCCAAAGAATCTCTCAGTTGGAGGAAGAGATTAGCAACTTAACAAGCCAAAATATGTATAATCAGAGAAAGATCAGCAGAAATCCCGATATGACCGTAAGTATTATTATTATGTAATTACAATGACAATCATTATTAAATAAAATGTATAATACCTGTTATTCAATTCAATCAATAGGACAAGATTCACGATGCTTACGAGTAAAGTGGACGTAAATTTGATCCCAGATCTACGTTAAAAGATGGAGGTCATAACGAGCAGATCTTCGATTTCATCTTTGCTCAGGTTAGAGACAACAACAATTCTGGGGAAAGAGCACGGAAAGAGATTTCGGCACGTATCAGAAGTGTGTATGATACGGAAAAAAGGAAGCATTCGCGTGCCGAAATCAACACACAGGAGCAACTAGAAGCTCTTAAAAAAAAGGAAATAATTAGAAGCAGAAAAAATAGAGTAAGTATATACTTAGCATAAAATTTAATACAAGATAAAGTAAATTTAACTTCTTTCTCCTTATATTCTATAGAAGCACAAAAGAAGATTGGCAAAGTTCAGCAAAGAAGGAGCCAGGATTGCTGAAGAATTGGGCATGCCTTATAATGAATGTCTCCGAATGATCAAGGCACCTTATATGACTGACGATGAGTATGACATTCATTTTCAGGGCTCGTTGAGGACTTGGAAAAGTCTACGTCCACATCGGAGAAGTGAAAAGGTACGTAAGTTAAAATACAAACTAATAAAAAAAAACTAACTGTAATGAATATTTTTTTGAATACCTTTAAAGTTGAACCAACTGTTCGATAAACTGGACACTCTCTCCAAGAATGTGGACAAGTCTACACCCACAAGAATCGTCGTTACGAGGGTGCAATCTTTTGGATACCTTTCCTGCTTGGGCCAAAAGTGAAGACGCCTATAATTATAATATTTTTATCTTTTTTATAATTTACCTTTGAGAATGCATTAATCGATCATAAATATCTACATCAGCAAAAACAAAAGACTTTATATATTTGTATATAGATATCACACTAATTTCTATCTTCTAACATCATCTCAAAAAAAAAAAAAGAAAGAAAGAAAGAAAGAAAGAAAAAAGAAAAGAAAAAAAAAGAACATTTGAAAGACTGACATAACGATTTTTTGCAACAGATAATATATTTAATTTAATTCAATGAAAATGAAAATGAAAATGAAAATGAATAAACTAATTGATTAAATGTCTCGGTAAATTTATAATAACCTTGATACTTTGAAGGTGATCAAGTTTAATGCCAACAGGAGAGTGAATGCGCATGACGGGAACAATCGACATTGCTGAAGGATCTTCAAATTCATTGCTCCATACTTCCATGTTGTTGATCTCATACGCATGCAGGTTGAGGCCTTCTTTCTTTTTGAATCATCTAAAATAAAAAAAAAATAAGAAATAAGAAATAAGAAATAAGAAATAAGAAATAAGAAATAGAAAATAAGAAATAAGATATAAGATATAAGATATAAAAATTAAAAAATAAAAAATAAAAAATAAAAAATAAAAAATAAAAAATAAAAAATAAAAAATAAAAAATAAAAAATAAAAATAAAAAATAAAAAATAAAAATAAAAAATAAAAAAAATAAATATAATTCAATGTGCGAAAACCCTTCTTTATAGATATCAAAAAAAAAATATTTACTTTTTTCTCTCATTCCACAATGTGAATAATGTAATTACTCTTTCTTTTTTCTCTAATTTCGCAATGCAAATAGTGTGATTTCTTTTTTTTCTTCTCTCTAATTTCACAAATAGTGTAATTACTTTTTTTCTCTCAACTCGCAAATATGAATAATATTTTTTTTTTTTATTTTTATATATATGGCTGAAAAAAATAATGCATGTGTAAACTTTACCTTAAGGGAAAAAAATACAATGAAAAATTAAAAGTACTTTTAAATCCAGCAAAATATTATATTTTAGAAATTCTATTAGCTAATTTTTTTATTTGGAAAATTTATGTTAAAAATTAGTAGAAATAAACAATTAAAAAAATCGCTGCTTAAATGGTGGTGGACGACGTATAGTACTTTTATACATCGTACGCCAACTTTTCGCAGTGGAAAAAAATATTGCGGCGAACTGATAAGACACCAAAAATAACCTATCAAAACTGATACGTCTGCGGTGCTTAGGTGTGAAATAATAAAATAAAAACTGATTAACTAAACTCAAATATAAAAACCAAATAAGACTCAAATAACCAAACGACAATCTCGACAATATTTTCTTTGTCCGAGTTCTTCTGCTGACAATATTTATTAATATTCTTTTTCAATTCCCTCAGCTGCAGTCATAGTACTTAATGTACACAATTAATTTATTACAGTGCACACTTCTTCAAATTGCGTACTTGTGATTTCTCAAACTGCGTATTTTACAGCTCAAATTGCATTATTTTTTTGATACCTTTTTCATAAGCTATTATTTCTTTGAAGGCAAATATCAGATCGGTAATATGTACTCAATAAAAGCAAAAATTATTTTCGAAGATGGTCAAGGAAATGTTTTTGATAAGAGCGGGAATGAAGCAATGGATTGGGATGAGGAAGTTGATCCTCATAACTTGGAGAACCTAACCAAGGATGCTATTGCAAATAACCCCGTCGGAGTTTCAATTTTCCAATTTCCTTTTTTGGAAATTGACTACGCACACCACATTTGTATGTTATATGGCGGAAGACTAAAAAATAATAAATGTTAAAATGTATAAGTGGCTAGTAATCGCGTTCTCAATCTGCTGGAGCAAGTTCGAATCCTTTTTGCCTCAATTTTTTGTCCCCTTAATATATTAGTTTTTTTTCATAAATGCCTATATAAATGTGGGGAGTTGTTTTTATTTAACAGTTTTAGGTAATTTTATTATTTTTTTTTCTTCTCTTTTTGGTTTTTTGTATTGATTGCTTATTCTGTCGGGTTCTACGGTTCTTAATTTTATTATATTTATATGACGTTTGAAATGTTATGATAATATTTGGGGAGGTGTGCCAAGTGTGTAAAAAAAGTTAGCTTTGCCTGTGTAAGCGAGAATTCTGCTTGTCTAAGTTTATTAGTGAAAGACGGTTTGTATTTTACTAGTAAAATATAATAAAATAGAGATAAAATATAATTAATAAAATAAAACAAAAAAAATGAGATAGATAAAGCACATTAAAACCTATTAATAAATTCTAGCAAGGTAAACATAAGTTAGAAAAGTGTATTAAACTGAATTACACAAAATAAAGGTTAATAAGTTAAGCATATTTAAAACTTTTGTAAGATGATGAGTAATAATAAGATAAGATAAAAATATAACAATTTGTATTTGATAATATAATTATAGAACTAGAATAATTATTTAATTATTATAATTTCAAAAATCATTACAGGTATATACATATCTTTTGTAAATTTAATCTAATATTCTTACTAATTCACGTACTTTGAGTAAATTCAATTAATGTGCCTAGTTGTATTTCCCCTGTTTGATTTTTAAAGTTATTTTTTTAAAAATGTTTAATCAAAAATATATTTTTACATGTAGGGCTTATATTAGTTGTTTTTTCCATACAAGAGTATATATTTAATATATATACAGACAGAGTTATTATTGAAGTGTGCTGTATGATCTATTACGATTATTTATTTTATTCAATTAAGTTACAAATCATACAATCATGGGAAGGCCAATAGATATTATAATTTTTATTTATATATTCAATTTAGAATAAAAAATAAAGCCAGTTTATAGCTGTTACTAGATTTTCAGAAGTTTTGAACCTTTATTATAAATCAAACAGTAATATAAAACTAAATAAACTAAATTACTCTATAACTTATATTAAAATATATCATTATTATTCAAAAGCTTTAAGTTGTTTTAATTGGCATTTAAATGCATTATAAATGAAAAAAACAGATAGTTTAATAATAATGAATTTATATATACCTATAATGAACAATATTGAACCAAAACAACGGGTAAAAACCATTAAAATAAACATATAACATATGAAAATATAATTTCGACGCTAAGCGCACCTCAAAAAAATAAAAAATAAAAAGAGTCGATCAGGATTCGAACCTGCGTCTCCACGTTGCCAGCGTGATACTTAACCACGCAGACAACCGCGCATAATTTTCTCAGATATTTTAGAGAATAAACAAGAGGAGTACCGGCTTTTGGGCAATTTCCAAAAAAGGAAATTCGAAATTTCAAACTCCGACGGGTTATTTGCAATATTAACCATTACCGTTATTACCGTTATTACCGTTATTGCCGTTATTGCCGTTATTGCCGTTATTGCCGTTATTGTCGTTATTGCCGTTTAGAACATACGATATTGCCGTTTAGAACATACGATATTGCCGTTTAGAACATACGATATTGCCGTTTTGAACATACGATATTACCGTTATTACCGTTTAGAATATACGATATTGTCGTTATTGCCGTTTGCCGGTTTAAATTTGAGTAATCCAAGTGGGCACTATTTTGAAACATCATACTCTTTTCGTGCGCTATTCTTTAATGTGTAACGAAGCACATGATTTTAGGGAGGTGGGCATTTTGCATGTTTTTTATTTGTCTTGCGAAATGTTTCATATATGTATATAGTGCTATAGGATTGGATTATAGTGAATGGTAGAAAGCTAATTGCTTTAGCTAGTTTTCATGTCTGTCATAGACAGTTAGTTAATGTGTCTCATGTAAAGGACGAACTTGTATGCACATAAGAGATATTTGTGTAGGAATTAAAAATAACAAGCTAATACGCCAAATTAAGGAGTAAGGGGGTATGTGGGCGCTTTTTTTGTTGTATGGAAACATGCTTAACAAGGCTTACTTTTGAGGTAGGTTCGGCAACCATGTCAGGGCTTTCTGAGTAAATATAAAAAGCATACAGTATTTATGTTTTTTTGTTATTTGGCAAAGTCAAAAAAAAAAGTTATATAGAAGAACTAACGCGACACGAAAAACTTGTTGCTTTAACTGAATATAATGACCGCTTAAATTATTTGGACCAATGTTGGTGCCGCAAAACCATTTCCTTGAAATATATTTGGGGGTGGGAAGTAACTAAGTTGACTATACTTTTTTTATTATTTTCGAGCTCATAATGGACGACGGAAATGGTGAATAGATGATGAAAAGAATTACATGTCCACTCAGATTTACATCTTCTTTGTAGAAAATAGGATTTCTGCTCAATCGGTGACATTCAGCGATAACTTATTAGACAAAGAAAAAATTCATGATCTCATTTTAAAATCTTTGCTAGGTGTGTACGCAAAATCTTTCATATTCATTTATTATATTATTAAGAAACTATAAAAAATAAAGGTTTACAGGCTTCAAAATCTTTGTATAGAGCAAGCCGCTGCCATTGGGCTAACAAGCCAGCGTCTGTTGTTGTATTATTTCCGAAGGTCCAATGCTCTAAAGATCTGCCACCAGTCATTGTTATAGCTGAAAATACAATCAATGCTGATTTCATGGAAGATTTAATCAAGTATTGTTTATCACTACATGAGGAATACAAAATCTCACCATATGTACTTATTTTTTTGACTGGAGGATTTTCAGATGAAGAGATCAAATCTAAATTCAAGGTGGAAAACAATTCTTTTATGATGGAAGCAAATTGTAGTTTTTGGTCAGATAATTGTTATGTATTATGTAAAGAATCTATTGCTGGTTTTGTCAATGAATATCCAATGCAAGAATTTATTGCATTAGCTTATTGTATAGTCGACACAGAAAACAGTCTATACAGCGATGACCCAATTGTTAAATATTTTGTTAATTTGGGCAAATAATAAATATAACATAAAACGATAAGATAAGTAAATTTTATTAAACTATTGTTCAATTTCAATTATTTTTCTTTTGCTTAGTTTTTTGCTTTTGCCGTGGTATGATGATTTTAAAGTTTTCCAATTACTGTAGCTAAGAAAAAATTCTTTGTTTCTTCCTTCCTTGAAACAACGTTCCCAGCTCATCCTTCCTATTTTCTTTTTTTGAAACTCTTCAATGAACGTCGCATCATCCGCTGCTATTATATCATTGTGGTAATCAACTGTCAGCAAATTGCTGATGTTTGGTGTATCTTCGATTGGCGTTATTTCACGATCTTTTTTAAATTTATTTTCTTGATGATAGAAGTAAATTTGACCATCTTCAGCGTATTTTAATGCTTTTTCTGTAGATTCTCCATTTTGTAAACATTTTACAATTTTTTCAAACTGAGTTTTTGCTTTGAAACATAGGTCGTTAATAACAATTAGTTTTTCTTCTTCGATATGACACTCGTTCTCAAATTTATCTTTAGATATTTGATATAGAAGCTGTATTGTTGGATCATTTTTTTTACGGACAGATAATATGTTTCGTTTTTGCTGGGTAAGAAAGTGACTTAAAGCAACCAACTTGTTCAAGGGGATGTTGTTTAGATGAGGTTCAATTGATTCAGCTGAAATTATATGACAACTTTCTGCCCAAAAGTCACAAGTCATTGTATACATGAAATCATTTTCAGAAATTTTAAGTGTTGATTTGACTTTTGTTGCAATATTTTGGATAGATATTACGAGCACCTTTGGTAATTGTCCATATTCTTGTTTCAATTGCAAGGAATAATTAATTAGTCTTCTTGTAAAAGCCTCATCCATCTTACATTGGACTTCTATTAAGACTGGAGATAGTTGTGGTAACCTAGGAATGTACACGACATCAGAAATGCATTTGTTTGCCCAACCACAGCGACCCAGACCATAGGCGGACTGGTCGACATTTTGATCAACCAAATCCTTTACAATAATGTCCATAATTCTTTCGTCCTGTAAAAGAAATCTTGTAATGAAATCCGTCCCAGGTACAAAATCAGGTGCCAGGGTGAATGTTGCTAATTGTCCTATTGATAATGTTATTAGAATCTTATTCCTAATTTTTATTATGTTAATATTACCAGGTATCTCCATTATTGTGTTGAAAAAGGCAAGAGTAAAAACGTATATTTTAAACGGCAATATCGGCAACATCGTACTAAAATAAAAAAAATATCCCACGTTCCCCCTTACTCCTTAATTTGGCGTATTAGCTTGTTATTTTTAATTCCTACACAAATATCTCTTATGTGCATACAAGTTCGTCCTTTACATGAGACACATTAACTAACTGTCTATGACAGACATGAAAACTAGCTAAAGCAATTAGCTTTCTACCATTCACTATAATCCAATCCTATAGCACTATATACATATATGAAACATTTCGCAAGACAAATAAAAAACATGCAAAATGCCCACCTCCCTAAAATCATGTGCTTCGTTACACATTAAAGAATAGCGCACGAAAAGAGTATGATGTTTCAAAATAGTGCCCACTTGGATTACTCAAATTTAAACCGGCAAACGGCAATAACGACAATATCGTATATTCTAAACGGTAATAACGGTAATATCGTATGTTCAAAACGGCAATATCGTATGTTCTAAACGGCAATATCGTATGTTCTAAACGGCAATATCGTATGTTCTAAACGGCAATAACGACAATAACGGCAATAACGGCAATAACGGCAATAACGGCAATAACGGTAATAACGGTAATAACGGTAATGGTTAATATTGCAAATAACCCGTCGGAGTTTGAAATTTCGAATTTCCTTTTTTGGAAATTGCCCAAAAGCCGGTACTCCTCTTGTTTATTCTCTAAAATATCTGAGAAAATTATGCGCGGTTGTCTGCGTGGTTAAGTATCACGCTGGCAACGTGGAGACGCAGGTTCGAATCCTGATCGACTCTTTTTATTTTTTATTTTTTTGAGGTGCGCTTAGCGTCGAAATTATATTTTCATATGTTATATGTTTATTTTAATGGTTTTTACCCGTTGTTTTGGTTCAATATTGTTCATTATAGGTATATATAAATTCATTATTATTAAACTATCTGTTTTTTTCATTTATAATGCATTTAAATGCCAATTAAAACAACTTAAAGCTTTTGAATAATAATGATATATTTTAATATAAGTTATAGAGTAATTTAGTTTATTTAGTTTTATATTACTGTTTGATTTATAATAAAGGTTCAAAACTTCTGAAAATCTAGTAACAGCTATAAACTGGCTTTATTTTTTATTCTAAATTGAATATATAAATAAAAATTATAATATCTATTGGCCTTCCCATGATTGTATGATTTGTAACTTAATTGAATAAAATAAATAATCGTAATAGATCATACAGCACACTTCAATAATAACTCTGTCTGTATATATATTAAATATATACTCTTGTATGGAAAAAACAACTAATATAAGCCCTACATGTAAAAATATATTTTTGATTAAACATTTTTAAAAAAATAACTTTAAAAATCAAACAGGGGAAATACAACTAGGCACATTAATTGAATTTACTCAAAGTACGTGAATTAGTAAGAATATTAGATTAAATTTACAAAAGATATGTATATACCTGTAATGATTTTTGAAATTATAATAATTAAATAATTATTCTAGTTCTATAATTATATTATCAAATACAAATTGTTATATTTTTATCTTATCTTATTATTACTCATCATCTTACAAAAGTTTTAAATATGCTTAACTTATTAACCTTTATTTTGTGTAATTCAGTTTAATACACTTTTCTAACTTATGTTTACCTTGCTAGAATTTATTAATAGGTTTTAATGTGCTTTATCTATCTCATTTTTTTTGTTTTATTTTATTAATTATATTTTATCTCTATTTTATTATATTTTACTAGTAAAATACAAACCGTCTTTCACTAATAAACTTAGACAAGCAGAATTCTCGCTTACACAGGCAAAGCTAACTTTTTTTACACACTTGGCACACCTCCCCAAATATTATCATAACATTTCAAACGTCATATAAATATAATAAAATTAAGAACCGTAGAACCCGACAGAATAAGCAATCAATACAAAAAACCAAAAAGAGAAGAAAAAAAAATAATAAAATTACCTAAAACTGTTAAATAAAAACAACTCCCCACATTTATATAGGCATTTATGAAAAAAAACTAATATATTAAGGGGACAAAAAATTGAGGCAAAAAGGATTCGAACTTGCTCCAGCAGATTGAGAACGCGATTACTAGCCACTTATACATTTTAACATTTATTATTTTTTAGTCTTCCGCCATATAACATACAAATGTGGTGTGCGTAGTCAATTTCCAAAAAAGGAAATTGGAAAATTGAAACTCCGACGGGGTTATTTGCAATAGCATCCAACGGTAATAACGACAATAACGGCAATAACGGCAATAACGGCAATAACGGCAATATCGTATGTTCTAAACGGCAATATCGTATGTGCAAAACGGCAATATCGTATGTTCTAAACGGCAATATCGTATGTGCAAAACGGTAATAACGGCAATATCGTATATTCTAAACGGCAATAACGGTAATATCGTACGTTCAAAACGGCAATATCGTATGTTCTAAACGGCAATATCGTATGTGCAAAACGGCAATATCGTATGTGCAAAACGACAATATCGTATATTCGAATTATTGGTCCTGAGTCGGAGACTCTGACTGTGTTACCAATTTTTCCTTTATTTATCGAAAATATATCATAAAATAAAAAAATAATTATAGTTATATAATTATCAATTTTTCTTTCGCAATTTCTGTACTCAACCATTCGAATTACTTAATAGATCTATGTCCAATGAGCACGACGAATTATTACGACGCCTTCAAAACCTGGAGACGTTATTGCAGCAGCAACATTCAGCACCTGTAGCAGCCCATGTGGATCCCTACCTTACTCCACGACCAACTACAGTTGATCTGCAACCTTACGATGAATTCTATGATGTTCTTTCTGACGCAGCTGCTGATTTCTTTAGATCACCTCTGTCAGAAGCCGACTGTCGCAAATTCCTCAATCTCTGTCCTTCCAACTCGGACCGACGTTATCGTGCACCTGTTTTACAACGTTCTGTCAATGCTAGATGTTGTGTATATAATGATGTATTACATAATATCTTATAATGTACAAATCAGAGTCATGAAGAACCGGATGATATTATAATTATTAGTTATACACTTTATGCATACAATATTATTTGATTTCAGTTTATAAGACATTCTTGTGATGAGAAAAAATAATGTTATAATAAATACTAACTCTACAAAATAATGATAAGAAAAACATAGTGTAAGGAGTTATTAATGATAAAGATATATGAATTATAGATTATACCTATTAATTATATATATGCATTATTATTTAATGTTGTCTAAAATACTAACTTATAAATATAATCATATACTATCTATGAGAACTCTATTCTAATTGAATACACTATATAATATAATGAAATTCATTTAAGTAGTACATTGAGGAATGAATATAACATAAAGAAGCTGGTTAGAATATAAATCTATATATCAAAAGTGTCTTTCCTATATCATTCACAAGTATGAAAAAACGAGATTTTATTATTTTGTTTCAAGAAAAATAACCGGCTAAATCAAGCACCAATAATTTAATGTTTATTAGAGTTAACTGAGATTAATTCTCAGTCAGGGCAAAGACTAGAGCTCTAACACAATAATTTTAATTATTCTATGGGAAATATTCTTCTTTCAAGATATCTTCACTCTGTTCCTGTCTCGAAGTAACCCGTTCTCCACAAGATATAAATAAGGATCCATTTTGCACTCATCTTTTGAAAACTCAGTTTTTTCATTTTTTAATTTTTAATTTTCATTTTGATAATAAAAGTTTTATACAAAGTTTTCACAGATTTATTCTGTCTTATTCTTTTGTTATCTTTGTCTTATCAACACTAGAACACTTACTCGCAAGTTTGATCAACAGCTTGCCGACGTACAATATCGCCTGTCTGGACTCACTTGACCGATTGACCTTATGGCACATAATCTTGCCCAAGGACATACTCCAACTATTGCTGATTCTACGAGTTTTATTCGTACGATTCACAGCTTACTGTCTGATGTTGCCTCTCACATCACTCAACTTCGTATTGATAACATTTGTCGAGATGCCGGCTTGCCAACGGCCCCACTTGCAGCCAACTCAGATGATGAAGACGCTTTGTTGGATACGACACGCATTTTCGAACAGTCCAAGCTCTCCAAAGCCATTCAAGATGCTCAATCCAAAGGTCGTACTTCCTGAAAGAAAAAGGGAAAACGTTCTAACAGTAGTCCAAGATCCACTACTGTCCAATCCGAAGACCACTTCTCCAAGTCTTCTGACAAATCTAATTTATCTGGTACCACTTCAAGACCTACCACACCTTCTGCTCCTCGTGCTTCAAACTCTTCTTCTCACAACTCTCGGGGTTTTCAGAAACGCTAAAACCTCGACCTGTTGGCGGACGTCTTCAATATTATCAAGACGCATGGACAAAGATAACAAACAACCAATGGATTCTCGATATCATTCAAAACGGATTTCGAATCCACTTTACTACCGATCCACTTCTTCAATCAAGTTTCCAACAGCAATAACATCACAAGCACGAACAGCAATCGAGACCGAGATCTTATCATTACTAGAGAAGAAAGCGATAGAGAAAACCCATGGTCCCGGTTTCCTTTCCCATCTCTTCATCGTACCCAAGAAGACCGGCGACCTTCGTCCCGTACTCAATCTACGACCACTAAATCAGTACGTACCACGAAGACCATTCAAAATGGAAACTATTCAACTCGTTTGCAAAATGATCCAACCGCAAGATTACCTTACTTCTATCGACCTACAGGATGCATTCCTCCATGTACTAGTTCACTCAGCCTCTCGAAAGTGGATCCTTCCCCATATACCGCCGTCGGACTTTGAAAAATGCAATTTTATTTTACGGGAATGGCTCTCTAATATATTACTAGTGAAAAAATACTGACTTTGACGTTTCTTGACTTCTTGAGGTACGAAAGAGTAAAATTTCAGATAGTATTAAACAAAAATGACAAAGAATATAATTAACTTTTTATAATATTTAATGGTTTTCTTTATTCAAAATTAATATTTTCTCGATATTTATATTAAATTTGCTACAACAATAAAGTTTATGTGACAACAGGGAAAATCGTGATTATTGATTATAGTAAAGATGCATAAGTGTTGTCTTCTTGATTTTCTCATGTTGTCAACTAATTATGCCGACGTCTTTTATTTTCACAAATTATGCATAATTTTGACTTCTTTCTTCTCACGTCCGAATCCTTTACTATCGGCTTAAATCTTCTTTTATTTTGCCTATTAATTCTAAACGATAGATTGTACTCTACTTCTATTTGTTGGTTCTCTACTTCGTTCCTAATAGACTGGACAATCCAACATATTTTAGCTGTAGGTTATCACTACTAGTGGTATTACAATAAAAGGAAATTCTATTTTTCCAAGTCCGACGGCGGTATATGGGGAATTAACCTAAATGTGCTCATTGGTAATTTTTTAATTTTTTGAAAAAATTCTTCTCAACCGTATCAAAAGAAAAGCTCTCTTTATTAAAGATTTAAGAAAAATAAAATATTTATAATAATTATAAAAAAAACATATCGAAAAAGTAGTCATAGGTCACGTGACTGCCTTTTATATAATTGCCATCTTATAATTATTATACACTGCGTCAAACTGATATGTTCGTGGTGCTTAACAGTAGAATCCTTTTCTTTTATTTTTTTTTTGTGAAGCTAATGTTTCTTCTAGTTACTTTTATACTGAGACAAAGGTATAAATGTAAGTTGAATATTGCTTTTGTTCTTTATGTCGTCGTTAATGAATTGATATTTCTTTCTGTTACTGTTTCTATATTTAATTGACAATCTTCTGTATTGTCGTTTCAGTTCAATTAATCAAATTACAATTAAACAACTTGATAAAAATTTAAAGCAAAGTAAAAAGCTTGATTTTATTCCATTATATTAAAAAATGATACTTAAATAAAAAAAATGATATTATATAAAAGGAAATATTAAAGAAGGGTAAATTAAAATGAAATAAATTGAATTGCCGGACTTGTCCGGTATATCACGTGACTGTTAACTAAATTTTTTGTGTGCAAATTTTATATTTTTATACCACTTGTCAAAATGTCGTTTCTTGACTTCTTGAGATACAAAAGAGTAAAACTTTAGACGGTATTAAACAAAAAATAACAAAGAATATAATTAAGTTTTTATAATATTTATTGATTGTCTTTATTTAAAATCAATTATTTTTCGATATTTATATTAATTTTGCTACAAAATAAAGTTTATATGACAACAGGGAAAATCGTGATTGTAGTAAAGATGCATAAGTGTTGTCTTCTTGATTTTCTCATGTTGTCAATTGATTATGCCGACGTTTTCTATCTTCACAAATCATGCATAACTTCGACTTCTTCTTTCTCACGTCGGACTCCTTTACTGATGGTTTAAATCTTCTCTTATTCAGTCTATTTATTCTGAACGGCAGATTATATTCCACTTCTATTGGCTGCGTATCTACTTCGTTGCTAATGAACTGGACATTACCCCCCTCCTTGTTTGGTGATCGTCCTCGAGCACTTAGAACTGGGCTGTTGGCAAGAGAGTCAGCGGCACTATCAATGCAAGGATTATCCTCAATGTCAACATCAAAGGTTTCAATGGAAGTTTCAACCGTGATTGGGGTGTCTTCAGGGTGAATGTCCGGCTCGGGAAGCGAATTATCGTTTGATTCTTGTAGAAGAGGAATATCTTGTTCAAAATGTAGATCTTCATCACAAGGTTCAATTTTGTCATCATTTACAAAAGAAGATATTGTTGAAGTCATGGTGCTCTGGTCATTATACATGGGGGGGCTGGTTGAAGATACTTCTGTTTGTGATGGATGCAACGTCTCGTCGGTGGTATGAATATCAGTGGGGGAACTAACGGGATCAACTGTATCAATAGTAATGTCTGCTGTTTCAGCTTCTATATCCGTAGGAAGAGTTGGAACTGTGCCTGCGATACCAGCATTATGCATTACTGTTCTCCATTCTGAACGTGCAGCAACGGGATCGTACCAAGGGGCTATAGGTGTAGTACCATGAGCGGCTTTTAGGCGATCGACATGAACTAACGACTGCAACGGCTCACCAGCTAATGTTTGTAAACGATAAGTTCCGAACTCGGGAAATGATTCTACCACGATATAAGGGCCTTTGAACGTAGGTTCAAGAGTGAAGCGACCTTCATGAGTAAGTAGGACTTTGTCACCTATTTCAAAAGAAGTTTTTCTAATGTGTGCATCCCATTTTTCTTTATCTTGCTCTGCCATAGCTTTCATTTTGAATTCTGCAGCTGCGCGGTGTTGTCCCAAATTAGTTAATTCTCTAGAGGTATAGTCAGCTACTGTCCTAGGGTCTTTGAAAGTGTCCTTGTCGATATACGGAATTAATGTGTCACCAGGTAATCTTGGTTCACGACCATACGTTAAATAGAAGGGACTATAACCTGTTGTGGAATGTACACGAATTCGAGCGGCCCAAAGCGCGGCATTCACAAATTCATCCCATCGATGAAGTGCACCATTTACATATTTACGTAACATACTTTTTAAAACACCATTGAATCGTTCAACCTTCGCATTTGTACGTGGATGATACGCTGAAGTTAATTTGTGTTGAGTCCCCACTCGTTTTAAGTATGCATTTACCAAAGCCGAATTAAAGTTAGCTCCTCGATCCGTTAAGATTTCGGATGGACAACCATGCCTCATCATGATTTCTTCATATATAAAGTCTGCGACAGCCTCTTTAGTAGCTCTGGTACTGCTCTAGCAACTGGCCAGTTGTAGCGTAATCCACAGCAACGATTAACCATTTGTTTTTATTTAGTGTAGTGGGAATTCGCCAATAAAATCGATATGCCAACGATCAAAGCAGAGGGTACTTTTAAAGGATGCATAATCGTGGTGTATTTTCCTGGCGACTATTACTTGGCAAGTGGGCATGTTTTTAACCATTCTTCAAGTCCTTCTTCATTGTGGCCACCAAAACGAGGAGTAAACACTTAAGCATAGTTTTGAAACCTGCGTGCCATATGTTTCATGATATCTGGCAACTGTATCGGCTCGGTTAGCAAATGGCAGAAAGGGACAGCTTGTATTATATTTTTCTCCGTATCAGTGATCACCTTACGAAGACCTTTTATCACGGATGATGAAATTATCTTTTTATCTTCTAGATATTTCGTAAGTCATTCGATTTTACTCTATCCAGGTTAGTGTAAATAAGGCCAGTCATTTTGGATTGATACTGAAGCATTTCTTATATTCCATGTAGCATATAATAATCCGGTTCGAACGAAGTAGTAGCACAAGAGGTATTTGGTCCACCTATTCTTGACAAGATATCTGGTACGTTATTTTCCTTCCTGGCTTGTACTCGATGTCAGGCGCATACAACTCCAGTTCATTCATCCACCTTGTTAACGAGGAGATGGTCGTTCTTGAGATCGATAGTAACATAAAGGCAAATGTCAGTTAGTATCTTGTACCCTCCTTTACATCCATCAATAAAGCATCGCCAGCTTCTGAGTGCATGCAATATTCCTAACATTCTCGTTCTTGTACAGCATATTTCCTTTCAGCAGCAGAAACTTCTTGATTCATATGCAATAGGATGCCATAATGGCGGTGTTGATCATCTGGTTGTAGAGTACAGCACCACATCCAAATCCGATGCATCGTTTCAATTCTATATGGTTTATCCATATCAGGCAGTCGTAAAACGGAGCAGATGTTAGTAACAATTTTAGTTATCAAAGCTTTCTTGCATTCAGTAGTCCATATGATTGCACGTTTTTGGCACCGTACCTCTAGTTAAGTCCGTCAACGGTGAAGCAATAGAAGCAAGTTGGAATAAATCTTCGATAGTATTGGGCAAGACCTATGAATGTCGAACTTCCTGACATTTGTTGGACGAGGGAAGTTACGAATGACTTCAGTCTTCTGGGGACTAGGTAAGATTCCTTCTGGAGTATCTTGAATCCAACGAAAATCAAGTCTCTTTTACCAAATTCACATTTTTCAAATTTGCAATTAGATTGGCCTCCTTCAGTAAATTCAAAACGTGTCGAACATGTTGTTTATGTTGTTCTTCCGTCTTACTAAAAATCAATATGTCATCAAGGTAGACTAATGCAAATTTATCCAGACAATCACCAGAACTTTGTTCATTAGACTTTGGAATGTTGGTGGGCATTTGTCAGTCCAAAAGGTAAACTAAAAATTCAAATTGTCCATAACGGGTGTTGAAAGCTGTCTTTGGTATATCCTCGGGTCTAATTCTGACTTGGTGATATCCAGATTTGAGATCAAGACTAGTAAAATAAGAAGCACCTTTTACTCGATCCAAGCACTCATCAATTCTAGGTAAGGGATGATTGTTTCTCACGGTGACCTTATTTAGAGCCCTATAGTCAATGCACATTCTCATTTCACCATTCTTTTTCTTCACAAACAAAACAGGAGCACCCCATGGAGACGCACTAGGACGAATCAATCCTAATTTAGTAGTTCTTTGATTTGGCGTTGTAGTTCATCCAATTCAGCGGGACTCATTTTAATGGTGGACGACTAACCGGTGAGGCATTACCAGTGTTGATAACATGTACAACTTCACGTTCTGGTGGCAGTCCAGGTAATTCCTCACGGAAACAGAAGAAATTCTTTGACTAGGTCATCCCAATATTTTTCTTGTACCGTTGATGGGTTCTTTTGATCATTTGATTCAACCACATTGAAGTACATTAGATACCTTCTGCACCTTTTTTCAGACATCTTTCTGCTTGCTTATGTGAGATCAAATAATTCAAATCCAAGGCCAA